AAAGGCTGTTTACTATTTATTAACGCTTTATTATTTATCTTACCTTCCTTAAGCAAACGCAGGGTTATCTTTTATAATATTATTACCCTTAAGGTTTACTATATATACTTTAAACTAAACCAGGGAACTTTCCTATAAAAATTCTACGTTTATATTTATATTTATAACTACCTAACTTATAAATTATTTATAAAGCGTTAAAAAATCTAAAGGTAGTAAACTATAAATATATTTAGTTAATATTTTTTTAAGTTTTTTATTTTTTTTTTTATCCTTAGTAAACTTAAAAAAGTTAATTTTTAAAAATTTTTATTAATTTAATTTTTTAATAACTTTAAGCTATTTTTTAAAAGGGTATATTTTAAACCTATTTTTTATTATAAAGTATATATAATACTTAAGTATATTAGCTTTATATACTCTTTTACAGTTTATATATTATATAAAGGAGAAATAGTTAAATATAATATTTTTATAATTAATAATTAGTTTTTTATATTTTATATATTTTTTAACCTTAATATAGCCTTTAAAGTTATAAAAACTAAAATAATAAAAGTATTATATAATTTTAAGCTATTATATTTTTAATTTAACTAAAGCTAAGCAATTAAAAAACTTAAAACTTACTTTTATATTTTCTTTAAAAGCTATAAAATAATAGTAAGTATTTAAGGTTTTATTAAAAAGAGCTTTTTAATAAAAGGTTAATAGACTTTTAACGCCTGCCTTAATATATACTTTTTTAAAAATTAATATATTAATAAAATAGGTTTTAGATTTATTAATATATATTTTTAAAATATTATATAAAAGGAAACTTTTTTATATATAAGCTTTTTTAATTTTTAAGTTATTTTTTTTTACTTTTAAAGTAAATATAAAGATTTTATTTTTAATATTTTAGTTTTTTAATTATAAAATAAAACCTAAATAAACCTTTTAAAAATAAATAAAATTATTATTATTAAATTTTATTTTTTTTATTAATTTTTATTTAGCTTTAATAACTATTATTTTTTTTATTTATAGTTTAAAAAAACTTAAATAAAAATATAATTATTAGGTTTTTATATAATTATTTTTAGCTTTTATTTTTTTTTATTTTTATTAATAAAGGCTAGTTTTTTATTATTAAAGGTAAATATTTTTTTATTATTTTATTTTTTTTAAAGGTTTTTATTATAAATAGCCTTATATAATATAACTTCTATTTATATAACTTTTTTAACTTTTTTTAGCTTTTAAAATAAAGTAATTTTAATTACTACTGTTTTAATAAGTTTTTTAATTTTACTTAATTTAACCTTTAAGTTATAGAATATATTAGCTAATATTTTTTTAAATAATTAAACAGTAAATCTTTTACTGCCTAAAATATTAAGGTTTTTAAAACTCCTTAAGTTATATTTTAAAAAAAAAAAGGTTTTAAAAATAGCTATTAATATAATATAAACTTATTTAATTATTATTAAATAATATTTTATAATAAAAATTATTAAATATTTATTTATAACTATAGTAATTAAAATAAAAATAATTTATTTAATTTTATATATTATATTAATTTTTATTAATTATTTTATAATTTTATTTTATATAAGGGATTTATACTTTTAATTAATTACAGTAGTTTTTTTAATATTATTAAAAAAAAAAAAACTAAATTTTTTTAATAATTTTTATATAAATTAAAAAAAATTTACTTTACTTTTATTTAATTAAAATATTAATATATTATTTATTATAAATTTATTGCTAAAATATTATTTTTTTTTAAAAATAAAAGTAAAAATAGTTATTTTACCTTTCTTTAGGATAAAAGAAGTAGTTTTTTTTTATTATTTATTAAAAGCTACCTACCCAGTAGTAGCGGGGGAGTTTTTTATTTAGGCTTCTTAAAGGTCAGCAGAAACTACTATTATCCTAGGATCCCTAATAAAAGCAGGGAAAATAAATATAAAAGATATTTTATTTAATAGCTAGTTAAATAAAGTAAGGTTTTTAATAAAGGGGTACCTAAAAGGTAGGGTACCTGTAGGTGTAGGAGGGAAGCTTGCGGATATTGGTAAACTCGGGCATCACTATTTACCCACATACATGTCATCTCTATTGGCCTGTCTCCTTAGGAGTTGTTGGAGCAATATCTGTAACCCAGCTTCAATCTATGCTGCCCAATAACTATCAATGCCTAATTGTATGTATTATCTAGTCATTCTGCTACTTTTTAAAATGATGCAAATATTTGATCTGCTGCTATTGAGCATCTTACTTCAAGATATTTACTTTTCCATTGTCAATTTCATCAGAAAATGACTTGTATGATATAATCAGCCATTGAACTTTCATGCAATCACCCACCTTATAGTACCAGAACTACATAACGTCACAATGCCTTTCAAGTCACTCAGCCACAAGGACTATACTGTAGCATGGATCTGTGCGCTACCGAAAGAGCGAGCAGCAGCCCATGCTATGCTGGATGAAGAACATGAATCCCTTTCGCAACCTGACCGCGATCAGAACACTTATACCCTTGGGTCTATCGGCAACCACAATATTGTTATAGCCTGTCTTCCCAGTGGTGATATTGGGAATAATGCGGCGGCAAATACTGTCACCCAGATGATCAATACATTCCCATCCATCAAGTTTGGTCTTATGGTTGGGATTGGTGCTGGTATCCCCTCTCGGGTCAGGCTTGGTGATATTGTTGTGAGCAAGCCAAGTGGAACATTCACGGGAGTTGTTCAGTGGGATCTCGGAAAATCGGAAAAGCCCGGATTTAAGAGGACTGGAGCATTGGATCGCCCCCCGAAAGTCCTCCTCACAGCCTTGGCTAAGCTGGAGGCTTTTCATGATATGCACGATTCTCAGATTCCCAAGTATCTGCAAGATATGGCAGACAAGTATCCTAAGTTGGTGGCTAAATATACATGGTCCCCTCGACTGAGAGACCCAATGCTCGAACTAGACATACCAAAAGCAAATCTGTGGGCAAGCATATTTGGAATAATCTTCCAAGCGATTGTCGCATTGCTTCGGGTGTTATTGGGTGGTAAAGAGCCCGTCGAAAGATATATGCCATCTATGTCTAATTCAGAAAGGAATTGCGGAGAACCTAGAGGTATGGATATTCACTATGGATTGATTGCATCTGGAAACCAGGTTATCAAGAATGGTATCATCCGAGATCAGATCAACCAGAGTCTGGGAGGCGAGGTTCTATGTATTGAGATGGAAGCAGCAGGGTTAATGAATAATTTCCCATGCATTATTATCAGAGGAATCTGTGATTATGCAGATGAACAAAAGAACAATGATTGGCAGGAATATGCTGCTGCTATAGCGGCGGGATTCACAAAGGAGTTTCTGCAGCATGTACGCTCAGCAGACGTTGATAGCGAGCGTCCTGTGAAGGATGTCTTACAGAAAGGTTGGCCTACTTCCCAGTGTTAATTGAGTCGAAAGTCTCTGGTCTGATAATAAATACATGCAGTTCAAGAGGGCGTGTCTGATATCCAGCGGCTTATGGATAAAGTTGAAGTGAGGAAGATACTCGACTGGCTAACAACAGCGAATTATGGCCAGCAGCATGATATGCATTCGGCAACTCATAAGGAAGGAACTGGCCGGTGGATTCTTGAGACAGATGAATTCCAATTCTGGTTTAAAAATAGCAAGCAGAAATTGCTATGTCGAGGGATGCCAGGAGCGGGAAAAACGATCATAACATCAGTTGTAATCGACTACTTGGTGGACATGTCCAAGAGAGATTCTGGAATTGGCCTCGCTTATATTTATTGCAGTTTCAAGCAACCAAAAAGCGAGCAGACAATACAGAATCTTCTTTCTAGCGTCCTAAAGCAGCTCGCGAGCGATCGTCAGCCATTCCCGGCTACCACGAGAAGGCTATATGAGCAACACCAAGCAAAGCAGACACATGCGTCACAAGAGCAGCTTATTTCAGAACTGGAGACTGTGATAGGGCTTTATTCACATGTATATGTGATTATTGACGCTCTTGATGAATGCGACTTCAAACCAATGCATAGCTTTATTGCCGAAATCTTCAATCTCCAGCAACATTGCAACCTGAATATCTTTGCAACATCGAGATCCATACCCGAAATCACAAAGTGGTTTTCAATAGTTGAAAGTTCATTTCTAGAAATCAGGGCGCGCCCAAGAGACATCGCCACGTACCTGGAGGATGAAATGAAACAGTCTTCGACAAGTCTTATTAAAAATAACCTGAGTCTGCAGGAAGATATAAAACAAGAAATTTCTCAAGCAGCTGATGGGATGTAGGTTATTTCCGCTTCCTAAGCACCTTCAGTTATGAATGAAAGGTGCAAATGCTAATGATCGATCCCACATAGGTTTCTTCTAGCTCAAATCTATCTCAACTTGCTGCAAGACAAAATAAACGTGAAGGAAATTCGTGAAGAGTTGCATGCTTTTAGGAGCGATGCCCTAGGCCGAAATGACGACGAAAAGATAAATGCGTTAACCCACGCATACGACAAGGTCATTAACAGGATAAATGAGCAGAGTGTGCAGATGAAAGACTTTGCAATGAAAGTATTATTATGGGTTACTTTTGCAAAACGAGCTCTGACTACATCCGAACTTCGGCACGGCTTGGCAACAAAGCAAGGAATGAACGACTTGGATCATGAAGATCTCCCAGACCTTGGTGATATAGGCCGTGTATGTGTCGGCTTGGTGTCAGTTGATCAGAAGAGCGGCATCATTCAACTGGTGCACTATACGGCGCAAAAATATTTCGAGAACACGCAATCACGTTGGTTTCCTGGGGCGGATTCTGTTCTACTGGGAGCTTGCATCACCTACCTCTCATTCGAAGGCTTTGAAAGTGGCTTCTGCCAATCGGACTCCGAGTTCGAAGAACGACAAACCAAGTATCCCTTGTGTAACTACGCCGCTAGTAATTGGGGGAACCATGCGACGAAGGATGAGAAGCCAAGCAAAGAAGTACTAGAATTTCTCAAGAGTCCGGCTAAGGTTGAAGCGTCAGTCCAAGCACAGCTGGCCGTGAAGCAATATTCCTCTCACGCGGGTTATAGTCAAGAGGTACCCAGGCGTGTAACCGCATTGCACTTGGCAGCTCACTTTGGATTGACTGAGCTGACAAGAGTTCTCCTCGAGGATAAATACAAATACGGACCCAACTCTCGCGACAGTTACGATCAGACACCTTTGTTGTGGGCCACCCGAAACGGCCATGAAGATGCTATAAGCTTGTTACTAGATGTACAAGCGGCTATTGAAGTCAGAGACAGAGAACAAGGCGCTACGCCACTCATTTGGGCTGCTCGAAACGGCTATGTGAATGTGGTTCGTCTTCTTATAGAAAGAGGCGGTGACGTGAATGCAAAGGACAATTCTGAACGAACGCCACTATCGCTCGCCGCCTTGTACAAACATAAGTCTATTATCCAGCTTCTCCTCAATAAAGGTGGTATCATCGACGCAAATGATGAAGCTGGCAAAATTAAGCTGCTTGCTACGCAGGTGGAGCGCCAGGCGGTCTTTAAGATGCTATTTGGACACGATTCCAATAATGCTTCGGTAGAAGCGTGCAATGAGAAAGGAGCCGTAATACCTTATACTGCTGAAAACCGGCCCGAGGTTATTATGCAAAGGCTGCTCAAGAATGAAGACAACCTTGAAGGGCTAGATCAATATGGCCGAACGCTACTCTCGCGTGCCGCAGAGGGCGGAGACGTGGAGATTGTGCAAATGTTGATAGCAACCGGCAAAATAGATATCAATGGAAGAGATGGAGAGCATAAAGAGACGCCGCTGATATGGGCTGCCAGAAAGGGCCATAAAACCATTGTCAAAATGCTCTTGGACGCTGGTGCCGATGTTAATGTGAAAGAACAACACCTGGGAGAAACAGCACTAACACTGGCTATTGAAAGCGGACATGAAGAAACGATTCAGGCTCTCCTGGACAATGGGGCCAACATTCATCACAGGGATCATTTCGATCATACGCCCCTCTTCACTGCTACCTGGCAAGACAGCGAGAGTGTAATGCAACTGCTTCTCGACAGGGGCGCTGATGTGAGCGCGAGGAATGAAGACGGTCAGACTCCCATTTTCAACACCTGCGCATTTGGGAATGTGGAATTAGTTAAGCTGCTGCTTGATGCGGGCGCAGATATAGATGTCATGGATGAAGAAGGCCGAACTCCTTTATTCTTTGCAGCCGCTTTAGGTCATCGAGAGGTTGTATCACTACTACTCCAGAGAGACATTGACGTCAATTTGAGAGACAAAAAGGGTCGGACTGCTTTATTCTCTGCCATCGGATCCGGCGAAAAAGACGTCGTGAATCTGCTGCTGGGCACAAATAGGGTGGATATTTACCAGGCAGATGAACATGGGACGATGCCAATTGATTGGGCCAAGGAAAGAGGGAATAGGGATATAATCCAGTTGCTTCACCATCAAATGGGTTCGAGCCAGGTAGAATGAATTACATGGCTTGTGTGCAACTAATAGTCTGGATATAGCAAATGTAGTGACATAAGATGGCTGTTTATCAAGCCACTTCTTTATAGATACCTATGTATATCTGCGTGCAACTGGGAAACCTTGCGCGTTTAGGAATCGCAGGCGTTCCGGAAAACTAGGATGATATTTAATTGTGATACTATTTTTTTCTGTATTTATAGCCCACTCGTCTCCTTTTAACCCACTCATAACCCCCCCCCCCAAAACCATTTCTGGATGTTGCAAGTCACAAATACATACTCTCCCTCTGCCTTTTTTGGAGCGATGAAATAGAAGCCCGGTAACGAACCAGAAGAAGACTGCGATCAACTCAGTCGGCTTTAAGAATTGGCTCCATCAATAAGGCCAAGAGCTGCGGCGATACATTAGTACGTGCGACAAATTTCCTAGAAGCCCTGAAAGAGGGTTGAATCGACTCACCCATTGCTCTAGTCGATGCTCGTTACCCCGGAGGGTCCTGAATTCATCATCCAAGTGTCCTGCGCACGCAAAATTGTTAATATTAATAATTACGACTGTCAACAGCGCTTCCATCTTGCAAATTGTGTGCTCCTTTGCAGAAATAGAAGGGTGAAATCGTAGCTGGGGTGCGAGGGGTATCTTACGAGTGGTGCAATACAGAACATCGCTCAGCGCGGGATCTGAAGCGAGACTCCTGATGAATTCCTTGGCCGATTCATCATACCCAATCTGGCTGATCTGAAAACGTACCACTAGATCGCCTCTTGTTAGATGGTATCCATTTTATACAGCGTCTATGGACAAGTGACTTTAACTTACCCTTCTTGTTGTACTCATGAGCCTCGAGGAATTTGCCACACTCTATAATGACCTCTTTCAAAGTATCGTGCCTCTCGCTACTTCCATCAGGCCCTCCAGGGCAGCCGTCAGTGAGAATGGAGACTAATACCGGGCGGTCAAATTTGCCTTCCTTTATCGGTTTGTAGACAATTTCTTCCAGAATCTTTGCTTTGCAGTTTATTCCAATTTCCGTGGGTCCGCTGTATGGAGTATCTAATAAAATCTCGTTGACTAATTTGCTGCGAGGTTTTGACATGCGAGGTTCGTACGAGGCATTGATGAATCGCAGCTCAATTCCGGTGTCGTCTGGGACAAGCCTCGTGGTGAGACTGGTGATTCGCTCGCCAAGATCGGCCTGGAGCTCGATCCGCTTATCTAGATTCATCGAACCACTGTCATCTAATTCGGGAATTGTCAATGTTCATTGCTTCGAATCGGACAAATCTGGGACCTTTTACCGCAGTAAAGCACCGGTTGATAAAGTGCGAGACGGGTTAAATCCTGTACATTGACAGTCGTTTTTGGGTCGGCTTCTAAGTCCACAGCCTTCGTAATAACATGTTCCAAAAACGTATCATCTTTGAAGAATTGGTCCAAATGAGCCTTTTTTATGTAGTTGTGCATCTCGGTTTTGAATGCCTCCGCAGTTGCCGCCTTTTCAAGTTTCTCGGCAATATGCTAAATGAGATGTTGGCAAAGACCTTCCATATAAACTCAAGGGAGACGTAACCTACATGTGGAACCTTTTTACTGCGCCGGCCCATCATGTCGAATCTCTTCTTAATCGGACCATACACTTGAGAAGCGACCGCCGTCGTCGCAGCGACAGCAGTAGCAGCTACCACCTGGATGGAATGGCGATTGGCCCACGAAAAGGCGAACAATATGAGAGATGCGATCATGAGGATATCTTTGATGTGGCTTTTCTTGTGTGTTTTGGGGACCAGGAGAGAAAGGAGTTTTTTGTCGTTGCGCTTAGTCGCCAACGACTCTGCTGACTCCCCCCTTTGATTCGTTGCTTGCGGATCAGCACCTGCACGTACGAGGGCCTCGATCACGTCAAGATCATCTTCATTCCTGTATCTCTGGACAATGGCATGTAGCGCGGTATCGTTCGCAATATGATCCGGTTTATTAACGCTCACTTTGTGGGCCAGAAGCAGTTCGACAATGCTGCCGATGGATCCTTTTGTTCTTGCAGCCGCAATCCAGAGCGGCAGACGTGAGCCAGTCACACCATCTGGGTTGGCGCCATTTGCGAGCAGCAGTTTAACATTATCTTTGCGATTAGAATGTACAGCTGCACCGAGGGGAGTGTACAAGGTCTTCTCATTGACTGCGTCGATTTCTTTTTCTTTGCCTACAAGATCATTCTCGCTGAGAGTTCCCTTGAGTGCTAAGTCAAATATGGAGGCCATTGTACACCAGGGAGTAGATAAAGAGAAAGAGGAGGTATTGGAGACGTAAAGGTGATTTATGGACAATGCCGATGTGAACTCACCTTACAGATTTCTCTTTTAACGAAGATGCCTTTTATATATGTGGAATTCACTGTAGTATCTGTATACTACTTTGAATACGAATTGACGTCTCCATTAGCCTTCGAACATGCAACAGTGAAACCCATGGCACAGGCTGTATTGAGGCTCTTTGCCTTCATTTTAGTTCATTTGTGCCCGATATTCAATCACCTTTCATTACGCAATCCTTGGGTACCTATCTACAGGTAAGGGAGAGAATCTATCAAGCCTTGTCTAGCTTAGAGCCTCACATATCAATTGAGTCATCGCCAAAAGCTTTCTCCACCGTCTCTTGCTATATTGGCTGTGTGATTTTACCTAAGTACCCATTCCTTGAACACAAGCTGACATTGGGCATCGATGATTTTCATATCGCGTCACGTCGCAGCATTTGATCATTTGCCAAGTGCTTTTGATCCGTGGAAACGTTCGCGGGCCCGTAAATATTGATTTAGGCAAAGGCTCATTGACACTCGGAGCCAATATCCTATAACAACTCTGCCATTTCAACATGATTCGGTATCGCATCGGCCATTGCCAGATAATAGTCGCAGGCTGCGCAAGGATGATTAGCCATCATCTCATTCTGTTTGTTCAGCCGCGTAAGCATTATTGACCAATCTTTCTTCTTGCTTTCAGCCGCATGAAGATTATTGACCAATCTCTTGCTTTGCTTTGAGCCGCATTGTGTAAACGTGTCATGGATGATAAGAGCCGGCAACCCTACATGTACATACATATGTATGTAGTATAGATCGGTTATAAATCCTTGGAATGTAGTGCGTATTACCCATAGTGGATATGTCCCTTACAAACCAACGACATGCAACCAATAACTTGGCAACCCAGCCTGAGCTACTGCATGTCTGCCTTGATATGAACTGGAGGCGTTTAGGCTTCTCTTTTGAGACCGGAATTCCTTTTCGCTTTGCTGCGGCCTACTAGATACACTCCTTGTGATCTAGTCCTTAACTTGATTCACAGACTTGACGCGTATCACCACCATCTAGTACAAGTAGATGCATGCATTTGATCACACGCTCATTTGCTACCAATTAGCAATCGTCGCCACTTACTCCAACCCACTATTCCTTAGCAAGAGAGGAATCGAGGACAAGAACCTTTAACCTTTTGATCATAGGGCAAAGTGAGGGGCACTTGATACTGCTGTATCATTCAATGTTCAAACCGTTTATGGCCTTATCGCTCTCTGTCAGCGGATCTAATAATGCCAAAATTTCACATCTACCTCCTCTTCTTTTTGCCACCTGTAGCATTGCTTACTGCAATAGCTGCAGTCTTGATGACTGGTCTATTATTCTCTTCTGAAGTTGAGGGGATATACACTCCTTTTTCATTTACTTGGCCTATAGGAGTCACCTCTCCTTCCGCATCAATGCCCACTAACCGTTCTTTCTTAGTCAAGGCGATGAGTTGAAAATCTGATTCACCCAGTACGCCGAGAATAAAATTAGCGGCCGGATCATTCGGGAATTCGGTACCCTTAATAACAATATCTTGTACTTGTTAGCAACTGAGAAGTTCGTAAAGGAAGACAGAACGGGAGGGGTTGATGTACCATTGTGATCGTTAGCTTTGATGTGCATGGCCCGTTGGTGAATACAGCCGTCTTGGTGAACATAGCTCAAGTGCACGGTATCGTCCCGAACCTGGGCAAAATGAGGGCCTCCAGGAACGGATTTCACAGGATCAAAAGGAAGATATTCCCAATGCCCGCCTTCCGAGATCTGAACGCCTCGGAGATGCCCGGCCACATCCTCAAAGAAAACAAAGCTGTCATTGCCATGGACGCTTCCACTCAGTTTGCTCAAAGGATGAATGGCAATCTCTCCACTGCCGCTGAGCTTGACTTCTTGCCACTCATCGACCAATGTGAAAAGTTTGAGTGAGTTGTGTTCCCCCACACAAAAGACAGATCGCTGCAGCGGGCACCAAATATGGGCCATCAGTGTGAATGCTATATATTTTTTGAATTACGTTTTAAAACTCACTTTATCGTCGTGCGTAATATAAACAGCCGGGGTCTTGCTTCTAACGCCCGATCCGATGAGAGTCTCACTGGCAAGCTGGGCTCCAACCCATCGTAATTCGCTCAATTCCGCCTTATCTTCAGTGACAATGTAGAAGCCAGCTTCATGAGCGCCTGAGGCAAAACTGCTGCCGGCACGGAGGATTCTCACAAGGTCTTTAATGGAGAGATTCATCTTGACTTTGACAAAGCCAAAGTTTAACGAGAAGTGCAATGAAAAGCATAAAAGAGGTAAAGCATTATGGCTATAAATGTATAGTGCAGGGGGGTAAAGGAAAGCAGCCTAGTAGAAGGCTTAGCAGCGATTCAATAAGTACCTGACCTGTGCAAAAAGATTGGTGCTCTGGTTAGTGGTACTACACTGTACAGTAGGTAGGTAGGGATGTATTGGATTGATCAAGTATAATAGACTATCACAAATGCCGATACCTATTCGTTTCAGCATCATCATTAAGAGAAACGCCCAGAGTGAAATTCGCTCCTATTACTGAATTGTTGAACATGTATTATCGCCGCCGCAGCCGAATTGGTCGAATAGAACGATTAGAACATGTTCAACCAGGATCTGGCGCCTGGATATGGGATCGATCACGCGAAGGGATAGCACGCAAGGGGGCAATTGATGAGAGGCTAAGGAATGGAAGGGTCACAAAAAGTATTTATTCATGAATAGGTAGAGAAATTAGAGAGATGAGATGGAGATGAGCACAGTACAGTATCATGTTGAGGTTGTCATGCAAGCTTGATCTAAACTATGCTCAACTAGCCCTACTTGCATTACGCCCTATACCCTGTAATGCGTAAAAAAATCAAGAACGGTATTCCTCAGGCCCTTGATTGATATATTTATGCATATAAGACAAGCTGTCGGCGCCGTATCCTCCTGCGAACCATGCAGCTGCACCAAGAACCATGATCCCGACAGCATATTTTCCCACAATTATTCCGGCCATTCTGGTGTATTTCCACAAACGAGCCCAGGCCACTTTTCTAATCTCTTTTGTCTCGTTTGTTCTGGGGAAATCGACGCTGGGCTCTTCTCGATCAAGAAATTGGCACAGTGGACCCCATCCGTCGCTGAGTTTATATTCGAGAAGTCGCTCAGGCGGCACCAGCTCGCGGATCTGGCGATAGTGCTCAAAATACCGCTCTTTTGCGTTCTTCCTAAGCTGGTCAATGTCACGGGCGTTGAAGAATCCCAGCATCATCTTTCGGACAGTATCGCCAGATCTGACCCCTGTGATAGGCTCAATGTACGAAAATATGCGCGCTGGGAGACTCCATAATGCGTAAATAGCAGTGTCTTCGACGCTGCGCCACCATTTGTCATAGTCTCGCTCGACAAGGACGACTTTAGCGTCCGGGTATGCCTCAAGCAATTGCAGTGAAAAGAAGGACCCTATGTCTGTGACAGCATCGCATTCTCCGAACAAACGGTCCCAGTCAGACCGTGTCCACGGCGGCGGGGGCTTCTTGCCGGGGTTCAACACTTGGGGATAAGTAGCGTCGGCGGCCTTCTCCAGCAGGACCCAATCTTGATTGCGGTCCAACATTGTCAGCCCATGGTAAACATTCTTGTAGCCGAGGATCTCGTAGGCCTTGGCCATAGACGCAGTGCCAGTGCGGATGAGGGCAAGGTGGAGGATCAGGGGACCGCGAGGAGAATCCATGGCGACGAAGGGGCGTAGCGTTGGCGTAGCTCGCCCTACAACGGTATGGCTAGTTGGGAGGAATGGCCGCCTTTATACCAATAATTGTTGCCTTCATATTAGAGATGGTTCGTCAGCTGACATGAGCAGGTCTCATAGCAAGTAAATCACTAGCTCACAAGTATGACAAGAGATTAGCCTAGTATATACTGCTCATTGGTGTAGACTAGAAGCCGCTCCAATCCAAATCAGCCTTACAAGAGTTAACGGGAGAATGCATGGCGATAGTTTCTCTCCAATGGTTTACCAAAAGCTAGGTCTACAGACCTAATAGTTTCCGCCACCATTTTTAAATGTTAAGTGCCAAATCGCATGAGAATTCAATGATCGGCTTTTTCTTAATTTACCGGCCAAGCCTGAGTGAGAAACACACTCGAGGTGAGCTGGTCTTGGAGCTTTAGGTTCTAAGTTGCCGATATTTTTGACCCCGCAAATGGAAACCACGGCCTGTGTCTCCTTATACTCGCCATACGCGCTGTACACGCTACACACGCCTCGGGTGCCATTTTCTACTGCTAAATGTACGGAGTATAGGTACATAGTTTGGCTCAACAAGCGTCTACGTCCCATTTCGAGGATCCAGCGTCACGTACCCTGAGTTACAGTAATGGCATTTTGGCTAACTCTCTTGAAAAATAAGCACATATAAAACAACATACGATATGATCTCACACGTGCAAATAAGTCGATTCACAAGGAGACTCTTCTTGAAAATACGTGAGAAGCACTGGCATTACCTACGTATTTCCACTACATTCACTCTCAAATTTCTTTCGTGAACTCTACTGATTGACAGAAACAGTCGTCTCTCGCAGTACTAGTTGGAGAAATGCTTGCCCACAACGGTGGCTGCCTTTGCGGTAAGATCCGCTATATATATACTGGGGAGCCGACAACGAAAGTCAGTATGTCTTTTCATTTCATCTTGTGGTCATTTAGGAGATTGGGATAAGCTAAATGGAGATTGCTTTGGATTCCTTTAACAGGTTCTCTGCCACTGCAGTGATTGCCGCAAGATTAGCGGCAGTAACTACAGCGTCAACTTTCTTATCCCTGAGGCTTCATTCCGAGTAACCGTCGGTACGCCAAAAATCTTCAGCAAAGTTGCTGATTCAGGTGAAACCATCAACAGCTACTTCTGCAGTCACTGCGGTAGTATGCTATGGCGCGAGTCCGCCAATTGCGGGCCCAATAAGGTGGTCAAGGCCGGGACATTGGACGACAGTGGCAAGATTATCTCGAGTGCGGTGTTCGATGCAGAGGTTTTCACGCGCTCGAGAATAGAATGGGTGCTGCCTATAGCTGGCGCAAATCAGAGGGTCGTAGAGTGAGGTGCCTTTCGTGGAGTGATTGAATCACATAATGCGTTGAGAATTCGTGTATTTATAGTAGCTTGTGATAGATTAAAGATGATGCCGGTGCCAACGGATAATCAGAACAAAAGTGTCACTGTGCACTGTAGATCAATACTGCATACGTATTGAACAAGTTTAAAATTTGAATTACAATGCGATATATTTCCTTTTCGCTGATTGTTCCATGAGGTTGTATCGGTTACACATTCGAACACGCGTGACTAACATATGCCAGGTGGTAGTATTCCAAGGGATGTCGGTTTTTACCTCCCTAATATCTTCAATCCATGAGATGTAGTAATTATTTAAGTCTTATCTTTGCTTCTCATGGAATAATCATCTGAGCTACTTCCAAAATTTTAGCGTCATGTCTTATACACGAGTTTCGGCCCACTTCGCAACAACCGGACGCTGAGGAGAATTACAACGCAGGCAGCAAGACATGAGCCGCAGAACAACTGGACACCAAGATACGACCCAGTACTGTGGAGTATGATCCCGCCAATTGGAGTTCCAATTAGTAATGCAACAGACTCAAGCGCAAAGCACATACCTAACCGAGTCCCAAGTTTCCGGAGGTCCTGAGTTATCGTCATCATCACTACTGGTATCAAGGATACGAACCCTCCAGAGAAAAATCCATATAACGCAGAAAGCACAACAATACCCGACGTACTGTTTACGGCAACCCAGCAATAGGCTAGGGTGGCTGTAATAACTAATGCTGGAAAGAGCACATTAAGTGATCCTATGTGATCCGCAACGAAATTAGGGCCAACTCGGCCAAGTGTTGATGCAGCGTTCAAGATGGCAACAAGGTAAAAACCAAGGTTAGCACCCACAATTTTCGTGTCGATCGCAAACGGTTGCACATAAACGAGGAAGTTATAAAAGCCTAGGAACCCTAGGAAGCATGCCAAACAAAACAATGAATATTGAGTTTCTTTGAATGCGGAAAGCTGCAGCAGTGCCCTTTTCTCCTGTGTTTGGAAGCGCAGTCGCATTACACCAATAGAAATGGCGCAAGTTGCGAGAGAAAGCAAGCCAATAGTGCGAGTCGCCCAGGGAAATCCTATCTTTACTTCGAGCTGGTGAAATATGATAGGAAATAGGACTCCACCAATGCTGCTGCCGGATGCAGCAATGCCATTTGCTAGTGCTCGTCTTCTCTTAAAATATTGCGGTAGGATTGCCACTGATGGGACGAATAAGAAGCCGGCCCCGATACCAACACAAATGCCCTGTGCCAGCATGATCTGATAATATTTTGTTGAGAGGCTTGTCATCATCATGCCTAGCACAACCAGAAAAGTGCCAATTGGTAGCAGTGCGTAGAAATATCCGGAATCAAAGAGCGGGCCACTGATCACGCCAACTACCAAGAGCAGGGCTGACTGAACTGATCCGACCCAAGCAATCGACGATGGCGACATATGCAATAGAATTCGTTGCTCATAGTACGTTTCGAACACTCCAAAGGAGTTGATAATTCCCCTAGACAAGAATCAGTATGACAAAAATTCATGATTCTAAACATGTTGAGCAAGAGAACGTAGGTAGAGTGCACTCATACCATGAATTGAAATAGAGAAAAAAAGAGCCAAGCACTTGTAGCCAAGCCTTTAGTCCGGTGTCGTAGTCATGCTTCTGATCATCAAAGCTATCATTCTGTAACATTGCTAATTCATCTCGACCCTGGCCATCAAAACAAGGACTCTCTTTGCAGTCGGGGCGGATTTCTCTCATTTTTGGACTGATTTCCATCAAGATGGGGGAGCGGCTCGTTTGTGCTGCCTCGGCGACTAGAATTTAAAAGGTATAGTGCTCATATGCGCAAAGTGAAGGATGCGAGCATTTCTAGCATATATAGAGCCACATAATTAAAATGAGTCAATGGTTTTAATTAGCTTAATCTTGTGAGAGCTTGGTGTTTGACTGTCTACTGCTGCGTTGAGCGGGAAAATAGGAGGGAAAACTCCTTCCCTCAGCACACATCTTTAGAGTCGTGTACGGCGCCAACGGCGTGTAAAGCGGCTCGGTCTGGATATGTCAATATGGCGCCCTTGTTATGGACTACATCTGTCAAATATTAATTCTTGGAGGTATTGGGTCATCCCTTGAGCATATCGACTCATGGAGCGCCCAGGCATCTGTCTGGTTTTGGGGTCATCTGAACCCCTACATCCGCAAGGCCAAAATGCTACTACCCGCCAAAATTATGCGTTGCAGGCCTCTAAAGAACACCTACAGCTATCACAATTGCGGCTTCACAGTCTCGATTAGTTGGCCTACCTGATCTAAAGTAGAGAAAACGTGTGATACATCTTTTACACAGCTTACAGGCAGCAGCAATTGAGGTGGTGGATATGCTATGTAACTTAAAGGTTGTCCGGTTTTGCCAACCGTGAGCCGTTTGGTGTCAGGTCTACTGCCTGCGTCAAGACTGCGACACATTTTTAATCAGCCCACTCTGTCTTATCTCGTGGCTCCCAGTAATGGCATTGACCTGCGCTTAGAGTTCCCTTGGTTCAACCACAGTATTGATATATGTGTAATGGGCCACGTTGTAGATAAATGGCCGTATGTGGAGGGCGTCGCCGGCCGGCAGTGTAATGCTAGACCAGATCAACTCCAGTCTGCTAATGCCATTTTATGATCTCCTTTCATAGAATACCGAGACTAAGATAGACGAGGCAATATTTGTCGCCCCAATTGTTGTCAGCTCGGACACCAGCGCCGGCACCAGGTAGGAATTCGTGCCACATAAACGTCATAAACAGAGGTTTTCAGTCAATAAACGGCACTTGCCCGCAGAGCGACAGCTTAGCTAGCCTGTTCCGTCCTTAGTTACACCATTTTTGGCCCACTTTGAGCCCTTCTTGTGAGGGAAGGGCGTAGTTAACAATATCGATTCCCCAAACGAGCGAGTAGAAACTACATATGTACACAAACAACTATTGAGTAATACTTGTCGGTATATACGAAAGTACTAACAGTTTCATTTTTCAAGATTTGTGCTTTACGAGTTGCGTTTTCCAGATAAACTATCACTATGCCTCTCCCGCCGTTAGTCCGATACGCCCGTCTCGAAGGTACTTGTACACCTCGGCAGATCGAAATCTTCCAGGCTAACGTTTCCAGATGTTTCTCTCATTTTGCAATTTATTCTGGCTGCAGCAGAAGAACAAGCTCCTGGGACGAAGATAGCAGCAACCGGGGAGAGTCTCGCCAAGACGCTGCACTTCGGGCCACCCTCGGATTCGGTGAAGAGCACCAACCGATTTGCGTGGGCATTACTCATCTTTTCCCCAGACGGGAAACCTGCTGGACTGTTGATTTACTTCCACAACTACTCGACCTGGATGGCAGCTCCAGGTGTCTGTTTGGAGGAGTTATACGTTGTACCTGACTATCGGCGTCTTGGGTATGCGCGAATCCTCATTGAAACGATGGCATCTGCAGCGGAAGCAGCAGGCTGTGTCAAAATGGACTGGGTCTGCCTGTTGAACAATAAGAGGGCACTGAGCTTCTATGAAAAATTAGAGGCGAAACGAATGGAGGATTGGGTTGTCTTAAAAGTTGATAAAACCTGCATAGAAAAGTTGGCCGCCAGCGGGAAGCAGTCTGGTGTGTGCCCCGAACTTGATGGCACAAGTGTCTGATTTTGGGCAAGCCGATCCTGTTTTCCATCAAACTACATATTGTATCTTAAACCAAGATATATCCAACGACTTTTCCGTATCTCACTGGGAAGAGACGCCAACACCTATGGCACAGAGTAGTTGCATTAAATTTAACGACTTCCAAGTAGTTTTACCAAATCGCTTTCACTACTAGGCGTTATAATATTCACACTCTTCGCCAATTTACTAGCTAATAGAAAACCGGCAAATTGGCAGTAATACCAGACACATATTTAAGAGCCGCTACAGTATCACGTATTGACCTTGTATACATTAGAAAAGCAGTTAAATGACATGGATCGGATAGTGATTGCTTGGTGCAGAGTCGTGGGAAGGGTGGCGCTGTGGGGGCGGGGGTTGCTGCTTCATCAGTGATACCTAGCGAGTCATGCGATGCCCAAGCAGAAGATGATAAACTGCTTAGCCCCAGGGCCATTTTTACACGGCGCCGTAAACGCCGTAAACGCCCTATCCTTGCTCCCTCCTCCTCCTTTCTCGTCCAGCTTGCTTGCCACGAAGAACCAGATGGCGTGCCTCTGGCCCATTCTGTAAAGAATTGACCTTCATGCCTCCGAAATCAACAGACATGGACCTTCCTGACCTCTATAACCTCTTTGACATTGAAGGGAGTCTAAGCTTGCCTTCTGAGTGCGACACAATCCTGCAACTTCCAGATCACAATTCATCACCTGTGGCTCATCCGGTTCCAGCACTCGATGCTAGCACTCACGCGCCCTCAGCCCTCCGGCCGGACGCTTGGGCTTCAGAGCAAGAGGTGATTCCTCGACAACGACGGAGGCGTTATGCTCCGCGAACCCGTCAAGGTTGCCTCACCTGTCGTGCTCGCCGAAAGCGTTGTGATAACCAGCGCCCTATTTGTCACACCTGTACCCGTATTAATGCAGAATGCCGATGGCCAGACAAGCTTCAGATTTCAGATGACCGTAGGGGAGCAAATTCTTTACAGAATCAGGATAGGTCTACTGTTATCCTCTCGAATTTGGAATCACTCGATACGGAGACCAACAACCTTGATGTAAGCTTAGCGACAGATGTATATCCTACAGCAACGGCGGTCACACGTGGAAGTATACCTAGGAGTTTGGGTGCCGAAACTATGTCTACTCGTCAGCTCAACACCACTGAGGCTTCTCTTGAGCGTCGCTTGTTAACCTACTACATACATACCTTCATCCCTCAAGTCACTCTCGTCCAGTCGTCATCGAATTTCTTTACTTCTCTTTATATCCCTATGGCCTTCCATCATACCGGGGTGATGGATGCGATCATCGCTTGTGCTGCAGCTCATCTTGCAAGGTCGGTGCTTGGACCAGAAAAAATCCAAGAGCTCAATGCTGTGGTTATCCAGCGCCAGCAGCAAGCGCGTGAATTCGTTACAAAACATACGCAGAGACCTGAGCGCCCAGAATGGGAGGAATGCAAGCTTGAAGTTGTTGTAGTTCTCCTGCTATTGATTGGGTTAGAGTCTCAAACAGGAGGTCGAAGTTTGCGGTGGATGCAACGCGTCAATTGCGTGCGGCAATTGCTTCAAACCTATCCAGCAACCGCAACGAAAATGTGGAGCGAGTGGGACGCAGATTGTATTCAAAGACACTTTTTGCATCATGATGTAATGGCCCTCATCATGGAGGATGTGTTGGACTCGGAAACAAAAACAAATCTATCGAATAGAAGCGGTCCTTTCAGCGACTGCGCTGCGACTCTCTCGGCACCACGAACGAAAGATCTACGGGCCCAGGAGATTGTAACAACATCCGCGCCTGCTTCAGACTTTTTTCAGCGCAGAAACGCCGCTCAAGGTGTTGACTGCCTCCTTGGGCTGTCCAGGAATTTGTTTAGCATCATCACACAGCTGCGAAGTCTACCCAATCGAGATTCCCAGCTTATTGACATGGATGCACCTGAATTTCTCAAACTTGAAACTGATTTTTCAAACTGGAAATACGACCACGAAATGGCATCGACTCTAGACCTCAATGTCCGTTTGGATTTGATTGCGCTTTCTGAATGTCATCGTCTCGCCGCGCTAATCCTGCTCTATCGGCGATATCCCAGCCGATTGTATTGTTTACCACACTTGGCATCACAAATTATGTGTATTGTTTCTAGAATTACCCCAAGCAGTGGGGTACTCTCTGCTTTGACTCCCATTCTCTTTTTAGCTGGTGCTGAATTGAATTCTGAGGTGGACATAGCACTATGCGCAGCAAGGCTAAAGAGCATTAGGGAGGCCAGCAAGATGATGAACATAGCCTCTGTTGAAGAAGTCCTTCGAGCTGTATGGAAAGAACGATTACAGAACAGGGTTCGGATAGATTGGCTGGAGATCCTCCGGGCTCGGCGATGGACCTTTAGCCTTGGATAATTATCGAGATGCTGTACGGAGTAGATGACGGCTGGTTATAACCCTGTAAGCTATAGGTCTATTCATAGGCCACCCAGGAAGCGTAAGACTATCAAAAAGAAATGACAAAATGCATTTAGCCCTCTCTATCATCCCTAAGACTGCATCTCTCTTTATTATCGGCATTGCATTTCCAAGGCTGTATTTCTGTAGGCTATTACATATGCAATCTCTCTAATTTGATCGAGATTTCACAGCTCTCTTTTGCTATTTTCCCTTATTACAACGAGCAGCAAGTACTAGAGGAAAGTGATTAATAACACGGCGTTCTTGATCAACGGGACAGTATGAATCCCAAACTGCGTTATATCCGGCAAGCCATTCGCTTTTGATAACTACTATGGAATCTATTCTATAGCTACACTCCCCCTACTAAAAAGATAATTTGTCTTATGGGGAATTGAGGAGTCAGATGAGCAGGATCCCAGCATAGCTTAAGCGAGCACCCACAAGAACGGCCTTATATATATGTCAAGATTGAGATAACAAGCAATATAATGAGCTGAGACTACGATTGTATTAATTTATCATGGCCCGGCTAACCATTGACAAGCAATTATCGGCATGGACTAGATGTGTCTGATTAAAATGTATTTCACCATCCAAATCCTCTTGCTTTTTGTTGTACCCGTCCAATAACATCTAACCCCATCACGGTAATGCGGCATGCAAGAACAAAGAGCAGTGCGACATTTTCTTGGCCAGTTTGCCTAAAGGGGAAGCTCCTGGCACTGTTGGAATGCGAATGTGCCTGAGAATCAGAATCCTACAACAAGCATAACCAAGATCGTGTAATATTTCAGTACCATGAAGCGCATACGCATCTGAATTACATTTAATTAGAATTCTTAACATCACGAATTCCTTGTAGCATGCTTTCTTTCACAAAATCTAATGCGGCCCGTGTTTTTCTTGGTTTTCTAAGAATGATTTCACTACGTTATTACCCTGGTCGTCAATACGAGGGAACCGCCGTAATTTGTGAACAACTTGATAATCTACGAAACTGCTTTTAGCGCCATCCCACATGGAACTTCGATAAGAACCCAAGTTCAAATCATGAACCTTGGAATATCCATGCGAATAGGCTTTACTATTACCTATGTAAAATATGTGGCAAAATAAGGTTCTAAGCTTTGAAAATCGGCATGTATCTGTATGGAAGACTTGTTGTCCAATGCATTGAATCAGGAGACTCAACAATCGCGGTTGCAATTGACACAGTTTCTCACAGAATAAACAAGGGTTGAATAGACTCTGTGCCCACTCTTTGTCGAAAATGGAAGCTCGTCAACTTGACCATGCCAGCATGCGGAGTGAAAATCGGATGTGATGTTCCCAACTTGGCAGGCGCAAGTAATCAATGGGGGGGGGGTATTGAGTGTAGATATAAAAGAGACAAATGGGTTTGTGCGAGAAATGGTTGAGTTTCTGCTGTTTGCCACAGGCGGGTGAAACAATTTGTATCCCCTTCTGAAGATCAAATGATCGCGCACCTCCGTCTGCTGCCCATTTTGGGCCTATTGCTTGCGGAAGGAGTCCGACCTGATGCCGTACGCCATGGAGCAATCAAGGGGGTTCGAACTGCCGGCAATTGGGAGTACGTTCCCGGCGCTTACATCATCGAGTATGAAGAAGGCCTTGTAAGTGACATCAAGATGCCCTTTATGAGTGAACTTTGAAGATGATGTGTTGACCCAATACATCTTCCCATATAGGAAAATGAGGCATCGCTACTCAGTGATCTCCACACTCGCGGGCTTCCAGCTTCTAAACGGATGAGCTTATCATATTCTTTATTCAAAGGAGCTTCCATTCAGCTAGACGCGATCGATTTAGATCCTCTTTCTACATCTACAAAAATCGCGTCTCTTACATCAGTGAAAAATGTGTGGCCTGTCCGACACTTTCAGCACCTAGAGAGTAGCAAATCTACGCCAAGAAAGAGCTATTTCAACGGCTTGAACAGTCTATCGGACCATTGGTCCAGAGCAACAGCAGCAAACGACACTGGTTCATATGCGCCACATGTTTTGACTCAGGTCGACAAGCTACACGCAGAAGGATACACCGGCAAAGGTATCCGCATCGGCATTGTAGATTCTGGAGTTGACTTCAATCATCCAGTCCTGGGTGGCTGCTTTGGCAAAGGCTGCATCATTGGCTATGGAATGGACTTGATTGGCGATGCATTTAACGGAACCAACACGCCTGTTCCTGGACCCTATCCTCACGACTGTCTTGGCCACGGAACTCATGTTTCCGGTATCATTGCAGCACAAAAGAATCCTCTGGGCTTTATTGGTGCCGCGTATGGCGTAACCTTGGGCATGTACAAGGCCTTGAACTGTGCTGGCGTTTCCTCCAACGACGTTCTCATTGCGGCTTTCAATCAGGCGTATGAAGATGGATCCGATATTATCTCTCTGTCAGTTGGGATCGTCTCTGGCTGGAAAGAGGACCCGCTCTCAATCACGGTATCCAGGATAATTGACGCCGGTGTTCCTTGTGTTATTGCGAACGGTAACAATGGCCCTAGTGTTTTCAGCTCAGCTACTCCTGCCGATGGCAGTGGAGTCATGTCAGTGGCATCCATAGAAAACACCATGACTCCTTTGTTGGGGACCGAAGGTTTCACCAGCCTGAACAGTCCTTCCGATAATCTCACCTCCTTTGCCTGGATCCCCGGAACTCGTGCGTTTCCTAACATTACTCTGCCGTTATGGGTTGTGACTCCCAGTATGACTACAGATGGTACCTGGAGCGCTTGCAACCCGCTTAATGATGGTGCGCCGGCAGACCTCAGCGATAAAATCGTTCTCGTGGAGCTGGATGTCTGTGGTGACTCGACTATTGCAGATAACCTTTCAAAGAACAATGCAACATACATCATGTTTTATAACTCGGATGACAACCTATCGAAGTACGAAACGTTTTTCTGAGCCTTTTATTGACGGCATGCTGACCACCCATTTTAACCGTATTCACAGCTTATATAGCGTCAACACCTCTCCCAACACTCTCGGCGCCGGAATGGTCGCCTTACAGCTAGCTGCTGAATGGCGAGATCTCTTGGGTAACGGCACAGAAGTGTATGCGACGATGATTGAGCCCCAGTCAGCTGGCCCTGCTGCGGCATACTATCCAAATGATTCCGACGGCGGCTATGTTGATGACTTCTCAAGCTGGGGCCCCACGTGGGAGGCAGATCTAAATCCTCATATCTCGACACCGGGAGGCTCAATCTTATCCACTTATCCGTTGAACATGGGAGGATATTACGTCGATTCCGGTACCTCCATGGCAGCGCCCATCATGGCTTCAATTTATGCCTTGATCATGCAAGCTCGGTCCATCAGCGACCCCAAGGCTCTCATGAGCTTAGTCTCATCGACAGCAAAGCAGACAAAGTACTATGACTCGTATCAGGGTATGTTTTATGACGGGCTCGCTCCTGTAGCGCAACAAGGTGCCGGTTTGGCGCAAGTTTATGATGCGGTTCATGCGACCACTTCCCTCAGCGTGTCAAGCATCTCTTTTAACGATACAGATTACTTTGTCAACAGCACGGATTTTATAATCAGGAATGGAGCTAGAGAAGCTATTACATACTCAATCGGTCATTTACCCTCTAGATCTAGAGAGGCTTACAAAACTGGCCAATCCACCCTGGCACGATCTTCAATCTCAAGCGACGCGGCGGCAACTCTATCCTTTTCAGCGACTAAACTCACAGTTCCAGCTGGTGGATCAGCTAAGATTACGGCCGAAATTACTCTTCCTCAGGGACTTACCGCATCAAACCTCCCCGTTTATGGAGGATACATTACTCTCAGTGGTTCAAATGGCGAAAATCTTGTGATTCCGTATCTAGGAGTGGCAGGAAGTTTGGCAAATGCCCAGAATATAGACCCTAATTATAGTTTCATTTATCATACCTCAGGTCGCTTCCCACAGGCGGCGCCTGACAACGACACATGGACAATACCCTATCCCACACTGGGTAGTCAGCCCTCGGCATCGTCATCTATCGACTATCCTGCACTCGGAATTGAAGTTGACTCCGGTGTTCCTCTGCTGAGAGCAGATATTATCCCTCTTGGTAACACGCCAGCCAAAACCACGAAGGTTCTGGGAGTCGATGTAGCTGGCAGCCTTGTTGGGTATCCAGTCAAATGGCTCAACACCAATATCAACCAAGTTGCGTTTAATGGTGTTACACAAGAAGGTACAATATTGCCAGAAGGAAACTATGCTGTACTGCTACGAGCACTGAAGATTTTTGGGGACGTGAATAATCCCAACGACTATGTAACCAAACAGACGCAGTCATTCAACATCAAGTATGCCTCGACGGCAGCATAGGCGATAGTGGAATGCACATACTCAGTAAATAGATGTCATTTGTGTGTAGGAAAAGGTGTAGAAATAATTGACGCCGAATCTTCCTAATTCTTATTGCCCCCAGAGAGATATGATGTGGATACCCTTGCCACCCATAGCGAACGTATTTACATGTATGGGAAGGTGAATATTGTGTCTGGGCAATGGGATTTCTTTGCCGATGACGCTAGAAATTTATACGTAAAGAATTCCCTCCATTTGTTCAAGAAGTGTATTTAAAAGCATTGGATGGGTTCTCGAAGATACAGCAAAGTCCTATACCAGCTGATGCCTTTGTCACTGACCTTGTTGACTCGTGTTTTGCCTACAAGCACAATCTTCTCATATTGCACCGGCAAATTCAGACCATAGTCTCCCATACTTACACAAGCCTAATTGTTTGCTTGTTTTTATAGCCGACAAACCAGCTGTCAAGGTCAGATTTGCTCACATAAGTAGCGAGACCGATCCGCTCAAATTTACTCTCCGTCGTGTTTATCAGCCGCAGCAAGATGCATATGTGATTCCCGCCCCATACGAAACCCGTCTTCATACAATAGATCGGGCTTCCAAATGGAATATGTCGAGGACCTGGCTCATTCAGAGGGTAGTCGTAATGAAAGCTCAGAGAGCTCCCGCCGATCCCTTCGAAGTGTATACTCTTTGTATCTGAATTAACGTTATGCACCTCTACCAAAGTCCCTGGAGCCAGATAACCTGTAACATCCATAGTTGCCTCGGAGATAGAGGCGTATTTATCTGGGCCGTCTAGATTGAAGTTGATACCGAGAATCTCGAGATCGTCCGGGTACACTCTCGGGCAACCCGTTGCGTAACTGGCAGTATTTCCGGTAGAAATCCATGACCAAGTCGGGCCGCAATAAGAATCTGGGCGATGATGAACTCTTCTAGAGGCACAGTACCAAAGTAGCTCGGAAGGAAAGCAGTTTTCCCACATTCCTGCCACATATCTGCCCAGATCGGCTGAGTGGGCTGTTCCGTACTGTCGGGCGACACCAGCAAGGGCAGGAAGACGGTCTGATGTAAATGAGATGCGCAGCCCAGAATATTCTCCCACGATTTGGTGCCAGTATTTCCTAATCTCCGCGATATTGGAAGAGCGAAGGCCGTCAAAATGGTACAGCTTGCGGTAATTAGTATACTCACCTGTTCCACCCCCTGCGCCATTGCTACCGCCGCCCCAAATCCCTCCTGGAATATGCTCGCACTCGCAGATTTTGTCCCTATTGCTGCCTGCACATTCAAAGGCGGCTTCGTATCTTGTGAAATAGACAATTCTTGGAGATAGAAGACGCTCCTGGTAGACCCAGGCTCTGCTTAAGAGTGGAAGTTCTGGAGTCATCTGTAGAACGCCCGCAACGTCCCATGTTGTATGTTCAGGGACCCTACGTATCAGATAAGATACAGCCTGTGACCCGAGATGCGTAGTAGTTTGAACTTTGAATGAAGCGCTTTCGCGAAACAGACCAACATCGCTATCAGCAGCCCATGCTGCTGCGAGGGTCACGTAAGCTCCAGAGTAAATCTCACACATTTGAGCTGCTTGAACCTTCCAATCATCACTGCTATCTTGAATGATACACAGCGAATCAATCCATAAGTATTTGATTCCAAGCCATACGGCAACTTTGGCGGCATCTTGGAAGGTCTTGGGCAAGAGATTCCAGGGAATTCCCTCAAGATGCTTAGGCAGGCTGTCGATTGTTGTTTGGCATAGATGTGTTGATGCTCCCCATCGATGACTCAGACAGATATATTTCTCTTGCCCACTCAAGTCTTCAACCAAGCGCACGTTGATATTGTTTTCAGAATCTGGTGTCATTTCCAGGACTCGTTTAGGCAGTTCCGCAGTTGGGCCATACATGCAAGTGCTGTGCGCTGAGCTGCACACATTGATCCAATTGCTAATTGTGTTCAAAGATGTGCTTGTTCCAGTATTATTAAACGATGCTGGAAATTTATAAGCAAATGGATGACCTGTGAATGTTAGGATCTCAAGGCATATATGTACTGGATTAAGTGATTGAGCTTACTATTGTGCTCTTTCTCATGACCATTCATTCTATCGACATCGATTAAGATCGTCCACAAATGATAGGCTTCGGAGCCATGACTCTGCGCCTCTCTACTGCTAACATTTACCGTAAACTCCATCTTGAGATTACTCGAATCCTTGTCGCGTCCCGAAGGCATTGTCCAAGTCGCTTGCACGCCCCCTTCCCACGATTTACTGTCCAAAACCACGCCATCATCTTCGCACGCCGACTTGATAGCTTTTAAGATAGACTCACAGCCGCGACAGCCCCGCTTACGAGATGCGCGGAATACATCGAGCTTTGTACGGATTCGGATTCTAAGGAAATCGCGCCAAGCTTCAGGGAGTGGAAACGGCAATTGCTCATCCAGAGACTCATGTCGCTCATCATCGTGAATGTGGGGTGCTTCGCGCCAAGTGTAACATCTTTGCACAGATGGTTCGGCCAGAGATGTTGACTCTTCATCCAGCTCAAAGTAACAAAGGCCACAGCGCTTCTGGCTTGTTGAAAAACAGTTACCCATGATGCGCAAGCCCAAAGCGCCCCGCAGTTCTCGCGGATATTGCGTATATTTGATCTTAACGCGAAAAAAGTAAAGGACTTCTGAAGACTTTGGTTTAAGAGTCAGGCAAGTCATGAGACCTCGCATGAACATAGCGGAAAAACATATTTACGCGAAGCCAATCAAAGAAAGACGCAAGGTGAGATTACCTAAAATTTATAAAGGACGGTTGTTCCTGTTTCTACAGTTGGTCAACAAAAGTGTTAATACAACCCCACCACAATAGGAATCCTAATACTTTTACCACACAACTTTAACCTTTAATTTTGCAGCTAAATAAAGTCCAATTCTAACAAAAAATTAGGTATCTAAAGCAATACTCTACTAAGCAGTCATTTACTCAAGTTGCTCCAGAGTAGTATACAAATCTGGCCCTTGAGGTCTCCAGCCTAGAGATATAGAGTTATTGCACTCAATAAGCATGTTGCCGGCAATATATCTAGCCGTAAAGCCTGCATCCTCATACGCAACGGACTTGGTTTCAGGCGATGTGATCTTGCCACGGCGGGCCTGAAGCTTGGCAAAGGCAGCGGCAATTTTTTTGCTTGGTTCCTCGCTGGAGACACCATTGTACCAGTAATGGTAGACGTCTTCGGGCTTGTAACTGTCAACAGTATCAAGAATCTTTTGGTATACGAGCATCGCGAGTGAGACAATGTCATCAACATGGACAACGCCAAAGACGGAGGTACCGCTGCCCACGTAGGCTCCAAAGCCAAGAGCTTCCGTATTTTGCGTCATGTAATCTACCCATCTTCCAGGGGCAAATGCTGAGGCTGATCCAACAGATCTACCAACATGGCGATGGCTGTGGCCGTAAGTTCCTCCCGGGCAAACAAAATACACCTTGGCCTCTCCTGTTGAGGCGGCCGCAAAGAGCAGCTCGTCACATGGACCGTTTGGCAAATTGGCCGCACTGACAGTACGGACATCATCTGGGTTCGCGTCATCAAAGCGATGGTTCGTAGGTATATAGTCTCCAGACTTGCTGTTGTCGACAAAGTTGCCGGCCCCGCTGAGATGATACACGACTGAGGTAGCCCCTGTCTGAACCTTGCGTGTGCGTACGCCCCGGATGATTGCTTCCGTGACGGGAACATTCATCGAAGCCGCAAAGTTGAAGACAAAGGGGTGCGACGACGCCAACCTCTCGATTTCATCAAGCTGATCGAAGGTTCCGTGGATGATAGTGGTATTTCCCAGGTCGTGCAGGACACTATCCAACTCAGTGCTCCGGAGGTAAAATGTAACCGGGATATCAAGATATTTCTCGCGGAAAGCCGTAATGAAGGCTCCTGTACCCAGTTAGAATAGCTTCCCGTAACTGTCGCCTCAACTTACCTCCAATCTGCCCTGACACTCCGAGGAATAAGATAGAGGTCATGATAATAAATGTTCGATAAAATTAAGGTAAATAAACTTGGGTATGTTTTAAAAAAGATTCTGAAACTTTTGCGGTTGCAATTGAAGAAGTGTTGAATAAACGCAAATTCAACCGTCCATTGCTAGCCTTTAAATACTTTTGCTCTGCATATATTAAGATTGCTAGCAGGATTCGTTTGATTGGGATGACAAATGAGATAAGGATTAAAAATTTCCTCTAAGTAAAAAGCAATTATTTCGGAATGGTAAAGAACAACATGGATAGAAAGCTATGTAGTTTTGCGCTGATTAATGTCTTACAACAAAGACTTGGGCAACTATATGCTGCAACGCAGCGACACCATATTCCTGTTTTGATTAAGGTTTTCTGCAAAGCAGCAACCCTATAATATAGTTCCTCCAGATTTTAGATGAAACTAACAAATCGCTGCTGACATTATGCGCACTTGTGTAGATAGAGCCCATTAGTTCCCAACTAATGTAAAGCAATAGCCAAATTAGGAAATTTTTGAAATAAGAGTTGGTTCAAAAGAGATGCTGGAATCTCCAAAGCTAATTGCACAATGCTTACGAAGTAACAGTAATTGAACTTAGAAACCAATTAGCCTAGCTGTATATATTTTAACCCTCTCGATCTTTTTAATCCGAGGGAAAATATGAAGCCCTTTTTTTTTTTTTTTGGCTTTGGCCTTCTGCCTGGCCAGTACGATGGAGATGAAATCCATCTGTTCCAGTCTCTTTACCAAATTTACAATCATCTATCTATCTTGATGTTACGGCCTGGTTCTTATAGTTGCGACAACAGGCCTATAAGGCAGGCGCCTTTGGATAAACATCAGACTGCTTATCTCATAAAAAAAGTGCCAATTCACGACCCAACGCCTGATGATCGCAACAACGAAACTACAGAATAGGCATCCCGGAAATACGAAGGACAGGCGGTCCAATTAGTAGTAGGGCTCACGCACAGTCGAGTGATGCAGAGTGAGCCACTTCCTATTTATGTAACTAGCTTCACTCCCAGTTAAGTGAGCTCGAGTGAGCTTCACATTATATATACATGTACCATTCGATACACTCGTTCACAATAGTTATATAGTCAGATGGGAATAACATGAACAACTTTGATTAAGTCTATTGGACCTATTCTACTCGTTCGTGACGTTAGTTATACATTGCGCAAATATCCAGCCTGGCTCATCCACCAACATAAACCCAGAACTAAGGTTTGTCCCTTGGAAATCCTAACCTATACTAACATATAGGCTCACAGTTCGTCAATAAAAGTTCAAACATCAAATACTCAAGGAAGTTAGGCTGTCTCTTATTGTAATAGACACCAACACGCTTAGCATTAAACACAAGCCCTACAAAAATACACTTAAATAGAGATTCTGGAGTTTTTGAATATGGAGTATTTATATCATGCTATACCTTTAATTCTTGGCTTAAAAACTGCTAAGTTCTGGGCATGGGAAGGCAGAGATTTACGGATATGAGCGGTGACCTTCACCCCTGCCAAGCCTATAATATTCTCATATTTTTCTTTACTTAGAGGGGCTAGTAGTAATATATAACAGGTGCGTGTGACAATACCTAGGCAGCAGAGCAAAACCATACTATATTTACTCAGACTGTGGTAATACCACACTGCTCCGTATTGTCGTTTCCAAAACTTGTTAGTTCCGTCCTTAACCTTGGCAGGTGAACATGAGGAGTGGTCGTTAGTATGTGTAAACACGCGTGGATATATCTGAACTGAATAGGGCCTGCGAAAGTGGAGAGTAATCCGAGGCTCTTATATTGATCTGATTTTGTAAACTTTGAGCCAGATATACCTAAACCAGTAAGCCATCTTGCATTGAGTCTATGACCACTAGTAGTGCTGCGCCAAGGTGAGGATAGAGTGTATAACCAGCTGTGGATTTAGCACTTCGGCACTATGGATTAGCAAGGCAATCAGCAACATCAGGCTAATTCTTTAGCGTAATATATGTTACTTATTGGGAAGGGAATTACTCCCTGGAACTCCAGGCGTGGTAGCTGCTAGGAACTTTTTCCCATCTCTCTCCGGGAATCTCGGCCCAAAACACCTAGGCATTGATTATTGGCTGCAGGATACAAGTTTGCTAGCATACCGATGCCTAACTATGTACAAGTTTTAGAAGCTTAACAAATGATATTCACAATTGAGTGGAACTGGAATGCTGACGTGAGCATGTTAGAATAAGGGTCTGGACATTAGTAGTTGTTATTAGTTAATATAAAGTAATAAAGCAATATATCTAGATACTAAGCTATATTTGCATAACGAACTGCGTACAAAGAGGTTAGCAAAGGTATGTTATATATTCGCAAGGGATAAACCGTTGAGGCTTAGCGAGCAGCGTTAGTTTTTATTAGCAAATAAGCCAGGCTGGATATTTAGGCAATTTAAAATGTCACGTAATTAGTTTGATAGAGGGATTTGACAGGCCTGTAATTATTTTGTAGCTAGGATTAGTGACAAAGTCGGGCTTGGTCCGGCTTCTTAATGTAAAGGGGGAAGACCTCTAGCTAGATAGAAAAGACAAGACTCGTTGTCACGATGAAATGACCCCTAGCCGCGCTGGCGGTCTCGTTCCAAAGGAAATGAAGCTGCAGCTGTGTGACCAAATGATTCCGTACCTTGTTTTCACACCGTGATACTTATAGCGTTCAGACAAGCTAGGTTTCTTGTGCTGTGTTTGGTGTTCGTTGGATCAGTTGAAAGGTGCGTTTTCTAGCTGTCAATAAACTATACGGAGTAGGAATCCTTCTTGAATAGGAAGTAGGCCTTGATTCAATCAATTTACCCACTCCTATCTATACATACAATACTAAAGCTGACAAATGCAATTCGCTTCTCGGTGCTGATAATCTTGGCAAACTCATAGCCTTTGCGGGCCCTCTACAAGCTAAACTTTCCTACAAAAGTATTATGAACGAAGAAGTTAATACTAGAGCCTTCTGATTACTGATGAGAGTCTTAGCGAGGGGCTTTGGGCAGCAGCCCTGTTTCGTATTTAACCACATTAAATATAAAAGCATCCTACTCGCCCTTACACAAGACTTGATCTTTACCTTTGCACTTTATACTACAACTCCTCAGCTGCTAAGGAAATCAATAAGAAGCTCATCTTTTTGAGTCCAAGTATGTCTAATCCTTTCAAAGTAAAACAGGCTTAAGATGTCTAACATTTTCAGGCCACTTTGCTTCGCTATGAAATTCCTGTCCACCTTACCTGTGATCGGGCTTGTTCTCCAAGCTGGAAGCTCGAGGGCTGCAGATTGCGGTTTTTATGGTGTAGGCTCGTCTGGTATTGGAGCTTGTACAGATCGAAATGGCAACTACGCAGACCGTCAAACATTTTGCACGTCCCTGGTTGGCCAGGGAAACTGGTATCGAACTTGCCAAAATGGTAGAAACCATCAAAACTGCCACTTCGAGTACCAGGGACCTGGTATGCCACAGCAATTGTGCTGGGATGCATATGAAAATATTATCAACCAATGTTTTGGTAACCAGAATGGGGGAGGGTATCACTATGGAACCTATTCATACAATGGTCACTGGTTTGTTATTGACAGATGCTCTGCGTAATGCGGATTGCAACTCAAAACGCACTAGTGTCACGACCCGGCTCTTATAGTTGCGACAATGGGCCTACAGGAGGTGCCAGATAAACATCGGGCCGCCTGGCCCATAAAGAACAGGATCTAGAAATATTCTCTAGATCCACGACAGGATCTAAGAATGTTCAATAGATCCAAGGCAAGATCTATTTAGATCTTTTAGATCCAGAACACACGACTGAATATACAAGTTCCCTTCTCTACGCTCATTTAGAATACTTAGGTAGCCAGTTGTTATCATAGCAATCAAGATTGGATTCAGCCACCTTCTCTAACTCAAGCTAGTGGCAAGATTGTCCGTCTACTGACCTGACTGTCCGCGAACATAAACCTGTACTGCCGTTTTGCGCGTTGGGAACAGCTAACCTAGCATTACTTTTAATTCCTTAGTAAAAGCAGTAAATAAAAATATAAAAGATATTTTATTTAATAGTTAGTTAAACAGGGTAAGGTTTTTAGTAAAGGGGTACCTAAAAGGTAGAGTATCTATAGGTGTAGGATGGAAGCTTGTTATATTTATGCAACACGAGTATACAACAACCTTAATTAATCGGATCAACGCCTGGCTTAATCTTTGACGATTTGGGAGGCCCTTGGTAGTCAGATTTGCCTAATTCGATGCTCGTAGCAATCAGACAATGACTTAATATCCATACTGAGCCGCCTATAGTAGCGGCATTCGGCCGTCTTCATCCTTCAATCTCCGTCAACAGCCAGTATATGTAGAAACCTAAGAATGGCACCATGTCCTTCTTTGGCAGCTAACGATAGAGGTGTCCAACCTTCGTTATCTTTACAGTATGGGTTGGCGCCTTGTGCAAGCAGTAACTGAATAACGGCATGGTGCCCCCTTCGAGCTGCCCACGACAACGGCGTTCGGCCTTCTTTATCCTTGCAATGAACGTCAACACCTTGTGCAATCAGCAGCCGAACAACAGTATTGTGGCTCCGCTGAGCTGCTATCAATAACGGTGTTTGGCCTTGGTTGTTCTTGCACTCGGTATCGGCGCCGTGTTCAAGCAACAGCGTAACAACAGCATCGTGCGCATTCGCGGCAGCTTGTGATAGCGGCGTCCAGCCATAATTATCTTTAACATCTATATCAGCGCCATGATCAAGCAATAGCTTAACGATAACGCCGTGCCCGCCCGCAGCAGCTCTTGATAGCGGTGTCCAGCCCCCGTTATCTTTGCATTTCACGTCAACGCCTTCTGTGAGTAATAGCTTAATAATAGCTGCACGGCTATTCTCAGCAGCCCACGATAACGGCGTCCGGCTTTCCATATCCTTGCTGTCTAGGTCAACTCCATTTTGTGTAAGTAATAGCTTAGTGACAGACTCATGGCCATTCCCAGCAGCCCACGACAGCGGCGTCCGACCAATAGCATCTTTGCAGCTCACTTCAACGTTTTTCGTGAGTAATAGCTTAATAACAGCCTCGTGGCCATTCGCAGCAGCCCGCGACAGAGGCGTCCGGCCTTCCTTATCCTTGCTGTCTAGGTCAACTCCATCTTGTGTAAGTAATAGCTTAATGACAGACTCATGGCCATTCCAAGCAGCCCACGACAGCGGCGTCCGACCAATAGCATCTTTGCAGTTCACATCAACGCCTGCTGTGAGTAATAGCTTAATAACAGCCTCGTGACCATTCGCAGCAGCTAATATCAGCGGCATCCGGCCGTTGTTATCTTCGCAGTTTATGCCAAAGTCAAAAACGGCATTATACCCATTCTTTCCAGTCCTCGGCAGTGGCAAGCAATTAGATCTATCATTGGAATTGGCCACTAACTTTCTTAAAGTAAGAAAAGCAAAGATTAGTGCTTCATTTCCTTCTTCTTGTAGATATTCCAGGATGCCTTTCTTTCTTGAGAAAGCAAAATTACGACCGAATGTTCTTGAATTGGTTTTACTTCGACGATACACTTCGCAAAGGCTGTGAAGCGGTGATGCTGCTGATAAAGTTGCCGCGAAGATTTTCAAGAACGCATAAACTACCTCGCGACTATTGGTAGCCATGCCCGCGAATATTGGTGTGCCATAGCGTTCAACTTCCATCTCAACGTCAAAAAAAGAAAGTTTCCGGGGGTGGATCCAAATTAATTCAACAAGATTTCTCTCTGCAAGAATATAAAGGAGGCTGGCTGATGTATATCGTCGAATTTGAAATTGCTCAATGGCATTGTTAAAAAGTATCCACTTTTCAAGAGGAAAATCGACGAGAAAGGGTCCCTGATCTATACCATGTTGTTGAGCACCATTAGCATGATGCAGGCCATTGATTACTGAATACTCAAGAAACGGATAATTAGACTTGATTGTATCCCGTAGCCGGGATGCTTCAGAAGCATTCGGCAGATGGTCTATTATGCCGAGGTCTTGAGGCCTCAAGTTGTTCAGCTGAACCAAGCAACAATCCCTCAGAAGTTTGTGGCTATTACCCATGAAGTTACCAGGAGTTTCCAACCATTGGGTTTCATATTTTCTCAATAAGAAATCCCTAACAGATTCGTGAATGAATTGGACTTCCGAAGCTTTGTTTCGTGTGACTTCAGCTAAGCCTTTAGAAGAGCTTCTCACGAAAGTCTTCATCTCCTCTTCTTCCACATCATCTCGGTCCCAATACCCTGTGCACTCTTTGTCGCAACTAAACTGAACAGCAAAATAGAACTCTTGCGGTTTTAAAGGGCGATTCGCAAAGAGGATCCATTTCAGACAAAAATGTAGCCGATCAAGGTTCTCGCCATCTCTCGTAAGAATCATTTCAAATAAGTCGTTCAATTCTGGTGGAATTTCTCTCAGACGATTGCGAATTTTCTTGATGGATATAGAGCTGTTTGGGTATTCTTTATTAAGAATATCAAGAACCAACACAACCCAGAGGAAAATGTTGGAAGATTTGTTGAGAATTTCGGATCGCAATGAGATGGCTTGACTCGACTTTCCTAGCCTGAGTTTAGACTTAATGTAATATTCAATATCCTCGGTATGGCCGATTTCATTTTCGAGAATGACCTCGATACCTTTTTGGATGACAACAGTTGGATAATGTCGACTTGAAAAGCAAACTTGTAGTCGAACTCGTGACTCCTGCGCTCTCTCACATAATTCCTCAAAAAAGCATACCATATCTGCGACTTGATCTTTATTACACTCATCCAGCGCATCGACAAATATCATTAGAGACCGAATTCCCAGTTTCTGGATAGCATGTGCGAGTGTCTGCTTTAATGCTTTTTCATGCCATCCATTTCTTTGTATAACCTTTGCACCATTACCAGTCATCCACTCTAAGCTGCTTTGCGCGTCTGGTGCCTTCTGAAAGAGCTGATGCAGAAGAGAGCGATAAAGACCGGCCGTCGACTTTTCTTCAATCGTACCTCGCGCAAGGAAGAAGAATGATAGTATGATTTGCGATGAATTGCTGTTTGCATTAAGTTTGGCCGTTTCAAAAAGAAATTTCATAAGGGTTGACTTCCCGGTACCGGGATGGCCTTTGATCCAGAGAAAGCCGCCATGATCAGGATGTAGTGATGAGTCGTTCCAGGATATATACTCGGGCTTAGCAAGGAACCAACAGCAGGTTTTCCCTTGAGCTGCTGTCAGGTTCATTAGGCGCTCGTCAATCTTGTCAAAATAGAGCTGTTCTAGTAATGACTGCCTGACCGTGTCGTCCATCATTTCGATAACGGGCTGCTCCTTTTCCATATAAGGACGTTGGCGCTTCCTACATTCATCGTCGGACGCAGATTCAAAATATTGTTCGTCAACTTTGCGCTTAACTGCCCTGTCCAGAGGGCGGTCTTGAATCGCTAACACGAAAGGTCAGGATAAGCGAGGAGACTTAGGACGGCAGCTGGGCGTACAAACCATTGTTGGGTCGTATTTCTGCCAGAACTGCCCTGGCGTAACAAGCAGCCATTGCAGCAGCATATGGTTGCCACTCATCATTTTTATGTTCGTCGCCATAGTCACAAACCCCTCGAATGACACCAACAGGAATTTGGTCCATCGTCCCAGCCGCCTCCATCTCGAGGCCAATGATGTTATACTTGTCTCTCAACTCGTTCCGTTTCTGGGCGTTTTTCATCAATTTGTCACCTGAGCCTATCGACCCATACCACACACGATTGCGCTTCGAATGTGGTCTTTGTTCCCGTACGACAGGACTTGTAATTCCGCACTCGTCAACTTGATATAGAGTGTCTCGGTCTTGTCCCGGATCGGCAAACGTGCCTAGGGAGTGTTTTTTATGCTCAATCCTTTTGTAATACTGCAAGATATCGTTTGAGTCGTTCGGCGCCCGAAGCTTGATACTGCCAATGGCAGACCTGACGACAGTTTCTGTTTTCGCCAACGCATGGCCAGCACGAAGGAGCTGAAATCCATTTGTTCCCGTTTCTTTACCCAATTCATAATCTATTAGACCAGCATTGTCGCCTACTGTTAACCCCACGAGGACATCGCCAAGACGAATATCTAGTGGGGGGCTTCGCAAGAGGTTCGGAAGACCAGCTGCGACGCCAACTAATAAGCCGAACCAAAGATTTGGGAAAAATCTCTTGACCTGGGTCGCGAGAGCAGCAGCAGATCTTGTACCGTACACTTCTCCGGCAGGCAGCGTTGCGATAATGATGTTGTGTCCACATGCATCTCCAGCTTGGAAGACATAGTCGTCTCCAGGCGCCAGAGGAAATCTGCCCTGATGTCGATTATCTAACAGGTGCAATGCTGCCTGTGCTTCAATCTCCAGTGGCGCAATCCACGCGACAGTATAAAGCCTTGGATCCAACTCCGCCATTGAAGCAAACGATCATAGGTTGGCGGAAATATTCATATCGGAGATCGGCGATCGGGTGGAAAGAGAAATAGTCTTCGGGTGCGTGCTTTTCACCGTTTTGGTTCTTTGTTTGACGTGTCGAACTGGGCAGATGTAATTCTGGATGAAGAGACTTGAATGGGAGTAATGTAAACCGAGGAGCTACAAAGGTAAGTTCACACTTGAAGACTTTGCGATTTTCGAGTAGTCGAGCTGCTATGTACATGTAGAAGGGAAGACCGAAGAATGGCTGGGTAACAAGTGCGAAACAGTGAGGCTGAGATTGTAATGTACATGTATGCACTGCGCCCACCTCAGCGGCCCAAAAGCCTGACCATATTGAATAGAATTGTTCAACGATTGGTTGGATATCTACATCCACCTAGGCACCAGTACTTTGATTAACCGCCCAAGTTTTTTCTGATAGACCAAAATTCCTGTACAGCAAATGCTACGTTCATCCGGTGTGTATGGTTGCAATTTTTATTTTATTTTATGTTTTATTTTATTTCAGATCCTCAGTTAAGTGCAGATAACTTCACCCAATACATTTGTCCTTGTAAGGCATGATTGATGCGTAGCGGCTGGAACAGAATGATGGATATTTCACTTTACTCAACATTTAGTGCTGTTTGGACCTATTTGCGAGGCTTCATATATTGCGAGAAGTACACGTATTGGAAGAAGCCGCAAGGCGTCCACTGGATTTGCATCTACCAACCTGGATAGACAAGTGCGCTGATGCAGGATGCCATTCGCTACATGTAGACAGTGAAAAGGCGCATTTGTGTCACTGCATTATGTCCGCCCGTCAAGTGATGTCCCCATTGCTGACGCCTTGGCGGCATCATCTCTACGGCCACAGCCACCACGCTCTTGTCGACCCCCACCAGCTCTACTTTATGATGCGAATCTTTGAGATAAATGTGTGAGTGTAGAGAAGAGCCTAGACGACTGGCTCAGCACCTAATAATAGCCGGTGACAGATACTTGTAAATTCCGCGACAGCGTTGACCCCCAGAAGAGGGTGGCCGACATGACATGCCCGTGGTGAATGCCTGCGTCTCAACAGCGTCCAAACGACCCAGTAGAGGACTGGGGAAACTAGCCCGCCAAAATAATGTACATGTACCTAAGCTTCTGGGATGTCGCCCGACAAGGATTCTATGCGTGCTGTCAACAACCAGTGTTGAACGATAGAATGAGAAAAGAAGAGAGAAGCAACGTCCAATCAAGCAAGTATAGTCGTTTCATATCTCGCCTTCATCATACAATCATCAGTTGCCATTTAGCGTCTTTAGAATCGTTGCCTTGGGTATCAAGAACTCAGGGCCTATCAAATGCAGCGCCTTGCTAGGTGGTGACGTAACGCTGTTTCAAGCCAGGCCACATTGAAGCCCAAACACGAAGCTTCCAATGTTTTCATCCATTGAGCTTTCTTAAAGCACAAAGAAGGGACATTTCGCTCTTCAAGGTATCTTGCGGCTTCTTCTTACCAAAACAATGGCGATAATCAGCACTCCCGACGTCTCTGATGACGAATTTGCCATGGTCAATTCGACCACCTCCGACGGCCCTGCCGCGGCCACTTATCAGACTCCCAAGCTCATCAGCCGTCTCCAACCAAACCAACTGCCCTCGAGAATAAGTTCAGATGGTGTCGGTGATGCTGCTTCTGAGAAATCTTCTGGCCTTCGCAATGACGGTTCAATTTTTGACTCACAGACAAAAGACAGCGGCCACACAGGGTTTTTCCAAGATGTTAATGTTACCGCTATGAAGAAGTACACAAAATCACTGTACAAGAAGTTCACCGGCAAAGACATATTGATCGCAGTAATGGGGTATAACTACACATGCGTGGTACAAAGTGGCGATATCATGGCTTACGGTGTACACTCAGGATGACCGGATCTGGAAAGACGACATTCATTGCCAATGCGACTGGACGGACAGACCTAAAGATAGGCCATAATCTTACTTCATGTACGACAAGCAACTGTAGCCGCACGCACTTACACTTTCGCTAATTAATACTCATTGAAGGTACCCAGGAAATACAAATTATCGAGACTACGCTTGATGGTCGCACTGTCCGCTTTGTCGATACTCCAGGCTTCTCCGATACATATCTCTCAGACACCGAAGTCCTTGAAATGATTGCAGACTACCTATCGGCCGGATACTCCAAGGAAATGCGCCTGTCGGGCATAATATACCTTCATCCAATTTCAGATAATCGCGTCACCCACCATGCCACTAAAAATCTCGACATGTTCCGAAAACTCACTGGGGAGAAGAACCTCAAGAATGTGATACTGGCGACCAGCATGTGGGATAAGGTTACTCCAGAGGAAGGCCTAAACCGTGAGCTGGAACTCAAGAACAAATTTTGGAGCGTTTTCATGGCATTCGGTGCACAGTACTGTCGACAAGATACGTCGGCCAAATCCGCCAAGCAAATCGCATCCATGCTAATGGACAACGAACCTTTTTACCTAGAGCTGCAGGAGGAGATGGGAAAAGATAACAAGGCTCTCAAAGACACTGCAGCGGGGAGGGAGATTATGAGCCAACTCTCACTGCTGAAGGAACAGCAACAAAGAGAACTCACTGAGATGAAGGAGATGCTCTTGCGGACTGCTGCTGAGGAGAACAAGGCCGCTTTGGCCGCACTGGAGGAGCACTATAAGAAGATGATGCAAGGGATGGAGAAGACTATTTCCGATGAGAGACGGATGAATGAAGAGGCGGCCAGATCAAGTGATGAAAAGATCAAGGAACTGACAGAGAGGATCCACAAGCTTGAGAAGAAGGGTACATGTGTTGTTATGTGAGGCACACCTATGGAGTCAAAGGCAACAATGCCTAAAATATCAGCACAAAAGTATCAAAGTCATTTTAGAAAACTCATTTACACATACTAACAACTATGTTCATGTATCACAAATGAATATCTTACAGGCTATTCCACGATCTCTTTTCGGAGTGTATTTCGTGCTCTCTTCTAGAAGACGGACTAGATGATCTAGTCGTCGCGTTCATTCTCTGTTCTGCCGCCCAGCCTCAGATCACATTGAGCAAAGAGTCTTGTCAGATTCGCGGAGGCTCCGCCGTGAATGTTTGATGCGACGGCAAGGTGTCAACAACATCACCACCACCGGCGTCGTATCGTGGTACTCGTAAACTTGAATGAAAGGGGAGAAATCAATCCTGACCTGAAGCGTCAACATATAATAAGACATTCAATATCAGGATGTGATCCCCCTGTATTTTTTTCAGAGCTTTCATTATGTATAACGTGACTTGTAAGGAGTGCCGTCTGAGAAGCACATAGCATCTGAAATTTTTTCCTTTCGCTGCTTCATTTGCGCCGTCACTCAAGCCGTATTGCGCCGACCCCTGTTATAGCTCACTCTCTCTTTAGCAAATGTGTACGTATTTGAAAGGAAACAATTCGCTCTATACGGATAATATTTTATCAGGGCTCAAGAATATATATTTGACCTATCTTTTATGCATATAAATATACCTCAGTTGAGAATCTAGTTGTATATTGAAAGCAAGGCATCCTTTTAAGCAACAAAGATGATCTCTTCACATGCATGGAGTAATCTAGGCACCAGAATATCCATACTGTTGCATTAAATGACAATTTTAAATGCAATTGCCATTATTTTCTCTCTCTTGTGATGTTAAAGAACACTACCTGCACCGTCATATCATCTCGTAGGCCTCGTGAAAATGGAGCGTCAAAGGCAAGCCTGCCTGAAATCAGCTCATGATGATTCCCTCCCAAGGCATTACGCACTAAATGCACAGCAGCGTTGTCATCTTGAACAATTGTTCTCTCCTCGACAAATCTCCAGTTCACTCCTTTCCAAAACTGACCGAAGTCGAATGGTTCTTGTGTTGGCTCCGGTTCACTGGTGCGCTTTCCCGCTCGAAATTCCAGCCATTTCCCCACAAGACCAACAGCTTGCTGATTGGAGAGCATATCCCACATGCCATCGGATGCTAGAATCAAGAAAGAAGGGCCATTGGAGTCAATCTTGGTCGATGTCACGACAGGCTCAGCAGTTAGATATGGCGGCGTTCGGACATCATACTTGGGAGTCAATGGTGCTGGACCATAGAATCTCCGTCTTATATCTTCTTGAAATTTTAGAGGCCACTTCCAGCGACCGTCTCCAAACGCCCGTGAGACCATCATTCCCAGCACTCGTCCACCTTGGACTATATTTTCTTCTCCTGGATGCTCTTTTTCCAATCTGACAATTTCTTCTTTGTTGCTGCCAGTTTGATCGAATGACAACGGTATCGCTTCCCATTTGCCGTCTTGGCCCTTGTGTCCCAAAACTGCTCTTGAATCGCCAGTACACGCCACGTGTAATGTGTTTGCTGTAGGATCATACATGGATAATATGGCACATGAGCCAGAGTACGCGGTAACTAATTTCCTCACCTTGTTTTGCAGCGGCTCTTGGCTTTGAGAGGTATCCAGGGCAGTCTGGATAATAGAATCGTCGAGGTCTGTGAAGCCCTTTATGATGGCGTGTTGAACTACCTGATCAGGGACATATTCGTGCTTCGAGGCGAAATTGGCTTGAGTCAAGCTGTGTCGTACGAAAGAAAGGAGCCGTTTGCTCAGTAGTTCTGCTGTCTGCCAACCTGCGTGCCCGTCGAAAATAGCCCAGACCATCCAATGATCGTTATTCCACGGCGAAGGGAATTTGCCATGGATAAATCGATCCTCGCAGGGGCTATTTGATGGTAGCTGAGCGCCGTCGTATCGAGCGACGACGCCGACATTTCGAACGGGGAAAGAAAATGCTCCCTGAGATATGATACGGGTCACTTCCTCCTCAGAAGGACCGGGTTCGATGCTTGAACCCCAGGCTAGAGAACTCTCCAGATGGGGTACTTCATCATGTGTAGCTCTCAGCCACGAAATTCCTGGTATACTAACCGCACTGGCTATTGCAATGTATTTGATGAATTTGATGACGGATGAAGTCAAAGACGAGCCCTTCGTTGGATGGATCTTGGTTGAATGGAAGTGCCTGGCTGGCATCCATGATGATACTTTATAACAAAATCGCGTTTGACCTATGCGTAATAACATCATGATGTGCGCGGTTGGACCAAATGAAGAAGAAACCAAAGGAGAAGTAATAAAATTAGGTCGCTAGTTAAGCATGGACAATAAAATTTTGATAATCTGTTGGTTGTGATGTGGTGCACGTCCTTAGCCTCACATGTGTGACGGGTATTAACAATAAACCAGGGACTGAAACCGGAACGAATATGTGCTACGCAGTGGAGAGCAGGTTCAGGCGCGTTCATTTCATAGATCAATCATGGAAACTACATGTAGCCTTTGCATACGTTTGACCCGCGCAGCCCATATTTTCTCTCCGTATGACCTGCCCAGGGCCACCACCTGTTACAGATAATTAACGACTTCAATGTCCACACCTCATACTCCTAAAAAGAAAACCAACCTAATACTGACCACCACATATACATACTTATATACAGATGGGACAAAATTGATGACCTTTAAATACAGTTGCTCTTAGCATACGTGACTAATCTTGGTTAGCATAGCTGTGATAAGGTTGCCTATGCCCAATAGTCACATAGGTCTGCAGCATGCGTGTATTTTATTGTGCTCGTGAGTTGCCGCTTGGTCAAATATCAACATTTAGTTAGCTAGTAACTACGTTAGGTCATACTTATTATCTCAGAGAGCAGGACTTCTATGTATGTAGATAACACGGCATCACAAAATCTGAACTTAGGTTGACTCGAGTGTTTCATACATATTGAGTGAGATGATATCTCTCAATTCAGTTGATCTTATGCATTGAAATTCGAATGCTCCCAGTATGATGGAACCACAGACTCTTAATCCGAACCAAGTAGCCCCCCCAGAAGTTTGGCTATTGCAGGACCGATCTGTCCCAGTGCATCAACGACCTCCCCGAGGGCGTCTTTCGCTGAAACATTCCCCTCTACGAGCAACTGTAATAGGCCTGGGCCGCCGTCGCCCCCTGCAATCTCTATAAGCTGCCTACCGCTCTAGAAGGACTGTCAATATTGACTCTAAAAGTGGTACTCATATCGTCATTTGTACTAGCTGTACTCACAATGGGAAGGGAAGTAGCAAGGCCGATAAGTAGGATAGAGGTTAAAGAAAACAGTTTCATTTTGTCTTGATTGTAACGAATGTGGACTCTCGGAACTGGGGGTGTTTCTATAGGGGTTAAATTTATAATCAAGGTGACAGATTCAATAAAGCTGTAACAGCTGGGAGGATGTTTTGATAAGACCGATAAGAGATTCTGTTGTTGCTAATGGCAAAGCTATGGTGTTTTTGCATAAGGAATCACTGTCCTTTAAATATTTAGTACCGTGTTCATCTAGGATTGCTAGTTATTGGTACAGGATAGTCAACTTAAGACATGAACCTAAGACATTTGATCTTGTGATTCCATTGTTAACACATCCAGTCTAATTTGGAATAGTACCATGAGGAATGATACAGCTATTAATTCGTCGCATGAGACATTTAGGCATGCAGTGCATCATTAGCTGAAAAGAAGATCGGCGATGTCTTGCTGAACTATGATGAGGCTGCCATGCGCACTGACAAAAAAGACGATTCTCATGCTTGTTGTCTTATACTGCATATCGCCCGCTGTTTGTTTTTCTACTTTCATAGCCAGGTCTGACTCGTACAATGTATCAATGCGCCCGTAGCGCTGTTCGTCAAAGGTGAACCATCACATGATCCTCTCACAACAACTTCATACTTTTCTCTTCTGCCGACTCGATCAATCCTATTGCTACGGCTAGTAATGACCCCTCTTCATTAGATTCTCAGCACATTTTAGCCGCCGGTTCAATAAAGATAGGGTTAATACAGCGGCAAATCTTATATGTGAGCTCTAGCCTTCAAGTCGACATTACTCACAATTTCTGAGATCTTATGCAAGGGGCTGTACATGGCTCGTAGGATGTTTGAGACTGGTTTAAATTCTGCAATCTACATTTGTGCTACGAGAAGTATTATTCCCAGTGCATTTATGAGCCTTCCTCTGTCGACCAATTTAATGAAGCACACGATACTTCTCGTGTTGATCTTCGTATTTGTCATACTTATCTGCACTGTTGTGGGTTTGTTTGGCTTGCTCAACATGGTTCTGATATTGCCCCTTAGCCTGTAGGAGATCTCCATAATTGTTATTGAACGCATCGCGGCGGTTGCCTTCGCTACCATGCACCGATTCCATTAACTTCTGACCTTCTTCGGGTAACATTCTATGGGAACATGGATGCCAACACCTACACTCTTGCCGTGGCAGCAGCGGCTTCGGTCAGAGGTGCCATTATCTCCTGTCCATCGCGATAGTACATATTACCTCCAACAAGTTGGGCGGGGCCTTCATAGGGCTTTGTCACCTTCAAACTATTCCCAATATCTTTATAATCCTTCCTTGCACTACTAGCAGCCCTTTGTGCATCTTTGTAACTGTAATACTCGTTGGAAATGGCGTGGCCCTTAATGTAGGTTATGTTGTTGTCGAGGCCCAAATATCTTTCCTGAAAGTTTTTTACTTTCTCTGGATCAAGAGCCATAATGAGGCAAAGAGGCGACTGTGAATGGATACAAATAAAGAAGCACTAGAATAGAGAAAAGCAAAGATGACATATATTTCTTTACCTTGTCCAACAGCATCTCCCTCAATCAGCGCGAGCAAGGCACCTCAATTTAACGCTTTGACGGCCGATTCGTTGTTTCATTTCAAATACTGAGCCATCGGATCATTGTTACTCAACGAAAAAGAGTTCTGACGGCTGTGATAACACAGCATTATCTTTTGAGTTTTCGGAAAGAAGATTACCAATAAGAAAATAAACCTATATCAGCGGAGCATTACTCTGGGTTACGAACAAGCATTGTTCTATCCCCCCCTGTGATTGATTAGTCTATATGCGTGCACATGTGTATCCTTGGAGCCTTGCTCTCTATAAGTGAGGCGATGATGCTGCTACAAATATGATCATGTAGCCTCTATTCGATAAGATCTGCGGGATGGCATTGGTTCCTGTGTTACACGATGTTTTGTGCGCCTAGATTCTGTCGTTCAGTGACACATGATAGTGATAACTGCGGGGTAGCATGAACTGAACAAAGAAAGCAGCTGGAGAGCTGTAGGCATTCTTGGAGCCCCCCAAAACATATACTAGGATCCTAACAAGTGCAGTATTCAACTCGAACCGTCAACCAGCTACAGAAATGGCTTCCATCACCAAACTTCCGTGCGAGGTGATAACTTCGGTGATGCGAGATCTGGGCAATATACGCTTCCTGCTGCCTTGTCTCCTTACCTGCCGTCATTTCTACGCATGCTACAGAGAGAATCCGAGCGTTGCGGCCGATATCTTGCAGCAGCAAGTCACTCTAGCTCTTGTCCCTTATTCAATCGCAGTGTTGGAAGCATCGCATCTCAACCCACGCACTGGAGTTGCAGTCAGGGAGCTGCTCAAAATGCTTTATACGGAACCATCTAGACTCGCCAACCGACTGAGGACGATGCCAGTTCCGCTTTTTATGAAAATGGGACACATGCACGATGCGATCCATGATTTGGCCTCTCAATATTCTAGCCACGCGTGGACTCAAATCTCTAATGGCCAACCGATGCAAGCGTTTAGCGGCCTTTCCTTGTCGCGGACAGAATACTATCGCTTTTGCCGAGCTTTCTACAGAGTCGAACTGTATTTCAGCCTCTTCCGTAACAGCACGTCATCGAATATAGCATCATTTAGCGATGACGATAGGGAGTGGTTCTTTTCGCAACACGCCCCATGGGAAAATGAGCAGCTGAGCGGCGCTCATGACTTTCTCGAACTCAAGATTTCCAAAGGTGTGTTGCTCCTAGTAATAAAAAAAATTATAGCCATTTTTGACATATATTTAAAGCCTCATATGATATCCTTGCTCATGATGTTGAGCTCGGCGAGTTGGGAATCGACTATCTCACGCCTGGTGGCGACAATGGCTGGAGGCAGCTCTTCGTAAGTTACTGTCCACATCCGTTTTATTCATCGTTACGATAACTTACTCAGAAGCGTTGCAGTTATCCCAGGGCGTCGGTTTTATATACAGAATGATATGTGAGACTTCATATGATGTCAAAAAGGCGTTGTTGAAGTCTTCATTTGGCGCCGGTAGAGCTGATCTCTACGATGCGCTCACCAATCCGCCTGGAGAGGACTTGGATGATGGTATCCCACTCTCCGAATACACCGATGAGGACCTAGATACTCTGTTTTCAATTTCCCACAGTGAAGATGCCAACAAGGGTCCATTTCAAGCGTGGCGGATGGCCTTCAATGACTTGCCTCGTCGCGCGTGGGCCATGCTTACAAACAATGCTGGATTGAGGGAACGGGCTTATGTATTCTGGGATGTGGAGCGTCTCGAGAGATGTGGCCTGCTGAGTCTTTTTGAAGATGTCTCAGAAGACTCTGAGCTTTTGAGTGCCAACAAAGACTTTGATGGCATGTATGAGTCTTTTGAAGAGCGTTCAAGGATATGGCAGAAAGGTGGCTTAGGATATTGGAGTAACGATGGCGAAAGCAGGATTGTGTGGCCGACGAGACAAGGCATGGAATGTCTGGGTTAGGCATGTGTGAGACTCGTGCCTTGAAGAAATGCTAGGATGCTACACTAAGGGGTTATCTTTTTGTTCTAACAAAGGGGCTCTAGAAATGCACTACTCGTCCCTTTTGTCGTCCATTTCATCTTTGTAGCTGAAACAAAGTCATCACGACTTCTAAGACCATATCCCAGCCCAGCAGAAACTGTAAGGATCTAAATCATCAAGCTTCTATTTTTCACCAAGCATTATTTTTGAGCACTGAATAAAACATCGAGATTGACGCCAACTTAATAGCATCAATATACGAGTATTCCAGCCAAATTCTCATTTTTCCACAGATATATAATTCTATGTTAGCATTTCCAGGTTACCCATTCTCATTATATCCAGCCATTCTTATTTCTTGGATTTGCCCTTTTACTTCGGGCATATGGTACGAACGTATCTGACTACCACGAAGTCCACCCTCGGCAAGCCACAAGAGCTCAATAAAATATACCAAGAGTATACAGGTATGAGCCATGAGCTACCCGATAAACTACGTGGCCCATAGAGTTACTTGGCTACCTGCAACGAAACTTCTACGTCCCTCCTCCATAGAAGTGGTGATGACAACGTATGATCCTGTCATGATTGCTGGAAGCTCGTAGTGGACAAATTCCATTAATGGACTGACCTCGAGCTCGGTGCTCTTTTGGCCATGTATCAACGCAGTAATGCTGGCACATTCAGAGAAGGGTTCGAGTGATCATGAACATATTCCTTTCCATTGTCGCTGCAAATTCACCTGCTCAATGGTTTCATAAATCGTAAACCATATACGCATGACTCTTCTCAGCCTTGCTCCACATCTTTCCCGCTATCTATATCCTGAACAAGATGTCCGGAAAACTCTCGAACTGATTGGAAAAGTCGGTCCCCAAACTTTGCCTGCAGGAACGTCTGGACATCTTGATTTCCGCCCGTTATGAATAATCCGCTCGAGTTGCCCACAACCTTGAGTCCATGAAGGCTCGTCGCCCGAGATAAGGCGACATATACCTGGCCTTCTTCAAAAGCATGGGACAGGTCAACAATGACACGATCTAACGTCATGCCCTGGCTTCTGTGAACGCTCATAGCCCAGCCTGGTAAAAGGGGAATCTGTGTTCGATGCAGCAGTGAATATGGCTCTTTGTCACCAATAGAAGTGACCGTGCACGAGGCGTAGATGACGCGTCTCTGGCCGTTGTGGAAGAGCACCCGAGGCCAGACCTTTGCCAGCCGTGGGTCCCCTTGCTGTTGCACCATGAATTGCTGTATCTGCATCTCCCTAAGTCTTGCGTGGTCCCCGCTGATGCGTTGGTGAGAAGGAATGGACTTGGCGTCCTTGCCCGTAGCTGCTTTGGGGAGATTTTCGGGATTAAATGCTTCAAAGCCGCAAATAATCCCCTGACTTCCATTAACCAGCCCACCCTTTATATCAAGGTTTATCTGCAATATCACAAGCATGCCCCCGCGCAGCGTCACTTGTGGTTCCAGGCGTTGATCTTTGCAGGCTACCAATGTTCCATCTGGGAAACGTTCATGGTATTGGGGCATTTCTGCGTGCTCTCTGTTCATTGGATGAAAGCCATCCAGAGCGCTGAACGCATGCTTTGGCGTCTTTAGCTTATTAAAATTTTCTCGGTTCACTTGGGCGACCTCATTTCTGGTGCATAGGAGCTTTGTGGCTTTTTGAACTTCGCAAGGATGCTCCATCAGTGTCTCCATTTCTTGCGGTAAGAACGGAATCCCAAGACGGCATTTCTGAAGCATCCTGATAAAATATTCGTCTTTTTGGCGATGAATCTCTTGCAAATTCACGTGGACAAAATCGGCTTCCCTCCAAGCTGTGCTCATAAAGGCCCACTTGTGTGCCTCTGGAAATGGACCATGACCCTGGATACAGTTGAACTCAGCTTCGTCGTCGTCGGCAATCATCTCTTGTCCGCACTGCATGCAGAACTCGAATGGCTTCACTGGTGGCAATTGGCAAAAATCTCCTGTAACGATGACCTGGATCCCCCCGAAGGCAGGCATGTTTCTCGCAATGGTGACAGCGTCTGTCCCCGGGGGGGCAGCATCTCTCTCCCTCCGCCAGGGTTGCCAGGCAATCACCGCTTTCATGCAGATATTCATGCGTTCTAGATGGTGGTTCTCCACCATGCTAATCTCGTCAATGATGAGCACGTCCGTGTCCCTCAGTCGTTTCTTAATATACTTGCGAAACCCCTTGCTCACAAGTTTGTCGATTTCGTATTTGTGGTAATCTGGAGTCCAGCCCATGTAGGACCACGTTGACGTGCCGTCGACTTGGAGTGCTGCTCGGCCTGTTGGTGCAACGACATGAACCGTTTTGCCCATGTTTCGCAGCATCTTGACGGCAGCCTTGAGAACGGTAGACTTGCCGCAGCCTGCTGAGCCCGTGAAGAAGACATTTCTCCCTGTTGTGATGAGCTCAATCAGGTCCTGCTGCTCCTTGCATAAAATCGGCCCATCGGATGAAGACCTTTCGTTGGCGGTGCCCGTGAGAGGCTCGTCGAAGGTTAGTGTTAGTTCAGATGTCTCACTGCCAGTGTCCAATAGTATAACCTCATCCATATTGGTACATGTACTCCAAATTAGTGCTCCAATACTCGTTAATATTTCCCTTCAGGTTTAGAATCGAAATGCGACGCGATCAAAAGTTGGGCTGCTCCGTGCCTGATTAGACTAATGCACGGTTATGTAATCTCTCTATGTGCAAACAAGAGGTGAAGCCTTGCAGTCAAAAACTGTTGATTAACTGTTTGGGAATATGTTTAATAAATTTGATCTGTGAGACAGTTGAAAAATAACAGCCTGGGTTATTCAAAGTTGGCTCCGAGCCATCGCGTGAGACAACATGTGGTTTTTGCCGTGCTTTCTATAATTTACTGGCATTCTAGCTGACCCGCCCTAGAGTGTACAGGTACTTACATGTACTGATTGTGCTTCAAAACATTCATCATGAGTGTTGAAATGTACCTGTAGACTTCAAGTTACTACACACTAAGGCCAGCCGATGAGAAGAAGTTTCCATTGAAAATATAGATCATCGAAAGGAAGGCTACCGATACGGAAACCCTCGTCACGAGCCAATTCACGTTGCCGCCTTCTAAATTACCATTACCTTTGCGCAATCTCCCAACCCTCCCATATCAACTGGCACGCTATGCGTAACAGAAAACAAGATCACTTTCCGCCTCTAGGCTTACATTTGGAATAAGATGCGAAGCTCCCAATCTCCCCCGTTCTATTCACATTTCCATCTTGGTTCGCCTGGCTTACACAACTCCAGGCTGGTTGTAGATCGCATAACAATGCCGAGATGGCCAGAACCATTCCAATCTCCCCTCGCAAGACAGCTGAAGAACCTTTTCGAAATCCGAATTGGGATCGATCTGAGCCACCAAGATGGCGGCCAGGTAAGTAGGTCGCTCGTTATCATCGGTTTTCTGGAAGGCCATATACCATGGCACGGAGTCGTCTAATGAAATGGGCGGATACAGGCAGTCAAGCCGTACTTGGCCAACACTTTCTTGATGACCATTTGAGAAATGCAGCAGCATACCCGCAATACCTGGAATATTGCCAATCTTACAAGGTGTGACTCGTACCAGGCCGGATAAACAATGTGATGAAAAGAAGTAGTCTTCGAAATGCGTAGGAACTGGGTCTTCAACGGATGGCAAAAGCGGTGGGAAGGCAAGATTGGGGCCCATAGGACGCTGACTCTCAAATGCTAGCATTGTAATTCCCCTTTCTGAATCTTCGAAGAACATCCGGGTTTGGCCTGGCCGGTCAACTAGAGACCACCACCTAGGGCGTCCGTATAAGTAGCCGCAGTAAATTCCGGCGATAAAAGCGCGACCGAGGCTTGTTTTAAACTATATTCATCTCAGCCTCCATATTTTTGGATGACTTGATTTGTTATTAACATTAATTTTTCTCAACTTACTCCTATAGCTCTTTGGCGCGGCTGGTAACCCCGGCGCTCCCAGATCTCTATGATAACCTCGCCGGGATCGATTGGCATATACAGCCAGGATCCAGTGGTAGCCGACTGATAGCATGTCCAGTCTTCAATGCCACGATGGGCGTGAATATTGATTATGCAGCCAGCCCAAAGAACCGAGTAACCAGTGACTGAAGGGAGGTTGCAAACGAGCGATGACATGTAGGGCGGGAACTTTTCTGGAAAATCGGCGTCCAAGCATTGGAACCGGACCTTATTAGGCTTTGGAACACTCCACGCTATAGTGCCTCGTGGCAAACCAGAAAAATAACGAAGTTTAATGCCCTAAGAGATGGTTAGCCAAATCTTGGATGAGAGAGAAAATCTCAAGGGCAAGTAAATAATAGGGAACATGCATCAATTCTTTCGCGGAGGGCCAGATCTTCGCCCTTGACATGAACTGTGCGCCACCAGATCCCTGGTGCCTCATCGACCTGGGGCTCATTGGACGATGTAGAAAATAGCAAACTAATGACGCCGAGGTGGTTTTCCGCTGTGAATATGTACTTGATACTCTCGCCGGAAGGTCGATAGATCAGCTCCCAACCATCAGAGGGGCTATTTGACAGTTTTGTGATGTATCGAATACCTTCAAAATCCACATATTTGCACCATATATCTTCTGTCATGCGTACAGGCTCTGGCTTAATACGTCGCCATAATGATCGCGCGTTTGCCGATGCGTAATGCGGTAACAGATGCTCTGCTATTTTATTCCAGAGCTCCAGTGGTAGATGTGTCCCCTGTTGCGCAAAACTCTCCAGGAGCCCTGCGCTCAAACAAGTTATCAGGTGGTGACGGCGCATTTCCTTCTGCAGTAAATTAGGTTGGCGCTTGTATCTCATCGCTTCCACGAAACGCAAAAGATAGAGCTCATCCTCTAGATCTACCATGTCGAGACAAGCCGAATGAAAGCATCTGAATACTCCAAAGGATGGGTAGCGGTAAGAATTCGAAGTTGTTTCATTGATGCTTTGCCGGAGAGTGGCCTGAGCCTCTTCATCTTTGGGGTTCCATGTCAGGCCCCGATAGCATGGAAACGAACTAATCACGATGTCGTCGCCAGAGGCAGTCTCAAACTGACAAAGCGCGCACGGCAACAGGGCATAAGTGGGAGTTTCTCTAGGCATGATGAATTCCTCAATGGGCGATGTAGAGCAAGTCAAGGCGTTTGATGCATGGGCAACAGCGGCACAAATTCAATGCAGTTGCACATGTAGCCACGCAGAAGGGAGGAAATGATGTTAGGTGGACACTAAAGGCATCTGTCTGAACCTACCTATGCGCGGTTGCTGGGCCAGGAGCTAGTAATATGCGTGACCCTGGGATTGGAGGGAGCTGACTCTGGCGATCTCATATGCGTCGCGCGTCAACAAGTGTACAAAGTACAGCTACATGAAGAGAATCGGTCTTGGATGTTTAGAAAACTGTATCGTTACCTGGCACACCAGACACTAAATTTGGGGCCGTGAGGCGGGGTTAACTCGTCAGAAATGTTCACCTGCGTACAGAAGCTGCCAAACTCTAGCAAATATCAAGGGCTTTGAGGCAGTCACTCCAGCAATCCCATACAAATAGGACGTTCGTTGGAGATTGATCTTTTTGGGTTACCATCTTGTCACTTGAGACTCATGTGCCAGTGTAAGATCGTTAATCTTCCCAAACAAATCGATGACATTGAAAATGGCTTGCTGAGAGAGTGTTTCCATTACTTTTGTATTAAATATAATACCAATCATATGGTCAAGTATGGGCATAACTTTATAGCCACGAAATTTTTGAGTAAATATCTAGTTGGTAGGTAATATAAGTGAACAAGGAGGTAGCCACAATAAACTGCAAGCTGGCGTTGGTCTTTGGGTTGTCAAAGATGGGACTCGCGTACAGACCTCTTTGGTCGTCTTTGCGCCCGTGCTACGATCCTTAATCACAGAACCGTTTGGAAGAGTTGCGCTTTAGTTGCTTATATAGGCAAGTCTAATATACCATAGAGGCTGCTCTGACATTATGTACTCCACTGCTCGGTCGTGGTATTACAGATACTTGCCGATTACGGAGCGCAGGTGTCTCAAGAGAAGAGCACTCAATGCTACTACGCACTGCGTCGCTTATACCAGCAAAGTTTAACTTGGATTTAGGATAAAGGCCATAACGGTGTGATATTCCTTCACCCCTATTTATAAACCGCTGGTTTCTGTTGCAATAGTACATCTTTACTCTTTACCTATACCGCTCGCCCTCAGATAACGGTCCAATTAACAGCAGCAAAGATGGAGCCCATATACATCACATACCTCAATGGCATAGACATTGCGGCGCTGAAGCTCACTGATGCGGAGATACTCGGGGCCATTGAGAAGGCTCTAGATGCGCAGGGCCGCAAACAGACCGTCATCGAGCCACGAGTGCATCTTGTGCCACGCGATTCAGCCAAAGGGCACTTCAACATTCTACGCGGTGTTGTCCACCCACTCAATGCTGCAGGCGTCAAGGTTGTTGGCGATTTTGTCGACAACTACAAGCACGGACTCCCATCCGAGTTTGGCATCCTCAACTTGTTCGACCCAGACACTGGCAAGCCCAAGGCAATTATAGATGCGACATCCATTACGGACATGCGCACTGGCGCAGTTACGGCCTTGGGGGCAAAGTACCTGGCACCCAGCAAACCGAAGATCCTTGGCCATATTGGCGCGCGTGGCAGCTCTTACTGGAACATTCGTCTCTTAGCCAGTCTCTTCCAATTTGACGAAATCCGCATCCATTCCAAGCGCAAAGAGAGCCGTGAGGCGCTGGGCGCTCGGCTAGAGAAAGAGCTCGGAAGGCCGATTCGCGTGCTGGATAGTTGGGAGGAGACTATCGTAGGAGCGGACATTGTCGTTGAGGCCTCACGACTGGCAGCACCAGAACCTCTACTCAAGACGAATTGGATCAAAAAGGGTGCGCTGGTGATGCCTTACGGCACAATGAGTGCTCTAGAACTCTCACTGACGGACATTATGGACAAAATGATCGTCGACGACTGGGGCCAGTGTCGCAAGGGTCTTCCGCTGGGAGCCCTGCGACAACATGTAGATAATGACAAGCTGACAGAAGAGAATCTTTATGCTGAGATGGGTCAGATAGTGGCAGGGTTAAAGAAGGGAAGAGAGAGTGACGACGAGACGATATTGTTTTGGCATCGTGGGTTGAGTCTCAGCGATATTGCGCTCGGCACCGCCATCTTGGACAAGGCGGCGAAGCTTGACATTGGACAACGCCTGAGATATGCTTAGAATAGAAACCGAATGCATGAAAACGGTCAAGATGTAAAAGTGTTCAAACACAGTCGCTTCTTCCCTATGTCCGCTGCACCAAGCACATTATATATACTTGTTGTTCTAACACGGACTCTTGCTACATGTCTGACTTGCCAAAGTGATATTCACGTAGGTGCTATTTAAAATTCGGGGCTACATAATCATTTAGATCCATCTCATCCACTGTTGACTGCAGATACTCAATCTGCTCCTGCACCCACTCCTTCGTCAGCCGGTGCGTCTCGGCAGCTGGTCTTCCCTCAGCCTGTAGCACCTCACGCATCTTGGCCAGGCGCTGAATCACAACATCAAAACGATAGCCTGTCCACTGCCGGAACAGCTCGTCGTTGTTGCTGATGGGCTTGACGGTACGCAACGTGCTCGTGTCCTGCAGCATCGGATCTCGGGGGCGCATAGAGACGACAAAGGTGATGCGCTCACCGCTGCCGAGTGTGCGCAGAGCAGCGTGCGAGACCATGCTGCCTTGCATCATGACGGCATATCCCATGCCTGGTTGCCTCATCTTCAAGATTCCTCCATCGCCTTTGCGCAGCGCTGTCTCGCCGCCCGACATGCCGACAGGGTCGGAGAGCATCAGCACACACACCCACGGATAAGAGTCGTGATGCCACGCGGAAACAAGGTCTTTGAGATCCGCACCCTCTTCATTTGTTACAGTATCGTCACTACTCGCTTTCGGAGGCTCTGGTGGAGGTAGATTGTCCGTAATTGCACTATTCCGGTCCACGTGCTTGGGCAATTGAACATTGAGCTGTCCAATCTCATAGTCCATGATGACGTCCAAGTCCACGCCAGCCGCGTCTGAACATGCCCTTAGCACTTCGGGACTTCGCCACATTGAGTAGGCAAACGGCGCGGCTGGTCCATATCCACGAATGCGATAGACGCCTGGATATTTCCACGAGCCATACTTGCCGACAATTTCGGGGCGAAATATGTCGGCACGTAACTCTCGAACACCGGCTGGAGATAGGAGTGGGAATGGTGCAGTGATGGCCGTTTGTGAGCTGGCCTGCGGGAAATCGAGTTTAAGGTCATCAAGACTGATTGTTGATGAAGGCCGGCTGTAGCATAGATGCTGGAGCGGATCAAAGGGAACTGAAGTTCTCTGAGATGCCGCCACTATGGTTTCATCCAGCGGCCTATCGGATACACGTAGAGGTCTCGCAACACCAGCAGCCGCCATCATGAAGTCGATGTTGTTCTCAATTTGCTACTCTTTGTCTTCTATGGGAAGACCAGTCGTGAAACTTGTCATACAAGCAAAGTGGTAATATAGATTCGTCATAGTGTGAACATACAGCGTCGTAAGTATATGCCCACTTCCCACCGCCGATAACGGTCAAATAAATGATTCCATATACGTCTGTAAACTGCAGGTGGCTATCACGTCACCGCATGCTCCAAGCACGCACACGATCGACACAGCTTATACAATCTCACACTAGCGCTGTATGTACGGTGCCTTGGTATTCAGCCTATATGCTCAACACGATCAATCCACACTTTGACTTTAGCTATTTCGCACGGTTGTAAAGCAAAGTGCTCTGTAGCTCGACTCAATGGTCGAATACGGAGTACTTGTATTGTTTTCCAGCTGGATAAATGTTTCAGAAGTTTCCAAGCAGTAGGGCTTTTGTTATTTGTTTACGAAGCGTTTGAGCTGCTGTTTTATCCCCATACCATTGATTCACAGTCGCAGTCTACCACTCGCATTTACTGCTTGTATCAATATCTCTACTGGAGGAGCAGAGTGATTTCAATTCCGCTATTGCCAAGACTTCAAACATCGTGATAGATGGCTATGATTCAGTATCGATAAAAGAATACGCACCTGCTCAACGAGGTGCGGTGTGTGTCCAATAGTGAATGGTAAGGGATTGGCCACAAAATGTTGATATTCGCTATATATGTGAATATGCTGGGTATAGTATCATTGAGTAGGGTTTCTTAGTATCCTTCTTTTCTATTCACTTTGTTTGTGAGTTCCCGCCCTTCACTCAGTCGGGTCAGGTTATACTTGAGGATCTCATAGACCCTTTGGCCATAAGCACTAGAATTCCCACTGACATGCGGCGAAATGAAGAGATTCTTTGTGCTCCATAATCGGTGGCCATCTGGTAGAGGCTCAGGATCCGTCACGTCAAGCGCAGCTCCTCGTATTATACCATTCTCAAGTGCGTCAATTAGATCATCAGTATTGATAACCTCTCCGCGCCCGACATTTGAAACGAAAGCTCTCCGTTCAGCAAGCAAAGCTAATTCACCTCGTGAGATAAAACCACGGGTTTTCGCCGTGAGTGGGACGGTTATGACGAGCAGATCAAGGCCAGAGCTAAGGAACTCATGTAGGCCTGCTGTGTCCCCAGCAGAGAACCATTTTCTAGGAAAGATGCCTTCCGGATCGCCGAGACCCTCTGGTGTATAAGTCTCATCCCTACGCGACTCGGATGTAGGACGCGGGTGCAAATTACACACGTAGATATCCATGCCTAATGCTTTGAAGACACGAGCTATCTGGCGACCGACAGCACCATAACCAAGAATGCCACTGCAAATTGATCAGAATTGCCGTTTGGCATTCAATCGTTGATCAGGTCTGGACTCACATTCGCCGTCCAACTGCGTCATCCACTGGCTCTTGCAGCTTGTGCCACGTGCTTTGGCGTTGAAAATCAACGTACCGAGTGACTACAAAGTCGAGTCAGTCTTTTTTTTTTTCAGTTTGTGGATCTGTTGTGATAGGCATTACTTTGATGTTGGAAGGCTAAAAACGTGGTTACCACCCACTCAGCTATCTGTGGTCTTGACAGCAGGTTAGCATATCCAATATTTTACTCAAGCCGTTGGGGTCCCGTACCCATGCACTCCGCTGGCCGTACAGAGAGTGACGTCTGTATCTCTGATCAAAGGATGGTCGAGGACGTGATTCGCACCGGCGCTCTGGAGCTGCACATATTCCAGTTTTGGAGCTATATCCGGCGAGGGTAAGGCGCTTCCGGTGAGAAGAATAGTGGCATCCTCCCACTCTTTGTCTGGGAGTTTTTTCTTAAATTCCGGTGTATTCCACAACACATTTTCGACAGTGGCAATTTTAAGATCGGGAAACAATTCGTGAAGTTCTTTAATCCACTCATCTCGGAATCCGGTACCGAGGAGTGCCTTTGGCGGCCCTGTTACTCCGAGGAGCACCAGCAGTTTGTGGCCATGGAGAGTCTTATTTGGAGAAGGTGCCATAATTATTTAATCAAAATCTTAGAATGGAGCCATAAAATGCTTTTTATGACAAAAGTTCAAGGTGCCGACACAGACGCTGGTGTTGAGATGATGTTTGGCTTTAAACATTTTTAGAGATTGAGCGTATTTGAGAGGGACTTGGGATGGAATACGCTGGTCAGATTGCGTGCTTAATAGCCCACAACTAAAAACCACTTATCAGTCTTCATTACGTCAGCAGTGCTGCAAGTTCGTAGCTCGCGTGGGCTAGAATTCCATTCGGTATATGATAAAAGACATATCTATTCAAGAATCTTAATCAAAGATAAGGATAGGTCATGAATAGACTAGTTGAACCCCCTGTAGAAGAGTTATTTCGCTAGACAATATGAGTGCAGGTGACACATCTTGCGACTAGTAATAACTAAGTGCTTTGTATATAATTTACTATCAGCTAATATTGCAAATATTCAATGTTAATCTATTCTCAATGCTATCTGCTAGACCGGCGTGGGTTCCCTTAACGTACACCTGTTAGCATGGGTGGTTCAAACAAAGCTTATTCAATGGATACTTCGCGTACAATTTACAGAACTAAGAAATTAGCAACAGTGCTTGGCACAAGCAGGTCTTTTGGACTGATAGAGAGCCCAAGTTTGCTTGCCAGGTGCCAAAAACTCGAACTTGGAGAAAGAAATATGCGAGATGACTGCTCCAATTGATGAATAGTTGGATATCCGGAAGGTTGTTTCTATCCAACCAAAAATCTTTCTGAATCTGAAACGCCGAATTTTGTCTTCTCGCTGAGGTTTTGGTGTAGTAGCAGAGTAAATCAGATCATCACATGAAATTGTTTACAGCTCTTGTGGGCCGGCCGAGATACGAAGTTTAACTCAATCACCCTCCTCAACTATCTGCAGATGTTGTAATCTTTACTAAAAGCAAATCAGTATAAAGCAATGTCATTCTATTATAGAGGGCAATATCCATGTTTCTTGTATAAGAAACTCATTAAAATTGGCACATTTAACATATACATGCCTTATTATTATGTTTTTCCAGGAAAATACCCCGAGTAAGAATGCGTAAAGGGAGAACTCAATACTACGATTGTGATGTTGAAAAATTTGTTCAAGATTCATCTTTGGACAAGAGAACAGCATAATACTAGGAAATAACTCAACCTCTTGCGTACTAAAATTCACTAACCCCTCCAGGGCGAGATGGCCACGAACATTGGTTCAGAAATCTTGAGTTCCTCCTGAACCAGCCTGAATCTAGGCAAAGGGGGGTTAGTCGACCCAATTCTAGAGATTTATTACCCTTCTTCAGCCTGTGTAAGACCTCTACTCAAGGCCTCTTACATACTACCTGTGTTACCTGCCAAAGATAAGCGCTTGATCACCGCAGCGAGCATTCTTCAACTTCGTCATATATACCTTATCTTATAGTGCAACATAAAGATTTACCGGTAGTTACATACAACAAATTGGACATACTAAGGGGCTAAAATATACTTTTAGTATTAGTGCCCACTTTGAGATGATTCAAGGGCTCCCCACATCGTGAATCGCCGCCGCGTAACTGAGCATTAAAAAATTGGACACAAGTAAGGCCAAGTCAATACATTTTGAACCTCCGCCCACTCTACAGACAACTTGACCAAAATTGGAGCAATAATTAAGAGCACTAAGCTACGGCTTGAGAATTTGTCAGCTTGATAAGGTTCTTGATTCTGTTGATGGGTACAGAGGGTAGCTGGAATAAAGAGAGTAGGGTAGCCACTACTTTTTGTAATTATAGCCAAAGGCAAGGACCGCACGCCGTAAAAAGCTTCTTCCACGCACTGCTAGTGTCGAGGAGCCATTGGGAATGAGCGAAGGCGCCTCATAAAGAGACTGTGTTTTCGAGATGGACTCATCTAGCAGTGGATTTCTGCTTGTAGCTTCTCAATCATCTACTTCTCCGCCATATATCAATGTTTGTGGTTCTAGGGCAAGGGCCAAGGGTGAGGACGACATGATAGAGGCTAAATGTAAATTTTCCCGTCAATGGTCAAAAATTCTGGTGAAATTACCTCGGCAACTGTAGCATCGCCTGTGACACTTGCGCTCTGACCACTGGAAGTTTACACGACTACATCAGTATCTACCTGATGATTGTCCTTGAAAGCCTCAAGCCAATCAGACACCTGAGTAGCATGTATAATAACAAATAGCGACGTCCCTTTCAACACCCAAAAAGGCAATAAGCGGGTCTGATTGCCTTGCTAGCTCAATCGGTAGAGCGTGAGACTCTTAATGAGGCACACGTTCTGATGCAATCTCAAGGTTGCGGGTTCGACCCCCGCGTGAGGCTTTTCCTATACATCAGATCCTTCTGTCTTTCTTTTTTTGCGCTTTCTGTTTGCTCGTAAACGGATTGTTTCTTTTTCTTGTATCATTGAGCTCTTCATTAACCAATTGGTTCCACCAAAAAGCTGTAAATATGTAGATAGACAACAAACAGTCTTGCTCTCTTGTGGCTGACTGATTCCTTCAAACTCCACAGCGCCTTATTTTCCCATTATTACATGCAATTCATATCCACGTCCCTTGAACACAGAGACGAGAAGAAAGAGAAGAAAGAGGTGTCGTTTCGTCCTCTTCTTTACCCCTTCATCTCCTCACTGGCCCCCAGCAGCGTTACACATAACACTGAAGCTAGGGCGGCCAAGCTTCCCAAAATCAGCATCTGTACACCCTCCCAAATGCAGCGCATCCAACTGCTCGAGGCGTCTCCTCCTCTCAGCAACCAGCTCTTGCCCGCACCGAATGACATCAGAGCCAACAGACACAGGGCAATGCTCCACCGGAGACCAAGACCGACTGTCGAAGCGAAGAAGTAGGGCAGCAGAGGAATGGTGCCGCCGATAATGTAACCCAGAGAGATGGATAGACCCGAAGCGAGCGGCCAGATGGGCAACTGATCCGCGCCACCAGACGTCTCTTCGACGGAGAATGTGGCTCGTGAGGAATGCAGTTGGCGGACGACGTCGTACAAGCCCTCGGGACGCTCCTTGAGAGTCGACACGATGTCCGTGACCATCCACCCAGGCAAAGCGAGGGGCTCCAGATGCCGCCTTACTAGCATCTCCTGCGCCTCTTTGTTCTTCTCATCGATGCTCTCCCTCCCGCTGTCATGATGAAGCATGCCCTTAAGCTCCTCCTCGTCGCCATCTCGGTTCTCTGTCGTAGTCGAGGGCAATTCGTCTTTTGCGGAGAGATAGCCGCCAATGCCCATGCTAATGCTTCCCGCACAGAGTTCTGCAAGACCAGCGTAGATGACGGTGTCAGCGCGCCCTAGGGAACTGAGGCCCGCAGTGAGGGCGAAGGGCACAGTGAGGCCATCTGAGAAGCCCAGGGTGAAGTCCGAGAGGAATCGGATGAGGAGGGGGCTTCTTGATTTCGACATGATGGAGGACTTGGTGTTTCGGCGAAGACAAGATGGCTGGGAGAGATGCGATTTGGAGGGAGATTCAATGGGAATCTGTGAGTCAAGTGCGAGGGAGGAGGGCGATGATGAAGATTGAGCGAGGTGAATCAACCAGCCCAACGCGTCAAGGGAGGACAGGCTTGTCGATAGCTCATGACGATGCGACAGAGTGACATTCGGCTCCTCGGTCGAGCTCTTGAGCAATTGCTAGCAGCAGTAGCTCAGGCTAGTTCCTCATGCCAATAGTTCCCTCTATCTCAGCTGTGAGCACGCGGTCTCTGACCAAAAGACCCAGTCTGCTCCCTTGCATTCTGCACGCACGTTACATCGCCTGGCCAAATGTTTGCTTCCCCGAAGGCATCCAAACCCACCCATCTAGCCCACTCTCCCCGTCGGTCTGCCTGTCCCTCGACACCAACCCCAGAGGAGACACCGAGCAGTCTCTCAAAGAGGCTCTGATTTCCCTCATGCCAGACAATAGTCCTCCGCGTTTCTGCCGTCCTTCCGTAGGCCGGGCCAGGCACTCCGAACCAGTTCTCGCATGCCGCTCCAAGCAGATGCTCGATTTGGGCCCACGTGCACACTAACTCGCCAGTGCTTAAGAATGGGTGGACGCTGATTCGGGGGGCGGAGAAAACCGACAAGGCGCATAAGCCTTTTTTCTACAAGCAGGGGGGTGCCTGGCAAGGGTCCGTGGGGTGGCGCTGTGGGTTTTAGGCGGGGAGCTTGATGGGATCACAGGATTTTTGTCTTGCCTTGTTCTCTGTTTCCACGATTTGGAATACCATGTCTTTGATGAAATCGGTGGTATGACAGTCAATTAGGCGGTAGACAGGCAGAGAAAGAGAAAGCCGAGACGTTGTTACTCAAGAGAAAGAGTAAAAGAGGGGATACGTGATACAACGTCTGAAGGAATTTTTTTCTTTCCGGCGGGTGAGAAGAAGAAAAATGGAGAAGCCGCCGCCAAACTAGGAAGCTGGGACTTTTGGATGTGCCGGAGGTGGCGCCGTGCACGAGCCGATGTATGTAAGTCGGCGTGCTTAGCAGTATTAGGCAGTCAGCCAAGGCCAGGCACAAGGACATCATCATCACCGCTGTTTGCTTGTTTTGTTTTGTTTCTACATCATATGTACAAGGGAGCATGTGAATCGGGGACATCGCAATTGGTGTGTACGAGTATATACAATTACTTTTTATTTAGGTCATCTGCCGAGGTTCAGAGCTACCTTACTGTCTATCCAAGCAGGACAGACATCATCTCCCAAATTCACCAATTCCAATAAGACATGTAGTTAAAATATAATATATTATCAAACGTGGGAAAAATATCAACACTTAGTTGGTGGAGACGGGCTTGTATCCCTGGGGAGGGTTCAGGCCGTCGGGGAGCTCAATGGTGTCGGCGTAGTAGGTGGCAGACTTGCTGTGCTCCCAGGTCTTCTTAATGGCGGGCAGGATGGTACGGCCAGAGAAGCTGCGGTCGAGAGCCAGGTTGGGGGCAGGGTACTGGTTGTTGGGGTTGCCAGTCTCCTCGTTGAAGACACCGGCGTAAGAGGCGTTCCAGAAGTGGCTGTTGGCAGCCCTGGTGGAAGACCACTTGCGGAGGCGGTCGCCAGTCTCCTTGGCAACCAGGTCGAAGACGTTGGCACCAACATCCCAGCGGCCCAGAGTGTGGAGGTTCCAGTTGGCCTCGACGGTGGCGATCTCGCTGTAGTGGTTATAGAAGTTGTTGTCGGTGGTGCCAACAAGGTGCTTGGGGACGGCGTCACCGAGCAAGATTGCGAGAATCTGGTTGCGCTGGGCATAGGTCTCGTTCTCATCCCAGGTGAGGAGGACAAGGGTGTTGTCCATGAAGTGCTTATCGTTCAGGAGGGGCTCGAGGAAAGCACGGCACCACTTGCCAGCAACGCCGACGTTGGTGTCGTGGCCGTCAGAGGTCATGTTGGGGGTGATGAACATCCACTGAGGCAGCTTGTTGTCCTTGAGGTCCTTGTGGAACATGGAGCGACCGGTGTCGATCATGGACAGGTTCTTGACCTGGGACAGGCGCTGCTCGTAGTGGGTGACGCTGTTGGCCAAGATGGCGGGGTTGTGCTTGCGGACGTAGTCGTTGGCACCGGTCTTGGTGTTGACGTAGCTGAAGCCCTCGTAGCCGGTGTAGGGCTGGTCCTCCTGGTAGTGGCCCCAAGAGATGCCACGATCCTCGAGCAGGTCGATGACGGTGGACACGTTGAAGTCGGCAGAGTTGAAGTCATCGTTCTGCATGCCAAAGTAGTCACCAATAATACCGGCCATATAGTTGGGCTCAGAAGGGTGAGTGACACCGAAGTAGTTGGTCAACTTGACACCCTTCTTGGCGAACCAAGTGAAGTTGGCTGCAAAGCAAATACTGTCAGCGTCTTCCGGGTCCCCTTCTTTAGACAAAGGATTCGAGATTCAAACTTACGGTCACCATCAGCCTTGTCGTAGTCCTGGTTCTCAAAGTAAATGACAACAAAGCGGTCAAAGGCCTTGCCCTTGACGTGGCTGGTCGGGCTGCTGGTCTTGGCCGTGGCAGCAGCAGCAGCAACAGCAGCAGTGCCGGTGGCAGTGTACTGAGACTCCCAGACAGTGATGGTGGAGGAAGGCTTGGGAGGCTTGCAGTGGCTCTTGTCAACGGCGGCGGCAGAGGCCAGGCCGGCGGCAGCCAGCAGAGAGACAACCTTGGACAGCATCTTGAACGGGCTTTTCCTTTTCCTTGGATCCTGGTGAAGACGAGCCTTGCTGGAGAGGACGGACGGAACCAAGAGAAGGGGGGCGGCCGGGTTTAATACAACAAAGAGCACGCCGTGTTCCTAACCGAGACAGTGATCAGCCCGCCAGCTGGGGCCTGGCTGCTGCGATGTTACCCGATGCTGGAGACGTGTATTACTGTATTACTGCGTATTTCGTATCCATTACTACAGTCCTGTACTCGTAAGTACTACGTAGTAGGTACCTAGGCAGAGATGCAGCGACTTGCCAGGGTGCTGGCTACCTCTACCTAGTCGCTCCCCTCTGTGAGCTTAACCCGATTAAAGCTTGCCACGCGAGGGAACTGTCATTAAGCAGCGACAGTCCACTGGGGAATAGGTACCAAGGCCCTAGCGGATAAATCGGCACACGATGTCCTGGATCTCAATCGAGGCTGGAAAATCCACGATGCGCCTCTTGGCAGCGTTGCCTTCCCACGTGCTGGAGAGCTGTTGAAGAAGAGAAAAGAGAGGCGGACCTGCAGCTCATGTCTGCTAGCTAGCGACCTTTAGTTGGGTGGGTTTTAAGTGTCATCAAGCCACCATCTTGCCGTACTGGCACTAACATTTAAGCCCTGGCGACAGGGTTCTTTTGGGGGCCCAGCTTGTCTTCCTTGGTCGGAATCAGCTTGTGGACTGATTGCCGAGTTTCGTGCTTGCGAACGACATACCGCCTCGGTCAACGAATGAGTGCGGCCTAGTTACAAAGCAGAGCCTAGGCTGCTGACGGGTATGTTGGTGTGGATAATGGCGCTGCAGAAGGACGGAATAATCGAACCCTTTGAGCACATGCTTGGCAAGGTTCAAGGAAGATGTGAAGCACCAAGTTGCGCCTGAGGAAGGGCGGATACCGGAAGAGGACCGAGGATCGAAGACATGAAGCTACTACTATTTGCTGTCCAGTGTATTGGGAGGAGCTTAGTGTTGCGAGTATACGTGAATGAGCAGCAGGAACTTGCAACACCAAATACTAAACATTGGTGTCACTCCAGCAGAATACAGGTATGCTACATGTACCTATGTACCGGGGGGCATTACATATATACGTCGAGGATTCAATTCAACTTCAATTATTGGTCGTACAAAGCAATGTCAAATATCATCAAGTAGAAAAATCAACTACCTAGGTACATACCTATGGTTGCCGTAACTCTCGTCCCCAAATAAGGCTCGCGAGGCTCTACTTGTCAGGCTCATTTTCCAGAGGTTCAAAGCCTCAACCCTATCGCCACAGAAGGACTCTGGCTTGTCATAGCACCTCGTCTAGCGGCTCCTCCCGCTGTCCAATCGCCGTTGCGCCCGCAGGCATGCCTCTCCCGAACGCCTAAATATTCTTCCACCCGCCCGTCAGCAGTCAAATCCGGCCTCCGACCAACACGCGGACAACACCATCTGGTCTCCCGCAGCTCATCCAGCTACTCCCTTTTCGACACCGGCCGTCAACTGCTCCTTTATACGCGGGCGCATTTTGGTGCCCTCCCTCTGATTGGGCTGCCTGGGATTCAATCGTCTCCTGCAGGCTGTTCGTAGTCGCATTTCTTCGAATTGCTGCTCCACAAGGCCGACATGTTCACTGGGAGCTAACAACTATCGCATTTCTTCGTACCTGAATTAACGCGCTCCGATCGTCCAAGTCAAGGCGACAGAGCTCATCCGCGAGGACCCGGTCTCGGAGCGTGCCGTACCATGACAATACCGGCTGTGACGGTTCTCATCCCTCCAGAGCTTCGCCGGTGAGTGCAATGGATGCTGTTGGAGCGCATCAACGAGGAGACTCGACTGGTGCTTTTGATGACGAAGCTCGTCAAGAGCTCGGCGAGCAACGGCCCTTTATTCGTTCGTCGAGTTTCCGTCCTTCTCGACGTCACAATGGCCGCGGCTCTCGATCCCGCTCTCAGCCTCTCTGGAAGCTAGGTCTCTTCTTCTTCATTGTCACAGTCTCTGTCCTGGCGCTAGCCGCCGTCCCCTTCAGCCTTCAGTCGCTTTCCAGAGAATCTCCGCCAGATTCAACACATGAGGGAGTTGACGACGATGACCACTCTCCGGGAGAGCATCCTGCTGAAGATGAGACTGATCACCATGAGGCCGAGTCTGAGCCTGCTGCAGGAGATGGCGGCGAAAGTAGCTCAGGGCCACTGATTGTCCACTATAAAGAAGAGATACCAAGTATCCCAAAGCTAAGAGATGTCTCGGAATACGTCTTATCCCCTTCTTGGGACTTTGGCGCTGCTCCTACCACCAGAGAGTATCATTGGACAATTGTAGATGGACGCCTGAATCCTGATGGAGTCTATCGCCCAATGATACTCATCAACAACCAGTTCCCCGGCCCTCTGGTTGAATGCAACGAGGGCGACACTATTCGAGTCATTGTGGAGAATAAAGCCATCAATGCTACTTCGATGCACTTTCATGGTCTCTTCCAAAATGGCACCAACTCCATGGATGGCGCCGTTGGCATCACGCAATGTCCTATTGCCCCCAATTCAACCTTCACTTATGAATTCAAGATCCAGGAGCAGTCAGGCACGTACTGGTATCACGCCCACCATAGTGCCCAAGCATCTGATGGTCTCATTGGGCCAGTTGTGATTCACTCCAAAGATGAGCGAACTGCTCTGCAGAAGCTGGAATACGCTTCGGACAGAATCATCATGGTTCAAGACCATTACCACAACCTCACTTCGGAGCTCTTGATGGATTATCTGAAGCCTGACATGGAGAATAATGAGCCTGTTCCAGACAACGGTCTCATTAACGGCCGCGGCGTGCGTGATTGCAAAGATTTCAATGGCTGGGATTGCGATACCTCTAATGTCTCGACCCCAACTCTTGACCTTGCTGCTGGCCAACGCCACCGACTGCGCATCATCAATGTCGGTGCCTTTGCTGAGTTCCAAATCCAGTTCGATGAACACCCCTTCTACGTCACTGAGGTCGATGGCACCGACGTGTTTCCCGAGCCGTTCCATCGTCTCAACATCCTCCCAGCCCAGCGGTACAGCGTTATCCTGGAAACCAATGTCACCACTACCGATGCCTTTTGGATGAGAGCCCGAATGGTCACTCACTGCTTTACTACTAAGAACTCCCGTCTGCAGCCCGAGATTCGGGCTGTGATCCGTTATGATTCACCCGAAAGTAAAGCCATGGACAAGGAGCCTACCAAGGAGCCTACCAGCAAGGACTGGCCTGAAGCCATCGAGGTTATATGTCGCGATCTCAATGTCTCTGCCTTGCATCCAGTCATTGCCATGAATCCGCCGGCGGCAGACAAGTACATGCGCTTCGACGCAAGTTTCATGATCGGTGACTGGCGTCTTGCACGCGGCTTTTTCAACCAATCGACCTGGCATCACAACGTCACCCGTCCATCTCTCCACCGCTTCCTCGACGCATCTGCCAACGCCACCACTCTCAAGTCACCCATTGCCGTCAACAACATGGCTTTCGACTACCAGAAGGAGCTCGTCATCCAAACACAGGGCATCCGCACTATTGACTTTGCCATCAACAACTTCGATGACGGCAACCACCCGTTCCATCTCCACGGGCATAAATTCTTCGTCCTCTACCAGGGCCGTGGCGGGTACCCCCCCGCAGCGGAAGACTTCCCGGGTTTCGTCAAGGAACACAATCTGGACAACAACCCCGTCCGGCGCGACACTGTTACGGTAGAAGGCTACAGCTGGGCAGTTATCCGCCTTGTGCTTGACAACCCTGGCATGTGGGCATTCCACTGCCACAACATGTGGCATGCCGAGTCGGGTATGCTGATGCAGCTGCTTGTAAGGAGTGACGTGGTCCGAGGATGGACTGTTAGTGATCAAGAGAGAGCCATATGTGAGCTCGAGGGCGTCGCGACGGGTATGAGACCAGATGATAGCATCTGGTTCGGCAACTTTGGCGATAAATGACGGTCTGTTTAGAGGAGTTTAAAAGAAGGGTCCACGAGGATATAAACAAGGCAATAGATTACGCCGCGATGAGAAGCGATACCATACACTAATCACATATATATAATGTACCAGATCTATTTATGTATACCTAGGAAGTCCCAACTTGGGTATTAAACACTAAGAAAAAAAAGAGAGGAAAACATATGACAAAAAAAAAGGAGACTTTAAAGAAAAATATTTTGCCCAGAAGTATTCGGAGCAGTATTCTTTGTTTTTTTGGAGTATGAATCAGAGAGTCTGATGCAGGCTATATAGAGCCGCCCATCTATTAACCCATCCTATCCCATTCCGCCCCATCCCAAGGACCGCTGAGCACAAAAGCTCAATCCTTCCTGTCTAAATTGTGGTGGAAACAAAAAAAAGTCTATCTTCGTTCATTCTTCAGTTTCCGCCGATCCATTCTATCGCCCAGCTGAACTGCGGTCCCACTAGGAACAATAGCTCAGTGAGCTACTCATGCCATCTCTCACCTCACTTATCGAGAGATGGCCCTCGCACCTCATATCATCCTTTTGCTCTGTTTGGTATACCAAAGAAGGAAAAGGGGTGATAATAAATGGAACAATACATTGCAGCCAGAATGAATCGGACTAGTACAATAAATTGCATGTAAAACGCCTGTGCCCTGAGATGTGCTGTAGAGAGAAATAATGGGCCGCCAACAAAGGAAATTAATGCAACACAAAAGAGAAAACAAATTCGATAGCGAGCAGAGAGAATGCCTAACCCCCTTGCCTTGGCCGTGGTCCCCCAGTGTCGCAACGCCATGAAAACACTAAAAGAGAAAAGAGATGAACAAAAAGAAAACTTTTCTGGCCGAGCCTGAAGACCTGCCATGTTATCCGGAAACAAGATGCTCCACGAGTTGCTCCTTGCAAGGCAGCAGGACGCCAGTATACCAGTGCTAATGCGGGCTGTAACAGATGACTAAGACAAAATAAAATGCGCAGGTAGATGTATCTCTTGGATGGAGATAATGCAGGATATCATGCAGTTGATTCCGTTTGTTTGTAATTTCAAGTATATCAGTTACACTCTTCGAGCAATGTTTACTCCAGGGTTGACAAAAGCCCGAGATGCAATATCGCTGAACCGACGCACGACGTTTGTTGTTCCGCCAGTGACCTGGGATTCATCCAGAATGAATTTGGATGCGACGGCCAGCCTATTCTTGGGGTCCGATTCATCCAAATGCTGCGGGATTGTAGCAGCATATCCAGAATCAAAGTTTGGTGCGAGCTCGCGGACGACAGCTATGGAGTAGAGGACGTCGCGATTCTCGCGGCCGTCGAGGAGGTGGCGCATGCGGCTCAGAACATCTTCCCTAATTTTGACGGTCGCAGGCGAATTGGGATTCTCTCTCCTGCGAACAAACTCGGCCAGGCTATACCAAAAGTCGAACTGGCGCACGCGGTGGTGGTCTCCATCTGCCACCGGAGGAGAGAGGGGGTTGCTTAGCAGCTCATCGCCGCAGAGCAAGGCCTCGACTACCTGTAGGCGGTTTCTGGCTTCCGTGGGGTCGTTGTCAGGTGGTAGGTTAAGACGCATGGAATTGATTGCCCTATCGGGTATTTGGTATGCCGTACAAGCCAACTCCCACACAATTCTGGTTTCCAGCACCCCCGAATAAGCCATCTGGGTGTGGTCATTGGCCTTGACGGCCTCGAGGATCTTGAGGAAAGTTGCCATGTGCTCGATGAGGTTGGCATCTTTGGGGAATGTCATTTTGCCATTCTCGGTAAAGTAGTACCAGCTCGTTTCGAAAAAGGCACTGAGCCCGCTGGCATACATTTCATGGTAGACCTTTGTGATTTCATTAAATGTTTCTTCCGTGTGACTAATCTGCTGAACGGGTGCGGGTGGGCCAAGCAAGTCGATAATTTCATCGATCTTCATCTTCTTGGCTGTGAAATGCCATCCGGGTTAGCATTTTAGATTGCCTTTATTATCACCAAGAGGAATGAGAGAAAGAAACCAGAAAAGCAAAGATTGGGGTTGGGTCAAAACTCACCTCGTAAATAGCTATTATCGGGGCCCGAAAGCGACATCTGGTTGGTGGGCATGGCAGACATGGTGCGTACGGCAGGATCAATATTCGAAGAATAGCCGTAGCCAAGTTCAGGCTTCACAGAGAGAGAAGGATTATAGGTGCTTGGTGGGATCGACGGGGTGCCAGGGTTTGAGCTTGTCGCATAGCCGCTCGGTAGCATCGGTGATTGGCTGCCGTACGAGTTGACCAGACGCGGTGTAGGAGGGCCAACCGTCGATCCGGACTGCACAGAAGCGATTCCAGACGGCTCGGTGGGCTGTGAGAGGCTGTTCGATGCGGGCTGCACACTGTTGCTGGTGGGGGTTCCGCCCTGCTGTCGGAAGATGGGATCGTAGCCCAGGCACTCGCGCTTCGATTTCCTGCAGTTGTTGCAGGTGGGATGCGTCTCGTCGCACTGCAAGGACAGATAGATGTCAATGGCAAGATTCTAGGTGGGGCGCATAGGTGCAGAAAACAGCTAGCTAGCAAAAGTGACGATGATGAAAAAAAGGAGGGATGAGACGAGAGAGAGAGAGGGCAAATGCAAGCTAATGGCGGTGTGGCTAAAGAGCGGAGAAGTGCTGAGTAGTCAATGTCTTGAGTGCAAGACAAGGAAGAAGTTTTCAATTGGCGCGAGGTGCCAAGTCTCACGCTCGCGTTGGTTTATAGCGGCGCGCCACGAGTTTCAAAGTTGCTCAGCTCTCAGCAGCTTCAGCTGCCGAGGGGCCGCTTTTTTTTTTTTCCTTGCTGCATCCCACGCGCAATACGAACACTCGCTTCAGACATGGCGAAAGTAGAATCGAGGAAAAGGAGAACAGAAATGAAACAATAATTTGGAGGAAAAATAGAATGAACAAGCAATTGTAGTGGTGAAGCTTCTTGAAAGGGTAGTAGTGGATGTCCATATGCGCACCTTGATTCGTCGTTTGCGGCAGGTTAAGCAGCCTGTCTTGGTTCGTCGCTTGATTTCCTACGTGCCACCACTGTCAGCCCTGGCCCAGAAAGCAGATCAATTGCTCTCCCTAGGGGTCAATGGAGCCGCGGCTTGTCCAATACATACCTTCTTGGGGCCCCGATGGTTGATTAACCGGGGATCGTGGGGAAGAGGATACCGAGCCAAGGCGTCTTGGGGGAAGCCATAGTTGGAAGGGAGAGGCGCTGAATGACTTGTGAAGTAAGGAGGGGTCGAGACGGCAGTAAGGGGCATGCTCATGCCCATGGACATGGAATGGTGCGGGATTGGAGGGACAGATTGCTGTGACATGGCGTCGATGGTCCGCATGCTGGGCAGTGACATCTGCGGAGTGCCCACGGGACTGACGCGGTATGCATCGCCCTGCTGAGCTGCAGCTGTAACTGTGGAATATGAGGCGTACTGAGTGGTCGGGAGGCTGGTCTGGGGAGGATAGATGGGCGACGAGGAGCTTGTGGGATAGCCGGCGTGCAGGCCGTGGAGAGCCGCAGCTGGCGGTCGGTGGCTCGCCATGTCGGCCTCGGACTCGGGGGTCGTGGTATTGGTCTCGGACGCCCGACTGTCGCCGTTTTGCTGAGGGGGCGGCAGCGGCAGCGGTTGCGATTGCGATTGCGGCTCGTGATGCTGCTGCTCCTGTGGTGGCTGTTGCTGCTGCCGCGGTTGCTCGTCCTTCAGCTGCGATTGCTGCTCTTCGGTGGGCTCCTGCGGAGGCGGCGCAGGGGCGGCGGCAGTGGAAGTCGAGTCTGCTGAGGTGGATTGTGTGACTTGAAGCTTGGGAGATGCCTCTCTTGTGGGAAAAGCAGGTTGAGGAGCAGTGTCGGAGACAACAACGACAGAAGTCTTGTCGTCTCCCGAATCGTCTGGAACCATTTTCTAGTCTGTAGTAATTCCAATTTTATGGAGCGCCGACATGGAATAGCGTTAACCGCGACAAGGGACGCGACCCCCGGCCCGTACAAGCGACAGGAGAGGGAGGGCTGGGCTGGATTGCTCTAGTCGCGGAGAAGAGATTGTGTAGGTTGTGATGTGCAGGCAAAAGAGGCGCGGATGCAAAATTGAGCTTCAGGTCTGGAGCATAAGGTAGCAGGCAGGGCGGCCCGTTACAGGCAAGGTACCTGCTGGGGCAGTACAGGTACAGGCACTTGTGCGGTAGAAGCGCCGCTGCAGGTGTGCCCGCAAGTACATGTACAGGTACCTACTAAGTACGTACAGACACTGCAGCGGCGTACATGCACTCGGCCCACTAGCGGTCGGTACCTGTCCTCTGGCACCTTGGCACCTGAGCACCAAGTACAGGTACAAGCACAAGCACAAGCACAAGCACCTTGGCTCTCGACTGCTGGCGGCCGGGGCCCCCCCAGCTAGGCTTATTAGTCGGCTAGTGCCAGCTCCTGGCCAACTCCCGGAAGCTGCTCCGTACAAGACAAGATGAACACAATGGAACGCTGAAAGGCGGTAATTCTCTTCAGCAGAGGATGATGGACGGAGCACAATTGATTGGATTGGTGCTGCGTAGGTATGAGGCGTGTGCCTGTATACGAAGGTACAGGTATGTACGAAGCTTGCAAGTTCCTCCTTAGTACCTGGGCGAACATAGACCTGAGAGATGCTAACTGGATCTGGCAGGGAGTTGGGACGAAAGTACGAGCACCTGGAGCGTTTGGAGACGCAAAACGCAAACATCAATCACATCTCGCCCAAACACCATTGGCAAAGGCCGCGAGATGCAGCCGCAGATGCAGGCAGCGTACGAGCACTCGTACATCCGCTCAATCAATGACCATCGAGCCCAGCTCAGCAGGGCACCACGGCATCCACTGAGACGCTACGAATATTGATTCATCAGTCGCAACATGCATGCGCGTACAGCTGGTTAGTGCAGTAGCTGCTTCGTGCTAAGGTGCGGAACAGATGCCCCTACATGACGGGGTAGCACTGCTAACCACGCTTCCAGTTAGCACTCGGATTGTACGAGCACTGCTGAATACGCGAGTCCTACTGCGACAAGCAGGTACTAGGACTCGTATCTTAGTGCTTCAATATGCATGTACGCGCGGATGCCGGTTCGCTGTCTTGATGCTAGCTGCTACTTACCCAGAACCTTGCTGGTGCTCCGTATTTGGAGGGATGCTTGTCTGTGATGGAGTGCCCGGTAGGGCGGCTCGGACGACGGACCCGGTCCAATCGAATCGATTCTCGAGCTGCATCGGCAACCCTTGAGATCTATTGGATTTGCCCTTTCACTACCACCACACCAGACTGGAGTGCCTGTACCGTGTACGGCAGTCTGGCTGCCTTGAAGCCGATGCCACGGCTCGACGCCCATCCCAAGGTAGGGTGCATGTTAGCACACGACGCCTCGTGCTAGGTACAGTAGAGTGGGCGAAGATAGTGTCAAGTTACTCGTCATTTTCCGTCCACCAATAAACAGCCGTGGCAGTGATCCAAAGCTTCAGCCGGGTGCTGATGTCTGCTTGCTTCAGGGGTGGTGGTTGAGGAGAAGACACGACACGTGCCACCCATTAGGTAAGACTCCAGGTATCTCGATAGCCATGCGGCATGGTTCTTCTCGGCCAAACTGCCTGGTCACTGCTTGATATCTTGGCTGCTCCCATGCCTGTACAAACGAGCACAACTCAACTGCATCCCAAGCAGCTCTAGTTCTAGACTGAGCTGAGCTGGACAGAGCACACAGACAAGTGCCTGTAGGGAGCGTGCATTGCATTGCTAGCACCGGGTACGCTGGACACCGCCGACAGAGGTGGGCTTCTTCCCGTCTTTTTTACTCTCGCGAACCAGCATTCGGCTATGCTAGTACTACTGTACATGGTACTGCTCTAGCAGAGCGGTCCACTAACCTCCTACGCTATGTTCATGTTGTCTTAGACGTGGAACCTCTTGGTCCAACAGCCGTGCCTCTCGCCGCCAGCCAGCAACAAGAGAGGGCCGATAACGCCTACCTGTGGATAAGATCGATGGAGATGCAGATTGGCGAGCGATAAAATACGAGTGGCAGAAGGGACTGGCCGGCCAAGTTACGAGTAACTGGTCATTTACTACCTCCCTACTGTTCGACTGCTGGGCGACAACAGCAAATCGACGGAGCATGGCTTGCTGAGCAAGGATGGCCGTGTACGCTGCAGCAGCTCCCAACTCTTCTCTCTCCGATGTGTTGCTTGCATGCCGAAAATAGACACTTGTCCAGGTGATGCAGAGGAAAGGAGGAGGTACTTACGGTACCAGAGGCTATCATGAGCACGAGAACAAACTACAGTATGCCCGCACCATCATCGTGGCGTCTGGAGCTGCAGCGATGAGGACGGACGTTACCTGTACTACCGCTTCGTACCACGACTTCACACCACCAGGTGCTAAAACACCGCTACTCCGCAATAGTGCTCGGATCCCTAGGCCGGCTCGACGGAAAGTAGCGTGGAGACCAGGGGGCCAGGTCATAAACGGTGAGAGCTGCATTGTGCTGCATGTGAGCACTGGCTTTGTGCATGCATACTGCACATACGAGTCCTCCTCGTACATGTATACCGCAGCCCCCCTCGGGGGCTCACCGATTCGCAGCCATTCGAGGGGCAGCGAGCTGGCATCCAGATCGATACTGCAGCGTCTGGTCTCGAATATCCCCGAGACAATGCCTGCAACGGCGTTGGGGAACCAATCGCGCTCTCCTCGCTACCTAGCTTCAACCGCCTAGCCCACGCCCGCATCTCATCCGAGGCTCGATGGACAGGCGAGACAGTCGAGCCGCCTGCTTTCTGAGAGAGCGAGAGAGAGAGAGGGAAAAAAAAAAAGGAGCTCACCGAACCTTCTAAGAAACCTTGTTGCCGCCTTTACTCGTAGGCCTGCGCTCACACCCCGGACTTGTGCCCGCCGATATACTTTCCTTGTAGTAAGGTAGTTGTACACACGGACTTCATTCACGGAGTTGGGACCGGTGGATCTCCCTGCCCTCATGCAGCATCTCCCGTGGCCCTCAGTACGGAGTACAGGGAGCAGCTATCTGCTCTCTGCAGTACGAGTATGCAGTGCTACTTCGACTGTAAGTCCCAGTCCTCATTTTGGGGAACCCGCTGGTGGAGCGCGGTAATATGACAACCGCCATAGCTTGACACCGACTAATGTCTTCTTAGCAACCCAAATCATTATGGAGTGCATACAAGTACATTGATAGGCTGGCGCCAAAGAGTCAAGTACAGGTAGCTCAAGGGAGAGATGAGCCCATAGCTGAGCAAACCTGGCCCTGGACGGCGCAATTTCATTAGCGGCCCAGCAACCAGCCACCAGCTTGGATTAAGTTCCTCTCACATGATGGGGATCTGAATGCCTAAAGGGGAGGGGGGGAAGGAAGTTGGAATAAGAAAAAGCAAAGAAAAAATGAGCTGACAATGATGGCAGTCATACAAGTATAATCGACCAGGGCGCTAAGGAACGGCTGCTTCCTTGGCGAAGCGAAAGGGGAGCATCAGCCACATGGACAGCCGCAAGCCGCGCTGGTGCAAGTTGCTCCGCATTCTCAACCATCACCACAGCCGTACGGAGCACATACCTGTATGTACAAGTCGATAGTCTCGCGGAGCTCTGCTTACCATCGGTGCCAGTGTCATGCTGGCAGCTTCATACTGGTACATGTACATGGAGATGGAGGGACTTGAGCACCGCCTGAACACTACAGTCGCTCCATCCATGCGTCGCCAAGAGGATTCGCCTCCGCCTGGCTCCCAGCGAGAGCCTTGGCAAGCCATCAAAGGAGACGACAGCCGTGCAAGCAGCTCCTGGTACGGCCGATGGACCTGGCGATGCTCCCCGGGGAAGCGCCAAAAGGCGCTGCGACGCTTGCATTCGAGTCCAGGCGCCACTTTGCCCAAGAGCTTATTCCCAGACCGTATCATCTGGCTCCAGGCGTTTTGCTTTGTTCAGCGGAATGCAATCCCGTCACCGCTGCAGGGATCCAGGCGGCTGAGAGGGGTGCTGCAGCCAGCATCCGCGGTCAAGATAGACGTGGTATGCTACGTCGTCGCCTCCTAGTGGTTTCCGCCGTTTTAGCCTACGGCCCCTCAACAGCAGGCTAATACGTGGGAAGGCCTGAGTCTTGCGCACACGAGTTGCATCGACTATCAGCCAGCTCGATGCATGGAGGATCTAGCCGCATGACTTAGCTTGCCGGCTCTGCGACTCCTCTGCAGCTCCACAAGGCGAAACGTCTCTGCTAAAAGAGCCGGTCCATCGTGCCTGGTGGCATCGGTGGTTAGAGGCAACAGTCGCCGTACAAGCGCTCCTTACCATACAAATCCATCGGAATAATTAGCTGTACATTCAGATAAGCGAACACCAACGTCCTGGACAAGGTTCTTAGTCCTTAACACTCCTAGCTCTGCTACTGCTGCCATTACTCGTACTGTACGGAGTACGGGGGGCACAGGCAATACAGTCCAAAGTGGTGGCAGCGCTGACCGTCGAGCGTAACATTGCCAACAGAAGCTGAAGACGGGCCTGGCTCTGGCCCACTTTGGAGCCTGCTGGCCTGCCCCCTATTATCACTCCATTGCAGAAGCACAAATACGGACTGTAAGTGGCCTGTATGCCCTCGCACGGCTGGGGGTGTGCAAGTAGGGAGGGACCTAGCGCGGCAGAGGTGGCAGGTCAAAGTCACAACAGATGTCCATCATGAGACAAGGCTGCATGTTTACCGTTGTTCGGGCTCGGGTTTACTTCGAGACAGTCTCCTCGTCGGCAAGGCGTATTACTGCGAAGTTGTTGATAATTTACGGGCGCTAACTCCGCATTATGCATACAAGTACAGCCAACCTCCTGCAACGTTGGTCTGATCTTCTCAGGCCCGGGTATGCAGGCTTCCCAAGCCCACCGAAACGCCGAGTCATTCCATGCCCTGTCCGACTCGTCTCCTTTCTTCGGCAAAGGGCAGCACGCTAGCTAACACGCTCCTCTTGCTTGCTGTACAGTATGATCTTTTTTTTTTCAAAACCTTCCTTTTTATTCCTTTGACGCTCCTTATTCCTTATTCGCGTAATGTCGCTACCAGTCTAGATTGGATGCGGCAGACAGCCCCTGTTCATAATGTGCGGAGAATGCTACAGGTTACCTGCAGGCATGCAGTTTGTGTGGGCGTGTTGAACATGGCCACGCAGTAGTATCATATCACATGCAGCCGGCGTTGATATATACGAAGCAATGTCACTGCACACAGCTAATGCTGCTGCTGCTGCTGCTGCTGCTGCTCCGTGGTACTGCTAACAGCTGATGCTACCCCAAAGTATTTGGGACCTGTACGAAGCGGTAGCACTGCTCCGTGCCTATCATCTGTACACCTATGCATTACATAGATAGCGTCTCACTACCGTCCTATAGGATCAGATTCCATTGCAAGGCGTTCATCCATCTGCAGAAGGCATCCCACAGGTTGCAAGGCACACACTTACATGGATTCTCGGCCGCAGTGTTGCAGCAGAGGCTCCACCGCCTGCCAATCAAGCCCAGACTCATTCATCTCTGCGTTTCTGTTTCCAATAATAATCCAAGGGCTGGTGCGGCATGTCCGCGTCTCTCTGTCATAAGTCCACGCCAGGCAGCTCTTCCTAATCCGGCACTTACTGCGGCACACCTCTGCCGATGCGATCCTCTTCCATGTCGTTGTGTCCTCGCCCGTCGGCCCCACGTGGTCCCGCATCTGACGTACCGGCTCGCGGCCAGCGTTCTCAAGTGAAGTGTCGGCAAATAGCTGCCACAGTTCGGCCCAGACCACTGGCTGCTCTCTGTTGGAGAGGCCTCTGCCGATGGCTTCCATGGCCCCTGGTCTGCGGACGCCGTGGAAGGACACAATGGGCGAGCAGAAGCGGTCTCTCTGGACCCGGGCCATCTCAGGCGGCTCACCGTTGAAATGGTGGCTATACCGCTCGTTGAGATAGATCCCCAGCTTGATCAGCGTTAGGCTTACAAGGCGGTCACCCCATGTCTCATCGAGCGAGTCGATATATGACTGGGCGACGATGTCAGGGCGATCAAATAGTCGTCGCATGGCCTCCTGTGAGAGCACAGTGCCAGAGCCTCCGTGAGCGAATCGACTTTTGTAGTCACCTACGGCGCTACCTAGGTAGTACGGCTTTGCGGGATCCAAGTGGCTCAAGAGTAGATACAGTGAAGGTCCGATCAAGAAGGTATCGTCATCCAGGATGGCGTACCACTTCTTTTCAGGCATCTGCTTGTAAGCTAACTCCATGCCAGCTATGAACTTGACCGCTTAGATGTTAGCAGATTGAAGGATAGGGGAATCGCTGGTGTTGCTTTTCTGCGAATCACCTTGAGCGCGTCCAACTCCCACCCAAACCCTTGGCCAAGCTCCCTCGCCTTGTCCTCGTCGGCCAAGTCGACTGCTTCTTGAAGGGAGCGATACTTGGCAAAGCGGGGGTGGCCTTGAAGCGACGGTTTGACCTTGGTCTCCATTGCCGTATTCACAACATTATACGCAATAGGTAGCCCATCGTCTGTCTGATTTGTTGGCGTCCAGTCCCCAACAACGATGAAGTTCTTATTTTCCTCTCCTAAAATGTTTCCACTGTGAGAGAAAGCCTTCATCAGTGCAGGAACCCGATGGCGAGTGCCATAGCCCGTTTTTATGAGATAGCCGACCTCGTCTCGCAAGCTAAGAGGGTATGGCGTAGGTCGTTGGTGCAGCCAAGCGTCCCGGTCCGTGGCTGATGTTCGGAGTGAATTCACCAAGCGAGAGGCATTAAAGTTGATAGAGAGTCGGATTGGCGAGCTGGGGGGTAGTAAATGAAAGGCGATGCTGAGAGTGATGAAGAGACTGGCAAACAAGAGAACAAATCGCCGGCGAATCGGTCGTAGTATCAATGCCATGATGACTGGAGCAACTGACTAGATCGCGTAGCTGCACCTTTCTGGTGTTCCAGTGGGATGCTGTTAATTCACCAAGGCGTCCTTCAACCTTCAACCAAAACGCAACACCAGCAGCGAATAGAAGCCCAAAGACAAATAAAATGGGACAAAAATTCTCTCCAGATTATCACAGATGACGCAAGTGAGCCACCATGGCAACTCTTCTGATTAGATCAGTTACGCCCACTGCCATTCTATTCAATAACTTCTAGGGGCTTCTGTTTTCCCCTCTCTTTACTCTGGTGAACTTCAATGGCTGCATAAACTATGGAGATTTGTAACTGCGCCTAAGCCTCCTCTTAATGCGTGTATGACAATGAGCCTTCCACACTCCGTAATCTGCGTGAAGATCAGTCCACTTAGGATCTTATTAGTAGAGATATCCAGTTACGGTCTTTCTCTCTCTTTGATTTCCGTCCTCTTTTTGGGGGGGTTCGTCTAAGCTGATACAGTCTCTGTATCCACCACTGATCGTCAAACGCAAAACTCCGTCGTTGGGGTTGCGTGTTAGTTGTTAGCGGCGTGATCGACGAAGCTGACGCACGTTTGTGGGCGTCAGACTCAAGGGAAGCTTTATGTGGATTTTTCTATTCATTTTTTAATATAATAAATTCTGCTTTTATAAAATAGCAGTCATCGTGACTTTTCCACACTCATAGCAACATGTTGGTTAGATGGGAGCTATGCAGCACAGTCCCTGCTTCATGCTCATAAGCCACCGCTCATCTACTCTAGTCTATTGTACTGCTCGCACTACGATCTTGGTCCACATGTGATCAACATCACTCGTGCGTGCATAGATACATGAAAGGCAATTTACTAGAACAACCCCAAGCCCGCTTGCTGTCCATCATCAGCTGCCACCGAAAGCCGGAAATCGCCCGCCTCGTAGCAATGGTGGCAAATTAGCTGGGGTCCTTGGAAATTAAGCTTAATTATGGATAATGAGCATTACGACGCCCAGCGAGATGAAGCCCGAGGTGAAAAAGCTTCTATATAAAGATTCCTGCCACGCATGTCAAAGAGATTGACCCAAATTACGGGGCGAAACGGAACTTCGGCTCAGACCCATATTAAATCAGCTGAAAGGCTTCTGGAACGATTGCGAGTGGATAATCGGGGAAATTATAGTTCTTGCTTTTGTTGTGGGCAATTCTTCATCGCCACAAGGTCATTATCTAATTAAATAGCAGACTCAATATTGCGGAACGCTCAAATCCACTATAATTTGCAACGCTGCGACGGCCTTTTTTTAGATGCTACTGATGCTACTACTACTACAAGTACCTGTACTCTCTTACTCGTACAATGGATATCTTGTTCATGTACAAGTGTCTTCCGCGCCCCCCTATCTCCCTCCTGTTTCCAATAATACTTCTCTCCACCGCAATCATACTTGTATGTTCAATGTAGTTTCCGCGGCTAAGCAAGCCGAGAAGGTTCTAGTTCAGATATGTTCTTTTTTTGGTCCTCCGGGCAATTTTCTACAGTAGTACACAAAACCCGAGATTGAAAGAAACGAAAACGCCGGACAAATGCATAAAGCAACGAAATCAAGACAAGAAAGAAAGGGGGAGGTTTCCAAATCGTGAATACTTCGTAATGGGCATTCAAAACAACGAGCAAAAGACATGCACAGAGGTCGAACGGCAGCCCTTTTGGCAGAAGGTGCAATCATTCTTCCGACTCCAGCTCGTAAAATAGCAGATATACCTCTTTCTGCATGCCCAAGACCTCGCTTGTCTTGGCCTCGCGTACCTTTTCGTCGCTCACTCGCCACCACTTGTCCGCGGGCTTTCGCTTCTTGGGTCGCGGATGAGGCTTGCTGACAGCCAAGGGGCTAGGTGATGAGGATCCATTGAGGCTTGACCTGGGAGGTGCGAGCTTGGACAATGCCGATTTGGTAGATGCGGCAACAGATCGAAGGCTGTTGGTCTCGCCGTCTCGGTCTTTGCCGTTCGTGAGAGGGTTGGGGAGATCGGCAGGCACGCTTCGAGGGGCAGATTCTAGCGATGGCGTAGACGAAGTCGTGGCTGAGGACGGTGAGAGTAAATCCGGAGTCGATATGGAAGGGCTGTCAGATCGGAGGGCTGAGATCTGTGGTGTCGAAATGGGGGTCGGCGTCTTGCTATAGATTTCAGACGGCTGAAACGTGTTGATGTTTGCGTAGGGTGATGGTGTGTTTTGTCGCCTAAAGGCTTCGTAGTGACCACTGTTGTGGCCTCCTCGATGTGTCACCACACCCAGAAGCTTGTATTTGCGTTGTTCGATGACGCTTCCAAGCGGCAACTGCTCAGGGAAAGACACCTTGGCCGAGTTTTTCTGCGTGACTTGGCCAATGCCATAGATGGATCGGGACAGGTGGATGGCCAAGATTCTAGGAAACGTAGACATGCGCGTCGTCTTGGCGATCCTTCTCTTGGGCGCATATCGAATGTCACCGAGTTCCACATCCTCGGGCGGCCGCTCTGGGTCAAGCGCTATAGCCATCTTCAACTTCTCAATGTTCTCTTGGGCCAAAGCCTTGAAGCTCTCGGACGTCGATTTCGCCATTTCGTGCTCGAGGTTGGTCCTAGTCTGCACCAGGCGACACATTTCGCATTTGAAGTCGTCGATATATTCCGTCTTAAAAATACCGTCAAAGCATGCGTTCAGCGTCGTCGATGAGACCTGCGGAACTGCCAACGTTAGACTGCAGAAAGTCTCCTCCCTCGGCTTGGTAGTGTAGCCGCAAGTTTGGCATTGGATATGCGACTCGTATTTTCCTTCCAGTGGAAATCCCTCCTCGAGTTCTAGCGGAGCCTGGATCTCGCGAACAGCTCTCTGCACCTCGGCCAGGTCGATATTGACTGGGATCTCGGACACAGATGCCTCTACGTCGTTGGCGATGTCAACAACGTCATCCGATCTGTCTGTGTCGTTGCCATCCTTGGTATTATTCAATTCGGCCACTGCCGCGATACCCAGCTTCCGAGCATGCATGCGTGCACGTTGGCCGGCATGATACTCGTCCTTGAGCCTCTCTGCCACAATCTGCAAAAACTCCTGCGCATCCTGCTGCTGTCTGCTGATGCGCTGCTTAAACGCAATCTCCAAGACCTTGACGAACGGGAAGGGCGAAATGGCCTTTTTCGAAATGGGTCGCTCGTTAAGCGCGTCCAACATCTCCTTCAACCCATGTGTCACCAGCCCATCCTGAAGGCCCTGAAGCTTCCACTGCGCAAGCTGCTTCCCATCCAGGGGCTGCACCAAGTTTGCGTATACGGCCGGGTCTTCGATCCGGCGGCGATGTGTCTCGCGGATCAGGTAGACTCGTAGCTCGCCCAGCCCAGCCAGGGCCTGCAACACCGAGTTGATGAAGCAGTCGTTGGCCTGATTGCGCAGCCCGACGATGGTCTTCTTGCGCGAGCTGGTGGTGTCGTGGTCGATGGTGAAGGTCGGACCGAAGACGTAGATCAGAGCGGCAGCGGCGAGAGACGCCCCGGCAGCGTAGGAAACAACAGACGCCGTCTTATCGGGCATGGCTGAAGCTTCGCGAGGATCTTGGGGGTGAGCGAAGCGGAAGCCTCGGGTTGGCGTGCGGAGAAGCGGATATGCGACAGTGAGAACGAGAGCACCAGGGCGGCCGGGAAAAGTCTCTAGAAAAAATTAAAAATGAGAAATGCAGGCTCCCTGCTCGGCCGCACAGGGCAGACGGAGATGCGGGCTCGGCTTCAGGCTTCACGCAGTGACGGGCGTCGCGGACGGTGGCATTGCAGGAAGGCTTTGCGTGTGAAGGGGAGCAAAAGGCGGTTTGTCACACACGCCGGCGCATCCAACCAGCTCTGGACGAGATTTCCAGTCTGTGCCGGCTAGCCTCCCGAGCCTGTGCAAAAACAGTAGGAGATACGAAGCAGTCGTCGCCTCCCGGCTCCGCAACTTGGCACAGGTACTACTGTCATGCTCCGCCCAGGCTGTGTCTGTCTGCAATCAAATCTCGACAGCGGGGAAGCCCCGGATTCCTAGCGGGTAGCCAGCCAGCCAAAGCCTTTGCAGGAGTGCCGTACGAGGTAAGCCGGAGTATTTCGTGGCGTCGCGCATCGTCCGTCTCGTTCTTTTGGTGAGCGTCGGCCGAACTCCTGCCCTTGTTGCCTTGGTTGCATGGCTTGGTCCTCGCAAGAACGGAGAATCTCACCCATCGAACGAATCGACGTCCAGCATTCGGTGGAGATTCGCGCTTTTGCCCCCAAAACTTCTGGGTCCCCGATTTTCGGGTCCGGAAGGGCTGGTTTGTGTGTGCGTCTCGTCTCGTTTGTGCCTGGGCTAGAGAAAGGCTGATGGCGCCGATTCTAGGCGGAGATGCGACGTTGAGCCGGAGCTTTCGGGGCTGTCAAAGCCGAGCCGCGGATGAGCCGAATTCCGGGGAATTTATGGATCGCGTCTACCCTGGATGAACATGATGGAACTGATATCAAGTCATAACAGGCGGTTACATTAGATTTTCTTTATAGATAGTAAGTATTCAGTACCCCAGATTGGCTAAATATATTCAGCATTACTCATATTAATATCGAAGCTAGGTGGTTAGGTAGAGGAATAGAGCGGCGGTAGAAGAACGCGGTGTTAGCTGAATCGATAGCAGAAGAGGATGGCCATGTTAGACGAAGGGAGCAACAGTAAAAGAAGATGGCAGTAAGAAACCGAGTATCCTCCTAATTACAAATTTACGGCACTTGGGATACTGGACACCCATGTAGTCACCCTCTTTTATGTTACTCATGCGGAGGAGAAGAAGTACATACTAGGTATTATATAATCCAGTAAAATCTTGGTGCAGATATCAACAACATTTCCGTGTGCTTACCGGCTAGAGCACTCTATCAGTGCCTCATTGGAGGATTTGCCTGGGGAATCTAATACGATAATGGTTCGGCCATCAACCTTCTTCCTTCTTGGGTCTGACTCGGCTGCTGCTCTGGCCTTCTTCTTCCACTGCTTGATCTCTCTTTGCCGCGATTCTGCCTCTTCCCACCGCTTAATTTCGTTTTCGCGAAGGGCATAATCTGGGAAAAACTCTCGCCTAATAGCAAGCCCAACCCCTGGCAACTCGGCTTCAATCTCGAATAGAACAGACATCACCTTGGGCCTAGGGCTATTCTTGCTCATCTCCCTACGCCCAAAAGTTGGCATCGTCTGCCGTAGCGGGATGCCTGTAGCGTCTGGCTTCCTCGGTAACCCGGCGACGAGAATGTTCTGGGCCATTCCGACTGCTCCCACCGCAAGCAGGAACCAGGTGTCGGTTTTCAGCCCTCCCGCTGTGATGAGAAAGACCAGCCAAAGAATTGCTAGTATCACGGAGCTGACCCTTGTCCTCAGATCAGCTCTTCGGGCTGCACCGGCAAGATCATGAAGGTATAGCCCCCGATTAGTTCCCGGACAAATGACAAAGACGTGGGGGTGTCCGTTTCCTCGCGTGAGAATGTATGTGTCTGATGTGTTTTTGCGACAACTATACTTCTGTAGTCTCCATTCTCGCAAAGATCCTGTAACGATGGCCAGAATTGTTCCGACGGCGGTTAGGAACAGTATTGACCAATTTCGTTTTGTAATAACTGGAATGGCAGCAATTGCGAGCTGAGTCGGCAACACGATGAAGAACAAGGTCCAACACTTGTCCCACCTCTGGACTCCTGGATTCTCACCAGCCTAGGTAATGCCCGCATTAGATATGGACGGGTCACTATTGATTGCAGCTGAAACTTACTTCAAAGACGGTTATCAACATTCCTGAATCAGACTCTGACGCCAGATTGTCGATTACCTTGCCATCTTCCTTGACCGGCTCCATCCATGTTTTGAATTGCTTCTCCACTTCAAACTCCAGATCTCGAATCAATCTTCCGAGAACCCAGGAATTATTTGTTTTCTTGATGCCGCTACTGGCAGTGATTACAACTGCTGGGTAATCTGGATCCGGCATAAGCTGGCCATCTCCAAACGCCGACATGAGCGCGTTGAACGCATACGCAACCCATCCAAAACTGAAAGAGACCAATGTGATTTTTTCGCCGGCTAACTGGGCAATTGCTTTTTGGATGATGTCGCCGCCGATGATTAACAGCACAGAGAAGACCTCAGATGGGTTCTCCATCTGCTCCAGAAAAATCGCCGGCGTAGGATCTGTTCCTGTTCCATCTGATCGGCGTTCGATGAACCGTTTGAGTGGTATCGGTGGGAGATATTGTGCTTTTGTTGTCGGTGCGCTTCTGGCCAGCCGTACTGCATGCAAGACGTGCCGTCAGTTTCGGATTGGAGCACCTTCGCAGACTTATACGCAACTTACCGAAATAGAACAACAAGGACCAGAGCCTGGTGACGGCAGAAACCCCGTTGCCCAGGGCCATGCTTGCAATTTTTCAACGGTAAGTCGTCACTATCCATGATGAGGGGACGACTTCAGGGCGCATTTTGTATCTTCAGCCGCATGACCTGTGCTAGGCGGACATGGGTGTCGATGCCCAATGAAGATTTGGTGTATCGCCGATAGGAAACAGGGGAAGAAGCCCAATCAGAGGCAGAGACGGTGTAGCTAGCTGAGAATTGAGAACTGAGCGGTTGTGATGACTGATTATTGGTATGCATATAATTATGCCCATCTTGATGCGCTATGTAACGGGTTCATTTATAAAATACTACTAAATAAGCTTGTTCCGTTGTGTTTGAACGTTCCAGAGGGTGTTCGGGACTTGTGCGCATTTGGGGTTTGGTCTTGCGTTCATCAGCCATGCCTTTTTTGTGTGCATTTGCGTGTAGTATGGCTTGGATCCTCAATATTTAATTTTCGATCGGCTGTTGCCAATTGAATTGAGCTACTAATTAATAGGTATGGATTGATCCCGAGTTTTGAACCAAAGACTGGGGCATAGTCTTTTATTAACCCAGCTGCTACAGGTTCATTGATCCTCTCATCCTGATTATAAACGTAACCTCTATACCCCCACGAGTTCAATAAGAGCTTCATATGCTGCTTATGATGGATATTGAGACAAGTAGAGCAATTCTGAGACCCTTAGACTGCGACGAATGCCTGCTAGGCAGAACGACTCTAGCAGCATCACCTGCCGTACTAATATGAGGGGTTTTGCTTACGAACGAGGCTCGCAGGATTTTATAGGCATGTCGTGTACAGTACGGCGTGCATGCGACAACTAGCAGGGGTCTGCTTTTCTTACTGATCGATCCGTTTCTGTCACAAGCTCATCTTTTTATATCTGTCTGCGTCTCGTTATAACTTCCATAGAAGCGCACTCGCTTTTTATATGGGCATATTGTTGTTATAGACAGACCTACAACCTACCCAAACCCCGACGATGGACCATATATCATTGCCTATTGATGATTTTGCCCACGCTCCGTTGGAAGTGCCTCATCTCTGTAACGACCGGTTTCGCTATGACGACCATGGTTTCCTGACGTACCCGCATCGAGCTGGCCTGGACCTTGAGAAGATAATTGAGAGAGGTCTTGTTGACATCGATACTCTTGCACCAGGATTGCAAGCTTGGCTCTGGTTTGGTCTTTTGGGAGAGATTCTCGGTATCGGCTCCAGACTACATGCTACACAGCGGATAGCGAATTATAATGCCTTTGTGACCGAGAATTCTAAAGGATCCAGTGTGATTTCGACGACTGGTTTGCCCCGCTATATCAAAAAAGCCGGACAGAGAAACGAGACACTGCGTCAGGATGGCTTCTATAGCCAAAGATATTACGCTTGTTTGAGGGTGGCAATGGCGTCGATCAAGCGACTTCTGTCTAGTGAGATGTGTCGCAAGCATCTCAAAAGCGGCTGCCAGTTTGCTCGTCTCCCGGCCCTTTTCCGCGTCATTCTGTCTATCCAGATTCTGATAGAATCGCTCCAGGCTGCCGAATCCGTCCTACTTCCTGGGAAATGGGATTCGCTCTATCGGCCGACTATGGAGAGCTCTGGCTATGAATTAGTAGACAGATTGTTGATTGAAGCCGGCTGGTGCAAATATGAGGTCAACAGGCTCCCTGAGTCGGTGCGATTACGATATTATCTCAGCTTCTTGCATCCAAGTGATGCTGTACAAGACAAAGGGGATCACTTGTCTTGCACCGAAGATGCCTGCGTCCATGTGCCTCATAGTATAGATGAGCAAAATATCAAGCCTAGGCATGTTACGAAAGACTGCAAATGCTCTATAGAGACAATACAAGATCTCCCCGTGACGAATCTTGTCGAAGCAGGAGCGGATCTACTGCTGAGGTTTGCTCAGACAGATGGGACGGCGCGAAGATTGGAGTTACTCGAGACTAGGTTCGATATCAGCGAGACGAACGAAGTTCCATTTGTTGCAATCAGCCATGTTCGCCACGCTGGACTCGGCAATGCTGATGCTCACTCCCTGCCTTACTGCCAACTCGCGAACATTCAGGAACTCGTCGACAAAATTTGCCCCCCTTCTGGTATAGTCATAAGTTCCACGCCATTCTGGCTGGATACCATGTGTATACCTTCGGAGCGCCGGGCCCACACAGCCTCTCTCAAGCGCATTCGCGAAATCTTCAAGCACGCTTCGCGTGTTCTCGTCATTGATCAAGCTCTTTGTTCTCACGCCATTGGCTCCCCCGAGGATGCCCTGATACGGATTCGATACTCGCTTTGGAAACGTCGGCTGTGGACTTTGCAAGAAGGATTCGTTGTGCCTGCCTCAAATCTGATATTCTGTTTTGCAAACGGTCTGTTTTCACTTCGGGAACTTCTGGATCGTTACGAAGACAAAGCGTTAGTGCCATTCCCACTTTTGAAATGCGCGCAGTTTGTTGGATTTCGCGTGCTTCCTCATCTAAAAACCACGCTCGATATATTGGATGACGATATCAAGCTACTAGCAGATATGCCACAAGCTGTCATAGGTCATCTTGAGAAGACAAAGCTACGCCGGATATTGCGCTTGGGGTACTTGGCGTCTGATGATTTCAAGTATTTCCAAGAAGACGTAGAGGCGCAGCAGATACAAAAGCTTCTTCCGTTGCTGGGCGATTTGTACTTGGATATAAAAAATTCACCCGTGGTACCTGGCTCTAGATCCGCAGAGCAAGTTGTATTTTGCCTTGAGAGACTTTATGGACTTGACATCTGACGTACTCTCAATGATTGGCGAATTTATCACGTGCTATTCATTAGTATTAGTCACTTGAAGCAATCTCATAATTAGTAGAATAGAAAATTATACCCTTTTTCTTGCAACAGCATATCAGGGCTTCAAACTGCGATTCCAGTCTGCCGCAAGGTCACGTTCCTTTAGAGCAGCAAGCGGGGTAGATAGCCAATTATGTGACTCTTCGTATCAATAGGCATCTGAGCGAATAGGATCTAGAAGTACCCCTCCTCAGAGCCCTTCTGCTTATGGAATCCAGAGCCTTAATGAGTGTTGCTACCCAAAGAACATGTATTCAGCCGCAAAAGTAGAGTCTTTGGGCTGCAGTATAGCAACCTACATGTACTGAGACCAGCTTGTACAACGTCTCACTATGCGCCTTATCAACGTCAATACGTTCAAATTAGAGGAATTCCTCGATTATCGCGCGCCTCCGTATGCTATACTTTCACATACCTGGGGAAACGATTCTGAAGAGCTCAACTTTCGCGACGTTGAAGATGGAAACATCGATAAACCTGGCATCGGATCCGTCAAATTCCGGGGAACCTGTCGACAGGCCGCGAGAGACAATCTTGGCTACGCCTGGATTGATACCTGCTGCATTGATAAAACGAATCTAGTTGAGCTTAGCGAGGCGATAAACTCCATGTTCCGGTGGTATCATCGTTCGACCATTTGTTATGCTTTTCTATCCGACGTTCCCACCACTGAAGACCCTAGGAAGGCAGAGTCCAAGTTCCAAAGAAGTCGGTGGTTCCAGAGAGGATGGACTCTACAAGAACTTCTTGCACCTAAAACGATGCGGTTTTATTGTACCATTTTGATAACTAGCAGACGAACCGGCGCACAATTCAGCATGACCCAGGAGTGGCACCTGTTAGGAACAAAAGGAAGTATGAGTACCACCATTGCATCAGTTACTGGCATACCTCGAGAGTACCTACTAGGAATTGCGCGGCTTCACACTGCAAGCATTGCGCAACGCATGTCGTGGGCGGCCCATAGAGACACAAAGCGCAAGGAGGACCTTGCATACTGCCTCCTAGGCATCTTCGACATAACTATGCCAATGATTTATGGAGAAGGTGGCGACCAAGCATTTTTTCGGCTGCAAGAGCAGATTATGAAGGTGACAAGAGATGATTCAATACTGGCATGGGGGCTGGGAAGCAATGAGTCGTCTGCCGCCAATACTGGCAAGGCCATAGCTGGGAGGGTTATGGCCAAGTCTCCAGCAGACTTTGCAAATTCTGGGCACATTATTTGCCGGGACCAGTCTCTCAACTACATGAGTTCAGTTGATATATCCGGTGGTAGCATCCGAGCTTACCTGCCGCTACTTATAACTTCTACTGGTCAGACAGTTGGGCTACTCAACTGTGGGCCCGAGAAGAATGCGCAACAAGTGGTTGGAATACCTCTTATAGAACTCGCTGTGGGATCATCCGACGAATATGCCCGGCCAAGAGGATACAACTCTTTCTTACACTCGACGACAGCACAAAGACCACGCCAAAGCCGATCCGAATTAAGCATGACAGCCAAGAAAACGTATCCTTGGATTCGAGTGGCCTCTATTTTCACTATGAAGATAGTGATTTCACAGATATTAACTTGAAAATTATTGATGTGCTACCAAAGTCATGTTGGGATGAAGAGCGAGCTCTGATTACGTCAATGCCTGGAACTAAAGATGGTACTCTGGGCCAAATATTAATTCGACTCCGTCAAAACGAAGCAGAGTCCAAAGACTTTGTTATGGTTCTTGAGTACAAAGAGGAGAACACTGACATCCTGGCAGAATGTCTTGTTCTCATATGCAGCAGAAACACCGTATTCGAGGAGCTAGCCACAAACCTCCCGTCTATGATGCAAAAACTGTATGGGAAAATGCAAGCCAAGAATGGGCTTCTCTCCTTGCGTGTTACACTGGAACGTGTGGCGAGACAGCCCATATTTCTGATACAGCCCGAGTCAGTGTTCGATGAAGTGTTTACCACTTTTGACGCAACGCTGGAGCTGGAGGGGAAAATGCTCGCAAATGAATGTTTACAACTTCTGGATGAAAATGAAGAAATCCAGAGAGAAGAGAATGAGCTGGAAGACAAATTGAAGCATCATGACAAAATCCTAAAAGAGGTGAAGGAAGAACAAGATGTGATTTCAGCCAAGATAAAGGAGCTTGAGGAGAGACAGAAAGAGTTGGCTGAGGCAGAAAAAGCGAATATTGAGAAGAGAGCCGAAATGATAAGCAAGCAAGTCGAAATGGAAGAGAAACTACAGGGGCTCTCTGATCAATGGGAACATAAACAGAGACTGTGGAATGCACTCCACCATGTTGTCGACTTTAATTTCGGTTGGAAAGGCAGAACCGCACTTGAGTGGGCTGCTGCATATGGGCTAATCGACGTTGTTAAAAAACGTCTTGAAGAAGGTGCTGATGTCAACGCCCCGGATAAAGATGGCTGCACGCCATTACTTGCCGCTTCATTGCGTGGGAATTTGGAAATGGCGAAACTACTCATCGAAGAGGGTGCTGTTTTAGAGGCTGCAGACAACGAGGGCGTGACACCCATATTGGCGGCTTCAGCCTCGGGATGCTTCGAATTGGTTGAACTGCTGCTTGCCGAAGGTGCTGATATCGAGTCTAAATCTAAGGACAACATAACACCACTGATAGCAGCCTCAGGGCGGGGGCATCCTAACGTTGCTAGACTGCTTCTTGAAAGAGGTGCTGACATAAATTTTAAAGCAATAGAGGACATAACCGCACTGCTAATAGCCTCAGTGGAGGGATATATCGATGTTGTGCAGCTTCTTCTTGACAAAGGCGCTGAAATAGATGCCAAAAACAACAGGGGTGAAACAGCGTTATTGGCCGTCTCTAGGCGGATGAAGAAGGATGTCATTCAGCTTCTTGTTAATAGAGGTGCTGACGTGGAACTCCGGGACGAAAACGGTGTAACGATGCTGATGGGCGCCTCAGGAGCTGGGCTCACAGACATAGTTCGACAACTCCTGGATATGGGCAAAGGTAATCTTTATGCCCAGGATGAGAAGGGTCGGACAGCACTAGATTGGGCTACTGAAAATGGCCATCAAGATATTGTTCAGCTGCTTCGTGATGCAGAAAAGGCGAGGAGTTGAAGCCCTAAAAGTCTCACCGTGGCTGGCGAAAGTGGCAGGTATCTCCGTTCATCAGATAGAGGCAATATCTCAAATTTGGCACCGATAGCACGAAATCCCACAACCATCTTCTAATTTGTCCATATATATATACATACTCCATTAAACAGTTTAATTTCTTTCAAAGGCTCCGTTCGCCACAGCTTGGTCTGCCCATCAGAACCATGCGGACTCTTTGCTGTTTTCTGCCCAACAGGTCTCCTCTTCCGGCAAACCCATTGACAGCATTATATTCATCACCGCAATTCGTCGGATACGGGAAGCCTGCCTATGAGCCATGGCTCCTCCAATTTGTCCGTCCCAGTCATGAACGACAAGCGTGATATCGTGCAGATTCAATTCGTTGACGAGAATTTTCAGGTTATCGGTGTGCTGTCACGCCGTGTATTCCAAATTTTGAGGAGTCTCACTTTTTCCGAATCTCATGCAGTCCGGAACAATCACGCGGGGGGGGTTTTTTTTTCGTCAATATTGGGATGACTTCTCGATGCAAATAGCCCCAAGTCGGCTCACCATGAAGACGCAAGATAGGCGAGCCTTGTCCTTCGTCGACGTGGTGCATCCGAAATCCTGGTCGCGTGGAGAAATGAGGCGTAAAGGGGAAGGTTATTCAACTATTAGATCCAGGGGTTAGATCTTATCTGGGGTTGTTCCCGATCGGTTGTATCCGATCGGGTTCAACCAAAGGATACCAAAAGCCTGCTAACGGCAGATAAGGATCAAGCCGAAACGTGTACTTCGCACTTATTAGCTTTCTTTCGCTAGCCTTCAATGCGTTTTAAGAGGTCACAATTTGATAAACTCCCGCTACCACTGCTTTGTCATGAGAGCAGAGAGCTGCGAATCGGATGAGAAGTTCGGAAACTGGATCATATAAGCCATCTGCAGCTAAGAATCCCCGCCAATTAGATACAGCGCTTGAGCACCTCAATTACTGGACAGGAACACATTGAACGGCTTACGAATAAGATATGAAAGTATGTGCTACCATGCATTATTGTTATGCTGAAGCTCAGCCATCCTCCAGCCTCGTTTACATCTGCAGGTGGATGGTTACGGAAGGCATTCTGAATAGATGGCTGGTACGATATTAGCACACCTATGGAGTACACGCACTTAGTTTGAAACGATGCTGCAGAGGCTCCCAAAGCTACGCAATGAAACCTTCCCAATTGCTCCAAATAGTCACCACCACAGGGATGGTAACAAGATGTGGGCGCGAACTGGGTCTAATTATTTGCTTTCATCTGAGATGAAGGCATTTTTTAAGCCGTCCTGGTATTGGACTGTAGTAGAAGTGAAGTTTGGCATTCTTGTTTCCTTGAATATACACCTCGTTGACCGCCAGAATCCCACGGCAGAGGCTACATGCAAATGCAGGCTCTAGGCAGCCTGCTCCGTTCTGAACCCACGAATGAAGATGCTCAACGTGTAGAATGCCTCATTTATTCAACCACACCAGCGTCATTTCAACTTCAACATTGATTGGCATCGCGTTGGGCTGCGCAGCTGCGCATGCGTTCTTGCGCAATGCGCAGATGCGCAGTACATGAGTCTAGACGTTACGCTTCTACGCAAAGGGAGCGCGGATCATTAAAACGATGCCTTTTGTCGCCTTTCAAATGGCAATGGTTCGTTTCTTTCAATCTTCCAAAATCCATCACAAGGCTACGACACAGAATTCTGCTCTTCTTTTCGCTCAGTTCCATGACCATCTTGTCGAGAGAGCACAATGGATCTCCCTCGCCCTCCAATCTGTCCTGAGACTGAGGATAGACAAAGCCAGCCTTGCGAAGGCTCAATATGCCGCTATTTATCCCAGACAGAAGATGGTGTGCCCCCAACATGGGTGCTAGAGTGCTTACCTGAAAACCAATGCTTGCATCGCCCAACAGCCCAAGCGTCGGTGTTGCAGAAGGTGGATGAGCTATTCAAAGACGACAATGAGTCTAACAAGGGTACTCATTCCTCTCCAAGCTGCCAGTTGACTTCTCATAGTAAATTATGCTGCATGAACCCTGTTTCACTATGCCATCTTCAACAATGCCCATCTGCCACCAAAGGAAGCTATAGCCAACCATCCAACAGCGCGCATCATGTCGATCAATCAGAAAATATTTTGGCCCACCAACATATGCAATATTGGGCATCTGGGCAATTCCTCGGAGGCGATGATGCGTTGCAGCTGCAACTTCCAGCTCCTGATTACTCCGTCACCTCTTTCAGCATTGAAGAAAACATTGAGAGCATCCAATCGGTAAGTAATCGAGATACAATCAATTATTCATGAGACCGAGTCTGATGAGAGATTTGCCTTGTGCAAATGCTTTTTGTCACGTACAGCTGGATTACTTCACTGTTGATGATATTTCCGGAAGTCAGCCATCATTGCTACCCGGACCTTATTTACCCAACCCCGAGAGTTTATATCTGACATACGACAATTGTATGAATGGCATCCCTACCACGCATACAAATGAGAGCTTCAGTCATACAGATGCGAACCACTCAAAACACCAATTATTAGGCTCACATCCCCCTTCAGTTCCTTTTTCTTCTTCTAAGGCCCTTTCAATTACAGGAGGAAGGAAACATGGCTGCACAACTACGGCAAGCTACCTTTCCGGTCCTCGTTCTGTGGACGAAGTATTTTCGCACAAGAGCTTCTCCACCACCCACACCAATCTAAGATCCGAGCAGAATGGTGCGCTATGTAATTTCGGGTCTAAGCAGGTTTGTCGCTCAAATTTGGTTAACGAATTTGCACAATTCCCCATATCTTGGATCATTGACTGACACTAACCCAGGTAAATACCGCTGAGCCTAATGCGGGAAATCAAACAATTCAAAGATGCAGCAGTGGGCGAAAAAGATCTAGGCAAATCGAAAAGAGTAGAACGGGGAGCAAAAGTCGACGCGTGGATGAGATGGATGAAGATGAAGATGCATCAGGGCGCTCTTATAGTTGTCCATTTTACCTAAGAAGCCCAGCAGACTACGGAGAGGGCAAATGGGAACTCTGCGCAAACGGCGGATGGCCATCATATCACAGAGTCAGGTAAGTACAGTATCATTTGCTCACATTGAGCAGAGTCATGACAAAATATTAATCGTCGCAGAGAGCATCTACTTCGTAAGCATATACAGCCAACTATCGTATGCGACCGATGCTTTGAAGACTTCAAAGATGATGTGGGCTTAAAGAAGCACGATGCGTCAATATGTGAAAAGAAGGAGCACTCTCCATATCTAAACAAAAACCAACAGCGCGAGATTGAAGCACCAATTAAGCGTGGGATGCGAGAAGCTGAGAAACTGGAACACATGTGTCGCAGAATTTTTCCTGATGAAGTTATCCTTAACCCAAGTAGGTGTTGCGATAACCGAACCTACTGGCTGTTGGCTGACCTAAATCGCAGATATAAACCACCTTGAACTGAGACTACGTTCAGTCATCGCAAGTTTCCTGGATGCTTCTTTTACAGATGGATTCAGGCAGCAAACAGTTCAACACATCATGGACGTGACACTCCAAGAGATACGGAACGTCAGCTATACTGCTGGGGCCAAGCAAGTGCACAATCATCAAAGATGCGATGGGGTGGAAAATGCGTGAGCAATCTTGCATGGCATTGCTGAATATTCAACTAGCAGTACCTTGTATTCTAAATTATCACTCTCTCCGGGCAACTGAACCACCGAATTTCCGCTCTGTTGGGAAAGACGTATTTATGGGAGTGGTGGAAAATCGGATGGGGATAATACCAAAAAACTAAATAGAGCATAAATTGTTTTTGCGATCATATGTATAAGTCATCAACGTTTGGTGTGTGGTCGCCCAGTTTTAGCACAAACACGACTGAGGCGCATGATTTGGGGCCTTGCTAAGAAGGCAACGAACCTAGCGCTAAGTCCGTCTGTGAGCGAGGCCACTTTGACTGGTCGTCATTGGAATCTCAGAACATGGCTTCGCAGAAATAAGCAATTTCAAGCGTAGATATAGCAATGGCAAAAGAACAAAAGAATACAATGTGTGGTGTTTTCAGATAAAAAAAATGGGTGTATTTGCTTTTGATGCTTGGTTCGGGGAATGTGAGATTTAGGAAATTACACTTGTGTAAAAGAAGATGTAAGGAATTTAGGGTTAAATGCAAATGCCATATCTCGTGGTATGAGGAGTACTCCCGCTGCCTCGATATATTGTATATTACGCAATTATCATTCGATGAACATAGTATCTATGAGATCAAGAGCTTTTCCGCATTTTTTTACGGGTTTGGTTCTTTCAGTCACTGGCCTAGCTACCCTAATACCTGGCGTTTGAGCTTCAAATGCGTAGTAGATAGAGCCGTGGTCACTATGAACTTTTGAATAATTTGGATTTTGAGACATTTGCAACCAGATTATTGATACCTACTAGTTCTCGAGTGATATAGAGCATATCTCGTGTGATTTATTAACTAAAATACTTGGCGATGGCAATTTTTTTATTGCTCTGATCAATTCACGATGGCGCTTTGGTACTAACGTGAAGCGGGCAAGTACTCGGAAACGTAGGTACCTGCTAACTAGGAGGTACTCTGCCATTCTAGCTCCCGTCCCTAACCCCGCCACTACCCCACCTGCCAAATTGGGCAATCAATGGATTTGGTGGAAATTTCGAGAAGACTCTAGCACTGTCCAGCCAATTCTACCTGTTACGAGTATCGTGATGAAGTCTGGATGATCTCACCACATCTCTTCTAGAATACTCCAGCAGTCTATCTACAGTATGTTCTTGAATCTTCAAGAATTATCGTCGTTTGGCGCCTTCAACTATAAAGAAGTCGTTCAACTCCTCCTGTGTCCATCCTCTTCTGTCACAACACAGCACACACAAACAAACCAGCAAACACAAACACAACAAACACTCTTACAACACACTCTCACAACATCCTTTTATTAAATCAATCATCAACCAATCATCCAAAATGGCCTTCTTCCAGCGCAACTTTTACACTCCCGAGACCTCCTTCACTCCTCTCTTCCGTCTTCTAGAGGACTTTGACACCTACTCCCGCCAAGGCAACGACAACCAGCGTTCCAGCCGCCGCGCTATCGCTCATTGGCAGCCCAAGTTTGACGTCCGCGAAACGGGCGAGGCTTATGAGCTACATGGCGAGCTCCCTGGAATGAACAAGCAGGATGTCCACATCGAGTTTACCGACCCTCAATCGATCGTCATTCGCGGCAAGGTTGAGCGCACCTACACGGCTGGCACCCCGCCTGCTGGCGCTCTTGAAGATGCCTCTATGAGCGGTGCTATCACCGAGTCTGGCGAGCATGAGCGTCCCAAGTCTCCTCATCAGGCTACTGTTGAGGACGAGGCCGACGAAGGAACCACCGCTGCCACTACCGAGGGCGAAGTGGTCAAGGCTGATTCGCCTAAGAAACAACCTGCCGACTCTGCCAAGTATTGGCTCACCGAGCGCAGTATCGGTGAATTCTCCCGCTCTTTCAACTTTCCCTCTCGTGTCAACCAGGATGGTGTGACGGCCAGCTTTAAAGACGGCATCCTCAACGTTGTCGTTCCCAAGGCGGCCAAGCACGAGCCTCGCCGAATCACCGTGTTCTAAAGCACTACGTCTAAAGCACTACGAGAACAATATTTGTCATTATATCTTGTTAGTTTTCAATTCTCGTCGACCCGCATGATACAAAAATACGCATTTCGGAGGAGAAAAACAATGCATGGAAAGGCGTTTTGAATTTTGAGTTACCAACGTTGAAGATCGATCTCTTAAAAAAAAAGGAACCAGCAATTAGGAGAGTCCGAGTTACATGAATGCTATAGTTTAATTACCCTCATTTTAGCTATAATAAATATTAAGTCATTCATTCAAACTGTGTAACTGATCATGTGAATTGCCATTGAGTGCCAGAGTAGTGAAAGGCTTCCCCCCAAAAAGGGCCATTTCTCTGTCGCTACTATTCAATCATCGCTAATATTGATCTCTGCCTTCCCCACCTCTTGTTTTTGATATAAGATCCTAAAGGTCAGGTGGCCGGCTTCGTCATCTAACCGAATGTTCAGCGTTAACGGAAGCTTATAATATGTGACCCCGTACTTTGTGACTTGTGGGATGCTACTCCGATCAATCCTATCCAACGTATATCTAACGCTGCCAACCTCTTCGACTCCTAGATGCGAGGGACTATCAGTATTTTATGATTGTTTCAGCAGGACAGGTAGAGATTGTAGCTTCGTAAGAATGAGAAGATCATCATACTTTCATTTTCTATAGTCTCAGGAGAATTATCCAAGTTGCAAGAGTAAAGGGTATGAGTGTCACTAGGCGGTAAATGACCAGTGCATTGCAAGAAAAACTCCGAGTTGATTTCAGTGTCAGGGCCAACCAAGTCTCCCTGTGCATAGTACAACGAATCGTTAGAACGGATTTTCAGTAGTACTTGAGGAAAGAAAATCAGGGCGAGAGAGTAGATAGTTCAAATTACACACCTTGCCGACCTCCCAGAACATGAATCCTGTCAGATATTCGGTGTTCTCCACATGATCCGTCCATACATATCTCCTTACCCTATCGAAATTTGCATGTATAGATGGATTATACTTATCGGACATACTATGACCGTAATGTCTTCGGCATTTCTTTTGCCTCACAATAGAGCCTTCGAGGCCGCGCAAGACCGCCCCGCAAACTACTGCGGACCATCTAAGAAGTGCGTTAGTTTATTTTACAAGTCTTTATATTTCTCCCGTGTAGTAACATTACCAGTTGGGTAATATTATTTTCAAAAGAAGGCGTAACTTACGCGCCTGTGATTGGTGTTGTAAGCCTTATATTTCCACTTTGGCACCACTCTGTCAATCGCTCTTTTAGATAAGGAGAAGAGCCAAAGCCACCCACTAGAACAATTGTTTCGATGGGCTGTTCGCTTCTTGATTTGGTTTGCCTGACCTGCTCTTCCACAAGGCCAATAATCATATCAATGACTGGATCGAAGAGTATCTTGTAATCATCTTGAGTGAGAAGGACAGATGAAGACCGCCTCTCGTAGTACTTCTCTATTGCCGAGGTGACTTTAAGCTTCGGCATGTGCAGCACAAGGCGATGAGCCCTTCGACTGGGAGTCTTCATGCTGAAATCTTTCTTTTTGAGCTCAAACTGGTCCATAAAGGCACTACCGGGTCCGATTTGCTCAGGCCCAAGTGAGGTAAAGGCATTACCAAAACGTTGTGCCATTAGTTTGAATAAATTTCTGTCCACAAAAGTTCCGCCACATTTGCCAGCTACCAATTAATCAGCAAAGTTCACTCCTCAATCTTTCTTACGCCGATATATTTCGGAAAAAAACTAAAATTTTGAAAACAAAACTCACCGACACCAATTGTGATTTCTCTGAGTTTCAAGGTCGGGTGAGTTTCCTCGACCTGGTACGTAGTGATATCCTTCGCGACTTGTTAACGCATGACCAACAATATGTCTTGAGCAATAAGGACATTAGTGGCAACATACAACAGTGCCTCCCCCACAGTCACAGACCATCACGCCAGTGTTGGGCTGTTGAAATGTTAGTGAATGAAGTGATAAGAAGTAGCACGGCTCATGGCATGGTGTGAACGCACTTTAACAAAGTCTTCCAGCCGATGAAGGCTAGATTTCAACGCAAGCTGCGCCGCTGCCTCTGGTTCAGAGATGAGCATGATCTTGTCAATGGCCCGTGTAGCGAACCCTGCATCTGTTGCTGCGGACTTCGTAAGCAGCTTCGCCTTTTCACTCCACGACGCTGGAACGGTAAGCCAAAACTCAATTGGTAGATTTTCAATCTTGTGGGCGCCAAGATGTTCTTTGACGGCATTATCAAACATGGCCTTCATGCCTTTCAGGTACTCTGTAGCAACGTCTTTGGCTGATCGACCCTTAGGCAGCTGCATAATCTCCATACCGCTCGATAGATAAAGATCAGGATCGTCATATTCAGACATCAGCGCAGATTTATCAAGTAAAAGCTTTGTCCATGCATACGTTTTCATGCCTGGTTCGACCTGATATCCCCATGCATTCTCATCCAACTCCGGATTCTCATCCATGAAAGCAACTCTTGTCGGTGCCTTCACGCAGTGCTCAGCACCATGTGAGGAAGAACCGGGATACTTGGTCCATGGGAATATATCTTTGAAGTCGGCTGCATTGGAAAGTGCAAAGCTGAGGCCTGAGTATGTCGTTCCATAGTCAATGCCCACGATAAGTTTAGTTCTTTCTGTAATGGCATTCATCTTGATTGCTGCGAAAAGATTTTAAAGATACGATATGCATATAGTAACATTGATTGGATTCAGGAAGTTTAAATCAAGGGAGGATGGACAAAGATGAGGGGGACAAAAACTCCACGTGTTTGGCAGGCCGCCAATGTAATGTGTTGGCACCTACACAGCATGAGATGATTTACGACCTGTCCTATTCGTAGCCTCTCTACCATAAACAATACCAAGGTATCCAGAATTGATCACAAGGCCTGTCCGTACATATGCATATGCATATGTATACACGCCGATAGGATTGTAGACCTCCCATACACCAAGAAGTCGTGTCGCTTAAATAAATAACGCGTCAATTCTGATTTTTAGGCCAAAAATGACAAAGGTGTGGGTGGATTATAATAGGCTGGAACCTATAGAGGCCGAATCACCTCATTCTCAAAAGGCGGATATTGTCGCGGCTGTAGGCCTCCCGCATCCATCTGCATCTTCGGCCATTCTCCGCATTCACAAGCCTTCTACGTGTGTCTTTTTCCTTCTTTACCTCTTAAATTCAAGGGCCTCAATCACCTATGTTTAAACTATAGCGTACACAGTTCACCTTTGGCTATCCTCTCTGCCATCGTCAGCGTCTACAATGCAGTCGGAAAGTCTGGCCTCACCAGCCGAAATGATGATTGTGGAGCAGCCGCAACATTCCGGAGGCGGCGCCAAAGATGCAATCGCACAAGATAACGTATTAATTTTATCTCGTCTCCGCCCATTCCTAAATTTATTGACTAGTTGCTCACTGATCTGTTTTTCTAGATGAGCTATGCAACACACGAGCAACAGCAATACTACAGCACATCTGCAGCAGTGTATATGTCTGCGACGTATTTGCAGGAGAATAAAGAGACTGCCCATGAAAATCATATACAATCTACTTTGGATGATCTCTCACAGACCACTGGCACGAACTCAACTTCGTTAGATGACAACTGGAGCAAGCGGGATAACTCGACCGGGCTCATGGGGATAGTGAACGGCTTGATGGACCGAGTCACTACGACGGTGCGGCGGAAAGATAAACGAAGTATACATACAAAAAGACCAACTTCAAGTACTCAAGAACCAGGATCAGTTCCAAAGATCCATGAACAAAGTCCAGATTCATGGCCGCACAAACAAGCAGAAACGCCAAGTTCTCAGAATCAAGGAGAAATCTTAAAGGCTTACGAAGAGATTAAGCGCAAAACAGACCAACTACATGAAATGACACTCCATACTCGAAACTTAGAGAGTATAGTGCACACTCTCAGAGAGGATCTTAGTAAGGCAGACACGAAGATGGCTGCTCTCGGAAGGGCCGTTACTGAGAGCGAGGCAATCATCACCCAGTCTCATGCCACTGCTGTTTCAACATTGGCAGGCAATGTTTCAAGAGGCATTACTGACGACATGATCAGAGAAGAACTCAAGAAATTCTTTCAAAACGATTTCTTCTCATGGTGTGCCGACTTGTGCACAGAGAGAATTGTGGATGAGAATGCTGCGTTACACAAACTTCTTGAAGCTGGAATCATAAACCGCAGTGAGAAATATATAAAAGGCCCAATATTTCTGAAGTTTAACATGAATTCGCCCGATGGGAGCAGTCCATTGGTGTTGCTTCAAGGAGCCTTGGCCAGCAGGCTTTGTTATTTGTACTTGAATGATGCATATTTTTTGGCAGAAGAACTACACATGAAAGCCAAAGGCCGTTACCGGCTGCGTCAATTTGAGCATCATTTTAGGCAGGGCGAGTATCATTGACAACTCGAGTGATTAGGTTCTATTACTGACATATATGGCGTATAGCCCAGCCAAATGCTGCCATCGACTGGAGGATTCAGACAGTTGAGTGCTTGGAAAAGGCAGTACCAATAACAGAAGAATACATCCAGAGAGAGGTGCAAGATTTTGTGCAAGAATACGAGTTTTTGCTGTCTGCTGACAAATATGACAACGAGGCCAACAAAGACCTGGTACAAATTTTCACCGACTTTGCTATTTTAGCACTCAAGTTATGGAAAACCCGGGCAAATATTGAATGGTGTGACATAAATAGCTTTCAAAATGCGTACTTTGAACTCGGGCATCCATGGGTGGAGGTCGAACAATCGCTGGCGTTGACTATGGGCCAGAGATTAAATGGCCGTCCCATCGGACTCATCGTTCGCCCTATGATTGCGTCCAAATCGCTATCAAAGAGTGGTGAAGTGGAAGAGGTGATTTGGCACAAAGCTCTTGTTTGGGTCTCTGGTGAAAACGAGACTACGGAATCAGAGAAGTTGGTATGAAATTGCGCTATGCACTTTTTGATGCGTTTATGCTTGAAAATGGTGGTATATGAGATGTAGGTAGAAAAAGAAAGGAGTAAATGAACCGTCTATCATAATACTGGCGGTCTATGCCAAATGCTAATGGCCATCAAATGTCATCACTATCTCTCACGCTGAAAAAGCCCTCCAAATTGCCAGACTTACAACAGGATACGACATGATCCTACCATGCAACCCTCACTTTGTAATCGCTTCTTGGAGTCTCCCCTTCTGCGTCTGCTGATCTACAAACCCACCCTCCAGCTTGTAAATCCGACCTTGAGGCTGCCTTTTCCTCCTCAAGTTCCTCGTAGCATATACCATGAGGTAAGGATGCATTAACAGCTTGCCAGTATAATAAGTTGCTGTGCTCCCAGGGAATATCATAGTCGTCTTCTGCGTGAAGAATGGTAATATCATGCTGTGCGAATCGTCAGGAGACATCTCGCACTATCTTACCAACTCTGCGAGCTTACTCTTAGTGAAGATACTAACCCGTTATCACGGTAACGATTGCATTGGTATATCGATAAATAACTTGCAGAGCTAGATTGATAAAATTGTAGTACGTAGTTTGGAAAGGTTCCAAGATTCGCTCAAACTATGAAAGTTCGCCAAGACAATCGCGTCTTAACGCTTGGATCTATCTAGGACGCGTTGTCATTTGATAGCCGTCACATCCCTTGCCTCATTATCACCCATACACTGTTTGCTGTATATTATCCAGTCTTTGTGTCTGAAATCCTTAATACTTTGATGAGACATCTCTTCGCCGAGTATTTAACCTAGATTCTGGAAATCTAACAATAATCTCTATCGAGTTGGTTGATACTGTTTTGATCCGGTTCACCAGAGTAGTAGCACTTAATAAAGCACCCAGCGAAAGTACTAGTTTCAATGCAGCTGTCGGCCCCAGTCTTCTCCTGCGCCTCATTAGCCAACCCCTGGCAGTTGCTTGTAGTGCAGGCGCTCAGATCAAGGTAATAGTGGCCATAATGATCGTGAAGAGCGCAAAAACCACACTGAGCTGGCGCATCAACTTCCCGCTTATTGTGGGAATGTTGGTACTGGGTCGTGCCATTTGCGGGAGGATAAGCAACTTGGATGAGGAGTGGGTGCGCGGTTAGAAGGGGGGTTGCGCCGAGTACCACCGCAATACTAACAATGACACTCTTCATTGTGCTCAGTGTACGAAGGTAATACACTAGTGGAAGTAATGAAGAATGATCGCGTTTGTTAGATATCGCAGGAACTTATTGCTTTCGTGTCTGACAAGCAAATATCGTATGTTTGAAGTAAAGACAAGAGAATATGCCAAGTTGTTATTATTCGCAAGAGTGATTGTTTGGATGTGTTTATCTGGATGGTGTCTTGTAGAGATGTTTTCTTTATCGAGATGATTCGAATGCCTTATAGATATCTTGACAAACAAGGACTAGAATAGAGAAAGTTAAGAAAGGCTGAAATAAAAACTAATAATTATAGAAAAATAAAAACCTTAAGAGGACTACGTACAAGCCACAAGAAAAAACGAGGCGGTGTACTGGGGCTGATATCCTATCAATTCTTGAAAATAGGCACGAGGAACCTTAAATTTAGAAGAGCTGTATACAGGATTTGCCACTTGACATATAAAGAACATTGAAGGTTTGCGCTAATTGTGCAGCCACCAGCAGTGCTCGAAAATGGTGCAGCCCATGGTCTAATAATATGTCACTGAATAGGTCTAGATTCCAGATGCTGGGCCATATATAGTAGGAAAATCACAGGATAACTACCTTCTACTAGCTAGACGAGTTCTCAAGTCCTACGTATGTATGTATGTATGTATGTATGTATGTATGTATGTATGTATGTATGTATGTATATTCTATTATGGCCATGCACCCTAAGGGTATGGGCCGTTTCGATGCGCTAGCTATATACATTGTTCTTTACATACATTTTCTCTAGATCAGAACCCAACTATGAGTCCTGCTCATCCATTACCTAACACCATGCTCAACATATGAAATAAACGAAAGTGATATATTGCCATAATGTGATAAAGATATGAGGTGTAAGCGAGCTGATAGTTATCTGCCTTGCATCCGCAGGGCAGTTTCGGCGTCGTACGCCTCTTTATCGCCAGCGCACTGGCCGAAGCAGTGTCTGTGGCTCGCAGTATGTACACCTGGAAGGTAGGAGAGGGTATCCTCAACTCTCTCTTCTCGCCAGCTTCTTCTTCGTCTGTTCTTGTCATGTCTTGTTCGTTTGGTTGTAGTCGTTCGGTCTCTTTTGCAAATTCGATCGTCGATATCTGGTTTCCATCGCTCTATCGGTCCGTCAATGCCCCGGCCTCCTCCTTGTCTGGTCAAGTAGCCTCCAAGTTCATTTGATAGGTCTCCAAATCTTTCACTATGTTGTTGTCTTGACTTTGTTCTCGCTCTTTCCCATCCTCTGCAGGAGAAGAGGAAGTGTGGAATCGTTTCTGTGAGCCCACAGTCGAATGCTGCTGTTTCTGACGCCTTGATCTTGTGAAGGTACTCTTTGAGGAACGTCTTACCCGTCCGTAGCTGCGTGAGGATGGCAGCCTCCGCACTTGTCAATTGCTGGTACATCTCTGCCGACTTGTCGAGGTGCAGTGCTGCATCGATCTTCCTCAATCACAACCTTGGAGCTCAACACTTTAGCCCTTGCTGTATGCTCGCTGACGACGTCTTTCACATGGCAATACAAACCCTCAAATGTTCATACCCAATCCCTCTATACACTAGGGCTACAATTCATCGACATGAATGGGCCTTGCTGGTCCATGAATGTGCAACCTTTCATGGGAATATCAGTGATCTCGAAGCTGAGGCCAATTCAGCGTATTCCAAACTAGCGATTCCCCCTGAATCCTTACGGTGTTCAGGAGTATTTTGTCCGTTTTGCAAAACTCCTGTTCACGGGAATCTATGTGGCAAACAGCTAGCTGGCTCCTATTCGCAGCCACGGGTATCTTTTGGGTTTTCGAGACCATAGCATCTTGGACACGACTAGATCATTAGAAATAGTTATATTTATGGATAGCAGACTGAAAGAAGCTACCTGACTTTGAGGCAATCAAAAAGGAGGAAGAGCAGAATAGAGAAGCAAGCAAGGAGCGGTATCAACTTCCACTTCCTTGGGAGTTCTGGACAAACATGCCTGTCGCTGTCGTGTATGGCATCGCGAGGATGTATCTCTTAGTTGAAACTTTTCTGGAGTTTCGAAGAGTGGACGCAACAGTCTTTCTTGAAACGAATTAGGCCAGTTTCATACCACATATCTAAATTCTCAACCTAGCTCAGTTCAATAACCACCTACCCATTTAATAATAATGTTGCTGCCTTGAGAGCTGGTCTAAGCGGGCATGTGCGTACGTAGATCCCATGAATAAATGGTGTTGGCTGCATGCAGGAACAAACACAAACAAAGGCAGTTAAATAAATCTGCGCCCCCCCAACAGTTCTCCTGTTTCTTCTCACCTATTTTTCATTGCCATTTCAAAAAGAACATTGTTCATCACAAGAGTTCTGTCATAAGAAGCACATTTTCTGATATCACCCTTCTACATATCTAAACTTGCAGTCACCGATGGCGAGCCGCGAAAATAAGGCGTCGGAGCACAAGATTATTGGCATAAGGCAGCCCAACAGGAACTACGTCGACCGATATGCCGTCCGCGTCGTGGCGCTTAACGATCTCGGTCAGATCGCCCTAATTCATGCCAAAGAAGGAAGCTACTTCAAACTACCAGGTGGTGGCATTGACGCAAACGAGGATCACCAAACTGCTGCGGCGCGTGAGGTTCAAGAAGAAATTGGAGCTATAGTTTCCTTCGTCCCCGCTGACGGCGATGTCACGATCAATATTCCCACGGCCGGCTGCATTGCCACAACCGAAGAGTTCCGCAACGACCTTCATCAGATTTCTTATTGTTATTTCGCGAAAGTTGTGAATACCACTGGCAAGCCGAACCTCACTGAAGACGAAATTGTTGATGGGCTTAGCCATGAATGGGTGACAGTCGAGAAGGCCCTGGATATTATGAGTGCGGCGGAGCCTACGTCTGAGTTGGGCTGTTACATACAAGAGAGAGACACTTATCTCCTCAGTGAGGCGAAGGAGCTGATGGAGGCGATCCCCAAGAACGAAGCAAATTAGCGCATTGATGTGGTCCCCAAGGCAGGGTGGAGGAGCTCTTGGAGATGGTCTCCAAAAATACAAAGGGGCAGAGCAGGACTTGATGGTGAGAAGTGATGGCTTAGAAGTTGACGTTGATATTATTATAAACATGGGTTCCACATCCTGTATTTAATACAGTTTTGTCAACGAGATGAGTATTGCAGTCGCTCATCAGCTAGAGACACATGCCTCAAAACAAAGTGTCTAACTTTTCGATATCCTACACACAGACACCCTTCAAAATTTGCATCCAACATTCCTCAAAAAGTATGAGTAGGTCACATAAGATTTGCTCTGTTGCAGATGTAAGTCAATTTGATGCTGTTGTGATTCCACTGCCCTAATACAGTTACTCTGTTTTGGTGTGTCTTCTCTTGCGCTCTTTCTCAACCGTTCCATGAATCCAATCCAACATTCCAAGTTGCCCCCAGGAACCATAATACACATTCGCAGCTCCTTCATGGTGACGGTCGTGCATATAAGCTGCCTCATAGAAGAAATCATAGCCGCTGTGAATCACCGTCGATGAGAACAACACCAGATACATGAACGCCCACGTAGTTACAATATGGGTCTTCAACAGTAGCGGCGGCAGCAAAACAGGTAGAGAGTCAACCGTTAGGTACTCAAGCGGATGAGCATACTTGGAGGCAAATGCAACTGGCGCTGTGAACTCGTGGTGCACCTTGTGAAATCGCTTATACAGCGGCTTCCAGTGTGCAAGACGGTGCCAATAGTAGTTGAAGGTCTCGCGCAAAATTAAATTTTGCACAAATCCAAGCACAAACTCAGTTGGTGTAGGTAGGTTGGGAACAACTCCCACAACGGCTGTACGGTTTTTTCCAGCAAAGGCGTATGACAAAGCCATATACATCGGAATACTGAGAAGATCGTTGCAAAGTGCCATACCGACAGCCCGTAAAACATCTCGAGGTTTAACTTTCTTGGAACTTGGCTGCATCTTATGCTTTTCTGAAAAAGATGGTGCCATGTATTCAAGACAGGTGAAGCCGATGCAGGGGATCCACCAACTGAAGATGCTGACGGCTGTAATGCCGGCGAATTTGATTGTAAAAGGGTCGTAAGTCGCCACGACATGATTCCAGAGGTCATTCGCCTCCATTGCAAATTTCTCCATGGTTTAGTGAGAACTCCTGTGAGTTATGGTGCACGGCGGTAGGTTCCAGAGGAGAAGATGTTGCTACGGCTCCTATTAATACTAGAGATGGGATGATAAGGCCCGATGACAGGAGCCTAAATTCTCTGTGCCTAAAAAGAAGAGGATTGCATTTCAAAGTCTGCCTCCCCGAAATACTATTCCCAATATAGTCGTCGATGCTTCACTGTGACGTGACAGTGTCCGAAATGCCAGCCTATGAGACACACAGTTAAATCTACACCACATGAGACACTAACGCACGAATGCCAGCTGCGGCCGAGGTGAGCTTAGCGCGAAAGATGCAGAATCAGCTGAAGCAATAAGCGCTTCCATTCACGAACGAGACATCTCATATCTGTGGACCATTGGTTAGTATACGCAATATCTCCAGTTTCAGTTTACTATTGCCAGCTGTTATTATAGCTCTCCTAGATTGGAAGAAAACTTGGGGGTCTCTCGTATTAGTGAAAGCCTTGTGATATGTCTTCATTCACTCTGTCCACCCTCCATTCCAAGAGATATTGCGTGTCATATATCTCTGATTTCCCGGAGGATTCGGGATTATGCGGGGTCCAGTACCGGATATCTTTGGGTTGCATCCTTAGGATTAATTTGTTCTAAACTGCCTCTTGTGATAACTTCATGACTTACCCAACTCGGATGAAGTCGTGTAGTTCAGGTCCACTCTACGGAATTCGAACCATGGTTCATTATTTGAGGTGTAGCTGGTTCGATTCCGTTTACCCTCCATAATTTTCGCGAAGTAGCAAACCTCAACGTCAACTGCTACCGCTGGTGATTCTTCAATTAGTACAGCGGCTGCTGCATATCTATTGGAATGGCAGCTGAGCACCCGCTAACGTAGGCAGCAGACATCCCATACGGACGGGCCTGACGTGGCAATCGGAGAAGCTAATGGGCATATCGCCCATTTCAGCAGTGACTATATCAGCTACTCCCTCGGCCTAGTAGCAATTTGATCCTGATATTTCCGACAGGCGAGTACTTTGGAGAGGGTAACGCCGGGGATTGGTTGGATCTCAAGCGGGTTCAATATGGAACAGGTGGAGAAGCCGGATATGGAATTGTCTCCTAGATTCACGGGAATAGACTTGTTGGGAGGTGCTGAATTCTCAATGGGTGATGCTGAGCATTTGAAAGAGATACTATTATGCTGGGTATTTCAAACGTGGGCCTGTACGAATGAGCTGTCGATTAGTTCAGCCGTTATATTGTCCCAAAAGAATTCCACAGTCCAGTAAAGCAAGAGTATTAACAATGAAGTATCTGGATCTCATGAATCCCATAGAAGTAACTGCCTACATCCGGCAACGTAAGCTCATTTACCCCTCAAATAGTGTTCAAATTTACCTTGGGGATGGTAGAGACGAAAGCTGAAGCTTTCAGAGAGGCGTGGTAATACTTGTTTGTGTTTAATTGAGATGGGCATCATCACTGTTTCTCAGTGTGATTCCAAACGCCTAGAAGATTATGACACTGTCATTCACCCTGATGATTTATACTCAAATCGCACTGTTGATTTTTCTTTCTTTCTTTCTTTCTTTCTTTCTTTTTTTTTGTTGCTGCTGTTGGGATAACTCATCAGGACTATGTAAGACGTGTGACATATTACCATGTAAAAGAAATGATGATTACGCTTGCGTATATATTTCTGGTATCGATGGACGGTAGGTCAATGATCACTTGCAGCTCTTTCTAAATCGGTAAGTTATTTAATGGCATATTTCAACAAACCACGTCAGAACTCTTCGATTGGCCGCCCTTCTCGACTGAGCATGTGCAAGCCTCCCTCAAAAGCCAAAGGATTTCGGTAATTATTACCCGAATCCCTCCAAACTACATAATTGGAAGAAGTTACTCAAAGACTGCATAACTCCCCGCATCAAGGCTACCTGGTGAGCGTCTTGGGGAAAGGCAGATATGCAAGGCTGGCATCAAGCATCTATGCTGCCTAACCAACCAGGCTCAGTCGACTGATATGTGCTATCATCATTAGACTATGTACGAGCCTTGATGTGCCCCATATCTCTCATCAGATTTCTTAAAATGATTTAATTTGTTTAAAAAAAAAACTGGCAAATTCCTATTTCTCCTCAGACATTACGCCACCAAGATAATGGGCATATCTTCCGAGTCAGCTCCCCCCAGGCAAGACGAGAATCCCGCCAAATCTTCTTCGAGTAAAGAAAAGGGAGATTGCAGCGATTATCACATGTCAAGAACCCCTAAACTCCAACATAGCGACTATAATATTGGTGGGATCCGCGCCCTTCACATTGAGACGGCCGCCGCCCGCGCGATGCTAGATTGCATTCATAAGCCACTACCCATGGAAGCAAGGGACAGCAACGCATATGCCTTAGGCCATATAGGATCACACAACATTGTAATGGCATGCTTGCATATTCGTCATAAGTTCCTCGAAGGGACTTGCTGAAGTTACAAAGTCTGGGCTTCCGGCGGTTCAATTAATTTATGAATCAGATCCGAATTTTTTCCTGAAAGACGGTAGTCTCTCTGAATTATTGCCAGATTTTGTAGGCAATATTGATGTCTTTAGCCATGAAACGCTTAAGAAATGCTGTCATACATATTTTAAGCTGCGTATACCGCAAAGCCCTTCAGTTAACAGGCTCGTCCTTAAAGACGGACAGGCAACATTAAACTCCAAGTCCCCATTTTCTGAATATGCTCTTCTGCATATATTATACCATGCTGATATTGCTACACGCGAGATTTCTCAGAACGCTTTCTTATCGCAGTTGGAACTCCGACACCTGATTACTCTAAGACAGCGGTATCTATTAAGTAAATACTCGATTAAAAACGCCAGCTAGCAATTGCAAAATGTATAACAACAAGCAACTATTTTACTGACAGTCTGAAAAATATACCAAAGAATCATCATAAGTGTATCAAGGTGTGCAGCCCTTCCATATTTTCCAGTGTGATTGATTGGGGTTATAGGGTCCCACACCAGCCTTCGTCCGCCTTGCAGAAGCGTAAGCAGAGTCGAAGAGCCTGCTAATATGCCTCCTTGGGCGTTTTCCAAGGCTCTTCCAAGAACTCAGGCTGTTCAAAGAAACTTGTGCCAAATTTGGATTCGGGCATTACACTCCACAAACCATTGGAGATGTAAATAGGATCTCTACATGCGGTCGCAGTCAGACTACACCATATCTACCCAGCCACTTTCATAACAACTGATTTCATTTGTAGGCAACCAGCGATGCATGCAAGTACCGGAATACCACAGTGCTTACTCGTGCTACAGAAATTCCGACTACGGAAGATACTCGAGTTATATGCTGATCATTTTGTGTCCTGCATAAAAAACACCAGCCACAGCATTGCTCTCCAATTTGCTACCCCTCCCATAAAGGTTAAAACATCTCCGGGTCAGTGGTTTACAAATGAGTCGATATAATTACGACCAAATTGATCTCGACGGACATGCGATTCGGCTGCTCCGCCTTCTCCCTGGGTCGGGATCCGAACAAATATTGTGTGAAATCATTGAAGCATGGCTATATCCAGAGGAAAACCTTCTACCGTATGAAGCTCTATCCTACACCTGGGGCTCTGCGGAAGCACCAGAAAACATTACTGTCAACGGAAAGCTCCTTGCCGTGACGGAAAATTTGTATAAAGCTCTTCAACAGCTACGGCACGACAACCAAGAGAGAATACTCTGGGTGGATGCCATTTGCATCAATCAAGATGACAATAAAGAGAGGGGTCACCAAGTGCAACAAATGGGCGACATTTTCAAAAAGGCAGAACGGGTTATATTCTGGTTAGGCGAGAGCACGCCTTTAATTGATAATGTCATGGACGTATTCAGTAGAATGCAGCAGATCAGCCTCAACTACTCTTACAGAAGGTGGAGTCAGGACGATGAAAACTGGAGATACGTTTGGAGGTGTTCCGTTGAGCCTACTCTGGCAAGTCTGGGAAGCCCGCAATCATTTTATATGCTGCAGCGAGGTTTTTGGCACATCCTCAACCAGCCTTGGTTTACAAGAGTCTGGGTATTGCAGGAAGTGACCAACGCAAGGGCAGCAGTAGTCTGCTGCGGCTCGAAGACTACTGCGCCATGGCTTCTGAGCCTTGCTCCGCGTTTCCTTGATGTAAAACCGGATTATCACGAGCAAGCTGTCGTCGATGTCATGCCGGGGCCGTGGAAAGGGTCATCCTGGTGGAGCAAAAGCCAGGATCTGTATACACTGCTGACAAAATTCGGAGACAGCCAGGCGACTGAGCCACGCGATATGATTTACGCATTGAAAGGCATGTCTTCTGATGCTAAAAATGAACCAAGCCTGTACCCTGACTATACCAAACCGGAGCGACAACTGGTTCGAGACGTCATCCTATTTATGTATCCCCTCAACGAGGAGCATATGGCGCTTGTTAACCCACCACTCACAATCCGAGATCTCATCCGAGATCTGAAAGGGTTATGCAGGCGCATCGCTCTCCATTGTCACAAAGTCTATTCCCAACAAGACACAAAGGCTCTTATTCAACATAAGTCACCCGAAATCCAGAGTCAAATATTCGTGGAATTGCTCTCTAGAGATGGCAATGGAGACTTTGTAAAGCATCTTCTCCAGGATTGGGGACTGAAAGTCAAAATAGCCGAACATCATCTCACTATCATAGCTTGGCAGATGTTGAGTATGGATATGGCTGAGAGAGTCTTTCATCTTATGGACCATGCCATCAACCCGACAGTTACTACTCTGATCATGGCAGCTAAAAACGAGGATTGCGGCGACAGAATTATTGAACTTTTTTCTCAACATGTGAACGGTCACCTACGAATAACGGAGGATGTAATAAGAGCAGCAGCTCTAAATTATGGCTGCGGATGGAGAATTATGGAAATAATTCTTCGCAATAATCGAAATCAGATATTTGTAACAGACGCCGTACTCGACGATGTGGCGTACCGGAGAGACACTGGCGTAAAGGAACTGGAGGTCACCGGTCGACTTATTGACGGCGACGACAAGTTGACGAAACGGCTCTTGTTACATGCGGTTCAAATACCACCTTCCAATACCCACGATACTCGCCACGAGAATATGAGCGTGTGGCTCACAGAGAGTCTCTTGATGCACCGTAAGAAGCTTTCCGATACATCTGAGTTATTACACAGAGCAGTATCAAATTACAGCAATGCTGGAAAGTTAACCCGTCTCCTGTTTCAATACTGGGGGAAACAGAGTTTTGTCATCACGGACGATATTCTCTGGGCAGCTGTAACAAATAAGGAGGGCGGGCATGACGCGCTAGCGTTCTTGTTCGAGCAAATGCGATATGAGATTACAATCTCTCAAACGATAGTCGACTTTGTCTTTTTGTCGGGGCATGATGAAATTCGCAAATTATTCCTGCAACTTTTCTCCAAATTCGAAAACAAGACTGCCTCGATAAGAGACTCCTCAAGTGAGAACGGCATGTTACGATAGCTGGGACAGCAAATACGAGAAGAATGACACATTCATTTCTTATTGCTCCATGTTCTTTATGGTAAGAGAAGTGACTGAGCTTAAACAAATAGCGTGTACACTCCTAGAATTTATACAAACAGGAAGAAACTATAAGATGTAGATAAATACTAATTGTACTCCGTATCATGCTATATAAACCCTCATATTGACAGCCAAAGGGCCCCCTGGGGGGTTTGTCTCACATATTGCCAACCTCAACTTCATCTTCATCCGTCACTACCCTCCTCTTGCCTCACCTTCGTCGCATCCAGCTTCCAAACACTCCCATCCAACGCCCCCCTCCTCGCCCACTCTGTCACCAACTCAAGCGGCGTCTCGTCCCCGTAAAAAGGCAACGGTACCTCAAACACCTCTACTGTCATCTTCTCCTCCGGATCAATCTCCTTCCACCTCTCCGTCCTCACCACGCCGAGATCATACACCAAATCCATCAGCACAACCTTGATATCCCTGCTCAGCCTCACATCCTCCCGCGGCAACTTGTGAAAGTACTCGTCCTTGATATTCACCGCGTCCAACCGCACCGGCCTCGCCAGCACCACATGCTCCAGCCTCGGCAACGTCGCGATATCCCACCACAGCCAGTGACTGTCCATCGGCACGCCAAACAGCACCAGCCGCTTCAGCTCCGGCCACAGCCTCCACACGTCCGTGTGTCCGTCCGGCACGCTCAGCGCCGGATACTCGCCCACGCACACAAACTCCTCCAGCCGGTGAAGCTGCTCAAACCCATCGCGCAGCGTCCGCCGCACGCTGAGGTGGTCGTCGAGCGGATCCAGGCTGCCAAACGGCATCTGCACCACCAGCCGCCGCAGCGTCTCGCACACCTCGCAAAACAGCTCCCGCACCCACACAGCCGTCGGCAAGTCATCCAGCGATGCCCCAAACGGCGCGATATACAGTGCCGTGAGATGCCGCAGCGACAAGACCGGAGGCAGTCCCGGCACCAGGCGCGGCATGCATAGCAACAGGTCTGCCAGCCGCCGACTCGAATCAACAAACGCGCACCGCTGCCGCAGAAGCCGCGTGGCCTGCGCATGCGTTGCCCGCGACACCCTCGTCAGTGCCAACAGCGTCCTGGTCGAGATATGTGAGGCGGGCAGCAGCTGGTAAGGGTTTGGTGGCAGCACTGCTTCGACAACGAGGAGCAGCAGCTCGGGTGGCAGAGATGGCGACGGCATCTTGTCTGCCGGTCCGGAGGAGTGAAGAAGCTCCATCAGCTCCAAAATGGCTATCACATGTTTAGAAAGACGGGGAAATGGGTTGATGCTCTCAAACCTCGTTGGCTGTGGTGCAAGTGAGGTTGGTGGTGGATTCCCAGGAGTTTTTATTGCCCTCAACCAATTTGATGTCAGCTGAATGGTAATTTGGGCCTAAAAGTACGAGGTACAGGGTACATTCTCACCACCAACTCCACCCTCATTGAGACCGTATATGGTAACGAATGGAATCAAAACAATCAGGCAAGGTGAAAGTACCAGGTTCAAAATCAATAGCATCCAAATTAATTGCCTCCTTGCTATATATACTACGCCTCGACCATGCTGTTTACCCCACACGCTGTCTAGTACAATCTACAATTAATCCCCTCCCCCAAAATCAGAGTTGTCCTGCAGGAGAAATCTACGACAACTGCGATATCCGACGTGAAAGCCTTCCGAAACGCCACGAAACAAAGCATACCAAAGGATAAATCCCATCAATGAACTAGAATAAATCAATACCCATAATTAAGAAAAAATAATTGATGCCGCAGGTGTCCAGTTATCGCCACTTGCATGCCTCTCATCAAGGCTTTCCATCACCACAACTCCATGTTTTCCCAGCTATACTCCAATACTCAACATCAACATCACCGCTTCTTAGGCGTGCTCTCATAGCTATAGTCCATGCTCCATAGCTTATCCCACAAAATAGAGCTCTTCATCGGGCTGATCGCAACAGAGCTCTTACGCCGATTGCTCCTGTGAGGCTGTGGCTGTGGCTGTCACGAACCGATCAGTGACCTAGGGCCCAAGTAGAGAGTCAACGGCTCGTACCTCGGGGGCCTTTCCCGATTTGTCCTGTGTAGACAACTCGCCGCCTCGCTGCCCACCGTCGGTATTGGCAGCACTGAGGACGCTGCCCTGCACCGGGCTTGTGGCTGTCGGAGTGTCGGGAGGAGCGGCACGAAGGGAGTTGGTCTCGCTCGCCAGCGCGCTGTTCTTTAACAGGGCCGTACCACCACTGATATGGAATGGCAGGGCTTTCTTAGACCCCGAGCTGCTTCGACGGCTCTCCAGGCTCTTGGAAAGAGTCTTGTTAATACCCTCGATGCTGGCTATGCTATCCCGACTCCTCCCTTTCCCCTTGGCTGCGTGGGATTGAATATTAGCCGTGGCCTCGACATTATTGGCGGCGACGGTTGATTTACCCATCCCAGGTGTTGTGGGCGCCCCTATCTTGTCCTCTTGGGCATCTATGAGATACCATCGCAAGCCATCCGACAGCTGGAAGGGGTTGTCGTTCTCCTCATCATTCGAGTCGGTCTCATTGCTTGGCTGTAAGCTCTTGGAAAGATCCACGACACGCTCCTGGATTTTGGAGATTCGGGCAACAAGCCACTCTCGATGACGAAGTCGATGAGCGTCTTGCTCGCGGAGGAAATAGTGCGGGAATCCCACGTTGAAGGCAGCCCAGGCTCCTGCTTGTTGGTTTCGTGTGGGGAGGAAAAGCGCCAGGTCGCCTTCCTTGAAGTTCCTAAACGCAATCTTGTTATGAGAGTCCTTTTGTAAGCTGTGTGCCCGGTCTCTGTATGATCTAGCTTCACGTTGCCATTTTCGCGCCTTGTGCTCCGCCTCCTTGACTCTGTGATATATCGTGTCGGAAAACAGGTCGGTATCAAACGTGCCTAGTTTCTCCATGAAGGCCTGGTACTTCTCGTCCTCGACTGAGGGGTCCGTGTTGCTAACCCAGTAGAGAAGCTCTAAATCGGAACTATCAGTCATGGCACGACCACCCAGGCTAAGTGACCGGCGAATGGAAGATCCGGGATCCGAAGAGTCGTTAGGGTTTGCAGCAAGCTTGTCAGATCGAGATACCCTCGTGATTACCATCTGGCCCGCATCCCGACTGATGGAGTAGCCTACACGCTCGAGGAGTCTAGTTAGACGGTCATTCTGAGAGTAGAGCCTCTGTGTTAGGTCCTTGGTTCGTCCATCGCGAGCTTCGTATTGTGCGCTAAGCGCAGATAGCTTCGACTGGACGTCTTCAAATCTCTGCTTAAAGAGCCGGGACTCTTCTTCAAGGCTGCCAACTTGGGATTGTCTCCAGGCAACCTCTTCTGAGAGCTCCGTCACCTTCTTTTCCTCTCTCTCAAGTTTCTTGCGGAGCATCTCGGATCCGGTCTCGCCATCGGATAGCTGGCTTCGGAGCTGGTTCAACTCCTCCCTGCTCTCTGTCACTTCACGCTCTAAGGCGGTTACCTTGGCCTTCTCCTCAGCAAGATTCTCACGAGTATGCATCGTGGACATCTCCTGTGACGAGAGATTCTCTTTCATCTGCGTCAGTTCGGCTCGAAGCTCTTTGGCTGAGTTGGAGGCCTTGTCGAGCTCAGATCTTAAAAGTGAGGCGGTGCTCCCAGAGTTTCGCAGCTTCTCAACAATATCAGCGGCATTAGAGAATAGGGCCTCGGCCAAGTCAGCCTCATCGGCTGGCATGGCGGTGTCTGGCGACAACTCAGCATACAGCTTCTTTAGCCACTCGAGCCGAGCCTCTGCACTCTCCTCGACTGATTCAAGCTTCTTGGATGTAACTCGGGCCTCTTCGCGTACAGTACGCAGTCTTCGCTCGGAAGCATCGAGCTGATCCCTTTGCATCTGTGTCTCTTTGCGTAGGAATTCAACCTGGCCCTGGGATTTCAGCATATCATCCTTGCGCTCCTTGTTAACTCGTTCAATCTCCGTCTCGAGGGTTTGGATTTTCTCGTCGAGGTTGGCCTTTTCATTCTCCCTAGATTCCCCAAAATGATCCATCTCTTCCTCCGTATCCTCCAGCCGGGCCTTGAGTGCCTTGATCTCGTTCTCCAAGGAGATTCTCTCGTCCAGGAATTCCCGCTTCAGAGCCTCCATGTTCTCGAGGAGATCCTTCTTTGTGGAGTTGACTTCTTCGATCCTATCTCTCATGTCATCTCGCTCATTGACGCGATTGTCGAGGTCTTTCTGGAAGTCCGCCGAACGCTTCTTTTCTTCGCGAAGCTCGTTTTCCAACTGCGCTATCCGCTGCGACAGCTGTTCCGTCCCGTCTGGCAATGGCTGTCGTTCTTCAACACGGGCTGATTTGATTGATGAGATAGAGTTATGTCTCGAATGCCCGTTTTGCCCCTGCAACGGAAACAGGTTGCCAGGGCGTGAGGCTTGGCTCTGCCGGTGCAGAAGATCCTCAAGGCGGCGCACTCTGCTGTCAGCTGTCTTCAGCTTATTTTCCAGCCTGAGCTTTTCGTCTTGTAGAGAGCCAATGAGGTCATCGTCGCCGCGGATCAAGAGCCCGCTCCTCCCCAGTACCGCCTCATGCACGCTGCCGTTCTTAAATGCCTTGAGCCTCTTGGCTTGCTGCTTGGTGGGGGCGGCGAGTTCTTGGAGGAGCTTTGCGACATCATCCACAATCTCTTGGTCTGTATTTCGCTCCTGCAGCAGCTGGAGAAACTCTTCCAGCTCGGACTTCCCAATGGCGGGCCAGGGGATATCTTCTCCTCGCAGGTTGACTTCAAGCCCCATAACGTTGGTATCGAGTCCAGGTCCATACATGCTGCCAACCATTTTTTGCCACTTCTTGCGGCGCTTCGATTCCTCATCCTGGAACAAAGCCATCTCGTTAGCAAGAGTCGAAGAGTCAGCCTTGACTTTGTCGATCCACTCTCGCCGTCGGATGGCCTCGACCATGAAAGAGGCATACATGTATGGCAGTTGCTGGATGAGTCGCAGGTAGTCGAAAGTTGTCATGTCGTCTTCGGATTGATTCAAGACGTTGATTTGGTTTCTGACACTGCTGTGTAGGGAGGTAATTTCTGTGATGTTCCGCATAAAGCTTACAGAATCCGCCGCAATGATATTTCGCGATTGAGTTGCATACTGAGCCATTTCATCCATCTCCTTTGCTCGTTTTCGGAGGGTTGGGACTAATCTTTCGGTGTGAATCGAGGCCGTTTTCGAAGCCTGGGCCAGATCCCGCTGTGAATTGCCATAGTTAAGGGCTGTACGGTAATCTGAGTCGATCTGTTTGGCCACCGCCTCAATATCCTCCATGAGCTGCGAAGAATCGGTGCTGTGGCCCAAGAGCGACCGATTCATCAACGAATTAAAATCGCCAATGAGAGTTTCCAGCGCTTGGTACATTTGGGTTGCCGCTCCATCTAGTTCGCTGGCCTTTTGGCTGAACCTTCGATGCGCTGTGGGGGCCAGCTTGCCAGCTTTGTTGGCCGTTTCCAACTCAATTAGATCCTCCAATGTAGGATCGGCCTTGCTCACTTCGCCACGCGTCATGAACTTGACCAGGCCTGAGGATATCGGTATGCTCCTGGCTAGGTCTAGATACCGATCCCAGGATGAAACTAGCTGGTCGTGCTCCGACAGGGCCGGCGTAACCCATTTTTTCAGCTCGTTGTACTTTGGTTCGATCTGCTTGACGCTTATCTCGACATTGGTGACGGCGGCATCTAGGCATCTGATCATGACGTCTATCTCGTCATATCGGGCCTGCGCAGCTTCGTTCAATTGACCACAATCCTCCATGATGCGCGTCGCCCAATTGCGACGCTCCTTGCATAATTCCTGCCATGATGTGATTGCTTGGATATCGTCGATCGAATTCGGGGCGTTTGGGATAGACTGGCGCCGCGGCACCGAGGCTGCGGAGATGAGCGATGACGCACTGCCGGCAGACGGCTGCGTAACACGGATATCGTAGATGTATATCTCCTTCTTGGGAGACTGTTAGCCAACTAACGCTGAAAGAGAGAGCCCACGGCTGCCACATACCTCGGTGTGAAGATTTGCCAACTTAACGCTGCGGCCCTGGGGTGTCAAGGCAACGATATGCTGTAACGAGACGGCGCTATTCCGAGCTACCCACGACCTCAAATCGTCAAGACTGTAGCAATCAGTCAGTTCAGTTCATCTACCCGACGCAGCAGAGGGGGGAGCAGCAAATAATACCTGGAGAACTGCGCGGTATCGACCTCCAGCCGCTGGCCCGTATGGGCAATCAACACCTGTGTAGCCATCCCAAGACATCTCCCGTCAAGCACAAAGCGGCGCTGGGCCGGGGTTCATATCAAGCGTTAACTAGAGGTATCGAGTCAAAAGTCGCGGGTATCAAGAGCAGAGAAAAGACGACCGAAACGCGCCCAACTCGGATGTTGTTGGACGGCACAGGCTGCCAACCCAAAATGATGCCGAAGATGCTCTCTGCCTTATCAGCGACATTAGGTAGTGTGACAGGTGCCTTGTGACTTTTGTAGCGCTGGGGGCGGCCCTGCAGTGCGCATTTGCAGGGAAGACAGCATTAGATAAGCCCGGGCCGCATGTGGCTTGTCGTCGGAAAGTATGGCGCGCCACAACCAAGTCGAGTCAGCAATGCCTGAAGCATCGACGAGCCAGAAACAGCGTTGACCGACCCAGTCAGTTGGGCGAATCAGCGCCATTCACCGCAAGATGAGCGAAGTCGACGAGGCCATGACCGGTGTAGACGGCGGTGAATCGCGTCTGCCCCTCTCCGAGGATGAGACGAGAGTGCTGGAGCTGTACGACAAGCTGCAGGAGTTGCGGCTTGAAATCGCCATCATCAACGCGCAGCAGGCCGGTAAGGTCACATGTCAGACGCGCAGATGAAACCACTTTGCTCACCCGGACTATGCTGGATTTCCAGGTGCAAAAGACGAGGAGGAGGACATTACGGCGGCGCAGAGCGCACTTCTCACAGCGAGAGCAAGATACAGACTACGAAACGACGCCATTGAAGCGGTAATGGTGGCGAACCCAATCCTCAAGGCAGTCCACAGCGGCACACAGGCATCTCCGATAGAGCGGCACGTATCATGATAGCTGAGTCCATGTTGGCCCCCCCTGCTAACCCAGTGCGCAGAGATCTCTTCCCATACGTGCAGGAAAGGGACGAGACGTCCATTTCCGTGGCCAAGCAGGCAGAGAGCACGACAAAGCTGCGCCGTGACCTGACCAAAGTCCAGGTGCAGAGTATACGCATATGCCGCGAGAACGTGAAGCTTACGGAACAGTTGTTTGAGCTGGCCGAGCAGGCCAAGCAGAAGGCCATCCGTCTGAATAATCCCGAAGTTCAGCGAGAAATGGACAAGCTGACGAGAGAAGTCAAGTACAGCAGGCAGCGATGGAAGGTTATGAAGGGCGTGGCGAGTGGAATCATTGCTGGTAGTGGCGTTGATTGGGCAGGAGACGAAGATCTGCGCAACATCGTTCTAGATCCTGAAGATGAAGACTAAGAAACACAAAACAAACAAGTATCACCAACCCGTACCAAGTATCTCGGCATCAAGCCCAGGCCGTGGGTTCTAGGAGTTACTCCAATTCATCTTGTCTTATCCCGGAGAGTTTGGCCCTCTTGGCCCAATGCGTGTCAGACGAACGCACATAGATCCACTACAAGATACCTCGAATACGATCCCATACAGTAAGATGAAGAGACTGCTGCAAACCTGCTTGTATGTCGACCGCTCACCAAAGCGCGACATGCATCGAAACGCGCCTCTGGACGCGTGGGGCAAATATTAAAGGAATCAGGTGGGATGAGAGTCTTGGGCATTATATACGCATGACTAATCAGTCTCATGGTCCGAAACGCTGTGCAAGATCAGAAGAGCTATGGCTAGGAAGCTAACGGTCCAGGCCAGGGGCACCAGAAAAAAAAAGGCCTCGAGTCGTATGGAGCATACTCGTACATAATTGGAGCCAAAGGCGAAATTGGGAGAGCGGTACCTTGCGTGGGAGCTATGACCACCCACCTTGCTGATGGGAGCCACGTGATAATGCCAGGCAGCTTGTTGGGCTTTTCAAGTACCGTAGAAAGCTGAGACTCGATGCCGCTGCGCTGCGCCCTTTGGCTGTTGATCGCTACAAAAGCCGTCCCTTTAATATAAGGCACGCAGCATGTTGTTGGTTGATCTGTTTATTCCGCGCGAAAAGGGCAATGTTGAAGCTGAGTGGAGCGTCGTAGCAGCACCAGTAGTATTACAGGCATTGTTATTTTTTTACCTCTGTGTCCTCTTTTTTTTTTTTTCCTTTTTTTTGCAGAGGCGTGCGTGGGGAGTGCGAGAAGGGGGAGACGAAAAGACAAGAGGCTTCCCCCATTTGGCGTGCGACAGGGTCGAGGCTTGTACCGCACAGTATCTGATTTGTCGGGGAGCTACTTTGCAAAAAGAAAAGAAAAAAAAAAACGGCTCCTCTGCGTGACAGGCATCCGAACTCCTACTGGAAAATTGGAAGCGTACCCGCACGCCCAGCCCAGCCGGTACTTCGTACATGCACCAGCTCGCGCTACTGGGCTTGTACCACTGGGACATTTGCGGTTTTATTAGCTGCGGATGACCTCGACACTCGTAGCCGGTGAGCGGTGATTGCAGGTACCTGCATGTAATATTACGCAGCAGAGCTGTTTTGGTCTCGATGCCAATAGTACTGGACATGGACATGGCCAGCACAGCACCGGAATGCTGCAGTCGGAATGGCTGGCCAGCCTCTGTGTTCGCAATGCCGTACGTACGCACCCGGTCGAGGAATGCGCCCTCGACAGGCTCTTCAGACATGAATTCGTTTTACTATGTACTTTGGCCATGATTTAAGCATGACCTCTGTCTGTAAAAGGCAATGCCCACGTAACCATCGTCTCTTCCCTGCTCATCAATCAATGCTACCTGGATCAACTCCTGCGCATGTACCTGGTATTACTGTAGTAACATATGCCTGCTTGGTGCTACTGTACAGTACCATACCTGTATGGTAGTACTCCATAGGTACGTCTCAAAGCATCGAAAAAAGCCTCCTAATCTCGTTCGTAAGCCAGCAGCAGGATTCGCCGTCTCAGCTGCATTGTCCGTATTATTCCGCGTCACAGGCCGAATCAATGCGTCTGTGCTCCTTCTCGGTCCATCGCCTACCACTATGAGGACCTGTACATAGTAGCTCTTCTAGCAACAGCAGCAAAACTGGCGGTCCCTTATCTTACCTTGAAGAGGGAATGGAGGGGCGAGGCGTGCTTGTTTCGCGCTTGAGCTGCGGGAAAGGTACTAACGTCAAAGTACCAGTACTTGCAAAAGTCGTATGACGGTACATTTCGTCATGCAACACTACAAGTACACCCTTCAGTAGCCTGCAGTGACAACCTTGAACCTTCCGAGTCCTCCGCTGCTCCATCCTGCAAGCGCCAACTGTATGTATGCATGTATGTAGCTGTAGGCCATATGCGCCCAGATCACAGTCTCTTGATTTGGCTGCTTGTGGATGCCGGTGACAATGCTTGGAGGGAAAGGGTGGCTTGTTTATCGGAGCGACTTTATCTCGACCACCGAGGAGAGGAGAAGAGAGGAGTACTGTATGATTATCCCTCGAGATCATCAAGGTAGCACGATGGAGCAGCCTCTGTCTTGGGGGGGACTCGTCAGATACAGTTCAGGCACTCTGTATGCAAACAGGTCTGGACAAACCAAGCCCGTGCAGGTAATATTGGTACATAGCCAAAGTCTCTGCCGCGTACGGTACGGAGTACCCAAGTCATACCGAGAACAAGCACCAGTAGTCGCACTCGACAACGGTACAGGTAGCACTACGGAACAGCCGATGGAGCAATCAGCAGCAAAAGAGCTACTAGTACTCCGTCGTAGTAGCTGGCAATGGTCAGCTCCCGACACGCTTGGTTGCCGCATCTCGCCTCGACAATCAATGCTTCGAGAAGACCCAGGCAACCAGGTTCGGACTGAGGCGGCAGCCCGTTGCGTGCGCGCCCTGCTGCCAGAAGCCCGTGTCGCAGAACTACGAGTACGGCAATACGGGCATGGGTAGACCCAGCACTCGTCGTTCACAAGCTCGACATGTGGCAAAGGAGAGCGACCAGAGACCCCAGTTTAAGTCGTGAGACCAGTGTGAGGGGAAAGGCAGAAGGATGGGCTCCGCGCTAACAACTTTGGCAGCAGTCGGCGCAACTCTCTGGCACGCCAATGCGAGCCTGTGTTGCAGCGAGGAGTGTGAGCAGTGCCTGGCAGGGCCACCCAGAGCAGAGCAATTTCCACGGCTCCTTTGAAACCAAGACTCCAACGGTACCAAGTACCAGCATGTCGTAAAGAAGGTACTTGTTGCCATTGCTGCGGCCGCCCAGTCTCAATTTCCGCGTGTCAAAGGCATGCAGCTGGCCATGTAACTTAACCTTGCTAGGTGCGCATAGCAATCTGCCTGTGCAGGACCTTGTACTCGTACTCCGTGCTTCGTCCGCATATCAAAACACTAAGGGCCGCGTTCAGCCGACTTGAGACTTACAGTAAGCCGATGCAGCAGCAGCGATGCATGTACTCGTACAGTACTCGAACTGGTGGCACAGCAGCTTGAGATGTGCGAGGCACGGCACAGGGCGATGAAGGGGCAATGCATGTACGAGTATCCGGATTCTGTGCGAAAAGAATGTGCTTCGTACAGTACAGTACGTTGTCCGAGGGAGCAAAACAGGCAGTCCTCTCAGCTGCCCGTACACTCGCCCGCTCACTCACTCACTCATCCACAGTTAGCATCAAGGGGGAGAGAGACTTTTGGTGTGCGAGTACACGCATGGGCAAGCCTCATTTCATGTGGTACTCCGCACCTTCCAATCCAGCCTACTGCGAATGGTACTCCGTGCTACCGCCGGAATTGGCTGTACCAGCGAGTCCCCTCACCCTCGCAGCGCATCCGGCGAAAACATGGGTGCTCATGGGAAGTCGAGGTGTGGCACCAGCGAGGATACAAGGAGGGTGTCAGTAGTAGTAGTAGCAGTAGGCGGAAGCAGGATTAGTATGTACCAGTAGCAGTAGCAGCAGCAGCAGTAGTACGGAGCAGTACGGAGTAGCAGCAGCAGCATTAATCTCCCGGTGCTGCATGTTTAGTATGGATGGAAAAACGAGATGTTGACCCGTGACGAGCACAGCGCTCCTGGCTGGACCGTGGACGTGGGTTATGGATGGAGGAAGCGATACCAAGAGCTTCCTACGGCCAAGTCCAGGGAGGCAGCTTGGTGGATTCGCTCCGGTGAGAGAGTACAAGCGCAGCCACTTCCAGGATGAGGGAGGGTTGGTGCGGTCGCAAGTACTCCGTGCGAGGTCTGGGATGGACGATGGGGTACAAAGGGCGTGTACTGTCCTTGAGAGGGGAAGGCTAAGCAGGGCTTGTACCTGTACAGTATTGCGCAATCAGCAGACCAAACAAGCACCTCGCCTGGGACTGCCGCTGCTAACTCAACAAACAGGACCATCCATGACGACAGCCTGTTGCTCAGCTAGGAGAAGATGGACGCGCGAGGCTTGCCTGGATCACCAACTCAAGGTCACTCATACGATGCAGCACCGCATGTTACTGACGAAATGCTGATGTGGCTTGGGGACTCTTCACTGCACTACTCGGTACTGTACCTCCTATCTCGGGGATCTTGTTGGCTCTAAACCACAGTAAATAAAAAACTACAAGCGAACCAGAGCAAGAGATGCCTTGATGCCTCATGGTCCATCGCCACAGCATCGTGCATCCTGTCTCCCTGTCTCCCTGTCTTCCAGTCTGCGATCCGAGGTCGAGACCCAAGTTCGACGGGATGCATGCTGCCATTTTCGCTGCGGAGAAGGGCCATACTACTAATGTACAGTACAGGTACTCGCACTTGGGCCAAGTGCAGGCAGAAAAAGGACGGGGGCCACTTACACGCAGTTGCAGTGCAGGCATTGCGGAAAAGCTCGATGCATGCTTGCAACGAATTACGGAGGAGTAAGGTAGGCAAGACAAGACGATCATACTACTATGTACACAGCATGGATAGATGGATAGATACTAGGTAGTACTTGGCAGCAAGCAGCACAGCGCAGTGCAGCGCAGAATCGCCCTCGCCTCGCAGAAGCACTCTCAACACCTCATCCATACATTGAATCCGGCTGCTGTTACCTCAGCGATCGCTGCAGCAGGTACTCAGGCACTAGGCACGTCCAGGGAGCAGGTACGAGTACCTCTGGCCGGCAAACAAACCCGGTGCCCAGTGTGTGTTGCCCAGTGTGTGCCCAGTGCAAAAGCCGCCTGTCCCCAGCGCCCATAGTGCCGCCTATTGCAGCGCTCCGGACCCTACTAGCAGTCCTGCGTGCTCCATCCGCGAGTACGAGTACCTCCGTCGTAACGCTTCGTACCGAGTACAGCAGGTACCGCCGCCGGCCAGCAACGCACATACTGGTCGCAGGTACCCAGCACCCCCCCAACCCCAAGCCAGAAACTGTCACCCCTCCAGGAGGGAAAAAAAAAAAAAGTGAGAGCGTGGGCGAAGGAGAGAGTGTGTGGGTGGTAGCTTTTTAGGCCGTTCGGCGCGTGCGCGCGTTCCCTCCGCAGCCCGCACTCACAATCACTCGCCCATAGTAAAAAGGCTGCTTGGCCCTCCCCCCATACAGACTCGCTCCCCTTCTCCCTCTCCCATACAAATTCTCCCATACAAAATCCTCCCATACAAACCGCACCCGCGTCTTCGTCGCAACACAACGCGCCTATCTGGTGAGTACCTTGACTTCGCCGCGCATCACAGCCAAACACAAGGTCACCAGCAACAAAGTCGCCTGCCTCGTGCATTGCACTCAGTTAGCTGGTGCCGACTGTTTTTGCCTTGTTTTCAGCTTCATTTTTGCCCTCGCAGCTTTGCTTTTCGTGACGCAGCTTCTGCACTTCTCTGCGCAACTCTGCTCTTGTCATTAGCACAGCTCGCTTCCCTGCCCATCTTCAACACGGCCGGCAACGCGCTGAACCTGTGCGGTCGCATTGGAGAGTGAAAAGCTCGACATCGCAACCACGCTCGTCTGCGGGATAAAAATTCTTCAGAGTATGGAGATGGCCTCACAAAGCACATTTTTGAGCTTCAAATGCCCTTTCACCCGCGCAAGCACCCTCAATTGCAATTTCGCTGCCTCGCCTGCTACCTCATGTCTAGCTCATCGAGCTGCACCCAACAGAGCTACCCCTCTACCTCTACCTCTCTACTTCTCTACCTCTACACAGCCCACTTGAGCCATGTCGTTCATTTTGCCTTTGCGAACAAGCTTAGTGGCTATCGCTACCTGACACGCGCCTCTACATTGTCACCCGCGCTCTTACCTCACCACACACGCAATCTTGGTACCATCTGGTTGATGAGCATGACGCGACTAACTCTTTTCTAGAAATCACATAGTCAAAATGCCCAAGGTCGCAGCATCAAAGCGTGGTGCCAAGGATGGTGGCAAGAAGCGCACCAAGAAGGGTATGTCATGTCGCCTTGTACTCGTCAAGACTTGTAGCATGTGGCTAACTGTATTGCACAGACCCCAACGCTCCCAAGCGCGGTCTCTCTGCCTACATGTTCTTCGCCAACGAGCAGCGAGAGAACGTCCGTGAGGAGAACCCCGGCATTTCATTCGGCCAGGTCGGCAAGCTGCTCGGTGAGCGGTGGAAGGCCCTGAATGACAAGCAGCGTGCCCCCTATGAGGCCAAGGCTGCTGCCGACAAGAAGCGCTATGAGGATGAGAAGCAGGCTTACAACGTACGCGCTTTTGCTCAACCCCACTGAATTGCATGAGATGAATGCTGTGCTGACTTTGCTTGGACAGGCCGACCAGGAGGAGGACTCATCTTAAGCGGGGAATTGCCATGATGGAAAATTCAGAATCATGGTTTTGGTGATTCTTTCAATGATTCACGAAGCATTGGGCTGAGGATTAATGGCAATGGGCCACTCGCCTTGCTTAGCCAAACATAATGGCCCAGGCTGGTGATGTCGATTTCTTTGTATTATGGGCAGGACGGTGTTGTACGAATGCACGGAATGGGTTGCGTACTATTTGCTTTCAGGTGCCGGAATTCAACGGAACAGGGTCTCGCATTCTTGTAATTGTGGACGGGGTAGTGGCCGGCAGAGCTACAATGCGATATCGAATTACTTTTGCGTGAGCTTCATTCATCGTAATAACAATGAAGCCACGGCCATGAATTGAGAACATCAAATGTAAAACATTGGAACAACCATGATTGTGCGATTGTGCTCTCTCTCTTTTGTCAAGGCCTACTTTTACTAGCGCCAATACCTTCCTTGACTTGATGCCATTCAGGATTATGTTTAGCAGCGCGTTTTCTCCCCCATGCTGGAGCTCTTGCCAAGCTCTTCTCAATGTGGCTGAAAACAAAAAATCTCAGCTGCATCGGATGGCGGTGGAGGTGGCGGTGTGCAACCGGCACGGATCAATCCAAGCTTGCGGAGCCTCAAGACCCCGGAGCCCGGAAGCTACCCTCCGTCCACTCTAAATCTCAGGCTGAGCACAGCGCGAGAAGAGAAAAAAAAAAAAGAAGGGAGACGCGAATAGTTGCAAAAGGAAAAGGGGAGGGCCGGTGGGCGGAAGGCCGGGCCGTCCAAGTAAGCGTCGCTCTCCACACTCCGCTCTTTTGCTTCAGCCTCAAAGGGCGGCTCTGCTCTGCGCTGCCGCAAGTCTGTGCACTAACATGCGGCAACCGACAAGAGGCCTGCTCGCCGTTAGCCCTCGAACGGTTGTACAACAACCCCGTCCTCCAGCCACATCACATCACCGCGCAGGCTAGAGCAGCATCACCGCTCAATCAGATGCCGGGCTGCTATCTGTTGGCAGCGTCGTGCCTCCACCCGAAGCGAGCCAATGGAGCACATGGGCAGATGCGTGCTTGTACGAACATGAACATGCTTTGCTGCATCGGGCCATGCAAGTGCCGGCCCAATGCACCGCAAACCGTCGGGTCGACACACGCTTGCTTTCGTGGCATGCTGTGAGCTGCTGGCGCTGCTGCGAGCCTCCTCTGGGTCGAGCCCGCCACCGCACATGGGGTGACCGACTCTCGCGCTGCTGGTGGGCTCTGGCGATGCGCCAGTTGGTCATCCGATGGCCTTGGGGGTTTTTATCTCTGGAGCCGCAGGGAAGAGGTGCACAGGTTATGCCGGACACGCTGGCATCTGCTGCTCGACTGCACGGGGACGGGTATTTGTCTCAAGGCCCAAGGCCCAAAGGCTGTTGGTGTTGCGATTGACGCCCTTGCTCGCCCTCTTCTCCCTTCTCCCTTCTTCCTCCTCCCTACCCCCATGCATTGCATTGGGCTGCCACCGGATTCCGTGCCACAGGTGTGGGAAGATGCCCCTCCATGCCCGGATTTGATGTTGCATGCTCTACTACTCTCATCCCCGCCCGCCCCGACTTTAACTACCGGTCCACCCTGCCACTCCGACATTTCGATTTGATCTGGCTCCGACCCAATCTTTCGGATCTTGTCTGGCTTTCTTCCACTGGCTAGAGGAGCGCAGTTTCTCTCTTCTTTCCTTTCCCATTCTCCCCAACCTTGCTGCGGTTGGCTCATAGGTACAACGAATCGTATATCGTATGAGGTTGTTGTAATAGCCAATCCAAATCCATCGGCTCCGGAACGTGAAGCGGCTGGCCAGCTGTTGTGAGAGAGACTGGTAGAGAAAAAAGAGGTATCGAATTGACTGGTTACCGCTTGGCTCGCATCAACCCACTGTACACCGATTCCATCTGGACCAGGCTATGCTTGGATAGGCCACAGCGACCCTCTTGGAACGTTGGTTTTTTTTTTTCGACTCGTCTTAATATTGTTCCCGTCGTCATATTTCGCCTAAAAATATTTCTAATCACACCATGGAGCTTGGATCGCCCATTGAGGATCCCTCGACCTTGGTAGATGCCCATCTGCTAAAAGGATGCTGCTTGGAAGCGGAGAGGTCAGATAGTGTCTGGCTGCGGCTTGAAGGCTTGTTCCTCGCCATACCAGAGCCGAATCGTCGGCATTTGAGGCCGCTCATCGACGAGATCAAGACTTCTAGCCTGATTTTGCGAGAGCTGGCTGACCTGTCCCAAGTTCACCAAGACCGCGTGCCACTGGTGCTGGACCCTCTTAATACCATCCTGCCGTGCATGTCACGGTCTCTACGGGACATCACAACACACTATGAGAACCGAAAGTTGACCAAAGTAAACCGCTGGCGGACAATGTACCACGAGATGACCAATGAAGCAGGTGGTATTCAGCTGCCGCAACGGTTCGTTGTGTATAACCACTATCTGTCCGCCATCCGGGACTTGCTATCCAGGTAATATGCCTTGATATTTGATGCCGTCTTGTCCAGACTGCTGACTTGCAGATCAAGATCACCCAACTTCGACCTCAACATGATGGAAGCTTTCCGCCTGCAGATAATGAACTTGCGAGAAGCTAGAGGAATTCGTATGTGCAGCTATTTACCATGTTAGGAAGAAGCCTCGACACTAACAAGAGATTACAGCTCCACCTCCGATACAGGCCGGCCCTTTGGTTCGTTATGGAACCATGCTACCTGTAGACAAAGAATCGGTAAGGCAGCTTCGCTCTTCTTTGATTGGTATACCGCTCACACGTATTGGTTCAGTCCGTCCACTGGGCCGAGCAAATCTTTTCTCTGCCCCTACCATCTCGGTCACCTCTGAAAAGCGTGCTCCCGTAAGTTGTCAACGCCGAGGCACAGTAGGAAATCACTTATTCAACAATATTTGGCAGATCCGAGTCGTTTGGACCTCACCGGCCCTGGGGCCATCTCAGCATCCCTACAAATTCAAAAGTGTTATTCCGACGGTAGGTCATTCGCGTGTACAATTTGCTAGCAACCACCATGACAGTGTTGCTAATCTGACAACTCCAGACCCATTGACGATGACAAGATTTCCCTCATCGCCTATGCTGATGGACGAGATGGCTCACCATACCTCCTTCTTCGAACATTTTACATGGGCGGACCATGGTTCTCGGTCCGTGGTGTCCACGAGCTGTGTATCCAGCGTGAGAATGACTGTATACAATTCAAGAGATGGAGCCGCTCCGAAAACTGCTCCAAGCTCTGGGCAACTTTGCGCTTCCAGACCTGGGAAGGTACGTCAGCTAACCCTAAGGCGTTGAACCTTTGTTGTGGTAGCGTTCGCATTGCAATGATGGCCACCTAGATTTTCGCTAACAGACTTATTTTCAGAGCTCATTCTCATGTACTGCACGTTTCTGGCTCTCAAGTCTCGTAATACCTTGACAGTCCAGCTGGCAACTAAAGAATACGCCCTAAAGGGTGAACGGAAGCTCTTTCAAGGGTGAGTCCAGTCTTTGTTTTGGCGAAATAGTTTCAATACCTGTTTCTAACATCGAGGTTAGGTGCATTCTGGATTGCGGGTATAAGCACGCCCTCATCGTTTACGAAGATCGCCTTACAGGCGGCCGCCGCCTCCACGTCGCCGTTTGGGAGGGACAGACCCGTCAGTGTCCCATCTGGACGGCTTTTGGTGAGCTTCACATCCAACGAGGTGTCCCCCTACTTAGCATCAGCAAAAAGACTTACAACTGCTACAGTAACCCACCAATCTGCGTCGCCCACTTGGCTCAGGCGGGTCAGCCGCAAAAGAATTCGCCTGGCTGACATTCAGCTGTACGTTTTCTCCCAGGCGTACCGACAGCAGGAGCAGCGAAAGGGTTCCGGTGGAGCGTTTGAGCTTCAGTTTTTCACTGAAGAAGGTAGGTAGCCTTTCTGCCAAAACAAAAACAGGACGAAGACACGTCTTTTTTGTCTACAGATTCTCTAACAACCCCGTAGCCGCTCAAAGCTTCAAGGATGTCTTTTTCGTCCCAGCTAAGCCGAATACATCGCGGCCCATCACTCCAAGACCAATTACACCGAGGGGCGTATCTCGACCGACAACTCCAAGAGCTTAATATCAAGCGAATCCCCCCTTTATCTTTCTTCTAATCGGTTTTTTTAAAAACCATGACGCCTGGCAACGCTTGCCATATTTTATTTGTTTCACCCACCTTTTTTTTTAATACCCTCTCAACATTTCTGACAAATTTAACGACGACACGAACTGATAATTTGATGCCTGGCTACTCATCTTAGCTCGCATGGCGAATGGCGTTTTGATATTTTTTCGCGAAAAAAAAGTTTATATGAGAGGTTTACTGAAGACGACTGCCTTTTACGAGGAATTTTGTTTTGAATTGTTTATGTTTTTATTTTCATTTCATGGATTTTCAATACGCGACATCACAGCTTATTTGAACAGGACATGTCGGGTTGGCTAGCCCATGTTATTGTTGTTGATAATGGTTTGACGGACTTCGAAAAAAAATTAACATCAAATTTTTGTAATTTCATTGCTTTTAATACAGCTAACTATTGCTGGGCATAATCTCATGCGGTTTTAATCCCACCCTCCCATTCAAACACTACGCTTCAAATTAAATAATAATGAGGATTCATCAGACATCAGATGTTTAGGTCTTGACATCGGGCTCGTCACGGCCAATGTGCTCCTTGAACTTCAATAGCTCAGTAGCAAACTTGACCTCGTCCTTCAAGAAGTCTTGAGCATCAAGATCGTACTTGGAAGGATCGCTGGTGTGCTGCTCAATGTACAGGCGGATGGTGGCGCCAGATGAGCCAGTACCGGAGAGACGGACGACAATGCGGCTGCCAGAAGAGAAGCCGGCGTACAGTCCCTGGTTGGAAGAGACTGAGCCATCCAGGTCGGTGTAGGAGAAGTTGCCAGCCTTGGTGACGGTGCGCTCTGTTCGACTGAGTTAGTTCTGATACTGCTGCTATTTTCTTTGTGAAGAGTAAATGCTTACCGCCAATGGTGCTGCCCACAAAGTTGGGGTCGGCAACCAGAGCCTGGAGCTCGCCAACAACCTTGTTGGCACCCTCAGAGTCGACATCTTCGTAGTCGTATCTGGTGAAAAAGGTGCGTCCGTACTGTGTCCAGAAGTCCTTCTGGATCTGCTTGATGGAAGGGGTGACATCGGGGTTCTGGACGCCAAGAGCGGCGATGATGTTCAACCAGGCGACAATGGCCCACAGACCATCCTTCTCACGGATGTGGTCGCTGCCAGTTCCGAAACTCTCCTCGCCACAGATGGACAGCTTCTTAGCATCGAAGAGGGCGCAGAAGAACTTCCAGCCGGTGGGGACCTCGTAGCTGGTGAGGCCCTGTGCCTTGGCAACCAGGTCGACGGCGCCGCTGGTGGGCATGGATCGAGCAAGGCCGTTAACGCCGTTCTTCTGGAAGTAGGGGATGAGCTTGGCGTGGTGGGCAATGATGGCGAGGGAATCTCCGGGAGAGACAAAGGCGTTGGCACCGTAAATCATGTTCCGGTCACCATCACCATCGGAGGCAGCGCCAAAGGGAATTTCGTTCTTGTCGACAACCTCGACCAGGGAGTGGGCGTAGGTGAGGTTGGGGTCGGGGTGTCCACCGTTGAAGTCGGGGCTGGGCACGCAGTTCTGGGTGGCGCCAGTGAGCCCAAGCTCCTTCTCAAAGATGGCCGTTCCGTAGGGGCCAGTGACTCCGTGTAGGCCGTCAAACAGGACCTTGAAGTCGGGGTGGGAGGAGAAGAACTTCTTGATGGTGTCAAAGTCAAAGATATCCTTGAGCATGGTGACGTAGTCGGCGGTGCTGTCAATGATCTCGACCTCGAGGGGGCCATAGGTCGTGGTGCCAATGGTGGAGATGTCGATGTCGGGGATGGAAGCGATCTTGTACGACGTCAAGGTCTTGGACGTCTCGTAGATTTTGTTGGTGACGGATTCGGGAGCGGGACCACCGTTAGCCAGGTTGTACTTGATGCCGAAGTCGTTCTTGGGGCCTAGTTGAGTAATATCGTCGTCAGCAACTCATCTCTGTGTTCAGTCTGACAAGTTTGAGGGACTTACCGCCCGGGTTGTGGCTCGCTGTGAGCAGAATACCACCAGTGGCCTTGCGAAGGCGAATGACATGGCTGGCTGCGGGCGTGGACAGAATTCCGTTCTGGCCGATGAGAAGCTTCTTGACGCCATATGCGGCACTGATCTTGGCAATCAGCTGGATAACCTCGGGGTTCCAGAATCGGCCATCGCCACCAATGACGAGGAAAGCGCCTGGAGAGACGGAGGGGCATTAGCTTGGCCTCTTGACGGCCTCTTGTACCAGATCAAGCAGAGCACAGAGTATAGACGGTTCGTACCCTCAGCGCCTTCGGGGATGGACAGGAGGATGCTGGCAACAAAGGCCTCGCTGTAGTGCGGCTTCTGGAAGACGACGACCTTCTTTCGCAGGCCAGAACTGGTGGTTTGGCAAGCCAATGTCAGCAATTCAATTCAATCCGTGTAAAAGACGATGGCGGGGCAGCAAGCTGTGACGCACGTTCCGGGCTTCTGGTCCTGGAAGGGCTCGAACTCGACGGTCTGGACGCTGACGCTCATGGTGGAGTTTTGATATGGTGTGAATCTGTGAATTGGAATAGAGAATGGAAAGCAACGGCTACGGAGAGCTTTTTATTGCCCGCAATCTCCTAGGAAGCCCAGCGAGCGGGAATAATAGGGGACGTCGAAGCTTTAAGGGGCGATGAGGGGAAGCTTCAAGGAGCTGGTGGTGGGGATTGGGCATCTTGACAAGCGATGGAGGGGCAAGCCGTGCTGGCGTGGGGTCATTTGGCACTGTGATGGTAGCGGCATTTTAGCAGGGCTCTACAGTGCGGATAAGCCCGAATCCCCAATGCAAATCCCAATTCCGACGGAGCTGCAGCTGTTGCCTCATGGCGGTCAAAGTCGCGGCCTGGTCCAACGAAAGCGCAGCTCTCGACCAACAATGACATCAAAGACGCGCAATTGGTGCTTGGGCAGCTGTTACTGTACAGAGCTCAATCTCAATGGGATGGATGGCATCGCAATAGCTTGCATCAGCAAACAGGTTTTTCTTCTTCTTTCTTTTCTTTTCGGTTCTATGACGCCCCAAAGATGGCCTCCCTATAATACCGGGCCTCGTCGATGCTCTCCAGGATGTCGTCCCTAGCCTTGTGGCTCCCCTTCTTAGCCGGCGCCCGTGAAAGAAGCTGCGGACTCCACCGTCGAGCAGCCTCCTTGATCGAGCTCACGTCCAGGATGCGGTAGTGCAGGTGCTCCATGACCTTGCCGTACGGCTCTTTTCGCAGAAACGCCCTGTCGGCATGCACACTGTTGCCGGCCAGCAATGCGGTGCGCGGCTTGGGGATGAACTTGGTGATGTAGCGGTACAGGCCCTCGGCTGCCTGGGCCGGCGTGGTGTCTGAAGCTATCACGGCAGCCGTCAGGCCTGATTTGCCGTGTGTGTTTGTGCACCACTCGTCCATCTGGTCCAGGCGAGAGGCCGGCCAGTGGATGACGGCGTGGAAGCCCTCGGGGTCGATGATATCGAGGTTTCCCGTCGTCAGGATGCAGTAGATTTCTAGAATCTCCTCGGTGTCGGGGTTCAAGCCCGTCATCTACGAGTACACAACGGTCGAGTTTTAGTAAATAGCAAAAAGTCAGGTGAACAGCAGGATTCAACGTCATATCTCACCTCGCAGTCGATCCAGACCAAGGCGTCGTCCATTGCCGAGGCATGACTAGATTCGGAAACCGGCATTCTGGCCGATCGGATGTAACCTCACGGCAAGTTTTGGTCGAGTACGAGAATTGCCTAATAACGGCTGGCGGAGAAGACGACAAAAAGGAAAAGAGTTGAATCGACGCTATGTTGGGAGACGCTTTGGTCGATGCCTCTGGTTTGGTTGATCCCGGCTAGAAGCACCGGAATCGCAGAGGCTCTAGGTCAAGCTTTTCGCCCTACAGCGACTACAGCGCCGGCTGTTACCTGTTTAGGGGCCTCATTTAGCGATCCAGGGAGCTAACTGCAGCCATGTGGCGCCCCCGGCTCTCCATCGGGTGTCTATCACCAGACATCGAATCTTCCCCTCCCCCCACTCAAGCATGGCCACGCAAACGATAAGCACCGCCATTGATGATGCTTCCCCCTCATTGCTAGTGGTTCTAGCACTGGAACGTTGCACATTCTCTCGTCCAATTGCTGAGATGCCGTCGAGCCACTGTTTTGAATCGGCTCGAAGCTGATTGGACGACCCCAGTTGGGCTGTTGACGGCGTCCCTGGCTAGCAACTTTGGGCCAAGACTATATAACAAGACAGATCCGAATCATTCATTGACGACGACTCCTTTTATCAACAGCAGGCAAAGTCCCAATTTCAAAGTGACTTGGAGCCCGACGTTCTAACCTTGTCTCAAATCTACCGTCACCATGGCGTCGCTCACGGTTTCCAGTGACCCCCATGTGAAGCCCCTCCCGAGGCCCGAAATGTCGGAAGATCCGCCTCGCTTCATCATCATCGGTGCTGGTGCCCGAGGAATCGGCTATGCCAGGGGCATCGATATAGCCAGCAACGGCGTTGTTGCGGCCGTGGCTGATCCCGACAAGTATAGGCGGGAGACGCTTGGAAAGCATCACATCTGGGGGGACAACAGTCCTAGCGAAGGCCAGATGTTCCTGGACTGGCGCGAGTTTGTCGAATACGAGCAGAAGCGACGCCAGCGAGTTGCCAACGGGGAGAGCAATGTTCCCAAGGGCGTTGACGGAGCTTTTGTCTGCGTCCAGGACCAGATGCACCGAGAGGTTGTCGTTGGTTTGGCACCCCTGGGCCTCCATATCATGTGCGAGAAGCCGCTTGCACCATCTCTAGACGACTGTCTCGACATATACAAGTCTCTCAAGCCTCTGATGAACTCCAAGATCTTCTCGATCGGCCACGTCCTGAGATATAGCCCTCACAACATGATGCTGCGGAAACTGCTGGTTGAGGATAAAGTTATTGGCGACATCAACAGCGTCGTTCACACAGAGCCCGTTGGCTGGTGGCACTTTACACACTCCTACGTGCGAGGCAACTGGAGAAATTCAGCCACTTCGGGGCCATCGCTGCTGACCAAGTGCTGTCACGATGTCGACCTCATCCTGTGGTTGCTCTGCTCTCCGGACAAGGCTGGAGAGGGCGAGCCTCATCTTCCCGACTTTGTCTCCTCCACTGGAGGATTGCAGTACTTCAAAAAGAGTCGCAAGCCTGCCGCCGCCGGATCAGCCACCAACTGCATGACTTGCCCCCTTGGTGACTCTGGCTGCAAGTACTCCGCCAAGAATGTATATCTGAGTGCCAACTGCGAGGGAGTTGGCACTGGCAACACAGATTGGCCCGTCACCACCGTCGTTCATGACATTGAAGATTTTAAAACCATTGACGAGCGCAAAACGGCAATCACCAAGGTTCTGGAGGACGACTGGGACGAGTCAACACCCAAGGATGAAGTCAGCTCACGCAATTGGTTCGGCCGATGCGTCTTTGAAGCAGACAACAACGTGTGCGACGACCAGTTTGTCACCATTACGTGGCCCGAGTCTGTCAAGCCCGCCAAGCGCGTTACCATCCAGATGGTGGCTCAGACCAAGAAGCAGTGCTATCGCTTCTCCTACTTCTACGGTGAACATGGCGAGATTTACACCGATTCTGAAAAGATTATCGTGGAAGACTTCGCCACCAAAAAGACCACTGTCTACACGCCCCATATGGAGCACAAGGGCCACGGCGGCGGCGATTTAGGCCTTACAAGACAGTTTGTCCTAGCCTGTGATCGTGTCAAGAACCATGGATGGGAGGCCGAAAAGGCTCAGAACGAGTTCGTCGGCTGCACTCTGGAAGAAGTGATTCGCAGCCACGCAATGGTCTTTGCCGCTGAAGAGGCTCGTGTGAGTAATACTGTTGTCAACTGGTCGCAATTTTGGGATAAGGCCACCAAAGAGTAAAGCTGTAACCACATTGTCATGAGAAAACAAGATGGTTCATCAAGACTGTCACATGAGAAGTACCAAGGCGCGAAAGTGGATTTATTCGTAATATTGATTTACATGTATGGAGATATCATAATTATATACCCTATGCTTCAGAAAGGATAGCAAAAGAAAACAGACCCATTCTGAAAGCATTGTCCCTCATTATGTCCCGAACCGTTTCATTATTTCATCTCAAACCACGTTCATCCAAGAGCTCAGCTGAAAAAAAAAGACTGACTGACATTGGCTTGCACATTCCCACCCATACCAGGAAAATAACGCTCAATCTACCTCAAACCCGGAAATCCGCATCTAATTACCTGTACCCAGCTCCGCTCTGTTGTTCTCTGCTCCAACAGGGTTTACCGCAGCCAGTTCAGTCGGGGGCGCCTGCTGCTGAGGAGACATATCGCCCTCCTTGAACGCGCCGGGAGAAGGAGTCGTGTAGACTGGCGACGTGCTCGTCTGGACGGGATAGTTGTACTGCTGCTGAGGATACTGTCCCTGGTACTGCTGCGGATAGACACCTTGCTGGCCGTACTGGCTCATGTGAGGATCGTAGCCCTGCGGCGGCGACTGCATCGGCACGGGCGCATATCCGCCGGCATATCCAGCCGGCACGCCCGAGGGATAGACCGGCCCAGCAGGCGGGTTCTGTCCTTGAGGGGCCGGGCCCAGGGTGGCGTTGGGAGGAGCATTGCGCGGGTGGTAACGGCGCATGAAGAGGAAAATGGCCAGGCCAACGAGGCCGAGGGCTGCGACGCCTCCGACTGTGCCTCCGGCGATGGCGCCTACGTTGGTGCTGCTGCCCTTGGTGGGCTCGGGGGTAGGGGTTGTCGATGTCGTCGTGGAGGTCGCTGCAGAGGTCGTCGTCGTCGTGGAGCCGAAGCTGTGTGTCAACGACCAGCCCGGATCGACAGTCAGGAGCGTGCCTCTGCCGGCCTGAGGAGAGCAATCGAAGAGGGTATACAGACTAGCCGAGGAGTCGCTCGATGCGGATGTAGAGACGACCCAGGTGTAGCAGGAGCCTTTTGCGGATGTGCCACTGGTAGAAGGAAAAGGGGATCATGTTAGTTGAGAATTCACGCCGAAAATTAAAAGAGGGCGAGTTTGGGTAGAGAGGAGAGGAGAGGAAGAAGCTTACCAGCAGAGAGAGTGATAGTCCGAGGGGAGGTTGCAACCGCCGGCCAGGGACGCCTTGTAGTCGATACACGTCGTCTTGATGAGACTGCATGAGCTGTTGGGCTCGCAGCATCCGACGAAGCCGGCTTGCGGCGTGCATGTATATCCAACCGATATGCAAGTGAATGAGTCTGCCAGCCCGTCAGTATCCCAAACTCAACTCTCAAGACAAAAAAACCAACTCACTGCCAGTAGTCCCAGGAACGAACCCGCAGGTCTGCGGTCCAATCGTGAAATCATCTGCTCGAGGAATCATCATGCGGCCCAGCAAAGGCTTGGGCGCCTGTGTCGGCTTTGGAGACCATCCCAGGGCAAGCTGCTGTTCACCATCATGTTCGGCGGTGACGGTTTCTTTGGCTGGTGATGCCCATGATTCCTGGAGACCTGATTTGGGCACCGGCTTGTTGTCGTTGCCGGCTTGAGCTTGAACGGTGGAGGCAACTGCTCCCAAGAGGAGGAGAGTTGCTGGGCTGTAATGCATTGGCGCGGGTGAGAGTGATGCGTGTAAGTGGTTTTGAAGAGAGATGTTTTCGTCGTTGGTAGATGCGATGCTTATGGATGTGAAACTAGGCTCTCGTTTTTATCGCGTCTATTCTACTCCAGAACTCAGCGAAAGACGAATGATAACGAAGGCTGAAGAGAGACAGAGGAGCCTCAGACACAGTGACTCAGCTCGACAAGTATAGTAGTAGTAGTGGCAGCACAACGACAGAGAGAGGTGGGGAGAGAAAGCCACCAAGAAACAAGGATCGACTACACGTATACAGCCGTCAAGATGTTCTGCCCTGACTATCTACCCAAAAGGAAGGAAAAGAGGGAAAAGATGCTGAAACGGTCAGAATAAAAGGAAAACAAAAGAAGTAAAAACCCTGGGGGGAAAAGACTCGCTGCCCGCCAACCAGCCCTCCCCTCCCCCATTGCGGCTCTTCGCAACTCGCACCACGCACTTACACCGTTCCCGCAGAAGAACAGACCCAGAATACGACAAGGCAAAATCCCATATTCCCCAAGCTACCCAGCTACCCAGCCCCGAAAACTGAACTGGCCCTTCCCTTGTCTTAGTCCGTGCCGCCGGCCCATCCAAGAGCAGCCTAGCCGCGAGCCACCCGCAGCCCATGGGAATAGAGGCAAAACGAAACTATGCTTAAAAAACTGCTAGTCGCCTTCAGCCCCGGATGGCAGCCGTATCTCATTCGCCGCGGTGGATCCCGTGGTTTGATGAGCTGAAGGAATGGGAAGAAACAAGTGAGGAGAAGAAGAAAAAAAAGATCATGTTGCTTGCAAGGAAAATAGCGAGCGGTACGACGACTGGAGAGTCTAGAGGCGTGTTTTGTTGTACATGCATTGCATATTTGTCACTAATGTACTGTGCAAGCAGACTGCGAAACTACTGCAAAGGAATAATAAGCACGAGGCTTTTTGGACAAGGGAGACATGGGCCACGGCAATCTCGTCCTTTTTGCTCAGCTGTCTGCTTGATGCAAAGTTGCGCAAGAGTGTAGATAGCATGGGCAACTATTGACTTGACACGACATGCTTCCGTCTCAGCTACTTACTCGTACACACACAACTCGCCACGCTCTCTTTCTCCCTCTCCAGCTCCCGTCTCTTCCTCTCTACTCTCCCCCAAAATCAATAACGCGCATCGTTCGAAAATCAGGCCCAACAACCCCCCTGTCAAGCCATCAACTGCGGCTGGACGCAGTGCGACGCTGCAGCCGAGCCACGCCCCTCTCCCTACATACCACTAAGACCACTCGCAGGATAATATATCCGGAGAAAAAATAGGGAAAAGTAGGGAAATCAGGGTGCAGGATGCTGCTTTTTTTAGGCGCAGCACAGCAAGAGGCAAGAAAAAGCAGGGCAATTTCAGCCCGTGTGTTGGTGTGTGTGTGTGCGTGTTAGTCCTTGCTTGTGCTTTGTGCTCGCATCCTTGTCCAGAATCGCCGACCGATTGTTGCGCCTCTTGTATGACGCTGTTCGACTTTGTGCTCGTCGAAGCAGCTCAACAGAATGAATTATCGTCTTCATGGCCTTGACAACCTCTTAATGAAAAGAGGCAAAAATATTCATCCAGCTTGTTCTCCTCTGAATTTCATCGCCATATCCCTCTTCCCGAGTCTCTCCGCCATGAGCCCTTTTCCCACTAGCAATCCTCCTTAGATGCATGATCCCAGTCTGCCTCGATGCCCAAGAATGCACCTTGCACAAAACACCACATCCATGCACTAACCAAGGTAACAGCCACATCAACCAGCTAGTCAAAATCAAATCAAAGACAGCCAGACCCCAGTTGCAAGGCTGAGCCACGGCACGAGACGAGACGATACTGGCTATCGTCTCCCGCCCTCTCTCTCCTCCCACAATCTTCTCCATTTTGCGCCGGCCAAATGGTTTGCAATGCTAGTGCCAATAGTATTAAGCAGCTAGTTCAGAGATAAAGCCAGATGCAACAGACACAAGAAAATACTAGCTAAAGATCAACCAGCGGCTGAGGCGTTATCTCCATCTAGTGCCCCCGACTATGGGAAATGTGCCTTGGCCTGACAGCCACCCACCCAAAAAAGAGAAAAATAGGAATAACGGAGAGAAAGGGAAGGGGAAAAAAAGGAAAAGCTAGTCGTCCAGGTTCTTCTGGCTCTGCAGCATTGTGTTCTCCTCATTCATTCGAACAGAAGAGAAAACACGCCTCTGTGTACTTGGCAAAGGAAACAAAAGACAAGGTCGCATTGCGTTTTGGTCCCCCAAAGCTCATTCCCTTGCTCCAGGTCCCGCATCTGCTGTCAGATGTTACAAAAAAAAAATCCCGAATGTCCACAATTTCTCCATCCTCGCGATAAGATGGATGGATACCCTCCGGCAGTGAAAGTGAGAGGATCCATTCAGAATTGCATCACTCGTCTGGCCATTCCTCCAAGGGTGATGATGCACCATCTATCAATGGCCATCAGACCATCAGGGCAGGTGTCCATAACAGGGCTCATGGGTGCAAACAAATCAAGCTTGTAGAAAGTAGTTGACGATCAGTAAACCGAATTGCTGTTAATATCGTGCCGCGTCCAATTTCACTGCTCCGCTATTACTGACGCACTCACTCATCCTGTGCTCCGTCAAACCTTTGTAAGCCAAGCATAATTTGTTCTGCCACGGCTCGGTGAACGCTCCCATCTACATTTCTTCATTTGCAGACGTTTATTAACCGCCTCACTCGTTACTTCGGTCACTCCCTAGTACCAACGTCAGCCCATGCATAAATCGCCGAGGTGGAACAACTTGTATCCAGCTTGCAAAGACCAAAGAGAAGCTTCATTACTATTAGAGAGTCAGCAGCGAGCCAGAACCTGCGCATTTAAAATATGCCGGACCAGTAAGCACCAACAACCAAAAGGGTCGCGAAATACCTTCAAAAGTCAAATCGCCTATAACATATTTCTCAATCTCAAAAGGCACCACCGAGTCCAGCCCCCAGGACATGACCAACACATCTCAATCAAAAGATTCACAGGTTGTAAAATGGCAATTTCCTGGCGAGGCCGCGCCGCAACAGTCCGAAGTTCTCATCATCTCCCTCCCTAATCTCTCCCTTCCGGAGTAAAAAATCCAGCATAACGAGTCCACAATTCGGCTTCCACTCGGCATTCTTCAAGTCCCTCCTCACTTCTTCCACGGGTTTCAGAATAAACCCGTCGATAGATTCTGGTTCCTGAGGATATGGGACAAAATCAGGGCCAACCTCCAGGTCATAGGTGTAACGGATCCCTGGCTCAACATGGCCCTCTTCACTGCCAGCAATATGGTCCTTCTGGTCATAGAATGAAATCATCGATTCGGAAGTGACTTTGCCGACATGGGCATTGTTCCAAGTCACCATCTTCGTGGCAGTGTTGACCACGAGCCCTGCTTCTTCCATGGCTTCACGCTTCAGCGTCATCAGAGGCTGCATCTTGTCTGCTGGGTCCATTGCTCCCGCAACTAGTTGGTCGAGTTTTCTAGCATATGTGACGTTTTGAGAGCGCTTCGAAACCCACACGTGGATCCTGCCGTTTCTCACGGTGAACATGTTCATGTGAACACCCGTCGTGACGATGCCAAAGATTCCTCTGGCAGGCGAAGGGATCACCAACCCAGCCAGTTTTGCATCAAGACCGCGGATGGGGTGAAAGTCTGACCTTTTCTTGAGCCACTTTCTAAAGCAGCCATTGAGGTTGTCGACATTTTTCTCGCATAGCGCTATAAATTCACGGCGGCATATCTCGACAACGTCATCGCCTTGCTGAACAACTGGGTCTAGATGTATCCTTCGTTTGGACTTGGAGATGTTGAAGCTTGTATTTTCCCATCTCATCTCGGCTACATGCTCAGGAAGCATATATCCAACTGGAACCGAGTTGTCCAAAATGGCAAACTCCCACATGACAGCGCTCTTTGCCTCTTCAAACTTGTTGCATCGGCGAATAACATCATAAAAGGAGCCCATCTCGCCTGAGCTTAGGGGAGAAATGATCCACGCGTGGACAGAGCTAGGAAACGGCGCAAGTATTGACGAGGAAGCCCCAGGGCTGCTTGCAGGCAGAGTTAGAGATGCCATGCTGGACTGCGCTTCCCGCAGATGGCGGAACCCCCAAGATATGGGTAAAAATGGACAGTGATTGAAGCAAATCTCTTTTCTATCAAGCCTTTGGTAACTGAGTGGCTCGCGCCGTGCCGTGCCGTGCCGTGCCAGCGGCCGTTGATCACGGCTGACTTCCAGTAAGCCAGTCAATGTCGCGATAAGATGCTCAGAGAGAAACAAGCGGAAAGGGGAGGGCCCTCTGGGACGCTGGTTGGTCGCTCGGAAGAGAGAGTCAGTCCAAGGTTGATAGGGGGGCGTTGGAGACACAGGATGGCATCCACATATTATACTCGGGCTTGAATCGCATACATCACATCATCTCATCCAAGGATAGAGGCCCGAATATATGTGACACATCACTGATGATTACGGAGCTGCGACCCGACTGTGTGTTACCCATGCAGGAACAGAGTTTAGCTTGCTTCCGATGAAGGCGACTCGGCAAGGTGCAGTGGTCAAGGGCACCGCACGTTTGCGTGACAATAGAAGTCCTACCGGCGCCCTGGGATTGGTAGAGCTTCTTGCCCGGGGGTCCTACGTGCTGCAGCTTTCCGGACATTGCTGATGATGGCATCTGTCATGGCGCAAGAGTCCGGGTATGAAGTTGCGAGAAGCCATATCATGGCCCCCTCGCGCCTCTCTCATCCACGCATATCCCAGTGGCAACGCTTGTACCGTGCGTCTCCGCTGTGGGTAGCATATGCAGCTACCAGTTGACTGCTGTGCTAGGCCAAAGACGAGCTCGAAAGTGAATACAAATAGCGAGGAAGCTGATAACATTGCCCGGGGTGTTGTCGCCTGCAAACCCGACAGCACGGTTAGCACGCCGCTTCAGGGTTTGCGCCTGAGCAGCCATGTTATGGGGCATAACCCTGGCCCATGAGCTCGGAATTCACTCGCAGTGTTTGCGAGAAATCCTCGGGTCGGTCAAACGAGACGTCACATCGATCAGCAGTAGAGCGGCAGATGGTGGTGTCAGTATCCCGTAGCCTCGAGGCAAGTGAGCCAGAGCTAGCCCCCGGAATTCGGAAATCTCACAAACAACAAACCACAGAACAGGCCGTCTGCATATAACCCCAGCAAAGGCAAATGAACCCAACGCAGGCCTTCGAATAACAGCCTATAGCATCGTCTAGAGCTCTCACCGAGGTGGAACTCGTGTTGGTTTTCCCCCCCACAGATCACCCTTGGTGCGTGTACTATGCATGTGCCTGCACAGGGGGGCGGAGACGACAGCTTCTTTGGACGCCTTCTCGACGGGCACCACGATGCCTTGGGTAGGCCGGCCGAGATGGCTTTGCTTCGTGCCCTCTCGTCTTGATTTTTAGGGGTCTTCCGCCGTTAGCGAGCGGGCGGTGGTGATTGCGACTGTGATTGTGAAGCGGATGCTGACCTGCGACGTCGGATCCCTTCAATGGACTCGCACAAGCACAGGACAGGACCGGAGCCTTCAGGTGGCTGCAAGATCAATTGTGCTAGTCGGAGCTATGCAAGGTGTAAGAGGCGGAATTGGACAAGGGCAGGATCTCGCCGTCCTTTCCCCTTTTCGCCTCAAGCTGTCAACTTGGCAGTCAGCGATAAGATAGCTTCATTTCTACCTGTGTTTACTAAGGGCTGTTGCATCTGTACCTAGGTACCTAGTAGCTACGTCAAAAGAGGTACGAATTACCTCTACCGGCCAAAGGTGCTTCTAAGTCTCATCGGTAGTACCTTTAATGTTCTGATAGATTCCAATTGACCCCTGTGGCTGGTGGCTCTCAATCAATTCATCAGTTGTGCCTCCGAATGATGGAGCTCGCAAGTACGGCGCATGTACCTCAGGTGATATCAGCAGGGCCAATAACCGTGCCTTTATTGCCCGAATGCCAAGTCTGCCCAAGTACTACTCCAGTACCCAACAATGGAATCCATCAAATACATTTGTTTCCAATTGATTCTTATTTCCAGCAGCAGAACGCGCTACTCCCGTCGTGGCAGCATCCGTGCTGATGCATATGATAACCGCCTCAGCTTCAGGCGAGAGGCTGAAAAGCGCCGTAATCACCAAAGGCTCATGCAGCTAGAGGCAAAGCAGGGGGCGGACGGGACATTACATGGCAAACACGATCCAAGCTTACACAAGTCCTCTAAAAGGAGAAAAAACAGTGACAGAAATCACTTCCCTGCTTAACTCTAATTCAAGGCACATAATAGGTGCTTATACTTATACATGTAGTATGAACCAGACGTCGTCCTCAGGGTTTCACGGCTGATGGAATCCTCGATTACACCGTCCATCATCTTTGTCAAATACAAATTAGCAGTCATTTCCCAACAGCCCAATCTCCCAACCTCCCATCTTAGGTAGCAACTTGAGCTTTGGGCAACATCCATGTCGTAAACACCCAATTGCAAAGAGGCATATAGACGAACCGGTCTGCAACTTGGTGGACGGTCCAACGCCACTAGGGGGCAGCAACAGTCACACTGTCAAGACCTGGATGTGTCGGTTGGACAAATAAAGGCTCTAGCGCTGTCTCTGATGCGGTCACAGTGCAGCTTCAAGCTCAGCGCCCAGCTGCCCCGGTCGTCGGTTCGTCATGGGATTTCTTCAATGCAGCCGGAATTTTGATTAATAGCCCAACAGGCGCGTCATGCTGTAGAAGAAGTCATCCTTGCAGAAGGAAAAATGGCTCACTGCGGCTTCCTCATCGTCAGCTGGTTGGCTGAATTATGCAATAGAGTAGTACAAGAAGAAAGTGATTCATGATTGGTGACAGATTCAGAGCTGAGTGTCTTGTGCCAAGCTGCTATGTTGCCATCCTTTCCAAAAACTGCTGTTCTAGGGTACTTGTACTTGACTGTAGATTTCAATGGCGAGGTACCTAACGTGAAAGGGAGCTCGACAATGGCGGGGAGTGGCTGCCCCTCTCTCATTGGCCCAAATAGCATTATGTCATCCGCAACCCACATCTGGCGACGACTTCACTTGGTCAATCTCATCGCCCGTTTCACCTCTGCGACGACCATCACCAATTGACGACCACCTGCGCTGCCAGAATGTTCGCCGCACGATCAAGGGCAGTCTGCGCCGCCCGCCAGCTGCAGCGGACGACCCGAACCTACGCCTCCGAGTCCCACGGCCACCACTCGCCTGCTCCGGTCAACGAGTCCTTTGGGGTTAGGAATACTGCTCGACATGGAACGAAGACGCAAAACGCTGACTGAAGGCTATAGTCCGGATCCGTGATTGCCCTGGGCGCCTTCTTGGGCACCATCCTTGTCTACCAGTTCCGCCCCGAGGAGAGCGACAACTGGACGCCCTCCAGCCTGCTCAACAAGTACCGATCAAAGGCCGAGGACTGGGAGGCCATCAACAGCCTGCACACAAAGGCCATGGAGCAGGCCGGCTATGACAGAAACCTGTTCGAGAACGGCTCAAACAAGCACCGATTCGTCGACGTCTCATACCCCGAGTACGTTTCATTTACACGAGGACGAGTTATTTCCCTTGGCTAACCAAGTCGACACAGAGCTCTCCAATCCCACGCCCCGCGAAACATCCAGGCCGGCCACCTCGCCAACATGGATCATGTTGTGGAGCACTACCGACAACAGCACCTGAAGATGGAGGAGAAGAAGGCGGCCAAGCTGGCTGCCGCCAAGGCAGAGTAGTTGCAGTGCTACAGTATATCCAATTTATAGAACAAAGTTTGCAACACATTGGGGCTAGTTTGATGCGTGATGTTGCAAGGTGCCGGTTTTACCTTTGCGTGAAGATGGTGCAATGCGCATGTGCTGCTGAACTAAAGATGAACATTGCTGCTAATATATAAGCAAGCACCACTCTTCGCTTTGTTCCGTCTGCCCTGACAATTCTGACCAAATACCTTTCCCTCGATGCGCTGTTCGTCCAGACATTCGAAGTATTATAGAAGTTAAATTTAATACCAAGATGAGAGGCTCAATACTGTAACAGCTGGTTCAATAAAAGGCTATATCCCAGCCTTTGGTTCAAATTGCAGAATCAATCCATAGCTCAATTCAATCGGCAACAGCCGATCAAACTAAACTTTGAGGCAGAGGAACAGAAAGCATGACCGCGTATCAAGGTTCAAGAACAAACTCAAAACACAGGCGCAAAAAGGCCCGAGCAACAAAGTTCAAACACAGCGCAACAAACTATCGAAGCATTATATATTGCACGACAGACCTTCTTTGGGCTATTCAGCTTTTATCAGCATTTTGTTGCACTCGTTATTCATCCCTTTTCGGCTTTACTCCTCAGTATCAACCGTTTACTCTATCAACCGTTCGTTCCACATCCAGTCACAATGGACCGTTTCCATCCAGATAGTGGCAGCACGACCTCCAGCGACTCCCAAAACCCCCATCTGGCGGTTAGGACAACTCAAAGCCGTCCTGTTGAGAGTGGCACAATCAACTTCAAAAATCGTGGCCTGCCAATAATTCATGCCGTTCAGCCCGAGAATAGCACCGCCAATACCGGAGCGCGCGCAACTACAGAGGAAAACGCTCCTTATCGCCCGTACATGGTCAATAAGCTCGCCGTCTCCATAAGGAACACGAGAAGTTCTCGCGGACGTGGCGTCTTTGCCATCTGTGACTTTCCAGAGGGCCAAAGGATCATAGTCGAGAGCCCAGTCTTTTCTTGCGCTGCTCCAGTAGAGAACAATGCGGCCATCTGGCGAACAGCATTGGCCGAACGCTGGTGTTCGATCCCAGATATGCACCAGCTGTACTGCAAGTCCAAGTTTGTCAATTTGAAAGAGATGCCAATGGGAGCGCAACACCTCTCACTTCACCAGAGCAGGAGATTCTTCAGCTTTGTCAAGGAATACGCATTTTGCAACCCCCCGAAAAGCCTGCTACACATCTACCCCTTAGCGGGTCATATAAATCATGCGTGCTCCCGCTGCGCCAATGCTGAAGTATGGATCGATTCAGGGCCACCGCACCGCATCACCGTCAGGCTCATGAAGAGGGTGAGAAGGGGCGAGGAAATCTTTATCAACTACAACCGGCCTGCGGGTAATCCGTTTAGTTGCGCAGTTTGCCGCGACCGCCAGGGCATAAAATCTCACCTGAAAGCATCTTGGCACAGCATGGGTCAGTGGCTTTCCAAAGTTTCTTCGCCCAGGCATCAGGATGTGCAGGGGGCTGCTCCTGAGCCTTCTCAGGCAATTGGCGTAGACGTCGAGGACACAACGACCCCAAAAAAAGTTGTGACTAAATCATCTCAACCACACATTGAGATTACTCCAAGAGACGCCGGAGTCACACCATATTCCGACACTCCAAGAGACGACGAATCTTCCGAGATTTCTATTCCATTTCGATACAGATTTATGGCTCGGTGGAGGCTGTGCCTCACAAGGATACGATGACCCAATCCCATTGCAAACAAACATCTCACAGACGTCGGAAATGGGTTAGGTCTCGGTATCCCAGCCTGCTCTATTCAAATATAGAGTCAAGATATAGCAATCAGGAAAAGTGTATAACAGTCAAATTGTATTCCTTTATTCAACTATTATAGTTAGAAAATATAGAGGAAAATAAAGCTATTATAAGTTTTTATTAATCCTGCTGTGCAGCTGGAATAACTTTTTGAATAGTATTGCTGCTTTTTTTTTTTTTTAACAGTTTCTGGAGTATCTGTTACTATCGCTAGTGTCTGCTACTATCCATATATTCCTCTAATATCTGCTATCATTACTACACAGGCTGCTTTAAAGTTAAGAATGGGATGCCGAATAGCAAACGTGGGGTGCTGAACAGTCACTCCCTTTATCTAACTAATATTGCGGGTGGATAACTTTTTTGGTTAATGGCTTGCCGGTTAGGATAACTTCCTCTGCGATGTAATGTACGCAGGGTATTGTATACTGTGGCGTAAAGAAGCAGCGAGACTTGCATGGAGGGAGATTACTATCTTCTTGCATAGTAGTATTAGGGCGCTGGTGCTGCTGTGTGAGAAGATTGACTGTAGTGTAGTTAATCTGCGTTGGAAGTGAGCCTAACTAATTTGACTGATGAAGTGCTGCTGGCGTTTATTTCCTGACCTGCGGCGATTTGGAGATAGTCATGTTTTTTTTTTTTTTGGTAGCATCTGGATGAAGGCTTTGCTGAGATGCAGGAGATTACCGGTGCTGGTGATTAGATAACTCTTGATATCCTTATGGGCGGTTTTGGTAGGACTGCTTGTTTGTTGGCTAAAATTCCTATAACGCCTGATATGGTACTGAAGGAACTGATTAGCCTAGGGGAGTTGCTTTTTGATGGGCTATACACTGCATTTTAGTAAGGCGGGCTGGGCTCCGCTGAACCTTTTCTATAACGGATCTAGAGAGGTGGGAATAGTGCCGGAATAGCAATACTCTTATGAGCAGCATCTACACAGTAGAGATGACGGTGTTGGAAGCGTGAACAATGTTTCTCATTGTACTATCATAGAAATCATTGTCATCAACAACTTCGGTAGCGGCTTCCTCCGTCTACCAAAACCAGTCCTTTTCGCCCAAAAATGTCCGTCAATACAGAAACCACCGAAGACCATAACCTTCTTATTTGAGGGGAATGAAACGAGAAGAGTGAGTGGCACCGATACCAGGTCGACCGTGCTTGACAGGCTTGCTGTAGAGGGTGTCAGTAAGATAAATATCAAGCAGGGGGGTTGCGCTTTTCTGTTGGGCAAAAATCCACGGCGACGTACTATGAGATAGAGAATTCACCCAGGTAGTGGCCAACCATTTCAGGCTTGATCTCGACCTGGTTGAACTCCTTGCCGGAGTAGATACCAATGACGCTTCCAATCATCTCGGGGACGACAATCATGTCTCGGAGGTGAGTCTTGACGAGGTCGGGCTTCTCGTTGGGCTTGGCCTCCTGCTTGGCCTTTCGGAGCTTCTTGATGAGGCCCATGGGGCGGCGCTTCAGACCGCGGTTGATCCTTCTGCGGGCACGGGCGTGGACGACATCTCGGAGCTGGTCAGAAGAGAGGTCGAGGAGGCTGTTGTTTTGAATGTCAGCGCCATTGCTCCAAAGCATCCCTCGTTTCCATCGAGTTGAATTGCGATTGTGATAGATTCCGTCGTCATATGGGATGAAGAAAATGAACGTACTTGTCAAGGTCGATTCCTCGGTAAGAGAACTTGCGGAAGGTTCTTCTCTTCTTGATCTCAGCGGCCTCCTCGGCGTTCTGTACCAAAGAAAAAAACGTCAGCGCCTGTATTTCGATACCCCAAAAGAGATTTCCCCCAAAGCCAATTGTCGCAAAAGCCGGGCATCATTCTCTCTCTTTTTTTCCACCCTCCAAATTTCTTTCCCTCCCACCGGGTGATTTCCTGAGCCTGAAGACGAGGAGAGGAGCAAAGACAACGTACGTATTCGTCAGCCATGATCGCGGTTGTGTGTTGATTCAAGGATTCGCCTATCGACGCGCAGGGTATCGACGAGCGAATGTGGTGGCCGTGATGGAGTCGTTTGGGAAGGGCGGGAGGGTTGGGCGGAATGCGGCACTACTAATTTCTGGCAGTAGGGTTTTCGTGCCCTTTGATCTCCACGTCAGGTGACTTTGGCGACGGGTGAAAGTTTTCGGTGGGCGGCTTTTTTTTTTCGTGGCGGTAGAATCTTTTTAGTGTGGCTGAGGTTCAACTTGAACTGTGGCTGATGAGTCTTGCACGGGAAGATAGAATTTCCGGATCGCCTCCGTTTCTTCTTGTTCGTTCGTACTAACGCCGTCTTTGGACCAACTCCGTAAAGCGGAGCCCGAAAGCTCAAGCGGGCATCCTGAACAAAGTCCACAAGCTCGTGTGAGATGTCCGCATCCCGGTGTAACTGAATTCTGCTTAGAAGCTTCGATGGCTTCTCGTGTGCTCAGGCCAGCCGTGGACGCGACATGACTGCACCGGTATAGGCACCTGTTGGCGAAGTGCGTGTTACACGGCCAAGCATCTACGAGTACTATCCAGACAACCACCACTGTGCGGAATGCAATGCACCTCGAGCCTCGGGCCAAGGCTTTTCTCGTGTTCGCATTGACCAAATCTCTCGATGGCACACAAGTTCCATCAGGATGAGGCGCGGCAAGGACACACGGATCTTGTTCTTGGTACCGGCCTGGACGATGAGAAGACATGAAAGGACATGAGAGGAGCGGGTGGGTCGACGAGATGCTACCGAGCACCGTAACTACGAGTACTCCATTACTCCATCCATGATGCCAAGATTGGAAAGCATCCTTGGGACAGCATGTTTGTCTTTGTAGATCCTATCACCTCTCCTCAGCCCAGCGCTAATCGCATGCTACTAGCAACCTAGTATTAGGTATTAGCTCGCCAAGAGAATTTGGCATCATCCTCCAAGCAACCTAAACCGCCCCCCTGGCTTTGTCTGCATCACTTGATATGCCCTCCCTCGGCATCTTTCCATCTGTTCTTTGACGGCTGTTGACTGGACGCTCAGTTGTCTTTTTTTTTTTAGGCACAAGATGTAGCTTTTCCTCAACGACATTTTTTTTTTGGGCTGGAAACCCCACTCATAACTCCGTTGCAGGTGCTTCTCGTCACGTCTGTGTCTTCATTTCTCACATCCACAACTAACTGCCGCTTTTTCTCTTGGCACTAATACCATCGACGCGGCCGACAATGACCGCTCTTTTTCCCTTGGTCGGGTTTTCCCCTTCTCTTTGTCTTTGTCCTTGGTTTTCTTTTTCTCGTTCTCCTTCTATGTCGATTTTTCCTCACAGCCGAGGCTAGGCACAGCTAGTTGCAAGTTCCAGACTCTGTGCCAATTCTCGCAAGTAAAAAGTAAGCAACGCCGAGACCTGCACCGCTGGATGGCGGTCGGCTTGGCAAAGTCTCGGCACCAGTTTCGCCAACGCCCATTACGAAGTCAGTTTGCCAACCTGGTGCCGTGGAATCTCTCTCTCCCCATGACCCCCAGAAAACGGGGGGTGGAAGGACAGAGTCAACCGTGCCGTCGCCAATGGTGATGGCGGCTTGGAAGCGCCCCTGCGAGAGCTGCAAGCAAAGCTGAGACGTCTTGTCATCGCCAGTCTCCATCTGCCGGATCCTGCCCGTTTCTTGGCAGCCTCATGATCAAAAAGCTTCGCGTCGTTCCTCAGCTGGGCCGACTATCTCCATCTCCATCTCTAGACTGTACTGTTACGCCAGACCACAACCATTTCAAGGCTCATCTCTTCTCGCCCGCCCCTGCAGCGCAACTTGCACAGCCCTGTCCACTTTGCCGTCTCGATCCAGATACTCCCTCGCCTTCTGGGTTCCTTGTCGCGCCTCTAATCTGCCCTCTGCCCTCTGCTCCCGCCAGCCAACTCTCAACGCCCTCGATAAGGATACGAGATCTTCAATCGTGCATGCGCAGGTCTGGGATATCGACGCTCGACGGCCAATTATCACTGCGTCTACGGCACGCACTGCCGGCTGGGTGCTGACACTGCCAGTCTGCTTTGTCGATCGCACCACCCTCCCTTAACCCATCACGGTGGAGTCTCCGAGTACACTATGTCTCTCGCGGCGCCGGCTACACCTTCATTCACGACCACCTCTATCGTTCCGGGCTCTGCGCCGACGGCACTGCCATCAAGTACGGCAGCTTCCGTCACCAGAACCCCCCCTTCCTATATCACAGCCAACCCCTTCCCGCCCATGACAACGCACTGGAACCGACCACTGAGCTGCACATGGACCTACGTGTATGATAGCGACCTGCCGGCGGGAGTCTCAGAGCCCATTGTGTATCTGGATCTGGAGCCCCGTCCTGGTGCTTCTACTCTGTCTTGCTACCCAGATGGCATGTTCTACGATGGACGCACTGGGGTGTTTAGCCCTGCTACGTGCCCCTATGGATGGACGACTGTGTCTCTTGCGGTAAACACTGACCAGAGTGAGGATGAGGCAACCACCACAGCATTGTGTTGTTCATCGTACGTTGAACGAGCTTTTTGATTTTATAGCTTTTGATACTAAACTCCTTTTTCTCGCAGCGAATACTCTTACGCTGATGGGCATTGCAAGCGTAATGTTCCTACGGTTCTGGCAGTCCCCATCATATACAACCATACAGCCGCTACATACGATATTTTGACCAACTCAACCACCACCCTCTACAGCGCCACCCTGGCTGTCAATACCATCCGTGCACTCTTCAGAGAGCAAGATAAGCCGCTCCTCGGCTTGACAAATGAGGATGATATCGACGACCAGCCGGAAGACGACCACGGATTGTCAATGAGTGCCAAGATTGGAATCGGAGTTGGCGTGACGCTATTCGGCTTGTTCACCATTGGAGCGGCTATTTTAATTTATCTATGGAGGCGAGACCGCAGCAAAAAGCATTGCACAAGTGGCACGTCGCACGAGCTGGGTGTTGTGCAGAGGACACAGGGGCCAATGTACACCAACTCGCCACTTGGCTCGCACCAACGAGCCCGTGCACGCGACGCCGAGCCGCCTCCTGCCTACGACTTCACCACCGAAACCAGCAGCGTCGCAGATAACGATGATGAGAATACTGCCGTAGCCCGAGATGGCGAGATCCAGGTTCTGATGGCGCAAAAGGAGGCTATCCAGCGACGCATCGAGGAGCTGGAAAGGGCCTCGGGAGATGAAAATAGGGATGAACCCCGACAAGGGTAAAATAAACCCAGACTTTTTTTGTTTTGTTTATCCTTCATGGGACTGTTAAAAAATCATTTTAATATTTTGCCCTTCTCAGGAGGACTAGTTATGATACCACTGTTGCGCACACACAAAAAAAAAGAGCAGAGCAGGCCAACCAGTTGACTTTGTATGTTCTGGTTATTTTATGAGATGATATTATGGAAATGGAAGGAAACAACGACATGTCAACTCCTAGTAGTTTGACATGGATTTGAACTTACCTCAGGTAGCTTGCAGAGAAGAAAAAAAACTAGAGAGAGAAAGGGGGGCTACAGTAGAAAAGAATAGGAGTTGAGGAGATGGGGTAGAGTTTAGGGGTTATTACGATTAGCCAGCATAAAAAGGCTCTTGAACAGTACCTTTTAATAATGATTCGTCATAAAGATGGATGTGTGTGTGTGTGTTGTCTGCCGTCAATATTCAATTGTTGCCAACAGCAACACGAAAGGCACTTCTTTGTCGGTAAGCGTCAATCATCAAAACGGCCATTTTTCGCCTCGACAAACTCACTAGCGCTTCCAGCATTTGCCCCCATTACGGGGCCGACGATCTGACTAACCGTGCATGCCTGAAGCATGGATGCTTGTCGAACTTGTAGGCACCTAGCATAGCATTAACCTTAGCGGTTCCATTTCCTCGGGACGGGCAGACATGGGTAATGCACGCGTGCTATTCCATTCTATTTCCAGTTGATAATACGGCACAACTCCATACAACAGTGTTCAACAAATAAACAAAGCATCCCATTAGCCTGGCCGATGGATCAACACTGTAATGGACTGAACCTCATTTAAACGGGCCGCTGTGGATAGTCTCGGAAGAGAAAAAAACGGCCCACTACATCTCGACTGCATCTGTATTGTAGTTACCTAGAGCTAGGCAGTAGCAAAACGGCCCTGAGAATGTCGATGCCTACGCCTCGGTATGGATCGGATAGAGGTTTCCAGCATTCCTGCAGCAGTGAGCTCCTCTCCTGATATCCGAGACAATTGTCAGCAAGCATCTCGACCCGGTTTCTGGCGCACCTGGCCTTTTTCTGGGCATTTGGGTATTATGGGGGGGCCGCCACTTACACCATGTCTCGCCGCTTTGGGCCATAGAACGAGGTTCTACATGCGGCGTCGAGCTTCTCTCTCCGGTGCGCTATTTTAGCGGTGTTATCAGACGCAGAACAGGCTGGACCTCGTCTGCCAGCGCCAAACGGCTGTGCATGCAGGTACCTCTGGTCAGGCCCGGCATAAGCAGTCCCTGGCAGCTGGTGATGATCCAGAACCCCCCGCTAGAAAATCCCACCAAATACTTTATAAAAACTCCACCAGCAAGCCATCACCACATCCTTTTGCCCAGGCCGGTTCCCTCTTGCCTGATCCTGCCTGCCAGTGTTCTGGATATCATTGTTTGCAGCTTTTCTTCCATCAAGTGCTGATTATCGAAACATATTTCCAAAATGAGGGGCGAGGTCAGTCTTTTGTTGCGCGCACGAGTGTTTTTTCCTCTTTCTTTTTTTTTTGTCCACATTATGATATCATCCCACTTCCGAGGATTTGCGCTCGCGATGCGTCACTTGCGCCCAACCACGCCACGCAATTTTCTCTGCAACAAGCATCGCTAACTTGATACTGATATAGATTCTGCATCTTCACCTCGGTCAGGCCGGTGTTCAGCTCGGTAACGCAGCTTGGGAGCTGTTCGTGAGCCCCTCCATCTTGTTGCGCGAGGATTTATAAGCGCCTCAGTTCTGTGATGCTAATCTCCGTCGTCGCATAGCTACTGTCTTGAGCACGGCCTCGGCCATGACGGCCGCAAAGATCCCAACGCCAAGGATGACCAAGATCCAGGCTCCTACGATACCTTCTTCACCGAGACCGCCGGCGGCAAGCACGTGCCTCGGTCCATCTTCGTCGACTTGGATCCGTCTCCCATCGACGAGATTCGCACGGGCGAATATCGCCAGCTCTTCCATCCCGAGTTGCTGATCAGTGGAAAGGAGGATGCGGCCAACAACTATGCCCGCGGCCACTATACTGTCGGAAAGGAGTTGATCGATACTGTCATGAACAAGATCCGCCGTGTTACTGGTGAGTGTTGGCGAGTCGTCTTGTTCGACATGCAAGGCTGACCGTGAGACGCTGCAGACAACTGTCACTCTCTCCAGGGATTTCTCGTCTTCCACTCGTTTGGGGGCGGCACTGGATCCGGCTTTGGCGCTCTGATGCTCGAGCGTCTTGCCGCTGAGTATGGCAAAAAGACCAAGCTCGAGTTCGCCGTCTACCCTGCCCCCCAGACATCCTCTTCCGTCGTCGAGCCGTACAATGCAGTCCTGTCCACCCATAGCACCATCGAGAATTCCGACTGCACCTTTCTAGTGGACAACGAGGCAGTCTATGACATTTGCCGAAGAAACCTCGACATCCCTCGTCCTTCTTTTGACCACCTCAACCGTCTCATCGCCCAGGTTGTCAGCTCCATCACTTCGTCTCTGCGATTTGACGGCGCCCTCAATGTCGATCTGAACGAGTTCCAGACCAACTTGGTTCCTTACCCACGTATCCACTACCCCCTGATTAGCTACGCTCCTGTTGTTTCTGCAAAGAAGAGCTCTCATGAGAGCTTCAAGGTTCATGAGCTGACCTTGCAGTGTAAGTCATCCCCATATCTTTCTTACGCATCCAAGGTATTGACACATGCCCAGGCTTCGAGCCCAACAACCAGATGGTTGTCTGCGATCCCCGGAAGGGCAAGTACATGGCCGTTGCGCTGCTGTACCGTGGCGACGTGGTGACGCGCGACTGTACAGTCGCAATCGCTGCCATCAAGGCCAAGGCCACTTTCAACATGGTCGACTGGTGCCCTACAGGCTTCAAGCTCGGAATCAACTATCAGAAACCCGTGGTTGTCCCCGTCTCCGCTTCAGAGGGCGGCCTTGCTCCCGTGCAGCGTTCCGTTTCCATGCTCTCCAACACAACCGCCATCGCCGAAGCCTGGTCGCGACTAGACTACAAATTCGATCTGATGCATAACAAGCGTGCCTTTGTACACTGGTATGTCAGCGAGGGCATGGAAGAGGGCGAGTTTTCTGAGGCTCGAGAGGACCTTGCTGCTCTGGAGAGGGATTACGAGGAGGTTGCCGCCGACTCTACCGACCTCGATACCGCCATGGAATACTGAATGCGGTTCATTGACGAACTGGAAGCAAAATCATAAACACGGACCGCTGGTGATGACTGAACGAACTGAGAGATTGTTTGTTATTTGGCTGGGAGGTATTTGGCTTGAGAGAAAAAAAAAAAGGTCGTATTGGAGTCTGATTAGATGAGACCGCCCCATCATTCCCCTCTTTTGCTTTCCCACATCCTTCCCTTTCTTTTGTTTTTTGCTTTTGTTTTTTTCTTTTTTCTTATTTGCTGGAAATGTACGTTTGGGAGCAGGCATGCGAAAAGAAAAAAACTTGATACCTCTAATCCCACCAAAGTTCTCTTTCGTTGTACATAATGATATATTCGGATTTTTTGTCAAGGAGGCCTGGGAGTGGCTATATAGTGAGGGACACTTAATAGTTTAGTAGTTAGTATTTTGTAAAAAATCGATAAATGGAGGAGACAAACCCCGTGTGCGTGTTCCATGGACTCAAGTTGTTGCTATACTTGGATACCCGGATATGCATGTATGCTGACAACTGAGGTTTTGTCATTGGATGCAGGGCTTCGTTTCGAGTCCGCCTCAATGACGTGGCATCCGTTTGACAAAGTGGCAATACAGCCTATGTGCAACTCCTACAGTCAGATGCTAGCTAATATTATTTCTCGAGGCGACATTCAGCTTCTACCATGCACAGTGAATTGGCTACTACTGGGTAAGCAGTCAAAAATAAAGCAGGACAAGACTCTTCACATCGTTTACATTAGTTCACATCACCGATACTCCAATTTTTGTACTTCGTTTGTACTTCGGGGGGGTACCCTGTAGCATTTTCTATTTTCACCTCTTCCCAACGCCAATAAGTTTTCTCCTCTCTGCCCTGCAGTGGTGGCTATGACATCCATGACTGACATAGCAGCCAAAAAAAAAATACGTGGTACCTTCTAACAGGTAGCAAGCAGCAATTAAAAGAGGGCTGCCCAAAGAGAGGGGGAAACGCAGAAAAAAAAACGACTTTTGATATGTACACTTTCTAAACGGCCCGCCTGCCCTCTCATGTGATGAGGTAAGCCGCTCGCATTTCCACAGAAAACACAGCCCGTATTATACTTCGGACCATATGCCAAAGCGCTGCCTCTTACAAGCCCCCAGGCCAGCAAAGCAACGCAGCGAATCACTCACTCACGCCGTTGCTCAACCTGGAAGCAGGGCGGCCCCCGAGGATTTTCTTTGGTCCTTGATCCTCGACTTGCATTGCCTTGTCGATTTCTCTTCTGGCTCACCCCGAGTTATTTTTTTTCTTCTCTTCTTCACTTCTTCTTCCACGCCGCAGCCCGTTTAGCGCTGCGGTTCTGCGGTCTCATTGGCCTGCCCGCCTTCTTCTTATTTTTCTTGCCCATTTTGAGGTCCTTGGGAAGCCCGTCTTTGGACGATGCTCTCCGGCCCTCGAAAATGATGGCCTCCGGAGTCTTGATTCCATCCGCCGTCTCACCGTCCTTTGCGGCTGATGGGAACGACCGTCTGCCGGCATGTCGCTGTTTTGCAGCCGCAGACCGACCCAACAGTTTGCGGGTTCGTCCGGCGGCGGCCTGCTCCTCTGGAGTTGCTTTGGGCTTGTACTTTGTGCTGCGGCTAGCGCCATCGGCCGTGTCTGCCTTGGACCTGGCCCGCTCTACAGCCTGAGCCGTCTTGCGCGGGTCCTTTGCTCTCGTTACACGGAGTTCACGGGGAAGCATGGGGGGAAACTTTTTCCCGTTGAGAAGAAGAGCTGCCTCTACATCATTGGCGTCCTGGAGAGCTCAGTCAGCAACAAGGACGGGGGGAAAAAAATAAAAAAGGGAAAATGGCTTCAAGGCAGCCGCATGAAACCAAGAGAGAATCTCGTCACCGGGCGAGAGCAGACAACTTACATAAAACTGCACGTATGCAAAGCCTTTGCCCACTCTAGTCTTTGAGTCACGCACAACGCGAACATTCTCAACCTTGCCCTGGGTTCCAAAAGTGCGCCAGAGGCCTTCTTCGATGTCGGAAGGCACCTTGTTGCGCTTCTTCTCAACCGTCTCGCCGTCGGCTTTCCTGTTCAAAACGGTCTCATCGTCGACAAAGCCAAGGTTTCCAACAAATACACAGTTGCGGTGATTCATTGGGCTTGGGTGTGCCACGCTGTCGACCCGAATGTGACGGCCAAGGATTTCAGTTCCATTGAGTTCCGTAACCACTTTACGAGCTGCCGCGGGGGTTGAGAAGACTGCATATGCGTTTGTGGATTTTGTGGTGGCATCCATCAAGGCTTTAGTGATGTATGCTGCTCGTTTGGGCATTGAGCCGGTAGAGAAAGCCACGGAACGGAAGCGCAGAGACTCAATCTTTTGCGGTGGTGAGGCATCCTTGTCGAGGACGGAAGAGAGATGTTTCATCAGCTCTTTCTTAGCCGTCTTGGATGAGATGGCCTCTGTGGCAACATTGCCCAGGAAAACTGTCCGGGCAGCCTTTTCAACCTCGGACTGCTTGCTCTCTTGCGTGAGAGACTCGTGAACGGGTGCCTCGTCATCATCACCCTCTTTGGCGCTATCCTGGGCGTCTCCTTCACCTCCCTTGAGGCGCTTGCCAGAGGGTTCGGGCTCGTCGTCATCCGCAAGCTTGGCCAAATATCTTCCTTCAAGGTCGTCGTTGTCCTGCTTTCTCTTGCGCTTTCTGTCACGCTGCGTCTTGGCTTGTTCGACGTCGTTGGAATTCTCTTCTGTCTCAGCCACTTCCATTGTCACCGACATGACATCTTCGTCGTTGCTGCCTTCGCCATCTTCGTTCTCGGCACTGTCATCGCCTGCTTCTTCTTCGTCGTCGTCGCCATAGTCCAGCTCTTCGCTGATTTCAGAGAGCACCTCATCATCGCCCTGGTCATCGCCGTCTTCTTCGGTTGATTTGGCAGTGCTTGAGCTTGTCTTCACCGGCGGTGCTCCCACTCGAGGTTTGGAAGGAACCGTCACAGGGCCAGCCTATCAAGTACGTTAATTGTTGCCCCGATCAAAACAAAAACAGACAAGGACAAGATTGCTTACACTGGATGCGAACAGAGCATCGAGCGTGGGGTCAATGGCCTTGGACGCCACGGCCAGCGCATTTTTTCTGCACAAAAGAAATCAGCAAGATCAATCGAAAACGCCCAATTGCAGAGAATCTCACGTTTTGGCCATTTTTTTTCAGTCGTTTCTGCAGCGAGAGGCTTCGACAAAAGAGACTTTGGACAAGCGCTTCGCCAAACTGCGACGGAGCCACTGGAAGCGACAGAAAAGTTCAGAGCAAGCTCTAAAAATTTTGGGTCCCGCCGCCGGGCTTTCAGCGGAATAATGCGTCATTGGCCTCGCTGGCCCGAAGGCCCGCAGATGACCGCGTTTCTGCCACGCCAGGATTCACCGCCCGGGCTTCTGCTGGCTTTTGCTCCAGGGCCTGGCTCGCCTGTTGGGGCTTGTGCAGGCGGCTGGTGCAGCGCTCTGTAAGGTCACAGCCGATACCTACTGTGTAGATGCGCGAAGCGGCACCTTGTCTTCTTCCTCTCCCCTCCCAGCCCGTTCCGGCCTCTCTGCCACGACCCCGTCACGGAGACAAAAAGACCGTCCAGACACTGCCTGAGCTTCAGCTTGGCCAGCGGATCTCCATCACGTCGCTTTGCCCTTCACCCGCTCGCCGGCCCCGATCCCACCCCAGCGCCCGCTCAAACTCTTCGCAAGCCGACCTTGGCTTGTGTCCGCGCCCGGTCCTCTGACCCGACTGTCGACCGACAGAGCTGAAGCCGCCCTTGTCTCGACTGCCGATTCGCATCAGCAGTCTGCTCAAGAGTCTCGCTCTGCGCTACCGGCAACACAATGGCAGCGACGGCCTCGGCGTCGGCTGCGTTCCCCCCCGTGGCCACGGGCGGCGATCTCGAGGACAGCAACATCTCCAGCCCTCTCAGCGAGGTCGACGATAAGGATGCCAACGACGAAGAAATTGAGCACATGCATCTCGACAGAGACAATCTGAGCCTCGGGCCTGACGGCGCCCGGGCCACCGACAACGGCGGATCAGACTCTGACAGCGCCCTTTCCGACGCAGCGTCAGACGTCAACTCTGAGGCCAACGACACCGAAGCCGAAACCCTGAGACTCTACGACACTCCACAGATACAGAGACATCGTGACGTTGGAATTGGGCGGTTCAATGACGGAGACGCTTTGGAGCATACTCCGAGCAAGCTCCGCATGGCGCTAGCCAGCGGCGACGATGACTCTGCCTCGGGCGATGACAGCCACATTGACGAAGGCGACGATGAAGACGAAGACGAAGACGACATTGATGACAACGAATCGCCGGCAAAGGCCATGGCGGCAGCTTTGAAGGCAGATGAAGCTGCCCGGAGCGATTCACAAGAGCGGAAGCGGAAGCGATCTGCCGCCGCCGAACACCAATTAGACCCAGAGCAGCCGGCGAGGAAACGCACCGGATCAATCTCTGCTGCCAACGGGGATGGCAACGATCCTCCTGCAGCTGCCGAAGATGACGCGACACCGGCTGCGAACCTTCCAAGCGGACGCGGGTCCCCCGGCGACGACGACGAGGCGTCTGCCACGAACCAAGACACGCCAGCAGAAGACGAGCTTCCAGAGGTGGCAAGGAAGACCAAACGCACCGGCTCCAAACGGAAGACGGTTGTCTCAGATGCCGACAGCGAATCTCGAGCTGAAGCTCGTGACGAGCAGCAAGACCCCACGATAGAGGAAGAGGCCGAGGCCGAGGCCGATCACCCCGAAGAAGACGAGGCAGAACCCGAAGTTGATGAAGAGACTGACGCTGCGGCGAGAAATTTTGAAGAACGTAAGCTTCCCCGAGATCTGTCGAGTGTAGCACACGCATGCTAATATGAGGGAAAAACAAACCAGTGGAAAAGAAGCAAGCTGCCTATCGAGACTGGACCCAGATAGAGGAAATGTTTGGCATCTTTAGAGATCGGTAAGCCTACCTGTTTCCCTTGATTTGACGGCACTCTGCTCACACTTTGGCAGTCTTTACAAGGATAGGTTACAGAGACTCGAGGAAGAAGAGCAGTCGCTGCATGCCCCAGAGCCAACGCATCCTGAATACCTCAACATGAAGCAGTGCCTTGATGATCGACTCGAACAGAAGCTGCAAGCTATCAATACCGAGCACGAATATCGACTCAAGGCCCTTGAGCGGCGTGCAGTAGCACAGAGGGCTCAGATATGGGGCCAATACTTTCAGGCTATTCGAGAGAAGCGAGAGCATGCTCTGGAGGCTCTCAACAGGCAATGGTACGATGTGCAGAGTGCTCGGCGGAGTGCGCACAGCTTGCCAGACTATGGCCTGTTGTTCCCAAAGGATCCCTCGCAGCGCGTCAGGAATGCCATTGCCTACAACACCGAGGTATCGACTCTCGCTGGCCTCGCCAAGTACGAAGGCTTCCCAGCCGGACCAGAGTTGCAAGGGGCATCTACATCAGAGCTGGAAGCTGACTTGGCCGCCATGGAAGTGAGTCTGAAATTTTTTATACAGCCGGCCTTTGCTTAGAATCATTTCACATTTGCTGACATGCCATCAGCGAACTCGACGCCTGCGGCACAAGCCCTCGATAAGTCAGATCCGTGATGAATACCAACCACCACATCTGACTCGTCTTGATCCAGCGGGAGAGCAGTTTGTCAAAAACACACCTTGGGCGAACCCGAATCACTCAGCACATAAACTCTACCAGCATCATCCAGCTTCGGCGGAAGCTCGCCCCGAGCCTGCTGTCCCCGTCTCTGCTGGTCGAACACCCCAAAATGCGCTTCCCGCTTCGACTGATCTCAAGGCAGCTCTCGATGGCCCAGGAGCAGTGCGATCGCCTGCTCTTTCTGCACGGCTATCCGAGTCGCCTGAAATAACGCGGAATATCTTGAACCCTGCATCCCACCAAATGAAACAATTAGGCGGCATCTCAGGACTTGGTCGCGGATCGAAAGCGGCAGCGGCTTGAGAGATGTATGCTCTTTCATTTGAGGATTGCACATTGTTCAGGAAAGCAGCCTACATAGAAGGGGCTGTGGTATGAGGATTTCTGCGTTCGGACACTAATGATACCCAAGATCAGGGCTTGTTGTCGGCTCTTTGTAAAAAGGAAGTGCGGCCTTTTGTTTTAGTTTTTCATCTTCTCTTGTCTATGTCTGTATGCGTGTTTTTGGTCTGGAGAGTTCAAGGATGGTTACATTGGTAATAAAGCTTCGACGGCGTTTATCATGCCCAGGTTTCAGGAGGTTGACACGGGCGGCAACGGAATTGTCTTTGCATGGCAGATGGGAAGTCTTTCATTGTACAGAAATGGCGGTTTGTTTTTCGTACTCTTTCTTACATATTCGAGGCAACAGAGTATTTTTGTTAACACTTGGCTGCGAATGCTTGCGATGTGTGATGTATAGGAGAGGCAAACGGCCATGAATTAACAAAGCCCATTTCCAAAAGTTCTAAAAAGTAATAGTACACAGCGAATTTAGCTGACGGATTGTAATTTGCAACACCTAGGCGCCCCATCTCGTTGTCGTAAACAGTTTTCTTTCATGAATACATGGATATTTATTTCGCCTTGGACGGCTGTCGAGGCGCATCCGGAACCTTGACATCCTCAAAGTCGTCTTGTCCAACGGCATTGATGGTATACCAGTCTATAAAGAGAAGAGAAAGACAGCGTCAGTGGCCGTGGTCGGGCGAAACCGGGGATAGATAGTCATGAGCTTACAAACTCCTCCAACGAGCGCAAAGAGACCAAGGCCGGTCAGAGCATTCTTGAAGAGATATGGCCGTCTCGCTCGGACAAGAGCTGGGCCTTGCCGCAGTCGCCGATCGTAGTAGGTGGTATGGGACCTGGAATCAATCTCTGTTAATTGGGCGGCTGCAATTCGCAACGTGGCGAATCTTGTAAATGGGAGACGTACGCCATTGCTTTGCGTGGAGAGCTGTGCTATGTGTTCCGCAGCAAGATGCAGCAAAGCTCTTGTCCAAGGCTAAAGATGCATCGTATCATGCGCCGCAGAGTGGGATGAGCACCGGACAGACCTTGGCGGCGCTTCTCCGGCTAAACAGCATCTGCCGTGCATCCCAGGCACTGCTGTTAGCAGCAAGTCTCCCGAGCCGGTACCTCGAAAGAGCAACCAGATTACGGGCCCAGGCCAAAAAGTTCTTGCTAGCGACCACTTCTCTGACAGGGATCTGCCACCTTGGACCCGCGTCACGTTCCCGTCGCCAAAACCTTTTGGCAGCTCCCCCAGGCAAAGCAATCCGCCATCTGCATTGCCTGCGATTCGCCAAGAAACGGCTCGCCCAGCACCTCGACAGCGACAAGCGACAAACGACAAACGACAACCTCGGCGGCGCCATTCTGACGGGCGCGATTGCTGCGACTGCGTGTCACGAGCTTCGGATCTGTGGTGGCTGGCGTGGGAGATTGGCACAGGGCATGACGATCGACTAGAAGAAAGAGATTGATACTATTCCAGTAGCCTAGCCTGCTTGTCGCGCGACATCAAATGCTGCAGCTGCATCTGCATCTGCATCTGCATCCTTCTCCCGCACGTTTCCCCCGTCTGATGTCGTCCGCTTCGCTCGTGCCTATCGCTCGTCCCACGCATTGAGAGATTCCGCCATCTGTCTGCCTGCCATAGCCGCCAGCTCGACGTCATGGCTACCTCGTCGGCTCTGTCAGTGCCAGACCAGATCCGCCAGCTCAACGATGCCCGCAAGCTGGTCTTGGGAGACGTCAAGTACTATCCAAGCGTGGTCAGAGGCATCCTGCCCATCATTGGGCCCAAGGCGCCGATAGAGCTGCGACGATGGGTCACGGATTTCCTGGCCGAGGCATTTGCCACGCCGGCGCTGCCCAATTCCGAGAAGGAGACGATGCAGCCATATGTGTTGACGACGCTGGAGTCGCTGATTGAGAACGAGGTCGATGCGCAGGTCCTAAGGAATGTGATACAAACGGCAGCGAGCATCTACCCGCTGGCCATGAGGTGGATGTCGGTGGCTTCTCTTCCCATGTAAAGAACGTATCATGAACTGACTTTGCCACCCATCGCAGCATCAACAACAGCTACGACACGGTGACGTGGGAGAGGATGGTGAGTATCAAGCAAAAGATCTTGCAGCTGTGGGATAATGTCCCTCCCACTGTGAGGATATGCTGCATCAAGTTTGCTCAGCGAGTGGTGCTGGCGCAAAGCGTTGCTTCGGGCGCCGAACACAGGGTAAGATATATACGACGGCTTGTTTCAAACAAAAAGTAGACTTCTTAACAAATAATCTCTTCTAGTATGGCGGCGGATTGGACGTCTCTCTAGACAAAGTCCCGCCCAACCACCAGACGCTCGATCCTAGAACTCTCGAGGCAGAGGCGAGTGGGCTGTTGGACCGCATGTTGAGTATTTTACAGGGGAACAAGTAAGTTCCAACTTTGATCTGATAATCTGGCCATTGAAGGATAGCCCATACTCACCCAGCTTAGCGATGGTCTTCTTGTAGATGCGACTCTGAATTGCTTGTCCATCATGGTGCGGACTCGTCCTGCCATGTCGAGTCGAATCCTCAATGCATTGCTCAACTTCAACCCTCTACAAGCCGCCAACTCGCCATTGACCCCCAAAACCAAGGTGATGATCAAGTCCATGGAAAAGACGGCACGGCTGCTATTGATTCACCTGAGTAAGCGAGACCCCCACAACCCCATCGTGCCCAGAATACAGCAGCATGTGGAGGGCACAATGCGTATGGTAGCCGAGCTCTTCGACAGTGCTGGCCGGAAAAGACCTCTGGAGCCCAGGCCCCAAGATGGATATGATGCCAAGCGCCCGCGGATTGAGGCTTCCCAGATCCAGATCCCCCCCTTGGGTCCAGGCCCCCATAGCCTGGCTGATGTCTTCACCCTTATTGGCAACGATGGACTCAAGTTCTTCGACGTCTCTCAGGTTCCCCCCAGCCTCGTAGCCAGAATTGCCGTGAATACCCTGTCTAGGTTGGATGCCCAGGTCCTCGCAAAGGCTGTAGATGGTGTTCGCGGCCGGCTGGAGACGCTGAACAATAGCCCTCCCGCGGAGTTGAATCCAAACACTGCGCCCCTGGGTGTTGAGGAGGACGAGGATGATTATGAACCGGACTTTTACCAAGCAGAAGATACGGAGCAGATCCTGAACAAGCTGGATAGCGCCCCGGCACCGGCGGTGGCCGAACCCATAATAAGCCTGGATGACACGTTGGGGCTGAGATCTTTCAGCCTTCCCCAACCGCAGCAGTTGACACCAGAGATGGCTCTCAACGCGGGCAATGGCACGGTGACGAGAGTGCTGGACATGATGAAGTCCCTAGACGAACCAGGAACGAAGAAACAAAAGGCCGGATTCAGCCGTCTTGCGGCAAGCTCCGAGAGCAGAGACTCTTGGATGACTATTTTGACACGCCTAGCAACGCGGTCATCAGCTGGGCTTGAAGAGATATCGGTCAAGGCCGAGGCAGACGAGTCTAGCCGGCCGCCATCCCTCAACAACAGCATCCGAGAAATACTTTACAACTACATCATGGAAGACTTCCGAAAACACATCGACGTCGCGGTATCATGGCTTTGCGAGGAGTGGTACAACGACAAGGTGCAGCAAAAGGCTGGAGGCGATCATCCACTGTACTACGAGAAGTGCACGCTACGGCTCATTGACGGCTTTCTCCCTTATCTGCACCCACAGGACAAGGTGCTGACGCGGTTTTTGAGCGAGATTCCCGAATTGAACCGGGCGATTCTTTCCCGTGTGAAGCACATGTGCCGGGACCCAAGCGTGACGCAGCTGGCGTTGACAAGTTTGCTATACTTGGTGATTATGCGACCTCCCATCAAAGAGGCCGCTCTGGACACAGTCCAAGATATATGGACAGACTGTATGTCGTTTCCCTTTCTTTCTTGCCCCTTTGGAGCACACGTCTATCAAAGATGAAGACATGCATAGCTAACAGCTTGGACAGACGAAGATGCTAGGACCATGGCAGGCAAATATCTCACCAAATATCGACCGCTATTCCTAGAAAATGCAACAAATGGCCAAGGCAACGGTAGTCCGGCACCAGTACCGGCAGGAACTGCCATCACTACATAGAAGATGGATCCGCACCTCCTTGCAGAATGTGCTAAGAGAGGGGTTAGATGGAATATCGAACAGCTTGGAAGATGAGGGACCTCGGCAGCTTGAGGAGCTGCACAAGGCATCAATTCAGAATTTGGAAGGGAATCATCACAGAATGCATGGCCAGATCATGATTGGGCAAAAATAGAGACTGCGGGACAGGGACTTTACAGTCGTAATAGCGGCGTAGAATTTGTGTGAAACGCGGCACAAGGCAGGCGTTTGTTGGCCGCCACGCGAACATGAGGAAAGATGGCGCGGGATATCCGGGATATAAGAGATGTGTATAGGGATGGCTTACACGGAACTGCCCAGTGTATTGGAAGAAGGGGCGAGGATAAATTTTGTATGAGATTTACAGCCGGCAGATGAAGGATTTGGCGGGCAAAATAAATACCTGGTAGCAATTGGAAAATACCATTATTATACAGGAAGATTATTATTCACTACTTGACTTCCTACCTACCTTGTAAGTATTCACTGTGACCTGTGAGAATGTGTACCTTGAGATGAAATACCAATTCCTTTCTCTTCCTTTGTTTCCGGCTCTGTGCCTCATCTACCCGGGGTTTACTTTCCATACCGCCTGAGAAGCGAGATTTGTCCCAATAGCTCGTCAACAAATGAATGGGGTACCCTGCAGCTTATTTCTCGCTAGCAGAGGCGTCAACAGACCGGGCGACATTGGCAATGCAGGGAGAAGGACGACGGTGTTGGACGGTGAATTAGGTGTTATTGATTACCCCGTATATTTGAGGCTACAGTACAAGGTGTCGTATACAGTAGTTACATCATACCGTGTGAGGCGCCAATGATGAATAACGGCGTCGGCGATGTTTCATTGGAGTTACTTCTCGACGCACGGCCTCGTTGCCTGGCCAGCCCATCACATGCATCCTTTAAAGACCTGCAGCATCTCTAAGCAAACAATGCACTGCACCACACAATGCACGCGACACGTGAAGCCTTTAACAGGTAAGCATCGCATGGCATGGCGCGGCGTGTCCCCTGCAGTTTTGATCCTTGTTGCAAGCTGATTAGAGAGAGACATGAAGCGGCAGAGACACAACAGGCGAGACACAAAAGACAGTCCGGCAAAACAAAGAAGAGGGGTCAATTGTTTTTTTTTATTTTTTATTTTTTGCTTTTTTCTTTGCTTCCTTGTGATTGGTAGGCGGTGGTGGTGCGTTGTGTTGACTCCCTTGAATGCCGTTTTTCGGTGCGGTTGGGTCGGCTTCCCCTTGTTTAGTGAGATGCAGGTAGGTATGTCGGTACGTGTCCAAGCACTAATAGAGCCGCCCTTTGTGGCATGACGTGGTGAAGTTTTATTTGTTTTTGCTCGTATCTCTTCTATTTCTATTCTGTTTTCCTCTTTCTTTCTTTTTACTTGTTTTCAAACATCCTTTGTTTCTGTTCTGATCGTGATCGAATATCGCATCCCCAGCTTCAGCTCAGCTCGGCTCATCTTACATCACCAATCTCATCTACCCTGTCCTCCCTGGAAAACGGGAGTCCCCTGGCTCACTCACAGCACGGGGCACTGCTGCTGACTTGAAGACCGAGGCAGCGGATCGGGCTGGCGGTTTCATTGGTGCTTGCAGCATAAACGAAACACGGCCATTTCCATCATTAACTTGTATGAGACAGTCGGTGGATGAGAGAGTACAAGAGTGAAGTGAAGTGAAGTGAAGCTGCAGACATGGCCCTTCGCCGCCTTCACAAGCAGTTTTTTAGCATCCACCAAGATTCACTCCAGGGCACAGGTATTACAGCGGATTTTCCTTTGTTTCCCTCCCCTTAGATCGCCACACTCTCGCCTTTCCCGTGGCTCCGGTTTTTTAATAAGTGACGGCTGCGCGTTGACGCATTGCTGCTCATTTACGCGAAAACGAGCGAGTGCTCCACCTCTTAATTATACAGTACATATTACACACACATGACACTCAGTACCTTATTTTGGACACCAGACTGCTTACCTATTCCGTACCGGCTCGTACTTGTACACTTGCACTGCCCTGCACAAAACCACAACCATCACCAACAAACGCCCCCCGAATTCATTTCTGCTATCTGGACGGGATCGAGTGATTGATTGACTGACCGCTGATGCGAATCGCCCCTCGCAGCATCCAATCCCGCCCGCCCCTCGCTAGATGATTCACCCGGCACGAGAACCTTAACACCAGCTTCTGCCGGCACCGTCAACGCCATGCCGAGTCGCGCTGCCTCCGTCTCCAAACAGGCCCTGGGCAGGACGGCCACGATCCGCAGCGTGCCCAGTTTCGAGGATTCCGAGACGGGCCCCGAGAGCAACCACGCCAGCGGCCTCTCCAGCAGTGTCACCAGCAAGGCCAGCGGCCTGTCTACTGTGGCGTCCAACGGGACCATCGAGGAAGCGCCATCGCCGAAACCCAATCTCGAGAGCACCGTCGCTGAGGAGCCTGAGCCCTTCAGCGATGCCATCGGCCCGGTGGTGAGGGTCATAACCCCAGCACCCCCAGAAGAGAACGGCGCCTTGGACGGAGATCTGGACAAGGAGGACAGTGCGCAATGGGATTCGACGATTGGCAAGGCCGGTCTAGGAAAGACGGGGCGAGTCATCAACAAACTCGTCAGCGACAATGACGCCCTGAAGCGCGAGATCAAGATTGAGAAGTTGCGCGCGGAAGAAGCCAAACAGGCGGCCAAGCTGGTCGAGGACAAGATGGAGCGCATGATCAGCGAATACGAAGGCCGACTGCTGGAAGCAAACGTCACTAAGACGCTGCTGGCAAGAAAAGAACGTCAGGTCGAAACCCTCCTGGCAACGGTCGATACAGAGAAGAAGAAGGCAGTGGCGGCCCAGGAACTGGAGCGCAACTGGAGGGACGAAATGGAAAATGCCAAGCGCGATGCCAAAAGGCAGGCCGACGACGCGACAAGCTATGCGCAGCTGATGGAAGGCCGATACAACGCCATATCCTCCCATTGGCGCGACCAGGGCGACGAGGTCAACAAGGCCATAGCGACAATCAAGACCGAGATCACCACCATCGTTGACGAGCGCAAGTCGGACGACGATAAGATCCAGACACTGCGAGACTTGTGCGAGCAGCAAGACAGCAACATCCAGAAGCTGAGGCGCGAAAAAGAAGACATTGCACGCTTGTTTGAGGAGTACAAGAAGGCGCAGGAGGAAAACCTCAAGGACATTAAGGAGAACGCCCGCAAGACAGAAGCCGAGCAGCAGAGAATATTGGAAGAGTCCAGGGAGACGCTAAACAAGCTGAGATGGGCTCTAAACGTCAAGGCAAACGTCCAAGGGGCTGAGTGAGGTTGAATGGCATCACTGCCTTGTGCCACGCACTCTGTCTCTCCTGTCTCTCCTGTTCTCTCCTTTATCACGGCCATATTTTCCATCTGGATTTTCCTTTACCATTTGGCGTTGGAATCACGTTGCGTTTTTTATCGAAACTGTCGGTGCATTCTTACGGGGGACTCTATGCTCATGCCTTTTTTTTTCTGATTTGCGTTGTTCTACTTGCCACTTCACAACATCCATGTGCGGCTACAGCGACTTTAAATAATGATACCACTTTCTCTCTCTCCCTTGCCTTCTCTCCCTAACCCTCTCTTTTTTTTTTGCTTATTGCTTTTAGTACTTCTTGCCCTTCTCCCCTTCCGTTACACCTGTGTTTTTTTCTACATTCGTTTCTGTTAATCACATAGAGAGAGCGGTCAGTTGGCTTTGGACAGGATATGATAGTTTTCTCCCACCCCATACTCTTGTTTTCACCCCCCTTCCTCTGTATTTGCATGCTGGGAAGCCTTTGCTTTCGTGATGCACTTGGCGTTGGATGCATTTCCACAAAGAAAAAGAAAAGAAAGAAAAGAAATTTTAAGCGGTATAATCTCTTATGCTTGCGTTTACATCTGTTGTCATGCTTTGGCTTTTAAACAGAGCTATATGAAGCTGGAAGAGAATAAGATTGCGCGCTTTGACTGTGGGAGAGATATAGTACACCACATAAACATATATAGATAAATAAGGAGCCAGTGTGTATTAAGAGAATGGAAAAAAAAATAAGGAATATGAAAGCATATATTACGGATTTGGCTTACGATCTTATTGTTCCTCTCCTCGGATATTGCAGTGAATTGATGGCGTTTTGTCTGTTGTCTCAGTCTACAGGTAAAGTCCTATGTGTTCGTTTTGGCATTGAGGAAATGAGGATCAAACAAGCAAGGTATATTAGTTGCTTCCAACAAAGCTGCGTTAACAATACTCTACAAAGGTACCCTCTCTTATTCACAGTATCTACTCTATCATCAGCCTTTTTCTAGATAAAATAATATTCATCCAGTTTATTTATCAACAGCATGGTCATTCACTCGCATGCAAAGCGGTCAGAGTTCACGTGCCTGCTGCACTTGCCCTCGCAGCTGTCACCCACCTGGCAGATGCTGTCCTACTTTATGCGCAGCCCTAAGATTTCTCAAGCTCTGTTTATTTATTTATCTACCTATCCTACTCCTCTTCTTTTCTATTCTTCTCTTCTCCCTCCTTTCCTTCTCTTTCTTCAGCAACACGAGCAGAGTCTCTGCCCACAGCCTCCACAAGGACACTGCGGGGATGCCCTGGGAACTTGGACTTGCCTTCTGAGGTTCTTTTTTGTCGTGCTTCGTTTGCGCGCTATTCAAGCCGACTGAAAATACCGGGTATTGTGTAGACGCTGTTTGGAGTGTTTGTGCTTCTGTTTCCTGTCGTTCTACTGCATTTTGAAAAGGACGTCAGACATTTTCCGGGTTGCCTTGGTGCCTGCTTGACCTCAGCTGCGGTGAGAGGATTATATTTTACCCCCAATGTGGAGTGAATATTAGGTATGTTGGCAATTCCCGTGTTGTGATTTCTTTCTGAGTAGAGGCGCATTTATGACTCTGCCCTTTCGATCTCTCTATTCAAATAGCACCCCGCTTGTGTGGGCATTCTGCGAGATATGATGACTGATTAGGAAGTATAGCCTGTTGGTTTTAATCTCGGTGATTCCTATTGTTTCTTGTTCCTTGGGGTTCTTTCTTCACGATGTCTTGCGGGAGCTGTGGTTCCGATGCGGATGCATCAGCGATGTCTGCGGCCATAGCCTCATTAGCAGTGTCGAATCCGACGTCTGGATCGTATGGAGTTGCAGAATTCTACATCACATGCAATCCCCCACTGCTCCCACTAGGTGTTAAGCGTATTATCGAGTCAGCCCAGTCAGCCTGTCAGGTATGTACTGCCTCATATTGACAAAGTTGGCATCAGGCTAACTCTTCAAGGATAAACTTCTCGAAATATTGTACGAGCCAGAGACACCTTGGTTCAAATGCATCACCGCGACTGAGTACCAGAACCAAGTCTCTGACGTTATCCAAAATCTCATGCACAAACTCCTAAAGAAGGAAGTTCAGCCGCTCAAATTTAACGTAGTGGAGGATATCGATGTGCACGAGGGCACATTCCACCCAGATGTTGTCTCAAGAGAAACAGATGAACCTCTCATAATTCCATGGATGGTCTATAATTCCATTGGAAGCGACATGTATCCAGATTTTGACCACTACAGATTTCCTGAAATCATGGCCAAGATTCCTTTCAAGACAGTCTGGAGAGGGCTTCAGAATTCTACCGGAGTTTCGACTGAGACGCTTTTATCCATATTTTCTCGTGTCTCCAAATCCGAGACTGCACCCACCAGCATCGCTGACTTTGCGTTTTATACAAACTGTGAGATGTCACACAATCTGAGGGAGGACCTAATTTATATCGGGTCCTGGGAGTCGATGGAATTAGTCGATAGGGCGGTTCGAAGGCTCCAAGCGATCTTGAATCTATTAGTATGTACCTTATGCCCCCCTACCACGACCGTGACGAGTTCTAATGTCTAACGCACGACAGGCAAGTAAACCGAAAGTAGCGTCACATCTGATTCTACTCGAAGGATCAGCGGCTACCAAACTCACGTATAGGTGGATGTCTCATGTTGGGCTCGTCCATGCAACCTTTGCTGTTCAGTCCGGCAGCTTGGATATCGCTGAAGAGTATAAATATCTCGCAAATGCGGTTGTCATCAGGACTCACATCCGAGAGAGAAGTGGTCGTTGGATTACTGATGATACTGTTTATCCGTTGAAAGATACACGTCAGCACGAAGCAGAGCAGATATTCAGTGCCTTCAAGGGTTACCTTCTGCCTTCCAAGCCAAAGAACGCCAAAGTTCAAGTGTTGCATGACTGGAAATATGCGACGGGTCAAAGGGATACGTCGCCAACTAAGACAAAGGGGATCGATAGCCTTTGCGGACCTATGAGAAACAATCAAAATGTCACTAGCAACTTGGTGGCAGACGACAACATGAAGTTATCTTATTCCGCACTTGTCAACAATGATCAAGGGCTTGCACCGAGTCAAGAACTACACGATGACCAGAAGCTTTTCGCCTGCCAGCCGCCACCATCGTCGGCTCGACTGTCTCCCACATTGCATGGGGCGGATACAATTGTACAGTCTACCCAGCGACTGGCCACTACCGAGACAGAGTTTCCCCACGCATTAGAGCCCTCAATAGCAGGAGGCTCTGTATCAACCCAGAAAGAAGAACCAAGAAGCAAAGTTCAATCTCTGTTTGCAACGTCTGACTACAGTCAAGGAGACCTTCTCATCTCCCTCAATGAGGCAGACGAGGAGGCTGCGTGTGAAAATGGACCGGCTGGCGGTGTGGTTCGTAGTACAATCGCGGATCTTCAAGAAGTAAATGAGGACATCATCCGACTTGAACTGTTTGAACGTTCCGATGACCTTATATGGCTGGAGGATGAATCGCCGGTTCAGCAGCCGCCTCCCAGATCAGGCAGTTTGAACGTGCTTGATGATGTATCAGACTACCCCTCTCTTCAGAATTACGAAACCTTGAGAACTGAGGCCGAAAAGTCCACTACCGTGACTGAAAACAACCCCCTTGAAGCTCAGGAGCATGATCTGGTGAGGTTTCTTACCGGTGGTCTGCCCCGGTGTGGGTTAATAGATGCTCAGAAGCATATTCTGATGAGTGTTCCCGATGAAGCTCAGGATAATCAGATTGGTAATTATACCGGCGATCTGGTTGAATTCCCGGACACTCAGGAGAGTGATGCCACGGATAATCACGCTGGTGATCTAGTCGAGTTTGGCTTGGCAGAGGAAAGACCAAGAGAATTCTTCCAAACAATGAATCAGAGGGGAGGTCGCGGTATTGCCAAATTGTCTAAAAGCGCTCGCTCACCTGGAAGAATTGGTTCGGATGCCGATCAAGAACCAGCCACTGGAAGTCAAAGCGCACGCTGGAATTCTTCCACGCCTACGGGACCGAGAGCTAATGCACAGGTAAGCCCATAATACAAAGATTATTGAGGTATACTGACAAAGATATCTTTTTAGTTCGAAGCTGACTTCCCGGCGCTTGGAGGAACTTCCAAATCCCCAAAGAAGCAGGCTAAGCAGCCATTACGGTATGCTGATGCTGCCAAGCTATCCAATGCTCCATCAAAACGGCCACCCCAATTTCCCATCTCGAGTGGAAGCACCAGCCGGCCCCACCAAATTTCCTCAAAAGCATCAGTTGCGTCGTCTGCCAAAGTGGTTGAAAGCTCAAAGGAACCGAAACTTGAGGAGTACGAGAAGGGTAGCCATGTCCCACTAGAGAAGAGCGATATATTGCGGGACGCGAAGACTCAGCTTAGAAAAATGTCGCAAATCCTTGAGCTCACTTCAGGCTATGTCTCCTTGGAGGTTGTGTTTGGGCGCATATATATAAAGCATATGGGACCGAGCCATGTAAATCACACTGGCTCTGGCCCGGCGTTTGCGGTAAAGGAGGTTGTTGACCTTTTAAATGGCGAGAATTTCCGACAAGACCGTATTGGCTTCTCACCTATGTTATCTACCTCAGAAGGTGATGCCAACATGCTGGTGAGCATTATGCCGCCGGGGGAAACGCCGTGGCATCTGTTTGAGAAGGAAACGTGGTATGATTTCCACTGCACCTATTTCGGGCCTAGAGGCGAGGAGGCCATCATCATTGAATTGAATGCCGACAAACTCCAATATCGAGTCCGGGGCCCACGGCACGAAGTATTTGCAATCCACCTTCACTGCCCCCAGCGAGCTTGGGATATGAAGGCGCGTGCAGTCCGGTCCCAGGCTTTGGAGCCCGAGTATCCATTAAAATGTTACATCGAATCTCTCATTGAGGAAATGGACATCTTGTGAGACATTGGGGAGATTGATTTCTTGTGTGATGATGAGAAGTAAAGCTAACAGATTCCGTTTTTGCAGGGTTGATCATAGGGGCGATGTGACAATCAAGTATCCAGACTACAATGGCACCCGGGAACTTGAGGCCATCGTCATGCGGCGAGTTGCACGATACCACCACGGAAAGAAGCGAGATTCCAGTGTGCTCACAGTCACAATGACTTACTCAATGGAAGAGAGCTTGGTGGGCGGCAAAAGGCGTGCAGGGGCCGTTCGAGTTTTTGCCTGCCCCACAACCTCGTTGAACAGTGCTTTGCCGCACAAATACTTTGAGGCAAGCCTAACCTCTTCTCATCTTGGCCACCACTTTGATCAAAATGTCAATTTGGAGTATGGCGACAAGACCACGTGGGATACAGACCAGCTTGCGAGCGAAAATGTGTTTGAGGACATGCTTCGGCCAGCCTTTGGAATGATTTCTCACATGGATCATATTGGGTCTTCGAATAATACCATGAGAGGCGTCACCGATGAGGATGCGTTTCACGAATCTTTGGTCGAAGTAGATGTGAAGAAGAAGAAGTGGGCGTTTTGGTAGGGGGGATTAGCTGTGGCTGTTTTGGCATCTGTCTGGGCAACGTTACAGTTCTCTTTCTGTGATTTGCATTGCTATTCGTGACTGATTGGGTGCAAAGAGGCCATTGAGCTCCAGTACACCACTTGTCGACTTGATAATAATAGCACATTGGAGGACAAGGATGTGCCAAAATCATGATGCTTTGAGATGAATGAGTTTCTTCGTTTTGTGCTCAGGGGTTATCTTGGAGGGCAGTAAATGGAAGCTGCATGGACCAAGGCTGATGTATGAATAATTAATAGATAGAGGTTCGGATAATAGGATGGGCTGATCTCCAAAAGGGGGTGATGAGATGAGGTTTCGGAGCGGTGGCGAGACTAGTGAGACATTGTCGTCGAACTGCCGAACAAGCATCAGTCAGCAAAAGGATATTGACCAAATATTCGGTACACTAATGCATACCTAGTACTTGTAGTACTCATCAATTTCATGTCTTAGTTTGGAATCTTGTGACTTGAGAAAGGAATACTGCACTAGAAGCTGCACATAGTATCATATAATTTCCGATAGATGTATAATAACTTCAATATGAGCCTTGACATAGGTTGCTTTACACATCTTACATCCTGAACCTTGAAGCCACGCACGAATCAGACGCGATCCACTTCAGGCACATCCCCCCTGGCGGCCCTTCTCCAGCTTTTCTCACCTCCACTCTGACATGCCGATCCGATTCCAGCAGGGCCAGGCGCTATAAGCCCATGCGTTATAGGCGGGATGGAGCCTGGAGATCAACAAGACCCCGACCCGCGGCTGAATCCCCTGCTCCGGCCAAAAACAGCCCACCGCCCGCCGTATTCGTGTTTTTTGTCCACTCTCAGCTCGACGGCTTTCTCCAAGCTGCGTAACCCCACGACCTTTGAAATTTCCTAGATTGCTGCAGGTGTTGGGCCAATGACCAAGCTGTGGCCGCTTGTTGCGCCGTTTCCCATCACCACTTGCCTGTAGCAGCTGTAACTCTCTCTCCTCGGTCTCTCTCTTCTGCAAAGGTGAAGCGCGCGACTAGAAGTCAAGATGGCGTTTGGTATCCTCGAGCCAAGCTCGGGGGAAAAGGTTCCAGGTAAGGAGACGAAGCCCGTGATGGATATACCTGTAACACAAGTCTTGGCGCGGTCGCAAGATGTGCGCATTACTTGATACGTTCTTCTTGTTCTTGACCAATGGCGAACTGACAATGGCTTCCTCTCCGATATCCAGGCACAACACATTTCTACGATGACTCTTCTCAGCCCCAGACAGCGTCGGAGCAGGACACGGTCAGGTTGAAATGCGACACCAGCGGCAAGACGCCCATCATCCTCGTGCGTCTTCCAGATCAAGCCTCAAGATCGAGATAAGTAGCAGTACCAGCCACTGACACTCTTGCGCAACAGGTCCCCCAGCCTTCGGACGACCCCAACGATCCTCTCAACTGGCCCCTATGGAAGCGCGACCTCGTCACCTTTACCCTCTGCTGGGCCGGCGTCCTCGCCACGTCGCTGGGCCCCATCCTGGCCGCAAACACCGTCACTCTCTCCCAACTCTTCTCAAAGACCTTCACCAAGGTCGCCCTCCTGACGGGCTACTTTCTCCTCGGCGCCGGCGCCGCTGCCATCTTCTTCGTCCCCTCTGGTCGCGTCTGGGGCAAGCGCCACCTCTTCCTCCTCGGCATCCTCATCATCATCGCCTCGAGTGCTTGGGCCGGGTCCACGGGGACAAACTACGGCAGCCTGCTCGGTGCTCGTGTTCTTCAGGGCGTCGGAACCGCTCCGTATGAAAGCCTGCTCAATGCAGCCGTTGGCGACATGTACTTTGTCCACCAGCGAGGAGTGCGCATGGCGTTTACCAACCTGGCCATCTTTGGCGGCGCCTTCTTCACCCCAATCGTGGTCGGAAAGATCACAGATGCTTTGGGCTGGAAGTGGACTTTCTATTTCGTCTCCATCTTCATGGCTGCCACGCTTCCCGCAGTCTTCTTGCTCTGCCCGGAGACGGCGTATCGCAGAGACACCAAGCTCAACACAGACACCAACGCCGAGGGCGAGGAGGAGATCAAGCTCCAGCCGCGCATTGCAACAATCAGCAATCCGCCCTCTGATGAGGAAGAGCTACCGAAGCAAAGCACAGGCTTCGTCCTCTTCCCTACTTCGAGAGCGCTCCAGCCCATCGGGAATGCCAGGACTCCCAAGAAGTCATTCGTCGAATCTCTGTCCCTGTTCGATGGTGCCAAGACAGATGAACGTTACTGGGTGCTGCTGCTCCGGCCGTTCCCTCTCATCTTTAACCCTGCCTTTATCTGGGGTTGTCTGATCCAGGGAACCATGATTGGGTGGACCATCTTCATTGGTGTTCTCGTTGCCGCCATCTTCATCGGACCGCCCTACTTCTGGGGAGAGGTCAAGGCCGGCTACGCCTACACAGGTGCCTTCGTCGGCGCCCTCTGCGGCTTTGCCATCTCTGGCCTCCTCGCTGACTCCAGCGTCAAGTACCTCACCAGGAAAAACCACGGTGTCTATGAGCCCGAGTTCCGCATCCTGCTCGTCATCCCCATGCTCATCGTCGGTGGCATCGGCTTGTTTGGGTTCGCATTGACAGCCGGCAGTGTCATTTCTGGCGAGTTTAGCTACATTGTACCACTCGTCTTCTTCGGCTTTGAGGTCGCTGGCATGGTGATTGGTGCCGTCGCAAGCTCCTTGTACATCGTCGACGCGTATAGTAAGATGTCCCCCATAATAAGCTGCTTGTACCTCGCATTATATGCTAACAACCCGTATAGGAGATCTCACCATCGAAGGCTTCACTCTGATGATCATTTTCAAGAACATCTTTAGCTTCATCCTGACCTTTTTTGCATACGACTGGCTCATCACTGGCGGCATCAAACACACCCTGGTAGCCATTTCCATCGTTCAGGTCGTCGTATGCGTCATCAGCATCCCCATGTGTATGTCTCCCTCCCTTATTCTCCGGAAGAGTTCCCTTAGCATTCTGAAGTTCTAATCACTGACATTTGGGTGATATAGATGTATTTGGTAAGCGCTGTCGAGCGTTTTATCATCGCAATGATTTGCTGGCTTTGACTGGCTTGCGATGATGACATTTGCGCCCATGCGTGTCGTTGTATTTCGTTGCTTTGTTTAAGCGCGTGTGAGCAATGAGAACCATTACTGTGGTGAGACTGAGCAGTATTCGCACATCCGGGGTTTTTCTTTTACGGGATTATTATGGGAATTATGTCTGAATGATACCAAAAAGCAATGGTGCTATGCTGGTGTATGGGATTGTATTGCTTTTTATTAATACTAATTGATCAAGCTGTTTATTACGTACGGTTAATGGAAGGAGAGGGGTGTGGAAGGACTTTTAATACGATGCCGAGGATGGGAAATAGTAATCCAATTACATGTGAACACTCACTCTTACCGATTTAACGCAATCACCGACTGTGAAGATCATTTGGAACGTGCGTAAACATGAGCGAAACTGGTAAAAATTTCATATCTTCTTATTTGGGTATATGACGTTATCCTATCCATCCATCCCTACCAAAGCTACACATACTATGTACGACCAAAAGTAATCTTCATCAAATTTATGCCTTGACAGCAGCATCGCCAGCAGGAGCACCTCGAGCCAGAGTCGACTTCTTAACAAGGCGCAGACCACCAAGCAGCATAACGAGGGCCTCGAGGCCGAGAATGACTCCCAGGGTAACGAGGGCACCAATGACACCGGCGACGGGCTTGCTAATGTTGCTGTTGCCGGAAGACTGAGTAGAGGGGGTGTTGGAAGCGGTCGTGTTGGCGGCGCAGCTTCCATCGGTGTTGCCGCAGGTCTTGCACCAGTCCTGGGTATCAGCAATGGCGAACTTGTCCATGCCGGTCTTGAAATCGTTCCAGCTGAGGGTGGTCTCCTTCTGGCCAAACAGGGGGTAGGTCTTGAGGCCGTTGGCGGCAGCAGTGCCGTTGGACCAGAGGAAGCGGACAGTGAGGTCGTCGGCCGTGGTCTGGGAGGCGCTGGGGGCGACAAGCTCGATGACCATGGAGGAGGCGTAGTTGCAAATGCCGTAGAAGTCATTGGAGGCAGCGGGCAGCTGGGCGAGGCCGAAGAAGGCCATGAAGGCACCGTAGGCTCCGAACTGGATGTTAAAGCGAGGCACGGACTTGCCGTCGACGATGCCCTGGAGAGCAGTCATGATCTGACCAGCAAGGACGGATCCAGCAATGGCACGGACGGGCTCGCTGCTGTTGTAGGCGAGGTTCCACTCGTGGGTAGAAGCCAAATCATAGAGGTTGGAGAGGGTAGATTTAGTGAGGAGGTTGTCAGAGGGAATGGAGGCATTGTGGATTGTGGCAACATTGATGTAATCAAAGACTAGATAGAGGACAATTGTTAGTCAACTAGAACATCATATTGTGAAAACAGAGCATGAATACATACTTGAGTAGCCGTTCTTGAAGGTGGCAGTGGTGGTGTTGAAAGTGGTGTTGATGACGGGCAGCAGGTTCTGGTAAAAGTCCTTAGTGTCGTTAAAGGTACTGAGATACTCGGGGGTCAGGAAGTAGCTGTTTGAGCTAACAACAGCATCACTGCAACCGCTGCTGCCCTGGAGCCAGGCGTTTGCCTCGGAATTGGCCGAGCTGGCAGATGTGGAGACGGTGTTGACCGGGATGTACTGGTATCCGCCCAGAGGAGCCTCGACGGTAGTGCCGTTGGCAAGCTTCTGGGATCCGGCGCTCTTGGACGGAGGATACAGGCCCTGGACGAAGACATTGGCCGAGTTCTGCAGCACATTGTCGACGGGGGCCGTGACGGCGAGCTGGGACAGGACAGCCTGGTCGGCGCTGATGCTGGCAATGCGCAGGTCGGCATTGCTGGTGATGTAGCGGTTGCGGTAGAAGTCGGCAGAGCTGGCCACCTGCTGGGCTCCCAAGGGGGTCAAGCCGACGGGGTTCCAGGCCTTGGATGTACGGTCTCCGTGTCGATGGAAGATGTAGACGCCGAGGACTTGCTCAGCTGCGGCCGGAGCAACGGCAGCGGCCGAGAGGGTTGCGAGGAGGAGCTTGGACTGCATCTTGAAGCCCGTTGCTGAGAGACAATGGATGGGAAGAAGAGATCAAGCAAGCTGCACCTGGAACTTAGATGTCCGGTACCTGTATTCGTAGCTATCGCAATCGGGAAAAGAGAAACAGAAGAGGAGGGGGGAGGGCGGTTGGGCATATACCTACACATGCATACTTATATTCCAAGCCTCGTACAATTAGCTGAGAGCTGATATACCTCCTCGTACATGTATACATAGTATGCATAGCATGATACGGCCCTAGCTCTCCCATGTCTCGACGGCCCATCGCTTGTGACTAAAGCAGGCATGTGTGAGCGAGCCGTTTGCAGAACAAGCTTTGCTAGGCCCAATTAGCCCGGGGACTTTTCTCACGGGCCTGCAAGCTGGGCTTCTCGATGGGACCACCAAGAGTGGAGAGCTGGCCGGCAGCGAATTGAAGCCGTCATGGGCGGGAAAAGTGGCGTTGCAAGATGCAGAAGCCCCGCCGAGAGGGGAAGCAGAAAAGCAGAAAAAGACGAGGTAGCAAGGTTGGGTGGGATTATCGGGTGGCTCGCGTAGAGGCCAGTAGTGTCGAGGTAGGGCGTGGGAGGGGCCATTTTAGGTGCCTGGGGGCCCTAAACAGTTAGGTGCTTAGGCTGGGGGGGCCGCCTGAAGATGGAAGATCGGCAGAGGGGCAGGGCGCCGGAAGCTTGCAGCCCGCTTTGTCCAGTAGCTCGGCGATAGAGCTCAGTTCTCCCGAGCTGCTTCTTTTTACATACATGTACTCTGAAAAATAGCAGCTTTCTCAACGTTGCTTTTACATTGATCCCATGCCGTCCAACCTCAGAGCAGATGGCAAGTGACAGGGGACTCCATCATTGAGACTCCCTTCTTCTCGTCATCTTTTCTTCTCTTCTCACCATCGCCCTCGCACAGCTCACTCACCCAAGATGCTACGCTAAATCCCCATTCAGCACCCTCCTCCGTTCTCGTCACCTGCAAAACAACTTCCCCGAACGACGCCAAGCTGCGAGCCACCACCATCACCACCAAAACCCCCGCCCATCACCAGAATCTCCCACGATGCCATTGGCCGCATCAGCGCCAGCCGGCCTTCGATCCCGACAACCGCCTGCTTCCGCCAAGGTGGGGTTTGGCCGATAAGAGCAGCTGGCCCGAGAGCGAAGCATCAGCGGAAAGAAAGCAGGATTCAAAAATGGTTGAATGGCTGCGGCCGCCTGGAATCTTGGTGCCGTGGCGCTCAGCTAACGGGTTTAATTGACCGAGTATATCTACTCTTCCAATGATCTAGAAGCGCAGTCCAGATTTGCTTTTTGGTGCTCGTTGCCACCACAAAGAGGCAAATCTGGGACATAGAAGAAACTCAATCCGACTCTTAACTATTCCGGCGCCGTCTCTGCGCCTTCTTTCAGATTAACATGCAATTTAGACATCATTGACTATTGCTACTAAAACTTTAGGTTCTCCGTTTGTCCTGTTCTCTCAACGCAAGTATTTCGCCGCCAGCTGAACAAGAGACCAAGGCAGTTGTTATCTACGATAGATACTGCTATCTGCCGTTTTACCGAGCGTTTTGGATCCAGTTTAGCAATCTTAAAGCCATGCTCGGCAGTAACGATTGTGATGGTCGATGGGCGAAACATCTCCGAGGAGGCAGTTCTGGAGCAATTGGATCCGCTGAGATGCATGCTTTATTTTTTCGGGAGACTAGCCTCATGTCAGCTTTTCACACTTGCGATAGCAAACTTGCCGAGGCGGCTGATACGAAGTACGAGTATAATATAGCGCTATTGATCTTATTCAGCTTGGCATCGGCTAGTAGATGTTTGTTTGTGGAGACGTACAGGTAAAGGACTAAGGTATGACATCGATGGTCATGAGTCTCTCATTTGTCTCCATATCCGATATGAGTTCACTCTCTTCCGAGAAACAGAAGCGTAGAAACGCCAGTAGTGTATTCATCTGCTGGTATCCAAGTTAGTAGGTGCATGTTATTGGTTTGCGTAGACGTTGATTCCTATTCGCACCATGTGGTCTTTTCCAATTTTCTCACAAGATACATTGGAGCGTAAGATTACAAAAGTGGTCAAACGCGGTATCACAGCTAAGGAAAGGGATCTGATTGTTGTATCGATACAGCCTAAGTACGTCTATTTACACTTTCAATGTTCTCAAATGCATTCTGCCTCTAGAACATGGTGAATATTCAGGAGCTTCTTTTACAACAACATGTACCTTAGTCAGCAACATCCATACCTGGTAGGCAGCTCGATTTGATCGGGACGTGTAAGGCAATTTATACTCTATTTCGACCCGTCTCGACCAACGCGCGACCATAAGGCATTCACCCGACCGGCGTATTTGCAAAGCGCGTTGCTCTCCGATTTATGTTTTATCCCAAACCCTCCAACTACACCGTGTGGCTTCTGCCTTGAGGTATGCCTGTGCAACCTCAAGACAAGGCTGGCGAATGAGTTTGTGGCTATGTATGTTGCTGCCTGAAAAGCAGCCCAACGAATTCCATTTCGATTTAATAATCGCGTCTCAGCCGCGTCGCTTCTGAAACCACAAGTTTTCTTTGAGCAGATCGGGGACGCCGAGCTCAGCCGAGAAACCACATAACCAACCGGAACCGATCCAACTCACCTCAACGCAATAACCTTGGGTCGTCCTCATAAAACCTCTCCTTCGACGCGCTTGTTACGGCCCGCAAATAACATAAACCATGCCAAAAAGGGAACTCGAGATTGAGGATGACCAAGAACGCGTATCGAGTTCAGAGAAGAGGAGGAAGAAGGATGATTGTAGTAACGTGCGGACTCCTCTGCGGAAGTTGAAGCCTGATGACTACACTGTCGGGTGGATATGTGCCATAAAAGTAGAGTATGTTGCCGCGCAAGAATTCCTCGACGAAGAGCATGAGGGACCGGACTATGTGTCCCCTCATGACAACAACAATTACACATTGGGCAGCGTCGGGAAGCACAACGTTGTTATCGCTACCTTGCCCCTTGGAGAGTACGGAATAGCCTCAGCAGCAACTGTCGCCAGAGATATGATGCACTCCTTTCCTAACGTCAGAATTGGTCTGATGGTCGGCATCGGCGGCGGGGTTCCAAGCGAGAATCATGATATCCGTCTTGGTGACATTGTAGTCAGCGCTCCAAAAGATGGTAGTGGGGGGTTACTTCAGTACGACTTTGGCAAGAATATCCAAGATCAGATCTTCCTGACCACCGGGGTCTTGAACCAGCCGCCAGTTACTCTGCGGACGGCACTGGCTGGACTCCAGGCTCAGTATGAGAGAAAAGGCCATCAGATTGATGAGGCAGTCAATAGTGTCCTTGAAAAGAATAAGAGGCTACGACGACAGTATAAGCGACCGGCTCAAAGCAGCGATAGGTTGTATCAAACAGGAGTCGTCCACCCAAGCGCCAAAGAAAGCTGTGTCACTGCTTGTGATCCATCCGGACTAATATCACGATCAGAACGGGATGAAGATGAGGAAAGCCCAGCAATTCACTACGGCCTAATTGCTTCAGCAAATCAGCTGATGAAGAACGCCTTACTTCGTGATAAGCTTGCAGTAGAGAAAGATGTGCTATGTTTTGAGATGGAGGCGGCGGGACTGATGAATCACTTTCCTTGCTTGGTTATTCGCGGGATATGCGACTACGCAGATTCTCATAAGAATAAGGAGTGGCAGGGTTATGCAGCAATGGTTGCGGCTGCGTATGCGAAGGATCTTCTATATCAGATTGCTCCAAACAGCGTTACGACAGAGAAAAGGATCAGCGATATTCTTTCAGGTCAGTATGAGACATTCTAAGTATTATGAAATAATGGGCACCTAATGATATTTTACTGTAATAGATGTAAAAGAAGTGGTTAATGGCGTAGAAAAAGATGTTCATAAACTTGTCAATAAGCAATACAGTCATGAACATAAAGCCGTTCTCGACTGGCTTACGCCTATTGACTATGCCTTACAGCAGAACGATTTTATCAGCAGGCGACAAGAAGGAACCGGACGTTGGTTCCTCAAGTCAGTAGAGTTCCAAGTATGGCTAAAAACCAACAGGCAGACATTATTTTGTCCCGGCATTCCTGGAGCTGGCAAAACCATCATCACGGCAATAGTGATCGATCATCTGTTAGCTAATTTCCGAGATGACCCGAAAATCGGCATTGCTTATATCTATTGCAATTTTCGGCAACAAGACGAGCAAACAGCCGAAAAGCTACTCACAAATTTATTGAAGCAGCTAGTCCAGACCCAGTCGTCTCTGCCAAAGGATGTGAAAGATCTCTACGACAAACATGAGAAGAGCCGGACGCGGCCATCGCATTCCGAGATCACGACAGCCCTCCATTCTATTGTCACTGCAAATTCAAAAACTTTTATTGTAATCGATGCGCTTGATGAATGCCAAGACTTGAGCCGGTTGAGATTCCTCGATGAAATATTCAGCCTTCAGGTCGGGACTGGAGCGAATATCTTTGCGACCTCCAGAATTAATGACAGCATAAGGAGACGCTTCGATGGGTGTGCAACTGTCGAGATCTCTGCAACAGATAGAGATGTGCTAGCCTACCTAGACGGGAAGATGTCACTCCGGCGTTCAGCCATCATCAATGGTGACATTCAAGACAGAATTAGGACTGGAGTGCTTAAAGCCGCTGGTGGAATGTATGCTATATGTTCCGAAAAAATTGAAGAACAGTCGAGCTGATGCTGACGCCAGGTTCCTCCTCGCAACTTTCCACATCGATACAATCATGAGCCAGCCCTCAAGAGGAGAAATTAAAGAGGTACTCCAGAAACTAGGTAGCGGAGTGGAAGGATTGCATGAAATATACACACAGGCCATGGAGAGAATCGAAAGCCACACGCCTGCTATTCGATACCTCGCAAGACGGATTCTAACTTGGATTACTCACGCCAAAAGGCCGCTTTCCATCATTGAGATCCAACATGCGCTTGCGGTCAGGGAACATATGACAGCATTTGACCCTGACTACCTATCCGATGCGAAGGATCTAAAATCAGTTTGCGCTGGACTAGTGACGATCGATGGAGAAAGTGGAATTATTCGGCTGGTTCACTACACTACTCAAGAATTCTTCCAGCAGACGCAGGAAAGGTGGTTTCCGGAGGCGGAGTCTTATATCACGAGAGTATGCATTACGTACCTATCATTCGATACTTTCGAAAGTGGATTTTGCCACACGAACGAGGAGTATGAAGAGCGTCTGCAATCCAACTCGTTATATCATTATGCCGCACACAACTGGGGACATCATGCTAGGGATGCTTCTACAATATATCAGGAAGTCATAGACTTTCTAGAGTCTGAGGAGAAGGTGAAGGCGTCGGGTCAGGCACTGATGGGTTTCAGCCCCAAACCGTCACTCTATTGGCACAGTTCGCTTTTTCGAAAAGAAATGACGGGGCTACACCTGGCGGCGTACTTCGGGATTGAGAAAGTAGTCGCTTACTTACTCCAAAAGGGCGATGACCACCCAGACTCGACGGATGTATACGGTCGAACCCCCTTATGGAACGCTGCCCGTAATGGCCATATAGCTGTCGTTGCGCAGCTGTTAGCGACGAGGCAAGTTGACGCAGGCTTGAAATACGAGAAGAGAGAGACGCCACTATTTTGTGCTGTCCAAAAAAACCACAAAGGTATTGTCAAGCTGCTTCTCAAAGCTGGCGCCAACGTTAACTCAGGGGACATTTATAGCGGGACAGTTCCACTATTGCACGCTGCAAAAAGAGGCTATGTCGCCATCGCTAAGCTACTCCTCGAAAAGAGAGCCGTGGTTGACGTGGAGGATCGTGACGGCAAGACACCGCTATTATGTGCCATAGGATATGGACATGAGACTATGGTTCGGTTGTTACTCGATAACGGATGCAACCTAGAGTCAAAGGATCATCAGCATAACACACCGCTGTCACGGGCAATTGAGAAGGGGCATGTTGCTATTGTTCAGCTCCTACTTGATAAAGGTGCCAACATCAATTCAAAAGGAAAATACGAGTGGACACCGCTATTTTGGGCAATAAATTTGGCACGTGACGCTATTATTCAGTTACTGCTTGATAAAGGTGCCGACTTGGAGTCAAAGGATAACGAGTCCGGTCGAACACCTCTATCATGGGCAGTAGCAGGAGGACATACAGCTACTGTACAGCTACTGCTTGATAAAGGTGCCGACTTGGAGTCAAAGGATAACGAGCCCGGTCGAACACCTCTATCATGGGCAGCAGCAGGAGGACATACAGCTACTGTACAGCTACTGCTTGATAAAGGTGCCAACTCGGAGACAAAGGATAACGAGTCCGGTCGAACACCTCTATCATGGGCAGCAGCAGGAGGACATACAGCTACTGTACAGCTACTGCTTGATAAAGGTGCCAACTCGGAGACAAAGGATAATAAGTCTGGTCGAACACCTCTATCATGGGCAGCAGGAGAAGGACATATAGCCACTGTTCGGCTGCTGCTTGATAAAGGTGCCGACTTGGAGCCAAAGGATAACGAGTCTGGTCGAACACCGCTATCATGGGCAGCATGGAAGGGATATACAGCGACTGTTCAGCTACTGCTTGATAAAAGTGCTGACTTGGAGCCAAAGGATAGTAAGTCTGGTCGAACACCGCTATCATGGGCAGCATGGAAGGGACATACAACTACTGTTCAGCTACTGCTTGATAAAGGTGCCGACTTAGAGTCAAAAGATGAGTTTGGTCAAACACCGCTATTAAATGCAGCGGAAAATGGGCATTCGGATACTCTTCAGCTGCTGCTTGATAAGGGTGCTGACCTAGAGTCGAAGGATGAGTTTGGCCGAACGTCGCTATCATGGGCAGCAAAATATGGACATACAGCTACTGTTCAGCTGCTTCTTGATAAGGGTGCTGACTTAGAGTCGAAGGATGAGTTTAGCCAAACATCGCTATTAAATGCAGCGGAAAATGGGCATTTGGATACTGTTCAGCTGCTGCTTAATAAGGGGGCCGACTTAGAGTCAAAAGATGAGTTTGGCCAAACACCGCTATTAAATGCAGCGGAAAATGGGTATTCGGATACTGTTCGGCTGCTGCTTGATAAAGGAGCTGATATTAACTCTAAGGATAACGACGGGCGGACACCACTATCATGGGTAGTAGAGAATAATCCGTGGGAAACAGATACCGTCCAACTATTGCTTGATGAAGGAGCTGATGTTAACTCTAAGGATAATGACGGGCGGACACCACTATCATGGGTGGTAGAGAACTCTCCTTGGGATACGGATACCATCCAACTGTTACTTGATAAAGGAGCTGATATTAACTCTAAAGACAATGACGGGCGGACACTGCTATTATGGGTAGTAGAGAACTCTCCTTGGGATACGGATACAATCCAACTGTTGCATGATAAAGGAGCTGATATTAACTCTAAGGATAATGACGGGCGGACACCACTATTATGGGTAGTAGAGAATAATCCGTGGGATATGGATACCATCCAACTGTTGCTTGATGAAGGAGCTGATATTAACTCTAAGGATAACGACGGGCGGACACCGCTATCAAAAGTAGCGGGAAATGGACACAAGGCTACCGTTCAGCTACTGCTTGATAATAGTGCTGACCGTAATATTCAAGATAATATCAGCTGGACACCGCTATTATGGGCAGCAGTGAATGGGCATGCGGATACTGTTCAGCTGCTGCTTGATAAAGGAGCAGATATTGACTTCGTAGGTTGGCTGAGCCAAACACCGCCATCACGGGCAGCAGGGAGAGGGCACAACGCTATTGTTTAATTACGGCTTAGCAAAGGCGCTGATAGCATAACTACCTACCTACCTAGGTACCTAGGTAGTGTACTCCATACCTTACATATACTTAAAGAAGAACATAGGTAAATACCTAGGTAGGCAAGATTTCCATAGCGCTTCAACTGACTCTTTCCCTTTGCCATGTGGATACTTCTCTTCTTTAAGGGGGATATCTTTCGAAGTAAGGTGCTCATAAAAATATGTACTCTGCGTAAAATAACACTGAAGTTGCTGTGCTTTGAATTCTAAAGCTGTCAATGAATAAGCCTCGATATGGGACAAGATGCCCTCGCCCCATTGCCCAACGCCACAATCACCTCCTCTACATCTTTATACTCTTCTTTATCTTCTTCACGTCCTTTTCCTTTTCAAAGCTTGGATTTATCCTTCTTTCCTCCCTTCAGACCCTCAGAGATCTGGTTGTTCAGGAGAAAGTCGGGATATGGGACGCCCGCATCCACGCCAACCGTATAGGCTCCTTGCCTTCTCCACGACGCACCATCTACGGGGATGATCTGGCCATTGATGTAGCTGCCGGCGTCGCTGAAGAGGAAAACCGTCGCGTCCGCAATGTCCTTGACGGTGCCGTATCGCCCGGAAGGAATCGTCTTTGCAAACGCCGCAATTTGCTCTGGCTTGCTGCTCGCCAGACGAGCCATGCCCTCGGTCTCGGCAATGGGGCCCGGAGCAATGACGTTGGCCGATATGCCACGAGGGCCGTACTCGAGCGCAACGCTGGCGATGAGTGAGTCCACAGACGCTTTGGCGGCTGCGACGTGGGCCTGGAAGGGCATGCCGGTGTAGTGGAAGGTGGCCGAGACGGCGATGATGCGGGGGGTCGAGCTGCGGAGGAGATGGGGGATCGTGGCCTTGATGGTGTTGTAGGTTCCGAGCACATCAATGTCCATGACGGTCTTGAAGGCGTTGGAGCTGATTCCGTCAATCGAGGCGACAAAGTTGCCTGCCGCGCCAGCACTGTTGGGCCGTCAGTATCGTATTCGTCGATCGAGCAGCTGTACAAAAGAATTGTTCCTCACATTACGAAGTCAATGCCTCCCAACTCCTTGACGCATCGCGCAGCCGCGGCCTCGAGACTCTCAACCTATAGTTGTGGCCATGTCAGCGCTAACTCTGCCTTCTGTCTTCTTTCGCTATCCAGGTCCAGGTCCAGGTACAGGTCCAATTACCTTACGCACGTCGCATTCACCAATGCCAATGACCTTGGCGCCCGGTCGAGCCGTCGCGATATCTTTGGCAGCAGCCTCCGTCTTGCTGGCGTTTCGGCCCAGGATACAGGCATTCGCTCCGAGTCGGACCATTGCTCTGGTCTGCATGCTGCAGATGGTACCTGCGCCGCCGGTGACGAAGATGACCTTGTCCTCTGTCGACGAGCAAAGACTGGGTTAGCCACACGTCTTGTCCCTCCTCTCTATGCGCGGCGACTCACTGAAGATGTTGTCTCGCCATACAGCGCTCAGGTATGTGGACTCGGGGACCGACATGATTGCGACGCGACTTTGCTGCTGGAGAAGGATTGGGGAAATGTGAGAGTACGGTTTGACACTTTGACGCTTGGACAAAGGCGGAGAGGAAGGGGAAATCTGAGACAAAATCAAGAGGCAGAGCGATGGTTGATATTTGTCTGGCCGTATGTGTCGGTCCAACCGGAAAAGAGTGACAATGGCATATGAATCATGGCGATTCGAACAGGATTATGGAGTCCATCTAAGCTTGAGGATCCCCAGATGTACCTGTGCCTCGGCAAGGCGGTAATCGGAGTGGGGCGGGTTTAAAAGCGGCCGCGGCGAAGATGATTAGTCGTAGATTCTGGGGTAAAATCCAGGGCTTTGGTGAGATGAAACATTTTGAGGCTCGGTTTCTTTTGCTTCCGAGTGGTTGGGCTTGGTTTAGAGGTGGTTCCGGGTCCATGTGCTTTTGCCACTGGCGATGATGGAGTTTGTGGGATGGACGGTTGGACGGGAGGTTTGGTGGCGGACGCAGCCATGTGGTTGAACCCCAGCCAGAATTTGCCTCTTGTGGTAATGACAAACATATTGTTAATAGACTAATGTGTCCTATTTTTAAAATGTTATTTGGAATTGCCTCTGCATCGTTGGGGTAACCGAGATCCATTCATACATTCACAAACGCAACAAGGAAGGGGAGAAATATTGTCAGTGCCTAGACACACACACACACTCCCTAATGAAACATGAACGACTCCGAGTATCTAGATACCATGAATGCACAGGACACACCAAGCATCCTGCCTTTGGTTACCTGCTTGCTTTTGGCACGACACTCACCTGACACCGACTTGATGCTGTGTAACACTCTGTCAGGAGTCTCAAGAGGCACATGTGGTTGATGGATGGCCACCATCCAGTCTGCTACAACAGGGTTTTACCTTGTATGATGGCTCGATTATTGATTCTTACTATTCTGTTTATACAGATGCCAGAGCTCGGGCAATCTGTTGACTTTTCCCCCGGGTCCAGCACTGCAAGGCACAGGTAGGCTATCAGAGTCATGGTAGTAACACATTGAGGGGAAGGTAATCAATCCGGTGGGTTTCAAATTGAGTGCTACATGCAAGTAACAGACACAACCCAAAATAAATGCACATGCTAATAATCAGTGCCTTAGAAAGTCCAGCATCGAACCTCAGCCTCTTCTATCATCAACAGCATTCATCGAGGTAGATGCGGGCATTTGCATCGCGAGATAGGTAGGGAGAGACTGACCCTCTCGTTTCACCCACACAACAGGTCCATCTCATCAGCCTTTAAAAAACAATTGCAGTCAATACATGTATTAAGCAAGCGAACAGTCAGCGGAGAAAAAGACATGTAAGAAAAAACAGAGTTCAGCGTGCCTGCATGCATGGACTGAGCTGGCACCGCATGTCTCCGCTTCCACTCGGAAAAAGACACGCAGCCCGCCCAAAAATACAGAAGCACAGGCCTCTGCCAGCCTTATCCCTGCCCCCTACAGTCCAATGCAGTCCACTGCAGTCCACTGCAGTCCACTACGCCTCGCCCTGGCCCTGCTATTCGCCAGCGGATGACAGGCTCCAGCTCCGCGTCCTGGATGACGAACGAAACAGCCTTGCCCATATTTCATCGTGCATCAGAACTAGTACCGTAACCAACCTCTACAGTACACCAGCCAATTTCACCAGCATCCAGCCCCCGCCAGCATCAAATATCGCAAAGCTGCCGACACCACTGCTTCGTGTACACATGTTGGATTGACTACCACCTGTCACCCCTCTTCCGCCTCACTCTGACGATCCCCATTGCCAACGCTTGCGCCGCCCAGCGCTGGGGGGCGCCTCAAGCTCGAGTCGGAGAACATATAGGGAGCGCCAATGACCTTTGCCCTGGGAGAGAATTGGGACGAAAATCGACCGAGTCGCCCTGCTGTTAAGCACCAAGCAATGCCCAACTCGTTGGACCGAGCTGTGCGATTCTCGGGCGGCGGCGACGACGACGAAGGCGACAGGTCCAACCTGGCCATGCAGGGCATGAAGCACTCCATGACCGAAGACGAGGACTCGTCGCCTGAATCCAACGGCGCCGACCAGCACGCCGTCGAGCGTCAAGACGAGCTGGGTTCGATCAGCAGATATGCCGACGCCCCCAACCACCTCACCGGCTCGCTGAATTCGCTCCCCTCTGGGACACACATCAATGGCGGTCCGCCTCCTAAGCGGCAGAGCGCAGGAGAGGCAGACGCGCCGCATCTAACACGCCCCTCGGGCCCCGTGCGAATGCCGTCCAATACATACAACCCTTCCACCTCACGGAAGCCCGGTGCCCCTCAGTCGCAGCCGTCCTTCTCAGAATCAGCGCGATCCTCGTCCAAGACGCGACCGCGACAGAGCGACAGCCGCTTTCGGGCGCAAGAGCGGGCATATGTCCAGACGCTGCGGCAAGGAGGCTACACGGGCGAATATTTTAGCCAGTTCCAGCCACCAACCGGAAATGAATCGGACTCGGAAGGCGAGACCCCGTCGTCTGAGGGCCCCTTCGATGACCGCCTCGACCAAGAGACCATCATGTTCTACGGCAACGATGACATACAGCCGACGGAAGAAGACATCGCAGTTCCCGATAACAGGGAAAGGTTGGAGTGGCACGGCATGCTGGAGGCAGTATTGACGGGAGACGTCGTCCGGCAGGAGAAGAAGCGCCTGATCAACTCTACAGACACCACCACCAGCAGGGCAACCTATAGACAGGAGCTATGGCTCGAACTCCGCGCTGAATCGTGTGGAAGGCGTGTTCCGGTTCAGAAGCGTATGGTGGAGGATGGCCGGGCGAGCGTGGACCGTCTTTTGGACGATGTCGTCAATTTCAAAGTCAAGGGAACCAACGAGGCGGGGAAACCACCCTACGAGCAGGTCAAGGATGTGGTCAAGAAGATTGAAAAGTGCCAGAGCATGTATCCTTCCTGGACAGCCCTCGTGGCGGAGCACAAATCTGCCGTCTCCCCCCAGTTTTTGGAAGCCTACGAAGCCATCATGTCTTGGTATAACACAAATGAGATGATCAACACAGAGCTCGCGATTCTCAAAAAGTGGGTCGGAAACGATGAGTTGATCTTTACTCAGACCAAGCAGCGATCTCCGGCCGTCGACGGCATCGCCACAGACGAGACCTCGTTCCTCGATAAGCTCATGAAGGAAGACGGCCTCCAGTCGCTATACAACGAGAACGCAAAGGTTATACTCAGGGGCGACTTGGTCCAGTGGGGAATGCTGGTGCCGATATCAAACGTTATCCAAAAAGCAAAGGAAACACTGATCCGTAACTCGATCCCTTTCCAGAAACGACACCTGCCGCCTTACCTCGACGAGCTACTGACCCTCATCAGCTTCCCTTCACGCCTGATTGAGGAGATTACAAGAACGCGGTTGGGGTACGCCAAGGAATATGCCAAGAAAGTAAAGGCCACAGCTCAGCAAAACCCGCTGTTGCAAGATCAGATGATCTCCCAGTTTCAGCTGCTGCTGCAGTTTGCCATGAGGATCAAGACTGAATATCTCGAGATCGAGAAACCGGAGCCCGGGTGGGACCTGCCTCCATGCATCGATGAGACGTTCGATGGGGTGGTGCTGGAGGCCCTCAAGTATTATTTCAAGCTGCTCAACTGGAAGCTCACCGGGAATAAAAACACCTTTAAGGAAGCCGAGCTGTTGTTTCAGGAGTGGGACTTTGCCAACGAAATCGGCGGGTCCCTTCAAGGCGGCAATATCGAGGTTGCCGAGCAGTTTAGTTCGCTGACACTCAAGGCCCTCAAACGCCTGAGCACCATGTTCGAAAAGGAGCTCAAAGCCAAGCCCAACGAGAGCGGGCCAGAGATGAGCAAACGGTACAAGGCTGCCTTGGATTCGGTACGCGTCCGCCAGAGGATGCTTCAGCGCTTTTCCAGGATGCTGAGCGCAAACTACGAGCACGCGTGTGACTTTACCATCAATCTGGGAACGGATGAATTGCAGGTGCTTTACGACCACCTGGTGGCGTCGGGCCACTTCCAGGTGGACACGCAGGGTGTGTTTGAGACTCTGGGTCTCTTCTTGATAGCAGCTCCAGAAATGAGGACCAGGCTCGACGAAATCCAAGCCATGCTGGCCATCACCTCTTTGGATCGATTCCCCGACGATGCCGGGGATCGGTACGTCCTCATCATTAAGCCGGAAGGCCGTATTTCATGGATTGGTGAGATCGTGACTGTGCCTGTGCAGGTCAAGGATCAGGATATTGAGATGCAAACCGGGCACGCTCGGCTATGCGCCACGAGAAGCGAGGCCATTGCTAATACGCGGAGAGCTTTCCTTGAGGCCATTGACATGCACCTTGACCTTGCAGTGGAATCGCGGTCCAATATACACAAGGTTAACGCGAGGCTGAGTGAGATTCGCAACATGGCCTTCAAGCTCTCCAATGCCTTCATGGAGAGCGTCGAAACCATCAGGGAGCAGACGAAAGGCAAGGATTGCCAGGAGCTCATTCAAACGTGCTTCATATCTGCCACTGAATTCGGCCAGCGCTCGCTGCCGTACATGGACGCCAATCGCCGGCAGATGAACAACATCCAACTGACGAAGCTGGCGCTCGACTGGGTCAGCTTCATCTGCGATGACTGCGTGGCGTCAGATCGAAGGACATTCCGGTGGGCAGTGCTTGCTCTGGAGTTTGCCATGGGCATGACTCGCGGACGCCACATCTTAGCCCTAGGCCAGGAGGAGTACGAGAGGGTACGTTCCAAGGTTGGCGGGTGTATGTCCGTCCTGATCTCGCACTTTGACATTATGGGGGCGAGATCCAGCCTGGCTGCCCAGGCGGAGAAGGAAAGAATCGAAAATCTTATGAGTCAGTTTAGGAAGGACAAGAACAAGATGCTGGACGATGAAGAGGCCACGCTGGGTGTTACTGAGCAGCGGCTAGAGAAGCTCCTTCGCGTGGACGAGTTTCGGCAAGACAAGGAGGCTGAGCGACGGGCACTGGGTCGCGTGCTGGAGACGAACAACGAGGCCGACCGGTCGCTGGCCTATCTATCGGCGTCGGCAACGAACGTCACGGTACGATGGCAGCAGGGCCAGTTTGTGGGTGGAGGTACATTTGGCAATGTCTACGCCGCGATGAACTTGGACACGGGCCATTTGATGGCGGTCAAGGAGATTCGACTCCAGGACCCCAAGTTGATTCCGACGATCGCCGAGTCGATTCGTGAGGAGATGCGCGTGCTGGAAGTCCTGGACCACCCCAACGTTGTGTCATATCACGGCATCGAGGTGCACCGAGACCGCGTCTACATCTTTATGGAGTTTTGCTCTGGAGGGTCCCTCGCCAACCTGCTAGAACACGGCCGTATTGAAGAGGAAGAGGTCATTATGGTGTATGCGCTGCAGCTGCTGGAGGGTCTCGCCTATCTGCATGAGAGTGGAATTGCTCATCGAGATATTAAGCCTGAGAGTGAGTGTTTTCTAACTACAATCCGATGTCATCTAGCCCAGAGGGAGGAAGCTAACACGAATGGAACAGACATCCTTCTCGATCACAATGGCATTATCAAGTATGTGGATTTTGGCGCCGCCAAGCTGATTGCTCGTCAGGGTCGGACAATGGCCGCCGACCTACACGCGTCAAAGCCAAACAAGTCCATGACCGGAACTCCTATGTACATGTCGCCAGAGGTAATCAAGGGCGATAACCCCGGCAAGGCTGGGTCGGTGGACATTTGGTCCCTAGGATGTGTGATTCTCGAAATGGCGACAGGACGACGGCCGTGGGCCAATCTGGACAACGAATGGGCCATCATGTACAACATTGCCCAGGGTAACCCGCCACAGCTCCCGTCGCCGGAGCAGCTCAGCCCTCAGGGCATCGATTTTCTCACCAAGTGCTTTACCAGGGACCCTCAACAGAGAGCGACGGCAATAGAACTGCTGCAGCATGAGTGGATAATGACCATCAGAAACCAGGTAGTTGAGCCGGCGACACCCAGCGATGCTAGCGGATCGTCACTGTCGCCGTTTGTGTCGGCCACCTCGACCAGGACCAGTATTGGGGTAGACGGATTTTACTAAAGGACGAGGCAAAGTGCGGTTTACGAAGCATGGAGTTTTCTTCCTCTTCCACTCTTCTCTCTATCTTTGGTTCATCCCGGTGAGGGATTTTGGCTTCTTCTTTTTCCGCCTTTGATTCACACATGACGAGATGCAAATGACATGAAACCGTGAAACAAGCGAGCATAACATGGGGGACTAACGGATTTTTGCACGACATTTACTTATTTCTTGGCTTGCTTGCTTTCTATTTCTCTCCCCTTTATTTTCTTATTATTTCAGCAGCTTTACAACAATTATGGGAGGGAAAGGTGACATTTTGCTTCGACGATACCTACACACACAAAGATTGCATCAGGGATGAGAGTCCGGAGTTGGCATGCCATGTTTGACATCTGACAGGCAAACGAAGAACCGGACAGCCTGGATAATGGATGGCGGGAAATTGAAAGGGAAGAGTACGGCTGTTCGAGGAGGAGTGGAAAGGATATGAAGAGTATTTGAGCAAACTACCTGTGCCTGTCGGATGCGGGAAAGAACGGCGACAGAAGCTTTTTCTTTTCCCTTTTTTTTTTTTTTTTTCTTTCTTTTTATATGTTTCTTGGTTCCTCTATTTGAGCGCAAATACATGTTGCGAGGAAGTGGTAGTAGTTGAGAGAGACTCATGAGAAGGACGGTCAAGGGCCAGACAGGCAGAATTGAATACGCGTTTAAGTGGACACTGATTTGCCAATCGAGTATGGAGTCTGAGTACAAAGTACGTAATATGACCAAGAAACTGCCAGCTCAGCTGATGCCACAGTCTGAGACACGATAAGACAGCACCAGACATTGACCTCGCAGCATGGCCCTTATCATATGTGAAGCCAGGTAGCCAGTGCGTACCCCCGGATCAAGACCGCCAAGAGCCCGCCAGCGCAGTGATACGCAGTGATACGCAGCGATAGGCAGTGAAAGGCAGGAGCGGCCGCATTCGGAGGCCAAGCCGGCGCCTGCCGTCGCTGCCATCGCACCTTCCCCCGCCTGCAGCCCCGCATCCACGGCGTGTTCCGGTGTGGGCAAGTGGGGACCTCACCAAGGGGAAAGAGCGTCCCGGATCGATAAATCTCAGCCCGATGGACCTTTTTTTTTCTTCTCCTTTTTTCTTCCCTTTTCTTTCTCCCCGGGCGATCTAGAGAACCCCCCTTCGAAGCGTTTGCTGAGGAGGTAACAATTATTGTGCTTTTGATTTTGATTGAATCCCAACAAGTGACTGGCATCCCTATCGTTATTCTTATCTATCCAACCAACCGAGTAAAAACAGCTCCTCCCCCCTTATCCAACATCCAACATCATGTCCAGCCCACCGCCCATCCACTCCGGCGCCGACGCGGCCCAGATCGCGTCCACCTGCGCGTCGCTCAAGATCACGACGACCGAGTTCGCGGAGCTGCAGAAGCGCGCGACAGCAGCCAAGGCCACTGCGTACTGCCGCTACAGCCGGTTCCGCGTGGGCGCGACGCTGCTGTGCGCGGACGAGGCGGGCGACGTGGTCTACGTGCCGGGCGCCAACGTGGAGAATGCGTCGTATCCAGTCGGGACGTGCGCCGAGCGGGTGGCCTTTGGCACGGCCGTGACGAGCGGCATCAAGACGTTCCGCGCCATTGCCGTGGCGACGGACATCAGCCCGCCGGCTAGTCCCTGCGGCATGTGCAGGCAGTTGTGAGTCTATTTTCTTTCTTTCTCTTTCTTTCTCTTTCTTTCTCTTTCTAGTTAGACGGTGATGGTTGTTGTGGTGTTGTTCGGCTGGATCTATGCAAGGGATGGCGGGACAGCGGGACAAGGAGGCGGGAAAGATAAAGAACAAGTTTAGGGGCACGGGAAGCACAGAGGCAGCGTGAGACAGGCGGCGTCATCAAAAAAAAACTAACCGGTTGGCTGGCAGCATCCGCGAATTCTGCACTATGGAGACCCCCGTCATCATGTTTGACAAGAACTCGGACTATGCTGTCCTGACAGTGGAACAAGTGAGTCTCTCCCTTTTTGCAAACAGCCCCTGCAGCTCAGACATTGTGCCTTGCTTTTCCGCTTCCGCCTCTGCTTTTTCGCAGCACATGCACGGTAAGCCGTCGTGGAACAAAGCGACCAGCTGGCAAACCACGGCACACCAGCACCAACCACCATTGGGCTAACACATCTCGTCCCTTGCAGCTCTTGCCCATGTCGTTCGGTCCAGATGCTCTCCCGCCTCCTGGCGCTCCGGGATATTGACATGTCTCGGCCGTGCGTGGCACTATTGAACTTGTTGCAGCTGCAAGGGATGCCGGGGAAGGGCGGATGGAACGACAGAGTGGCGGCGGTGTCACAAGTCTAATTTAATGACAATGCATGAAGGGGAGTTTTATCTGGTGGATTTGGTTGTGGATATTGTTTTCATTTGAAGTAGGACAGGGTCAATACAACATAATGCATGTCTTGAAAGACAATTTCCACAATGCGTTGACCGGACGCAGGGGAACATGAGACTCGTCACAAGGTGTTTGATACAGGCCCTTTGTATTTGTTTCTGCTAAGAGGGGGAGAGAGAAAGAAAGCAAGTAAAACGATCCCGGTCAGGATACAGCAAAATTGGTCTTGGTTCGGGGGCAGCGTACAGGTTACATGAAAACCAATCTTGAACGAATCGAAAGAAGAGCAAAGAAACCCAGAAAATAAAGTACCCTCATTTCATCCATCCACACATCCCAATCTGGTCGTTGATCCTGTTCCCGTAAACCCTCCCTGTGCGTGTTCAATGCTGTACTTTGTATGTAAATATCGTATGTATTATCTATGTATTTCAAAAAGAGGAAGAAGGTGAAAAAAAGAAAAAAGAGGCGGCACCGCACAACATAACTGCCCATGTCACGTCTTGTTGCTTCTCATTAAATTGCTTCAATCCACTTCCAGGCCGTGTCTTGTCTTGGCGAAATGATGAATCTCTTACATTACACCTAGCAGTCGTCGTCGCCATCCCCATCGCCACCATTGTTGTTAGTATCAGAGGGGCCGGGACCGGCGGGGCCAGACGAGGATGCAGACCCGGATGATGTGCGTGGCAGGGTTGAAAACGTTGTGGGGACGTTACTGGATGCGCTCTGTGTGCTAAAGGTAGTGACAGGGGGAATTCCTCCGGTGGATCTGGTGGACGAGGCCCCGGAGCCAGGAGGAGTTGGCTGGTCGTCGTCGTCGTCACAGTCATCATCGCCGGGCGTTGGAGTCCCAGTGGGATTACCAGGAGTGCTTGAATCGCTCGATACAGCATTAGTGGGAACAGTGGCAGTGCTGGAGGAAACGTGGTCGTTGAATGCCCCTCCAGGCACAGAGAACGAGGAGCTGGAGCTGATGGTAGGAGTGGGCTCAAAGGGAACGACACTGGTTGAGGAGGCAGTGGTGCTGCTTGCGGAACCGCTGTCCGTGGGATCACAGTCATCATCGTCAGTGGGCACAGCAGATGTGGAGCTCGCTGTGTTGGAGCTTTGTGTGCTCGAAGCTGATGTTGAGGACAAGGACCCGCCCGAAGAGGTGCTGGACTGAGCGCCAGAAGTGGAGCTCCTAATAAAAGAGGTCTCAGACGACGACGACGAACCTCCAGTGATAGAAGAGGAAAAGGATCCGGTAAAGGACGAAGCGGTACCCGAGGTGGAGGACGCGGCAGAGGTGGACGAGGTGGGTTCATCCGTTGGGTCGCAGTCGTCCGTGTCAGTGGTCACTGAGCTGCTGGCCGGGGGGGTGGTTGAGGAGGAGCCCCCAATGGATGTCGACGATGTCACGAACTGGCTGCCTGGGGGACTCGAGGAAGTGGTGGAGGAGGCGGAAGAGGTAGACGAGGTGGCGCCTGTCGTGGTGGAGCTCACGAAGCCACTGTTGCTGGGGTCATCCGTTGGGTCACAGTCGTCCGTGTCAGTCGACACAGAGCTGCTGGCCGGGGGAGCAGTTGAGGTTGACGATGTTACGAACTGGCCGCCTGGCGGACCTGAAGAGGTAGTAGAGGAGGCCGTTCCAGAAGTGCTGGCTGAGGTGGTAGACTGAGTAGACGACACACCACCAGAAGTGGTGGAAGAAGCGCCATTTCCAGGAGGTCCAGTAGACGACACTCCGCCAGAAGTAGTAGAGCTCACGAAGCCACTGTTGCTGGGGTCATCCGTTGGGTCACAGTCGTCCGTGTCAGTCGATACAGAGCTGCTGGCCGGGGGAGCAGTTGAGGTTGACGATGTTACGAACTGGCCGCCTGGCGGACCTGAAGAGGTGGTGGAGGAGGTAGACTGAGTAGATGACACTCCGCCCGAAGTGGTGGATGAAGCACCATTTCCAGGAGGCCCAGTAGACGATACTCCGCCCGAGGTAGTGGATGAAGCACCATTTCCAGGAGGTCCAGTAGACGACAATCCGCCCGAGGTGGTGGAGCTCACGAAGCCACTGTTGCTGGGTTCATCCGTTGGGTCACAGTCATCTGTATCAGTCGACACTGAGCTGCTGGCCGGGGGGGCAGTTGAGGAGGAGCCGCCAATGGATGTCGACGATGTCACGAACTGGCCGCCTGGGGGACTCGAGGACGTTGTGTAGGACGTAGACTGAGTAGACGACACGCCGCCCGAAGTAGTGGAAGAACCGCCATTTCCAGGAGGCCCAGTAGACGACACCCCGCCTGAAGTTGTGGAGGATGCACCATTTCCTGGAGGCCCAGTGGACGATGAGGCACCGCTGCTCACAGTGCTAGAAGAAGTCAAGAACTGGCCGCCTGGGGGTCCCGAAGACGTCGACGAAGCAGTACCAGAGGTGGACCCAGAAGAACCACCCGGGGGTGTGGACGACGACGCAGTGCCTGACGATGCAGTACCCGAAGTGCTACCAGAATTGGTAGAACGAGTAGACGATCCTCCTGGAGGAGTAGATGAGGCACCAGGAGGTCCTGTCGTCGAAGACCTGTCGCTGGTAGAGGCAGACGAGGTCACAAACTGGCCACCTGGGGGACTCGAAGAGGTCTTGGAAATGTCAGAAGACCACGAAGACGTGAATGGGTTACCAGGTCTGCTGGAGGTCCTCGAGGTAGAGTGGCTGGGCAGGATGTAAGTCCTGCTGGAGCTGATACCAGGACCGGTGTGGTAAGTGCTGTGAGAGTGGGAATCAGAATGACCAGGGGGGGTGTAGGGTGGCACAACGTATGGGTGAGTGATGGTCACGGTCGTGGTCTTGTGCGTTGTTGGGGGATTCCCGTACGGGTGGCTCTCATGAGACGAGGGTCCCTTATAGGGAGGCACCGAGGATGGCGGTGGCTTCCCAGTGTGATAGTGGGTGGGAGTGACATAGATGGTCGTCTCAACAGTCAGCGTGGTTGTCGTGATGATGCTGAGTGTAGCGCATGTTGGCAGTGGGATGTACTTCTTTTCCAAGAAGCCCTTGGCGACCTGATCAATGGCTTCTGGTCCCAGCTATTCATGACATCCATTAGTGACATTGTTCATAATGACACAGCACATCACTGTACATACCTTGTCGCTCTGTGCCTGTGAAGAGGCATCCGCCATGGATAGCAGCCCAGTGGCTGCAACGAATGTGAGAAACCGCATATCAACTTGTTCTAGGCTTTCAGGATAAAACACAAAAAGATTGAATTAAAAAGAGGGGTCAAAGAAGAAAATTATAAACAATCTCAGATACTTGGGGGAAGAATATATAAGGAGCGGACGGCCTGTCAAGAAATTATGCCGGGAGATGTTCTGGACTTGGGTCCAACTCTCTCGGCACGAGATGGAAGACCCAAGATTTATATCACAAATCCCAGCCCCTGCATGAGAACAATATGAATCTGGAACCCAAATAAGACCCTCGGGATGAGCCCTTTAGAAGCAGGGAGCCTATCGGATGGGGAACCGCGTGCAATAATCCATTCACGGCGTACAAGTAATCAGCCACAGCTGCAGATGGAAGGGAAGCAAGGGAGAGACTTCGCCCTGCTTGGGCCCCCAACCTAGGAAAGACACTGATAATCAGGGGAACGGTCAAGTCAACACCAAGGGAACACCACAAGAGGGGATTCACGTGTCAGGGAGTCTGAGATTTCACGAAACAAATTGATTCATTGTGCCATAGTCTGGCATAGCTTTTTCTGTGTGTTCTGAGCGTGGCTACTCTGCCCAGGGCAGATGTGCCATTGAAAGTCCTTGTTGTAAGACGTAGATATGCAAAAGGGTATCCGGACCAGAGACACTCTCATTTTAAACGCCCGCTGCGTCCCTGGTCGTACAACAAAAACAAGAGTGGGTTTAAAGAAAATTGTCCATCAAAAGAGGTGCGGGAGAAAGCAATATGCATAAGTGTGTGTATGCGCCAATTTCCGAAATGTCACAATGCTCGTGTCCCGTGCGCCTGGAAAGTCAAGTGAAACAAAATGACCTTTCCGTACCAAAACCTAGTAAAAGAGAGAAGAAGAAGGAGAAAGGGGATAAAAACAAAACCAAGTCTGCGCACGCTCATATGCAGTGTCATTCATAATTTCAAAATTGCCACCGGGGCATGCATTCAGTCCTCCCAGATCGTTTCCAGGTCAATGTCGCCACGCCGCTCAGCACCGCAGACGCTCCACCGCTTCCGCTTGTCTTTGGAGCCAAAAGCCATTGTGCGACCACGAGCGGGCAAATCTAAGCTGCCCCGTCCCTTTGCATCCGATGCGTCCCCGGCCTCCGTTATCTCAGCCGCAGCCTTTAACTGGGCCTGCTTTTCAGCTTCAAGTGCTGCCTCCTCAGCATCAGGGGAGTCCGGGATGGTTTCCAGACTCGAGATACTGGGGCTGCGCGACCTCAGCGATGTCGGCGTCGATGGTACAGAGGAAAGGGCCCCATAACTGCTGGAGAAAGGATCATATGCTCTATAGAGGGATGACGAGCTGGAGGTTGGCGTGCTGGGCAAAGTCGGGAGAGACCCAGTACTTGACTGGGAAAAATTTCGAATCGGCGACGAGGTTCTGCGTACTCGAGTCAATGTGCCATTGGTTGAGACACCGAGTACAGGAGAGCCGCTCCTGTCGGCAGGTAGTCTGTCGTGGTCAAGAACTGACGTCCGTACTGGAGACGTCATAGGAAACGACTCATCCACTGGTTTCCGCGGCGTGCGGACTCTGCTAGGAGATTGCGCTGGACTGGCTGGGCGGAATTGCGGAGAGTAGAGCAGGTGGCCCGAGCCAGTGACACCGGGCATGGACTGTGTACGGCCCATGGGCGCGGCGCCAATGCTAGCAGCGGACCGTGAACGAACATGAGTGCTACCAGAGAGGGGAGAAGTAGTCCGGGGGCGATACGGAAGAGCGACCATAGGGGTCCATGAGAAGGCGTTTGTAGATGTTGGGCTTGGGTCTGTGCTCCGCCGCAGGTTGGGTGGTTTTCTGGCCGCGTCAAAATCGAGTGTTGAAAGAGTATGCGACCCGTTGAGACGAGCCTTGGCTGATGGAACGGTGCGAAACTCCTCCATGCGCTCCGTCTCAGGAACGGGCTCCATCTTGACGGCCTTTCGAGAGTTGCATACGGGGGTGGCTGCGACGAAGAGGAGTGCGAAGTAACGTTGCCGGTGAAGACGAGGTAATTACACAGCAGAAACACGAAAGCGAGGATGGCGAGAGAGAAAGGAAGAGCTGTGCGAGAGGGTGCTGGTCGGATTTGTCGTGATTTTTTGACTTGAGGCTGAGGTAAAGGATCAACTCGGTGGAGAGTAATGCGGAGGGTATCAGGTAGTTGGATATGAATCAGCGCAACAGGGCTGACACAGCGTGCGACGACCTGAGGAGTTGACGTCTCAAGAGCGCCCGGACGTCGAGCGACAGTCAAGAGTTGCAGCCGGTGAGCGCAACGGCAATGGCGGCGGCCCGACCTTTTTACAGGTTGTCAAGGCCAGCCGACATTCCTGTCTCCTGAGACTGGTGAGGCCAGGGGTGGACAAAATAAACAGCGGCCTCTGCGCCCTGCCACGGTAATTCCTGAGCGCGAGCCGGACCGGGAAAACCGCAGGCCTGAGTCCGAGATAGCCGGGCGATGCAGCGAGACGCAGGCGAAGACGAAGGACGACGATGCTGAGAGAGGAGGAGAAGGAAGAAGACGGAGAGGAAGAGAAAGACGACGAAGACGACGCTCCGAGTCGGGATTATGGAGGGGAGAGAGGGAAAAAAAGAAAGCGCCCCCTCAAGGGTCCTTCTTGTTGACGTTGTGCCAGGAAAGAGCCGTCCAATTCGGCTGCCTGTATCGAGCAGGTGGGCGTCTACCGATTGCCTGTACAGGCGGTACCGCGCCAGCCACTGGCCGTTGCAGGGCTCGCATGTCGCCTTTCGTCACTGTCTAGCGTGGCGCGGAGAAGGCGCGCCACTGGAAGCCCGCCGTCTTTCTGGGCCTCTTCCACCGCTAAACGGCCAACCACGGGCAAGTCAGTGCGCTGTGCGAGGCCCCTAAAGGACTAAAGGACTTAAGGACGCTCCCCGACATTTCGACCTGCAAAACGGCGCCTCTTTCAGGCCGTGCTAATGCAAGCTCCATGTACATGCCACATGCAGCCAGGTGCGTGCATCGGCCATGTACCTCATGCTGCTCTTCTTCCCCAACTTCCCCATGCAAGCCGTTGGACTGAGCTCATCCCGCCAATCAGTCGAGCCCAGAGCATGACTCGACTCATTGCTTCCGCTGCAAAAAGACGCTGAACTTGTCCATCTACTGTACAGTACATCGACATGTTTGCTTAAATCGAGCCCTGTCAATAAACGGAAAGAAAAATCGAAGAAAAAAAAACCTGGTGACATCCGCGCCCATCCCGCCACCGAAAGGGCGACGGACGGAATTTGCCTAATTCACTCGGCGAGCATAATATCCTCATCCAACCGCCCAATGGCCTGAGCTAGCGATACTAGCCTGCGGCAGGATGGAACTCGCCTTGACTCGCTGCTGGACAGTAGGGCGTTGACCCCCATCAAATGCCAGTAGTGCTCTCTTCACCGACAAGGTGCCGTTTAACTAAACATGACAAAATTGCTGCAACAGGAAAAATCAATCAAGCTTGAAGTTGCCACTACGGACTGCCCGGCTTCCGCAAACCGGGGCCTCTGCCGCTTTTTGCGAGCAGATGCGAAAGAAAAAAAAAAAAAAAAAAAACACCTTCCGAGCTTGTCGCCGCCGTCTTACTCAGCTAGCGTGATGGAGGCGTTAAGGAAAAGAAGGAAAGAAGTAAATGGCATGGAAGGAATATGTCAAGCCCTTTCGGCGATATAGTGGCGCGCCTTTTTTTTTTTCTCTCCTCTCCCTCCAACTTTTTGCTAGCCTCTTGTCAATCTTGTCAATAGATGTCATCGTGCCGGCAAAAGGTCCCTTAGCGGATCGTGGCTGATCAAGGCGGTAAGGCTTGCACGTGTAAAACAAATGACGCGCCTTTGCGGAGCGGAACAGAGGGTGCTAACATGTAAGGCATGGGCAATGCAAAGAGACCAAGATACTAAAGCTACCAAGTTAGTAGCCTGTAGCTCTCTGCAAGACATTGCTACTAGACTACTGACTGCCGTAGAGCTCACCGATACGCGGAGAAGTGGGCAACAGAGAGGAGGTTCGGTAAAAAAGAAAAAAAGAAAGAAAAAAAAGTAAAAGTATTTGCGGATTACCCAACTCTACTCCGTTCGCAGCGAATAAACCTCCCATTGGCGCAACCAACCACATCTCCAACTACAACTATCGCCAAAAGGTTGTTAACAAACTAATTTCTTCATCGTAAAGATATCAACCGTTTCACAACTAGGTATACGTTTATAAGTTGTCACCAAATCTCAAATTGATAGCCGAGATTTGAGAAGTGGCTACCCTGTAGCTGTAAATAAAACTTGTGGGCAAATGCAACGTTATAGTATTGAGAGGCAAAATGACGCAGCAAACAGAGCAATGTGTTCAAAGTAAGGCAGTATGGTTTATTCGATATCCAAGTTTACGGCATAAGAATGCTTCTTCGTACTTATGCTCTCTGCTGGTTGGTGGCATTTCGCCAACCATCCCTCCACCAGCGAAGAGCGGCATGATTGATATTATCTATATGACAGCTTCATCATATTTCCTGCACACTGGAATCTGAACCGAGTGACGGAATCAAAATAAGACGCTATGATAGCTCGACACTACAAGCCAATCCATTAACTCATGGCATCTTCCAGCTTAACATCATCTTGCCGAATTGGTAGCTCTCCCTGGAGCACTCCTTGACTTGGAGGCTTCGACTGACTTCTCATCCCGTTTCCGTTTACCTCGCCAGACTGCTTGATATGCCGATACACCCTGACCGAGCCATCCTGCCCCGCAGTCGCCATCGTCTCTCCGTGGACATCCACCCAGAAGCACACACCCTCATGACCATGCACTCGCTGAAGCACTTCCTTGTTCTTGACGTCCCATAGTATAACATCTCCATCCTCGCTCGCAGAGGCAATGAATGCCTCGCCATCGAGGACGCCAAAACAACCACCAATAGCGAAACTCTGGTTACAATGACCTTGATATGTCTTCTTGACACTGCCCGAAATATAGTCCCATAAGCGAATGCAGTTGTCGAGGTTGAACGCAAGAATAAACCGGCCGTTGGGAGAGAAACAGACGTTGGTTACAGCCGGGTTGTCTTCATGGACTAGAGTCCGCAAGCACTGACCGGTCGATGTGTCCCATACACGGCTTGACAAGTATTAGCATATTTCATCTCAAATTCGTATGCACACAGGATACACAAAACTCACATCAACCCGTCCGTTGAACAGCTCACGACCAAAGTGCCATCACGACAAAAGTCAATGCCTGATACAGGGTCGCTGTGGGCGGGGAGACTCCTCATCAACCGTCCAGCCCGTACGTCCCAAAGGAATACAGCTTCGTCATAAGACCCACTGGCCAAAATGTTGCCCTTTGGTGAAAAGGCCAAGCAGTGAATGTAATTGTGATGTCCTCGCAGCGGCGCCATCTCCTGGCCTGCCGATTTCCGAGCCGTCGTCTTCGGTCGCCCTGTGACTCGATCCCATAGCCGGATTGCCTTGTCATCGGAGCCGCTCGCCAGTGTGTTGCTGTCCGGAGTCCACGCCACGCAGCTTACGCCAGCCATGTGGCCAACCAATGTGTCCATATGAGCCCCCGTGGCGGCATCCCATATCTTGACAGTCGCGTCGGCGGACGCAGAAGCGATGAAGCGGCCATTCGGGGAGATGCGAACCTGAGAAACCGCCTTGGTATGTCCGCGGAGCACTAGGCGCGCCCTGTAATTGGGCCTGAGCGGCTCTCTCGGAGGATTGAGCTGTTGTGGTTCTGGAGAAGAGGATTCTGATCTCGACTGGGTTGTAGACGTGGGCGAGCGTGAGCGGTGTCGAGAGCGAGGGGTTCTTGAGGGAGACGGTGTCGAGTGGACAGGCGAGTGTGAGCGCGTCCTCGATCCGGAGCTCGATGCTGATCGAGACCGACGAGCCAACTCCGAGGGAGGCCGCGATGGCGACTGCGACCGAGAGAAATCGTTGAGATATTGCGCCTTGGTTGGGCTCTGGCTCAGGCCACCGCCGCGCTGCGACACTCGTCTAGGCGGGCGGAAGTCGTCTGGATCCCCCGCCAATACATCGGGAGAGCTCGACCGCGGAGACGGAGTATCGCCGGTCCTTCGTCGTTTGTATGGCGGAGGCGTGTCCCTCGCCAGCTCGTCGGGAGAGCTCATGGTTGACGTTCTGGAGAGGACGAGGCTGAAGCTTAGGAAAGGCTGGCCAAGAGCAAGGAAGGCTTTGGGATTTTTTTGTGGGCCCGGTCGCGTCACAGGGATTTGCATTTGGAAACAGCCACGAGCATCCGAAGTACGTACCTTTTTGCATAAGGGGGAGCGGCACTCCCGTACGGGAACAGGGTACAGGTATAGAATTCTCTCGCATTCTCTGGAGATGCCCCCGATGGAATATTCGCGTAGAATTATTTACATACAGCTACCTACCAAGGGGTTGGCTCATTGTACTCGTGCGTACGGACAAAGGCATAGAGCTACCCAAGTAGCAAGGAGCAAGCAATAGCATACTCGTAAGTGTCAATCTGATGTGTTAAGACACTCGCCTACAGAGCGCAGCTTGAACCTTTGCTGCCCATGTCTTGGCAGATGGGTCGCCATTGATCTCAGATCCTAGGCCGCATGTGACAAAAGAGTTGCAGGGTATATCGATCTGACGGTGCAGATTCTGGAAAGCAGATAAAATTGTCTCCCTGCACCTCTACAGTATGGATGATGACGAGGCCCAGCATTTCCTAGGATGTTCGTAATGCTGCGAAGGCGGCGTTTGCCGTGAAACAGCCCCGTGGTTCTAGAGCATTGGCTTTGCCCCTGACAGGTCCCTATCATTCATCTTGACGAGTACCTACACACTATTGGCATTCGATGCAAAAAAAAAAAAAAAAAAAAAAAAAAGATCCAGGATCCTCGGGTCGTATGGATCAATATTACATCAGCCTTAAACCAAATATTGATCAATGGTTTTCCCGTCGGAGACTTGTGCGAAAAACTAATCGTGGTTATTCCAACTCATACGGCGTGCGTGCCATGAGAAAGAAGGTTATACCTTAATTGAGTGCTTTTTTCTCCATCCCCTTCCTGCTCCTCGTATTAGTGCCTGCAGTTCGAGCCTGAGGAGCGGATGCCGCTAATGGAATTCCGTCCAGAGGGTAGCGAGCAGTCGAGTAGTGTTGCAGATAGATGTCTCTCATCAGCTGGACCAACCGTCAATTCTTTTTGGATGGATCCGTTGAGTCATGGAACAAAGGGTGGCGTCTAGGCTTTGCTTCTAGAAGAGGCGGAAAGGAAATGAGCTAGGGAGCACGACAATAAGGTGCCGCCATCTTGCATTCGGGGCTGGCAAAGATCTTGGCAACGATGAATGCCGATGGGCATCCACCACCTGCCTGTCTGAGGGGAAAAAGGGCTTACGAGCTGCCATTTTCTCGAGATAAAATCGCAAAACCCCCGAAGCGACGGGGCACGATGCATGTGCGGTACTCTAAGCTCGGAGTACAGTATGAGCACTCGTACGAGTACGTACACGTAGCACCTCACTCTTTGCACACCGCCCCTCCTAAATTTCGGCGAGTACCCGAAGGGTTCTGGTGATGAAATGAGGGCTCGGACGGGGATGCTGTTCCGCATGCCGCCATTAAAATGAGAGGCGAGGAGAGGAGAGCATTTGCGCGTTTGCTGTGACGGCCTGCATGAGTGGTTGCAACGCGCCGGCGAATCGCAGCGCGAGCTGGCAGCGCTTCAATGCACCTCAGCTTTCTGGGCTAGCGAGGGGCGTTCGATAGCCTGTGAATCGGGCATTTCCTATTTTAGCAGATGGATCAGCGTGAATCCAGGCACAGGCACAACGGCTGTCAGCGGCGAATCACTCACTGTAACCTGCGGGGGGATGGAGCTGGCTAAAATGGCCCCGGAGAAGCCACTTATGCATTGATCTTACTATAGTCGAACAAGCTTCAAGGTTTGCTGCTTTGAAAGCGACTACAGCAGCTTAGTTCTAAGCATAGCCATGAAAAAAAGGGCCTGGTCTGGGAGAGACACAGGGATCCCGTTGCGACACGCACGCCACACGAGCCGCAAATTGAGTGCCAGCGCTTACTGGACAACACTGGACATGAGCTGGAGCTTGAAGAAGGCATGGGCGGTTGAGTGAATGAAGGAGAAGCGCAGAGAAGCTTGGACTTGCTTCTGCGGCACTCACACAGTCACACTTTAATTACCAGCCGCTCCGACGACTGGGATGGCGGGATTGTGCCTCGCGAATCACCTAGTCTGGACGCCACGGCGGTCTGAGACAGATTCTTCTTTAGCTGAGAGAAGCTGAATGAGAGCTGAGGTGTGTGATTGAGGCTGGCCCTTTTAGCGCTGGCGAAACAAGCATAAGCAAACAGCGATTGAGGAAAATTAGAGGCTTGAGGGCTAGAGTTGGCAGCATCGCACATGGCAGGGCTCGTCTTTCATCATCGACTCGACGAGGGCAAATTCCAGGCCGCTATTGCGCGATATTCGATAACGGGCCGGTTCCAGCAGCGGCTGTTGGATGCATGGATGGATGGATTGCGACGAGAATTTTTTTTTCTCTTAGGTATCAATGCGTCAACGGGTAATAGCCAAGGCAGCAAGCCTAGCCACATGAGTGAATGCGGCATCCCATACCAGCCAGTATCACGTCAGTCATTTACTCATTTACTCACCTCGGCCAACAACCAACCAACAACAACAGCAACAACAGAAGAAGCACGAGCAAAAGAACCTTTGCAACTCCCGTACAGTCCGGTTCGAGCAACCGTCCATACCATACAAGTAAAGTAATAGCTTCGGAGTACGAGTACAGGTACAGACATAGAGCACGCCTAGCCAACGTGACGTTGGACGGGGAATGGAGCCCGTGCTCGTCTCGTGGCCTGGCGATACGGAGCAATATCTTGCCAGACCGAAGCCAGTTACGAGCCGTGAAATAACCTGGCTCAGCCCTGTCTGCACCTCATCGCTAGCAGCCAATCAGCAGCGCGCGCCAGCAGTGTAATTTGCTTTTTTGCCCCTGACGGCCGGCGCCCCGCTTTTGCCGGCCTGGTTGCAGATACGTGGTTCGTCACTTTGCTGGAGGGCTCCTGCAGGAACAGGAACAGGAAATGGTACCAGACAGGACGTCTCCATATCCCAGTTGAGGCTAGAGGGCTAGCTCCAGCAAGCAATGCCCCCTTAGCCCTGGCTCGGACCATGCACGTACAGGTACTGACTGGCCTTGGTAAGTGCTGGGTATAGTACCTAGGTAGTGACTCGTAGCTGTACGCCATGGTCTCATTGCGAGGCAATCTCACGATGGCTGCACCTTATCACCAGGTACGGCATTATCTCTACCACTGTCTCATAGCTACGAGTATACTGCTGCTCGTATTACTGGTATAGAAAAGGACTTACCATTTATTCATAGCACTTGGTGGCTGGTTTCAATCAATCGCATGGGACGGTAATTTCCTGTGCTGCGATGCTGCAATGCGCTATGCATGTGCCATTGATTCGTTTGCTTCCTCCCAGCCAGCAGGGGCTCGGCCAGTCCAGTCCACGCCAAAATTCGCATCCACTTGCGCACAGCTCGCCTAGCCGCGCTATTGCGGACGCTGGGATCAGTGGCTACGAGGCCATTCCATCAGTGCCTGTCCGCTGTACTGTACCTAGACCCGTACTTGTAAGCAGCCTGTGAGCGAGTGCGTGTGCCGGGCGTCTGGCGCAGAGCAGAGCAGGGGGGGTGCGTCTCTGCCTAGGCCCTCATGAAACGCTCAGGTGCTCGTGCTTATTATCTCACCTCTCCCCCATTCCATCCACCTGTTTCTTTTCTTGTTTCTCCTTCACCCACACTCAGGCTCAGCCGCATAACGCTCCTTTCAGCTTTTGCATACCAGTCATTCTTTTGTCTTTACGACAACCACACTCTTTTTTGAACCATTTTCATTCATTCTTCCTTTCACCCCAAGTAACTTCTTTGTTCAACTTCACTTCGCCAAAATGCGTTTCACTCTGACTGTCCCTGCTTTCCTGGCTCTGGTCTCCTCGGCCTTTGCCCAGACTGCTGACTTCGACCCCATCAACGTGCCCACCAGCAACGAGGTCATCACTTCCGGTGCTCCCTTCACCCTTGAGTGGGAGGTTCCCGCCAAGTACGCCTCCAACACCATCACCATCGAGCTGATCGGAGGCCCTACCCAGGCCACCCAGCAGGTTCTCGGAACAATTGCCAGTAAGTTGATGTTTTCCAGAGCCCAGCTGCTCTACTCGGTTGCTAACTTGGCCAACTAGCTGGTGTTCAGAACAGCGCCAAGACCTTCGTCTGGAACGTTGACGCTTCCCTGGGCACTCAGGCTTTCTATGGCCTCATCTTCCGCTCCGAGCAGGACACCTCTGTCTTCCAGTACTCCAACCCCTTCCACATCAAGGCTGGAAGCGTCAAGGCCAGCTCCTCTGCTCCCTCTGGACCTGCCCACACCTCCTCCTCTGGCGACTACGGCAACCTCCCTCCTGCCCACACCTCTGGCAGCTACGGAAACCTCCCCCCTGCGGACACCACCACTGTCACCACCTCCACTGGTGTCAAGACCGTTACTCTGGCCACTCAGTCTACCAGCGAGGCTCCCGTCTACACTCCTCCTCCTGTCTACACTCCTCCGGCCGTCACTGATGTCACCGTCATCCTGAACGCTACCACCACTGTTCCTTGCCGCAACTCCACTGTTGCTGCTCCCACCACTCTGCAGAGCGCCACTCGTCTGCCTCCTCCTCCTCCCAGCTCTCCCATCTACGTTCCTCCCGGTGTTCCCACCACTACTGGTTACGCTGCTCCTTCTGCTCCCTCCGCCCCTGCTGTCACCTCGCTGCCTCCCATCCCCACCAGCGCTGGTGCCCGCGTTGGCGGCAGCGCTCTGGCTCTGATTGCCTCTCTGGCCGCTGCTTACTTCGCTCTGTAAGCGGGAGATTATGTGAGAGATGTACGGAGATTTCGGGTTTAATCGGATTGCTGTGGTTTTGACGCCAATTTCAGTTATGGGAGCCAACAGCTCTGGTTTTTACAGTTGATTGCACATATTTTTTACTTGGAAAAGGAGAAGAAGATTGGTTCCGGTTTTGAATCTATCTAGATATATTGCGGTGCCCGACGTCTGTTTTTTTACGGAACCATGTCGTTTTCAATGTAGGATACCTAGCGCCTGCGTGTTAATAGATTGGTTCTTTCTTAATTGATAATGATTTTACGAGTTTGCTCTTCTTCTACCAGCCCATGTTGTCGCCATGTGAAGTTACAAGCCAATATAGGACTCTGCCTCATGTAATCGAAGCTTGATAGATAGCAAGTGCTCATTGCAATTCTCTTGGAGCCAATGGTGGATTTCCCACCGAGGCTACTACTGGATGAGTATTACAGTAAGCGACGATCTCTCCTCTCCCTAGTGATGAGACATGGGGAGCGGTTGAGCGGCTATATGCTAAAACGCATGACATGGGACGGGACCGGTTGTTTTGGCGATGAACGCCTCAACAAGGCAATTGATCTACGCTCCAAGACAATGACGCATGATGAAGAGACATTCGCCCTGCTTGTGAGATCCATCATGTTGTCTCAGACATTGCGACATGATCCAGCGGCATCCCTTGCTTGTGTCTTTGCCATTATCTTCACACTGCTAATTAGGGATATCAGGGACGTCATGATGAGTACCTCAGCACGCATCAAAGTTTGTCCTCATAGTTAAAACTGACCACCAAATGCAAGGGCGGTACAAAAGGGGGTTGTGTGTGTTTTTTTTTTTTTTTTAACCGACCTGCCTCAGTTGGCTTAACGCAGGAACGTCGCGCCGCGTTGCGCGCATTACATTGGTGCGCCAAAATGGCGACGTCGCAGAGAGGCACTGGTGTAGTGTGTGCCTATTTTTGGGTTGACTGGTACCTGTGTTGACCTTTTTTTTTTTTTTTCTCCCGTCAAATTTCTTTTTTTGGGTGTGGCTGGCTCTAGGGTGGGAATGGGGCTGAGCAGACGTCTTAGTAACTGCGAGCGACAATTGTGTGTGGATGGTGTGGCTCGAGCGACTGTTTTTGTTGCGAGGTGCTTATTTGCAGTGCTACTATATTATGGCTTTGGTGAGATTGCTTACCTTAGGTACATGTAGGTGTGAACCTAAAGTATACTGATGTATTTTAGGCCCAGAGAATGGCATCGCGTGACGATGTCAGGCGATCGCGTAGTAGAAAAGCTGCATATTTTAGTGTACAGGTAACCTGTAGTAAAGACGGGCGGCCCCTTCATATAATATACTTTCAGCGGCTCGGCGCGATTGAGGCTTGCGTAAATGGTGTGTGAGAAGAGTATCTACCGAGTTGAACATTGCTTGAAAGAATCAACTTGCATGTTCAACGGATATCTGCTTGTTGTATTCCGTCTCAGCCGTTTCACCAAGGTTGTCCATTGAACTTAAAGTCTGGTGGTCTCTATACGGAGTGACAAGCCGCCCAAACCTGGCTGTATACCTAGGTAGTAGGTAGCGTACCAAGTTACGTTTGAGGAGGCTTCAAAAATCTCTTGGAAGGAGTTCACCGTTGGCGATAGCAGCAGATAATGAGAAGTACTACCAGGTAGGTGGGTTACGGCAACAACAGGTAGGTAGAATATTAGAAGTGGGTTGAGTGAGCAGCGGCTACGATATCCTAATACAAGACCACTACGAAAATATGAAATATACAACAAATGCAATTGCTCCCTCTGTATCTCACTATGAACCGTTTAATACTGTCGCTCCAATTTGAGATGGTGATTATTAGCCACTCACATTATTTAACATGTGTACCGTTCACGGACAATGTTGAAAGTCCAGCTACGTGTCTCACTTACGGGGTGCAATACAATGGGGTTGCTGAGGGACTGGAATGCTCCAAACTTCCCCGCGTGTTCGTCTCCATTTTCAGCTCCATCTCCACACAATGCAATACGTTGGAATGGCGAGTAGCATTCTGGCCTCATTGCCTGTTCTGGACGTCTCACTTGAACTAATAAGGCTACGAGTAATGCTGTATGGTAACGGACAAACACTTATAAGACTACCTGTAATTGAATGGTTCATGATGCTTCCAGCGCACTTGAAATGTCTGCCTGTCAACACCATAGATAACTAACTAATTAGATCAGCATAGCAATGATAAATCATGTATTAATCAGTATATCACCACAGCTCAAATGCTTATTCGGTGGTCCTCGAGAAGCCCAATCATTGATGCTTGGAGCTAAGCCATAGCTGGTAAGAGGGGCAACGAGCGCCGGTTGACGGAGTAGAGGGGCCTCAATTTTTTTTTTTTTTTTTCGCTCTCACATGCTGGGAGACACAATGGCAGCCACAGCTCAATCATTTCCCTCAGAGTTGTCCCATATCTTAGGCGCCTCTTGTCGCCCGTCTTGATTGAAGCATTCGCCAAAAGTCCAGTGGACGCATTGCCTGTAAGGCCGCCAGCTTTTCTTCTGGCTTTTGCGTGGAAAGTCAGTTGTGCTGATGTCATAAAGGGTCGCATTCTTCCCTCCGACTTTGGTGGGGTCAAGAGTCACACTCGTCATCCTCCAATTTTTTTTCTTCGTCGCAACTAGAGGTGAGCAATTCTTTGAAAGATGGTGCAAACTCTCCGCTAATATAGCAATTGAATTGATCTTGTTCCGCAGTCACATCACCATGTCCTCTCAAGAAGCCCCAAAGACCTGCAAGGTCATCACGGCCGAGACAATCGCAAAGAAGCTGCTGCTCGAGGTCAAGGAGACCCTGGCCAAGATCCAGGAGACTGGTAGCAGTGCCCCGACCCTGGTAGCATTCCTTGCAAACGAGGACCCTGCCGCTGTCAAATATGCCGAGTGGTCCAAGAAGACTTGCGAGGAAAAGTGAGAACAGAATCATGTTGCAATCTCTACGGCAAAGGTACTGACAACCTCTTCAAGTGGGTTCAACTTTGAGCTGCGCATCGTCGACAAGGATATCCTCGAAGAAGACATTATGAGAGCCAACGACGATGATGCCGTCGACGGTGTCATCGTCTACTACCCAATCTTCCCCAAGAACCCTACCCACGACAAGTATGTCCAGGAGACGGTTGACCTTTCCAAGGATGTCGAGGGATTGCGCCATAGCTACCTGCACAACATGTACCACAACATTCGCTTCCTGGACGCCCCCGAGAACAAGAAGAAATCCATTCTGCCTTGCACCCCGCTGGCCGTGGTCAAGATTCTTGAGCACCTCCAGATCTACAACCCCATCCTCGCTTACGGCAACCGCCTGTTCGGCAAGACTATTACCGTCATCAACCGATCCGAAGTGAATGGCCGCCCTCTTGCGGCTCTGTTGGCCAATGATGGTGCTACAGTTTATTCCGTAGACATCACTGGCGTTCAGCTCTTCACTCGAGGCCAAGGAATCAAGAAGCCCCGCCACCAGGTAGAGGATAAGGAGGGCTGGGGGCTTGAGCAGTGCCTGCCATTGAGCGATGTCATCATTGGAGGCGTGCCCGTCGAGTCATACAAGGTGCCGACGGAGCTCATCAGGGACGGTGCTGTGTGCATCAACTTTTCCTCTTACAAGAACTTTGATGGAGTTGCCGTCAAGGACAAGGCATCCATCTATGTGCCATCTGTCGGAAAGGTCACAATCGCCATTCTGCTGAGAAACCTTGTGGTGAGTGTATTTTGCCCTTGAAACTGAAAATTTGGTAAGCTAATTGAACAGCGCCTGGTTGCGAACCGCCCCGCCAAGGAGACCTTGGATAAGAGCACCATCCAAGCCCGAACCGAAGCCTTTGCCGACGATTGATTTGATTCGACGGATCCAAGACAGTAGTCATAAACAGACACACTTTTTCTTTCTCCCTTTCTTAAAGACTAAAACAATGGCATATTACTGGGTGGGCCATGCAGGGGGGCTTCACCTTGATTTTGAGCTCCGGGGCAGGAAAATAAAAATAAACAGAACAAGATGGCTGGTCGATCTCGGCCCGCAGCAGACGCAAGCAAGGCACGATGTTTATCTAGATGGATTTGTGAAAAGTTTCGAGGGGTACCTAAAACGGGGAAACGAAAAAAAATCTCATAGAAGAGTTGAGGCATCTTGTACCGCTCTGTAGAAACAGGATAGCTGGGCCAAGGATTCTCTCGCACGCACGTACAAGTACCTGTACAACCGATCCGGTGCATTTGGCTCCGTATTGCCAGGCTGAATGACTTGATGCCATTCGAGCTGTTGAGTGCAGTACCAGTACCAGTACCAGTACCAGTACCAGTACCTGTACTAGGTACTAGATTTAGCGAAGCAAACATTGGAAGCTTGAGGTTGGCCACATGCAGAGCATTTGGGATGGTGGAGCCAGACAATGACGCGGCTTTTGCAAACGAAAATGGCAATGAAACATTTTGAAGGCAAAGATAACCCACGGATAAATGGGAAATAGGAATTGACTAAATTACACGGAGGGAGAGTGTGTGTGAGGGAGAAAAAAGTGGCACGATCTACCGTGGTTGTTTCTTGTTCTTTAGGTTTCTTTCCAGGTTTTCCTTTTCCAGGGCAGGTTGTTATTGTCGTGCATTGTTTTAGGCGCATTAGCTGCTTACACGGGCACCCTCGTACAGCTGAATTTAAGGTGCAAGTACCTGTACTCCGTAAGCACGGGCTGGATACGACGCTTTTGACGGATATTAGATCAGGCCAATGGGCATCCAATCAAGCAACCGAGTCCCTGTCAGGACTAGCACAGGTACCAGGCAGTGGAGCTCAGGTACCGCCCCAGAAATGGCTTAGCAAACCGGTCGATAGCCGCGTCTTTGGGAAAACGAAACGAAACGGAAACGGAGAGAGATTACGAGCATCGGGGTAAGATTATGCGGCCCTCCACCGCATTGACTGAGAGGGCAGTAGTAATACCAGTGCAGGTGTTTTTTTTTCTGATACGAAGGGGGAGGGGGAGTGGCTGTATTTGCATACTACTAGGCATTATTTACGGAGTACAGAGGCCAAGAAGGGCGGACGGCACGGAGAGTAACATGTACTCGTGGGTAGCACACGGGTGTGTACTTGTACAAGCCGGACTCGTCGTAGTAATACTCGGAACGTCGTATTCTTGAGGCCTTTGAACTGCAAGGTAGCACAAGGATGGGGCACATTCTGAAGCTATTTCGGATCAGTATGCGAATGGTGTGCCTGTTGGTGGCGGCAACCCGTGCGGCCGGTTGGGTGACTTGCCAGCAGGACTAGGACATGTCGTGATATGGGGATTTCTTTTTTTTATATTAACCGGCCGCCTGCATCTAATATCACGCGCATACGTGCATGCAGCCCGCCATTATTAGTATTACGGTAGGACTCGTGGGTAACGACCCGTTGCATCCGTTGGGTCGAGTGTCGAGTAGTATCGAGGTCAAGCAGTGTAGTAGGTGAGGTACTAAGGGAGTACGTGTAGGTACTTGCTGTACTCCGTACTGGTAGGTACCTAAGATCAAAATGCAATTGGCACCTTAGTACCTTGGTCCTTGTAACCCTCAGTGTCTCGTAAACCAGCAGATCTTCTTGAAAGCATGGACATCAAATATACCAACAAGGCAACAATGCGCATCACATCGCTCTTCCATGCCAAACAATTTCAACGCATTAAAACCCGCTCCATGCTTTGCACTGGCCTCCTTAGTCACCCCGCCGGCGCCCTGATTGGGCTTCTGCGCTCTGCCTAGAGGCTGCTATTCGCTGGGCTCTAGCTGTCTTTGTCCCGGTCCGCCGCACTAATCGCCCTAGAAGAGGCCCTTTTGGATCATTTCTCAGGCCCCTGTCCACCAATCTCCCTCCCTCTTTCGATTTGCGCAAAGTACTTGTATGTACCTGTAGGGCGGCCCGAGCCACGAGCCACGAGACCGCAGGCCAAGTCGCAGTTTTTGGCGGGCGATGCCTCTCTTTTTCGCGACGGCCTCTCTTTGTCAAGGCACTTGCGGGTTTTCATTCTAGTCTTTTGCTTCTCCGGTTTCTTGTGCTGCATTGCTGCTTGCTGCAACGGTGGTCTGGGCATGCTCTGCTCGCCTCGGCGTTGCCAAACTGCACATTCGACAACGTCGCTTCTTTTTCCCCAGCTCTGAAGCCTTTCCCGAGTCCTTTCGCCCGATCCACTGTCGCTCCTTTCTTGTCTCGTGGCGCACCCGATCGATCTCTCGGAGTTTTTGAATATCTCGCCCGTCCCGTTTTCTTTGTTGACTTCTTCGTTGAAGGCACGACAGCGGCCAAGCCCTGAATCACCGTCGTACAACTCTTTTCCGTTACCGCTACTCTGGATTTACCTTTGTTAGGCGCTTGGACCGTAGGGTTGCCGCATCTGAACCTGTCTTGCCCCCCAGGCTCGGAAGAATAAAGAGGACGAGGGGACCAGACCAGACCAGACCAGACCAGACAACGACCTCAACAGCAGAACATCAACACTTGACTTGGAGTGCCGCCACAGCTAAGCTGAGCCGCCGTGACGATGCAGTCCATTGCCACGAATCGCTATGACAACCGACAGGATGCTCGCGGCACGGCGGTTCCCTATCCTCAACCTGCGTCTCCCACCCTGACCAACCCAGACATGATCCTGCCCGACTATGACGGCCCCGAGACGTATCACAGCCAGCCGCACACGGGCCCGTCGCTGTGGAATAGCGGTCATCACATCGAGGATGGCTTTCAGTTCACCCAGGAATTCTACGCCAACCCCGATCCCATGTCAACACCAATCATCTACGGCAACGGGACCATGCTTTCGGACATTGGAGAGGTCACCGAGGTGGAGAGCGTCGTTGGTCCGATACCGTCTCGAAATGCGTCCAAGCGCTCAAACCACAGCTCGGGCGACGAAGGCCCGTTTCGGGCCTCGCTGACTGGGGGAAAGAGGTTCATCCACCAGCGGCTTCAGCAGCAGCGCCAACAGCAGAACAAGGATCGCGAGCGGAGGATGTCGACCGAATCGACCAGCACAGTCGGCACGCACGACGGCGGCGCCTTTGTCGACTTTGATGACGCCGCCAGCCAGGGAGGCGATAGTATCTTTCAGGGCGATGACGAGGAAAGCGTGGCATCTGCATACGTAGAGGGGACGCCTGCCTCACAGCATCTGCGCGCCTTTGATCAAATGTCTGGCAGGAGATTGAGTGATGATGGGACCTCCATCAGCAAGCGGGCTGAGCAGATTCTGGCCAATGCTAAAATGAGATTAACTGTAAGCTCAGCATATGGAGTGATGCTTTTCTCTATGAGAGAGTAAGGACTGATGATAGTTTTCTTTTCCCCTATAGCATATGGAGGACAATCTTACCCGAGCGAGAACCTTGAGCTATTCATCTGTGTCGGATGGCTCAACACCATCACCTACCACGGCAAGAGCTCCCACATCCCTTCGCAAGCCGGGTATAACGCCGTCCCCAACGAACCCCTCCAAGGGCACGAACGAAAACGGAGCTGCTTTCGGAGCGACTTATGGAGCACAAAAGGTATCGGGTTATCCTCAACGTTCTGCCAGTGCCCTTGGCTCTGCAGGAGGCTATCGACGGCCCTTGCCTACATCTAGAAGTATGGACGGCCTAGGGAGCACGTCGGCCCAAGGTACTCTGCCGCACTTCCATTTCTACCACCTAGACAGCAATTTGGAGCCCCTGGGCGAGGATGGGAATGCTGCTGGCATGAATGGGAACCATAATGGTTCACGGACGACCACCTTGGCGAGTCCTACGATGGGAGCGTTTTCCGATTTGGGACTGACTCGATCCGCCTCGGCATCCCAGATGCGTGATCTTCAGGATCAGCTGAAGGGCTTGAAAGGAAAGATATCCACCCTAAAGGAGCAGGCGAAAGCAGATAGCATGAGGCGTCGCAGTCTTCAGAGCCTTCGCATGCCGAGCCCCTTTACTAATGCCACCTGGGAACCAGGTTTCGCGGACCCGCGTGGTGACCATAGCAGCAGCAGCGACGAGAAGCTGACAGAGGTGGAATATGCCAATGGGAACCCTGCCAATGGTGAAAACGACTTTGAACTAAATCAACCCGAATATGCGGCTGAACCTATTGAAGAAGAAGTAGAAGAGGAAGAGGAGCAGGAGGAAGAGGAAGAGGAGGAGCAGGAAAGCGGAGAAGGAGAGGGAGAGGAAGGGGGAGCCGGTGTGAGTTATGAGTATCCTCAAACTCCCGAGCCCCAGGACAACTATGAAGAAGGCTATGAAGAAAGTGAAACGCCCAAAGGCCGAGCTTTGGCCAGCCCATTGGACATGAGCCAACAAGAAGTAGCCAACGGCAGCCGGAGTTCTTCGCCGGCCGAGAGCGTTGCTACCGAGTACACGGAAGCTGAATCGAGCCCCGGGGCCGCCCAAGATGGCTACTCCAGCGAGAGCGAAGAGTCGCTCTATCACGAATCTTTCCAGCAGCAAATCTCCCACGAAGACCGAGAAGATGCCTTTGATTATGAGCACTTCTTTTTGCACTCTGCCATGGGCACCTTGGGAGGACGACGACTTCGCTCAGAAAGCGTGAGCTCAACGGGCTCGGCGGAAACGGCTCGTGGCCCAACACTGTCGCATAAGAGGAGCAACAGCGCAGATTCGACAGCGTCTATCGACACGTTTGCCACGGCTGCCGAGGATCCCGCGAGTCGTAGTTCAACGGCCCAGTCGGGGTACAGGGTCTATACTGCGGCTGATATGTTTAAGTTTGGAGATGCCCGAGAAAGACACGCGAGATCATTCCGAGATTCTTCAGCAGACAGTGACAGAACTGTCTCTAGCCAAGTACACCAGCGGAGCAGCACGATGACGATGGCTCGGCCAACTAGCAACAGCTCGATCAAAAATATGCACCGCCCGTCGTACTCGTCCTTCGAGTCGGTCGGAACAAACAGGAGCTTTCCACTCGTCAACAAGGCCAAGCTAAACGGCGGTATCTTGACGCCCAGCGGCTCTCCCGATGAAGGGCTGAAGCGGATTAGAGACTCGCTATTGACCGATGCCTCGAGTATTTACTCTCAAAACAGCAGCAATGGCCGAGGCGGACAATCACCTGCGCTTCAAGTCCTGTCCAAGGACGTCCAGTTTACGGTGGAACGACTGGTGGCAAGTCTCGGCAAGTGTGTTCTGGCGTTGGGTGAAGCGGACGGAGCTCATCCCGGTGGCCATGAGCTATACAAACGGAGGATCGAGGCAGCCCTGCGTGTCCTCGAGGGAGAGGTTGAGATTCCTTGAGCGGGAGTTGGGTGAATTTTACGACTGCAAAAATATTTGTGGCGGGATTTGGCTTAAAAGCTTGCTCTGGGAATATGCAAGGAACTGGGAGGAGTATTGCCATGATTGGAGAAGGGGACGTCGAGTAGGGGAGGGGAGTGGACAAACTATGATTTTAATGCGATCCAATGCCTGCTCACGGCATGGAGAGCCTACACCTTCGATACCCTTTTTCTTTTTCTTTTCTTTTCTTTTCTTTGTCTTTCTTATTTCTTCTTAATTTTCTTCTTCCTTTTCAGCACTTTGCAGGACTTTGTCTGTCGAGCGTTTTTGCTTTGGAGGCGATGCTTGCTGAGACGAATTGCGATGATGACACGACTGCGGTGGGAGGGATTCTGTCTTTGGCAACCACCTGGGCTAGCATATAGAAAAGAATAAAAATTGAATACGTCATGTAACTGATACTTTTTTTCTTTTTCATCGTGATGCCTACGATGCGAGAACTACTAATGGAGATGTGTAATGAATGAATACTTTTGCAAGGTACAGAGTAGTGAAGTCATTCTCGAGCTGCTTAAAGCATAAAGATGGTTTAGCGCCGAGGGAGCATCACATGCAAACGGGGCACGCAAAGTTAGCAGCTACTGTATTTTCCCACGAGTTTAGTGGGCAGCAGGCTAAATCCACGGGAACAAAAAAGAGCGGGGGTGTCGAGGGTCTCGAACCAACAAACCAGGAGAGTTTAACAAAAAAAAAAAGGAGGAAAAAAAAAGAGGCAAACAATCCTAACCAGACGAAGCAAAGGCTCAACAAAGACGCCATCCTTGACCCAAGGCCAGAAGATCAAAGGGGGGCCACGCAGAAGATCCGAACTTGACCCGGCCCGAACAAGCTGCGGGAGCATCCCCAGCTGACAGAGGACGAGGCAGAGCAACGAAGACCGCTGCGTATCTTATCACGGATCCCTGTCCACTTTGTTTTTTGAGAAACTTGTTTGTGTGGTACCCTCGTGGGATTTTTCTTTCTTTGTTTCTTTGTCTATCTCTTGCGAACTACAAAGACAGACGGACGCAATAATACCTGCGCGTATCGACGGAGACAGCACCGACTAGCTTCACGCAACTCACCTTCAACAACAAATAACAAAAACATCACCACAAAGCACAAAAGGCCATGGCCGAACCGGTGGTGAAGCAGCTCCTGGCATCGTTCCTCCCCCCCGACGTCGTCGCCCTCATCGAAACACACATCCTCGACCCGCGCTCGCCCATCCAGATCCTCAAGCGCCAAGCCCTCGCCCTCGCCCGCCGCGGCGCCTCGACCGTGACGCCCCTCGTCCAGCCCGTCGCAGAGCGCGGCATGGCGGTCCTCGCCGAGCACCAGGGCGCGCTGGACCTGCTGCTGCCGCTGGCGACCATCGTGGCGACGCTGGTGGTGCTCAACTGGATACGGCGGATCCTGCTGTGGTGGACGCGCCTGGCGATGCGGGCGGTGCTGTGGGCGGCGCTCGTGGCGCTGGCGGCGTGGGTGTACAACCGGGGCGTGCTGGTCAGCGCGAGGGACGCGGCGGTTGTTGGGGCAAAGGTCATGGGGTACATCGCCGTGCTGAAGAACGTTTGGCTGGATGAGTATAAGCGGTACGAGGGACAGCAGGCGAGTGGGCGATGGGACGAGTACTCGGCGAGGAGGAGCGGCGGCGGCATGTATAACCAGGCGAGGTGAAATGGGCGAGAGACGGACGGGGGCTTGTCTTGGAAAGAGGATCACGAGGAGGGGAAGAAATGGGAAGACAACATGAAACTTATAAGACATGAGACATGATGTATGGATGTATGATGCGATGGATGCAAACCTGGGAGACAATATCAAGGCTGGGGGGGACGACACGAGTTGGTTCGGCAAGGCGACGGCGCGTCTCCTATTACGGTGTTTTTTTGTTACTCTTTTTTGGATGGATGAATTATTTGTCTTTTTTTTTTTTTTTTTTGCTTTTCTTTTTAAATGTTTCAAGATGCAGTTCAACGGGGGATCAGTTACCTCCCGTCAGGCAAACAACAAAACGCCGTCGCTATGCATTATGCTCCCAACCAATGAAACTATCTAAGCCACCTTTTTGTTACCCTATTGATATCCATTTTGTGTTGTTTTTTTCTCTCTCGAACCCATTGCAAAACACCCTAGTCCGCCTCGTCGTACTCCTGCTCGTCGTCGGGCTCTTTGGGATCTTGAGCTTCGTGATACTGGATGCAGTCATCAATGTGGCTGAGGATGCCCCCAACGCTGTCTTCGTCCGTAACGTCTAGCTTGAGGTAGTTAATCATGCTGAAGCTCTCAATGAGACCGGCCACGGCCCTGTTGAGGCGCCGGAAGCTGGCGCCCTTCATCACCTGGCTTTTCTCGTCGGGCGGGACAGATTCGTCGTCTTCCCCTTCTGGCCCTTCGGTTATTCTCCTGCTACGCTCCAGGGGGTCGTCGTCCAGGAGGGCTACGTCGGGTGTCAGGAAGCGCTTTAGGTCCTTCTTTTTGACCTGGTCCTTGATCAAGTCCATCTTGGACAGAACGTTGATGTGAGGAACCTCGAGCATGAGCATGGCACTCATGGCGCTGAGGGTGCCGGCGAAGAACTTGGCCCTGTCAACGACAAACGTCGCCTCGAGGAGATAGACGGCGGCGAGTCGGATGTCCAGAGCACCGGACTGCGACAGGAACTTGACCAAGGTGGGCAGAATCGGAATGTGCGTGTACAGCTCGATCTGGCCGGGCATGTCGATGATGATGAGGTACTCCTCGGTGAGGGAGTCGAGGGCCTCGGTCAGCCAGTCGAGATTCTCCATGAGGAACTCGAAGCAGTAGATGAGGCCGCCGTTGGGCCCCAGGCCCACCTCCTCCATGGCATCTTTGAGGGAGATGAGCTCCTTGATGTCGAGATCGGGCTGGTGCTCAAACGACTCGGCGGCGGGGTCGAGGTTGATGTAAAAGGCCGACCGGCGGTTGAGCTGCAGATGGGTGATGAGGGCGGCGCAGAAGGTGGACTAGACGGCAGCGAAGCAGCAGGTCAGTGTTTTGGAACTTTGGAAACACACAATGTCTCGGTGGTATATGGAACAGCATGGCATTGGGAGGAGAATCATCACAACACAGCATTGCATCATAGCATCGCAAGGCATCGCATAGCAGTGCATAGCAGTGGCCGGTCCCCCTTATCGCAGTAAGACGGCGGCCCGGAGGAGCATCGGAGGGATTCCCATGTCGACACGATGAATTACGGGCATCGGCATCGGCATCAGCATCAGGACGTCCAGCCCCCTTCGCTCGACGTTGTGATCAGGCGTAAGCGCGCATAAAAGCAGAGCCAAAGCAGACAAAAGAGACAAGCCCATACCTTGCCCGCCCCCGCAGGGCCCATGACCATGGCGCCAAACTTGCTCATGATTTGCAGCCGTTGACTATATATACATGTACGGTACTTTGGTGTGTATCTTTTTTTTTTTTTCGTCGCGGCGGTTTCTTTTTGGGGGGGCAGAGAGAAATGGCTGGCGGGCTTCCGGCGCCGAAAAAAAAAATATCAAGGGCCCCAGCTTAGTAGATCGAGCTTTCGCATCTGGCGTTGGCCACTTTTGTTCGGCGGGTGTGGGGTTTTGGCACAGAAAGAAAAAAAAAAAAGACCCGAATCGGGGGGCCAAGCACATGCACGTTGCAGCAGCTTAGCAGTCAGATTCGTCGGCGGGAAAAGGTTGGAGGGAAATGAAACTGGGCGGCGGGGTCGGCAGGAATTGGTACAGAGTACGGAGGGGTAATTGCTTGGCTGTGTGTAGATGAGAGTACCCTGTACTTGGGTTGAGGACCCTGATTGCATGTGCGCATGTACCTAGCACTCGTACTACTACGTACTCGTATACGGCTTGCTGGGGGAGGGAGGGATCGTCTTCGTCTTACCTGCACTGCAGCACTGCAGTAATATTGGAAGGAGTCACTGCAGAGCATCGATGGCTTGTTGACGTGAGATGGCGCAATTTCTGACACTGCACGCACCGCTGCTAGGCTGCCATAGAGGGGTACTTGGGGCTTGTTTGCTTGTCCGGCCGGTTGCAGAGGTCACTGTCTAACACACGCCATCTCAGGTACGCGAGTTGGGCGGCCCTTTTCTGGTTGGCGCCGTTTTTGGCCCGAGTCGAGTCACACCAGACCTGCCCTGAAATTGGCACCGGGCAAGTTCTATCGTGATACATTGCCCGTTGGGCATCATCGAGGACACGATTGAGCCAACCCAGAGGAACGAAATAGTACCTAGAAACGCAGCAGAAGATACCTGTACTGCCAATTATTCTCGGCTGGGATACCAATCCTACCTACCAAGTAGCTCAGTTCCTTGCAAATATTATATTGACCCCCAATGCTGGTTGCGGTAATTTGGACAAGACAAACCATGTCCGTCCTAGCACTATTCGGATTCTTTCTCCCAGCTTCTTTTTCCAAATCCCAACATTTGCATGTGCATGGTGTTGCGAGCGGGGTGACGCTGGGTGACGCTGGGTACCTGCCGTGCCCCGCCAAACTGGCAGCACTCCCATGTATCCGCCGGTGCGAATACGACAGTCCAGCGGTGCATTTTGCCCCGAGTCTCATTTTTCTAAGACATTATCTTATCCATGCCGTGCTTGGCCGCCCCTCTTCCACCGACCACCGGGCCTAGATAAAAGTCTACGCAGATCCGCCGATTTTTTTCTCGCACCCTTCCTTCTCCTCAGCAATTTCCTGTCATTTCTTGCCAGTTCGCCTCTTTTCTCCCCTCGCGCATTCTCCTCGAGCGATTGTCTGTCCTCTTCTCCTCTTTTCTCTTCATCTACCCCTCCACACACACACACACACACACAAACCGCCACAATGTCTACTCCCAACGGCGTTTCCAAGTCAGGAACTTTCCTGTTCACCGTAAGCAAATCCCCCCTCCCCTCCTGAAAGTACCAATTCCAGCTTGCTTGTTTGCGCAGCTGCTAATTCCTCCTCCTTGCAGTCCGAGTCCGTCGGTGAGGGTCACCCCGACAAGATCGCCGATCAGGTCTCAGATGCCATCCTCGATGCCTGTCTCGCTGAGGACCCTCTCTCCAAGGTTGCTTGCGAGACTGCCACCAAGACTGGTATGATCATGGTCTTCGGTGAAATCACCACCCAGGCCAAGCTTGACTACCAGAAGATTGTCCGCAACACCATCAAGGACATCGGCTATGACGACTCCGAGAAGGGCTTCGACTACAAGACCCTCAACCTGCTCGTTGCCATTGAGCAGCAGTCCCCCGATATTGCTCAGGGTCTTCACCTTGACCAGGCTCTTGAGAGCCTCGGTGCTGGTGACCAGGGTATCATGTTCGGTTATGCCACCGACGAGACCCCCGAGCTCTTCCCCCTGACCCTCCAGCTTGCCCACAAGCTCAACGCTGCCATGTCTGCTGCTCGTCGTGACGGCTCCCTCCCCTGGCTCCGTCCCGACACCAAGACCCAGGTCACCGTTGAGTACAAGCACGACAACGGTGCCGTTGTCCCTGTCCGCGTCGACACCGTCGTCGTCTCTGCCCAGCACTCTGCCGACATCACCACTGAGCAGCTCCGCAAGGAGATCCTGGAGAAGATCATCAAGACCACCATCCCCGCCAAGTACCTTGATGAGAAGACCATCTACCACATCCAGCCCTCTGGCCTCTTCATCATTGGTGGCCCCCAGGGTGATGCCGGTCTTACCGGCCGTAAGATCATCGTCGACACCTACGGTGGCTGGGGTGCTCACGGTGGTGGTGCCTTCTCCGGCAAGGACTTCTCCAAGGTCGACCGATCTGCCGCTTACGTCGGCCGATGGATCGCCAAGTCTCTGGTCGCTGCCGGCCTTGCCCGCCGTGCTCTCGTCCAGCTCTCCTACGCCATTGGTGTTGCTGAGCCTCTCTCCATCTACGTCGACACCTACGGCACCTCTGACAAGACCTCTGATGAGCTTGTCAAGATCATCCGCGACAACTTTGACCTGCGTCCCGGTGTCATTGTCCGCGAGCTGAACCTGACTCGTCCCATCTACCTCCAGACTGCCAAGAACGGCCACTTCGGCACCAACCAGTCCTTCACCTGGGAGCAGCCCAAGCCCCTTAAGTTCTAAGCAGTAGCTGCTACTGCACGCAGAGTATTCAACAAGCTCTCTGCAACGTGATTTACAAAATGATGTGTTTTTTACATGTCGATTTTTCATCAGGCACATTTAGGCGGCGTACGGTTCTCAACGAAACCTGAAGGCTTTTCCCATTGGGATTTACGGGAAAGCGAAGGTGGTTTCTGGCGTAATTTTCTTTTTCTTTGTTATCAAAAATTCACATATACCAGGGTTACTTTGGGGAATCATCGGGGGGCGTCTTTCAACAAAGACAAAAGTCTGGGATTAATTGCATAGACAGCAACAGGGTCACGTCTGCAAAACGGATACACACACTTATGAGCTACGCTAATGATGGGTATAAACAAGAACTGGCGTTTTCGGGAATTAAGAAGAAGTTCAACATCTTTTTTTCCCGAGTTCTCTTGACCGAGCTGCTGAACATGCAAGTCAGTTGTCGGGGTTGGAAAACAGGAGAAGCTGGTTTATCGGGAACAATTTCATGGCTCGGAGAGTTTATTTTAGACATGAGACTTGATAATAGAGCAGCCCGATTTCAAGGCACACCATCCTTTCTGACACCTTTTGTGAATGTTTTCCTATTCCTTCCCCTCTTAAGCTTACTGCCCCGGATAAGAAGTCGGAGGACGACATCCTTGTATGACTGGGGAACAGAAAAACCGCCGAATGGATGACAGCGGGAAAGCAGAGATCCACCGCGGAATACCTAGCAAGTTATTAGGCCAGCGTGTGCAAAGTAGTCGTCGATTTATGCATGCTGGGCGTTCGAATTGAGAACAATACGTCGAATGGCATTGTCACGATGTACGAAGTTATAGGACAGCTGTCTTTTATGTATGTGATGAGTCATGGTGAGGTTATCTATACAAAAGCACCATTTGATTGACAATGCTAACGAAGAAGAGATAATGGAGGGACACAAAAGCAGGATGATGGAGCTTGAGGAACGTGAGACTGAAGATGCCGACAAGAATACTGACCAGGGATGAACAGGGGGGCTTACGTGAGATGGGAATCCTACAGCTGCAGTATGCATTCACCTTCCATCTTGTCTATACCTGCAGAAATCACGGCGCTTCAATGAATGGCACAGTCTGATAAATATTCGTGATGAGCTCGTTTGGTGTTTGTCCGGTTGGCCATTTCGTGGGGGGAGAAGAGGGAGGGGATTATGATTGGGTGGCTCGTTTAAGGTACGTCTTTAAGATGTTGCTGATCACTCTATTTGTTATACCATGGCTTTTCTTTTGTTTGATTTGTATATTCAATTGATGCCAAAGAGGGCGTGTGAGATGCCATCGGTTACGGAGACTAGAATAAGGAAGAAGAGAGGGGGGGGGGGGGGGGGGGTGAGAGTGCACGGATTCGGTGTTGGGCATGATGTCAGGTCTGTCTGTGCTTGGCAGGGCGTGGGCGTGGGTTTAGTACTCGTACGAGTATTTCGGATCTGGCCATTGCGGAAAAGTTTGTGTTTTCTTTTCTTTTTCTTTTCTTTTTCCTTTGTGGGTGTTTTCCACACAACGTATGGTGGAGAGGCGGTGAAGCGGCGATATGGAGTATTATATAGATTCACGAATATTATATTAGCAAACTTGTGAACGAGATCAAGCACCGGTTTTCTAACTGGTGGTGTAAAAATAAAGATTTTGGAAAAAAAGAAAAAAATGATTGGCAATTGAATCAGAAGTAATGGGATGGTGCACAGATATACCAAAGTTATCTGCGATGATATAATGCTCTCTCATGTGTCTTCTTTCACAGAGCTTCTCCTACAGTCCATCATAAACCAAGAGTTGTATGAATGTGGATCATGTAACGGCTAGTTTGTTAGGGTTAATCTCTTTGAGAAACATATGCAGAGCTGATGCCGTGAAAAGAATGATTCGTCGGCCAGAAGAAGACGGCTAGAGTGATGAGGAGTCGTCAACAGTCTACTCAAGCAGCATACCACCCATCGAGGCTCTACGAATCCCGGCGCATTATCTCGAGATGCATTCAGCTAATGAGAACACCATTTAGTCTTTGAAAGTGTAGTATTTTGTCAAGTCTCTGTATGTGGCAGTTCCGTGATCGGTGATGAGTGCTGCTTAGTCGTCGTGATTCATATGGCGGGGGGCTGAGAGTAGCCAATTGGGAGCAGGGCTTGAAACGATTAGTCAGTTTCAAGACCGCTTCTAGGAATTTACACATTATGATTCACTATGTGGTTTTGTTCTGGAGCTTTTTACGCAGGAGGCGCGTGGTTTGACGTCTAACACCCCAAACTACCAGTTAAGTCAAAATGAAGATGAGACAAAAAAATATTCGTATCTATGAGAGATAGTCCTTGGCATGAATACCTTTCAATCTCAATGGACACCTATTTGTTCAGCAGAGACCTCCCTGAAGTCGTCAGCAGTCGTTGGGTGGTATCTTGGCCTATCGTGAGTGTACTCTGTTATTGTTACATCAGTCAGAGGACACCGGCTTGGACAAAACGAGTATGGAACACTGTCATTTTAAGAGAATATATGAATTTTAGGCTACTTCATTTGATAAGACAGAAACTTATTTACTCGTGCAGTGAACCGTGTACCGGATTAAACTGAAGCGCATTCCAAGTCGTCTGGTCGACTCATGATATATCTGTGTATGGCTAGTTTGATGTAGAGATACAGATGGCCATTTCTCTCTCTGTTGGCTACGATGAATTTGAACGGCCGCATGCACATAGCCCGGTCTAAAATGGTATTTGCGCGATCCTCTACAGTGTCCAGCATGACAGTAAGTGCCATTGTCCGTGATGATGATTCACAAACAGGTGAAGGAATAGGAGCAATCAATACGGTCATTAACAAGCAGTTTGCTGGTCAACGCTAGTTTCTCTATCTTGTACTCTTGTACTCTTGTATTTACCTCTTGTTTGGAGACAAAAAGAGACCTAATATTGCAGCTCCTGTAAAAAGAGGCGCCATACTATTCTGCCTAGCAGGCAAATTAACCAGACAAAAGACGCTGGCTCTAGTCTTCGGTTCGCCCGTCATATTAAACAGTCAACTTCTCATGCTATTCCCGTAGATAGTGGCTGCACAAGTCTTCGGTAAGCCCTCGACCTGGCTGAAGAAGGCGCAAGAACTTACTCTTTACAGACATCAATCAATGGCCATTGTGACATGCCCAGATCCCCGGGTCGCGCGACTTAAACGCGGCGCCGGTGCTTGGTAACGGGCAGACTAGAGACACAGCTGACAAGCCTAGTATCCCCAGAGCAATGGTAAGGGATGTAGGGTATACGAGGGAAATGGCGTCTTTGTTCAAGCTAAGCCGTCGGAAAGACCTCCGGGGGGCAACCGAAAGCGAGAAAGACGCGAGAAGGCCGAGGTGGCTGCCAGTGTTTGGTACTAGTGGTAGCTGCAGATCTACGAGAGAGTAAATGAAGCTATCTCGACTCGCCTAGAATAACAATACCAACGGTATGGTCCAGCCGAAGCCTGACAAAGAACTATTCTGTATTCGACTCCCGTTCGGCTGGTACAGCTGATGCGGACTCGGAGCAGTCTCCGCTGGTGGGGTTTTGTTAGATAGATAGATATCGTACCAAGCAAATCATGCCAGTGTGAATGGTACGATACTCCTCTTTTCGTGGTTCTGTTGGATGTATCTATTGTATCCCGCAATTTCAATTTCCACACGTAAATGGGATTTGCATCTATTCACCTTGGCCTCTGCCAATTACAAAATCCGCTTACAAATGCATTCAATTGCCTCACATGGAGCCATGCTCGTACACGTAACATTGGGTGGAATTCGCCTGGATTTCTTCAGCTGGAGAGTTCCCCATCTTTCTCTCTGCGGGTGTATTGAGCCATTTTCCAATCAATTAGTCAAAGTACAGCCAATTTTCTCCCGTTCGTATGAAGTACATTAGCTTGCAGCCAAGAGAATTAAGCTGATGTCTGGCTTCTTCCGAATCCCACAGCTCTGGTTGACGGCGTTCTGTAGGACACCGGTGTTCAACCCCTTCCCTGGGCCCGCCTCCGTCGTACATGGAACATCCGAGATGTCAAGCTGCTTCACGCCCTCAAAGAAGAGACACGCCCCCCTTCTCTACTCCGCTTCTCCTTTCTTTTTTCTTATTCCCAGGCAAGCCACCGCGTTGGCGGCAGGACCAGCGCCGAACCAACAACGACGGTGGGTTTTCCTTACCATGGCTGCGGTGCTGGGAGGGGCGTTAAGCACAACCAACTACCTGGAACTAGTCTAGCTAGCTAACAGTCCTGATGATTGAATCAATGGATGAATGAATGGCTGACTAGATTGGCTCCAGAGATGAGTAAACCGAGATCTAAGATGATGACGAAATCTTACTTGCAAGACGTGCTAATTGTCTGCATCGAGGATCTGTCTTCATCGCCGATCCAGAGAGCTGTACTCGACAATAGCTCCTCATTCTGATTGACATTATGTTTCGCTAGGTTCGTATTATCATTTCATGTGAAGAAGTGTGCACGATCGCCACTGAAACATGTCTTAAAGAGGACAGGAGAAATTTGCAAGCAAAGTACACAAAAGACGATGTCTCAGAGTTCTTCGATGAACCAATTGCCCCAATAATAGCCCAAATGCCAACAAGACGTACACTAAAGACGGAGGGTTGAGGCTTGGGCTTGTACAGTGTGAATCCATATGTCAACCAGCCTAACAGTTCTGGTATGGTTCTAAGTCAGATTCCACTTTCGTTTATTTTCTTGCAGTTATAGAAGCCAAAGCGGCATTGCCGGTGTCAAGTTCATCTGTAACCCAATCTTAATTACTACGTCAAACACCATTATACAAAGGGCCATATTCTGGGCGCCCAGAGACAGATATCATAGTGGAAAAGAGATGTTTCTAAGGTTGACTAAGCGGAACCGTGTTATTGTTATTGTGACGAACCGGTATACATATTGTTGTCGTGACATTTATTCGCCTCATACCATTTGTCGGAATTGTCGACGGGTGAAAATGGATCACGTAAAGCTTACGAAAAACAGTGAAAATGCACCCTCAATTTACAGCTCCATATATTTCGTCTAGGTCATCTATAATAGAGCCGCTGTACAAATTAATTCACGTAACCTAGGCCTTATCCGAATTTTACATGAGAGGTATAATAAAAAAATGGCCAATCATAGACTACAGACAGCCGGATTCTGGCTGGCCGTTAATTACAGTCATGGCACAAAGATCCAAGAGCCTCTGAGTGGAGACTTTTCTCTTCCTAGCGTTACTGTAACACTCTCTGAGAAGGTCTTCTTCATTCATCATATGATGGCTCATGATTTTTTTTATTTTTAATAAGAGGAGACAAAGAAATTATATATCCAAAGAGACGGAAGAGTTTCTCAACGCATGGGGTACCATTTGCCCCAAAGGGACCCGCCCCACTATAGGAAGCCGGGAGGAATAAGCCAAGACAAGCTGCTTATAAAATGTTACTAAATGCTTTACAGCAAGTTGATGGGATATCGGAAATAGAGTCAAGGAATGACAGAACCAAAGAATGGCAAACCAAAGAATGGCATATATACTCTGTCCAGAGACGAAGAGACATGTCTCAATCTCAATATTGAGCATCACTTAATAGTCACTCACTACTTGGCGTTTATTTCAACTCTCAACTGCAAATTCCTTCCACCTCTAAGATGAAGCTTGCTTCTATCCTCGCAACGGGTGCCGCCACCCTTTTATCTATCCCAGCTGCGATTGCAAGCCCAATTGCAGACTCTCGAAAGGCCTACAGCTGCATCCCTGGCCAGAAAGTCACCGCTAGAGATCAAGCCATCAATTTCGCCACCTTTGTCCAGGAACTCTACTTTAAAAAGAACGTCGCCACAGCGTTCACAGATCACGCGCTCGAGAGTTACATCCAGCACAATCCTCTCATGGAGCAAGGCCGAGCTGCAGCAATCTCCTTCCTGGGAGAAAACTTCCCTAAATGGAACGTTACGGTTCGCCATCATGGATTCGATAATGGGATTGGATGGGTGCATTGGAAACTGGAGGGATTTGGTACGGCGAGATATAACGCGGTGGTGGATGTCTTTAGATATGAGGGAGGGTGTATTGCAGAGCATTGGGATTCGATTCAAGCGGCTCCTGCGCTAAACGAAACTACCAATCCCTACGAGCTGATCTAGCAGGATGTTTCTCACAGGGCCATACACCTAGCAATCGGATGAAAGGAGGGGGATGAGGATATGGAGAAGAGTGGAAGGATCATTGTTTAATTATTTAGACCTGTTGTGGTTTACTCAATTCGAGGCTTTTGTATCTACACGTAGATTTACTTCTTGACTGTTGAACTTACGATTATCAACTGTTGCTTCCAAAGTTATTCCTATAGTCTCTCTTGTAGATAAATCAACACTACATGCCTACCCTACACACTGTTTGAAAGCTGGCACTGTATAAGCCAAACAACGCCACAAAATGGTCAGTGTGTTTAATGTATACAAAATCGGAGACTCATTTCGGCTTCCACTGTAACACGCATTAAACAAGCGGTCTGTGGGAATTTTTCCGAACACAACGATCCGTGAGAGCGACAAAGGGCGGCTGAGGGCTTGTGCGTGCCAGCATGCGTGGAAGAATACTAAGGGCTGTTTGCGATTCGATCCGAGGGCGGGTATGTACGCACTGACTGGTGGCTAGCATCTAGTTGAGATCTCATTGTTACAAAGAGGAGCCAGATTCGAGTTGTAAATCCCGAAGTGAAGCCCACAACTGGGCGCAGGCTCGTCGCGTGGTGTCTAGTGCATCGCTTCTGTAGAATATACTCTACAGAATATACTAGGAGATGAGTAGGTTGTTTTGGTATTGGCCACAAGCAATGACCGCATCTAGAAATAGGTAATCCGTACTTGTGGAAGCATCTCCTTGCAGCATCTCCTTGGTATAAAGTGCTTGAATGTGCCGACTGCGAAATGATGCAGCTTGTTTATTTACCAATCACGGGACTCTCTTCGCCATGGTCTCGTCGAGTTCGACGCATTTGCCGCCGCTATTCTTGTGAAAATCTCCGATATTCTCCATTCTCATTGCTATTGATGGGCAGGCCATGCTTGATCTAACACCAACATGAAAGCAGCCATTAGCAAAACAGCACAATAGCCAACTCTACAATTCCAGGACGGAGGACAATACAATCCATCGCACAACAAAACGTCTGGGAAAAAAGAAAAATCTTACGACAAACAGTCATCAACGCAGTCTACCTGATTGTACACCCACCTCGTCCATTCAACAGCAGGACATTACAAGAAAAAAAAAGGACAACAGCAGTGGAGAATAGCACGGCGGGGCATATATCTTGTTCTCAGAGTCCACAGCATCTTTTGCATTCATTGTCAAGACGCGCAAGTTGCCCACACAGCATGGACAAGCTACTTGGTCGTGTTGTATTGCTGGCCTAAGCTAGAGCATGCCACGCGACCACGTCAATGACCATGTATTTCGGATCTCTTATTCTGCCTCGTCGGACTCCACAGCTCACGGAGCACATAGATGGCTTTCCTCTTTTGTGTGTTTGTGATGTCCCGTGCTTCTGTCGGAGGAAGGTGTCGTAAGTATGGACAAGTCCATGTATTTGTTTGATTCAGCCTTGGCAACAATAGCCAAGACAAAAGCAAAAGCACAAATTTGATCGCACATACGGCATTGACGGCGGTGGAGGCCATGGCAATTCTGGCGATTTGGTGTGTAAACAAATAAACGTATGAGTCGTGTGGCTATCTTCTGTTTTTCCTGCTCCGCAACGCGATTATTAGACTGCAGGATTCCATTCGAGATGGAGACAAGTCTGGTTCACAGGCACAGAGTCATTCTAAGCCAAATGATCTAACTAGGATTGGCAGGAAGATGATTGACAAGCTTTTCCACCTGGCTGGTAACAAAACGGACATGCATTAGTGAAGCGAAGCCCCAATGAGGCAGAGGAAAAAGGAAAGAAAGGAGACAGAAAAAGGGCCTCTCTAGCCCAAGATGAAATAGCCGGACCTGCACCGGCTCTTCGGCCTGTCTGGCGGCATCCAGAGCACTGGGAAGCGAGCGACAGGAGCTGAGAGTCGCCGAGAGGGTGGCTGAAAGTGCTCAAATTGTTGCCCTTTCAGTATGGCGGGTTGGGTAGCGCTGCAACTGGGGTGGATGTAACGGTTTTGCGCCTATTGATGACGAAGGAGGGAGGATCAACTGATTTTGGACTGGAGGGATCCAGTCACTTCGGGTTGTGGGAGAGAAAGAGTTGGAATGAGATGATGAGGTAAGGAGGAAGCTGGGAGAATAAGGTGCTTAGCACTAGAAGCAGTAGGAGAAGCAGTAGGAAAAAAGATTACGTAGGACGACCGAAAGGGGGAATATTCTAAAACACACACCCTGTATTAGGGCAGAAAACCAAGAAAATACATAATGACGATTCAATGCATGCATTCATTGTTATTAATATTGATATTTAATATTATAAATGTGCGAGTCAAGGCAAGAGAGAAGGAGTCAAGTCAGGCAGCACGCAAGCGAGGCTCGCAAAAGGAAACGGACGGCATTCCGGGTCTAGAACATGCCAGGATGCAGCTTCCTCGAGCCATTCGACTTTTTAACGTTTATCCCGTCCCTCATCAATCCGTCGCTCCTGCCGTGTCACGATCCCAATCTTTACTGAAACGAGCAATATCAACGCCCAGCCGCTGCCTCCATCTGCCGCTGCGCTCCTTCTCCAAGCCGCGCAAAGTGTGTGCAAAGTGTGACTGAAAAGTGCAACTGCAAAGCACCAAAGGAAGGAGAGATCGCCCGCGTCGGCGACCTGCCCCGCAATGTCCGGGTCCCGGGACGGCGGGCGCTAAACCGCTTCGGCACGTCAATACGGACAACAATAGCAAGAGACAATAGCAAGACAAAAGCCGGCTAAGACATCGCACCCCCCCTCAATTTCTTTCTTCACCACACAAAGCCTTTCAGGCGATACACACGCCTATTGAATCTGTCGCGCCACAATACGCAGACAATACGCTGGGCCGGCCAAGTGCATGCCGCAGCAATTCGCCGAAGTTGGCCGACAGGGGAAATCTCCAATCGCCAACTCTTTGTGTGGAACTTGTACGGGCCTGTGTAGGGAGTAGAGACTCATGCATCGTTTACTGGAGCTCGCCCACTGGATTGCCGTGGCAAAACTTGTGCAGCTAGCCTGTCACTGGCATTCCAACCCAGCCATGACGGCACGACATCTGGGCCCTACAAGCACAAGCACAAACACCGCCGTCTCCCTTGCAGATGGCTAATCCAAGAGTGGCATCTTGGGTGCGCCCTCAGCTTGTCTTGTGCATACAACCTACAGCTCTGGGATCCAGTTCCTGGGCAGTGGGAGCCGCATCCAAGCAACTCCCAGGGCACCACGTGTGCAAGTCCTGCCAACACCTTGCTGTTGTTGCTGCGATTGTTGTCTCGTGGCATTCCTCCCAACCGTCGGCCGCTATCCGTCGACAATATGATACGTTGCGACAGCCGACCATGTCAAACACACAAGGATACTTTGTAAAAGGGGGGGAATAAAGGAGAGATGGTATCATGAGGGACAATCAGAACCCAAAAGCGCCAGAAGGGTGCCCCCCCTCCCTTCTTCCCGCAACCCACTCAGACCGGAGGTTCAAATCCGCGAGGAAAAATCAAATCAAGTGAAGGAAAAAAAAAAAATATTGTGTATAGCAGAGAGCTCAAACGACGGAATGGCAGCCTGCCACGACTTTTGCTGGCACTTGTAGATCACACCCCCCTCCAGACCAGACTGTCGGACAGAATCCATACCGGGGGCGTGTAGCTTTTGGCTTTTGCTGTACAGTGTCCCGCCAGCTTGGGTGCGCTACGCGGCATTTGCTGTCGGGTCAGGCCATCCTGAAAGGCTAAACGCATCTTGGCTGCCCTACTCCAGGATTGTGTTTGACTTGTTCTGCTCATATCATGTTTATGAACAAACAGATGCCCTTCTCTGTGCGTTGTGGATGTGGACAAGTGAGTACAGGGAAGTGTGTCTGTGTGCCTGTGCTCACCCATCTCAGTCATTTGTCCGTCCTTCTTTTTACCGGATTCTTCCCAATAGCGGAGACGGGACGCAGCGGTGGGCGCGTGTAAGTTGATCGGGGGCCACAAGTAATCAAAAAGGCAATGGTATTGTTGCTAGCGGAAGATTCCATGACAAGCGAGGTCGTGGGTCGCGCCCGCAAGACAAGCCACTCGCAAAAGGCCGCACGGCCTGGGGTGTGCAAGGTGTGGTATGATTGCCGCATGAATCAATCATGGATCAATCATTCAGTTGAATCACTTCGACGGGGCCAAGCTTGGCCGCACTGGGGGCCGCCAAAAGTCAACGGGACATGTTCCATCTTGGCTTTTCTTTAATCAAGGGAATCAGGTTGGGTTAAGGGGGTGGGGTGGGCCAAAGAGCTTCACAGGAGGCCGATAGCCGAGCCGCTTCCTCACAAAGGTATATATCTCTCTGTTGTCTTGACTCCTTGATCAGTCCTTCGTTGTCAACAATATCAATCCCGTTGCAACTCCTATCCTGTTCCGTCATAATCATCGCTATCATTAGCACTATCAAGCACTTACATTCCTGTGCTCCTCCCTTGGCTGTTGGCTTATACCACACTCTCTCGCACCTCGGACATTTACATCGCCGCTCTACCCTCACACCAGCCGCCTTAACACCGACCCTACATCTCGGAAACAGACAGAAAGGGTAGAGTTCCTTCAATCCAGCACTGTGAGCGTTGGATTTGGACAAAGAAGGGAGAGGAAAAAGAAAAAACTCTTCAGCCAAATTTAGACTGCAAGTCGGCTTGGCCAACTCCTATTCTCACGGGCTGAAACGCAAAAGACAATCGGCGGATCGGTGGTACTTGTCTACTTTGAATCACTGTCCACAGTTGAAGATATATATATCAACAACTCACAGTCCCTCTCATCCTACTCTTCAAACGGACACATTCATAAAATCTTGGAAGTTCATCAACTATAAGAGTTTGATTACTTCTTCTTCTTTCACATCCTCGCCGTCACACATCACACATACACTATGAATACATCACCATCAACAGCTACTGGTGCTGCAGCTATCACAAGCTGCGCCAACGGCCCCAAAGATACCTCCCATCAAACATCTTTGACCTCCCCCCCTCCAGCCTACACACCACGCACCGCACCAGATCTTGCTCGACTACAGCAAATGCGCCAGCAAATCATCATGGGTCGGCCATCTATGGCTGAGGCTGTAATATCGGCCGTGGCTACCGAAGACGAGGATGACCAGGAGGAAGAGAGCATCTCCCCCATCAGCCTTCGTATCAATACCTCCGTCCTCGTCTCCAAGAACAACAACCTCGTGTGTCTCACCGACACGCCGGCCAGCCACGCCAACGCCATTGCCAGGGCTGTTGTCAAGGCCATCCAGGAGAACAGCTCTGGCCAGTGCGGTATCCCCATGATTGATGAGGACGGACGACCTCGTCCTATCAAGATTGAGGTTGACGCGGGCATCACGGTTGAGGGCTCTGGAAATGTCGTTGGTAACGAGAATGTTGTGAACCAAGTCCTTCGCCAGCGCGGGCTTACGCGCAAGAGGGGAGCAGACATTGATGATGAGAATGATTTGTCCGCTCCGCCAATGAAGCAGCGTCGTGGGAGCGGCAGCAATAACCCTTGAACTAGCTAAAAGTCTCAAGAGGCATTCTGTTTTATCCTCTCAGACGGCAACGCAAAGCATCATCACATCTCTACCATCAAGCTCTTCACATATCAAGATCAATTTGTTGCGTTGTGTTTAGGTTGGGACACTTGGCGTTCAGGCATCTTCATCATATACCCAAAGGCAGAGCCTTTTTCTTTTCATGTTCAACAATTACATTCGCACTTTACTGAGAAAGTGTGTCATCTGTTTTACATCTGTTTTGCAATATTTAAGTGGGTGGTAGCAATGGGAAGGAGAGAAGGGAAATTGACTATGAATATGTGAGTTGGGTATTGGAGAAAGGTAATAAAAAAGGCTGAAGGCTTCACCATACGAAGCATACGATTAGATGTAGCAAACATGAATACAATACTTGACAAGATTCCATGTTCCATGCACACTATGCATTTGCCTCCTTGTGTTTCGGGACTGTGCTCCAGTGCCAAGGGAGGACTTGGTGTTGCTGTTGGTTCGTAGACATCACATGCGAGGCAGAAACTGAAGTCTCCGCGACTATGAGATGACGACATCCCTTTGCTGTTAGGTCTTGAATTTCTGAAACCTCTCATGGCCTTTTTCTACAGCGCCGTCGTATTGATGAACGTCATCGCCTACATTTGATTCGGTGTCGTTTTGCTGCTCCCCCTCATTCTCCCATCCTGTGATCTGGATCTTCCTCCAGCTGGACAAGGGAGGCAATGAAGGGAGGCAAGGAGGGAGAGGGGGACGTCTAGTGTTTGGCACAAGCAATAGCAGCAACACTCACCCAGTACATCAAGTTCTTAATCAGGCTAAAGTAGGAACCGAAGTAAGTGTCCGAAATTGATCGTATTGAATCTCTTTTCCGCACGGGCCGCATTTTGGAGTTTGTGGCCAGTGCTGGGTGAATGTGAATTTGACAAGAAGTCTGCTGTTTGCAGCACTGATAGCGATAGGAAACTTCCAACGACCCAGCGTTCCCCAGCATTCTAATAAGACGGATCTAAGCAAGTAAATATTTTTATGGGCAAATTGTCATTAGATAGCATCATAATTATAAACCTACAGTGTGAAGATTGCCTGTCAGTCCTGTCAAGTTCCACTTCCACTCAGTTCTCTCGACTGGGAAGCAATCTTATGAATCGAATCCAATACCTCAAATGTCCTTCATTCTCTCCGATGTTGGCGTTCTCGATGCCGAAAGCATTGCACGGCATGTTGACGTACCATCCATGCAAAATGGTCCACTGTACCAGACGATGTTTCCTCAATCCAACGAGATAACAGAACAGCAAAGGGATGAAATAGTCCGCTGGTATGCCGAGACGTTGGAGGAGGCCTTACAAGACCGATGGGAAAGCTTTTTGAAGGCATGCTCCATTGATGGCAATCCCGTCGGGTTCTGTGGTTGGACCATAATAGAAAGGAAACCTAGTCATCAATTTGAAGCGAATGATGGTCAAGTGAATGAACCACTGAAAGAAAAAAGACGCAAGAAGATATCATGGGTCCCAGAGACAATTGATATAGATGGCTGGATCACACTATCAAAAGCCTTGAGGACAGAGCGTGATCGGGTCTTGAATGATCTCGATAGTATATGCCGTAAGTTGATTCATGTTGTAGCAGGCATTGCAACAGCATCCTGACTACTTCTGCATCTAGGTCTCACATTCATGGCGGTCAATCCGAGCTATCAACGGCGAGGGATTGGTTCGATGATGATGCAGCGGATTTGCGAAGAGACGGATCGACATGGACGATACGCATTTGTACTCGCGGCACCGGAGGGGGTTCGGCTGTATAACAAGTATGGGTTCGAGATTGTCGGTCGTGTTCAGACACCCAAAGGCACAATCACAAGCATGCTCCGACCACCTCGCATAAATACAGTCTAAATAACATTACAATAGATCAGAAACTTAGGGTAACTATATCTCCAAGAGCACCTGGAGATGAATGTAGCGTGCCTTTAGAAGAAATCACAATGGAAAGTAGATAAGGAGTAAAGCAAACAAGTTCTTTTTTTCTTATTTTCAACAAGCAATATAAAATAAACTTAAGGAGAGTGAGCGGATCGTAATGTCTGCCTCATAAGAGCCATCCAGCTACGACCCAAATCGAAGAGAACAACACATTTTCATCCTACAAAATGCCACTTCACACCCATCAATCCCATTACAGCAGCCCTTAGCCAGGTGAATTGAACAATGCGTGCCCGCCCTCCAAGATCAGGGGACCAAGCAAATAGGATGGCTGTTGCCGATCTTGGGCTTCCGGAAGCAACTTTACTCGTAAACGACCTTGGACTGTCCGAAGGCACTGCAGGACTGGTTGCCGTTGCCGTTGGCGTTTTGCTTGCCCTATATTTGGTGGTTAATAGCAAGAACATAGAACAAGTAATGTACACTGATATATTTGTATGACATACCTGCTGGTTGTTGATGTTGTTGTTGTTGTTGCAGCAAACGATGACAGCATTGCAGACATCGTTAAGGTCAGAGCACTTCCAGTAGCTTGAGCCCAATGCGTCGGTGGTAGCACTGCAGCAGTAAGGAGAAGCACCGTTACCGCAGCTGTTGCTCTGCCAGTTGTTGTTGATGTTGTTGTTCTGGTTGATAACCGGAGGAGGAGGAGGGGGCTTGGGAGCGTGGTGGGGAGGAGGAGGAGAGTAGCCGCCGGGAGCTGCGAAAGCGCCAGTGGCGGCAGTAAGAAGGAAAGCGATGGCGGCGATAACCTGCATGTTGGCGGTTGAAGTTGGTTTTTTTGAATTGGAAGATAAAGAGTGAGATGTGCTGTTCTGATGATTTGCTTGCTGAGTTGAGCGAATGTCTGAGGATGATGAGGAACGGTTCAAGGCAGAGGAGAGAGGCCCTTCTTATACTCGTTTCCTGACGGTCAGCTCGTATATTGACTTTGATTACTTCGATCTATTTGTAAAATCACAAAGTCAATCCGATATAAACCGGCAGTAGGCTGAAGGAGCAGAAAGTAAAATCCAGGACGGAGCATATATCCATGCATATCTAGTAAACTTATTTTTATACTTCCAATATTAACCTTAGTACATAAAGTTATATACGGCGAGTTCTTGCTGCATACTTGCTGCATATTTGCTGCATATAGCAGAAATATCTGCATAATTTGCGAGGACCGGTCTCTCTGAAGCTGAGAGAGGATGCATAAAAGCGCGGCCTGGATAAATCCGTAGAGTTTTCTTCTCTGATGTGAGGAAAAGTTTAAAATAGACAAGGGATTCGGAGAGCCAAGGCCAGTGTTGACATGTCAAGTAATAATGAAGCCAACTGCCGATGCTCCGATGCTCCGATGCTATATTCAGCTGGCCTCGTATGGAGAAATGACTTAAAGTTTTCAGAGGCTATGCATAAATTTAAAATATAGCTCAGGTGAAGCTGACAGAGGCGTTAGACAATGTTCCTTTCTAATAAAACTACTGTCGGTATGTTTCATGTAAATGCATAGTTTACAGGGCCACCAGTAGGAGTGCTCAACAATTTTCCTAGGTTGACAAGCAAAATATAAGGTTTTCAACAATTTATTTATGTTTCCGAATCACAGTTTGTGGCATTTAACTCTTGCTTAAACATAGGTATATAGTGGCAGAGATAAATGACTGGTCATGTGTGCAGATCCTACACTGACTTAGCTCTCTGCACGTTGAGCAACCGTCGTGATCGTTTGGCTTAGCCTCTGCCTCAGTAGTAAAACCTAAAGATGGGTTATTGAAGTTTTTCTATTTAAATCGACCTGGTTTCCCATTATTTTCGCCACAATTACTCAACCACATTCACTCAGACCTTTCTGGATCTTCCTTCGCTAAATACCATCTCTTCAAATTTACCACTTCTCTAGACACATTAAGTGCTTATACCAACTACTATTATTATTTTACACTTCACCATGTACGCTTCTGTAATCTTTTACACTCTCGTCGCCCTTACCGGCATCATGGCATCTCCGGTTCAGGAGCCCGAGGCTGAAGGACACGCCTTTAAGCGATCCCTTGAGCCTCGCCTGCCTACCTTCGCGGACATCCCGTTCCCAAAGTTCCCGGCTCGCAACCCTCACCACGACCCCAAGGGCAACAACAACAAGGGCAGTAAGTTTTTTACCAACCATTTCGAGGCATATTCGGTCTAAGTCAGACTCTAACAGGGTCTACAGAAGGTGGCAAGGACAGCTGTCCTAGCGGTGGCTCAAGCAGCCAGGCCAATGCCTGCTCTTCAGGCAGCCCATACTGCTGCAGCAGCAACGGCAAGGGTGGTAAGTGATGAGTTGCTCTTTTTCCATCCTAGGAAAATTCTAATATTCTGCAGGCCATGAATGTTCAAACACCACTGCTTGCGATACGACCATTATTTGCTGCAACAACAACAACGGCGTAAGTTAACCTCATCCTATCTGGCAGTCATCATCTCACAAGTATATTTTAGTTCCAAATCTGCATCGGTGATATTGACTTCAACGTGCCCATCACCATCAACATCTACGAGTAGGGGGCTCATCCGAGAGAAAGACCTCTTGAGAGAGGCGATGGCGATGGCGATGGCAACCAGGACCGGGATGTCGGTGACAATATGAAAGCTTAACTTAGCCCCAGTCTGGGGATCAATCAAAACCCGATTCTTGGCTTTCAGCTACAATAAATTAATCAAGTGATGTTGTGTATTAGACTTTCGTAGTTCCGCAGGCTAATGGCTGTGGGGTTGTGTCAGCAGACGCTGATTAGGCGGTGCCTGGGCTTAGGCCACACCAAAATAGATTTCGGCACGTCGCTGCGCTGGAGTCTGGGGTAGCTTCATTTCCACCCGTGCGGATCGAACCTAGACCGGCGCCAGAGGATGTAGTGAGGATGTAGTTCTGACCTACGGACGGTGAGGGTGAGGCATTATCGCAGTGTAAGTGACATGTCATAGTGGAATGTGCTGTAGACCTCGTATTTGTTGCCAAGTGTAAGTGCCGGCCGATCATTGCCGTGGACGCGGCCCGTGTGAGGGAGCCAAGAGAGCTTAACCCAGCATTCTCTCCGCATCTCTACCTGCTGTATATTGTCTTTTCCTCTTCGTAGTCGAGGGAAGCTGGCGCGGTTGCATTTTACTGGCTGTTGGAGGATAACCATGATATTAAGAACAAAAAACTACACTTTGCTATTGGATCGGTTGATGGTCATCTCGTCTAAGTGAAGCTACACAAAACGTGAGAAGAGTCGACGGAGAACGCCTTGCAGCTGTGGTTCTTCCATCGGCAAATATTAAGGTTTAACCACCTCAACTAGAAGCAAAGGCTTGGCAGGGGTATCAAACCACACATTGGCTAAAACGGCATCCATCCATCCTCACTCTATTCAATCTCTCTATGCAGCTAATTTGGCGACATCCACCTCGCCTTCTACCGCATCACATTAGTCGTCAAACCCTATTTCCTCATTACATCAGTCGAGTCATGTGTAATGCACCAAACTGCAGAACCATAGGTGGATTTCATAACAAGGTTAATCAAGCTTCGAGGCTGCAGCGAGCGTGATCCTGCTGTATGACCGCCTGCATCACTCAATCTATACCCCATTGATGTTTATGCTTTGGAAACAAGGTCATGCAATATCAGTTTCTCGTATTTCGGTTACTACTGGGAATAATCAGCCACTCATCATCAGCTGCCCGAGCTCCAAATGTTGTTAGGTCTGGTCTGGCAAGATGTCCGCCACACCTTTTTATCGGGAGAGCCACATGGTTGGATCATCCGCTGAGCCACACCCGACTCATGACGAAGACAATGGGGAATGGAGAATGGAGATGCATATTCATTTTAACACGAAATTATGTTGACCTTCAAGTTCTGTTAGATGGTGCTCATTGCTTGATGCCAGAGTAAATTTGCGTCTCGGATACTCCCTTCGTTCGAATCAAATGGAACGTCTGCATCTATTTGCTTCGCCACTTTCCGAGGTCGTTGTAGGGTAACTATGACATCTACATAGTTTAGCCCCACCAACTAATGGTCTTGGCTATTGGGCATTGTTGCTGTTGTTGAGACTTTTTGACGTGATTTTGACTTCTCCCTTTTTTCCCTAAACAATCAATTGGTAGCTTCTCACTCAGTCACCGTTGTATCATCCCATCTCATCTCGTCTCGTCTCATCTCACACGCTCTGTTGTTGGCTCTCATCCTTATCCTCATCCTCATTCATACTCACACACACCCACCCACTCACTCACTAATATCCTCCCCCCGCGATGGCCGACCTCACCATCCGCAACCTCACCATCACGCCCCTCGAGCTCGTCTCCGTCGAGCGCTTCCAGGGCGAGAAAAAACGCACCGGCAACGTCGTGTCCAACGTCACCGGCGCCATCACCGGCTTCATCAACGCCACCGACTTCTCCGCCCACCACATCCTGCCCAAAGGCGACTCGCACGACTCCCGCGACGTCTCCTTCCACCTGGACCCCTTCCGCACCGTCCGCACCGATGTCCGCTCCGCCGATCCCGCCGGCCGCGAGGTCCTCCGGCTGACCTTCCGCGCCGGCGACCGCCGCTATGAGACGGACGTCCCCAGCCCTTCGCGCAAGTCGTCTGTTATGAAGAGGATCGACGGGGATGATGACGTGGATGACGCCCTGGACCTCACCGTCGTCTACGTCCCCACGGGCGCCTTTCTCGCCATCTTCTCCTCCGCCAAGCTCTATGCTTGGATGAAGCAGCTGGACGATGCCTGGCCGCTGCCCCTGCTCTCCATCCCTGGCACTCACAATTCGCCCACATGCCACACTGCCCTGCCCTCAGTCCGCTGTCAGTCCGTGGGTGTCCCCGAGCAGCTCCAGAACGGCGTGCGCTTCCTAGACATTCGCGTCTCCGTCAACACGGACAATGACACCCTGGCCCTTGTCCACTCCGTCTTCCCCGTGTCCCTCACAAGCATCAAGTACTTCTCCGACATGGTGGACGACATCTACCGCTTTCTGGACGCCAACCCCAGCGAGACCGTTCTCATGAGCATCAAGCGCGAGGGCGCCGGCCGTGGCACCGACCAGCACCTCAGTCGCTACCTCAAAGCCGGCTTTGTCGACAAGAACGCTGACCGCTGGTGGACCGAGCCCCGGATCCCGACCCTGGGCCAGGCCAGAGGCCGCATCATCATCGTCCGCCGCTTCGGTCTCGACGAGGAAATGGCTCGCTCCTGCTGGGACGGCCGTGGCTGGGGAATCGACGGCCAGCACTGGCCTGACAACTGCGAGGACGGAACCTGCGAAGGGGGCCACATCCGCGTACAGGATTTCTACGATGTCACCGAGAGCCAGAACATCGAGAAGAAGATTGACTATAGCCGCGGTCAGCTAGAGCGCTCTGCTGAGCGCGAGTTTCACGTCATCGGGCCTGAGCATGACCACAACCCAGATCCTGCGCTGCTCCCCATCTTTGTCAATTTCTTGAGCGGCAGCAACTTCTTCAATGCGACATGCTGGCCCGAGAGAATTGCGGCCAAGGTGAATCCCGCCATTGTCGAGTATCTCTGCATCCGCCACGGCGAGGACGGCAAGGGGCCTAACCAGCTCAAGGTCGGCGCGGCGAGCACTGGCATCGTCGTCACGGACTGGGTGGGTGCCAACGGCGATTGGGATCTTATTAGATGCATTGTTGGCTGGAACGCGAGGTTACAACTCCCTTGAGAATGATCAAGTTGAGGGCAAAATGAATGATACATGTGTTTTTTTTTGTGGTATGGGCTTTACATGAAACATGGATGAGGAGAGAAAAGAGAAGTGCTCAGGTCACACAAGCGAACAAGCGGATAGATTAGATAGTTCAAAATTTGGGTATATTATACTGGTATATATCTGCATATATCAAGCAGTATTACTGGATGTTACACCAGTGGAACACCGCAAGCTTCTCTTGCCAACACAAGCAAGAAACACTAACTCAGGGTGTCTCCATGGTGTAACATCGCAGCATGTCTGCGGCAAATAGAATGCACCATAGCTGTGGAGATAATCTCGCAGCTTCATAATGGTATCTAACGCAGTAAAGTCAGCCACCGCTCTACTACCCGTTTGTTTCAAGCAATTATGATTAAGAAACCATATCAGTTCTCCAAGGTGAAACTTTTTTTCGTCACGAGGAACTCGGCCAATGTAGATAATAATGAAAGTCATCATGATGGTAGGGTGTGCAAGTGAAAGGAAGAAGAGACAAAACCACATACCATTTTATTGACCATGCAAGACATCAATGCGTCTCACCTAGTTTACTTTGTACAATGTCAGCCTCTGGGTCAACAGACAGTACATTAAGCACAACAACATTGACATAAATCATCTACCCAGTGGTTAGCTACGTGCCAGAGCGATACCATCGTGTCGGCTGCGCTTACCTATCAGAATGTGTAGGTTTGTTCATATCCAACGACTCCCGAAGGCGTCGCGGAAATCAGACAGTGTGAATACAAAATAATAACATTTCATCACAGAGATACAGCAGTAAAATAAAGAAGAATCTTTGTATAATAAGTACCTATTGTTGTACGAGTTAGCTGACATGTACAATCCCAGCTTGAACAAGGAACCAATTCCTATGAACCACGATCAGGTGACGAGTTCTCATCCTGAGTTCTCACTCCCCTTCACCACAAGGATTGTACGTCCTTGCTTTCTCAGGGATGAAAGGTAGCAAGGCTCGATATGTCCGCCCGTTCGTTCAAATTTTCATCATGTGGGATAGGTTGAGATATGGAAGAGCTTGCAATTACCTGTTGACAGTCTTAGTTAGCAACAAAGCTTTGATGATATAAGACAACAACAGTTAAAAATGTAAAAAGTACTGATCAGACAAGGCTGAAACTTGTAAAACACGGTATCCACATCGTATATTAAGCATGAGGAATCCCTAAGGTGTCAATTGTTCATCATACAGAACAAGCTTTTGACAATTTGCCAAAAGAAAGTAGGAAAAAAAAAATCACCAACCTTTTGAAAATATAGAGAATCGTGGGTGGATCGAGGGGTATAAGCCCTACTTCCTGGACATCTTGGATGCGTTAGCAGAGCTCGCCAATAGCAAAGAGTCTGAAAAAGAGGCGATCCAAAGCTTGTTCAGGTACGTTGTAAAAATTTACATAGTCACCATGGTCTGGTATGAATTGGATTGTTCATGAAAATAAAGCATCATGTAAGGCGCATTCGAAGGGAGAAAAGTATAGCTTACCTTGATAACACGTCCAACCACCAGAGCTTGTACCCGGGAGTGCACTTGCAGCTCCGGAATAGAGCTCCTGGTGGTTGTGAGGAAAAGAAAGAAGAAGAAAAAAAAGATGGTGGAAAATTTCTCGACGGAAGAAAAGTAGGAAATAAAGCAGCCCGCGCTAGTCCCGTATTGGCACTAGGCGGCCTCAGCCCCGCAATCTGTGGCGCAGATCTAATCTGTGGCGGTGTTGCCAGCGCATTAGCGCGCTGCATGCTTGCGTGGCGAATGTCATTCCCGAAGTTATATAGAAGCCCGTCACTCCCCGTCATCTCTCGCGGAGTCAAGCTTCAACCTCTTTCAACCACCATCTGGTGAAAGAAACCAAACGATTTCAACATGGCGTCCGCGGGGGTGATATGGGGCCCAGATGCCCTGCGTCTCCTCCGAGCCGCCGTGTCCAAGACCACCGCGGTGGTCCGGGACAAACTCGCCAACGCGGCGAAGCCGTTCCAGAACCAAGCACTTCAACCAATCCCTGTGTCGGCCAAAGGCGGTCGACAATCCATTCACCCAGCGGCCCTTGCCAAACAACAAGTGCGAGGTGCCAGAGGCTTCTCCACCAACGCCGTGAAGAATGCAAACAAGGCCGTCCGACGATACCTTAGCTCCGAGAGTAGTGCTCCTCGACTTGATCGATCCAAGCTCCCGAGCTCCAACACTTCTCGCCGAGTTTCTCAATTCTCCGGCCGAGCACCTTTTGCGAGTGCTCTGCGACCCAATTTGACGGGCGGAGCCATGCCCCGAACCGCCGGTGGCTACAGCTTGGGCGGAGGTGCCCGATACTTCTCCCATACTCCAACAGCCCCTGCCCAGGTCGTGCAGAATGTCTCTCAGGCAATGCGGGCCTTTTTCCTTTCGGGACAACGAATTCGATATGATGGAACAGGACCACGCGGTGAGGCTCAATACCGGGCCGTCTCCGTGCTCGAGGATGAGGCCATGCGTAAACTGGCTGCCATCCCCAAGTTCGCTCCTGGTGCCTATATCGACTTCCAACTGAGCCCAACCATCACGGCCATGAGCCCTCTTGCTGCCGCCCTTGTCCAGGCTTCCGGCACCTCCGGTTTCCAGGCCGAGGCTGCTATCCCAAGCCTCAACACCGAGGGGTTCCTCGATGTCCTGTCAGCGGATTTCGGCCGTGCTTTGAAAGACTTGACGGCCATTTATGCTGATCTCGAGCGTCTTTCAGCCTTGGGCGATTTGCCGATATCTTTAGAATTAGGCAATTTGCTTCGAGTTCGATTTCCAGGCGTTGATGTCGAAACCCTCGAGCGACTGTGCGATGACATTGGTATACAGAGGGGCATTGTCAGTCAAGATATTGGTTTCGAAAGTGCCGCTGGCGTTAGAACGGCACTCAAGTTTCCTTTCGCACCAGACGCTGAAAAGGCCTTGACGTCCCCTGGCGGGTCGGAGAGATCTTTGGAAGGGCATGAGCTAGAAGATGACATGTCCTCTCTTGGTGATGAATCTTTCGTTCATGAAGCGTTTGCATACGAAAACTCGGAGGACCCCTGGTGTTCAGAGACGGACGGATATGAGAGCATGTCACCTCCGAACAAGTCGGAGCAGCAATGCTCAGAGGAATATGAGGGCCTGGAAGGCATCTATCGATTTCTCGAAGAATGCGACAAGGCCAAGGGTAGACTGGGATGATGCTGATGCACTCGCCTGCATGTAGCAGGACGAAGCAACACCGCGTATGACATCATGAACTTTGGACATCCACACTCTTTTGCATTCGTCTTCTTTGTATTATCAACAACCATTTAGCATAGCTCACTTACGACAAGAATGAAGTTTTCTTTTGTGCACTCACCTAGTCGGTATACATCTTAAATAAAACTAGGAATGTTGAACAAGACACAGCGACTGTGGCAAAGCGTGAATGCGGATGAGAGCTGTCATCAGGTCATATTTTTGCATGTCTGGCTTTTCGAGGCGTTGCAGCTAGAGCTTGAGGGATACGGTGGGCCTTTTAGCAGATTGGTATTGGTCGAAATATGCTGCAGGAATATTCCAAACGAGAAGAGATAGGCACAGGAGAGATCGCAGCTGATTACATGCGCCGTGGCAGGTTCCATGGTTCCTATTGGAGGTGGGATGAGGATGCGCTGCATCGCGTGACTGGCCAGAATTGCAACTCTACTGCAAGTGGCATTATTTCCTGTGCTGGCAAGTGTGAAGGCCTTATCGCTTATCGCTTATCGATAGTCACATGAAATGCTGCCTCATTCAATTGGTCTCTTACTGTACGCTAGCAGCCACATGCTACTAAGGTGCCTCTTAGTACTAATGTACCTATAATCTAAGCTCATCCGTAGCAACGAATTATAACAGTCAAGTCTACGAATTGCAATTCTTTTCAACGGCCAAACAGTCTCTGTAGGGCCCTAGAAAAAATCTGCAAGATTATCAGATCATCTCAGGGCTGTAGCGCCACCCGGAGATGAATTCGCGGGGTTGCTCGGCTGCCGATCTTGTTCCCCGGCTGAAGCTTTTCCCCACAAGCGTTGCCTCGGCTTGAAGTCGAGTGACCGAGCTCACCTTGTCCATCCATCATCATTTAAGCTGACCGACATCCCCAATCCCCTTCCACCTGCATTTGCATTTGCATTTGTATCTACGTCCCTCTCAGTTTCAATTCCGGCTTTTTTACTCAACTCATTCACAATGTCTGGACCTGGTGTCGGCTTCGAGTACCCTGCTCAGCCCGTTTCTTGGCTGAAGCGCGATGTCCTGCTCTTCGCAAACTCCATTGGCGCTACCGCCGACGAGCTTCATTTCCTCTACGTAAGTCGCTGGCGCCGAAGAAAACAAGAATTCAACGCAATTAACAGTCTCATCTATAGGAACTCCACCCCAACTTTGCCGTCTTCCCTACCTACCCCGTCATCCTGCGTAAGTGGCCTATTCCTGGCATCCCTTGGCCGACTACCTGGCTTTGCGCAAGCGCTGACAAATGGTCGAAACAGCGTTCAAGGGCGACACACAAGAAGTGATTGACTTCTACGCCTCCCAGAAGAAGATCAAGATTCCCGGTGTTCCCGACTTCGACTCCCGCCGCGTCGTCGATGGCCAGCGAAAGATTGAGTTTCTCAAGCCTCTGCCCATCTCCTCGGAGGGCCACAAGTTCGAGATCCGAACCAAGGTTCTCGGCGTCTACGACAAGGGCCGTCCCGGCTCCGTTGTTGACACCCAGCTCGAACTTGTCGATGCCAACACCAACGAAGTCTACACTCGTCTCTTTGGCAGCGCCTTCTACGTTGCCCAGGGCAACTGGAGCGGTCCCAAGGGCCCTGCCACTGAGAACTTCCCTCCTCCCAAGGGCAAGAAGCCCGATTGGGTGCTGGAGCACCAAATCTCCAAGGAGGCGGCTCACCTGTACCGTCTGAATGGCGATTACAACCCCCTGCACGCCACCCCCGAGCCCGGTGTCAAGATGGGCTTCCCCGGTGCCATCATGCACGGCCTGTATTCATGGAACTCTACCGCTCATTCCATTCTCAAGGCTGTGGGTGGCAGCAATCCTGCCAACCTCAAGGAGTACCAGGCCCGCTTCGCGAGCCCTGTGCTGCCTGGTGACAAGCTCGTCATCCAGGTGTGGAAGACGGGCGAGAAGAAGGGCGAGTTTGACGAGATTCGGTTTGTTGTCTCTGTCGAGGGCGGAAAGGTGTGCTTGAGCAATGGTCGTGCTTTAGTCAAGATTGTGGGAGATGACAAGGGAAAGCTGTAAATGTATAATAATGTGCCATTTTGATGACTGATTTTAGAGACCCCGCGATGGGTCCTTGAGCGAAAGTACCTATGCAGCACGCTTCCGTGTAACCATTAAAAAAAGACTATATGATGATTTCAATCGACGGATTAGTGAGCCAAGTGATCAAAAAAAGGAGAAAATGCATGCAAACATGTGTAATTGATTGTTGCCTCAATGTGGATGTCAGAGAGCGATAATAGCTGCCTGCGTCAGGTTTGGCCAAATTCTGCTGCCTGACTTGACCGTCTACTTTTTTCCCCCTTCTTATATCCCACCTCATCTCCATCTCACAACCAAACATGCCTTCTCCAACACTCATTTAATAGCCTAAAAATGAGCGAAACACATCATATCGGCCAGCGGATTTCCTACGATGGCGCGACTTGCACAGTCCGCTTTGTCGGCGGGGTTGCGGGCACGACGGGCAGCTGGTTAGGCGTCGAATGGGATGATGCCGCACGAGGCAAACACGATGGCTCTCACAAGGGCACTCGCTATTTCACATGTACTTGATTGATCCTTCTTTTCATAGCTTTAAGTTTTGTACATGTCATCGGCTGACGCGACGAGATGCAGGCACATCAAAATCCCCCACCGCCGCTTCATTTGTCCGGCCAACTCGTCCAGCAGACGCCCCCCAAAGCTTCCTCGCCGCCCTCAATGAGCGGTATGTCGTGGATGCGCCGGGGGCGGTCAAGGGCAAGTCCAAGACGGAGATTGTCATCTCGGGCAAGGTCGCCCAGGAGATGGGCTTTGACAAGATCTGGCGGAGACAGTCGCGGCTGCGGGAGACCAAGATTGTGATTCTTGACGGCCTGAGGGTTGCTGTGGCGAGGACAGAGGGGGATGTTAACGACGAAGGCGTCGCAGCGACGATTGCTGAGACGGCGCCCAAGGTTGTCGAGTTAGATTTGAGCAGAAACTTGTTCGAGCGGTTTGGGCCCGTGGTGGACATATGCCGAGATTTGAAGGATCTGCAGAAGCTTAGCATCAAGTAAGTTTCGACTACACAAGGATGGCTACCTTATTCCTGCTTTTATGCTGACTCGCTCTTTTTCTTTCATAATTATAGCGGAAATAGATTTCTAGATATTCTAACCGACGATTCTCTCAATGGCGCAGAATCAGTCCTCGGGAGAGTTCTTGAGCTGCAGCTAGGAGAAACATTGATGAGCTGGCAAGAGTTGTGTTTAGTGGCAAGCAAATGCCCTTCATTGACCACACTTCTCGTGGGGTCAAACCAGTTGTCAACTCTACCAGCTATAGTTCAAGACAACCTACCATCGACTCTGACGTCGATCAATTTGGAGTATAACGATTTCACGAGTCTGTCAGATATCGCTAGCCTTGCAACGCTCAACAAGCTTCGCCATCTACAGCTCAAGGGGAACAACATATCAGCGATAACCTCTGATTCTGGCCCCATTGATGTCGTTTTTCCTCCGTCCGTACAATACGTCGATCTATCTTACAACAAGATAGATAGCTGGGAGTTTGTCGATAAACTGCCAACCGTATTCCCTGGCATGATAGGGCTTCGCATCACCCACAACCCCATCTATTACTCCATGGATGCCGAATCCAATGCGCAATCCTCGGATGAATCCTTCATGTTCACTGTTGCCCGCATTGCTCAGCTCAAGACGCTCAACTTCACACACATCACCACCACGGACCGCACCAATGCCGAAATGTTCTACCTATCGCGTATCGCGAAGCAGCTTGCCACAGTGCCCGAGGCTGCAGAGGATTCCATCAAAGTCCTGCATCCGCGGTACAATGAGCTGTGTGAAGCATATGGCGAGCCCGATGTGATTCGTCGCGAGGAGATTAATCCCAACTTCCTCGAGGCTCGCCTCGTCACTACGGAGTTTCATTATGAGGGGGCTTCGGACGAGGGGAAGAAGACGAGGATCACAAAGATTCCAAAGTCCTTTGACATTTACGCCGTCAAGGGCATCGTGGGCAAGATGTATGGCCTGGCGCCCCTCAAGCTACGGCTGATTTGGGAGACGGGCGAGTGGGATCCCGTAGCCGGATATGACGAACAGGATGGCGACGATGACATCGATGATGAAGACGACGCCCTTGTGGAAACTAATCTGGACAGTCAGGAAGCAGGCGGTGAAGATGACAAGGCAGGGAGGTGGGTGAAGAGAGAGGTTGAGCTTACGGATGGACCGAAGCAGCTGGGGTATTGCGTTGATGGGTTAAGAGCACGGATCAGAGTAGAAGCATCGCGAAGCAGCTAAATACAGCTCCTCCTTGAAATGGCAATAGTATATTAATTGGTTCAATTTGTTCACTTTTTTTTCTCCTCCAATGGTTTCGCCCAATGCCAAGCACATCAGCATCAACTCAACGCTCGTTGGACGAAAAAAAAAAAAAGGAGCCCTCATGCAGGTCCCCCTTTCAGCCCCAAGGATGGCATCATGGCCCGATCCAATTCAACCGGATCGGCTGACAATCTGCGCAGAGAGGTTGTAGCCGTAAGGCGCAGAGACTGGGTTGTGAAAGCGACACTCCCCGGGAAAAAGGCTACAAGGTAAAATTTATGCTTGAATGCTCGAATCGACGTGGCCCAGACCACCCCCGCACAACAGGGATCTCCAGTCGTCATCGGAGCTGTCATGCAGCTTGGCGAGGGAGCTGGAAAAGAAGAGATCTTGTTGGAGGAACGCTGTGTGGGGATGTAATATATGTTAGTGATATGTGTGTGCGAGTGTAACCAAAATTATATAAAGGGGCAAGTACACTCAGGTACGGACGAATGGATCAATAAAACGGCTCAAGGCACAGAATTTCTTTTATACCCCCTTGCGAGCAACTCATCTTGAGGTCGCGATAGTCACCGGTGTATACTCGCCTCTCTCACACAATCACAAAGATGCTCTTCACCAACATCGCATGGCTCCTTGCCGGCTCCGCCTCTGCCTCAATCTCGACGTCGAGCTTCAAATGGCATTGGCTCAATAACCCCGGCGTCGAGCCCGTGTCACCAATCGGCCGCTCCATCACCATCCAAGTGCCCCCGGACACCGACATCTGGCGCCCTGCGCTCTCCAAGCACAACTTCACGGCGCCCTACCTCTACACCACGGTGCCCACCGCGCACTTCCAGAGCGTCCAGGTGACCGTCACAGGCCCATGGAAGACGCTCTACGACCAGGGCGGCCTCGTCGTGTCGTTTCCCAATCATCGCAATCCCAACGCCACGCGCTTCATAAAGGCCGGCATCGAGTTCAACGACGGTACTCCCGCGCTCGGTGTCGTGGCTACTGATATCCTCTCCGATTGGAGCTTGAGCCCCATCACGGAGAAGCAGACGGGCAACGCAAAGGCCACGATCCTGGTGGAGAGGGACGGCACTGATGCGTGGGTATATGTGTTGGAGAACCAGGGCAAGACGAGGCGCGCGCTGAGACAAGTGACTTGGGCATTCAACGAGGACGATGCCCAGGGCCTGGCCAAGGAGATTGAGGTTGGCATCTACGGCGCGAAGCCGACGGAGGAGTCGGGCGAGGGACACTCGAGGGATAAGATTGCCGTGTCGTTTTCCGGGTTTTCGCTCAAGACCGTCTAATACAGATAACACCTATATTAGAGCTTTTCCGTAGTTGATTCAATCATACCCATTGTATCATTGCGTCTCGCGCGTTTGCAGCTGCAAAGTCCGTAGCCCGAATAGAATCACCAGCCTACGTCCGCCGCGGCCCTCCACGGAGGGATTAACACCGCCGGAGCAGCAACCAAGCAGCATGCGCATATCCGCAAGCCACGGGCGTAATAAGCATACAAACAGCCACTCGGGCCGGATCACACAAGGTCAGACAGAAGCAAACGTCAACCTCAAATGGCATTAAGCAACTGGCGAGAGCGCGAGGTTGATAAGCAGGGTCTCGGGTGCAATCGACCAAAGGCGATAGCATCAGGAGATAGCTAAACCCGGTATCGCGATTCAACGAACTCGAGGAGAGGGAAAGGCGAAGAAACAAAGTTTAGCGCCAACCTGCCAAAGAAAAGCGTCGTGGCTCGCCTTTGAGTCGGAGATCGGCCGCTAGAGACGGGTTTGCACTATCGGAATAAGTGAGTCCAAATCGTCTCGTTATTTCCGATTACCCAAAACGGAAACGCCCTGCCCTTACATCATTGCCTCCAAAAGATCGAAATGTGCGGCGGGGCAGAATTGATATATAGAGGTGTTGAGATGTCGAGATTCTGAATTGTTTTTTTTTTTTTTTTCGAAGAGTCTATCATCATAAACAAAGCTTCAATACAACTCTTTACACAACAGTCTAATCTTGACAACATCGTCCTCATTCAACTCAATTACAGTAACTGCAAAAGCAAAGCTGAACAACATGGCCACCGTCATCAACAAGAGCGTCGGTCCTATTGGCTACGGCCTCATGGGTGAGTTTGCTCAACATAGCCCATAAAAAAAGCAAGATGTACTGACGCCCTATTTCTAGGATTCACTTGGCGACCAGAGCGTCCTCCTTTGGACCAGGCCATTGCCGCGTTAAAGACGGCAGTGGAAAATGGCATGACTCTTTGGAACGGCGGCGAGTTCTACGGCACACCCGAGTGGAATTCGATGACTTTGCTCAAGGAGTACTTCACCAAATATCCGGAAGACGCCGACAAAATTACGCTCATCATCAAGGGCGGCATGGATCTTGCTACGCATAAGCTGGATGGATCTCCAGAGGGCGTTCGACGCTCACTCGACAACATCATCAACCAACTAGGTGGTACCAAGAAGCTGGATCTCTTCAGCTGCACAAGGAGAGATCCCAACGTCCCCCTGGAAGTGACCTTTGGAGTTATCCAGAAGGAGTATATCGACACTGGCAAGCTTGGCGCCATTGCGCTTTCTGAATGCAGTGCCGAAACTATTCATGAAGCGGCCAAGATTGCCAAGATCGGCACTGTTGAGGTCGAGCTGAGCATGTTCACCCCGGATATTCTTACCAACGGCATCGCCGCGGCCTGTGCCGAGCACGGTATCCCCATCACCGCGTATTCTCCTATTGGACGGGGAGTGAGTTTAACCCCAAGAGACTGAGTCCCACTCGTAGCATCTGCTAACTTTAGAATAACCAGATCCTCACTGGCCGATTCAAGGACGTTTCACAAGTCCAAGGCTTTGGCTTCATCTCCAAGTTTCCCCGTTTCGAAAAGGCTGCGTTTGAACACAACCTCCAGCTGGTCGCTCAAGTCGAAGCCCTCGCCAAAGAGAAGGGCTGCACCCCGGCCCAACTCGCCATCGGCTGGGTGCACAGCCAGAGCAACCGCCCGGGACGACCAACCATCATCCCTATCCCCGGCGCCACAACAGCATCACGAGTGGAGGAGAACTCTAAGCTAATAAAACTAACGGAAGAGGAGGCGAAGAAGATTGACACCCTCGTCGAGTCATTCGAAGTTGCTGGCTCTCGATACCCTGCTGGCGCGCCAAGCAACACCTAGATACAGTCGACTCAAGGGGTGCTGTTTCTTAGATAGAGTTTCTGCTTCATGATTTGTTAGAACTAGCATAAATGACTTGCAATTTACAAGCGATTTAACGTATTATGATATTGGGAATCAGGGGTGAAATTGTCCACATCCAGTCAAGTTGGCTTGAAGCCAACATGACCTTGAGCATTGCAGAATTCATCGAAATGAATACATCATGTTGTGAATACTGAAAAGGGTTTGGATTTATTATGTTCAAACTTACCATTCTCAAATTGCAGTTCATTCAATTGACCCCATCGACTATTTGCGGGAATACGTATTTACCGCTGTGAGATTGAGAATAATGTTCAAATTTGTTTGAGCAAGAATCGCGTCGGTAAAAATATCTCTTGCTATATGGGGTTTCACGTGACGCGCTGGGTGCGGGTAGCTTACGGAGTTCTCCATACAAATCTATCAAACCCCTGTCCATCTTTGAGAGTTACAGTGTACAAGTAGAAGCAGACACGGCAGAAAAAGCATTCAAGTATGGAACAAATATAAACATGGACATATCAAAGGATAGCCCGTTGCCATTACCATTTTTTTCTACCTCACACTTGTCTAGGGGTATACATATATAAGCTCACCTTCATTAATCATTGCACAGGTCAGGATTCCAAGAAAAATTAAGGTGCCATGCGTGCCAGTAAACAAAAAGAAAGGAAAAAAATGCTAAACCATCATCGCCCCATTCATGCCCACGGCTTCCACCCTGTTGACAAGTTTCTTCACATTTGCCCATTCTTCATTCTTGAGCCCTTCCTTGCCACCCAAGCCACTAGCCACTTCGAAGACGGTAAGAGAGCCGTCGATGCCACCAGTTGCAATGCGCTTGCCATCGTTGGGTTCCCAGGCCAGCTTGTTCAAGCTCCTGGAAAGCATTGTTCTTCCATCCTGTCGGCTGCTCGGTGTTATTCTCGACACCGGCTCCTCCGTGTCTATGGCGATGTCCCAGAATTCCAGCCAGCCAGCTCCGTCTACGAGGGCAAAGACACTAGGCTTCACGGGTGACCATTTCGCATCGTAGACAACGTCCTCGCGGACAAAATCGATCAGCGGCGAAATAGCACCATCTCCAGCACCAATTGTCGATGTGGCCGCCGGAGCACGAATCTTCCAGAGCTTGACACTCCAGTCAAGAGAGGATGAAATGGCTAAGTCACCGAGATCCACAGGGCCCCTGGCTGGGTGGAAGTCAACCGACATGACAGGTGCCGCATGTCCCTTGTAACTAATCTTCTTGTCGACACCAGCCTTGGCACCGGCGCGGTCATATCTGTGGCAGGGGAATATTGTTCCCTCTTCACTTCCAACGAGGAAGAATGTCGGATCTGTTTGAGGGAACGATAGCGATGTGGGACTGACGTCCTCAACCGCCACCTTGGCCTGGCTGGGATTCTTCAACTCAAGCAGCTCTTGGGGCTGCGCAAATACATCCATGCTCCAGCCGCAGACAACGCCATCTGTAGAACATGAGATGATATTATTGGCATTTTGCGTGCCCACAATATCCACCGAGTAAATTGGGTGGGCATGGCCGTAGCCCGTCAATGGCGTCTTCTGGACCGGTGCAGATTTTGCTCGAGTATCCCATAGCAAGACTTGGCCGCTATACGAGCCGCCAATAATGAGGTTTGGGTGGTAGGGCGAAAATTTTGCCGTAAGGATATCGGACTGGGCGGTAAAGACATATTCCGGTCGATTGTGCATGTGAATGTTCCAGACCTGGACGAGCCCATCCGGCTCGTGGGGCGCTGTCGGGTTCTTGGTATAGGATGCGAGTACCAGCTCGTTGAACTTGGGTGAGAAATCTATCCCACTAATCATTCGCTTTTTAGACCAACGATCATCGAAGAATTGTACCACCTCCTTGACTCTATGTCCTCCCTTTCCTCCCGTGTTGCCGCTTTCTTCGTCCTTGTCTTCGAGGTCCTTGCCATGCAGGGCGTAGTCGGTAAGAATATCATATGTCTCCTGGTCCAGGGCTCTCTCAATCACTTTTGTCGACTGCTCTAAGAAATCTACAAATTCGTCTGAGTGAGTGACGGCTTCCAGTTCTTCGGCAGTAAGTTCTCTGATGGGAAAGTTGGTTGTGGAGAAGGGCTGGCCCGCGGCACCACCCTCGGCCAAAAGCTCTTTGGTCGCCCGCAGCTCTTCTTCCACTTCCAGTCTAATCTTTTGGCGCAGCTCCTCCTCTCGGTCACGCTCCTTCCTGCTTAGCCTCTTGTTAGGCGTTGAGGTCGTGCCCATGAAGTCGTCTGCATCAGACGCTATCGATTGAGCCCTTGTCCTTGTCGGAGTGGCCCATTCATCCGTAGTTTGTACACCTTTGCTGTAGGAAAAGACCTCCTTGACTGGACTTGGCGGGCATTCGTACACGGTTGTCAAAGGCACCGTCGTAAGGCTCAGCGTCACAGGGGTAGGGCCTGGGGTAGCTTGTCCGCCTTGCCCAGTCAGGGAAGCCGTCCATTCGGAAGTCACATTGCTGATCTCGCCGCCACTGAGCACACTATTTGGCCGACTTCCTCGATGCGCAGGCGATCCAGGGGGTCCCGTCCCAATCGAACTGGGCCTGCTACTACCGACCAAGCTGTCAATGAGGGTTTCGATCTCGCGGCGGCTATCTCCTCGTGGTGTCGGTGATACTAGCTGTGACATGGCAGACTATTAGCGGACGCGAAACCGGGCGGCAGACTGGAGAAGAACAAACCTCACTGGGCGAGGTCATGCCAGTGCGATTGTACGGCGTCTGGCTGGAAGCCCGAAGCTCCCTCTGGCGCTTAAGCTCTGCGAGCTTCGCCTTTTTGGCAAGAATCTCTTCTCGACGTTGCTGCATCGTGATGGTCCCAAAGTCCCATGGCGGGACTCGCCAGAACAGTAGGTGAGGCCAAATGCGAGGAACAAGGAGGGAGGGAGGTCAAGCCACGGCGCCACTCAGCGAGACGGCGATTCAAGAGGGCGAGGGTGAGGGCGGGGTCCGAAAAGGCAGGCCTAGTTGGAGAGTTGGAGGAGGACAAGGAAACAATTAAGTAAAATCAAGACAGGGGATTGCGCGCTGGTCGGCCACTCTGCCCACTCCTTTTCATCCTCTATTAATACTCCGTACACCGTAATATTAATGGCACTGGTCTGTATCGGCAGCTAGAGGCGATTGCCATTGAGCTTATCGGCGTGGAGCAGCACCAGGCGCTGGCAGCACGTGACCGCAGCGATGGCACAGGCCTAGAGAGCGCCGGACCAGCTGCGGCCGTCCGGACCTGGAAAAACTGCGACTTTTCCCGAGGACATTTTCAAATCTTCATCCAGCCGACGCAACAATTCCCTCGAGCCACTCTCGACAGGGTTCATCGACGGCCATTGTCGACCCCCCCAGATCCGCCCTCACTCCCCGATTCCTGCCTGAAGCAGCCGCGCGACGTGCGATTTTCACCATGTCGTCAACAGGAGTCAACGTACGTTGTAGTCTTATCCTCGCAGTGCCCAACCGCAGCCCTCCCGCATCGGCCTCGATCCTGCGATGCCCGCGTGCAATTGGCCCTCGTTTGGCGACACAAGTCTGATTGATCCACTTCCAGGTCCTCCGGTGGTCCGCCCTCGCCTTTGGCGTGTTCTACGGCTTCTCCCACCAGCGCACCATCACCACCACACAGCGAGCTCAGCACGCGCAGCACGAGTACGAGCAGAAGCAGAAGCTGATAGACCAGGCCAAGGCCGAGTACGCAAAGAAGAACAGCCCGGTCACGGCAGCAGCAGACGATGGTACGCATACTTCGCTAGACTATGGCATGGCATTTCTCCTTTTGTCCCGCGGGGTTATACCAGCAGTTCCGGGGATGGGGGTCGACAAGAATGCGCATGGTGGAACTTTGACAGGAAAGCTAACTCTGGGATAGCCGCTACGGATGTCAACAGCCCTGAATTTGACCTCGAGAAGTACCTGCTGAAGATCGCTAAGGACAGCCCTTGACGGAGCCAAAACGTGGACTGATGGAGGGGTGAGGAGCAAGGAAACGAGGTTGAAAAAAAAAAGTTGAGAGAGATGCTGGCGGGCAAAGAAAATGTGGCCGTCATGGAGACCCAAAAAAGCCCCGCGAGGCATAATAAGACACCACAGACTGCAAAGGCAGTGTATATTTGAAACTACACATGGCGCCGCTGCATAGAGGTTTCCTGGGGTCATTTGTTTGGTGAACTGTACTATGTAAAAATATGCGCAATTAGACGATTCAAAGCTAAAAGAAAAGTTTACAAGAGTGTCAACAACGCTTTGAGGAGCAGAGTGACGTCTGAATGGCCTCCAATTGCATTATGCATGTGAGCGACGCTCTGCGACTGCAAGAATGTGGCCTTTCATAGCTGGAGGCTTTCCACATACACAGCACAGTAATGAGGTGGAACGATAATCTGCACCAGTCGGATGTGGTTCTTTTCCTTTTTCGCACTTTTGTGTGCTTTGATAACGCTCGAGGCCGAGACTGCTACTCTACAGAAGAAAACAACATTCCAATGCAGTTTAAACTACACTAATGCTCGACAGCTTCAGCGTTGATTCAGACCCGTTCCCACTTTTTCAATTGTCGTAGGCATGAAGCTTGGTGATACTTACAGTATCTTGTGTGACGGCGATGCTCTCTCGGGAAAACACCGGGTTGCGCCAGCCCCACAATCTCTTGACATACGTAGCACCTTAAGCTCCAAGCTGTCCTCAGCAGTCTGGGCGCGGCTTCAGTAGGTTCGAAGAATCTCCAACAACGCTTCCGGAGATTCATCCTTCCACACCAGTAGCCACAATGGCGGCAAAAACCCAAGGGCCCGCCGTAGGCTACACTACGGAAAGCACACGGACGCTGCTTCGGGTTGTCATTCTCTGCTTCATTGCGGCGGCTGCCATCTCGAGCCGTCTCTTCTCAGTTATACGTAAGCTGTTCTTCCAGTTGCGTTGATGCTGCGATGCGTCAATGCTGCGACCCATTGCTTCATCCAATTGCAGTTGCGGCAGTATATACAAGAGAAGACAGCCTGGCTAACCTGCAATCTTTAGGATTTGAAAGCATTATTCACGAATGTTAGTCTAGCATACTCTCAACGCGCAGCGCACGAATCGCCCAATGCCACTGTACTAACAACATTCGTCTAGTTGATCCCTGGTTCAACTTCCGAGCAACCAAGTACCTCGTCGCAAATGGCTTCCACAAGTTCTGGGATTGGTTCGACGACCGAACATGGCATCCTCTTGGTCGAGTTACAGGAGGCACCCTGTATCCCGGCCTGATGGTCACCAGCGGCGCCATCTACCACGCCCTGAGAACGCTCACAATCCCCGTCGACATCCGCAACATTTGTGTCCTCCTTGCGCCGGCCTGCTCAGGTCTGACTGCATTTGCCACATATCTTCTCACTAATGAAATGACCACGTCGCCATCTGCAGGTCTCTTGGCTGCCGTCTTCATGGGAATTGCGCCGGGCTACATCTCCCGATCCGTCGCCGGTAGCTACGACAACGAGGCTATTGCCATCTTCCTTCTCGTCTTCACCTTTTATCTGTGGATCAAGGCCCTGAAGCTTGGTTCCATGCTGTGGGGAGCTCTCTGCGCGCTCTTTTACGGATACATGGTGGCCTCTTGGGGTGGATACGCCTTCATTACCTGCTTGCTGCCCGTCCATGCCCTGGTTCTGATCTGCATGGGACGATACAGCACTCGTCTCTATGTCAGCTACACCACCTGGTATGCTCTGGGAACTTTGGCCAGCATGCAAATTCCTTTTGTCGGCTTCCTGCCAATCAAGACTAGCGAGCATATGCCCGCCCTGGGTATGAGCATTCTTCATCCGTGAGATGACAACCTTGAACAAGTAACACTAACATTCTGTAAAGGCATCTTCGGCTTCATCCAGCTTATTGGTTTCATCCAATACGTGCGATCTGCCATTTCTGGTCGCCAATTCCAAACCTTCCTTGTCACCATCCTCGTGGCAACGTTTGGCTTGGGTCTGCTTGGTCTTGTCGCCCTTACCTCCCTGGGCTATGTTGCTCCCTGGAGCGGACGTTTCTATTCCCTGTGGGATACCGGCTATGCCAAGATTCATATCCCCATCATTGCCTCTGTTTCTGAGCACCAGCCTACTGCCTGGCCTTCCTTCTTCTTCGACTTGAACTTCCTCATCTGGCTCTTCCCGGCTGGTGTCTACCTGTGCTTCCAGGATCTCAAGGATGAGCATGTCTTTGTCGTTGTGTATGCCCTCTTCGGAAGCTACTTCGCTGGTGTCATGGTGCGTCTGATGCTCACTCTGACCCCCGTTGTCTGTGTTGCCGCCGCCATGGCCGCCTCTCAGATTCTCGACACCTACCTCTCCTGGAAATCAGCTACTCCTCCCGAGGAGCAAGAGGCGCCAAAGAAGGTCAAGGGTGGACTTCGCGGCAGCGACAAGCCCAATGTTGGAATCTACAGCAACCTCACCAAGGTTATGGTGTCTGGATCCATGCTCGTCTACCTCTTGATGTTTGTCTCTCACTGCACTTGGGTCACTTCAAACGCCTACTCCTCGCCTTCAGTGGTCCTTGCCAGCCGTATGCCGGATGGAAGCCAGCACATTATTGATGATTACCGAGAGGCTTACCAATGGCTGCGCCAAAACACCAAGGAGGATGCCAAGATTATGTCCTGGTGGGATTACGGCTATCAGATTGGTGGCATGGCTGACCGACCTACCTTGGTTGACAACAACACCTGGAACAACACCCACATTGCTACTGTTGGCAAGGCCATGAGCTCACGAGAGGAGGTTAGCTACCCCATCATGAGACAGCACGAAGTCGACTATGTCCTCGTCGTGTTCGGTGCTCTCCTGGGCTACTCTGGTGATGATATCAACAAGTTCTTGTGGATGGTTCGAATCGCTGAAGGCATTTGGCCTGATGAGGTCAAGGAGCGAGACTTCTTTACTCCTCAGGGAGAGTACCGTGTTGATGAAGGTGCCACTGAGACCATGAAGAACAGCTTAATGTAAGTGGGGAACATAATTTAGAGAGAAAATATTGATTTTCTAACAAAAAGCACAGGTATAAGATGTCGTACTACAACTACGCCTCTCTATTTCCAGCGGGACAGGCCGCTGATAGAGTCCGAGGAGTCCGAATTCCTGACCAGGGACCTGTTCTCAACACGCTCGAGGAGGCTTTTACCAGCGAGAACTGGATCATTCGTATCTACAAGGTCAAAGACTTGGATAACATTGGTCGTGATCATGCTAATGCTGCTGCGTTTGAGCGCGGCCAGAAGAAGAAGAAGCCCACTAAGAAGAGGGGCGCCCGTGTGCTTCGCGTGGATTAGAAAGATTAAATATGTTATCATGGAGAGATATCTAGGGGGGTTTAACAGGAGCCAGCAAAAAGAATCATGGCTTGGGTGCTCCTATATATCTAGGCAAAAGATGGTCTAGAATGTATATCAATTTCATTGTTTGAAAAGAAAACCATGCGAGTCTTTTCGGAGCGATTGCTGATTAATATTACTTGACCGTGACTTGTGTTGAATGAAATAGCAGTAAAAAATACTCTGGTTCTGTTGCCACACGCTCAGGAGTTTATATTCAGGGGTGGCATTGAAACACTTATCAGTCATCTTCAATCCTTATAATCGTAAGCTTTATACACAGATTCTTTTCGATCCGAGTCTGTGAGCACGCAAACCGATTAACACCCAGAGTATCATGATGCCCATCTACCGTAGCTATAAAATATATGCCTTGCCCCTATAGCAGAACCAAGCGTAAGTCGCAGTATATCAAGTCGTCAGCGGATAAGACACATCAGATGTACAATTTTAATAAGGCAGCTACCAGAATATTTTCCAATTATATTATCCAATCCTAAACTGCCCACTCCTTGAAGCCTTCAGTCAGCGTTCAATTTCGCATAATACTAACTGCAAATGTCGACAGCTGCAGGAGCACCGGAAGGGGCTCGCCAGCTGGCAAATACCTTCCAACTATTGTTGCAACAGCGCGTAAAATTCTTCAAGGCGCGTTTTCATCCGAAGTCGCGCCCGTTGCTTCACTTTTCGTTCACTTTTGTCTTCCCTCTTCTCCCCCTCACCTTGACTTTTCTTCCCTCTCCCCTCTTCTTCCCCCAACTTCTTCCTCAACCATCACCTTCTCTTCCATCCAATCCCATCGCTTCTTGTTCTTACGGATTGTGTTTCCTCTTTATCTTTTCTCTCACAGATTCAGGCACGATGGGCGGCAGCAAGAAGAATCGGCGCAAGAACCCAGCTGATGACAGCGGAGTTGATCTCCTCAGCCTTGCTTTCAACCTGCCCACGCGCCGTGATTTTGAACGTGCAGACAAAGAGGCGGGCCAGAGCCAGATCCACACGCAGAGTATCAGGATTCAATATGATGCAGGCGAAGATGAATCCAGTGACGCCGGTTCTTCGGCCGTATCTCAAGCAGATAGCAACAGGCCAGACACGCAAGATGCCGACGAGACACCAAAAGCCCGAAAAACATCTAAGCCTCGCCAACACCATGTCAAGGAACAGAAGAATACTCGTCAAGAAACTTCTCCGAAAGATTCTCGGAAACTACCCAACCAAGCCAAAGTGCCGCTACTAACGCGTCGACTTTCGAGACGGGAGTCTTCCAAACCCCTCAAGGCTCGCGAGAGGTCGTCCTCAAGCCCAGCTTCTCTCAGAGCTTCGTCTCCAGCCTTTTCCATCCCATCTTCGGCCACTTTTCCCCGCGCCATATCTAACCACTCTTTAAAAGCTACTAATATCACTGCTTCAGACGCTTCAGCCAGGCCTCTTCAACCCCATATTGGCGGAGGAGCTCAGCCGCAGCAATTCTATCAACCCATGTTTGCTATTCCCACAGTTTCTGTGTATCCCCAGGCACAATACTACTCGACTGTCGGCATTGATCCTGCTTCTGGTTGCAATCAATATGTGCCTTTTCCTATGAGCCCATTGCCCTCTGCCAATACCAAGATACCACCACACCTGCCAAACCAAATTTCTCAACAAGTTCAACATATTCAAAGCAAGCTCGATGAAGTAGTGATGAAACTTTCACAGAACCCAGAGGACGTGACCTTGAAGAGCAATCTGTCAGCTCTACAGACAGAGCTCAACACCCGACTGAACTCTTTACTGGGCATGGAACATCAGAAGGAATCCAAAGTTTCGGATGCCTCTGAAACTCACGATTCGAAACTATCCGCTATGTCACAACTCGCAACCACAAAGCAAGAGAGGAGCCCTAAAAGAAAAATTCGTCATCATCTATGTACGGGCTGCGGCAAAGTTCGCTCTTCCGACTATCACAGCAAGCGCCCTGTCATTCCAGGAGACAAGCCTTCCAAGAACTACTGTGAAGATTGCTTCGAAGAAAACGTCGAGAAGGGAATTTTTAAACACCATTTCTGCTATGGCTGCGGGGCTGCTAGATCCAAGGAATTCCATCATAATCACCCAATCTCGAAAGAAGATAGGCCCTTTCCTAATTACTGCTCGATATGTGTTGAAGAGATCCGATCTGCTGAGACCATTGCAGACGTCTCTATGATAGACTTTGTAAGTACTATGACTCATTCTTTGCGAAGAAGTCGGTTGAAAATAACCAATTGCAGGCTCCAGAAAGTCGTTTATACAAGAGTAACGTACTCTCTGATGCTATCCCTGATCAACTTCAAAACACTACGCACATTGATTCGTTTGGATCAAAACAAGGATTGGATAATAAAGAAAATCAACAAAATGTCTTGTTATTCTCGGATTATGACGATAAGAGTGACAAGACTTACGCTTCTGAACATAAGAAAGTTCCACACTCGCTAAAGATTTCAACAAGCGGCCCCCAGCTGAGCCCTTCAAACTCTTCGCCTGACTCTCCATATTATCCAGTTCGCCATACTGGAGCATCCCAAAGGCGTGCACAGCGAAGTCCACTGACTAGCCCAGGAAGCCAATACTGCAGCTCTCCCGATACTCCAAATACACCAAGATATCAGTCCCCCTATGTTGAGGATGTATTTTCGCCTATTCAGGAAGCAAATAAGGTAGAGGGGGGTGGCCAATTCCCCACCACGACGCCGGGCAGACAATGTTCCCAGGTTGAGCGCCTTCACCGCTCTGCAAAAGATCCCAACCCAGATATCGCTCAAGAGGTATCGGACGATTCTACTGAAGGGCATGCTTCTACGGACGATTCATCCCATTCCACTGGAAGCAAGTCTGTAAAGTTTAGGCAAAAAGTTGACATTCGGCTCTCAGACTCCCGAACATCAAGCAATGCCTCATCGCATGCCAAAATTCTTGAAGAAGATATAAAACCCGACGATGACACCATACCAAGCCGTGTGGGTATATACGGAACTTCGCCAGTGAAGTCGCAAAATGGATATTATCCAAAAGCACTAGGTTCCCACAATGTGTCATCTTCTCTTGCTGGGGAGGATGGATACGTTGAAGCTATCCCAGAAAGAAGCTACAGAGGAGCTTTTTCTAAAGACAGCCCTGCAAGTTCGTGGCTGCCCCCTACGTCCAATTCTGGAGATCACTGGTATTCGAGACCCTCTGCGTACAATTCGACCACACCACAGAGCCCCATCATGGAAGGCTTCAAAGGATTTCGGCCAGGTGGCCACTCAACCTTCAATTATGGTTCTAGAGGTGAAAATGGGGGTGGAAAAGGTGTCCCTCCACCGCTTGGCACCACTCGCAGTGCATTCAGTCCAGCAAGCCCAGGTACCACGGAGGAACGAGAATCGCAAAGGTCTCCCCTTTCCCCAAGCTCCGACTCACAATCTCAAGGATTGCCAGGGTCATCCAGTAATGGCTGGAAGTACTACACGTCATCATTTGGGGGAGGACAGAAGACTGAGCCTACGTTCAAAAAGACATCACCCTGGAGCAATTTCTTTTCTCAGTTTGACCCCGAGTGCCATACAATGCAAGATGATTCTTCGTTCAGTCAGAGTGCATTTAGTGACTACTCTCAGCCCAGTAGTAATCCTTACTACGAACCTCGCAAACGAACCTTTCCCGATCTAAATGACTATTGCTCCTTTGGCACTCGGACCCGTCGCACTCCAGGCAAGTGGGCAAAGGATTACCAAAGCACAACAAAGTTACCCAAGCCGACGCCGTATTGGATCCCCGAACCAATCATTGAGGAACCAGATTCCCCCGAGAGCTCACCAGCGAAGAAGGCCAACATGCTTGGTAGGTTGACATTGTCTTGGTTATTGTGTCTTGCTTTCATTCCTAACTATTCGCAGAGTTTGATGACATCGACATCTCTCCTGCATCTGTTAGCAATATTGGTACCAACTCATCGCCTGATTCAGCAGAAGATGATAAGGCCAATGTCGCTGGATCTGACGTCAAGTCAGACGATGATTCTGATAAGGAGAATACGCCCAGCAAGAGCGGCCCTGATATGACGTGCCTTGAGTAAACTTGTGAGAAATTTACGGAGTTGGGGTATGAAATTTGCTATTCAACGACTATTTCCTTTTAATAATCGCCATTGTTGCTGTGGATGGACCACACTTTGTTTGTATGGACTTTTTACCGTGGTTTCGACACGATATTCTTGAGACGAGCCAAAGTTGCTATTGCGTTTTTCTCTTCTCTGGTTTGTTTTTCTCAAAGATTGCACACATGTATGAACGACGTTGCTTGCTGTCATAACCAGGGGAAGTTGGTATGCTGGTAGTTGTCCAGGGTGAGAAGGACAGATATTTTAGGAAGCAATATGGCTAGGCGAATGCATTATTCTCATCTGAATACGATATCGCTCAGTTTGTTGCCCAATAAAGGGGTTCACAAAGGCCGGCCGGCATCAACACCAAAGTCAAGGAAGGTAGCGAGATCTCGATTTTTGTAGTTGAGATTGCATTAGCTAAATGGTCTAATTATATTGGGATTTGCAACGCCTATGTAGTAGATGCCCATGATATGCATGAATACGCACATGGCAGTCCCCAAAGAAAAATGCAGCCTGCGCCGCGAGAGTGTTTCCTCCGACAAGTTTCCCAACCACCCTCCCTCCTTTCCCGTCCAGCCGTCCCAGCCATCCATCCAACTCATATGTCCTTTTTTTTTTGCTCATCTACGAAGGAGAAGAAAAAAAAAGAACCCAGATTCATTTCCACATGAGTACAGATATAGCTTTTTCCCAAGACAGATATAAGCTCCAAATTACAAAAGGAAGAAGAAGAAAAAATGGAAAAGGAAATAGAAAGACATGATGCTCGCTCATGCATTGCTTACATGGGCCTTTTGATATACACCATAAACACAAAGACGAGATGAAAAATGAAATGAAGAAAGAAAAAATTTGAAAAGAAAATGGTGAAGAAATGGTAAAACGCAGGCCCAATGTCAACGCCCGCTTCATCGAACCGACCGCACGACATCCTTCTCCGGACTCATCCTAATCATGGTCGACTGCAACCGATTCGAATACATGGTTGGCGCCACACTGGCGGGCGAGCCCTTCCTCGACGAGGCGCCCCTCAAGGCGAGAATCTCCATGGCCTCGAGCCTGTTCCGCTCAAAGGCGTAGCTCCTCTCGCGCTCAAAGTCGATGCGCCGGCCGCGCTCCTTGTGCTCGGCATTCGCGTCGTTGATCCTGCTGCGCTTGTCGGCGAGCTTGTCGGCGACGTCGCGGATGCGCTTCTCCGTGCGCTGGCACGCGGCGTCGAGCTTCTCCGCCACGGAGGCGTCCGCGAGCTCGAGCCTCTGCTGGTCTTGGCGCGGGCGAGCCGAGCCGCCCCAGAAGCAGCGGAAGACGAACTTTGTCTGGTATTTGGCGTCGGGGGTGCCCCATACGAGGAGCGTGTCTCCGTCGTAGATCTTGGTCCAGTGCACGGAGGGTGCCGAGGGGTTCTTTGGATCGGAAGACGGGAGGTCGTGTCCGTTTACGCGGATGCCTATCGTGGCTTTGGATGAGATCCAGCAGAAATACGAGTCTTTGTCTGGTGTTGAGTCTCGGGCCCACGGGGGAGGAGTCTTGGCCGGGTCCTTTGCGGGATCGTAGCCCTCTTTCCATAGCAAAACCTTGAAGGCGTACTTTGGCACTCTTGTGTCAGTCCTTGCCTCGAAGACGACGGTGTTTTCCGGGCCCCGACCGAATGATACCAGCGAATCCGTCATGGGACATGAAATCCCCTGAACGCAGGAGCTCTTGTCAGGTTCTATCAGGCCAATGGCCCTGGCCTGTGTCTCTTTCTGCACAGGAACTACAACATTCTGAGAATCTGGAATGTAAGGTTCCGCGTCTTCCTCAGGTTGTACAGCAGTAGGGGGGAAATCCATGGCGATGTCCTCGTCAGGAGATTGCCCCAGAGTTGGCGAGTTGGCTTGGCCATTGTGCCTCTGCGCCGGGGCAACAGGGGGGAAGTATTTCATAGCCAGACTCCACAGCGGCGTCTTGCCTGGGCTGAACTGTTCGCCTCTGTCGCGCGCCGCCTGAACAAACGCCTCGTACTGGAGCTGCGTCATCTCAGGGTAGTTGAGGTGCCACGTCTTGCGGTCCTGCTCCCAAAAGCGTTGTTTATTTACTATTCCGTCAATCTGACGGCCGGATCCAGATCTCTGAATGGGAGGCATGCGGGCCAGCAGCTTGCACTCCTCAACAGCCTCCTCGGAAAGGTCATCGGTAAACCCGTCAGACTTTAGCCTTTTGATGGTTGGTTTCCCCGTAGGCGTGCTGTCAAACTCATCGCTGGCTTCAACTGACGGGGGTTTGCGCTTGCTAGTATTGAAATCCATTGAGGCGGTCAAGTAGAGTGACGACGATTCCGGATGCCTCACCACTGATTCAGCGCCATTCAAGTTTTGCGAAGCGACGTCTTCCACCAAGCTTTGCAGCTGGTCGGCAGACTGATGGTGGTCAATGGACACGCTTGTCTCCTGTCGGAAGATGCGACGGTGCTTAATGAGAGTTGCGGCGGAATCCCCAGAGTCGTAGGCCTCGTCTACTTGGCTTTCGAAGTTGTCACTGCTGCCGCCACTGCCGCCACTCGCTCCATTCCTGTTCGTAACCGGCAGGTTGAGATGCTTCTCAGGTACTGCTCCAGAATTGACAAAGGCGGAAGCCCCAACTTCTCCAAAGAGGCGTGGAGGCTGTGTACCTCGACCAAAGGTATGATTTCCATTCTCCTTTCCTTTTCCCTTATCCTGTCCCCCCTCTTCGTCCTCCTCTTCACCCATGGAATCACTCACTCGGTCATCCTCGTCAACATCGTCGTGTGTCCGGTACTGGAGCTGCGGATCTAAGTAGTCTTCGTCGTCGGTAATTTCATCAAACGACTGAGAGGCTTCAATAGTTGTACCACCCAACCATGGATGGTCATCGAGCTCTTCTACCGTCGCACGATTCTCCGGTCTTCTCTGAAGCATGCGGCAGAGAAAGTCAATGCCGCTCGAGGAAATGGCTTGTTGATCCAATGGTCGAATGTCCAGCATCTCCGTCATAATTTTATGCAGCAGTTCGGAATAGCTGATGCCGCTTTTAACTGGATAGGGAGGCTGGCCTGTCATCGAATAAAAGAGGACGCCGCCTAGAGACCAGATGTCCACGGCATGATTGTATCTTTGGCCCGGTACACGGCGAGCCTTTTTCCCTCTGCTCCTAATACCGTTATCATCGTACTCTACATACTCGGTGTACACCTCCGGGGCACAGTAGAGCAGTGTGCCGCAAAAGGTCCTGAGGAAAGTCTGCTCGGTATCCACCATCTTTGAAAGCCCAAAATCTGTGAGCTTGACGTCCAGTGGCTGGAGCGTGTTGATCAATATGTTGTCTGGCTTGACGTCTCTATGGGTGATATTATTGCGATGTAAATAGGCGAGTGCGCTCAGCAGCTGCTGGGCCATTGTCCTTGAGTCGTCTTCCGAGAATGCCCCATAATCTACGATATGTTTTCCAAGATCACCCCCCGGTACATATTCCATGATGATGATGAGTAGTCGATCATCCCAGTCAAAGTTTTCCATGTAACGCACGATGTTGGGCTTTTTTTAAGAAGTTCAAAGTCAGTCAACCATGGCCATAGTAGACGAGTTGAGGGGGCACGACTTACATGATGCACCTTGCGCATAATCTTCATCTCATTCTCCACCTTTTGATCCAGCACCCCATTCTTAATGAAGCGGCGCTTCTCGAGCTCTTTGGCGGCGTACGGCTTTCCGTCATACTTTGATGTAACTTTGTAGACCACCGCAAAGGCTCCCTTGCCGATCATGCCAATCCTGTTGTACTTGCCGGATCCAGTCCACTCTCGTCGCACAGCTCGGGCATCTTTGCGCTTTGAGGGAGAACGCTGATCAGACGGCTGGCGTTCCAGGCGCCGCGGGGGTGCCGGCTGAGCCGTCTTGAACAAATCGACATGTCCTCCGGGGCCGGTGGTGACGGTCTCAACCGGCCCTTGCAAGGCGTGGCGAGCAAAATACTCCTCCACCTGGCGTGCGTATGCCCCCTCGTATTCGTCATCGCGGCGTGGGATTCGGACTCGGAAGGAGAGATCCTTCATCTGGTTGTGAAGATAGATGCAGATGATGGCTCCCGAGCTCAGCACCCACCTCGTATTGGGTGGCTTGCCAGGCTCCTTGGGGTGGGAAGTGAGGAGGTTGTCGTCGACAAAGGTTCCATTGGTAGACTTGTCCTCGATCATGACGATGCCGTACTCGTTGACGTATATGCGGAAGTGGATGTTGCTGATTCTCCGCAGCGGATCATTGACGAAGACAACATCGCACCTAGCATTGTTCCTCCCAAAGACGAAGCCGGCCGCAGGGTTCTTAACTTGGCTTGACAGCCGCAGTAGAATGGCATAGTTGCCATGGTTTATAGGGTCGGACTCGAAGCGGCTCGCATGGTCCTCGAGTTCGTAGTTGGGCTCAACGCCGTCGGCGGCGTCCTTGCCAATGATGAACGGCGATCCGATCCTGGCCAGCTGCTGGACCTCGTGGCGCGCACACTCCGAGTGCGGATACAGCACGCAGACAATGTCCGAGATGTCTTCGTCGGAAAAGCCCGAGTTCTGCTTGCCTACCCTGCGCGGGTCGAGGACGTTTTGCGTCGCTGCGAGAGACAAATGTCAGCGTCAAGTCGAGCGGCCGTGAACGGGGCTCCATCATCGTCTTACCCTGCGTTGGCTCTTCGCCGTCCATTGGGAGCGACCCGGCGAGGCGACGGCGTGGAAAGGGTCCAGGTTGCCGCGTCCAATGCGAAGAGCGTGCGCTCGCTATGCGTATAAGTCAAGGAGAGAGCGGCAAGCCGACCGGAGCCCGGTTTGTGAGGCCAACAAAGGGAGCGTCGCTTTTTATCAGAATCTCGGCGGAAGCCTAGAGGTTGAATGTATTAGTGAGAAGGGAGCTACCAGCCGCACCGTGCCGCAGTGCAACGCAGCGCTGGAATAGCTAATAAGCAGCCTGTTCCGCCCTTGTCTTGCGCCACCGGGGATGACAGTCGCAGCTTGGTTGCGCTACGAGCACAAGCACAATCGCCACGTCGTACGCGGGGAAGTATAACAATTATATGGATATTTAAGTTGAAAGTAGAGTGACAATCCGGAAAGTTGGCGTGGCGGAGAAATAACAAAAGCAGCACTTGCGCAAGACAGCGTCGTCCCACGGCAGTGATGGCACTTATAGTTCCCCGCTAGCGACGGTATGGACGAGCGTTACAGCGGGCAGCTTAGCGATGGCGGGGTTGACAGTGGCTTACAGGGCCCTCGTGTTAATTAACATGAACCACTGGGAAGAGGCATCCAGACAGAGCGCGGCCCAGAGAGGGGGAGAAGAAGCAAAGAAAAGAAACGGGAAGAAACAAAACAAAACGAGGAAAAACACCGCGGGAATAGCATTCATCCGTCCGCCTGAACGGATCAGCGACCCCGTCGTCATTCACTCACGTCCGCTCGCGCCAAACTACAACGCTTGAAACCAAAAAACACCCTGCATAAGGTCCAAAGACGGCAGAAAAAAAAGAAAAGAAAAGCAGCAGCTAAAGAGAGAGCGTGTACCGTGTGCGCGTGCCCCTCAAGTCAAACCACCGCCAAAACGCCTCCAAGTCACGCGAAGACAAGCACCGCGCGCGTTCTTTTCGCAACTCGCCATTTCCATCAAACACGTCGCCCTGTTCATTTCCCTTTTTTTTCTCTCTCATTTCTTTATTTTCTTTTGGCGTTTCTTTATCTTTCCTCGTATCAACAATTCCGCCACGCCCCCTCCCCCCCTTGGCATCTTTCGCGCGTCCTCAAGTCACCAAATCGCCGCCTCTTCCTGCTCAGCCCATGGCGATGCCCGTCCTCGTCAAATCCCAATTAACAGAAAACACCCCTGCATGTCATTGCCGTTGCCACGGGCTCCGATCTTGCAGCTGGGCCGCACACGCGCCAGGGCCAATCGATTCCACGCAGCCCGATGACATGTTATTTTTTCCCTTCTTTCCTTTTCCTTGCTTCGTAACGTCAGACCGCGAAGAGGCGTCCTGCGCCAGTTGGGGGGGGGGGGGGGGGGGGGGCTTGCAGGGACGCAGCGAATGATGCGCGAATCCAGTGCTTTTGTACATATGCAGCCTCACGTTAATGCCGCCCATCGACTGCAACCCCAGGAGACCGACTCCGTCTTAGTGCGAAAAAGCCTAATTCTGAATTATTAATTCGTCGTGAGATGCTCGATTGCGATTGCGATTGCGTCAGCCATCTTGACATGTGAAAGAAGAAGCAGCAGCTGTTGCGCGTCCTGGGTATTGGATCAAGCGTCAAGTAATCATGTGCCCTGCTCATCCGCCAGACAAGCCTCATTTACTGCTACAGAGAACAACGCCTTACAAAAATCACGAGTCACGAGAACATGGTTTGATCAGCCCAGTAGTCATGAACAAGAAAACGATCCTCGTTGCTTGGTAGTATTCCATCTGTATATAATGAGGTCTACCTGATATCAAGAATGATGATCCATCTTTATTATCGTGCCCAGCGGCACAACGTGGGGGGATTTCCATAACAAAAGAAACACGACGCCGTGAATGTATATCCCAGAGCAATGTCAACAATGCTCAGATATACTCCCAATATATATTTGAATGCTCCCAACCCAACGCCTACCATGCATACTGCATCCAAAGTTGCATGTACATCACCGTCGCCTAATAGGGTATCTATCACAAGATAGAAGACATGTACAACAAAAAGAACAAGAAAAACACAGGAAAACGAGGCAAGGAAAACAATGCAAGGAGGGTATGGTGTAATCAACTATTGATTCGGTACTTTAAAGGAAAGAAGATATATGCCATCTTAGTATTGTTGCGTGTTGTGTAGTGGTTGTTGGTATCCGCCAGGCTGCGGCTGAACAATGGTGCCGTAAATGGGCTGAGGTGACATGCTCCGCGCCGAGTGGCCGCCAATCGAGTTGGCTGAGAGGGTTCTCCCGTGTCCGTACGGTGCCGAGGCTATGGAAGCACGTTGCTGAACAAACTGCTGGGGAGTGAGGCGGAAAGATCGCTGGGAAACGGGCGACGCGGGAGAGGCCGGCTGCCATGGCATAGTCGCCGACTCCTGTCTCCTGTGGCCGGGTCTTGGCTCCGTCGGTGTCTTGGGCGTCTTCGGCATCGCATGCTCCGCAACAGGGGGTGCAGGTTTGCGGAGCACTGAAGGGGCACCGTAGTTGACTGTTGGGCCAAAGTTGACATCTGGGATCTGGAAACCCGAGTTGTAGTGGGCGTCCGGATCAGCGCCACCGACCGTCTTCAAAACACCAGCGCGGGGCCGGTCAACAAAAGGCTGCTGCAACTCGTCGCCAAATTCCAGGTGCATCGGTGGCTGCGGGGGCAGGAAGCTGTCGTACTCAGCTCGGGTCTGGGTAGTATAATGGTCAATGATGTCGTTGGGGGTGATGCTCTGGTGCTTGTTGTAGGGGGCTCCTGGCCTCGAGGGGAGGGGCTTCCGGTGAGGATGTTGCTGGCTGTATCCGGGAGAGCCACCAGATGAATAGGGTCTTCCGGCAGAGCTGGGACTGTGAGGAGCATACTGATCGTTTGAATACGATGTTCCGTGGGCAGGCGGGGGCGGGGGCTGAGCGTGGTATGGTGAGTGAGGTTCATCGTAGGGCGTTCTTGGCCCATAGGGAGATGGCTGCCTCTGATGCGATCGGTGAGAGTGGTTAGTAGGTGGCCGGTCACCATCTTGGTTGCTACGGTGGCTGTGGCGGCTCGGAGGGGGGTTCAGAGACTGGGCAGATCGGTTCTCGCTGGCGTAGAAACCACCACCACCGTGCATGGGAACCGGAGGCGGAGCATCAAAGAACTCCTCGTCCTCATCGTCGTCGGGGATGTCGGGAACCCCGGGCAGAGCAATGCCACCAGCCTTGGCCATTTGAGCCAGAGTGCCGTTAGACAGGCGATTGTTGGCCCGGCGGAGTTCAGCCGAGTTGTAAGGTGCACCCGAAGGGCGATCGTGAGAATCGCGCGCAACCATCGCGGGCCGAACAACAGGCTCGGGGGTGCGAATGACTCCCATGCTGGTCTCAATGGGTTCGACGTAGGCGTTTGGCGTAACCACCCGACCCTCATCTGAGCTCGAGCTGCCCACTCGCCCAGCCAGCTCAAAGGGAGACTGGTCGTTTGGCGAAGAGTTTGAGCCCATGGAAATGGGGCTGTTTGATTCGGAAGAATGGCGGTCCCCGGCGAAACCTACTCTGGGCTTCTGGTAACTTATTCTGTTGCTGGCCCTGTTGGAGGCGGGGGAATAAGCACGGCTTCCATCCTCAATCGAGTTCATCCGCGTGCCGGTGGCCTCCTTGAGACGCTTTCGCCACTCCCTCTCATTCCAGGTTGAGCTTTTGCCGTCCAGTAGGAGCGTAGAGACGTCCTGGAGGTCCAGGTAGCCGTATTTCTTATGTCTGGGCATGGCGAACATGAGCGACCTAGCGTCCAGCACGCTGGCAACAAGTCTACCCGGGCGGCCGTACAGGCCAAAGGTGTCCCACGTCGGAAACAAAAAGCGAAGCATCGTCTCGAAGCCACTAACAGCGGGGCGCGTCTCGGGCATGATGAAAACAAAGCCTTCGGAAGACGATGCTGGTGTGGAGTGGATGGAAATGTTGCCTTCGATCTTGATGAGGGTTGAAGCGTCCACCAGAGACTTGGCCTGAGGATAGATGGCATACGCAGAATAGGCTTCGCTGATGGAAGCAACGGGCTTTGTCCGCTTTTGCTTCTTGCCTTCGGTCTTGACATCGTAGAACTTGATGTCTCCTCGGACGATGCGAGCGGCAGATCGGTCGTAGGGAGACTTCTTTTTCAACTCCTTTTGAAGCTTGCTGTACTCCTTCTCATCAGGCGGCGTGATGACACACCAGCAGCGCCTCCATGGCACACCAGCTCCAAACCGGACCCTAACCCACACCTCAATCTTAAACTTGGATCTCTCCATCATGACGCTAATACTGTTGAGATATTTGGCCCTGCCGGCAATCAGGGCACCAGTGTATGCCTCCTGGAGAGCAGCATGCTCGTACATGGCCAGCCGAACAGCGGATGTCCATTCTATCAGCGACTCATGCGAAGAAAAATGCAGCAAGTAACGGTTTCTGCCAGCGGTGGACAGGCTAAGGATGTTCTGTAGCGGCTGCTCGTCGCTTGAACGAGTCGGCAAAGAGTCAATCTGTGAAATCAAGTCGTTAGATTTAGAAATGGTGCACGGTGGAGCACGGGAGGTCATCATACCACTTTGATGGATGCATCTGTGAGGTTGATGAATTTAGGAAGCACTTCTCCATCTTCACCAGCAGTATCCAGCTCTGCAGCGTCCCACAAAGAGAGCACGGTCCCGACAAGCTGTGCAAAGCATTCGGCCCACGTTCTATCGGGGTTTGGCTTGCCCTCTATTATAGTGTTGGGGTTAGCAAGCGCTCAGACAGCACCATTGCGGGGGGAATGGCAAGAGCAAAACCACATACGAGTGTTTTGATCATCCAGCTTCAGAAAATAGCCTTCGTGATACAGCTTGTTGGAGTGGCTGTTGAGCAGCGAGAAGATGGGCTGCAGCTCCGGGATGGTGTCCTCGTTGACCTCCATGACGGGAGGTTGATACGTCTGGATCATAGACATGGGTCGTGCACTGTTTCGCGAACTACTTCGGTTTCGTCGGGTGGGAGCGTCGATGTTTATCGGCGTGCCATAGTCAGACTGCGGCGGCGGCGTGGGAGGGCTGCGCAGGTCGATGTGCGCAAGAGAGTGCCGCTTCTTGACCTTGGTTTTTGTGTCCTTGGCAAAGGGAGCTTCGTCCGAGGGCGGTGATGATGAAGGCGATGTTGGTGTCTTGCGCCCCGAGGAAAACTGGGACATGAACGAGACCACTAGACATTGACACGCGCGCAGGTTAGCACCTCACCTCACGTAGCAAGCACCTGAATAAAAGAGCCCCCTAGCCGCAGCCTTGGGATGATTCGGCGGCAGGGCACATGCCCATTGCCATTGCAGAAGGGCACGCGCATCCATGTTTGGCGGCAGAAGCAGTGCAGCAGTACAGCAGCTGTACCTGGGCGCTAGCAGCAGCATCTCCGCAGCAACAGGTACGATACGAGTACATGCACGCTTGCGCTTGTACCTGTACGGCCAAGAGGGTGCCAAGTCTGCATAGGCACAGGCAGCGTTGCGTGAGCGCCAATGATGCCACCGTTTCTTGCGCAATGCTGGGGTCTAGCGGCAGACCAAGGGGGAAAACGGGCTTGGAGGCGATGGAACATGGAAGGGGTTGCTTCTGGGGAGGGTCCAGCACTGAGCCCGACTAGGGGTCCTGCTGGGGTCCTGCTGGGGCCGCCGCTGGGGCTGGTGACGAATGCGAAAAATAGCGGACAAGACAGGAATGGAGCAACGAACCTCGATTGCGACCCATGGTGCGATGTGCGCCTGGGCTGGTCGGCGGCCGATCTGGAAGAGGGCAGAAGAAAAAAAAATTTGAGGTTGACGTCGAATTATGTAAATTGCGATATCATGAGCTGAAGCCTCTTTTTTTCTTATTTTTGTCCCTTTTTTGTTTTGTCGTGAGGTGAGCTCCGCCGTGACGGAATGGAATAATCGATAAAGCTGGAAACTTTGAAGCCAAAAATAAAATAAAAATAAAAAGGAGCAGCGAGTGGCGGGGCCGGCGTCCGGCGGCGGCGATGCTGAGTTAAAACGAGCGAGGCGAGCTTCGCAGGAATCGGATGGCAGTAACCAAAAGACGCAGGTCGGACTTTTTAAATCCAGTTGCAGTTGCAGGAGATGCAGCAGGACCTCGTATCGTATGTCAGTTCGGGGGGACTCTAGTGACGGCCCCGTGAGACAAGCACGCGACGTTGGCCGATATGATGCCTCGTATCGTGTCGCCTTTAGGCGGGCTGCAGTGGGTGCTTCGGAGCTGGTGCTGGAACCGGTGCTGGTGTGCTCAAGTTTGCAAAACGTCTTCCCACTTTGGGAGAATCGAAAGGGCGAACAAATCAAGGCAGGGCTGAACGAGTTGTGTTGCACGGCTACTATTTATCTATTAATTGCCTCTTTCTTCCCAAACGGCGTCTCTCTGGGGGCGAGCGGATATGCCGGAGCCGTCAAGCCAGATTGGCATGACAGCATGACTAGGAAGACCCAAGAAAAAAAAAGCCAAGCAAAAGGCTCCGCTCCATTCTCAGGAGTTTCTTGCTCCTGCTGCTGTGCTCGCGGCCTAACTCGCCCGGGCGGGAATGTCGCAGCCATGCCGTGCAAGTTTGCGCCGCTCGCTGGTGGGTTTTGCGCCGAACCAAGAGCGGCGAGGCCACGGCTACGGCACGACGGTACGGAGACACTGGGACATGGATGGTTTGAAATCTTACTTACAGTGCGCGTATAAGCCCGGAACTCTGTCGGTGATACCCAGGTCGTCGTTGCTGTTCTTGTTTGGTGGTAAGTTGTTTTCTTATTCTCCCCAAGAGACGCAGTCGTGCGTGGCCTTTGTCTCTCTCTCACTCAAGTCCGGTCTGTCTCTCTATCTTTGTCTTCGTATATGGTGCGTGAGCCAATATTCGTATCGGGATGCCGTTGGTACCTCTAGACCGGGCTTGCCAAGGGGCCTAGATAAAGTCCCCAGCAATGGTTGCAGTCACCAGGCCAGAAGCAGCAACAACTCAGAGCTCGCCGGCAGCCCCCTTCAGTTTTCCTTTGGAGCGATCTTCCGTCCTCTTCACTCTTCCACGTAAGTCGCCAAGACAGCTGCAAAAAGTATGCAGTCAGACTAGACGATTGTCAAAAAACGGGAACATGCATGCTCGACGTCACTGGCGAGTGGCAGCTGAGGCGGCGCACTAAGCAAGGCGATCGCTAACGCCAGCAAACGTTAAACCCGGAGATGGATGAGAGACAAGATCGTCACGACGACGTCGCAGAGGCAGAAGCCACAGATCCCCCAGACAAGAGAACAGAGGGAGGCTACTATTTAAGCATGGCGAAAATAGATTGGCTGGGGCCCTGTTTTTTGGTTTCCATCTGCCCATGCTGGCTCTTTATTACGGATACGGAGCGTTCTTTATTATCCACGGCGATAATGTTGTGCTCCATACAAGTATGCACGCAAGTACAAGTACGGGGATGCTAAGAGTAGCGAGGTAGCTGGCGCCTATGAGAACACGCAAAGGTACATGTACAAACACAAAGCACGACGTGCGCCGGCCCATGTCCCCAAGCGGTGATTGCTGTGCGCACTCTGATCTCGTAACGAGATGCTGGCGTCTTCTTCTTTTCCATTCTGCGCCCGCAGGGGTCTGGGCCAGCAACCTTGGTCCTAGACAAAGAGACAGTCCGTAAATTTGAGCGACTATCATCAGGTAGCTCCGGATGCCCCGTTGGTGGTTGGTGGGGCGCTCAAGCCCCCTATTGACTCTTAGTGAGATGCCCGCACTTTGATAGAGGAATTTCCAGCTGCACAAGGCTTGCTTCTTTCAACATGGCTTGCCTTTGCGCCATAATTGGGGGGTTCCAGAATAAGTTATATTGCGTGTTCCGCTTTGGGGCGCCTACTCGTACTATTGCCTATCTGCATGTACAAAGTACCAGCAGAATGGGGCCCATGAGCGTGTTTGCGCAAGTACCTAAGTGCAAGTACCGTTGTAGGTACATACCAACTTGTACACACAGAGATGAAAGATGGAGGTTGAGGCCCTTTCATTCAACCGCCAGCAAGGGCCGCGGCGCTTTTGCCGCCAAAACAACTCGCGGCCTCCCACTGCCCAACCATTCTGGCGGGGCCTTGTAGGGGTTCAGGTTGCGCTCAAAAATCCCCGCCACATATCAATTCAACGGTTGAAACATTTCCATCCTTTCACTGTTGCCCTGCTGCAGGCACAGTTTCGTGGCACTCCTAGCCGCTCGTCACCACTGGCTGTGAATGCATACCGCCTTTGACATGGAATGGTACAAAGCACAAAGTATCCATTGTCATGCATCCTGTCACACCACTAAAGGCGCCATCATGCAGGAACTTGTAGCGCACTTTGTTCTTTTTTTCTTTTTTTTGGTTTCTTTTTCCGGTTTCTCTTTATGCTCTTCTTTTGTTTCCTCTCTCTGACTTTCTCTTCAAATTCCATTCCTTCCAAGGTTTCTCGAAGCCAAGCCCCCCCTGTGCTCGCTTAGCTCTCCTCCGTACAAGTATCCAGCTTGTACCTCGTACAGCATGTAATTGCCGTTGTAATTCTAACCTCATTGACACAGCTCTGGTGCCCCGTCTCCGAGCTGCCGAGCCACTCCGGGCGATGCTAACCCAAGCCAAACGCCGCATCTGGTTTAGATAAGCGGAGGGTGCTACTGCAAAGGCATGTCAAATCTGCTGAACAAGTCCTCCAATGGCCTGTTAGTTACACCGAGCATCAGATAACTGGTATGAATCAACGACTCGTACAACTGCTACTGTGTACTAGTGGTAGTAGTGGTAGTAGTGGTAGTAGTACAACTACCTACCTCACCGTCAGCCGAAATCCTCAGAATCGCGGCGCAGCTGCCAAGCGGAAATACGCAATTCCTGTCTACCAATGGGCTGGGCTGGAGAGCAAAGTTAGTCGCCAAAGCCTCACCACCAACGCGGCGTTCTGAGACATGACTGTGACACGACGACTGTCCGGCTCATACGAGAAAATGGAAGTGTCAGCGCTTATTGCTAGTGCTCTGCGGACGGGACGGCAATCCATTGAAACCCATTTGGAATACGCCGCTGAGATACAAGAGCCAATCTGGGGCATCCAACTGCCAAGGTTCATTACTACCTCACCGCATAGCACTAAAATGATTTGCGCGAATGTGGAAACATTTTTACTGTCTTACTCGGTACTCCCACTCCCTACAGGCTACAGGTACTACGAGACATCGGATGGAATGCTCTTCAGCTCGAGCATGGGTCCGGTCTTGAAATCATTATCAGGCTTCGAAACTGCCAACGCAGCCTGACGTCATGCAAGACCCCCTAAAAATGATCAACTCCATATGCTCGATCTCGCAGCTGCTTTGTGTGCATCATGATGCTTCGTAAATCACTGCATGTCTCACAATGGATCGAATTGCCGTCGGGCCTACCAAGTAACACATGAATCGTACGCGTCACGATAAGCCTAAGCCTTGCTGAGGCGATGCCGTGCAACCGTCGTCCCGATTTCCGGCCAATCCTTCCGTGCTGTGCGTCTTCAAGTCGGTATCACCATCCGATCACCCGTCTTGGCCGCATAGAGTATACGTCAATGAAATCGATTGGCAGTGAATGCGTCCAAGGCATCATGCATCTGGCTATTCTTGGGTGCTGAGGATCGCCCTTTTGATGATGCATACGACCTGGTGTAGCTGTTCTCGTACTACTCAGCTGCTCCGCCTTCCAAGCGGGCATATACCTGCATTGCACCAATGCCTAGCTGTACTGCCCTGTTCTCCTATGTCAGTAGCAAACCCCGAATACTTAGCACTAATACCTCGCGTGCAGGATAGTAGGTATCCAGCCTGTTTCTTGCCCCGATCTCCCAAGATTAGACTCCCAGTTCTATTGATCTGCCGGTTAGGGTCAGATATTTGAGTCAGATATTTGACAGACTGTGCGTTGATCGAGTCTCCGTGACAACTCATTGACGTGGTGCTCCGTAATTTCTAGGCGGCTGCGGGATATTCGGGTTGCCGGATTCTCTCATTCACCCAGGTGCCCTCTTCTCATTTCCGTTAAATTGGACGCGATGATATTTTCCGATGCAATTTGGCGGTGTCAGATCATTGCAATGGCGGTTTTGTTGAACACGAAAGGTCACTTGATTAATGACAGGCAAAGCCGAGTCGGAGCATTACAAATTCACATCTCCTAAGCGATATTACAATGGGCTTCAGTCAACAATGACATTGTAGCGACATTGAAATGAGAAGGCCGCGATATGAAATTCGGTGCTGCAGGGTAGGCTCAGGGAATGGTTAGGCGTTGAACGCATGTACATCCCTCAGGTACTGCCCGTTGCTGGCTCACCTCCGGATACGGACCTTTACCAATCACACCATCACGTGCGACTAATCACCTTAAGCTTCATACCTCGTAAGCTCCGGTCTGGGCAGTGACAATCTCCTGATAGCATCGCAAAGGCCGTGGTCAGCGACCCGACAGGTCGTAGTTTGCTGTACATGGTTGGAATGCGCACATCACCCTCTCCAAAGTTGGCGACTTTCCTGACATCTCCATCGCGTCTGAAGCTCTTCGCTGGCCCGCCATGGCGGGGTCGATGCCAGAGACGCCTCGTCTCTGCAGCATCGCAATCGCCGTCGCATTATGGGAAATCGCCTTTTCGCTTTGAGACTGGCATCGGGCTCTTTGCAAAGCGGTCGCCTCGCCCGTTTCCGCCGCCCTTCCTGTCCCCCCCATCTGTATCCTTCTCAGACCCCCTAAGCACCCACCACCAGAGCCGGGACCGTCGAGGGCATGCCGTTGTGAATGGAGAACTCATTAAAGGACTTACGAATGGTGACGATGCCGTGTATGCTAGCGACTATTTCATATGTGCAAACGATGGCGTAGGCGCGTGGGCAGCTCGCCCCAGAGGTCATGCTGGGTAATATATCCCTCCCGTGACATGGAAACGCATGCTGTAGGAATTGCGCCCCTGACGGACAAGCAGGTTGTGGTCGCGACTGATATTGCACTTTTGGGCAACGGCCATCGAAGAAGAGTCGGCGCAGAGCCTATTCCAGCAAAAGGCCTACCAGCCCGACCCCATTGCGTCTCTGCAGACAGCATTCGAGCAAACCCAAGAAGCAACCGGGGCTCATGACTGGCAGGGAACAACAACAGCGTGCGGTGCTCAGCTCCACTACAGAATGGTGACGGATGCGGGACGCCAAGTTGCGACGCCGGTTCTCTATGCGACCAACCTGGGTGATTGCCAAATCCTCGTTCTCCGCCCCCGAGATCAAGGAGTCATATTCAAAACCACAGAACAGTGGCACTGGTTTGACTGTCCGCGCCAGCTCGGCACAAACAGCCCCGATACCCCAAGGAAGAATGCCGTGGTTGACGTGATCGACTTGGAAGAGGGTGATGTGGTACTTGCAATGAGTGATGGGGTCATTGACAACCTCTGGGGACACGAAATCGCGACTCGAGTGTTTCAAAGTATAAAAGAGTGGGAGGCTGGGAAAGGCGCTGATGGAGAGGCAGATCGAACAGGCGGCCGTAACGGCGGGATGGCTGTTGCAGCCCAGGACCTAGTAGCGGCAGCCAAAGTGATAGCTCTCGATCCATACGCAGAGAGCCCATTCATGGAACATGCCATAGAGGAGGGGTTGGCCAGCGAAGGAGGTTTGTCTATTCTCACTCACGACGTATATGTGTGACGCGTGCTTAACTCATTGTTGACAGGGAAATTGGATGATATTAGTGTCGTTGCCGCATTATGCGTTAGAGACACGGAACGGTAATACTAAAGATTTAGACGGTGCCTGGTGGTTATACATCGATGGTGTCTTGTCTTTGGAATCAGGGGTGAGTGATTGTCTTTTGCAACATGGGCTTGAGTTTAATGACTATAATGGGTCTGGTTTTTGTAGATATGCGAAGAAGTTCAATCACATAACTGTAGCAATACTAGGTTAATGTTTTAAGAAATTGATCCAAATCCAAATTCCAGATTGTTGAAAAACATTAGCCTCTGAGTTGGACGAACTTGATTTACGATTTGAAGGGTTATCTAGCATCCCAAGCGTCGTAGGTCTTTACTTAGGTAGAGACACGGTTTCTCAAGCCTCCATTATTATCACTATTTTCTGCTATTATCAATATATTCCTCTAATATATGTTATTATCACTACTGACGTAGCTTTCAATTTGAGATATGGGATGCTGGATGGCCGAGTTGGGGTGTTGTCTGGATTGGGATGATATAGATATTAGAAGGTACTCCGTACCTCTCTAGGCCAGCGCTGGAGCGGGTCGCAGTGCCAGCGGCCCCACCTTTATGAACCTGCAATTCTTTATCGCACGTGCTCCACTGTAAAGCGATAAGAAATTTATTTCAAGCTTGATCTGAGCTTGGATGGAATTTCGTTACAACAGCGACGACTGGTTTTTTTCAGCCCCAATTCGTGGAAATCTTTCCAAGTCGACCCAAGACAAGAAGACAAAATGAGAGGAAAACGGTCAAAGCAATACCGCAAGCTCATGGAGCAATTCTCCATGACGTTTGGCTTTCGCGAACCATACCAGATCCTAGGTTCGTCTGCATGATGGCTGGAAAAATGCTGCGTGATGGCCGCAACTGACAGTTTTGCAATCATAGTGGACGCAGAAATGATCAAGGATGCGAATCGATGTACTATGGATTTGGCGGCCAGGTTACAGAGCACAGTTCACGGCAAAGTGAAGCCACGTGAGTTCTGCATCATCGATACTCAAGGCCGCTTCTTACAATGTTCTTTAGTGATTACCCAATGCGAAATCCGAAAACTCTACGCAGACAAAGACCAGCCTGGAGGAAATGCGGCAATTGAATTGGCGAAGACATTCGAGCGAAGACGCTGCGGCCACCACCCTGACGAGTACCCCAAACCTCTCGAGACGATAGAGTGCATGCGGTCTGTTGTGGACCCCAAGTCAACAGGCGAGAATAAGCACCGCTACGTCGTCGCAAGCCAAAGTCTGGATGTCCGGAGAATGCTGCGCGCGATCAGAGGAGTGCCGCTGATATACATTAAGCGGAGTGTCATGATCCTGGAACCCATGGCAGATGAGAGCGTGCAAATCCGAGAGCGAGAGGAGAAGCGGAAGTTTAGAGCAGAGCTTAAGAATACGTTGGGTAAGAGGAAACGCGAGGAAAAGGAAGAACGGAATGGGGACGATGGCGAAGGTGATGATGATGGAAGCGAAAGCGATAACGAGAAAGCCACCCAAGCATCTACGTCGGAGAAGAAACCCAAAAAGAACAGAGGCATCAAAGGGGCAAATCCTTTGTCCATGAAGAAGAAGAAGCCTCAGCAACTACCGAAGAAAGAGGCTGGAAAGAAGCCAGAGGCTGTATCAGATGCACCGGCCAAACGGAAGCGAAGGAAGAAGACCAAGTCGGAGAATGGGGCAGAGCCTAGCGCGCAAGAGCCGGCTCCGAGCAATGCCGGGGAGGAGAACTAACATGTGAATTCCATGAGAAGCGTGACAATGCGGACCGGATTCGCTATAGGCGGTACCTCATCGAGGGCAATTGGACGGTGTCTCTGGTGTTGGAAAGGGGTTATAATACTATGATATTCCGGAGTACAGGTAGAAGCGATTGTAAACATTACTATATGAGGGTATTGCGCGCGATTGGGAGCAGTCCAGTGACGGTTGCGGATGTCTCTCTTGAGGGTGTTATACTGCTTTTGCAGAGGGAGAAAGGCATGGAATGTAGCCTGTGATTTACGTGCTGCTTGAAGGCTGAAACATCTCAAACCGGCAAAGCAGAGGATGCCAAGCCGCGTTCACAATGATTGCCCTTGAAACAACAAACATAGAATTTGGCAGAACATCTACTAGGTACCTATTATGCGCATAGATTGCGTTTGGCTATGTTCATGCCTGTAGTGTACACTGAGCCAGAAAATTGAATGACAAATTAAGAACCCTGAAGCTCACTGTATTTTCAAGTGTCTTCTTCTTCTTCTTTTTTAATATGTACCCAGCCTCTCCCTCGCTCGTGCTGGAGGTAGTTTTAGCTTAATACGAGCCAAGTACAAGTGCACGCATGGGGCAGTGCGTGTATGGGATCCTGTCAGATTATTCTGTCTTGAGCCTCGTTCGATCGTGATAAGATAGCCTTTATATAATCCCCGTCGTCTTACGACAACACTAAGCAGCATCCCCTCCATGCCCAGACAAAATACGAATGCGAGTCACTGCCACTCTGGAAATTGCATCACCAACGACACTGGAGGATTTATGCCGACTTTTTCAGTCCGAAACATCAAAGCCTTTCCCCTGAACTGCTCTTCTCGTCGTCTTCTCCCAACCCGGCTGAGACAGGGCCCAAACACCTTGTCCGTTGGGTGGCAGTGAACGCCGGATTTGCAGCCCGAAAGCAGCACCGTGTCTCCCTCCCGCTAGCCGGGGGCCGCTAAATTTAATTTAACGACGTAACCACCACCTTGCGACACCGCCCTCTTTACGGCCTCCAGCTTCGTCGGCACAAGAAGAAATACAAGAGATACGACCGTTTCTTCTCTTCCTCGGAGCCTCGATTCTCCACCACCGCCGTCACGTCCCATCCATGCCCGCGCGTGCCAACCAGGTGGATGTGGACGTGATCTTCAACCCCTCCTCACACATCTTGGGGCTGTGACAATGGCTGGCAAGGATGCAGAGCCCAACACGGCCGCCGGCAATGCGACCGCAGCGCCACAGACGAGCACAGCGCCAACTGCCGTGGTCGAGGTCGATGATTTTGGACTGCCCTTGAAGCGGTTCATCGCACCGGCGGCGGAACCCCCGGACTCGGACGCACAAGATGCGACAAACGATGCAAATACGAGCAACGAGACGCAGGATGGACGGCACGAATCCAAAGAAGAACGTCAAAAGACAACAGAAGCTGCAGGAAGCAAGAATGGGCGCACATCGGGCAGCGATTCTGAGGACACCGGTCCCAAGGGGGTTCAGCCAACACGAGAGAATATATCTACAGCTGCCTCGCCAATACAGCAGCAGGAATCCAAGACAGAGACAGAGACAAGCCGCAATGAACCCTTGAGTCCGCCGGCAAATAATAGCCCGTGGTCTCCCACATCCCCATCTTCGACTAAGGGAACTCGTGCGATTGAAGCACCTTCCACCCCAAAGACCCCAAAGACCCCAAATAGGGGTGTCCAGCCGAGCGAAAAGTTCCTCCAACCGAAAACCCCAGAACAATTCAGCCAGACACAGAGACGAGATCGAAGCTTCTCCAGCCCTGCGAGTAATAACGGCGTCTCGGAATACTCGCATCAGCATGTCCTGCAGCGCCAAGAGGAAAAGGAGGAGAAAAAAGAGGACGACGATGGCGGCTGGCAGGAGATGCCATCTTATGCCAGGTATGACATGTATGACGACGACGACCGTTTAATCGCCAGGGAGCATGATGCAGATGAAGATGAGACATATGGCTATGCGGGACTGGGTGGTGCCGGAAAGGGATATACACGAGTTATTATGGATGAAGATGCCGAGTCGGCAACGAGCATGGACGAACACACGCAGTATCTATTCAAGAACCCCAACGGGACCTCCATAGGCGAAGATGACGAGGCTAGAGACGCCGTGTCTCAGATGCAGGCTACCAAGGACCTCCTCACCGAGGGACAGAGGATTGCATACGTCGGCGTTGTCCGCTTGGAAATCGTGAACATGGTCAAAGAAGCCGAAAAACTGCAAGTCACCGCGAAGTCTGCCAAGAAGCAGGTCGTCATGGGTGCTGAAGCAGTTAAGATGTGGGGTCAGAAGATGATGATTCGGGTCTACGCTCACATGGACATCAGTGATGCGGAGCAGATCATGATTGAACAGCTAGCAGATCACGGCGTCATGGCACAGGATCTCACGCCGGCCCTTCTTGCCAATTCCCGAGTTCAGAATCCCATGGCTGAAGAGAAGAAGCTGGGGACTCCCAGGTCTAGCCGTTACCCGCCGCCGTACGAAGAGGAAAAGCCTGCTGAGATGCCGCCCCCCTACGAGACACACAGTGGCGAGGAGTTGCCCGAGGTCAAGACGCCATCGCAGATGCCGACAACGGAGAAGATTGATATTGACCTGCGATGGACGGTGCTCTGCGACTTGTTCCTGATACTTATCGCAGACTCAGTATACGATGCCCGTTCGAGAACCCTGCTGGAACGGGTTGGCAAGAGCTTAGATATCACATGGATAGATATTTGCAAGTTCGAAAAGAAGGTTACAGATGCATTGGAGATGCAGCAAGCAGCTGAGAAGGAAAACTGGAACGAAGAAGAACACATGGAAAACCGGAGAAAGATGGCCTTGAAGAAGAGATACATTATGATGGGCCTCGCCACCGTGGGCGGTGGCCTTGTCATTGGGCTTTCAGCTGGTCTGCTTGCCCCTGTCATCGGAGCGGGCTTGGCCGCTGGTTTCACGACCATTGGTGTTACGGGCACAAGCAGTTTCTTGGCCGGAGCGGGAGGAGCCGCCATCATCACCTCCAGCGCAGCGGCCTCAGGAGGTATCATTGGTGGCAAGGCTGCCGGTCGCCGAACCGGCGCTGTCAAGACCTTTGAGTACCGACCTCTCCACAATAACAAGCGTGTCAATCTCATTGTCACGGTGTCGGGCTGGTTGACGGGAAAAGTTGACGACGTCCGCTTGCCGTTTAGCACGGTTGACCCCATCATGGGCGACATCTACTCAGTGTTGTGGGAACCAGAAATGCTCCGGAGTATGGGTGACACCATCAACATTCTGGCTACCGAGGTAAGCTTAATATTTGGGATCTTGCTTGGGATTTCTACTGCGGTGACTAATATGACGAAACCTCTTCTTTAGGCGCTTACTCAAGGTCTGCAGCAAGTTCTGGGCAGCACCATTCTTGTCAGTCTGATGGCTGCCATTCAGCTGCCTGTGGTCCTGACTAAACTTTCCTACCTCATCGACAACCCCTGGGCGGTGTCTCTAGATCGTGCAACGTCGGCAGGTCTTATTCTGGCCGACTCGCTCATAGAACGTAGCTTGGGCACGCGGCCCATCACCCTTGTTGGATATTCGCTTGGCGCCCGAGTCATCTTCTCTTGCCTGAAAGAGTTGGCGAAGAAGGGCGCGTTTGGGCTCGTCCAAAATGTATACATGTTTGGCTCGCCCATTGTTGCCAACCGAGATGATTTTCTCAAGGCCCGATCCGTGGTTTCCGGCCGCTTCGTAAATGGATATAACCGAAATGACTGGATTCTCGGCTATCTTTTCCGACTGACCAACGGCGGCATCAGACGAGTCGCCGGTTTGGGCTCTCTGGACGATTGCCCGTGGATAGAAAGCGTTGATGTGACGGACCTTGTGGCTGGTCATATGGAGTACCGTAAGGCTATGCCTTCGCTTCTCACGAGATGCGGATGGATCGTCACTAGCGAAGAGTTTTCCGAAATTGAAGACCCTGACCCAGATGACCATCAAGGGCGACAACGAGAGCTTATAAACGAAATCGAAGAGGCACGTAGAGAACTAGAGAGAGAGGGCAGAGCGGGCAAGAGAACAAGCAAGTTTGGATTGTTTGGGCGACGCAACAAGGCGGAGCGACAGGAGTGGGAGATTTACGAAGATTCGGGCAAAGATTCCCCCAAGCCTGGGAAGAAAGTTGAGGACAAGGATGGCAACAACTATGGTGTGCTGTTCGACATTGATGCTATCCGGGCTGAATTGGCTAAAGAGGCTGAGAATGATGGCAACGAAGAGATACAGGTCAAAGAGATTAAGTCGACGCTCCCACCGATGAAGCTCGACTATTCGCCGGTATCATCGCCCCAGACGCCGGCCCGGGGAGCGAATTTAGAACCCCACCGGGATTCGTGGCAGACGTCAAAGAGTGCGGAAGTGCTGCCGATGCGGTTTTCAAACGGCGGCTACAGTCCCCGGGATCAACCTGCTACTACGGCGGGCACTCCTACGACCCGCCCTTCGCCGTCGCCGTACCTCTACGAACCTAGTCACCACGAAGACGAGATTCAAATGACGTTTGATACGTCTTTCCAGGAGTCTCCGCGCCGACATTCTACCTTTGACGGGGGATCTAGCGCATTTGACAGAGGATCTAGCACATTTGGCGGAGGATCCAGCGCATTTGACAAAGGATCTAGCACATTTGACGGAGGATCTAGCAGGCCGGAGATTAAGACGTCCAGCACGGTGCCAAACGTTACGCTGGCTGACCCATGGAACGATCCCGACGACGATGACTTTGGCAAAGAGCAGGAGATTTCCATGACATTCGCGTAAAGACCGACCCAAATTTTGTCTTTTTGTCTTTTTTGTTCTCCTTTGCTTGCATTATCTCTGCACATAATATTGGAGTTGGGTAACGTTTTTCACCTGTTTGACTCGGCCGTCAACTCTTGCCCTTCTTTTGCCAGATATCTGGGGTTTAATTGAATGGATGGATGGGATGTTTTTTTTTTCTGATGAACTTTGATGTTATGTATAGGAGGGGCCTGTTTATGTTACATTACCAGTGTTTGGGGGGGAATGATGTGTCGCATGTACGTTTGTGGCTGTACGAAATGGGCTGGGTGTATGGGATGTCTAGAGTAAAAGAATGAGAGAGAAGAGAGAAGAGTAGAAAAAGAGAAGAAATTTATTTAATAGAAGGAAGAATTTGTGTCACGTCCAGCTCAGGGATATGAAAATTGGCTATTTTACTTACCAGTGCGACTGTTTGTGTCTTGGTATGGCAGTGAGGGATGATTGATGCCGTGGCCTACACAAAGTCCATCGTTCGCCACCAAGTGCACTAATGCCCCTGTGCTACCTAGTACTATAAGTACTAATTCGTACTATTGGCGATGTCCTGTGAAATGCTCAGCTTGGTTTCAGCTTCTGGATCCCTGGAGCATCGTGTGGTTGAAACGGGCTATTCCCAAGCCACATGCAATAAATGCATTCGCTTGTGCCAATAGGTTTGGGCGTGGACGGGACTGTGGCCCATCGATGCTGGCTAGCCGCATGGACCTGGTGTTTGATGCTACTTTGTGCTTGTGTACCTAAGCAGACCTGGGATCAAGTACCCTTTAGCAGCACTACTTGCCTCTTGATACCTGAGGTTTCCATCTGCCCCCAGTAGCATCCACTTTCAACCGCCAGCTTCAACACCAACTTTCATCCCATCACAAGCAGTCAATCAATCAACCATCCCATCAATCATTCACTCAATACGCCTCTCTTCACGCAACAGCAAGGCAGATCCCAAGCCACTCTTTGACAGTCCACTAAAATCCCCCATGTCCGCCCTAGTCAGCCGCAGTGGAGACCTTCAGCCTCACCCGGCACTCCATAGGCTGTCTAAACAATACGCCACTCCGTTTATCCATTAATAAATCGGCCTACTATGGTATTGGCGCATGAGAACGACGGAATCCTGGTCCAATCCATCGGCAGCTTCTCTGGAGGGGGAGGGGCTTGGCCAGCATCCTTTGCTCGTCGGGTTGCAACCGCGTGTCGGCTTTCGCTCTGTCCCGTGTGTGGTCATGTATTGCTACTCGTACCTCCTATCTGGCTTTCCTGTGGTAGATGCGCGGGATTGTCTAAGTGCCGTACGGGAGCATCATTTCGCGAACAAGAGGCACAGACTGACAAAGACAGTAGATGCGGCTCGCACGACCCCGGCCACTCACCTGTCAGCATCGGTGCCGTCGTAAGCGACTGAACCCGATTCCATCTCCCATCTTACCTTGTGCCTATATATACATGCGGTGTACGGAGCCGACAAAGCGTGCCATTTTTAGACAGCCTCATGCAGCCCCATCCATCCGCCCAACTCAAACCCACTCTAACCCACTCGCCCATCACCATCTTTTTTTGGCCCTTTGTTCAGAATGGACGCCAAATGGACCAGGGTAGGGGTGGGAAGGTTTGATCTGGCGCTGCTCAGGCCAGCGCAACGCAACGCAACGCAGGCGGAACAAGGCAAAGGCAAAAAACCGGCAGAAGCGTTGGGCATGGGATGGCTTGCAGCGGAGACCTGTCGTGAGTGGTTGGAGAGAGGTAAACGAACTATGGAATCCTGCTGAAGCGAGAGGCAGGAATCGACAGGCCTGGCATCTACTAGTCCTGCGATTCTATACGCGGCCGCTATTCGCCCCGGTCTGACATCTCACATCTCGTGCGGCTTGCGCCTCTTTTTCGTTGTCGTGTCTGACGAGCCCACTAACACTGACTTACACCACCTCTCCCCCCTGTAGATTCTCTCTTTTCTCTCTTTTCTCTCTTTCTTCTTCTTCTTTCTTCTCCCCTTTTGCTCCCTTCCCGCTTTGCTCCTCGTTCCGAATATCTGGTTGTCGTGCCGTCGGATGCTGGTGTCAGGCACTACCTAGTTTGGGCAGTACTGCTACACCATTGAACCACAACTTGGAGACGCCGGTTTCACACTCGTTCAAAGCCTCCCCCAGCTGCTCCTCATGGCGGGCGTAGTCCCTGGAGGCGTCCAGACTTCCACCACCCTTTCAATATTGCCATCTGAAGGTGCCGATCCCAACCCTAATCCCAATTCCAATCCCGACAATGGCGCTGGCATCGGTAACGGCAACACCGGCACAAATAGCGAGGCTCAAAGCTCGCCAACGCCGACATCTCCAATGAACATTCTGCCGCCGAATTCTTCACCTACAAGCGTCTTCACTGCGCTCCCATTGCCTACGGTCATCATCTTCAACGACGCAGCCAACTTCGGGCCCAGACCTGACGGACGTGTTTTTTCCACCGATGGCCAGACCAAGCTCTTTTCATGGAAAATTGGCAACAGCACGACGACACCGTTAAATATTTTCTGGTACGGGAAACCCAATGCTTCAGAGGAGGCCTTCGATATATCCGTGGCAAAAACCATTGCCCGTGCCCAGTTCGGTAACTCCAGCCCCGGAAACGAGATTGTTAATCGTACGTTACACCACCCTCCGTTTACACCATATGGGAGTGCCGAGCTTTCATGACCAACTCGATGTCAATGCTAACAAAAAGCCCCAGTGAGCTTCTCAAACGCAACGCTCAACCTCACAGGCTCCGCATTAACTTCAGGCAACTGGTACAATAAGGATATGGTCATCAAAATCGATTGGAAAACAAAAAATGGAGAAATAGGCTTCTCCCAATCCGGCGTCTTCACCGTTTCGAATGGGACAGGCTTGGATGAGCCACTCTTTGAGAAAGAGGCGACCAACAACGACCAAGACCGGCGAGGTGGTGAGGCTGTAACCTCAACCAGTATACTGCCCCAACCCACCAACGGATCTTCTAACGGCAACGGTAACGGCATCGGAGGCGGCAGCAGTGGAGACAGCAGCAGGGCAACTGGTGGCGGCCTGAGTACAGGCGCCAAAGCTGGCATCGCCGTGGCGTGCTCTATCGTTGGCATCGCCCTCATCGGCGGCCTCGTGTGGTTCCTCCTTCGCCGCCGGCGGAGACGCCATTTCGACCAGGGCTACAATGCTGCCGGCCAGACTACCAACTCCTTCATCGCCACCAAGGAAGTTCAGGCTTCAGTCGCCGAGTCGCCCATCGTCTCTCCCTTTTCTGACCACGGCGACCGAGCCCGTTCCGGTTCCACCAATGCAATGGTACCTCTTCAGCCGGCTGCTGCAGGAACGACGGCAGCCGCGCGGGCTGCTACTCACGATGATGAGACGGAGCGTCCAGACACTGCTGGGTCGGGCAACAACAACATGTCACGCAACATTGCTCATCTCGTTGAGGAGGGCATGACAGAGGCCGATATCCTGCGACTGGAAGAGGAAGAGCGACATCTAGACGCTGAGATTGAGCGTGCAGCTCGAAGAAATACCTGACCCTCATCATGTGCAAGTATAAAATATGCTTCTCCGCCTCTGCCAAAGAAGGGAAAGTTTAATAAGCTTTGGAAGGCTGTCGGTTTTCTTCTTGTTTCCTCTTTTCCGTTTGGGAATCCCGGGGAGACCGGATATGTTTGGCTTCCGTGCCGCCTTTCTCTGTGAAGCTCGTAATTTCTTTATATCATGTTTGTGTGACGATTTGGATACCATGTACAAAGCAAAGGACGTTACGACTCATGATATGATATCGATCCTTTGACGGCATCTTTATTGTCCTCTTTCACCTTTGCTGAGATGACTGGAAATGAACTCGACGATCTAAAGATATCAATTGGTTTCCTCTTGCAGGCATCTCATTCTTTTTTTAATCTCGAATTGTATATATATATACCCTCTGCGCATGTTTAGTAGCTTCATAGTAGCACGAGGGCGCCACTCGCTGTAAATTCTAATAGAGAAACAAGAAAATGCTAAGACCTCATTCTTTGGTGCATTCGTGTTAAATCCCGTGCGAGAGCTGTGGAAAGCAACGAGCGAGGGCTGGACTGACCAAAACATCAAAAATTCACTCTAATCAGGTCCCAAGAAGAAAACCATGACAACTCCTTTAGGAAAATACAACTCCGCATAATCCCCTCCGGTAGTGTACACTGAGGCAGTTCTGGCCGCCCGCTCGCTTCAAAACTTGTTCGAACCAATAACCCGTGCCACGCAAGTTTTTGTTTTTCATAGTTTCATCATCAACAAGAAAAGAGAAGAAGAAAACAATATGCCGCTCCTGCACACACATACACTTTTCTCAATCTCTTGGTTACGATCTGAACATGCGGCTGACAAAGTTGCTCGCGATGCTGGTCGCCAAGTTGGTCGACCCAAAGGCTCCACCGGCGAAATTCGATGCCTGGCTGAACTTGTCGCATCGGGAGAAAGCCAGCGTGTTGATGATAGTAAGAGCCAACGCAATAGCTAAAGAAAAAAACAATCAATGTAAGCAATTTTCCTCTTTTCTTTTGATCTTAAACCAAACATCCACGCCAAAGAAGAGAGAGAGAGAGAGAGAGAGAGATCGAAAAAACTCACCAACAAGAGGCAGCCACAGGAACTGCAGCCGTATGATTGCGAGAATGGCCATGAGGATCCACCACACGGGCTGGATGTACAGCGCCAGCCAGAAGAAGCGGCTGTCCGTCGCGTTGATCTGCCGCGTGCCCGGCTCCAGGCTCTCAAACACCCACTGCGACTCGCCCGTCGAAGGGTCGACCTCGTTCCACCACCGCAGGCCGACCAGCCGCCGGCCCGCAATGTTCTTGAGGTAGTAGAAGTCGCCGGCCAGCAACAAGATTGTAATGATGAAGATCATGATCCTGTTTTTCTTTTGCGTTAGTCGTTGCAACCAAAAAAAAAAAAACAACAACCAAGGGGGAGGTGTGTGTTCGCCCAGGACTATATACGCACATGCTCTTAATGACCCATAATCCCAGGAAGTAGATAAGCACGCTCGCTACACAATCCCCAATCCGTCAGCCTCTCCAACCACAAAAAAGCACAAATCTCCATCTCTATGCGACCAAGAAATGTTCGGGGGCGCTACCGACATATTCGAAAGCCCAGAAACGTGAGCAACGTAATCGGGTGGGAGCTGAGCCGCCAACTCAGCGATCCCTGTGCAGGCTGCGCGACCTCTTCCATGGCAGCAGCAAAGGGCAGCGTCACAAGTCTTTGTTGCGATGTTTCGATTTGTCGCGGGCAGAAAAAGGGGGGAGAGAGATTCGGGGTTTTGCGTCAAGGTTCGGTTTCGCGGAGAGCGTTCTCGATGTAGATTGTCGTCATCAGAAGAGACAAGACTGGGAAGCTTCGCGATCAAGCTACCGTAGCTCATCAGGGATGGAGCTATGATGTTCCGGCAAAGGTGGGGTTGTCGGGTGTGGTATTCGGCTATTATTCGTGCGACAGCTGCTGACCAGCGCGCGGGCATTCGGCTACTTGACTTGATAGTGCGCGACATACATAAAGAGACACCTCCAAACATGTATTGATATTCATTTAACAAGTCCTGGATGCTGACAACCGACTTCATATATCCATGATATTCTCTCCTCGTGTGTATCTAGCAATCGCCAACTCCAGCTGACTGAATGCACTGCCAAATGACATACCCTAATCCATCTACCTTACTCTAAAGCATCTCCACAGTCCCATATAACCTCCGTTTGGCATCATGGCCGCACGAGCTTCTTCTATTCTTCGCCGCTCCTTGCTCTATGGTTGTTTTTCACATCGTCTTTGAAAAAAAGATGCTCAACTGATATCGACTCATAGTTCCCGCGTCTTCTCAGAAGATGCTCTCCAAGTCTCTGGCCTTGACGACGGACAATGTCACATACGACTTGGAGGATTCTGTGACTCCCTCTCAGAAGGGAAATGCTCGAAGCCAGTTGAAAGAGCACATCTCCAACCTCAAGTCGCGTCCTTCTACTATTTCAGAGCTTGCTGTTCGAATAAATGCGGTCTCCACCCCGTTTGCACTTGATGATCTAACCACACTGTCATCTGCGGATCAGATTGACGCCATTGTTGTGCCCAAAGTCAATTCGGCAGCCGACCTGACCTTTGTCACTGATGTACTGCGACATGTCTCTCCAGAACGCCATCATGATGACTCAACAAACCCAATCAAGATTATAGCGCTCATTGAATCCGCCCAAGCAGTCATGGACCTTTCTTCCATATGCAAAGCCTCCCCCTTCCTCAGTGGCTTGATATTTGCAGCCGAGGACTTTGCGCTTGACCTTTCGATAACAAGGACGCCTTCTCTAACAGAGTTCCTCTATGCACGGTCAGCTATTGTTACTGCAGCTCGAGCACATAATCTTCCAAGCGCCATTGATCTGGTTTGTACTTCCTATCGAGGTGACGATGGACTCCGGACACTGGAAGAGGAATGCCAAGGCGGAAAAGCCATGGGTTTCAACGGCAAACAGTGCATACATCCCGGGCAGCTAGATACTGTCCAGAGAATGTTTGCTCCAGACATAAAAGATGTGGAGTGGGCTGTCCGTGTCACCATTGCCGACGAAAAGGCCGCAGCTGCCGGACGTGGTGCGTGGACTCTTGACGGGAAGATGATCGATGCTCCAGTGGTTGGGAAAGCACATGCAATAACTGCCAAAGCAGAGCAATGTGGAATTCGCGTGCAGGATCTAAGAGCAAAATGGAAGGATCAAGAGCCAGAGTAGTAATTTCATACATGTTGCCCTCGGAGATACTGAGAAACGTAATGACCACAAGGCGATATTTTTGCCAAAGGTGATTAGCACCACATCATATGGTTTGGCCTCCAGAATGATGCTATATCTGATTCTACTTCACGATCGAGGTTCTCTCCTGGATATGGAAGCCGCTGATATTGACGAATAGGCCAGCAAGGTTCTTCACGGATTGGTGGCCGTGCCAGTTTTCTAGGAGAAAGATGACCGTCCGATCCTATGCCGCGAAGATGAGTACTTGAACATCTTGCATCGCTGAAGGCGTCTGCATATGTCACTCCTGGAATTTGACTCTGGCAAGCGCCTTGAGGTGAGAGCAATGCGTCATCAATACAGGGTGTGGATGCTTCGCCAGGTCCTAGTATTTCACGCTCCATTCTTTCAATGTATTCTCTGAGCGATTCTCCAGGTAAATCATCAATAAGATGCAGCGAATCTGAGCAAAAGATGTTCGAGTCTTGGTAAGCCTCGCGGGATAACTGAACAACGCGATCAGAGAGATCCAGCTGCGCTGGTATGTCGGCATTGCACACAACTCTTGATTGTGTATTGGCAGTTTTCGACAGTTCAAAATCACCGACAGATGGTAAACCCGAGTTTGAATACGGATACAAGGGATGGTGGGTGCTGTGCCTATCATAGAGCCAAGCTGGAGAAGAATCACTGTGAGGATGGTGAATATCCTTAATTTCTGTTTTGAGGTTTGGCCTTTCAGAAACATGTGGCAGATATATGGGCTGTTCGTATATCTGGCTTTCTACGCTTTCAGCGCTTTTGGACTGGAGCGGCTGGTCTTGTTGATTTCTTATGCAAGGCAGCAGTCGCGAGAAAGTGCTTGGGGGGTGTGATTCAGCTCCTGTGTTAGAGTAACTCCCTTCATTTGGCCAAAGCCGATGGCTGTCACGATCATGATTGCTTGACTCATGCTTTTCGGGCCGCTGATGTATCCAGGGACTTACCATGATCCCCTTGTCTTCGTAATTGGCGGGCTTGGTGGGGGTGCCACTGTCGAGGTTGCGCTCGTCGCTATTCTCTCTAGCCTCCAGCCCCCGATGTCTTGCAGCAGATTCTTTCTGGGCTTCTTGTATAGATCTGCTGTCTGAAGGAAGCACATTATCCAATATAACGAGATCGGACGAATGGGGGTCGGTGGTCGCGGAAAGACTGTAAATGGAGCGAATATGCAGCTTGTAGTTGTCACGGTGTGGTGAGGACCCATTGTTGCCCCCAAGTCTATCATTTGCACCGTCGCTGTCACTATCTCCATGACGCGGCATGGTATTGGCCCTCAAAGCAGCGGTTTCATCGTCAATGCTATCAGCGGTGATCGATCGCTGGATAGATTGGAAATCGTAACTAGAGGTTATGGAAGTAGCTCTGCTGTTGCGCGCGTTAGAGGGCTGTAGGGGCGGGCAGCCTTCTTCTAGACGCCGTAAAGCATTAGCGAGAATCTCGATTTCATTTTGACAGTCAAAATCTCCTTTTGGCTTCCTAGCAGTTCGTTCTGGGGATTGTTCGCTTTCGGCTGCTTTGCGGCCCTCGTCAGGAGATGGTATGTCGTTGAACACCAGGTCCGTGACTATTCAGACGTTGTTAGAGCGGCTCGCCTAGGTTCACAACGAACGTACATGGCATCGAACTTCGGCCATTGACAAATAGTCCGGGTGTAAAACTGGGTTTCAGCTTTGGAGTGTTAACCCCCAGCGGTCAATAAGCAGAAAATAGGGGGGAAGAATTACCGTGATTCTTTCGTTAGGGTTCGCGATTGCGCCAGACTTGAAATTGGCCATTATCTCTCGACTCGACCGTAATTTCCCATTCTTAGATACGCGAGTAGAGGATCTCTTTGCCTGTTGTTTCCGGCTTCTGACATCTTTTGACTTGGCCGTGTTGTAGCGATCTTTACGAGTTTTTCGTCTGGGTCGCTTCTCGAAAACGTCACGCTCAACTGACGAAACTTCCGGCGGCGTCGAGACGTGGGTTCTGGTATGGGAATACCCCTTTCTGTTGTGTACATCTTTGTCATGGTCGCTGCTCGGTTCGAACTCGTGATAATGACGATGGTGATTCGTCTGGGCAGGCAAAGGTGACGGCAATGGGGTGTCTTGGATAAAGAGATCAGATGGCTGGTATCTCCCAGCGCCGCAGCTAGACTGGATGCGAACAGTCGGAATGCCGTTGGGATGCCATGTCGTCTCTTCAGGGCCAGGGCTTGCTTTGTGAAGGACTTCTGGTGAAGTATCATTGTAGCTTGTTTGCACGTGCTGCAGCCAGGAAGGGATAAAGTCGGACCGTGAACAGGTGCATCTGCCATGAGAAACACAGGGCAAGGCAGCAGCAGAGTGACGGCATTGATCCTGGCGGCAGACAGTGCTTCTGGCCGGAGAAGGACTATGCCTGTGACGGGCCATGCTGCTGACGAGCAACGGCACGTCGGAGGGGGGTTGAAGGGCAGAAAGAATCAAAGCAAGCTTCCGGCTCAATGAAGAAAAGGCCCGAGCTCCGCGTCAAGCCGTGTTTGAGCAGAGCCGGCGGGATGTTTACAGTCTACAATCTAGTTGGCTCGATACGGCTGAGAAAATAGACGGGAGGCATCGCTCTGGATTGATATCGCAGGAGCTATGCTCGCACTCTGTAGTTACTGAGGAAGTCGAGTTCTCGCACGGCACAAAGCAGGAGCATCCATTTAATCGCCGGTGGACTCGCAACAATTGGACACTGTGCTAGCGCCTAAAACCGTTAATGCTAGCTATCTTTAGCATTGGCACCAAGTACTATTATAGGTATGTATGCCGCGTCAATAAATGGAAAATGCTCTTGGTGTGTTACTGCAATACGTGCAAGTACGAGTACTCGCACACTCGCACACGCAGAGATGGTGACATTCGACGCGGGCCTTTGGATCCCAAGCCTGGTTGACTGGCTGAAACTTGGTCGGTCAATCGACTGAATGCTGCAACAAGGCCTTGCGTAGGATTGGTGGCGCTGCCTAAAGCAGCAAGGTTGCGCCATGGCCCATCTCATAGGCTCTGGGCGCTGAAAGAGGATACCCATGGATACTCATGGATACCGTACTAGGTCAATTACACGTGCGTGCAGCTTGCCCCAAAGCAGCTGTGCGGATCCCCTCCCCCGCTCCAGAGAGCCGGACTATGAGGCGACCAGGCCCCGTGATTGGCGCGTCGGGGCTCCGAATATCAGGTGCCTAGGTAAGGGCCATGTCCATCCATCCGCTGTGCCACGATATCAGCATGTGTGCCTGTATCATGGATGTATCGTGTTTGCATGAATGCTGATGGGCGATACCGATACCGATACTGTATGTACAGGCGATCGGCCTGTCAGAGATGCACAACAGCGCTGACAGTATATATTGACGATTAACGGGCTTGCAGGGAACAGGCATCTTGCTTCAGCATGTTAGTGGTGTTACGCAACGATGGAACTTTTCCGTAAGCACAACGGCGAGTTTTTTCTTGCTGCTGGCTGGCTGACTCTACTGTAGTAACTAACGCAAGCAAGCATGCAATGCAGGCTCCCCTTTAAACAACTCAGTCGTCCTACTGTACTGCTACACTACACTACACTACAGCACAGCGGGATGCCGTCTTGAGCATGGAGCCGTCTCGGTGGGGGATGCTTCACGCTCTGCTGGCTTGCTTGCTTGCTTATTACGTAGCACCCAATGGTTACAGCTGCTGCTAAAGCTGCTGCTAAACCGTAGCGTGCACGGTACAGCAATAATCTAGGTGCCAAGCCAGTCCGTATATCACGACATGCCGGACCACCACCGCACTCATCTCCTGAGTCGTCCACCTACATCAAGTCTCTGCAAGGCGATCCTCAGCTAGCAGCTCTGATTGGCACCCTGGCCAAGCCTCGGCCGTCCACTGAGATCTGAGCGTCTGATTACAAACCCAATCAAACGGGGTCAATCCCAACCTCCAAGTTGCACGCTTTCGTCTAGCTGCAGGGCCGCTGTGCCACCTTGCCCAAGCAAACTCGCATCCTGTATGGCCCGCTTTGTAGGCTGGATGGGGCCGAACCCGACTGCATGGTTCGTCGGGGCAGTGGACTGGAAGCGGAGCCAACGAGAGAAAAGCGCGCGCAAGATCCAAGGAAATTCCCTTTTGCTCTGGCTGTGCATTTGCCATTTTCTTCCTAAGTCCGATGCACCGACGCCCAATGTCAAGCACGATAAGGTAGGTCTGCAATCGGGCAAGATGCAGGCAAGGCAGGGCACCGTATCGGCCGTATCGCCCTGCACTCTTCCAGCACGGCAAACTTGGCGCTCGGCCAATGAGCAACAGCGTCGGTGAGAGGCGAGAAACCAGGCACCTGGATTGGGAAGGCTATGCTCTGCTCTAGCGAGCTGAAAGACAAATCAAAGGAACTCTGACACTCTCAACCAAAAGATCTGGGCGAGCAATTTGCCAGCTTCTCGCCCTCTTATTGGTGTGTGACCGGGGGGCCGCACGCCAGGAGGGCTAGATCAGGGGTTCAGGTTCATAAACGACAAGTTGACGTGGACCCTCCCTAGCTTACGGCCAGCTTGGCTTGGGGGCGGTTCCCGAGTGTATTTGGCCAAGTGCCGACCAGGGGCTCAAGGCATGGAAAAGCCAATGGCGTCTGAGTGAAGCCGACAAGTTGAACAATTCGTGACAACCGGCGTCATCCATGTCTTTGAGGCTGAAAAGTTTTGTCATAGTGCTCTTAGGTAGGGTGTGTCTTATATATTCTTACCTAGGTAGGTATGAAACAAAATGGTACTCGTAAGAATTGGAGACAGAAAAAGGAGGGCGACAAGTAATACGTCTTTTAACACACCCTCCCCCTGGACAAGAGCTCGCGGCAAACACAAACTACTCGTACTATTTTTGTCTTGGGATAGGAGACGGTTCAGGATGCCGCATGAATAAAGAAATTGAGCAGAGTAAGATGCGTCATCCCTAAAATCATGCAACCTTGATCTGGCCTTGTTTGATATTGCATGTGGCTAGTGCCAAAAGCTGCAGGGACAGACGAAGCCCTTCACCCAAGATACAATGTACGAAGTACATAATCTGAACTTGGCACCTCCCCCCTGGTATTGCTTGTTGCTAATCTACTTGTCAGCCCTGGTCACGCCATCTCGCCGTCATGTACCTGTAGCATTATGGATACTTGGAATTCGGCTGGTGCACCCATCGAGCAAAGTGGCTAAGGGATTTGCACGGAGAATTTTGAAAGAAGCGAGGGCTCCGTGCCTCGAGAGTCCCAAGGTCGAGTACTGGACCGTAGGTACAGTACCTGTTTCCAAGTGCCGCTACCGCAGATTCCTACTAGGTACTATAGGTAGTATAGTACTTACTTGTACATGCCAGGCACCAGGTAGGTACATGTAAATATTTGTGATAGAGTACCTAGTAGGTACAAAGGATGGCCGTTGGCTGCTCCGCCAATAGTGTCCAACAGCCGGGGGCCTGCAGTGATCCCCTTGATTGCACGACTACCGGATATCCGTACCGTATGGATGAAAGGCAAAGCGGCAGTACGAGTTCCTGCTCTCATACCCAATGCTGGTTCCTGACAAGGTAGCCTCGTCTGTAGAATTTCCTGAGCCTTGGCTGGGCGGCAGCAATGCGCAGATGACCAGCCCATTGACCAATTGCAGATGGCCGAGTGCACTCGTCCGTGGCCCTTTCCAGCTCAGCAACGACGTATCTGGCGAGTCACCCCACGTCATCATCAGCCTCGCTTTCTCGCTGGTACAAGGCGGTCACCCGGAGCTTTGCACGCTGCCTGGTGGCACGCTGCGGTAGTCCCCAAGTACTCATAGCCAAAGCATGGACGCAATGAACCAATGACCTGAACCAATGAACCAATGAACCAAGCAAGCCCCGTTGTAGAAGAAGGTGCTACTGGACTGGACTGATAGCCAGCTGCCAACCGCCAGCTGCCAACCTTGCGAGAGGCGAGTACCGAGTACTTCGTGCTTGTACCCGCACAGGACAGACAGAGGACTGGCCACCGTTTTTTGCTCTCCCACAACTCTCTTGACCGCATAAATCTCTTGATCCTCTCTCTTGCCAACCTCCTCCCGCCTTTCCCCAAATCCAGGACCCGGCCCTTTTCCCTTTTCCCGTGACGACGTCCCCCGAATCCAAAGGCTCTGCGCGCTTCGTCGTCCGCCCGTCTCCTCGAGGCCGCCGTGACACCCGATAAGCACTTCGTACGGATAAAGACCCAGTCCGCCCTCACAACACACTCACACTGCCCCCCCGACGCGCCACGGCGTTGCCAGCATAGTTCAGCTTCCAGACTGGACTTGGGGTCATTTTAATTAGCGCACTGCTTAGGACAGTCGCCGCAGCTCGGCGTCGATCGCTGAGAGGGCGAGATCAGCAAGCCACAACCACGTTGTGTGGCTCATCTTTCTCTGGGCAGGTCGTTACTGGTTCCAGACGTCACGGACGAATCGGCACAGCTTTAGGTACGTGGTCGCGCAGTAGTCTGCATCTTTTTCTGTCCCTCGCTGCGGTACCGCATGGAACACCTGTCCCGCCTCCGTCCTCTTTGTCTCCATCACAGTCACCGTCACCGTTACTCCGTGCCATTCATTGTCGCTGCCGCTCCGCTCTCGTTTGTCAACCCTCCCACTGCACCCGTTCTTTTGAACTAGGCACCACCATACTTTGAGGAGCCAGCTCCGGAGCATCTTCCCCCCATCACCCAACTCCTCACCACATCTCGACTGCGATTGGAACTGGGCCGTAGCCTGTTTCTATTTATCCAGTCTCTTCTTCTTACCCGCACATTGCTGCTGGCCCATGTCGACAAGCCCCCCTTGACTTCGAGGTATGCCATCTCATACCTTGCTTTTAGCCCATGCTGGCGGGGGGTGAATCTGGAGCCACAAACCAGATGTTGCCTTGCACAGTTATACCCGATAGTATCCAATGTCGAAATGGCACTATGAGAGGCTTGGAGTGCATTCGTTGTCCCCTAATGACAGCGCCGCCGATGGCCAGTGGCCTTGCGCACCGCATGCAGTCTAGAGGACTTTATGCCCTACCCTCATCTGCAAGACACTGCCCAGGCCTATGATTCTCTCCTCAGACCATCCTGCTATTACCTGTTGAGACTAGTTCTTTCACCCTCCCCCCCCTCCCTAACAACGCCAACTATACATCCCGATTCTGCACCCCGCCTGACAATATCAGAACATTCGGTCAGGGTGCTGCCACTCTTGACAAGGACTGCCACATCCACCAGCGTCAGAAGTTGAGACGCAGTGCATCTCGAAATGTCGAAGCTTTTCATAGGGTATGTTTTCTGGTCCGCTCCCCAGGTGCGCTCGCCCCGAGGAGACGACTTGACGTGCTGCTGACTGAGAGCCAAAGCGGCCTAGCATGGCACACCGAAGAGGCCACTCTGCGCCAAAAGTTTGAGGAGTTTGGTGTGGTTGAGGAAGCGGTAAGTCGTTCTTTAATTCATCCTGTCACGCCTTGGCACAGCACGACTGGCTTTGATTGATTTGCTTCGCCTGAACTGGGGTTTCGACTCGCTCATGCAATGGAATCGAGCAATTTCATCAACGCGTATCCCCTCTTGTGGCTGCTCACGCGTGGAACCGTGTTTCTAATGTATCTGTCAAGGTGGTTGTCAAGGATCGAGATACCGGCCGCAGCCGTGGCTTCGGTTTTGTGCGATACGTACAAGAAGCTGATGCCCAAGCTGCCATCGCCGCTATGAACAATGTCGAGTACGGATTCTTGCTTATTCTTGTCTTTGCCTGCTTCCTTTTGCTCTCCACGCTCGCTGTCTCCCGCAGAAGAGTTCTGATTCCTTCTCTAGGTTTGACGGGCGAACTATTCGTGTTGATAAGGCATCCGATAATGGTCCCCGAGGCGGAGGAGGCTTCGGCAATCGCAACGGCGGAATGTCCTATGGAGGCCGAGGCGGCTACGGAGCACCGCCGGGATCCTATGGAGGCGCCCCCCCTGGCTACGGCGCTGCCCCGAACATGTATCCGCCGGCTCCGTATGGCCGTGGTTACCCACAACCGCAGCCTCAGTATGGCATGCCGCCGCAAGGTATTTCAAAAAGCAGACTGTCCCCGTCGTCACTGCGGTGGCCACTTGCCTCGAACCCATGTTGACTGTCTCCTAGGTTACGGCGTCCCAGCACAATACGGCGGCTATCCAAATATGCCCCAGCAGCCACCACAGCCTCCCCCCCAAGGTGGAGGCTATTAACCAAATCCAATAAAGCCGCCGCAGATTCTTATCCAGAGTCCTTCCCTAGAGTGAGAGGCTTAGAGCCCTTCCAGAGCCGTGTTATCGAAAAATAAAGACCCAGGCGTGTTCTTTTGGTTTTGCGAACGGCACCCCCTAGAACTCTCGAGACGGAGCGTCCTTAGGTGCCAAAGATATACCCCGGATTTGTTTTTCTTTCGATAAATGGATTGAGCTGTCCAGGCTATTAATGCGACCTGCTTGGGGAGAAGCTCTTGGAGAGGGAGGATTTCTTTTGTTTTTTTCACTGCCGATTTTTACTTGCCCCGTCTTGTGCGTTTGGAATCAAAACAGGGGGTTCCTGCACCATTGCTTTGTGGGAGGGACTGGCCGGATCACGGACAAGTCAAAGGAGGGATTTCGGATAGAGACATCTGTAGGGGATATTGGAGCCATATTTGGCCACCTTTCTAGAAAAGGTCAACTATAATATTGGCGACGTTAATGACGGGCTATGATCAATATCTAGGTCGGCCGGCATGAGAGATGAGGCGGCATTGTCTATCATTAGGGGATCTGAGAGGAAAAAAAGCATTTGCTTTCCATGTTTCTTTGTCGAGGTTCTGGTCTTTGTCTTTTCCGCCCCTTTGTTATGAGACAACTTTTTCGATTTCCTCCGCCTCCTGTGTGCTGCTTTCCTGTTTGAAATTGGAGATTTGTGGTGAGGCTCGGAGAGCCTTTGTTGGACCGTTGGCCGCGGCTTCAAGAGCCCTCACACGACGTGCAAGGTCGCTCACGTGGACATCCTCACTCTCCGGGCACAGTTCGGCCAAGGCTGTGTCGAGACCCAAGAGGTAGTCCTTGTTCAGCCCACTAGGGCCACGACTACGCAAGATGTGCTCGGCAAGTTCCTGAGGGTCTTGAGGTCCGACAAACTGCTCGTTATCCGGCGTGCCGATGTAGACCAGCGTCTGGATGGGCGAGGAGCCATCAGCGGGATGAAAGGGCGTATAGTGGATCGAGTAGCCGTTGATCTCCCGGATGTCGAGATACTCCTTGACTTCTGTGACATGCTCGGCGTGGATTCGGTAAGCTACGCCCCATACTTTATCAGGAGCAGAGTCGTGATGATCTGTGAGCTGTTCCCAGTGAGACCGTTCAATGAGAGTGACGACTCGTCCAGGAGCTTCTGGGGTTCCTCGATGATCTTCGCTGGAGGTGACACTCGGGTTAGCATTACAGCTGAGCCTCGTGATTGCATTGCTCCCGCAGGAGCTCTTTCTTGTTGTTGTCGTCGTCTTACCTAGCCTATTGAAGTTGTGAGCTACCATACTGGGCAGAGTGAGAAAAAAGGGGGCGACGAGTCTACTATTTCATCGCCTGGGGTGAACTCACCTGCCAGAAACGCCGGACATATCCCGTTACCCAGCCCGGGATTCTCTTGTCTTGTTGTTGGTGTTAGTAGGCGTTTGGCCCATGACTGTGACAGATTTGTGTGCAACAGGAGAAGTGAAAGGGGGCAATAATACCAAAGTGCGGCGGGGGCTTCCATATGAGGCTCCTAGACGTTGGGTATCCATCAGAGATTAGATGCACGACGTGGGCGAAAAGGCTTGGGCGTCGACAGGGGAGCAGGCGGAGCAAATCCTATGCCACGTCCACGTCTTATAAGCCAATTGATGCGAACGTACCCGTAGCCATAGAGCCAGAATTCCGATGCGTTTTCAGCTGCAGTCATCACGTACGAGGTCACGCGAGAAACTATCTGGGGCGTTGTTTCGGCTCGATCAGAATTCCGTCGACGATCTCTGAAGCGAAAGATTACACAAATGGGAAACGGCAATCTATTGGAACGACTGGCAATGATGGGAAATTAAAAAGAGCAGCATGCAAAAGAGTTTACGGTGCGGGTATCCGACTTGGCTACGTTGCTGACATGGAGAATATGGAGATATGGCGCAGTAAGAGGTTGCGACAATGAGGGAAATGATTACAAAGCAGCCAGTGAGTGACCTCTTTTGAGTCATGAACACAGCTTCTACAATGGCAGATGAACATGCAACGAACAAAGGCGCCCTGTTCCTTGACAAGACCAAATGACCAAGACTACTTTTAACTGCTGCAACGTGTTGGAAGTTGGACGGCATGCGTGAAGTTGAATTCTCAGCTTTGGGTTAGCACCGGCAAGGCGATGCCAGCCCAACGATATAATACCGCAAAGCTGCTGAACGACGCTGCTTTGAGGCCAAGGCGATGTGGAGTCTTTGGTCGCTGTAAAACCAGCCTGCCGAAGAGCCTACCTTAAGCCGGATGATGCCATGCCGCGCAGAGCCTCATGGCGTGGCGGCTGTGCAAGTTTCATTGTTTTCTCATCTCAGCGCCAGGGGGGTTTTAGCAGCAGCAACAGCACTGCATGAAGTACGAGAGATGATGAGGCGATTGCGATTTACGACGACGATTCTGCTTCGCTTAGCAACTCGCATTGGGCCATGATCCAGCTTCCTGCAGATGCATTGAAAGGGAAAGAGTGCAGTGCAGCAGCCCGATTTCTATTTTGGAGACTGACGAAAGGACGAAAACGGCAGAGTTGAAAGGATCGGATGAGGCGCGGCATTGCATGGCCAAACCGGCACCCCGCCACAACTGTCGCAAGGCAAGGCACAGACAAGGATCGGCACTATTGAAGCTGCGAGCTTGCCGCGTTTGTGCTGACGGGATGTGCAGCTGAGGCCAGCCGCTGCTATTTAGGTACCTAATAGTTGACAACTGACGAGTGCGAGTTCGTTCTATCGAAACTCGTCGCCGCAATTGACATTAACCAAATCCTTTGTCTCTTTCTCGGCGCCTCTCTCGGGACGCCTACGACGCCCATAGGCCCTGCAGCCCCTATTTCGATCTACAAGGGCGACGACTCTCGGCATCCAATCTCGCATTGTATTAGTTTTCTATTGCCAGCGCTCTCTCTAGAAAAGCTAGAAAAGGCCCTGCCTGCCCCGCGGCCTGTCTTTGGTAGGTACCTACAGTCTGCCTTAGTACGTCTACAGTACCCCGTAGAGACTTGGTACCTATTAGAGACCTTAGAGACCTACCGCCTCTTACTTCATATTACGGAGTACATCCATCAGGCTTTATCTCTCCTCAACCCCACCCCCAAGCAACAGCTCTTCTACGGCCTCTGTCTTGGTAGAAGGAAGCTTCAACAACGACGGCGCAGCACAAACCGCGTCCACTGAGCAAGCTAGAAATCCCTCATCGTCTCCCTGTATCGATACCCGGCGGCCACGTCGCAGAAACATCTGCGCAGCTCCTTTGATACAAGTCGCAGAAATGGCGTACAACCGGCCCTACGACCCCGATGCTCTCCCCAGGTATGTCTCAACCGCAACCCGAAGCCCAAACGTCATAGACTGCCATATCGCTTTTGCTGCCCCTCACGGCTCCCAGACTTTGCGAGAAACGCCAATCGCTAACTCTCGTCAACTACAGATTTGCTGAGCCTGAACCTGTAGGTTTCCCGAATCCCGCCCCTGAGATCGGAGGAAGAGACGTCCATGGGGTAGCAGCAATTAACCAAGCCTGTTTGCGCATCTTTGCAGAAACCAGGTCAAGCGCCCTCTCCGCATGCTGGAGCGCCTCCACAGCAGAGATATGATCGCCCTCAGCAGCCACAGTATCACCAGCAGCAACCACAATACCAACAGCACCAGCCTCCCCCCCGGCCCGATCAGCACCAGTACGATCACCCACCGCGGCGTGATACGGCGGGACATGGCCAAGGACAGCCGAGATACGACCAGCGACACGACACAAAGTCACCAATCCACCACCCAGGCGCGTACGGGCTCGGATCACCGCCTCCTGTAGCGGCTGCTCAACGCCCAGCAGCTCAGCACCACCCTGCTCCCGCCTCTCGACCACCCCCATCCCCATCCAACGACATGAATGGTGCGGATCCAACACTGCTGCCTTTATTCCGGGCTGTGGATAAGGATGGTGAGTTGACATGCTAGGAGAAAACATGAAGAGCCTTCACTTGATCCCTTGCATGAATTACAACGAGACGCAACCTGCTGACGCCATGGCCCCTCAACCTAGGAACCGGTCACCTATCCGAAAAGGAGCTCTCAGCAGCCCTCGTCAACGGCGATTGGACCGCCTTCGACATCCAAACGGTCCGTATGATGATTCGCATGTTCGACTCGGACCGCAGCGGCACCATTGGCTTCCAGGAGTTCTGCGGACTGTGGTCCTTCCTCGCCTCGTGGCGCACTCTCTTCGACCGCTTCGACGTCGACCGCAGCGGCAATATCTCCCTACCAGAATTCACCGATGCCCTCATTGCATTCCGCTATCGCCTCAGCCCGCAGTTCGTCGAGCTGCTGTTCCGTACGTACGATAAGCGCGGCGAGGGCGTCATGAGCTTTGATCTGTTTGTCCAGGCTTGTATCTCGCTGAAGCGTATGACGGATGTGTTTAAGCGGTACGATGATGACCGGGATGGGTACATTACTTTGAGCTTTGAGGACTTCTTGAGCGAGATTTTGAAGCAGATGAAGTAATATCCTCTTTCTATTCAAAGGAATTGAAGAGAAGAAAAAATGGAAAGGAAGCGGAGGGCTGGCTGGAGTTGCTTGGGCATTTATCGACGTAGGTCTGAAGGAGGTGGGCATAGATGGGCAGATGGATGCACGATACCCTGGGAGATGTGAGGGCGTCTCATCTGCATCTAGAAGTCTCATCTCGCATACATGTACCATTTTTGTTGTTTGCTTTCTCCCTCGCATAGTATTTTTAAAGACATTTATTCATCATAGTAGATGAAAACAAAGGATCATTCACAATATTACCATTATTACTACTCTTATTCATATTTTTAATCTTTAAAACACCGAAACGTTATTAAATAGCCCCAAGGCATCCGGCCCTAGACTCCGATGCTGCGATGGGTGGCCAAACTCTCGAACACCATCGCTCGTCAGAGTCACCTCTTCTCCTTGGTCTAGATCCAATGTCTGCGTGATCCTCGGCGCATAGCCGCTCGATGAAGCTCTCCTCTCCCTGGCCTCCGCCCGATCCAGCATCTCTTGGACCTCGTGCCCGAGAAACGTCTTCGTACGGGGTCGCTTGTTCTTCACGGCGGCTCTGTCGTCCCAGCCATGCGTTGCCACCCACACTCGCGCGCCCAGCGCCAGCGCCGTTTCCTGGCCGATGGGCAAGAGACTCTTGTTCCGTCCGAGAGCCCACCGCGGCCTGGGTTCCGTGTCGAAGCTGTGGATGAGCGCGGTCAGGGGGAGGGCCGCTTCGGACACGAGGTGCGAGGTTGCGTAGGGCTTTATGCTGCTGTACGATGTGCCTCGGGGAGAGAATACGACGGAGAGAGTCTGGCCTTGGACGCGAGGGGGTGGTGGCAATGCTGCGTCTTTGGATTTCTGAGGTTGTAACGGCTTGGGAGTGAGTGGAGGTGTAGGGGGGACGAGCCTGGCGGTTAAGGCTCCTGTTGGCGGCGCTGCAAGAGGAGGCAGAGGTTGAGGCGGCGTTGAAGATATGATTGATACGTGAGTTGCCACAGCCGAGGCGAGAGATCGCCGAAAGGGAGACGGGCTCGCCGGCGAAGGGCGATATGTGATGCCCACCGCCGCGCGTGCGCTTTTCGCAGCCCCTTTCTGGGGAATCAGCGAGACGGTCACCTCGCCATGCTCGCCGCCGACGTAGCAGGGAGGGACCGGCACGCGAGTGACCCTATCCTGTCCTGCCTGGCGCGGATCCTGCCACGGGGAGAGCGTTCTGACGATGCTGTTGTCGAAGTTCTTCCATGTGTGGATGGTCTTTGCCGTTGCTGGGTCGGCCAAGATGATGGTTTTCGTGGCTGTAAGTGCAATGTGTCGTAATGCCTTTTCTAGAGGAGGACTGATTCTGCCCTGACTGACGACGACGAGATCTGGTGTTGGGATATGGAGTAGCGAGGGGATACGTTGGCTGTGATGTGGTGTATGGGAATGAAGACGCAGGTCGTTGTTTGCTGCTGGCTCTTCGAGCACAGGATCTAATAGAATATAAAAGGGGTCACGGACGTTGCCTTCCAACGGCCTGAATGTCAGTAGGAATGAATCAGCTGAGCATACTTTGCTAATGTTCAATGCCATGATGGCAAGGCTCACAAAAGTAAGGAAATAGATTGGAGGTCTAAAGGAAGTGTATATTTCTGCAACGTTCAAAGCATCTCACAGAATGCCATATCTTATTCATACCTATGAAAAACAATCACCGACCATCATGAGGATAAGGAATGCTCTGGCTCGTCTGTTAAACGGAAGCATCAGGCCGAATGTAGTGATAGAGCAAGACCCTTCCAGGGGCCATCCAGCTTGAGTACGAATCATCTGTCAAAGGGAGACATTACTATAGTTAGCTGGTAGCGGTAAATGCTGTCTCATAATAAGAAAGTCATGTCAAGGAGCAGCATTCCTGTCACGGGACGTTGGACTGTAGCATGGCAGACAAGACGACAACTGGCATGCCGGCTGAGTCAAATGAGGAGCACCTCTCCCAACTCTGGGCATCAAGCTCCGGATGAGGCCAGAAATAGCGTCTTATGCGACCAAGTCGTCTATATAGGCCGAGTCTATGGAGTACTCCCGTTACGGACTCCGAATCCAGCTATGGAGTATCTAGTACTAGACCAGATCTCTACAAACCCAGCTTTTTGTGGTGACCTTGTCGAACCGAGGACTCTCCAAACATCGCCGATAGCATCGTCCTACTCGACGGTTGGGTGAAGCTTCTCTTCTCTCTCCCATCCGTCGCAAATCCACTAATTGGCAGCTGAGTCGTTCGCAATGCGAGGCCCCCCGAAGGGTCCAGGCCATTCAGGGCAACGGACCAAAACTCCTTGCCATGAATGAAACCGGCTGCCCATCGGAGGCGTCTTGCTTTTGCCGGCGACTGCTGAGGTAAGGTACGAAGTGCGTGTGCGGCCGAATAGGCCAAAAGGGAAAAAAAAATAGAGAGAGAAAAAAATGACAGGTATCAATGTATCGAGTGTCATCGCGCCGTGTATCGTGGCAGTGGGCATTGAGCGCTAGGAGTACTTCCGCACGGGACTCCAGGCACAATACAATAGGCGCGGAGCCCGTAGCGCGGGCAAGTGCAGTGCCAGTGCAGCCGAGTGGGGCGTGGAGAGCGCAAAGTGCAGAGTGCAGCGTCACAGTGCGTGTGCGTAAGTCCCGCCTTCCTTCCGAGGGATGCCAAGCTCGCTGCGGGTTGCAGTAGCATGGAAGGTCGAGAGACTGTATTATGCACTTGGGGAGGAAGACTAAGTAGGAACTTGCCCGGGGGCTTGAGAGGCGTCCCATCACGGCATTTTGCAAGGTACTAAGAACATGCAGGGTACTTGTCAAGGTGCATACTAGTAGGTTCAGGTAGGTAGATGCAGATATTGGACAGCAGGCGGCATCACATCTTCTTTCCCAAAGTAAAGCTGCGGCCGACGGGAATTGGCAGCTGAGGCAAGAGCACCTGCAAGCAACAGCCAGCCAGAGAGAGAGAGCTATGGGTGTGTGTGTGAGCAGGCTGGCGAGGCAGGTGGGTGCAAGAGCCAAAGTGCAGCAGTTGCAGGAGCTGGGGGAGGACCCTTGAGGGCCGATGGGCGGCTGTGACTGGCGGAGCTACGGCCAGTAGGTAGCTGGTACCACTGGAATAGCATGGCGCGGGGTCACCGCCTTTGATTCAATGACATGGAAGAAAGCATGGGACTCATCCATGCGATCCCAGTGTGTATAATCCAGCTGTGATTGGCAAGCAGCTGGCACAAGCGTCCCTTGCTGGGATGGATGGGCTGACGAGAGAGAGAAGAGAGAGACGCTGTTCCAGCTATTGTGCTGCGCCGAACATGCGGCATCAGCTGAGGCCTCGGAGCAGCACCTGCTACGAGCCATGCTATTGATATTGACGTTGTGCTACTACCTAGCCAGGTTTGTGCTGCAATAACGTTTGAATGAGGATACCGACCTATCTATAGGTAGAGCATTGACATTGGCTAATGCTGTGCAATCTGGATTCTGGAAAATTGTCGAGCTTACGGAGTACATGCTGCATATTCGAAATCGCCAAAAAGCTCGTGTCCAGAGGGGGGCTATGCCGTGGTGGTTACTGTGCTGCAGGCCTCGGTCAGGCACACCGATCCTGTTGCTGCAGCTTCTAGCACCACTCTACCTCGTACAACGACTGGGCATCTCCAGGTAGGCCCATCTCAGCATTTCTCGTTCCATGCTCTTCCGGCAGACCAAATCTCGCCTACCTGATACTCCGTACTTGCAAGCACCTTCACGACTCGCTTTGCCTGACAAGACCCAAAAGGGCCCTCTCCGATCCCCGACCCCGACCCCGTCGGCTGCACGTCAGTTTCATGGTGTGCAGACCACTCGGACCCTGGCACACCAGTGATGTCAGTCGCCCTGTTAGGTTGATGACGGCGCAGTGGCGCTTCAAGGATACGATACCTGTGCCAGAGGCATGCCGCTGTCTGGCAGTCTGGCTCCAGTTGCTGCTCTGCCAGAGGGACGAGTACTCCGAGTGCTCAGGTAGAAGATACTTGTCTCGCGACCGAACAAATTTTTCCTCTTTTGCTGCCCACACGCTGCCGCCACCGAGCCAACACTAGCTGTTGGGTTCTCGTTGACTCGCAACGCCGCACACCGACCGATTCAGCACGGCTTTTACTCAGGTGCCCTCGCTAACCTCGTTCGAACCGCGATTCAGACGCCAGTCCGGCCAGCCCGACCTTGTGAAACTCTACGATGCGCCTGAGAGAAGAGCTGCTTCACCTCGAGTGTGACGGCGAAGCTACAGGCGCCAAGCGCAAGCTTAGCTCTTTGTAAAGACACCGGAAGTGGGAGAACGGCTTGGATGACGCCCACGGACCCGCCGGTGCCAGACCTCAGACCCAGAAGCGGCTTGCATTTGGCGGGAGACGGCCTTTTCTTCCCTCTTCTTTTCCTTCTTCAATACGCACTTGTTCGGCCAGGTCTGCTCCGTACAGTGTGGATACTGTAGCAGGCCCTCGTGCATGTATGCCGGACCAAGGCGGTCCTTTTTTTTCCCTGCTTCGTCTGCTGCTTATCGTCCTATCTGCTTGCCTGACTAGGAAGGATAGGCAGTAGCTTGGCATTATCGGCACAAGGGCATGAGCATGTCATGATGAGGGATAACTTGGGTGCTTCGTACTTCGTACTTACGGAGATGCTCAAGCACAACCCGAGACAAGCGGCAAAAAGGGAGCCAATATTGCAACTAAAAGTCAAATAATGCAATTTTCTCTTTCTCTGTTTGGGCTCGGAGCTCCGCCAACCAAGCCGCCAACTACGCCTCACGGCACTGGCGACCAGCCAAGGGCGGATGGCAGACCCCGTATTGAAGTTAAGCGGATGTTTCAATGACCACCGAAAGCTCAGCAAGCTGATAAAGCTCCCCTGGCACCTGGTTCGCGAAAAGAAAACAGCCAGCCCCCACTCGACGGTCGGTCAGCTCGAAACCTCAGCCAGCAACATGGCCCTGCTCGAATCTGCAGAGAGACTGCAGCGTTGCGTTGCGCGATGCCGCCCCGCCAATGCCGAGTCAGTGCAGTTGCGAGATGCCATGATTTGCCACGAGATTTGGCGCTTGTGAGAAAACGGCACCGGACGGTGGGCGAAAGTGAGAATGTACCTGCTTCTACCAACCACGACCTGGGGTTAGTCCTTTAGGGTTGTACGAGTGGTACCAACAACTTTTGCCAGCAGGAAAAACCGAACTCGTCGTATACAGTATGGAGTATAAAACAAAAGGACGGCACACGCACGAGGCATTATTCCAGGCTCCTGCCGAGTACTGTGCTGTTACCACGGAGTACCACGAGGCAACCGAAAGAATGGAACAGAGAGAGAGAAGCGAGAGAGAGAAAGAGGGAAAATAGAAGCTCCCAGTGGAGCCTCTTCTTCTCTTGATTCCAGCAGGGGGGCGCCAGAGCTTAACCCCAAGCTCCCCATTGGCTCGCCACCTCGTCCGGGTTTGAAGCAGAAACCTCTAAGCAGATCACAAGGGACCTTCTGCTGCATGCGCACTCAGAGACGATGGGGAACGGGCCTAGGTACCTGCTACCAGACTCCATACTTGTGCATTGAGACGAATGTCAGAAGCGCGCTTTGCCCACACACATTCCTCACGCCCTGCCTGTTGCTCACTCCCCCTCTCCCGGGGTGCCCTACTCGTGCTTGTGCTTGTGCTTGTGCTTGCTTGGACAAGGGACTATTGCTACTGCTACTGCTCCAGTACTGCTATAGAATTCCATGCTGTGTGAGAGCTCTCCGGCGGCCCCAGGGCGTGTACACTGTACTTTGTCGAGCAAGCCGAGCGCCCCAGTGACGCTCTTTTGTACGTATTGCTCAAGGTCCTGGGTATACAGTACGTGGGTGCTGGGTCACTTGCAGCGCTTGTGCCCTTTCTGCCGTCAGCTTGCGCGAGTACTGCATACATTGAACTGCTCTGTCTGTCGTCCCTTCTGCGTCTCTCTTTTTTTTCCATTTTTTCCCAATTTTTTTTTTGTTTTTGCCTTTCCTGGACCCGGGCGGATTGCCATGCGCAGCCAGTTCCCGTGAGCAGAACCGAATCCATCGGAGCGCCGCCACTGTAACATGGAGTGCTGCGGCCAGGCCAAGCTACTTACTTAGGATAGCTCTTGTCTCCAGCATTGCTGCTCCGGCTGCTATTTTCTAATCCCCTACACTGTACTTTTACAATCCAAACTCTCCCCTCCCCATTCTCTCCCACACATTGACGCTGGCAGAGAAATCTGCGAGCTTTGCACGGACAGAGCTTCTGCTCATCCAGTTACTCGTCCATTGCTTCATCTTTACATTGTCCATTCTTCTTACACTCCAGCATCTACATCTACCTGTAGTACCTCTACCTGCCTCTCACCCTCGCCGTACCTCTTACACCTCACACTCTCTTTCCTCTTTCCTCTCTCTCTCTCTCTCTCTCATACCCTTTCCTCGCCATCTACATGCACATTTCCCTCCTAACATTTACAACCAATCCTACTATACCTGTCTACCTAGCTTGAAGCTATTTTCTTTACCCCGTTACGCATCGCGATTTCTTCTCGGCCATTTGTTCCTGGACCTCGGCCGTGCCGCTCAGTTTGTCGTTTCCGGAAAACCCACTTGACCTGCATAGCCGCATACCTACAATTATACATTTTGGACGACTTGGCCAAGAGAAAGCTTCAGACTCGCCATTTGAACCAAGGCGCAAGTTACTTTTCAGTAACTCCATCTTGCAGCGTCGTTGACGCAACGCTTACTTAACGGGTCCAGGCGAGAACACATATAAACGACCTTAAGCTGCTGCTCATATTCTGAAGCTCAGTTTTTTTCTCCATTGGCCACTCCGTACTATTTAACCACACAGACTCACACACAAGTTGAATCAAAGAAACCAGCAGCTAGGCGGCGAATCGAGCTTCAGTACGTCGTGCTCGCGATCGCCGCCCTCGAATTAGACGACCTTGGTTGATTTTTTTTCCATCTCGATTGAGCAATCTGCTTAGAAAAGACTTAACTTCTTCTTTTACGGCGTCCTTGCCACCAAAGAGAGCTCCTGTCTTTCTCTACTTGGGTTCAAAATGCCGCCGCGCTCGTCCCTCACCTCGTCCTTTTCCATCACAGACTCCAACAACGAGGTTGTCTGTCCGCTCCGAAACCAAGATGGCTCAAGCTGTCGCAAAAGATGCATCGGCGTGAGTACTGATTGCCCTGTCCTGGGGCTACTTCCCTCTCTGCCTGCAGCTATCCGCTCCCCCCACCGCAGCCCTTTTCTTCCTTGAGTTCTAATTCTGCCTTGCTTCTGCCCTGCTTCTGCCCTTTGTCTGATCCTACGCTGGCACCGTCAGAAAGGCTCTGTTGTCATACACGCATGCATGCATTCATGCAAACACTCGGACTTCAGCCTCCGCCACCCCCAGCCTCACTGGAAAATTCTCAATGGCACAGCGAACTATAACACAGACCTCTAACATGGCGTTCCAATTATAGGAAAAGAGATATCGGTCTATGCAAGAGCATATCCGCCGTGCACACCCCGAGCATTACATATCGAAGCTCCCAGCGACCGAAGAAAGCTTCCTGCTCATGATCAGCACCCCGCCGCAAGATCGCCGCCAGAATGAAGGAACACCCACAGCCACTCAAAGTGCGTCCATGTCACTGCCCATACTCGGGAAAGATCCCTTTCCTACCACAATCTCTTGTCTTGATCGCAGACTAACGATTGGCATGAAGGCTTTCATGATCGTCATTCATTTTACAGAGATGAATCGAGCAACCCCGGCACTCCGCGGGGTGGCGAAGAAAAACTGCCTGGGACCAGCTCCATCCTAGGGACTGCCAGCGCAGCAGCCGTTTTGGCCGAGCTGCATGGCGTCAAGTCTGAGAGAGAGCTAGATATGGATGGTGTAAGTGAAGAATGGCTTCCAAGCGTACCCCGCTGCCTATCGATAGATGGTTGAATATCTTATCTACTATCTCACGATGATAGCGTTGATAACGAGAAGCTTCCCCACGGCACCTTGTCGCATCTCATCTGCTAACGCTGTGCTTTTCACCACTCCAGGGATATTATTCCGATTTAGATGGCCGGCGCAGGCCTAGAAAATCCATCGAGCTGCCGCCTCTGAATCTCAGCAACATCACAAGTGACCCGTATTCCAACAGGCCTCGCGAAATCCTGCCTTCTCTCTTGGCAGCTTCACCTCCTGGGCGATCATCAACTTTACCTCCGCTCCAACGGCCCTTGGGACCGAGCCGGCCTCGCAAGCAGTCTATATCGAAGAAAAGCCGAGAATCCCATCACAGGAAGAAGCCCTCGCGCGGCTCTGATTGGCTACGGCGTATTCAGAACGAAGAGCGATACAGGACTGGCCATGATCGCAAAGCTCTTTCTGCTGAGCCATGGGCAGACTATGGCAAACGATGGGAAGACCTGATTGATGCCGCAGACCAGGCCGCATCTGCAGCAGGAGATGTTGACGAGGACCGCACCCCGGTAGGTGACATTGAAAATGCGTTTGTTTGAAAGCAATCCCTTTACTAATTTCCCCTCTCGTCAGATGCCTCAATCACCAGTCTCAATTCACCGAGCATCGCTGCCTCCATTCAGTCACCACCAATTCCAGTCTGCTAGCAACAACTACCAAGCTTCGCCCTTGCAACAGGCCTTGACGCCGCCCTCGTACAACCAAGATGTGATTGAGCCTTTCCCATCCGTTGAGAGCGGCGAAAGTGGCGATAATTTCCACATTGGCTCTCGCGGCCTGTCAGACTCGTCACCGACCTACAACTCACAGAACGTTCAGATATACTGTGCCGCTTGTCACAGTGTCTCCCTGCTCAAGAATTCATATGCCTGTACAGAGTGCATCTGCGGACTGTGCTCAACCTGTGTTGAGGTTCTCGTGTCTGAGCATGGAGCGCGCAGGAAGTGCCCTCGCTGTGCAACAATTGGTGGTCGGTACAAGCCCTTCCAGCTTGACATTAGATGAACGATTCTTCCTCTTCTAGTCTCTTTTACGGTTTTATGGGTTACGCTTTCCTTTTTTTCTTTTCCTTTATTTCCACATCAAATCTTTTATTGCATATTTGGCGCCACCATACACAGGCCAATGGCAGGCGCATCGGGAGACACGATACAGGTCTATTTCCTTTCCCGTCTTGGAGCAATTGCCTCGGCCGCCCCCTTTTCTTTTTGTTCTTTTTGGGCGGGGACCTCAAGTTGGTCCCTTGTGTGGGATTTTTACTTGGTTTGTTTGTTTTCATCTCTCGTTGGTTTATTATGGCTTCATTCTTTTGGATATATCGGGTTCCAAAGTGCTGCGGCGTTATTACATTGGATCAGAGGAGAGATCTGTTGGGTACCTTGGCTGGCACAGTTGCACGTTTTTATGACATAGGGATTTCAGTCTATTGGGTTTGGGTCATGGATAGGTCTTTTATGGTTAGGGACTGGTTTTAAGACAGTCATGAATGATTATGCCTATGTTCTACTGAGATTGCCATGTCTCTCTTTGAAATACACCACGCTAAGTTTCAATTTCCTTGTAATGTTGACATTAGGAGACCCGTAAATTCTTCCAAAGCTCTCAAGTTAACGAGAAAGTCGAAATATCTCGCAACAAGAGAGACGGCTAAGAGTTACTTGCCTCTCTTCTCCTTCTCCTGCTGCAGCAACATGTCCCTTACGGCAGCTCTCTGGTTCCTGCTGCCACCCAGTTTGGGGCCCTTGAGAACATCGCCCGTCTGTTGCTTCTGTTGCTGCTGCTGCTGCACGGGACGCTTCTTCTTGCGGCGCATGGCCTGCTCGTCGTAGTACTGCTGCCGGAACTCTTCGGCGAGGCGGTCGTCGGCGGAGGGATCCGCGCCGGGGCGGGAGGAAGCTGTTGGTGTTGAGGAAGAGGGGACATTGTAGACGTCGACTGTTGATCATTGGGTCAGCTGCGTTGTTGTTACGAACAATGGTGGGGGGGATATGGGGAAGAGGACTCACGGCGATTTTCGTGGAGGAATTGCTCGACGAGGGCGTCGCGCGCAATGTCTTGGCTGTTGCGGCGGTTGCGGCCGCGGCGAGGAGGCGGTTTGGCGGCATCCTTTTCGACGCGGCGGCGCTTGCTGCCGGCATGGCCGTTGATGTTGTTGTTGTTGCCAGTATTCGTGTTTGCGCCGTTGTCGAGGTTGGCCATGTCGACCTCGACGAGCTTGCCGTGGCGGGTGGGCTGGTCGCGCCACTTGTCCTGCTGGTTGGCGTCGCCGGCGAGAGGGCCCTGGTTCGCGGACTGCGAGGAGGAGGGCTGTGATGAGGAAGATGCGCCATGGGGGTCGGCGGAGCGGCTAGCGAGGCGGGATTCTATGTATGCATTCCTGAATGATTAGCTTGGCGCTCTATAAGGGAAGACAAGAGAAGGAGGAGGGCCTAATGGTCTGCGTAGGGAAGGAGGAGGGGAAGGGGTTTTGGCGTACATGTGTTTGTCGTCGAGGATGGTGAGGAGGCCGGTCTGGTGCATGAAGCGGTTGGTGATGCCGCCGACGATGCGGTCGTGCGCAATGGCGGCGTCCTTGTCGGCGTCTCGGAGCACCAGTGCATGCTCTGCATCTGCATCTTCGTCGTCCTGGTTTCGTCCTTCTGAGCGGAAGCCTACACCTCCTCGACGTCCTGCCCGGCGCGCATTGCGGAGGCGCAACGCAGCTGCTACGGCTGATTCCCCGGCCGCCAGATCGTCGCCATCATCGCCATTGCCATCGCCATTGCCGTCCTCCATTTCGAGATCTCTTGGTTGTACTTCTGCGCTGGCATCATCTACATCTCTTCCAGGCTCGCCATCCCCCAGCTTCGACGCGCTTGGCAGGACGGACGGAGCAGGAATCGTCGCTATATCATGGCTTTCGTCTTCCGTAGCCCGTTGGCGGTAGGCCTTTCTCTTTTTCCCGGCGCGGAAACGGATGGGTTCTATGGTCGGGGTGTTTCCATCTTGATCTGGTTGCGTCTCATCCATGATGTGAAATGTGAAATTTGGTTGTAGAGATAAGATCTTTAGCAGCAGGCTTCCAGGCGAACGAGAGGGTGTGACTTCATAGCTCTCAAAGTCCGGCGATTAGCCGATGGGCTGGTGGCCACTACCTACCTATTAGACTATTAGTTGACGGACTTGAGCAGTGAGAGCACAATGAGATCTTCCCAATGATAAAAAAAATAAATACGTCAGATTCATTGGTTAGAGATGGTAAAAAGAGTAAGTTTTTCATGTGTTTCAAATGCGGAATGCGGCTTCTTACGTGTTCCTCCAGGTATACTTTGAGGTTCACGGATTTGTCCAAGGTAAAGGATGCTGTCATCGATTCCCGCAGTCCTCGTACATCTAGCTAACGTCGGTTCCGCAAGGCGTGGGATTTCGGTATACCAGACTCTTCATTCTTGACACTGCGCCTAGAGAATAACCAACTATAGTTACTTCACGAGAAAGAAAGCCCATGCGTATGGCGTAACCGGATGGTGCCGCAACACTATCGATGACACGGTGAGATCTCCTCCGCAGTGGGATACGAAATGATGGCTCACGTATGCCATGAACAGGTCGAGGGTGAAGCCCAAGGGAGCGATGATATCATGCAGATGTTCTTCGATGACATAAACAAAGGCCCAAGCCACGCCAAAGTCACCAAGGTTGTCCAGGAAGACCGCGACGTGGTGGAAGGGGATGGCCCTTTCGAAGTTCGGCGGTGAAAGTGTCATGTAAATGATACCTAATAAATGATAAAAATGTCCTGAGCACGCCATGCTAAATAGCCTATCCACATGATATAAACACTACAATCGCCCATTCCAAGACTAGAATCCTCTTCCCCGTCTCTTTATTACTGGCTTCTTTACCGCACCTTGCACGGTGAATTTCTTCTCGTCCTTGTCAGCCTTTTTCTTGACCGTTCGTTCAACCTCGGCCTGTTTACGCTCCTCGTCGAGGCGCTTGTCCTCTGCCATCTTAGCCTCAATCTCCATCTTGCGGTTGAATTCCGTCTCGGTGATGCGCTTGTCTCGAATTGAGTAGCCCTTCTCCTTGATGGAGTAGAAAACGCCACCGAGATCTGCTAACCAGTGAGGGTCAACTGCCGTGACAGTCGAGACATAGACTTTGGATGTCAGGATGAGTTCGTGATATACAATGTAATCCGGCGGATGGCCGGCGTACAAGGCGCTTGTGGGGTGCAGCTGGACTCCGAGATTTGTTCGCAAGTTGGTGTATTCGCCGGACCCCTTGTACTTGGCAGCTTGGTGGTAGTATCCGGAGCAAATGCACTTGCGAATAACGTCCCAGTCCATGCCGCAGCTGATCAGTTGCATCTTCTGCATCTTGACGATATCCAAGAGCTGCTCTCGAATTTCCTTCGCACGTCGAAGAGACTTGGAGTGAAGAAAATGCTTGATGCACCACCCGTCCGAATATCCGTTGGCTTTCCATGCTGAATAGACTTGGAGGTAGGTAAGGTGGTCCGATTCATGGACCCAAAACTTCTCTCGCTGCGTATCAGCTTCATCTTGCCGTTCTTTCGGCCGATAAAAGACGTTTGGAACCGACAACATGGATACAATGGTGACCATCTCTTCGCTGCAGCCGTACTCTTCCGCAGTAATGAGCAGCTTGGCTAGGGGAGGGTCCATGGGGAAGGCACTCATCTTCCGCCCAAGTTCGGTCAATTCTCCCAAGTTGTCTAGAGCTCCCAGAGCCCATAGATCGAACATGGATGTGGAAATGGTATCTTGAGGAGGCGGATCCATAAAGTCGAAATCCAACAGATCCTTGACTCCGAGCGATTTCAGCATTAGTACCGTGTTGGACAAATTGGTCCGTTGGATTTCGGGAATCGTTTGGATGTACAGTTCTTCCTTGAATGCTTTTTCTGTGTAGAGACGAAACGCCTTACCCGGTCCTGTTCGACCAGCACGACCTGAACGCTGCCCTGCGTTGGCCTGGGAGATGGGCGTAATCTGAAGGGTATCCATGCCCATTTTTGGGTTGTACACCTTCATTTTCGAGTAGCCCGCGTCAACCACATACTTAATACCGTCTACGGTCAAACTCGTCTCGGCGATGTTTGTCGCAACAATGCATTTGCGAACTCCCGGAGCCGCTCTGTCGAAGATTTTGGCCTGCAGGTCTGCTGGCATTTGACTGTAGATTGGCAATATGCTCAATTTGGGAGGGTCATTTAGAGCGTCTAGGCGTTTCTGAACCAACTCGCATGTAATCTCAATATCTTCCTGGCCTGTCATGAAGACAAGAATGTCACCAGCATCCATGGATACATGGATAGAGAGTACTTGTTGGACTGCCTGGTCAACATAGTCTTCGACGGGAGATCGATGAAACAAGACGTCGACGGGAAAAGTTCGTCCCGGGATCGTAAATTCCGGGGCACCACCAAAAAAATCGGAGAATTTCTTTGCATTCATCGTTGCTGACGTGACAATGAGCTTCAAATCTCGCCGCCTTTGCAAAATCTTCTTGAATAGTCCCATCAGGATGTCAGTGTTCAACGCTCGTTCGTGAGCTTCGTCCATGATGATGCAGGAATACCTGTCTAGGTCGGGTTCATTAAGTGATTCTCGAAGTAGAATTCCGTCAGTCAGATATTTGATGACGGTGTCGTTGCTGGTACAATCCTCAAATCGAATCGCGTATCCAACTGTGCTTCCTAGCTTCACTTCCATCTCTTCGGCTACACGCTTGGCGACACTCATAGCGGCCACTCGTCGTGGTTGTGTACATCCAATCATGCCAGTCTTTCCGTAGCCGTCTTCGTACAGAAATTGGGTGAGCTGGGTTGTCTTGCCTGAACCCGTCTCGCCAATCACAATAATCACTTGGTTCTCCCGTATCACTCGAAGAAGTTCTTCGCGGACCGCAAACGCGGGCAGGTACTCTCGTTGTTCGCGCAATGTCTTGCTTTTGCTGAAATCACTGGCGCCCTCTGCACTCTTGAGATGCTCGCTGAATTTGTTGCCCTTGCGCTCGCTTTTTTCGACATCTTCCTCGGCAGGCATCGGTAGCGCACTGTCGCCATCCTCTTCTTTAGCTCCCATGATATTTCCAAGGGCTGTGCCCGTAATGCTTGTGGCTTCGTGCGCTTGCTTCTGCCGCTCTCTTTGCTGGCGGGCTTCCTTCACAACCCTGCTCCCCTTCCGACTGAAGACGGCCATATCGCTTTGGTAATCTCTGACGGCTGGAACAGGCTCGAGCTGCTTGGTGAAAATTGTTTTTCCGTCGAGGAATGGCGGCCGTAAATCGTGCACGAGCAAGTGAACTCTCGTTGCTTCCTCGTCGTCAAAGTCGGCGGCCAGATCTCTTCGTTGTGCTACGCCGGATACCAGCATTCGATTCGTTTCCCAGGCATCGTTTTCTCGCCTTCTCTGCTCCTGTCTGGCGTCATATCGGCTCGTCATCTTCTCGGCCTTGGCCGACTCCTGTTGTTGGTTCTCCCATGCCGAGAGCTCGTAGGATGCGAAAGGATTATACGTCTCATCGCCAAACGTATGTCCTCCAAACTCGTCACCGCCGTACCAATCGCGGTCCAGCGCTAAAGCATCTTCCTCTGTTGGCTGGGGTTGGTCGGATTCTCGAGGCGTCGACGGATATCGAGACTGGCCGCGTGGTGTAGAGCTCCGAGATCCATCTTGATATTTGTTGCCTCTGGATCTGGAAAATTCGAGCTTCCTCCGTTTGGGATTGAACCCGTCGTAATCGCCTTCTGACACCATGATTGAACCCTCCGGCAGCGGTAATGCGCCAGGTAGCAGCAACGCGACGAGGTGAAATGATGGTAGACCAGAGAAAACAGGAAAAGAGACCTATGCAGTACGCGCACAGTGAACTTACTGTATTTCAGCTACTCCGTATTCATAGCGCCTATACCGCTATAGAGCACTGAAGATGCTCACTAAGTCATGTGACTGGGACGACTTTCAGACAGCTAGTAGCAGCTGCTCCTCTTCTTGTAGATCATCTCTTTTGGACCTTCTCTGAAGAGGTAAGATTTATTGACTCGTTGTTATTTGGCGCGTTAATTTCTGCTTCAAGAGCCTTTTTCTGTGTAATGCTGTTATGCAAACTCAAGTTGTTGACATCTCTCTCAACCTGAAGACACCAAGAACTCAGTAGCTCCATCAAGGGTGCCACAGAAGCTTATCGATAAACCCCACCATAGAAATTTTTGGGCAAAATATTTGGAACGAGATCGCGAAAAGATAAAAAAAGTTACACTGCAAAGAAAATCAAGATACCCCAGGCATTTGCACGATGTCTTCTATGATAACCGCCGCCCAGTGGGTGCCGCGAGGCTTCGCTGCACAATTTCCTCAGATCTATAAGCTCGACGAATCTGAATTTGAGAGAATAGCCGAATTGGCCAAGCTGCAGCTTAACGATGCAGAGGATGATCTGAAAGAAGCTCAGGAGGATGGCGAGGATGCAGAAGAAGAAGATGAGAGCAAAGACGAGGAAATGGGCGAGAAAGAAGAGACCAAGGAGAATGTTCAGCCTGCCGCAAAGTACGCCTGATTAGCCATTATTATCTGGTATTCTTGTTCAACATTGTTAACAGGATGATTAGGTACGACGACGATGACCTGAAGGAGTATGACTTGGAACACTACGACGACGACGACGACGAAGATAATGCGCCCGCCGCCAACGGAAGCATGGGCATGTTTGGAAATGTCAAGTCCCTGGCATATTACGACTCAAACAAGGACGATCCTTATATCACACTGCAGGACGACGAAGAGGACGAAGAAAGAGAGGATCTTCAGGTCTTGGCGACTGACAACTTGATCCTGTCTGCAAAGGTTGAGGACGAATTGGCTCACCTGGAGGTTTATGTTTATGAAGACGAAAGCGACAACCTCTACGTTCACCACGACATCATGCTGCCGGCAATTCCTCTCTGTGTAGAGTGGCTCGACATTCCTGTCAACAACTCAACAGACGCACCCAAGGATGGCAGGGGCAACTTTGTCGCCGTCGGCACGATGGACCCGGATATTGAGGTTTGGGATCTTGACACAGTCGACTGTATGTACCCCAATGCCATTCTTGGCCAGGGCGCAAATCCCAACTCGGGCGAAAAGAAGAAGAAGCAGAAGAAGAAGAAGGCCAAGGCAAATGACGAATACCACGTGGACGCCGTCCTGTCTCTTGCAGCCAACCGCAAGCACCGAAACCTGCTTGCTTCGGCCTCTGCGGACAAGACGATCAAGCTCTGGGATCTCAACACGGCCAAGTGCGCCAAGTCATATTCGTACCACACCGACAAGGTGTGCTCTCTTGCCTGGCACACGGCTGAGCCCACTGTGCTTCTCAGTGGAAGCTATGACCGAACCGTTGTGGCCGCCGATATGAGAGCTCCAGACGCAAAGGCACCTCGATGGGGTGTTGAGAGCGATGTCGAGAATATCCGATGGGACCCGCACGATCAAAACTACTTTTACGTCTCAACGGAAAACGGTGTCATTCACTATCACGACGTCCGAAACGCCCCATCAAGCCCAGAGGCCACCAAGGCAGTGTGGACCCTGCAGGCGCACGACGAGTCCGTGTCCTCGTTTGACATCAACAGCGTGATTCCGGGTTTCATGGCTACAGGATCGACTGACAAGACGGTCAAGCTGTGGAATATTCAGCCCACCGGCCCTTCACTTGTTGTTTCGCGCAACCTGGATGTGGGTAAGGTGTTTGCTACGACGTTTGCTCCTGACCCAGAGGTTGCTTTCCGACTGGCAGTTGCTGGCAGCTCCGGCAGCATGCACGTCTGGGACACCAGCACCAACGCTGGCGTCCGAAGTGCCTTTGCTCAGCGTGTCCCCGCAAAGAGGGAGGGCGTTGCCGAGGACCGATTGGTCGGTGTGAACGATGATGATAGCAGTTCGAGCGAGGATGAGGCAGAGGATGAAAACAACCAAGGGTCGGACTCCATGGATGAGGATTAAACAGGACGGTTAATGCAGCCCCCGGATGATGATGGAATTTTATATATCTGGAACGTGGCGCGGTTTTTAGCAGTGTAATCATTGATGATGCCTCGGAGCTGTAAATGCAGGGTTGATTCCAGCGATGCGGTTAGAGGAATATCATGGGTATTTGGATTTTCAATAGACTTGTCGACTCTGGAAGAATCATCTGGCCCTGCAAACTTTGTGACGAATTTTTCCGTTGGAAGGAAACCATCTGATAAAGTCCAAATATAGAGATGAGATCTCATCATCTGAACTCCTAAATGGTTTCCAAACGCACGGGGGTCAACACACAGCATCTGAAACGGTTGGCATCATGCTGTTTCGCTAATAATACCATGTTTGTAGGCTAGGGAGTCCCGCGCCGGCACTTGTGGTCAAACACACCAACACACGCAAGCACATGCCAGCAGGCTTTGTTTGCTATTGTCCTTTGCCTCTGCCGATCTGTACTGTATGGAGCGTTTTGGCCCGCTTGGATAGAGCCCGTTTTCTTAGGACAGCCAGGACGACGAGTTTGTGCCTGGAATGGCGCCCGTTGGCTAGTCGGCTATATTTTCTGGTGGCGGACAGGTTGTTGGGTCGGCCGTGTGATTGCCGGCGGATGGATCACGGCTGAAGAGATTTTTTGGCCTCTCATAAGCAGGATGGATATCCATACAGTAGCACTTGAGATTGAAGCGGCAGCAGAGTGGCTGTATGTACTGTGAGGCTTGGAAGCTGAGCTTGCAATGGCGTTTGTGTTCTGAATAGAGTGGATAGCAGAGCAGTAATCACGCAATGAAGAGCAAAGATCCCTCGCTCAACACTTTGGACATGCCATATAAGCACACCATCTTGTTAGCATCGGGCAAAGGGGCCCAACAGCCACAGGATCAGCGGCAGATGCACTCCTGCTCCGGCGAGGTTTCGAATAACGCGCTTCGTGAGAAAAAGAAAAGAAATAAAAAACGGCTTGACAGGCCCCTGGAGGGGCTGAGCAGGGGGGCTCGCGAGGCCTGCCCAGGTACAAAGGTGCTAAAAAGGGCCCTGAAACAGCGCGGCAAGACCAGGGCCGGCAAGCTGGGCCAATCAGGCGGGCGAGCCTTTCAGTGTTTGCAGAGGCAAGATCGGCTTGTTTCTCCGCTTACTCGGGGGGAGGTGGACGGCGATTGGCTGGTGGCGGTGGTTTTTGCATGATGTACATGTCCCGCTGCTAGTGGCTAGTGGCTTGCGCTGTAACAAATGCCCATGAATGGCATTGATCTGTCTTTTGATGTTTCTGCAGATGCAGGTACACAAGGTTTGGGACATATTGCATGCATGTTTGTGATGGAAACAAGAGGAGATGCTCAATCAAGCAAAGGCAAGGAGTAGACACATGACGGATTATTCTGCTGCTGCTGCTTCTTCCTCTTCACGTTTAGTGAATATACATACATATGCACTAGTATAGTAGTGCTCTTGAGTCGTGTTTTTGTTAGTATTTTTATGCGTGGACAAAGAGAAAGATAAAAAAAAAAAAAACGGAGAAACTTTTGGCAAAGATTTTGTTGTGAGCAAAGCGCCACTATCTACATGTATCTCTACTACACAGTACAGTACCTACGGTAGGTATTATGTGGTTTGCAAGTTGGCTGAGCATGTGCTTTGTGCTTGTATGACCTTCTCCGATCGATCATGGCATGACTGCAAGCAGGCAGCAAATGCTTGTACTTGTAGATGCACTCGGTGGCCCGATCCGATCCTGGTCGTCTCACCCACTCTCCTCCCCTCATTCTCTCTGTCTGGAGGCGAGATCAACTTGGCTACCCGCAGCTCGATTCCCTCAGCTCACACAGTATCCGTCCCACCCACCACCGGAGAATCGCAGTTGCTCTACTCCGTACATACTAGGCAGTATCGAAGCCATTCCATCAACCAACAAAGAAAAAAAAGGAACAAAAAAAAGGGCCGCCGCGAGATGGCTCATGACCATTGGCCGACATGATAGAGGGCGCTTCCCTGCATTTGGGCACCATCCTTCATTCTGCACCCTCCCGAACGGGCATGGGTCCGAGCCTGGCTTGGCCTTAGCCAGGGGTTTGAAGCCTCGAGCTGGTGATGAGTCGCCAGCCCGACCAATCAGCCGGCGCTGGCGTGAAGCCGGTTTCAATGGGCCAGCAGGGGTGCGGCAGCTTTGAGGACAAGCGCAGGCATCATGGGTTCGCTGTGGGAAATGCCACGCCGCCTTGCCTACAGTAGGGCCTACAGTAGGGCCCTTTTTCTCCATATCTGTTTGCCTCTCCTCATCGCGCTTCGTCCCGCCTTCAACCTTCTCTGCTCTTCGTCGCCGAGAAGGGCTGTGTTGCGTTGCGTTTCCCAATAGCACCGGCCGCCGTTATTCGCTTCTCTTGCTGCGAGCGCGCATTTACAGCCGTCTGTTTTCATTTTTTAATTTTCTCGTCAGTGCTGTATCGAGTCGTTGTCGTCTCTCTCCCTCTCAACGTTATACATTACACCGTACGCACGACGCAGACGCTGTTTTTGCCGCCCGATTTTCTCTCCTTTCTTTCACAAATCAAGGCACATCTTCCCTTTCTGGCTGTGCGACACACCAGATTCGGCAATCTCCAAATCCTGGCCTTTGATTCCTTCAACTTGAAAACGTTGATCGTTTCGTTACTTCTGGCACTTAGTTGTCTGTTTCTTTGTCTCACTCACTCTCCTTTCTCTCTCACGCCCATAAAACCAGCGAGTTTGCCGTCTCTCTCTCCTTTTGGCATCTCCAGAGAAAAAAGCTTCACTTGCGTCTAAAACAAGACAAGCGACCACGCAGGACAGGAATCCGCCCTATCTGATCGCTTGTGTGACGCAATCTCTGCATCTCACACAAAAAGAACATCGACACACTCGCGATAAGAGTGAAAAGAAAGTTGCCTGACAGGTTCCAGCCACAAACTTTGTCCGTTCGGCAACCAACCAACCAGCAAACAAACCCGCAACCTCATCACCTGGCGTGAACCAAGTTGCCATTTTCTCTTCATATTCTCCCATTTTCCTCTCCATCTTGACCCGTTTGAGCGCAGATCTGTCCGGCCATTCGGCAGCCATCTGTCATTGAATCCCCCAAGTCACCTTCCGACTTGAGCTTGGATTCACCTCCACCAGAAGAGCCCCTGTGCAACGTTCCCAGCTTGCGTGTGTCTCCGTCATCAGCCCAGCCCTCTTCGATAGTGAGCGCTGGTCACACGGCTTCACTGTCAACTGCCACATCGGGTTGTGGCATCTTGTCTCTCATCTCACTCACCACCTCATTCGCTTGTGGTGGTGACTCGCACAAGAGTCAGTCAGTTGTACTGAGTGACACCAGCGTCCTTCTCTTCTGCCACGTCTCCTACTTTTAACCTCTCCTTCGCTCCCCCAACGTCAACCGGCGACTTCGTTTCCTCCAACTCAAACGACTACCGCCACCATGTCTCTGTCACGAGCTTTTACTACCCGCAAGCTCAAGCTGGGCTCTGATTCTGGCGATGGCAAAAATCCCCAGCGGTCGCATACCCTTCGCCACAAGATCTCGGCTCCCGTCCAGCTGGTTCATACTACCAACATGCTCTCCTACAATGCGCCCGATCTGCCCAAGGGTAGCAAAGTGCCCGATCTGCCCAGGAATGTCCCTGTTGCCCCTCCACGAACCAACTCTGCCAAGTCTCTCGACGACTCTGACAGCTTTGCTACCGCCGAATCGACTCCGCCAACCAGCCCGGACGTTGATCCAAGCGAGCGCACGCCTTCTCCCAAGCCGAACCACCTTTCAGGCTACTTCAAGAATTCTACGAAGCCCGTTGTCCCAGCCGAGCCCGAGCCCGCCCCGGTTATTCCTCAGCGCTCTCCTACGCATACCAAGAAGAACTCAGTCAATGCCATTGCCAGGTCGCAGTCCATATCCCGCATTTCTCGAGATTCAGACGTGTCTGCCGCATCCCGGAGTCTCCAGGCCTTCTCCCGCACTCCTTCTGTATCGACGCACTCCTCGGCGCACTCTTCGTCCATCTCCAGTCGGTCTGTGAAATTGCCTATATCACCTGCGGCTCCCACGGCCCCCATGGTTTTTGGGATCCCCAAGGCTCCTAAGGCTCCTGTGGCTCCTGCGGCTCCTACGGCTCAAGCAGCCCCGACACCCCTGCCTGTACAACCTCCCATCTCAGCGCAACACCACGCAGCCAAGGACTCTAATCCTTTTGGGCCGGAGTTGGGCCAATTGACGGAACTTGCGGAAGAGTATAGCTCCGCAAGCCAGATGGAAGTAGCAGACGAGGACTTGGAGTACATTCGCGCCAAGGGCCTTGTCAGGCTGCGTCCCGATGACTATCTGAGCATGATCCAGGGTCTGTCTTCCATCTTCTTCCCAGAACCTAGTCACCCAGCTCCCGCAATTGCAGCTGCGGCCCCGCTCTGGATCTAAGGCCCATGCCGATAATACGAACAGCAAAAGTCCTCTACCGCGTCATTGTACATATCGAAATTGTCCGGACATACGCTGTACTTCCATGAGCAAAGCGCTTAAGCGATGACATGTTTCTCTTACTTTCTCTTCTTCTTCTTCCTCTTCTTCTATACTCTGTTGACATGGATGGGAAACGGTGTGGGTTCTAGAATATTAGCATTACTAGGTACTTGGATTGGCTGCTTGATATACCTGAAACAGGAGACGATGTGGCGTTGAATAACGGATGGGAATGCTTTTTAAATTGGGGTCTTTTCATTTTTCTACTATTTCTTCTTATTTACGATGTGAATACTTTACCTGACAAACCTCTGCACATATTAGCCGCTGATGATATTTCCTTGTCATGTGCTTTCTTTTCTGTCACTCTCTTGGCCTCTGTGATGAAATCATGTCTCAATTTAGCTGACTACCTGGAAATATGAGCGACGGTAACATTAGCGGCTTATGGTACGGCATTTGGAAGGCAGGAAGCTAGTCAGACGGCCCGATCGTGTCTCTTCTAGACACGGTAGCTAGCTAAGATGAGATGCCACGCGAAGAAAATGTCAGCGGGAAGATTGACACGATCCCTGCCAGTGTTTCAACTGCGCCCCACGGCCACGCAGCCAATCAGGCGATGGGGCTGCGGCTGATTGTTTCAAAGGATGAGATGGGAGGCCCGTTTGCTAGATGAAATGAAATTAGCCGGGCTAGCCTTTTTACCTGGACGAGATGCTGGTACAGTATAGGGGAGATTCGGAAGCTGCAGCGGCGATGAGTGTTGTGTATAGTAGAGCGGGGGTTGAAGTGAGGGTGCCCGTTTTGGGAGCGGAAATTGGTGCAGGACACTCATGGATTGTGAGAGTAACAATGTAGAAATGGAAATGCATAGCTTCACGTTGCAGAGTTGTTGCACACAAGAGATGGGTTGTATAGATGAATACATTGGCCTTTGGGCATATGGCCGTTCTTCGCCCCTACAAATTGAGTACCAATACGGGGTGCTTAAAGTGATTGGATTTAGGTACTGCTATGTGGTATCACGGCCGCTAAACATGGCATCCTCCTCAAGACTGGTTTTTTTTTTTGTTGATCAAGATCAAGAGCCGCACCTTCACAGCATTTTTAACCTCCCCCGGGGCCATGAGAGAGGCTACCTAATGACTTCGATCCAATCTTTAGCATACAGGGGTTAAAAACGCTGTGAAGTGCCCTAATGCCCCTTGATGCCCAAGTCCAAGGTTCGTTGAGATTTTCACAGCAATTTTAGCCTCCCCCGAGGCCATCAGACAGGTTGACGAATGAGCTCTACGTGTGGGAATCAAAGACGCTATAAAATATCCCAATGCTCTAACTTCATGCATGAAAACTAATACGAAGAGAGATTTACAGTATTTTTAACCTCCTTCAAGACCATAGAGAGTGACGATTTCGCTCTAATATCTACCTAGCATGCAGGGTTAAGAAACGCTGTGAAGTGTCTCAATGCCCCCATATTGATACTCAAACCATCCAACACGAACTTCACAGCAATTTTAACCTCCCCCAAGGACTTGAGAGGATTAGGATTTTAGCTCTTATGTCCACCTAGCATACATTAGATCAAGACAGAGGTTGGGGGCTTACACAGCATTTTTAACCTCCCCCGTGTCATGGTGAGCGTGGCGGTTAAGCTCCAGTTTCCAGCATATCAGACCAGTATAGAGCTTATCCGGGCCTGAGTCTGGTTGGCTCTGCGTTAGATCTGTATATACCAAAGTGAGTCCCATAGGTGCGGGTGCAGTGCTCACCCCAACTCTTAGACCATACAATACATTCCCAGTAGCATCAATTATAAAATTAAAGCTGATTTAATGGTTTCTCTCTACTGAGGATTCTCGTATCAACTCATAGGGAGTATAAAGGCAGCTGTCATGAAAAGAAGAGGCTGTCATTTATTTCAACATATCCCAGCACGTGTATCTCACTAAAGCAACACCAACACCCCCACCAGCTGCATCTATCCCGACCTGTCATTCATCTGCTCCCCCAACTTTTCAACATTTCCAAACCTCCCCAACCTCAATCATGTCCTCCCAAGCCGTCCTCATCGCCGCCCTCAAAGGCCAAACCCTCCGCATCCCCAATCTCACAGCTCTTTTCCAAGCCTGGCCTTCCCCGGTCCTCAACACGCACTACCCAGAGTCCGTCTCCCTCACAACCAACACCATCCTCCAGATCGCCGCCGCCGCGCCCCGTCTGGAGGTTGAGCGCCGTTTGCGCGACGACCTCTCCTTGATCACCTGTTTGTGGTTCCCTCTTGCGCCCAAGCCGCGTCTAGACGCCCTGGTGCTGTACACGGTGTGGCTCTTCTGCTGGGACGACACCGTCGACGCAAACGAGGGCGACCTGGCGGCGGATTTCGCCCGCGCCCAGCAGTGGCGCGATAAGACGCTGGAAATCGCCAAGACTGCCTTTCAACTACCTGGAGCTGCTGCCCCAGACGGTGAAGTCGACGCCATCAATGCCGTGCTGGTTGAGTTTGGACGGCGGTATGCCGAGGAGGCGCCTCTGCTTGAGCGCCAGCGCTTGTACGATGAGATTGCCATCTTCATTCGAGCTTGTGCCACAGAACAGAGAATGCGTCTCGACAGGGCCGTACCGGGCTTCGACGAGTACATGTCGCTCCGAGACGGCACCGCAGCGGGCGGCACGCTCTGTACCTTGGTTCCTTTTGCAATGGGTCGCGACGTGCCGTCGGAGATGCTCAACTCGCCGAGTGTACAAGTCATCCGGAAGCAGGTCAACGTGCTGACTGGCCTTATTAACGACTCGCTATCCCTCAAGAAGGAGCTTCACACAGACTGCGCCATCAATGCCGTATGTGCGCTCTCAACTCCGGAAACGAGTTTGGACGAGATCATGACGCAGATCCACCAGAAGCTCCAGGACGCAGTTCGGCAGTTTGACATGGCGGCCGAAGCACTCCTCACTCATTTCCTACACGATGATCATCTTCATAGCCTTGCGCGAGACCTCGCCAATGGGTATAGATCTTTAGTCACCGGCGTACTGGAATTCACGTAGGTATCTTCCAATTCCCAGAACCAACGGGACCTTTGATATTACCTAGTACCTTGGATTCATGATAGATATCGGCAGTGAGTAGTAGTACACAGTATAAGCTAACCTCTGTGGAAAATAGGCTCAAATCCCCTCGGTATAACCTCGCGCAGCTCCTGCGCCAAGATGGATCACTAGAAATAGTCCTCTGATATCCTTTGTTTGTTTTTCCCTTCGCCCCCCCTTAGATTACTGCGAATAGCTTTCCAACGCTCCCGTGAGTCCCCAACTCCAGTACTCCCCTCCCTTTCTGCCGGGGCTGTATAACGATGCTCTTCTCTTTCCTGACCTTTGCCCCTCCGTTTTTTTCCCTTGTAAATGTGCTGTATGCGGACCCACGCCAATGCCACGAAAAAACAAATAAGAAGAAAAAGCAATTAATGCGTATAAACGAAGAAAAAGTGACTCCACCATATTGTATTTTTGAATATGTTTCCCATGGCCAATCCTCCTCTTATTAGAAAAATCACCAGGATCGACCTCCCAAGGGCTCAACGGACGTCACAAGATCTGTAATGGTGACGATTCTATATCCTTGCCGCTTCAGTTCTGGCAGCACAATTCGCAACATGGGAGCCGTCCACCCCCTCCGGTCGTGGCAGATGATGATGCCTCCGGGATGTGCCATGCTCAGAATATGCTTAGCATTGACCGTCGGGTGCGGGATCTGGGGGTCGTGGGGGTATATGCTGCCAAGGACGATGCGAAAGCCGCGGTTGCCCAGCAGGTCTCGCATGCGGTGGTTGAAGTAGCCGGACCCGGGCCGGAAGTAGTTGTTGGGCAGGATCTTGCCCTCGGCCTCGTAGGCGGTCGTCAGCAGCGCCTTGACCTCCTTGACCTGCTTCTCGAGCTCGTCGTTGCTCAGGCGGCTGGAGGGCTCGTCGCGCATGGCGTGGTTGCCGAGCTCGTGGCCCTGCGCAACCAGCTTCCGCAGCGTCGCCTCGCGGCCCTCGACCTGCTGGCCGATGACGAAGAAGGTGGCGTGGGCGTCGTTTTCGCGCAGCACCTGCATGATCTCGTCCGTGTGCGCCGAGGGGGCATCGTCGAGCGACAGCGCAATGATCTTTTCGGATGTGGGCTCTTCGAATAGCACGTCGGGGAACTTGTTGCGCAGGTAGCCGATGAGGAAGCGCGGCGGCTTGTAGATGCAGTAGACGGAGTAGAGCGGCAGGGCCAGCAGCACCAGCAGGGCCAGCAGCAGCACCTGCATCGTCAGCCGGTTGCGGCGGACGCGGCGCCGGACGGTGGTCGGCAGGCGGAAGAGGTTGAGGCGCGGCATTGGCCGGGAGGAAAGGTCTGGCGATTTCGGGGGTGTCGATTCTTGTGCCCTCGTTAGGAGAGGCGGCGTGAGGAGACGGGAATGCCGCCTGCTGCTGGCATGCTCTCTATCTCTCTCTCTTTATTCTGCTTCTGTCCTTTTCTCTCTCTCTTCCCTCTTGGTGTAACTTCTCGTAGTCGTTGTGCGTCAATGGCGATGTACAGTTGGAATTGGCCGCAAAGTAAAAAAGTAGGGACGAAGGATGATGGGCGCGGGATGCTGTTCTTTTCGGTCGAAAAGAGACCGCCACTAGGTAAGGGTTTGGGGTAATTGAGGCTTTCGCGGTTTGTTAGCCAGGGGCTAGGAGGTAATACTAGTAGGTGCAAGTTAAGCCTGGTTTATCGGATAACGGGTGCCAGGGTGGGAAGGGGGGACCCTTGTAACTGATTTTCGATGCCCCAGCCGCTGTTTTTGCTTGTAAAAGACTGGATGGGTATTGGATATGCATTGATCGCTTCAACGCCAGGACCCCTTATGCCAAAAAAAAAAAAAAAGGAATGGGATTTACAAAAGTTTATTAAACGCAATTGCGCAAGTCGACAAAGTTCATCTCGGTCTTTTTTTATGCATTCATAAGAGTATTCAATTGCCATCATTGACTTGATCTAACTCATGTACCCAACCAGGGGTTCACCATCTCTCCCTTCCAGTTCTTTACCCTCCTCGCTCTTCGCCATCAAACCACCAAAGAATCCAACTTACAGCTCTTTCAACAACGCCTCCAGTCCCTGCTGCAGATCCGCTTGCAGGTCCTCCAGGCTCTCCACTCCAATGCTCAACCGAAGCAGGCTCTGGTCCACTGTGCTGTCCGTCATGGCCCGCCACTCAATCAGACTCTCCACGCCTCCCAAGCTCGTCGCGTGCTGGAACAGTCCCAGCTTTCCAGGCAGTCGCTTGGCCAGCTCCTTGTTCTTGAGAGTGAGGGCGAAGACGGGGCCGTAGCCGTTGGGCATCTGCTGACGCAGCCAGCTGCCCTCCTGAGTAGCCTCGGGCTGCAGACTGGCGTGCTGGATCCTCTCAACCGTCTTGCCAGCAGCCGTCGTCTCGTCCTTGGCCTGCTCGGCCAGCCATGCTACCAGCGCTGTGGCCGTGGTGCTCTGTCGGTTGACGCGCAGTTCCAGAGTCCGCAGCGAACGCATGCCCAGCCAGCCCTCCAGGCTGCCGATCACGGAGCCCAGGACCAGTCTGTCGGCAAGCAGGTCGCTCACCCATGTCTCATGCTTGGGGTTGACCGCCAGCACGCCGCACAGCATGTCCGAGTGTCCTCCAATGTACTTTGTGCCGCTGTGCATCACAATGTCCGCGCCCCAGGCAAACGGATCCAACAGCGGCGGCGGCGCAAATGTAGCATCCACAGTCAGGTATGCTCCTACGCTGTGTGCCCTCTCGGCATAGTATTTAAGGTCGCGCGCCTCGCCCGTAGGGTTCAGGGGCGTCTCGACATGGATGATGTCTCCGGGTCCCAGCTCGGAGAGGTCGCAGTCCAGCGGCAGCTTCTTCAGGCCGTTGAGACGCTCAAAGATCTTCAGGATGCCGTGGCAGCCGTGGTAGCCGTCTCCAATAGCAACCCGCTTGGGGTTGATGTGAGTGATCATGGCGTGGAAGGCAGCCAGCCCCGATCCATAGGTGATGGCTCGCTGGCCAATGATAGACGTCAAGATGGCTTCGAAGCGAGCCATGTTGGGGCTGGTGTGGCGCGAGTAGACGTGAAAGTCGAGCGGCTTGGTTGTCTGCAGGGCCTTTGCGTCAGTACCAGGAGCTTCGCGACATTTGCATCTTCATCTTCATCGCACGCTTACATCCACCTCTGAGATGGGCTTGAGCCTCTCCGGGTCGTTGGGATACCGAAAGGTGGTGCTGGTGTGCAGGCCCGGCGCAATGGCCGGGTGACCGTCGATGCGAGCATCAGCGTGCACCGCCCTGGAGGCGAGGGACAGCGCCGCAATGTCGGGCACGTATTCGTCTGAGGCGTTGCCCATTGTGCTTGTGGTTCTGTGGTTGTGTTCTTGTGTTCTTGTATCCTGTGCCTGTGCTAGGGTGAATGTGTGAGTACAAGAAGTTGGTATTATATGCGAGTGAGGCATCAATGCGGATGTATATGTACCTGATATGCCAAACCAAACCAAATCAAAACCAGACCGACCAGATCAAACCACAGCGCAATACATCTCCATAAACTGCCTCCTCGCGGAAGCAGCTTCGTCCATTGCCTTTTTATATTCCTGTTCCGCAACTCGCTGCCCCGCTCGCTCGACGCCGTTGTCGCTATTACTCAAGCGTTCAATTACCCACTAATCCGCTTGACCAAGGGAAATCACGTCAATCTATCTTATCGCCCATTTAGCAAAAACCCAAAATCTGCCGCTTAGATGCCGAAGAACAGCTGCATGGAGCAAAAAATGTCAATGTAGGGCGTTTCCAAGTCATATTAATATTCATACTCCACCACGCTAAGGTGGGATGACACGCACAACACGCCCTGTAGTCAATGTTCTGCATTTCCATTCATGTACGATCATGAGTATGCCGCTGATTTCCGCAGAGAGACAGTTGCTCCGAGGAAATACAGTCTTCCGCAATCGGTGGTTGTAATTGTAACCATCAAGTAACTCTCAAAATGGCCAGGCACGTTGGTCAACAGTAATGAGAGAGAATGAGCCTTTATGGGGAATAGAGAAACAAGATTAGAAAATCAACCAAAGGCGGGATTGCACCATCACGCCTTCTACATCACCAGGACTTGATGATTTGTCCATGATTAGTAGCGGATAGAACCAGAGACTTCCTGCTTCGGTCAATGAGCCATGGTCCTAGGGCTTATTCAGAACGAATGAACTCTATCAGACAACAATGTATGACATGATGACGATGCACGGACTTGTCAAATATAATGTGATGTGTATTAGCGACCTAGCAGGCGATCGCCGACATAAGTGATTATCATTAAGTCGTCTTGCTTTTCCTTGCTTGGATATTCCTCTCCCATCATAATTATCCAGGCCTGCCAGCCTTGAAAATCGGATCCATCTTAGCAGGCGGCGTCGGATGCGAAATACAAACTCCCCCATTATACAGCAGTCCTTGCAAGATGTGTGACGGCAGCGAATATGCGTCCACCGTCTGAATCGTCCCAAACGCCGTCGTAGCAGAAATCAAACATATCCGTATTCCAGAAAAAAAAAACATGGGCGCCTGACACACTTTTAAAAGGTATGTACGATAAATTATTTCAAGTTGCAGAGTCGTTGTTCTCGTTGCTTCCCGTGGTAGTTGTCTCAGTCTGTCGAAGTCACCGCCGGATGGTCCATTGCGCCTAGCTCGGCACCTTGACCACTTTGAGCCCTCTTTCGACTGGGCATGAGGAATCTTGAGACTCCTGTCTGGACCGAGGAGTCCTTCTCTTGGGTCTCTGTCAATTTGGAGAAGAAACCTCGTTTGCGAGGCGGCTGTTTCTGGTCGTCGAGCCCGACATCCTCAAAGTTCTCCTCGGCGGTGGGCAGTTGCTCGATGTTGCGGTTGAGTGCCGACCTAGGCATTCGAGCGAATCGAGCTGAGTCGAGGCTCTGACGGGCGGGAACATCGTACGCAGAGATGGGAGATCGTGCCGAAATATCCTGTGGGTACCTAGTCAGTCTCCAGTTCAGGCGACTCGCATCGGAGGCGGGGTTGACGCCGTGTCCGAGGAAACAGAAGCAAACCAGAACAACACAGGTGGATGACGTACAAATGAGCGTCGGTACGAATCAAAAGACTCTCGGGAAATAGAAAACTGCTCAATCTCGCCCGAGCTGTCTGACGATTCTCGCGACGAGAGGTATCTGCGTGGCCAGTGGCTCTTCTCCTCCGAAGGTGAGGGCTGCTCGCATGGACAATTAGCGACCTGCGCACAAGGCAAAACGAGGGACTATACAAACTTACAGGGAGATATACACCGCTGTCATTGACGACTGCAATGCGGAAAGGGCAGTTGGTTAGCTAGCTAGTCGTGTGACGCTTTTGCCTCTGACATGGACTACAGGGCAAGGATGCAAGGGAAAGTGGTCACCCCATGACATACCACTCATCTTATATTCCTCGGTATCCTGACTTCTGGCGCTCCGGATGCTGAGAGCTGACGATGCCTTGGATCCTACGGTGTCGACTCGCTCAAAGCCGGGATAAGTGCGCTCCTGGTCGGTGTAAACGTTGTCGTCGACTGTGGCCAGAGCGCCAGGGCGACGGGTAAAGGGATTTCGGATCGGCATGGCGAACGACGAGATTTGGCGGGAATTAAACAGTACAAGGCGATACGATATGATAAAGCACGGTACTACACGGCACGGCACGGCAAAACACGGCGGTGCTGTGAAGATGCGAGCAAGAATAGACGGCGGAATAAATATCGGTTGCGAGGTGGAAAGAGAGGCAATTGATGGGGAAACGGAGACTTTTAATATACGCAGAGCGGAAAGCCTCGTTTAGACTGTGGAGGAAAGTAAAAACTAAGGTACATGCCGAAAAAAGCAAGGAAGGGGCACCAGGGGGTTCAAGCTTTAAAGGCCATGAATGATGGTCAGATGTCAGACTAGAACGGATCAGCGGCCGGATATGATATGGGGGGATCAGGGCCTGCGAATGGGGCCGATGGCAGTTGAGCGTAGCATGGAATACTTTTTCTGCTAGTGTGTGTGTAGTGTGTAGTGCTTGCAGTCGATGCGATGGAGCGGAAACGGCGTGTGAACATTCGCCGATGGGGGGTGTTTTGGGGGCGGGTTTGTGATCGAACGAGGCGAGAGATGGGCGATTGATTCGATGGCGGGTATTGCCTCAGAGTTACAAAAGGTGGCTTAGAGTTAATAGGTACCTACTTGCCTACCTAGGTACGTTAGAGATGCATGTGCACATAGAGAGACCATGGAGAGATGGATGATTCCAAGGTCAGCCCAGCAAACATCAGATCTGCGCTCCTCTCGGCGGCGCCTTGCCGAGCATTTGCCCAACGGAACGGATCAGTGAGATGCGCAGTGCTAGTCCGCGTACTCGTACTGCGTATCGGCTGGATCAACCTCTTGTTTGCACTTATACGGCTTGGCTATTTGGCTGTGCGCTGCACCGCCTCACACACCTTGGCTCTCAGCTCCCCTCACGACGTCTTTGCCTTTGTCTTTGTCTTTGTCCACCCAAGGCTTTTTCTCGCTCACCCACCCTTGGCTCTTTGATTCCAGCCGATGCCCGCTCGTTGAATGCTCTCGTGCTTGTACCCGTAAGTATCCATGCAGCGTCACTCTTACCGTATCGGACCGGTCTGTACCAGAGTACCGCTCCAAATCCGCCTAAAATGCTCTCTGGGCATTCTAGACTTTGAGGCCAAGGACGGCGGAGCCACCAGCCAAGGCGAGAGAAAAGGCACGCGCCCGGACTTGCTGAAATCCCCGGCAACGACTCTCCCGAATCCGACATTTTAGCCGCACGGCCATGACGATTCATGACAGTGCTGTACACGTACCTAGTGAGCGGAGAGATGCCGGCGGACTGCCGTACTAGTACCAAATGTAGAGAATACTGCCTATAGGTACTATACTAATCAGCAGTTGGTGTATTATATCCATCCTGACCGGCACCTAAGCCGCGGCATTTCGGGAAATCCTACCTCAACCAACACCTACAGTGACCAAAGTTGGCAGGTTTCTTCTCATTATTACCTCACCTTGCAGCGACTAAAAAAATCTGCCACATTAACTAGCCCTCTTTTTCTAGGCCATCGTGAAGGGATCGCCACCCTGAGGCCCTTCTCCAACAAGGAAACTTGTTCCCAGATGTGTATCACTTTGTGACATTTACGAGTATGAATGTGATGGACTGTTCCCCGCTCCGCCATGCTTGTTGCTGAAAATCCGGGGCCGAGCTGTGCAAGGATTGTTGGAGACCTTGTTCGATGGCTGAGCTGGGATCGTCGCATTCTTTAAAGAATAATACCTGAGGAAAGCTCTGAAACTGGCGATGCAGGGCACACACTTGTAGTTTTTACAGCACTAGAGCGAAGCGATTGCAGATCTCCGGTGGCAAACTGCTTCCCTTTCTTGCCTCTGTGCCTTTTCCATTGCCCATACCGAAAGAGCATGGACACCATCCAGAATAGGCTGATCAATAGGAACAGCCGCCTGATGCTGCCGCTGTGGTCTGCCATCACACGTTGCTTGCAGGGCCCGGCAAAAACGCCACCAAATGCACGGGTGCCTGACCGTGAATAGTGGTTGAAACACATTGACACTGTATTGATCAATACAGCCCAGCAAAACTGCCTTCTGGGAGGATTTGTTAGCCAGCCACAATGCTGCCCGACTTAAGGGCATTCAAGACCATAGATATATGTGATCAGCATGGCTTTCCATATCAAATCTCAAATCTCCCCTTCGTCGCTTCATCTTCTTTCTGGGTGTACAATATGGCGTACAATATGGCGTACAAAAAGGCTTTCAAGCTACAGGCTTTCCGTCGTGACTGTGAAATTGGGTTTCGCGTCGAAGTACATGACAATGCACATTCAACAATGATGGAGACATGACAGCGCGCAACCCTTGGCGCCCTGGTGACGGCCAAGCATGCTTCGATCACCTCCTTTGGAAGCAGCAAAGGGGACCTTTCATCTCATTCTTTACCAGCTGGAGAGCAGCTGTGTGTTGGCGGCAGATGATGATAAAGAAGGGAGTCAAAAATGTTATTATTGTTGCCGTCTAGTTGGAAGGATTGCCTTTGGTCTACGATGCTCTCTCGATTGCCCAGTCTTTACGCCTTGGACGCCTCCACCTGTTTCAAGACGAAGTGTTGGTCTACGGGGGAATATCCGCCGACAGCTACAGGATTCGGGCTATATTCCATGGCAACGAGAAGATGGTAGATGCCACACTCTCTGTTTATGGGATTGATGTGACGGTCCAGATGCCGGGAGGCTTTGTTGATGAGGTCAGCACCAAGATGCATGTTGGTACGCAGCGTCTGCCTGATGCTACCGATGCGCTTCGAGACGAAATATACATGTGCACCGGAACGCTGGATGATGATAAATTGTGTGGTCTGGCGTTGTCTATGGGAGGCATCGCACGCCGATGGTGATTAATGCCGGGATAGTGGAAATCAAGTGGTGGTTGTTTTGGGGTATTGCCACTCCAGCTTCAGTGTAAGGAGAGAAAAAGGCCATAATGGCCATGAAGATATCGTGAGTTTTCCACCTGTTTTGCCTGAGATTGACATTATATATACGTAAGTTAAACGAAGAGCCTGAAGTTTGCAAAACATTGGTCGTTGCTCGTGCAAGAGAATATCAACTGCAAATGGTAGCTTCAAACCGCATATAAGTGCCAGATGCCGCTAGAAGTCAACTTAGTTAAGTCGCCTAGCGCCACACAGCAGGAATCTAAGCCATCTGCCCAATTAGGACGTGCAGTCTAAGACTCGTCAACTACATGAACCATTGAAATCTATATTCAGTTCCATTTACTAGCTACCTACCTATATAAAACCACACGATACAGTGCTAAGTACCCATACAGTCAAGGTCGGTAAGTATTTACTTGTATACTATGTTTTGGCTGCTGCGCAAACGGATACACTCCACATCCTGAGACAATGTCGTCAGGCCCTTATTAATACCAGTCCCAAACGAGAAAGGGTTCCATCATCGCCTGAGGCTTGCAGATGTCAACTCCATGTGGGCATTTGACTAATGCATCTCGTGGTTTAACAGCCACATCACCAATGTAAACTGCAAATCTCTTGTGTGACATGTGCTGTAACTGACTCGGCCTTCCCCTTTCTTCACAGCATGGCAATGTCTCTCATCTCAGCCCCCTCTGCAAGGGACCGCAAGACCGGTGAAGCAAGTCCTTTCGATTCACCGCAGGCAACATCCCAGTCCCGCCTCCCACAGGCTTTGTCCCAGCTGAACGCACTTCCACCCTTGCTCGTCGGTCCGATCGGCGTGTCCCCTCTTCTTAATTCTCTTTTCTTCCTTTTTTTAGATCGACAAACACCTACCAACAAGCGGCACACATACGAGGTCGCAGGCGGCATAAGCTGCATGGCTGCGGGCCGAGTTTGCGTCCAACCACAATCACCTCCCGTGTCGAGTCAAGGCCCATACGAAGCAGTCCCAGTGTTCTGAACCCGTCTTTTCGCTCCAGCCTATTATCACCTATCCCTTGCATCTGCTCGCCCACAGGTCCTAGTTAGATCCCCGGTATCCTGTCCCGCTGCCCACATGCTTGCCTGACTGGCTGGGGCGCCGAAAGGGTGCCGGAGACACAAACACGCCTTCAAGGGCGGCATCCCGATCATCTTTTCCGCTTTCTTATATGTTGGACGCCGCTACTGTACAAAGACCCAAGTGTCACTCGCTCATCACTTTTTTCCCGCACCAATTCGTCGTTCGCTTTTTTAAACGTCTGCTGTGTGTGTCGCTCCTCCTCTGGCAGAACTTTTGGTCTCACCACCGCCACGTGGATTACACTCGAGCCACCCTCGGACCTTTGCACACTCTCGTTTCTTCTACTCGTACTTCTTTTTTTTCACGCTCACTTTCTCGCTGGCAGGAGTGTTATTTTTGGAAGCTGGAAAATACTTAACAACAGAAAAGAGCCGGTGGATTTCAGGCCCTTGCTTCTTCCAAGTCCTCTCTGATACAAACTGTTCCTAGCGGTTGTGAGCTCCACAGGCCTTTGTCAATATGGGTGCTTTCTTCATTGGGTGGCAGCTATGGGAGGAAATGACATTCGTAAGTCTTGCTCTTCAAGGTCAATCCTTTTGCATCGATTCGTTGTCTTATTGAATCTCCTACCCTTTATACAGGTTTTAGCATGCTGTATAGTGTTAGTCTTTGCCTTTGGGCTTGTAAGACTATGGTGGACCAACCGTAAAATTGCGAGGCTCGAATTGATAGACGAAGAACGGCGCGTACGACTGGCAGAGATGCGGTACTGCGGTATCAACGCACGCGGCATCAACGATATTCCCTTTGGGGTGCGCGCAATACAAAAGGGCATCCAGGTTGAGGGCATCTGGATATCAAGGCCTAACACGCCCGATGCCAGCCACGTCACCGCCTCGCCCACCCTTGTTGGCAGCTCGACAGATCCAAGAGGAAGATCAAAAGGGAAAGGAAAGGGGAAAGCGCGCTATATTCCAGTGGACGCTACGGAGACGTCCATACCATCCTCGTCACGCGAGACCACGCCTACATCAAGCGCCTCGACACCTCCACGAAACAAAGATGCCGATTCAAACGACACACGGCAGTCACGACACCGGCAGCCGGTGGATATCGATACCCCTAAGGGGTCGCTCGAAGCTCAACGCAAAGCCATTGCTCGCAACATGGCTTCCCGCAATTCTTCGACCAATCGAACCAGCGTTGCTTCCTCTTCCATGGGCGGCGAGATTGTGATTCCCCATTCGAGAAGCTCTTATGCCAGCTCAAAGCCGATGCTCAGCGGGGCTATGGAGTACTATTCTGATATATCCAGAACTGGAACTAACGAATTATATGATGGCCCTCCGCCCGCAGCTTGGGACCACGGATACAGTAGCTCTGATGCAGACAGCTCAGAAGCAGCGGGTCGACGACAGAAAGGGGGCCCCTCCAGACTACAGAAAAAACCAGCCTTCTACATGCAAGTACGAAATTAATGATTTGGGGGGGAGATACGAGAGATTCCTGGCTGGGCCATGATTTTCGTGTGTTTATAATGACTTAATGTTTTGCACGCCGTTAATGAGTTATGTTGAACAAGACAAGGATGATGACTAGAGAGATTTGCCATGCAGGCCATTTGCAAATAGTTGAGCTATCAGACAAAAGCACATACTAAAAAAAGAAAATATCATACATTGACCATGTTTTTCTCCATTGCAGTGTATACTATACATAAAGACGCACTCCATCGTCAGAGTCATACTCAATAGTCGGCACTTGAGCGCTCACTCGGAGCCGGTTCATTGGCGCGGGAATAAGTACGGAATTGGTGTCGGACCTCCGCACTAGTGGGCTATCAGTATGAGGCTATAAGCCTCCAAAATGTCGAGATGACTATCTATATAGCTAGCCAAGAGCCCGTAAGAACCATATGTCACATTCTCACACTCATACCATTTTATAGAGACCACTAATTATCCCAAAAAATGGCATCTGCAGAGTATCTCCAGGCTTCATCAACCGGCTTCAAAGACGCCAAAGCCTATGATACGCACCGGCCGTCTTACCCTTCAGAGGCAGTCCAGAGCCTCTTGACCCATCTTGGCGTGGCGGGCAATTCCAATGCAAGGATCATCGACCTGGCAGCCGGCACGGGCAAGTTCACTGAGCTGTTGTCCGCGCGGCCAGAGGAATATGAGATCCTGGCCGTAGAGCCGACGGAGTCGATGAGGGAGACGTTGCTCGAGAAAGGGCTGAAGGGAGTCGAGGTGAAGGAGGGGACTGCAGAGAAGATGGATGTTGAGGATGCGTGGGCAGATGGAATTGTGGTGGCTCAGGCGTTTCACTGGTACGTTGTTGGGGAAAAGTTGAGAAGAGATCGCGTGCTTCTTCGAAACTGATTGATCGTGAATAAACAACATCAGGTTTGCGAATGAGGTTGCGCTGGCAGAAATCCATCGAGTGCTGAAACCAGGAGGCACACTGGCTTTAATCTGGAACGTGGAAGATTGTAAGGACATTCGATTCACGCTGACTACGTGGCTTCTCTTGGGGACTGACAAAGGGACACCTGCACAGATAACAAGCCAGCATCGTGGCCGGCAGGCAGCAAGTGGGAGCAGACACTCAACGCCCGCATCTTCGCGCTGCCCGACTTTGGGCCCCCAAGGTTCCGGAACAACGACTGGCCGCGTGTGTTTGACCGCCAGGCCGAGTTTGCGAAGCCCTTGTTCTCGACGCCAATTGGGGAAGAGAAGCTCCCGTGGACGGTTTGGCTGGAAAAGAGCGCGGTGTGGAACCGTGTTAACACGCTGAGCCATGTGTTTGCCTTGGAGGGCGAAGATAAGGTTGCGTTCAAGGCACAGTTTGATGAGGAAGTGAACGAGACTAATGGCGAGTTCAATGAAAAGGGCGAGGTGCTCGTGCATGGAAGGACGCTGTTGGCATGGAGTAAGAAGCTGTGAGCAGGATATCTCTGTGTATCCATAGAATCATCGTATATCATATTCATATAGCAAAAGGAGACATGAGTATTAAGTAGTTTTGAATGCGTTGCAATTATCCTCCTCGTAATTATGAGTCTGCTGAGATATACATGACTTCGCGCAAGGTTAGCTCACCTCCCCCATCAACGTCAGAGACGAATCACTCACCGTTGTTGCCTCGCACAAAGGTATCTCCATACTCCCTCCGCTTGACGCCGTTGACATATTCCGCCGTCTTTTCCAGCGCAATATTCATGTATCCGTCTACGGACTGCAGTTCTCCTGTACACACCAAGTTCACCCAAAAAGTCAGACCACGGCAGCCCTTCGTTGAGATTGGAGTGAGCTCATCAGCTTAGCTGCGCCCAAACTTACCCTTGTAGACGACGCCCGAGTTGAGCTTGACGACGACAGAGTTGCCGATAATGTCGCTGAGGAAGCTGGAGGGGTCCTTGCCCTCGGCTTGCGAGATGCCGCCGTTCTCCATGGTTGCTGTGGTCGAGGGCGTTGAGCAGTTGCTTTTGTCGTGGGGAAGTTTAGAGGCGAGCTTGATAAGAGATTGTACACCAAGGTACCTGTTTTCGGATCGTGGCTGAAAGAGCTCAAGTGTGGCACGGCTCGCACTGTGACGTCGGGCCGCAGCTTGCAGGTACATACCATTCTAGCACTCTGGATGCGCTATACGGCGGGGCGAGTTAGCGGTGCACGCGCCCGTGATTTCCCCTAACAAGGCCCCCGTAGCTCTCAACTGAGCGCTGTAAACACGCTCTCCTCGTCCACATCACACTATTACAACAACACTATTTATAGGGCAGAAAGATCGTCACGAGAGCTCCAGAGCTAGCCCTCCAGACCATCTTCTTGCGCCGCTTCAGCGACTTAATTTTTGCCAATTTCATCTCTTTTCTCTTCGTTTATTTCTCTTATCTCAAATTTCATTTGATTCGGCAGCTTCCCACCATGAGTGATGAGGTCGCCGCCGCCCCGGTCAGGAAGAAGAAGCTTCCTTTTAAGCCGACGGCTTTGCGCAATGCGGCGCCACTCTCACAACCTACCGTCTCTGTAGAGGAGAGCAAACGAAGCGATGGCAATAATGACGATGACTTGGACCTGTTTCGCCAATCCAGGGAAATGGCACCCATCGTGGCCGCTGAGAGAGAGAGAAAGCTAAACAAGAAGAAACAGAAGCAGGTGGAGGAAGTTCGGCGCCTTTCGGATATTGCAGAGACACAGCTTTTGGATTCTGACAAGGAAGATGCTCCATCCCTTCCTACTAAGCGCTCGGATGCAAATGAAGACGTCCAGGCAACTCCTGTGGACGAGTCTTTGCCGCTGCATGGGGACGACTTCAGGTAGGTTCCGCTGGCACTGACTTTCAAGTCATATCCTCGGCATGCTAACGTAGTAACAGTAGGGACCTTGTCACTCCTCCTCCTTCGAAGCGCTCGAGACGTGACTCAGATCAAGGCTCAAAGTCGTCCAAACGACGTCGCTCAGCTGCAAAGTCTTTGGATGACGATCCATTCAACAATCCCCCATCGCAACAGTCAATACGATCAAATTCCAATATACACACACCTAGTAAACGCCCCAAAAAGGAGTCTGTGACGCCGAGTGGTGCGCCGCTGATCTCAATCGATTCTGACTCTGCATCTGACTCTGAATCTGCCCCTGAGAATGGCTTCGACTCCAACGATGGCAATGTCCGCGCCAATGCGCCTGATACCACGAGCCAACGGGAAGATAGCGTCGAGTTCGTTAGCTCGGGTATCATCGGCGCACAGCTTCCTGATGCTGTTCCCGATACTCAGATGACAGAGGAGATTGAAGAGGATGACGATGAATTCGGCGAGTATGTTCGCAGGGCTGAGGAACAGCGTGCCCGTGACAAGGACATGATGCAAATGGATTCCGAAAGAACCGCAAAGAAGGACGCGGCAGCCGACATCATGGTCAGATCCAATATTCCCAACACCAAAGTCGCCCATATAAAGTACCAGTTTAACAGACCGCTTCGCTTAATACGGGATAGTTGGATTGCGCTTCAACGTAGGAAGGAGGTGCAGCTACCAATCAATTCAGACGATGACATTATCCTGACCTGGCAAAGGAAGAAGGTGTACACATATTCTTCCCTACTTGGGCTGGGCATCCGGCCACAAGGCGACGGCAAAATCATCGCCGACGAATACAGCAAAGGGGGGTTACAGGATGGGCGTACAAAGGTGGTTTTGGAAGCCTGGACCGTGGAGGGCTTCAGCCAGTGGGAGCATGAGGAGGAGATGCGTATCAAGAGAGAAGCCGGCGAACTATCAGAGGAAGAGCCGACGCAAGAGCAAGAGGACAAGCGTGCTAAACTGCGTGTCAAACTCGTCGCCAAAGACATGGAGGTGGTCAAGCTGAGTGTGCTGCTAGAGACTACGGTCGAGACGCTCATGATTGGATTTCGGACCCAGAGGGATATTGGATCAGACAAGGATGTGGGTATTTGGTTTGACGGCGAGAGACTTGAGGAGCATCAGACTATGGAGGATGCTGGTATCGATGACATGGACACATTGGAGGTACACATCAAGTAGTCGCCACTTGGCGGCATGGAGAGGGATGGATATTTGGCTTGAAAGCATGAGTTATGGATATGGGCGTTTTGAACAATCGTTAGGAAAGGCTGAGATACCCCGGGATGGTCATTGGAAGCATTGGTATTTTTAGTCGCCACGAATCTAGCATGCAATATAGGAATCATGATTTTCTTTTCCTTTGCCCCTATTCTGAACCTTGGCCCCCAAATGCAATGCAATGCTGACTATCCTACAGTCTGCTTCATTATTGGGTGGGCGCCGAATGCTTGATCCGACAGTCGCTGGACGATGGTATCCTCCATCATGTGCACGGTCTCCTCGCGAGCTTGTTCAAACCAAGTCCTGAAGCCAGGAGATACCACTTCGCCACTGCCCACGCGACGTGTAATCCGCGACGGCACTTCCATGTCCTCGAGAGAGGCGACAATAATGCCGGATTTTGTCTTGTAATATGTGAACATGGGCGCCTCGAACCGCCGCCACTTCTTCCAGACCCTGCCATCTTGGACTTCGAATCCATCGTTGACACAGGGGTCGTTGTTGCAGTACTTGATGCCGCCTGGGTTGCCGAAGTTGATGGAGAGCTGGCGTATGCCTTGTTGACCACTCTGTTGCTGCAGCCGCTTGGCGAAGAGCTCCAGCTGGCTGCGCTGTATGCACTGCTCGGCCTCGGGTACGCATCTCGATACACGATGAGGCTGGGGAAGCGGAGGAAAGGCGGCATCCTCAGAAGTGACGGAGAGGGGATACGCGTTGCAAGCGCAGTAAGGAAGACCGCGATGGCCCGTTTGATTGAGGCCTTGGGTGCCGCACATATCGTTGACAGGGCAGCTGGCGGAGATGGACGTTTTGTTGGAGGATCCGTATCCGTAGGGGCTGGGGTCGATGGTGAACGTTTGGGGGAATGAGGGCTGGGCGCAGCGAACGGCCCAGCACATGTTGGTGCAGATTTCGGGCACTTCGTTGCAGAGGAAGGTGATGTCTGGAGGTCTGGCGAGGATGGACGAGGCGAGGATAGTGAGGATAAGGAAGATCGATGCTGCTGTGTAGGACATTTTGTTGAGCCTGTAGTAATAGGTGCTGTAAGGTATCAAGATATGATTGATGATTCTGCTTATATTGGCTCTAGGTGTGAGTTGGAGATGAGGAGATGGTCAAGGCCATGACATGGTTTGCGTCCTTTGCTGGCCTTTTTCTACTAAATCTACCGAGTTCTCGGGTATGTGTGAGGGCACCTGCGTCTTGTGGATGGAAAGGAATGACCATCTTGTGTCTGGTGATATCCGGGAAGGAGATGCTGGAGTAGCACCTTTGAGATACCATGGCGTGCCCATAGCAGGTAGCAATACCGATTCTCTTGTAAGTTGACATAGCTCCTCAAAACTCCAATGTATATATCATGCTATTATATGACTACTAGGTATATGGGAATTAGATCAAGACTACTAGGCACCTAAGATACTATAGCCATATCATACCATCAATGTCTGGTTCCTCCATGAGTTGTTAGCGATGGATGCGTATTACGAACCCTGCTGCATGCGAAGCAAACTAACTGGACGACACAAAAATAACAGTTTAAGTCGTGGCACACGGAGGACGGACGTGCGTTGTTACCCAGACGCAGTGTTTGCAGCGGACAGGCTGATCTTGTGTTAACATCAGGACGTTCTAGAATTACGACTGGAAGCTGGTGGCCAGTGAGGCAAACCAGTCCTCGTGCAATACAAACACAACAGTTGGTAAGAATAGCTGAGATAGAAGTTGCAAAGCAAACACTTATTGATTAGGCGATATTGCGAACTGAGAAACGGGCCTCTGTAAATTTATAGGGCATTTATCATTATATATCTGTAATGATAAAGCAAAGAAACATCTTGAAATATGTTTGACCTGCTGAGGTGCCTACCCTATATATGTAGGAGACGTACGGTAAAAACCAAAGCACCTACCAAAGTAGGTAATCCAAGATTTAGCAATACGCGCAAAAAAACCACCAATATCCATCCCACAACAACACCAAGTCGTCAACAATTCAAACAAAAAGAAAACTCCAAAAAGCAATCGCGTAGTCGAGCCGGGAGTCGAACCCGGGTCTGTCGCGCGCTCCGCATTTTCTTTCAAAGATGTGAAGCGACTGTACTAACCGTTATACGACTCGACCTAAGCCTGATTTGCTGATGGTGAAGAGAAGAATATTGATTATTATGTAGGATGCAAAGTTGGCGGGATGGAACATCACTACCAAGAACCTCAACAGTATGAAGTGAAAGATATATCTTTGATTAACGATCATGCTTTGTCTAGTGTAATTTTGTATAATATAGACACTGTTCAGTCCAAAAAAGAGTCACTGTGAAGGACGTGGCCATGACATTGATCCGGAGAGGATGTCCAAGCTAGACTGGCAGCAATTGAGCCACCATGATGCATATGCCATTTCTATTCCAACATGTAAATACACAAATCGCCATTGTATGCATAACCCAACTCCAAGCCATGGTATCATTCCAAACGCCAATGCTTCCAGACAGCCTACACTCGCCCCGCCACCCTCGCCTTCCTTGCTTCGCCCTCTCGCAAGGCCTCACTCCGCGCCAAAAAGTCCTGCCGAGAGGCGTAGGAATCTTTGGACTTGCCAGCCAGCGCCAGCTCGTCCTTGATGCCCTCCTTGTCCACGAAGCCAGCCCAGTCCATGCGGCTCTTCTCCACTGTGTTGAGCTTCTTTGCCTGCGCTTCGTTAGCCGCCTTCATCCTGGCGGCTAGTCCAAGATTTAGATCTGAGCGGTTGGTCATTCCCTCTGCTACGGGCTCAAAAGCCGACCGAAATGCCTTCTTGGTCAGCCTTTTGATTGGTAGTGAATCTGGCAGGGCATCTTCGCCTTGCGAGGCAAGGTAGAGCTTGGCTTCGGCCGAGTCACGGGCCACGAGCTTCTCTTCGGTATGAACTCGACCGGCAAAGTTGTAGGTGCGTTTAATACGGATCATGTTGGATTCGTCTTCTTTTAAATCGGAATTCTCGTTTGCGACTGCGGCTTCATTCCCGTCCGCCACCTTGTCTTCGTTTTTCTGTTGCTCGCCTGCTGAGGAGCCTCCCGCCAACATCTCGGCCCAGATGGCATCGATATCGACCGTCACTGGTCCTTTGCTCGCAGCATATTGTCGCTCTTCTTTTCTAGTTGACCCTTAGTTATGCCCAGTACAAGTATTCTTGCTTATAATGGGGGGCGAAGCATACTCTGCTGCACGCTGTCTCCTCGTCTTGATCAGGCCTCCCTCGCCGCCTTCATCCTCGATGGCTTCGCCCTTGGCCTTGGCTCTTTTCTGTCGCTTCCGACCTTTTTCAATTATCGCTTCGTCGCCTGAATTATCATAGTTCTCTTCTCCGTCGGCCTTCACGTCATTCGCCGGTCGTCGACGTTTTCCAGAAGCTTCATCAGCTTCATCTTCTGAATCCGAGGAGCCAGACGCTGCTTCAGGCGCATCGTCCGGTGCGAAGTCGGAATCCTGAGAGGACTCATATTCTTCATCTTCGTCGATAATGCGCTCCGGCGGCATTGCGTTGTTTCTTGGAGATCGAATGGAGGGAGATTGAAAGTGATCGCGCAGGCACGCGCCGGCAACCGGGTTTCGGTGAAGCTTTCTCTTCGGTGTGGAGCCAATGACATACTGCCGCTTGCTGCAACCCATTAAGGTACTAACCTATAGCATAACAACTGAGCTTAATAAACGATGCACATTTCCTTGATTGGTAGTCATTATTGATAGTGGAAACCAAAATGAGTATCCACTTCTTTCAATATGAATCTTCTCTCCTCTTCTGTGACGCAGCGTGGCTGGTACCGTTCCCAGCTCTATCCAGGTCGTACCCCGCGGTGATAAATATGACGACTCTTAGAACAATAATATCGCCAATTAGTTAATAAATTCAACTCAAACATTATAGCTTGTGGAATAGTAAGATTTTCTGGTAGTTAACGCAGCGTATGTGGTATCAATCTGTCTAAGGTTGCTCATTGGAGAATATAGATGCAATGAGACCATCTTATGAAGTTCATGTGCCTTCCATGGACTGCTGAGATACAATAAGATACCGTGTAACTACAATAGTGGCATTATTCTTCGTCAAATTCCATGAGCGACAGAAAAGATCTGTAAAATTATCCACACAATCGATCATATGTAAGCCATATACTACTTGAATACTTGCTAACGTCAAAAGTCCCCCCGCAGTACCTGGAATGCGGGCTTAAAGGTTGAAACGAACCAGATGCTCATTGCAAAGTTAGATCTGGTTATCCTAGGTCTTTAGACAGCTTGGTTGTTGATACCCAGAGACTTAACAGATCATTCAGAAAGGCGAAATGGTACCTAGTAGACGTCATAATAACGTGAGTTGGCAAAACCGATTACTTATAATATAGCGAGGAAAAAAAAGTCTAAATCAACTGTTCTCGCCAAATAATTTCTTAGATCACATTTGCCCTTTAAACTCCCTTGCATTCGAGTCTACAATAGAAATACATCTTTACAATGACCAGCATCTGTCGCATTGCACTCTATCTTGGAGCTCTGCTCCCGGCGGTCCTTGCTGCGCCTGCAGCTGAGGGTATCCCCAACAAGTTTATTGTTACTCTTAAGGAGGGCAGCTCTATTGATCCTAATTCTCACCTTACCTGGGTAAACGGTATCCACCGCCGTTCTCTGACCAAACGTAACACCGCTGGTGTTGAAAAGACTTATAGCATTCATACTTGGAATGCCTACGCTGGCGAGTTTGATGAGGAGACTATTAAACATATTAAGGCGAGCCCCGATGTATGCTATTATATCGTATATTAACAGTAAAGATATTAATTGCGGTATTAGGTTGCTGCTGTTGAGCCAGACTATGTTATGTACCCGTCCGGTATTACAAAGAATACAAGGCGTACTTTAACTAAACAGGCTGGTGCTCCTTGGGGTCTTGGTGCTATTTCCCACCGTACTCCTGGCTCTACTAATTACATCTATGATACCTCGGCTGGTAGAGGAACATTTGCCTATGTGCTTGATTCTGGCATTAATATTGCCCACGAGCAGTTTGGCGGACGTGCTACACTTGGCTATAACGCTGCTGGAGGAGAGGATACTGATACTCTCGGCCATGGTACTCATGTTGCCGGAACTATCGGTGGCTTTACCTATGGTGTTGCTAAGCAGGTAAGCTACCTAGTCAATCATTTTATATTAATAAATCCGCTGAGCTTACATAAATGTAATAGACCAATCTGATCTCCGTCAAGGTCCTTATAGGCGAAAACAGTAACAATTCTGTTGCTCTTGATGGTTATCACTGGGCCGTGGAAGATATTATTTCTCGACGCCGGACTAGCAAGTCTGTTATTAACGTATCACTTTCTGGCCCTGCGAGCTTCGCCTGGACTGCCGCTATTAACGCAGCTTTTAACAAGGGCGTTCTTACTATTGTGGCTGCCGGCAATGATGCCAAGCCCGCCTCCGGCTTCTCGCCTGGCAATACTCCTGATGCTATTACGGTTGCTGCGCTTGATGTTAACTGGGACGCTGCTAATTTTACCAACTATGGTGCTGGTGTTGATGTTTTTGGTCCTGGTGTCAACATCTTGTCTGCGTGGATTGGCTCGGACACCGCCGCCAACACACTCAACGGTACTTCCATGGCAACTGCTCACGTTTCCGGTCTCGCTCTTTATCTCCAATCACTTGAGGGCCTCGCCACTCCCACTGATGTTACCAACCGCATCAAGGCTTTGGCCACTACTGGCCGTGTTACCGGCAGCCTTAATGGCAGCCCCAACGCTCTTATCTTTAACGGAAACCGTGCTTATCAGTAAATCAGTGGCCCTGACCACAATATTGCGACTGGGAAATCCAGTGACCGATTCGACATATTACGGAAAAGGGATTACAAGTACACGCTATGAGATCTAGATGGATTCTTCTGCAGGGACAAATAGTTGGATTGCTAGAAGATAAAAAAAATATATCCCTACCATTAAAGCCTGTTGTACAAATATAGATGGATGGATGCTTGGGCTTGCATGGGGGCAAAGGTGACAATTATAATTGCATAGAGGGGTTCTATCCTCGCCTCTCTCTGTCCTGGAACGCCACTGGCGATGAGATGAAGCTCGCACTGGACTAGCCCAAGGCCGGACACTCATTTCGGCCCTTACTGTATCTAATTGGCGTGTGGCATACATAATTTAATGTGGAACTGACCTCTTTTGAAGCTTTTGTTGTAAAGTAGGTAGCTTGAGCAAGCTTGAGGTAGAACTCTTTACTCCACAAGGTGATTTTGGCTGAGTCAGCCATGGCCATAGAGCCGGAGCCCAAGAATCAAGCAAATCAATACCTTTTAAATCATAACACATACTCAGCTCGGTGCTGCGCTTCTATTAATTGTCTGCCCCTTCTATATTCGCGTCTCTTTTCCCTCTTCCCACGACTTCAAGATTGCCTTCTTCCGTCGTAAGTGGCTTTGCTGTCCTCTCTCACCTTGATATCCCAAGTTTCCAGCATGGCTAGCGACGACGAGTACGAAATCGAGACCCCAGAGCTGGCTGAGGATGATCCCATGAGGGCGTTTCTGCCCACCTCATTCGGAAAGAAGTCAAAAGAGGCTGATATCGCAGCCCAAATCGAACGGAGCCGCAGAAAGGTGGACACCACTTCGGCGACAAGTGGCACAGATGGACATGGGAAGCAGGCCCAAGAGTCCAAGGATAAGGATGGCTCAAGCGATGACGACGATAGGGACGATTCAGATGAATCCGACGACGAAGACGAATTTCCGGTATCGCATGAGCTCGTTCTAAAGACCCAAGAACGCGCCGTCACCACGGTGTCTCTAGACCCTGCAGGTGGCAGATTGGCCTCTGCTTCTCTAGACTGTACCGTCAAGCTCCACGATTTCGCGTCGATGACGCCGACAACGCTTCGCGCATTCCGCAGTGTCGACCCATTTGTATCTAAGAGAACCGCTGCCAGTGCCGAGGCCCATCCAATTCACCTTGTTGAATTCAACCCGTTGGCGGGTAGTGCATTGCTTTGTGTATGCGCTCACCCACAAGCAAGAATAATATCACGAGATGGAGATATTTTGACAGAGTTTGTCAAGGGCGATATGTACCTTCGGGATATGCATAACACCAAAGGACACATTTCTGAAATCACCACCGGCACTTGGCATCCTACAGATAAGAATCTCTGTGTCACAGCAGGGACTGATAGCACCCTGCGAATATGGGACATTAACAATAAGCGTTCGCAAAAAGATGTCATAGTCTTCAAGTCAAAGGCCGCGGGCTCGGCTGGTCGGACTAAGATGACTGCTGTCGCGTGGAAAGCCTCTGCCCAAGGAAGCAGCGTGCTAATCGGCGCCGCTCTAGACGGATCACTGGTCATGTACGGCGGCAACGGACCATTTACCCGGCCTGCCGGCGAGATCAGAGAGGCACACAAGCCCCAGACCTGGACAAGCGGCATCGACATTTCCTCTGACGGCCGCATGGTTGTTACGAGAGGCGGTGACGACCTCATTAAACTTTGGGACACTCGAAAATTCGACAAGCCCCTTGTCACGGTGTCGCACTTGTCCACCTCAGACATTTATCCCACGAGCAATATTCGATACTCACCAAACTCCACCAGCATCATCACCGGCTCGGCCACGGGCCATCTCCACATCTTGAACCCTGGCAATCTACAGCCAGAACATGTCACTCCGATAACGCCAGGATCGGCCTTGATCGCTGTGGATTGGCACCCCAAGATTAACCAGATTGTCACAGGCTCAGCGAACGCCGAGACGCACGTCTTGTACAACCCGTCCATGTCCAGCCGCGGCGCTGTAGAGGTCATGTCGAGAGCTCCCAAGAAACGTCACATTGATGACAACCCTGAGTTTACAATGGACCAGAACGTGGGCATCTCGGGCGACTCCATTGTCACCCCCGGCGCCATGCAGGGCTCACGGAAAGCTGGAGTCACGGGTACTGGCAAGTCCAAGGACCCGCGACGGCCAGAGGTGCCATTGCAGACGCCGTTTCAAAAGAGCCAGCCAGACGAACGGCACATTGCGCAGAACATTCCTCTGGCCAAGATGCTGCACGAGGATCCCCGTGAAGCGTTGCTGAAGTATGCTGACAAGGCCCAGAGCGACCCGATGTTCACCAAGGCGTGGAATAAGACGCAGCCGGAGACGCAGTATGCGGAGCTGAGCGACGACGACGAGGAGGGTCCAGACAGGAAGCGTGCGAAGCGGTAAACAAGGCTTCCCAGGAGAATAAGCGTAACGTATTATTGTCAATGTCTACCTCTATAAAACAGCAGCAGTATCTTTTTTTCATTCCTCATCAAAACCAATCACTGCCTATAATTAGTAGTAGTTACCCCATCTACGGGTATTGTTAATAGTAATAGCCACTGCATTATTACTACAGCTCTACGGATACACTAATACTGCACCTACATAATATCCCCGTTGCTTGTTGTGCCCCACTTCTCTTAGTAAGAAACAGCGTGAGAGAGAGCGTGCATCGCAACACGTGACTCCCTCGATCCCTCCTAAGCCCAATGCGAAATCTCTTCCCTGCTTGCCCCCCAGCCCCAGCCTGAGGCGTGCGCAGGCATCGTGCTGAAATGTACTGTGATCAGCCGCGCCAGAACCGCACCAGCCATCACGCCGAATCTTGTCAGTTGTGTCTTCACCACTCCATCATCAGCCAGCGCGCGCATCCCAAAAATCGCCAGGTCCCCTCGCAAACCATCGGCGTCCATCTCCAATCGTCGCAAACCTCGTGTTTCACGCGATTTTGCACGCCGCTCGCGCCTGCGGTACCCGATCCGACGCGCCGCTCCTCCCCCTGGGCAGGATTTTTTTTTCTCTTCCCATCAGCTTCGGAGGCCCCTTGGGGTTGACCTCTGGCCTCGAGATCCCCCACGTCCGCGTCTAAGAGCGTCGCAAGGCTGTCGTTGCCGCAACGTCCACGGCCCGGATCTTGACGTTTGGCTCGCTTCCACCTCCTCCTTAGCCCAGCTCGCAGTCTCACCAACCGGTGACTTTGTCCCGACGACACCACTCGCCGCGCATTGCCTTTTTTCTTTTCTTTTCTTTCGTGCCCTTGGCCGGTTTTGACGCGCCACCTGCAACTTTTTCCTCGGCTCTCTTGATTCTGCTTCGACGCCTAGCACCGAATCGCAACAGCAATCACAGCACCCACGCCAGCCTCGCACACGCCGGGCACGACTTTCACACACTCGCTCCTCGCTATGCACTGTTTATAGGTGGATTTCCATCGAGATACGTATTGGGGTGTCGACAGGTTAAACGGCTCTTGGCCCAACTCCATCACCACACACCACCATGGCATCAGTACAGATTCCGCCCGCTGTCCAGCTCCCGGGCGCGCCAATGCCCGCCGGGGCGACTAAGCAACAGGCCGAAGAGGTCTTCCGGGTATGCAGCTACACGCGTGTTATTGTTTTTTTACCCTCCCATACCCGTTTTATCTCGCGTTGGTTGCCATGTGTTCTTCCATGACGCAAAGCTGACCTCTTCCCGGATAGAAACTCAAGCAAATGAAGGAACAGGGCATCCCGCCAAACGACCCCGAGTATATAAAAGCCTCACAGTTCCTACTCAACTTTCAGCAGCAACACAACATGCGACGAAATCAGCAACAGTACATCCAGGCTCAGCAGCAGATGCAGCAGAATGCCCAAAACGCCCAGAGTGCCGCTGCCAATGCCGCCAATGGCACTCTCAACGGTGTCCAACCTGGTCGCCCGCAGCAGAACGTGCCCCAGACAACCCAGGCCGCGCCAAACGCAGTTGGAGCAACGACTGCGGCGCCTAATTTGAATGCACCTACTACCGCTGCCCCGAGCATTGCCCCGCCGTCAAGCTCCGGTTCATCATCGAGCCACTTCACCCAAAAGCAGCTGGGCTTGCTTAGGCAACAGATCCATGCATTCAAGCTTCTCGGCAAGAATGCCGGTATCTCTCTGCAGCTCCAACAGGCCATTTTCCAGCAGCGTCAACAGCGCCAAGCTGGCACCACGTCCTCAGTGCAAACTCCTGCCCCGGCAAAGACTCCCCAGCCTGGCTCGGATGCTTCAAAGTCTACGCCAAACGGGGTTGAGCCTGCTGCTCAAGACGAGTCGCTGTCTCTTCCCAAACCCCACACCTACAAGACTGTGAAATCACCATACGGCACTAGCATGATTCGATCCTCCATCAAGTATTTCGATCATGCCCAGCGAAAGAACCGATGGTTCATTCCAGGCGTGTTCCCAACAGGTATTGATTTCGACCACCTGCGGTATGAGAGAGAAGTTGTTGTCTTCAATCGCATGAGCCAGCGATACTCAGAGCTGAAGAACCTGCCTGCGAACATTGCCCACTGGGATACTACTAAGGAGAATGTCGAGGTTGATGATTCCGTCAAGGTAAAGGCCGTCATCGAAATGAAGAGCTTGGCCTTGTACGCCAAGCAACGGACTCTTCGCGAGAAAATTGCTCGCCAAATGATGCATTACGACAACCTGGCAATGACGACCAACCGGACGAACTACCGTCGTATGAAGAAGCAGAATGTCCGTGAGGCTCGCATCACAGAGAAGCTCGAGAAGCAGCAACGTGATGCCCGCGAGAACCGCGAAAAGAAGAAGCACAACGACTTCCTTCGGGCTATTTACAACCATCGCGCTGAGATCACCGAGACTGCGGCCGCTCAGAAGAACAAGTCGCACAAGCTTAGCAGGCTTATGTACTCGCACCATTTCAACATCGAGAAAGAAGAGCAGAAACGCATTGAGAGGACAGCTAAGCAGCGTCTGCAGGCCCTCAAGGCTAACGACGAAGAGGCCTATCTCAAGCTGCTCGACCAGGCCAAGGATACACGTATCACGCATCTGCTCAAGCAGACTGATGGCTTCTTGCACCAGCTTGCGTCGTCGGTTAAGGCCCAACAGCGCCAAGCCGCCGAGACCTATGGCACCGATGCTGGTACCTTTGTTGATGAAGAGAGCGAAATTGACGAGGAAGACAGCGGTAAGAAGATTGACTACTACGCTGTTGCGCATCGCATCCGCGAAGAGGTTACCCAGCAGGCGAGTATCCTGGTTGGAGGTACACTGAAGGAGTACCAGATCAAGGGCTTGCAGTGGATGATATCCCTATATAATAACAACCTCAATGGTATCCTTGCAGACGAAATGGGTCTCGGAAAGACGATCCAGACCATTAGTCTGATCACCTACCTGATTGAGCAGAAGCAGCAGAGCGGACCCTACTTGGTGATTGTTCCATTGAGTACCCTTACCAACTGGAACCTCGAATTCGAAAAGTGGGCCCCGTCCGTAGCTCGCGTCGTGTACAAGGGCCCTCCCAATACCCGTAAGCTGCAGCAGGAGAAGATTCGCCAGGGCCGGTTCCAGGTCCTCTTGACTACCTACGAGTACATTATCAAGGATCGGCCAATTCTCAGCAAGATCAAGTGGTTCCACATGATTATCGACGAAGGTCATCGTATGAAGAACACGCAATCCAAGCTCAGCGCCACCATTCAGCAATACTACACCACGCGCTTCCGTCTGATTCTTACAGGTACTCCTCTTCAGAACAACCTCTCTGAGCTGTGGGCCATGCTCAACTTCGTCTTGCCAAACATATTCAAGTCTGTCAAGACGTTTGATGAGTGGTTCAACACGCCCTTTGCCAACACTGGTGGTCAGGACAAGATGGAGCTCACTGAAGAAGAGCAGATTCTCGTCATTCGACGTCTGCACAAGGTCCTGAGACCCTTCTTGCTCCGTCGTCTGAAGAAGGATGTCGAGAAAGATTTGCCCGACAAGACCGAAAAGGTCATCAAGTGCAAGTTCTCGGCGCTGCAGTCCAAGCTCTACAAGCAGATGGTTACACACAACAAATTGGTTGTCAGCGATGGCAAGGGCGGCAAGACTGGTGCTCGCGGTCTGAGCAACATGATTATGCAACTGCGAAAGCTTTGCAACCATCCATTTGTGTTTGATGTTGTCGAGAATGTCATGAATCCCCTCAACATCAGCAACGACCTTCTCTGGAGAACCGCGGGTAAATTTGAACTGCTAGATCGAATTCTACCAAAGTACAAGGCTACCGGTCATCGTGTGTTGATGTTCTTCCAGATGACGGCAATCATGGATATCATGGAAGACTATCTTCGTTACCGAAGCTACAAATATCTGCGTTTGGATGGTACAACCAAGTCCGATGAGCGATCTGACCTCCTCCGAGACTTTAACGCCCCTGGCTCGGAATACTTTTTGTTTTTGCTGTCTACTCGTGCTGGTGGTTTGGGTCTTAACCTGCAAACGGCTGATACTGTCATCATCTACGACTCTGATTGGAATCCCCACCAGGATTTGCAAGCCCAGGATCGTGCTCATCGTATTGGCCAGAAGAATGAAGTGCGAATTTTGCGTCTCATCAGTTCCAACTCGGTCGAAGAAAAAATTTTGGAGCGCGCCAGGTTCAAGCTGGACATGGATGGCAAAGTCATCCAGGCAGGTCGTTTTGACAACAAATCTTCAGAGACTGATCGAGACGCTATGCTTCGAACTTTGCTGGAAACTGCTGACATGGCCGAGTCCGGTGAGCAAGAGGAGATGGAAGACGAGGAGCTCAACATGTTGCTCGCTCGTAACGATGATGAGCTTACCGTTTTCCAAAAGCTGGACGATGACAGGCAGAAGGATCCTGTATACGGCGGTCCAAGAGGAAAGTCTCGACTCATGGGCGAGGATGAGTTGCCTGACATCTACCTCAACGAAGGCAACCCCATCTCGGATGACGCTGAAGAGGTTATCCTTGGTCGTGGCGCTCGTGAGCGTACCAAGGTGAAATATGACGATGGCCTAACAGAAGAGCAATGGTTAATGGCTGTGGATGATGACGAGGATTCTCCAGAGGCGGCCGCGGCACGCAAACAGGCTCGCAAGGACAAGAGAGAGGCCAACAGGCTCAAGAAGGTAGCACTGACGAATTCAATTGACAATTCACCCTCGGCCAGTAGAGCCAGCACGGAGGAAGTCGAGACGCCCAAGAAGAGAGGCCGCAAGCCTGGCAGCAAGACCGACAAGCGGAAGGCAGAAGAAGGGGATGACGAGCCCCCTGCGAAGAAGCGACGCGGCCCTCAGGGTCGGCCTAGCAAGTCTGCCGCCCACAGCGACTCTCGGATGCCGGCTCAGCAACGAGAGGTACTACAGAAGAGTTTGCGGGCACTGTACGACAGTCTCATGAACTTGGAAGTGGACGACATTGAGCCACCGGCAGAGGATGACGAGTCCGATGCTGGGAAGCGCCTCATTATTGGGCCATTTGTCAAGCTGCCCCCGAAGCGCGAGTATGCCGATTACTATGTGATTATTCAGAACCCCATCTGCATGAATCACATCCAGACGCGTATCAAGAAGGAAGAGTACAACTGCCTAAGCGATCTTCGCAAGGACTTTGACTTGTTGATACGCAACTGCCAAACATATAACGAAGATGGTAGCATCCTGTACCAGGATGCTAAGACAATGGATGTAAGTACAAAGAAAACAGCGGAAACTGCTTGGCATATCGGAAGCTAATTATATGAAATAGGAATTCTTCACCCAGAAATACCAAGAGGAGTTGGACGCACACCCAGAGCTTCTTGAGCTGGAAGAGGGTGGCAAGGCAGGATCAGCAGCGCCTTCTGGCAACGGAAGCACTCCGCAGCCGAGCGGAACTCGTATCAAAATCATTTCCAGTGCTGCAAGGGAAGCTAATGGCGCTCGTTCTGCCGCCCAAAGCGACGAAGACTGAGAGAATGACTACAAGATTGACGATGCACACCCTCATCCTCTTTTATGACCGAGAGCAGGGGGTTGCCCACTCACGACGAAATGGGGGGATTTATGCGGTTGCCAGCGGGAGTATAATTAGAAAAATTGATGGCACCAGGAGGAGGAAACTACCTCCCGACGAATGCCCCGCAAGCGGCTTGTTTCATCATGTATTCTGCGGCGTTGGGAGGATCGGCGTTTTATCGTGTGCGACTCAGGGAAAGGCGAGGACAGGTCCAGGCAGGCCAAAAATACCAGCAATGTACAAGACGAAGTTGAAATGGGGAGAACAGATGGCTGAAGCATCTGGGCGGCATATTTGGATGACCAGAGGACACCCCCCCTTTTTTTCTTAATACTTTTTTCTATGGGGAAGGGAAGGATTGGAAGAGGAGACGAGTCTAGGGAGCATGGCGACTATCCAGTATATCTGGCAGCCCGTCGTGTCTTTTTGGGATGGTTGTCTCCCTGCCTGTGCATGTCTAGATAAAGTAGTAAAATGTATTCTTAATAGACGTTGATACAGACGCGAAGCAGCATGTCTACATGGCACAGTCCGGTGACGGTGATGGTGATGATGATGAGCAGCTTGAATTTATGTGTATGGAGTATTCACGTGTAAGTGGCCGTGTATGCATCACTAAAAGGTGCTGAGCTTTACAAGTCTGGTACCCTGGGCTGAGCTAGTACAGGTACCTAAAAAAAGCGCTGTACTGTGCTGTACACAGGTACTTGCCCAGCGCCCAAATGCCGTCAGCAAACGCCATCTACCGCAGCTTCGCCACCTCTTGAGCATCCATTTATACCCCATCCCGCCAGCCCAAGGCGGGCACCCTGCATTTCCTCGATGCCCAGTGACGCGACATGGGACTTTTTAACGGCTGAAGCTGCCCCGATCTGAAGCCCCGATTTTCTCCCATCGAGTTGCTGGCGGCGGCCGTCGTGGGAACAAGTTATAGCCCAGTGTGTCACTGCGGATGACGGCAAGATGAGGAAGACGCTCATTTTATGCTTTATCCATGGATTCAAGGTACGGTGGTTTTTTTTTTTTTTATGCTTTAACCACTCCCCCTTCCCCCACCGCCTGTACAGGGTCGTGCGTGGTGGGGGAAATCTGTGCTCAGGACGATGGGCGTTGGGCAGTGGTGACGAGGGCCAACGACGTTGCGAAATGGGTTTCAACTGCTACAGCGGGATTGGATTTTGGCTAATCGAATTGTGTCTGCTGCTGCTTGCTACAGGGAGGTGAATCTACGTTTGGAGACAACTACTCGTTTGTCGAAGACCTTCGCGCTGCGGTGACGCGGGAGCTGCCTGGCATTACCATCAAGGTGCTGGTGTATCCAAAGTACGAGACGAGGGGCGACTTGGGGGAGGCTGTGAGCAGGTTCCGCAGCTGGTGAGTCTGGTATTCCGGCCTTGGCTGCCATTGAAGAAGAATTATAGCTATAGAGAAGATGGGGATGGTCTTTGGGCTGACACAACCGGTGGAAAACAGGCTGCAGGACAAAATCATCGACTATGAAGTAGCCATGGGCACTGCCTCGCCAACGGTCGAACCATCCGTCCGGACCATCTTAATTGGGCACTCGATGGGCGGCATCGTCGCTGCAGAGACGGTCATGGGACTGGCCGCCGAGAGGCCCATCTATACGGAAGACGGCATTGACAAGTCGGGGGGCGGTCCGACGTTCAACCACCTCATGTTTCCTCGCATCCAGGGCGTGTTGGCCTTTGATACCCCATACCTAGGCATTGCGCCCGGTGTGGTTGCTTACGGTGCCGAGGGCCATTACCAGACGGCGCAGTCGGCTTTTTCGCAGCTGGGCTCGCTGTGGAAGATGGCGGGAGGCGGCGGTGAGGATACTGCTGCCGCTGCCTCGGCTGCTTCTGCGCTTACCAAGGCGACACCCGCCAAGATTGACGATGGCGGCGGCTGGGGCTGGGGAAAGATTGCTATGTATGGAGCTGCTGCCTCAGCCGTGGCGGCGGGCGGCGCAGCGGCGTGGATGAACCGCGAGCATATCTCGACTGGATGGTCGTGGGTGTCTTCTCACCTCGAGTTTGTGGGCTGCCTTGCTCGACCTGAGGCTCTCAAGCAGCGAGTAGCGTACATGGTGAAGCTGAGCTCGGAGCTGAACGTGGGATTCGCCAATCTGTACACCCGACTGGGCAAGGGGGCAGAGAACAAATCGGTCAGCATGGTCGGCACTGTGCTGGGCAAGGACAGGACGTTTTGCGTTTTGCCGAACAAGCAGCCGTCTGGGCTGTGGATAGAGGCTGTGAATGATGCTGTGGCAGACGAGACAACGGCGCATATCAGTATGATACCTCTCTTCCCCACTGTAGAGCTTGACCTTTGTAGGATGCTAATTATGTCCGATAGGCATGTTTGAAGCCAAGAAGAACCCAGCATACGGGAAGCTATTGCAAGACTCGACAGGCTTGATTGGCTCTTGGGTGCGTAGGGATTGGTCTGATGGAAGTCATGAGCCGCGGTCTAGATCTCAGCAGTCGCAACAGTCTCAGCAATCTCGGCAGCTCCAAAAGCTGAGGTGAAGGCGTGTTACTAGAAGCGCTATGAAGTAGGAAATACCGATACAGGGAGTTCATTAGGGGAAATGAAGACGGTTTGCTTGTATATTTTACGATTAGCATTACTACTATACACACACCGTATTTGGTTTTTTTCTTCCATTGTTACTTTCTGCCATCTATTATCCCAATCGCAAAAACTCCTGCCAAATCTAGTATGCAAACATGGCTTTGTCTTGCACAGATGTGATTTTTGCTCCTTTGTATTATTACTCTTTGTTTATAGCGTTTATTGAGTCGCCTTTTCGTTCTTGGTCTTCAAGCTACGCATGACCTTTCGTCTCTGGGCCATCATGTGGGTGTACAGGATGTAAGCACCTGCAGAACTTTTGTTAGAACTCCGACTCTGCGATAGTTTACCCTTACGGGCAACGGAAGAGCTGGTTACTAACCTGGAACATAGATTACCAAAATGCCATACAGAATGTACGGCAGCTGCGTCCACGGGTACTCGGTCTCGTGCGCAGCAGGTCCCACGGCAGCAAGATAGATGATTGAGCACTCGCTCAAAATGCCAATGGGGTACAGCACGAAGAAGGTGTTGTATCGCAGCCAGGTGAGGATGCGGGGCGTAAAGCCGGAGAGGCTAAGGGCGAAGTACGAGTAGCGGATGACTTCGGTGACGGACCAAGCGATGAGCATGGAGCTGTAGGTGGGCGTTTCCTTGGCGAGGTCGGGGTAGATGAAGAGGACGCCCCAGACGAGCAAGAAGCGGGAGGCGACCTGCATGACGGTTGTGAAGAGGGGGGCTCGAACGACTCCTGGAGGTTTGTTTTCTTCGCGTTAGGAGGAATTGGGAGATGAGGAATGGGAGGATTGTGTTGTTATTTGTGCTTACCGAAGAGGGAGTGCAGGATTTCCATGGCCGCGGCGGTTTGGGTCCATTTTGTCTGCTCAAACACGTCGTAGAAGAGAGCTACGGGACCGCCGCCATTGAGGAGCCTGAATACTGTCTTTTCGAGGACGACGCCCCAAAAAAAGGCAGAGATGACATTGTAGAGGATGAGGTAGGCGGTTTTGATCGGGGAAGAGGCAGGCTTTGGAGCCGCTGCCTTTTTGGAGGGAGCCATGGCTGGAAAGGCTTCTGGGTGTGTTGGCGCGCGAATTGGTTGCGTAGAGGGGAGTTTTGTGGAGGGAGAGGTGGGAAAGGGAAGACGGGAAATGTTGGCGATGCTGGAGATTTTGGTGGTTGAATTTAGGTGGAGGAGACCCCCAGTTCGTTGGGGTGGAGGGGTCTTTTTGTTGGTACAGATCACAGATCACAGATTTACAGGGACGGAGATGCTGAAGCGCCGAGACAAAGCCAGTGGGAGAGGCGCCAATTTATTTTCTGCTCAATTGTGATGATCATATTATTTTTTTTTACTTTATCATGATTTGGCTTGTGATATAGATTGAGTCAGGAGTCTGGGGACGGTCAAATGCTTGGCTTCGCTGTCCTGTATCTGAAGCTCGGCAATGCGATTTGCTACAGTCCATGTAACGGACCGCCGCTAAGCTGGATTAGGACGGCAGGCGTAGGATTAAAAGTTGAGATGGATCTTATCCAATTGATGTCAAGTCAAGCATTGATCAGAACCACATCAGAGATAATTCCCGTCACTTTGGCGTCTTCAGTCTGTACCTGCTAGGTAGTAGATACGGCATTCCTGCGCTTTTTATAGATTCAGCCCGTCCGGATTCTGTAACACAAGCGAATCCATCTGCTCCGTCTTCTCCCATCACGGCTTATCTCCATGCTCTGTTTGCACTCCTGCAGCGCCTTATGCGGTGCCACCTCCATCACGGATTATCATGCCATCCCAAAGTACCTTTTCCCCCAGGTTCCATAACACAACCGTACACAGCCCCCCCAGAGCCGGGAAAATGCTCTCTGCCAGTCAATTTTGGATTTTTCTCTCCTCAGCCCCCCCAGGCTAAAGAGAGTTTCTGCTAATGCGAGCAATACCAGCTCCGCAGGTGCTGTGCCCAATGAAGAGCCCGGCTGCCACGCAATTTTCTTTTTTGTCACGATGCTGTCAGAAGCAGCTCGAGTGCTAGACTGATGGGTTCGATGGGTTCGATGGGTTCGATGGGTTCTCTCGGGATGTCCCTAGCGAGCATTAGCAGCATCGTGGTGAATTCGTCCTGTCCCGCCAGCGTGCTCACGCGCCCATGTCAATCCCATGTTTCGGCCATAAACGCTCGACAGCTTCTGCTGCGGAGCCCTGCGCCAGATACGAAACTATGTACATGTACCTGAGCCCAGCGTGCTGGAGGCTTCGACGCCGCTCCCGCAGGTCTCGGAACAGGCCCCCAGGACCGCTAAGGTGGCGGGACGTCTCCCCCCCTGCCGCGTACCGGTACCTCTGGAGGGATGCAGGGCGCGCTGCAGAGCCCAAAGCGCAAGTGACAACAGCGCCGTGCAGCGCAGCGCAGTGACTGGAGTGCAGCAGCATCAGCAGCATCAGCAGCAGCAGCAGCCCGCAGGCGGCACGAGGCCAACGCTGGACGAACACGCAGCCAGCATGTATGCGCAGCCAGGAACCCGTACAGTACAGCAGCAGGACAAGTCACCCAACATGTCACGGCCGGAGGCTTGGTTGTATCGTCCATGTACCTGATGATATCCGCTGTGCTCCGTACTTTAAGGCACGCATGGCGAGTGCTGTACCTGCTGGATACCCGAAACGACGGCGACAAAGGCCATGTGTCCAGGTACTGTCCAAGTCGCTGTCGTGCCGGCCTAGTGCCTGCCACCTGCCTGCCACTTGCCAAGCAGTGCCCAACCAGGCCACCCATCAGTGGCCGCTCTCCCTGGAAACCTCAGCACTGCAAAATTCCGGTACCTTGGGTGTACCTCTGCCCCAATGTTCTAGCCCCGGGGCAAGCGTGAACAAGACAAGGGTCGCGGCATCAAAGAAGTGGCGGTAGCGCTCCATCAAGACAAAGCCTCGCCAGATAGACGCCTCGTCCTCCCTTTCACTTCTCTCTCACACTCTCTTTTTCTTCTTCCATGCCCCCTCTGCCCATTGCGAGGCAATCGTAGCAGCGGCGAGCTGGACGACACGGCCGACATTCGACCCTCTCCTTTGGTTCTTGTTCTTCTTTCTACCTGTACTTAGCCCTTTGGTTTGCCTTTGACCCCGTCCCCTTCTCCAAAGCCCAGGTAAGCCTCCTTGGCCTCTTTTTCTCTTGCGCCTTTCCCCACCGAAGCAGCGCCGCCTCGGAACCCTTTTTTTAACCTTTGGACGCTGCTTCTCGCGATACCTCGTCTTTGTTTACTGCCATCTGTTGTTTGTCCGTCTCTGCTTCGCCTCTGCTTCTGCTTCTGCATCTTGTCCCTCTGCATCCCCTCCTCCCCCCTGGCCAGTCCGCCACTTGTTGAACGGACCGTTGTCTTTGCGCCTCGGCCTATCATTTCATCGACAATCGTGGTCTCTGCTCTGCGAGCGCCTCCACAGACGATACGCTAATACTTCTTTTGTGCGTCTCAGGAGCGAGCGCTGGCCACAAACAACCTCCTTCGACACCTCTCTCTTTCCCTCTTCTCTCTTGTCCTCCAACCTACTTAATCTCCTCCTCCCCAATAGTGCCCCGACTTGCCCGGTTTGGTGGCCTGTTCGAGTGACACAAGCCCTTTCCGTCACCATCACGAGGTTCGTCTGGCCTGATTCTACCTCTCAACTTCTCCCTCCTTGGACACCGCTTCGTTTCCAGAACCCCTCAGCAGTTCCTAGCTGCTTCCGTGTGGTAGGAGGGCTTTCTTGTCTTGCTGCATTGGCCGCATTGGGTGCATTGGCTACACTGCACTGTTTTGGCTTTTCTCGCAATCCCATCTTGTCAATCCCCATGCGCTGTGGCAGCGATTTGTCCATCAAATACGCACGTGTCGGTGTGCTAACACATGTCTTTTTCCGCCAGGTTGGACCATAGCTAGAGACGATCCCAGTAACTCGGGTTTCCCCCAGCTCCGGATACCGACAGACGTGCGAGCTCGCTCAAGCCAACGCTTCCTGACAATTCGACGAGTGGTTTACATTGTGGCGGTTTCATTAAACAATTTGGGAAGTTGCGCATACGGCAAAGTTTCATAGCAATGTCGAAACCACAGAGAAGAGATGCCCAGCAGGGTGGGGGCAATTCGGTCAAGGTGGATGGAAAGATGAATGGTAAGTTGCTGTCATCACAGCCACTATTCCCCTCCATTCTGGGGGGGATTCGGGGTTTTCTCCGTTAAATCTCTGACAACGCCCCATAGGTAATCGATCTGGTTTCAGGACCGATGCCGCGATTTCGAACGGCCGCTTCGGAGCTCAAAGAACTCTGCAGCCATGGGTCCCTGACAAGAGCGATGCCATTGATGGAAGTTTGGAGAAATCTACTTCTGCCGCTGGCTGGGACCAGTTTGCTGAAAACGAGAGGCTCTTTGGCCTTAAGACCGACTACGATGAGAACATCTACACCACTGCAATCAACAAGGACCACCCGCAGTACCGAGAGAGAATTGCGGCTGCAGACAAGAAGGCCAGGGAAATTGAGCGCAGTGCAGCCATCACTGCCCACGTAGCCGAGGAACGTGTCATGGACTACTCTGGCCCCAAGGACCGTGCCGATGATAACGAGGAAGACAAGTGAGTTGCATCCCTCGGACTTGTTTCCCCTGAATACCTTGATGCTAAACCATTAAACAGATACAGCGGTGTCCGCCGTCAAGACTTCCCTCCTTTGACGTCTGGACTAGGGAATCGGTACACGCCTCCGGCTAAGCGGGCTCCAACTGGACAGGCCACGGTCAAGGGAGCTCCCGTTGACCCAGCAATCATCTCATCGCAGATCAAGGCTCCGCCGAAGAAGCAGTCTTCTCAAGCCTCTGACACATCAAAGGCGACGTCCGATGCCCTCAAGAACGGAGCCCAAGCCAAGAACGAAACCCAAAAGGCCTCGGAAAGTCAATCGGCAAATCTCAAGCCGGCGGAAAACAAGACCCCTACCCCGACTCCTGCCGCTGCCGCTGCCCCAGCAAAAGAGGACAAACCGGCAGAGAAGCAAACAACTACCACCAGGGCCACCCCTTCTAATTCTCGTCCGCTCAGCAACTTGCCGCCGAATGCCCCCAGCGCAACTTCGACTGTTGAACGTGACGTTTTGAAGGAGTTTAAGTCATTCGCTACCCAACAACGCCTCAATGCAGAGAAGGCTAGAAGCAACAAGGCAAAGGCGGATAAGGAAGTCAAGTTGACGGAACTCAAAAAGTTTGCAACCAGCTTCAAGCTTTCAACGCCGGTCCCCTCTGATCTGGTATCCATCATCGCAAAAGATCCAGTCAAACAAAGAGAGATTCAGGCCAAGGCAATGAAGAACGCAGAGGAGATGGCCAAGGCCAAGACCGACGCTGCCCAGGTCAAGAAGGACGCCACCACAGTCAAGGAGACGGCCCAGCCCAAGCGTGCAGAGGCTTCGACAACAGCGCCTCCCGCCGTCGAAACCCGGCCTGCACGAGGGGCTCCTGCTCCCCAGGCCACCCCCCCTAACGGCGGATCTGGTCGCCATACTGGCCCTCGTCAACAGTTCACCCAGCAGCAGTACCACGCACAAGGCTACAGAAACGGCCGCGTGGGTCCTCAGCATGCGCAGCAGCCTCATGCAAATGGCACGCTGGCGCAGCGCATCCGTAACGTGGAGCAGCAAAAGTTTTCTCAGCCTCCTGCTCCTCACCAGCATGCTGTCGGCCCCGAGATTCGTGCGCCGCCTACTGGTCCTTCTAACGGCACGGACTACGCTCGGCGTCACAGTGGCCATCTCGGAGCTAAGCTGAACCCCAACAGCAACGAGTTCAGGCCCAGCCCATTCGCCCCGTCCTTCAACCCGAACGGACACCCGAGCGCAGGATCCAGCCCCCGATCTGCTGCCAATCATGTCACTGATGCCGCTAACGCCGTCAATCATCCACAGGGGCAGCTCATCCGGCGAAAGACCAAGGCTGTCGATGTCAACAAGTGTTACATCTTGTCGCACATCAAGACCATTGCTCCGCCCCAGGGCCGTAACTGGGATGACAATAATGGTCTGCGGCCGTCCTACGACACTCTGCCTACCTGGCGCCAGCTGCAGGATGAGGAAAAGGCGGACTCTACTATGCATCTTACTTACAAGGAGTACTTTGAGCGACAGCCTTTCTTGGTCCCCTCCGTGCCTACTCCCAACCCGTCTCATGTTGTGCCTCACATGGCTCACCAGCATCAGCTTCCCTTCCACCTTCAACAAGGCGCACATAACATGATGCCGCGACAGTCTCCGCACATGCCTCCGATGCAGATGCATACGCCGCAGCATGGACCTGTGCCTCATCAGCCCTACGGTAACGACGACCACCGGATGATGCACTCCAACTCTGCCCAGTCGTTCGCCTCGCCGCGCATGGGACAGTTGCCCGTGGCGTACCCGCCAGTCAACCCAGGGGCTCAGGTTCCATATGGTCAACCGGTCTTCCTCGGTGCTGGCAACCCTCAGCTCGGCCAGTTTAGAAGCTACTCTAACAACCCGCACTACGTGCCGACACAAGGACATATGGGAGGTCCAATGATGATGCAGCCCCAGTTCATTCCGGGTCCTCAGGGAATGATGGCGGCCCCTCACCTGATGTATCCCGGTGGGCACCATCCGCAGTTCATGCCACCCACTGGCCCACCACAGCAAGTGCCAGGAGCAAATGGATATCCTAGCCCAGGACGGCCAGCCGCACCCATGATGGTTCATCAGGGCTCTCAACAAGGGCATAACATGTACGGAATGAGCCCCAATATTCAATACAACCAGCCGGCATACGGCCCAGCACAAACTAGTGCGCCAAGTCAGTGATGCCCTTATTACTGGATGGGGGGAGAACCCTCGGGGCTGACGTTTGCAGTGTCCAATGCGCGACCTTATAACGGACCTGGGCCTCAACATTTCGCGGCCAACCCCCAGCAAGTGCCGCATCACTACAGCCCACAACCACCTAGTAGCAGCAGCGGTAATTATAACAACAACAACAAGCAGCAGCAGCAGCAGCATCAGGTGCCGCAGAGCCACCCTCATCCGGGCCCACAGGCCAACCGTACATCTTCCACTTCTCCCAAGAGCCAGGAGGTGGAGGGATCGGATGAAGCCAAGTAGGAAATTGGGCCATGCACGACTAGATTTGCAAAAGAGATAAAGAAGAGTCATCCTGAGCGTTGCATATCTATCAGGTTTTTGGCTGCTATTCGCTCGCCGCGGCATTTTCTGGCTTTCCATCACAGCTCTGGATTACTTTGCGGTAGTTTTTATCTTGCAAAGGAACAAACTTTTAAATACTCATTCTAACAAAAAAAAAAAGGAGGGGGAGGTAGGGAGGAAAGAGGGAAGGTAAAGAGGCGCATCGAACAGTTGTGATACGGCGGTCCATGAGCGTTTGCAGCCAAGTCTACATTTGGGATGACGACCTTTTTTTTTTTCTGTGTCCACGTGGTCAATAACCTGACCCGTGAGACATGATTCTCTGGGAAACCTGGTTTATGCTGGCATTATTTCAACTATTGAGCCCGCAAGCTTTGCTCCAAGGCATGGGCGACTCCGGCATGGATTTCGCAGACGAGCTGGCGGCTATGGCCCCAGCTGACGAGCTCTTAGATGGAGCATGAGCGAGAAGACAAGTATGATTTCAACGGCGAGATGGGAAGCATAGGGTGACTTTGATGGCAAAAGACTGGCGACTGTCTTGGCCAGCATGATGCAGCGATGGAACACGGCTCTGGAGAAGCAGTGCCACACCATGGCACCATACGCCGAGCGAAGATGAGAAGCAAAGTTGGAGCACGGCGACAGCAGCAACGTCGCAGAAGGAGAGGGAGAAGCCGGGACGGGATGAAGTGACGACCAGTTACGATGATAACTCGATATTACAGGACTGCCTTTTATCGTTGATGATGGCCGTTTTTGCAGGCTATTGATGGAGGGCAATGGGAGGATACATGTAACTGCCCGGTTTGTCAGCCCACTGCGTTTAGTAGTAAGCGATGGATCGAGTTTGTGCGCGGCGGAACCAGGGATGGGTTTGAGGCTCAAGCGGATATACATTCAGGGACCTCGAGGAGTGCTGCCAGCTTTATCTGATGAATGCCAAGGTAGAGTTAGGTAATATGGGCACTATCTCATGAAGTGGTCAGCTGAGCGAGTAGTTGAAGAAGAAAAAAATATGCACATAAAACATGTCAATGCAGCGTGAAGCGGGTTCGAAGCGATGGATGTTTCAACTACAGAATAAACCGAAATAAGTGTCCGGCTTTTGCTTGTTTAGAAACTCTTTCCGCACGAACCATCATGTAGCGTAGTGTGGCTAGTACAGTGCACGCCGTAACCAGCTGTGTACACTTTCAACCTAAACCTAACATTGCCTAGAAATGGATTCTTGTAGTAGTGCAGCTCGAACTGATACTTGATCAGTATTTCTCTGAAAATGGGCATTGATCTTGTATATATCAACTCCAAAGAACAAAAGTAACATTTCCAATCCCACACGCTTCAATAAATAGCCATTTATTAATAAAAGGTTAAGTAGATAATTGAGAGGACTTGAGTTTCACATAATAAACATACAATAAAAAAATAAACAAAAATCCAGAAGACCATATATCAAGTTCGAATTTACGCCACCACGGAAAACCACAATACAAAGAGGAAAGAAGCAGAAAAAGCAAAAAATTACAGCAGCCAGTATTCGCCAGTCTTCATACACCTGACTACTAATCTGCCAGCTAGTGGGTTGAAGAGGTGGAGTTGAGTTATTAAGGATGTGCTGGTTTCGAAGGAACCACGAGAAGTAAGCTCCACGGTTATTCTCAGCCAATTCAGAAAATGCCTCTATAATTTTGCTCGCGAGGATATCTCTCTCTCGCCATTCGTTAAGCTGGATAGCCCTAATACCTAGAACACGTATAAGGCCTTGGTAAAGGCCAAGGAGGTGACTCTCATCTCTCCAGTCACGGCACCGAGTGAACCCAAAATGCTCACGCGTCTCTGAGTCTTGAGGAATTCGATCTCCAACAGCATCATGCCAGAGTTTGTCAGCTGTTGTTATCGAGCGGGCCGAACACAAGCTGAGATGATAAAATGACATTTGATCTTGACACTCTTGACTGCAGAACCAATCCAGGCTGCAGACCTGACAGCGGCGACTAGTCTCTCTTCCGCAAATGTCACATCTCCTATTGGAAACATATTAGAACTCTGAGGTGCTTGATCTAAGGATTGATCACTCACTCAGAGCTTATAAAGCCTTCTGCTGTGACAGCACTGGACCTCATCCTTTGGCGTTGCGGTGAAAGATGGCAGGTTTTGGTCACATTGCAGTATCATCGTCGCGATTGAAGAGCCCTCGATTATAGACTCACGAGTGCGGGGTCAAGCCACAATCCGACTAAAAGTGGATCCTTCTTATATATTATGTAGTTAATCCGCGACACCCATTTCGCCTTTTACTGTAAATGTTAGACGAGTTATTCTAGGACGATGAGTAGACAATGCCAGGTAGTTATTGAATGGCCAACTAGGTGGCAGCTAGGCATGAGTCCGGCGAGAATCTAAGTGACTTGGCACCACTTAGTGCGGATCGATCCGCTTGGGAGGGAGCACGATTGGACTAAGCACTATGCTCGAGGGGGTTTTAGTAGGTAGTTTATTTCGAGTTGTGGTTTCATGTTATTCGGGATGTTTGTGATAATACGTAGTATGGGGAAACATGGGCAGGGCAGGGCAGACAGACAGACGCCAATGAATTGCTGCGGTTATTTGCGCGTGTCAGTGGCGAAATGGGGAGGGGAGCTTGCCGTGTTTCCGAGGGATGATTGGGGGTGGAGGAGGAATGTGATCTGCGTGTTGTTTGGGGGTTTTGCAGGTTTGGTTTGCTGATTTGTTGGATTTCAGCTTTTTTGTATGCCTTGTCTGTTTGGGAAGTGGCCTTGTGAGCGGAGTGATGGAGGATTGGTTGGCGTGGGCGTTGAGAGATGGGAAACATGGCTGAGGTAAATCAAAAGCCCAGTAGCATTGGGGAAGGGAAACAATAGAAGAGATGCGAATAAGAATAGAGCTGTGTGAGATTTTTTCTTTTTTTCTTTTTTGCTTTTCTTCTTGCTTCTTGTGCTTTATTGCGTGTGTGGTTGTTGCGGTTAGTTGTCTCTAAAACATGTTTCATGACAGGGGCCTGTGCGGCGACGTGGTTGGCTGAGGGCGGTTTGCTCCAAGGTTGCGTCGCGGGTTTTGACGCTGCGTGTTAGCCGCCCGGCGATGGATGTGACGGGCAATCCATGTACACTCTGCGCGGCTACAGTATGCGAGAGTTACATTCTTTGCACATGTAGATACCTAACTGAACAATAGCTGACCCCTGATGTCCCATTTTCCCCCTCACTCTGTTCTTTTTCTTTTTCTTTTTTTCCCGGTTCTGATACAAGCTAGTCGTGCTAGAGGCGCTTGTGCAGGGGGATGGACGCGGCACTGGCCCTTTTGCATTGACGCAAGTGCTGGATGTCAAAGTCAAGTGAAGAGTCGAGGCTCGCTATTGTCACCTGCGATCGGCAGACGAATGGCGAGGTTGGATTGGCTCTTGTGAACCCCCCTGTGGAGGTTATATTGTATCGCATCGCGTGTGCTTGATGCTGGTTGAGGCGGCTGATTGAACAGGGGGCGGCTGTTTCGTTTCTCACTCACGGCTCAGGTGAGCAAGCACATCATGGTTTGGCGATGATATATAAAGGGAGGCTCAGCTCCTCCTCACTGCTGGTGTTTTTTTGGTCTTTTTGTACAGTTTTCAGTATTGTATTTGTTCATTCCCTTTTTTTTTTCTTCTTCTTTTCATTTCTTCTTCTTCTCTCCTTGCTATTCGGTCCACAAAGGCTCGATCCCGTTCCTTAACTCGGCCGTTGTTCTGCTGTGACTCGCTATTAAATAGCCCATTCACTCGCCCTCCTCTTCGTGGTTGATTCAATCTTTTTCTTCTTGATTCGAGCTGGTCTTGAATCCAAGTATATACATACGCACATACACGAGGAAGCGCACCGCCAGCCGGTCGTATATACAACAGGCCGTCGACAGCTGCCAGCTGCCAGAACCTTCATTCATCGATCATCGGATTAAAACGCACAAAACTCGCACATTTTCGTCTCTTCTTTCTTCAAACAACAAAACATTCGCTATCGAGGAGAAATTTCGAGAGCATCACAAGTCTCTTTTTTTTTCTTCTTTGCTATATACCCATACCTATATACCCACGTCCCAATTGCTCTCGCTCTCAGTCAAGACCTCAACACCAACACGGGCTCATCATGAAGTTCACCGAGACAATCGCAGCCGCCGTCCTCGGACTGGCTGCCGTTGCCAACGGCCATATGCAGCTGCAGAGCCCTCCTCCCTTCCGCTCGAAATACAACCCAAACGCTGGCTACGACATCGACTACTCCATGACCTCGCCCCTCGATGCATCCGGATCCGACTTCCCCTGCAAGGGCTATCATAAGCTTCTCGGCACTCCCGCGGGCAAGTCTGTGGCCACTTGGGCTCCTGGTGGTTCCTACAGCTTCACCATTACCGGCACCACTGCCAACCATGGAGGAGGCAGTTGTCAGGCGTCGCTCTCCTACGACAAGGGCCAGACCTGGAAGGTCATCCACTCGTACATTGGCGCATGTCCGCCTCCAGACACGTCCAACTGGAGCTTCACCGTGCCCAGCGATGCCCCCTCTGGCGAGGCCATGTTCGCCTGGACCTGGTTCAACAAAATCGGTAACCGTGAGATGTACATGAACTGCGCCGCCGTCACCATTGGCGCTGGCAAGAAGCGCGCGGCCTCTACCCCCTTTTCCAGCCTCCCTGACATTTTCGTTGCCAACGTCGCCAACAATGTCTGCACCTTCGAGGGCAAGGACGTTCAGTTTCCGAATCCTGGCTCGATTGTCGACAACAAGAGCCAAGGCACTGCACCTCCTGGACAGAGCGATTGCACTGGACCTGCTCCGGCTTCCCCTCCTCCTGTTGCCCCTCCAGCAGGCGATCCGTAAGTCGAACAACGCTTCTGCCCCCCAATGGATTCATGAGTGATGCTAACACGATGAAATGTAGCGCGTCTCCCTCTTCGCAGCCTCCGGCCTCTCAGCCTGCGCCGACCTCTGCTCCTATGCCCACGGTTCCGGGCGGCGTTTTCATCACCTCGCCTATAGGACAGCCAACTCAGGCACCAACCCAGCCAACAACTCTCGTCAGCGTTACCAGTGTCAGCCAGCCCCCAGCTGCTACCTCGTCCGGGCCGCAACAAACTCCCTCTCCTCCCCCTGTAGTGGCAACTTCTGCTTCTGCTTCTGCTCCTGCCTTCGCTTCGTCTTCTGCTCCGGCCTCTGCTTCTGCTCCGGCAGCTCCCCAGCCAACCAATGGTGGTTCCAAGCCGCCCAGCGGCTCGACAACTGCGGGAACGCCATGCTCTGCCGAGGGCCAGTGGAACTGCGCATCTGATGGAAAGTCATTCCAGCGATGTGCCTCCGGAGCGTGGTCTGCCTCCATCCCCGTGGCGCCGGGAACCTCGTGCCAACCCGGAACGAGCGACAATCTCACCCTGGTGAAGAAGCGAAGCGACCCTGGCAATGTCCAGCGACGGCGCTTCGTCTCTGAGCGATTCCAGCGAGAACGCGGCTTTGCTTAGATGTGTACTCGCACTGGCACAGCCATCTTTCTTTGGGCGGGCTGCTGCCTCGTGTGTCGCCACTTGGATTTCTTTTCTTGTACCTTTTTGTTGAACGATTTTGGTTCACGTTGGTTCTTCTTCACAGCGGTTGCCGGCAACCAAAGGCACACTTTTGCTATTTTCTGCATTGAGTCCGGGGGAAGGACTCTTGAACTGGACGGTGAACACAGGATGGATGGGATATGAATGAATTAAGATACCTACTAGATATGGAGATTCGATTAAAGGAAAAGTTTTAACATGAAGTTTGTCTTGATACAAATGTTGAACAGACTGTGGTTGTATCTGTGATTGCATCATGAATGTGAACTTGTCGGTGTTGATGTCCTACTCTACCTCTAGTAGGCATCATGGCTGGCTGAGCGCTTAGTTAGCATGAATATCGTAGTTAGAGCCTGAGAACTAAGCTCGGCTTCAAGAGGCAGCCCGTGAATTAACCGCAAAGCCACGCCAGATGATGAATCTGTTCAACGGAGGCCGCCCAACGCGAGACAAGTTGTGTGGCTAGGCGACGCCGAAGCACGTGAGCCACCACAGAGGCCGGAGAGATTCCCAACACGCATCGATGGAGAGATACACAAAGCACAGAAGGACAAAGAAGCAGACAAAGACGCCCAAAAATTAGGAGCTGCGCCACACGAGTCGAGCTGGAGCGCTGCAAGGAAACATGATTCGACGCATGCAGGGATGACGGGTGATGAAGATGACGATTGCTGAAGGTCAGGCTGGGAATCGGGTTCAGGTACCTACCAAAGGTGTAATATGGAGGATTAGGTAGCGATGCAGGTTCCGGATACTTGTTTGCCGGGGTATTTGATGGTGGGGGTGCTAGTATAGGCTACTGGACCAGAGAAGCAGCAGTACTTGCAGTGCTGTACATGTAGGCATTGATGGATGGCCTGCCGTGGTTGCATCTGCCGGTAGGTACCCAACTGGCCCTATCAGGCAAATGCAGTAATCGTGAGTAGATACGAGGATTCGTTCGATTACTATCTACCTGGCATCAACCCAAAAGGCGGACCAGGTTGGTTTCCCCCGGCCATCAGCATCCAGGATCCCTGATACGGGACGATGGGTGGCAGAAATACTAACTGAACACGTTCGCCGTGGGAATGCCGGGTGCTGTGGATGTGTTGGGCTCGTTCTCGTTCTCTCGCTCTCTACCTATTCTTCTCTCTGGTATAAACCAGGCAGCTATACGAGGTAGAGACAGGTAATTTGGGACACCGGATACTACAAAGGCACAGCAGGTGCTTGTAACCAAAAGTTGGGGTACTGGCTTTGCCACACTCCCAAAGAACAAAGACAAAGAGCCAGAAAAATTCCATACCATTCTGATCCATTTATCCCCAACCAGGCCCAGAACCAGACCAGAACCAGAGAGGCTCACCAACCCCACATGTCGATTTTGCTGTCTGGTCTGTGACTTGGGCACATGTACTTGTAGCACCTTGACCGACCTTGGTTACTGACTTAGCAGAATCCTGGGTGACAATCGCAAACTCGGCCGTCCTTTTTCCCTCCCTCCCTCTCCTCTCCTCTCTCTTTTTAGTCTCCGCCCCCTTCTCTTCTCTTCGCTTCTCCTCTCTTCAACCTTTTTACTCTTTTTGTTGCTTTTTTTTTCTTCTCGTTTCCCTTTCCCTTCAAGGGGGGCCCTTGCTTCTTGCAAGCCTAGCATCCATCATCCCCCCCCCCCTCCCCCGCGAACGGCTCTCTCCAGACCGCACGGTCTCCTCTCGAACCACCCACTTTTGTTCGCGATATAAACGAGGCACAAAGAACAGCATCTCCGTCCCCCATCGACCAAGAACATGGCGGGTTCTTCGACTCCGGGCGCCGAGGGCCCTACTTTTGCGCCCCCGAGCCTGCCCGCGGGCTGGATCGCTCAGTGGGACGGCTCCAGCAGAAAGTACTACTACGTCCAGCTGGCCACGGGCGTCTCCCAGTGGGACATTCCCACGGATCCTGTTCAAACGGGCACGCCGGTTCCAGGCAGCGAGCATCCCTATGGCTCGCCCGCGCCGCAGGTCATCACACACCCGGACGGCTCGCAGACGATAAAGCATGCGGATGGACGCATGGAGCCCATCATGCCAGACGGCAGGGGCCCTGATGGTCCTGATGGCGACCGAGGTCTTGGGGTAAGCAGAGTTTCTGTCGGCTGCTCTACGGAGGCGTTTGCGGGGCCTAAATCACATGTGCTAACGTCTTGTTTCAATGGGGTTTTTAGTCAATGGCCATGAACATGCTCATGGGCGGCGGCAAGAGCTCTGGCGGCCACGGTAGCGGCGGCGGCGGCGGCAATCCCCTCGGCGGTCTGGCTGCTTCGTTCCTCGGAGGCGGTTCGCATGGAAGCAGCAGCGGCGGACATGGGGGCGGCGGCGGCGGCGGCGGCAAGGACTCCATCGCTGGAAAGCTGGTTGGACAACTGGCGTCGAACCTGTTCTCCCCTTCCAGCGGCGGCAAGCCCTCGCAATCGCAAAACTACCACGGCGGCTCGTCAAGCAGCGGTGGGCATCAGCAGGGTGGTGGTCTGGCCAGCGTCATGGGTGGTGTAGCCTCCATGTTTGGCGGAGACAAGCCGGGTCACGGTGTAAGCAACCGTCGCAAATCTTTTTCGGCATGATGGCCGCTATGAAATTGGAGAAGCTAACTGACGGGATTGTCATGACCTATAGAACCAGAGCTATGGCTATTCGAATTCGGGCTCGAGCGGCAATACATACTCTGGACAAGCACCGACTTACAACCCTCCCGGATCTACCCATGGATCGACTCACGCGGCAACGCCATCGTCATCACACACGGGTACACACCAGAGCCCTCCTGCTGGCAACCACACCAACTCTTTCCCTCCGCCGCCTCCAGGAGCACCACCTGGTGGTCAAACTTACGGGCATCAGTCATACGGCAGCCAATCCTACTCTCATAGCCCGGCGCCTGCTCCCAGCCCGTACGGCGGATCGCACGACCAACATGGGGCACAACAACACGGGGCACAACAACACGGAGCCGGCGGCTACACGCCCCAGCAACCAACCTATGGCTCTCCTTCTCACCAGCAAGGCTACGGAGCTCCCTCGCCTGGTGGGCATCAACCAACTTATGGCGCACCGGGAGGCCAGCACCAACCAACCTATGGCGCTCCTCCGGGAGGACAGCACCAGCAAAACTACGGTGCAACGACGCCGGGTGGTCATCCGCAGTACCCTCCGCCGCCAGGCCAGCAGCCACCCCAGTTCCCTCCACCCCCGGGACATCAGCAATCGTTCCCTCCGCCGCCCGGACAGCAGCAGCAGCAGCAGCAGTATCCCCCACCCCCTGGACAACACCAGCAATATCCTCCGCCGCCCGGAGGATCCAGCGGCGGCTACAACCCGTCGTATGGTGCCCCAGGCGGTCAGCCCTCCTATGGCCAGCAGCCTTACCAGCCGGGCGCTCCTCCAGTGCCCCATGGTAGCCATCCAAGTCAAGGAGGATATGGTGGTTACTGAAGGAAGTCCCTTGCTACGCCGTATATTTGCTCTTGGGAGAAGAAGAATGCATGAATTCTTATGTGTTTGCTCATTGAATACGGATTTCCAGAGAAAGATGATCATTTTCCGCGACTGACTAGCATCATTTGCTCGCCAAGAAAGGGCCGGATCTATAATTTTCACGTACGAATAATGCGGTGACATTAGGGAGATTGTGGGTCTTAAAAAAGTACCGCGTGGTATGGCATGAGAGGTAGAATTATGATGATATATGTGTAGATAGGGTGGTACATTTGGGTTTTTATTCACTTTTTCTTCATATGTAGAGTACGAGAAAGACAGAAAGAATGATGTGATGTGATGAAAGCGACATGAAGCATGTGTCAACGAGCAGGACGATAAAGGGCTGCTGTTAAGGACGTGTGGCTGTTAAGAGATGGGGCGATATCCCATTATAATACTGCGGAAGTAGAGCACCTCAAATTATTACTCTTTTTTTTAAGTTGTACTAATTTTGCTTCTTTGTCTGGTCATTGTTGGCAGAGCTGGCAATTGCAGTTAGTGAACTGGCTACCCATTTTGCTACAAACCATGACACGACACCGACGACAACGAGATAGCCCACCGTCGGGACTAATGACTGTGGAAGCACGTTGTAAAGATACGGGTCCAAGATCAGATCGACGAGGACCGGAGGAGGGTCCTTCATGAGCGATGAGTGGTGAGAAAAGTAGTCGGCGGCGGCGAGAACACGCAGAAGGAGAGCGGAGTTGTCGTCGCTTGGTGATGAGACTTTTCGGTCATGGTGATCTTCTTGGTGAGGCTGGGGCGTTGCTGATTTGGCGTGCTGAGTGAGGGATTGGAGGAGTGCTGGGGTTGAGAGGATGGTGGTGAGGGGGTATGTGTCTAGGGTGAAGGCGGTTGGTTCCTTTTGATGGGTTGTTTGTGAGCTTTATTCTTATTTCTTTTTCATTTCTTATCTTGTGTGAATTTGATATTTAGAGGGCTTTGGTATAAAGGTGATGAAGAATGGCGAGGAGGAGGACGCTTACAAGTGCGGACCAGCAGACGCGGAGCTCATAGCGCTGGCCTGGGGTGAGGTTATCGAGCAGCAGCCATGAGGCGTAACCGGGTTCTTCGTCTTGCTGACTGAGCGGGAAGACGCGGCTGAGGTTTGTGCGTACGGACCAGCTTGTGGAAGGGCCGAGGACGGGGAGGTTGTTGTGGATGGCGGCATCGAGGCCGGAGAGGGGGGCCGGCGGGGGCGCGGTGAAGATTACTTTTTCGGTGTTTGCGAGGGAGGGGGATATGAGGGAGAAGAAGGGGAGGAGGAGGAGGAGGGAGAGGGGTTTGGAGAGTGGTTTGGATTGGTGATGGGGGTTGTGGGTTGGCATTGTTTTGAATCTGTTGATTTGTGGGTTTGGTTTGTTTGTCGAATCGGTGCTTTTGATTGTATTTGTTTTGTTTAGAGGAATATTAATTGGTGTAAATTCGGAGTGATAAGGCTTGGTGGAGAGGATGAAGATGAAGATGAATGTAAATGTGACGAGGCGTTGATGCGCTGTTGTGTTCCGCGAGGCTGCACGGCTTTGGTTGGTAGTTGTACTTGTTGAGATCTGGACAGTGGTGGCTGCGCGCGCCTGTGATTGGCCAGCTGTACTTAGAGGTACGTACCAGTATACATACTTGATCAACAGCTGAGCTGGACTCTTTCTTTCAGGAATAATACAAATTTACTGCGGAATTCTCACTCTTTTGCCGGAATTACATGAGTCCATCATACCGTGGATAGTGTGTAATGGGTTCTTGTGCATTCATTATCATGCTGATGCACATATGCACCTGTATGTACGGACAATGATGGTGTCTCTCTACTCCTTTTTTGCAAACTCACCAAGGTACGGGGTAGCAATCAGTACTGCAAGTATCAACCCGCACTTATCCTCGAGCTTTACTGTTCCAATGCGCTTCTGGAAACGCATCCATGTCATATTCCGTCCTTGACAGGCTCTCCGGTCCATGTGGCTGCCCTGATGATGCGAAAATCCTCGGCCGATGACGGATACGGGTACGAGAATTAGCAGGCAATCAATCCTACTGCTACTAGTGGCATATTGTCAATATTCGGAGTAATACAGCAATAACGCAAGCACAGCGATCGCCGGGCCGTCAGGAGGCTACTGGTAATAAACAATCAAATGGATGACATTATGGAGCTTCCTGCCGCTCTATGCCTATGCCAGCAGCGCAAAAACGCACTTGACCACATTTAGTGGAGAGCTTTGCTGGCAAGTCTGGGCGAACCATCGATTTGGGAGGACCCTGTCGTGAGGGTCTGTCTGCTTTTGGGCTAATCCAGAGCATGGCAGAGAGCACAGGGAAAGGGGGGGGCCAGGTCTAGGGGGCACCGGTGGTCGGGGAAGCTGCCGGGAGATGATGATTGTTAGGCCAATTGGTACAGTACTACATATGGCCGTCTATGTCTCACTCTCTCGCCATGAGTGCGTTGTTGTGGTGGTTGTTGATAAGGATGGATGGGAAAAGCTGGTGCTAGCCATTGGAGGGGAAAGGGGAGACAGCTCCAGCTACTATAAGACGGAGACTGGCTGGCGAAAGCACGAGCTGGTGCTTGGTGTGTAAGTACAGTACATATCAGTACCTGGGACTTTGCGTGTCTTCATCCCACCGCCCCCTATTGGCGAGATGGTGCTAGCCGAGCGTCTTATGATTTTTGCCCTTTGGCTGTAGGGACAGAGCATAAGGTAGAGCAAAGCGTTGCATTTGTTGCCGTCATTCGCTTGCTTGCTTGGTAATCTAAAGGCGATAGCGGTGCTCAGCGCGGGACCCTGTTCAAGCTCTGAGGGGGTGGAGAGGCGCTCCCGTACCGTACAGGTACTCGTACAAGCTCTGGACAGCTTAGCTCGAGGTTAGGCGGCCAAAGTGGCGCCTGTCTGGCGTTGAGGCCAATGGGCGCGTAGGGGCGACGGTCCAAGAACAAAACAGTGAAGGGGAATTTGGAAGAGGAAGAGGAAGGTTGCATTGATAGTGTCTAGAAGATTTTTGCTTGTATTATATATGAAGTGAGAGTTCAAGTGGTGGCGTCGAGTCTCCCCAAACTACAAGATGCCTTGGGTGTGTACAGATACAGGCACGGGTGTCAACCAACGTCCAGCGTACATGGTTTCCGGTACCTCTACTTACCTATCGAGGCCCCCCTTTTGGGCACCACAATATTCTGCCGGACTTATGAATGTACAGTACAGGTCAGGTCAGTACAGCACCTTTTGTGAGCTGTCCATCAGGTAGCAGCTGTGGTGCCCCCCCTAATAAGGTACCCGTAGGAAAAGATGGACAGTTGACGCGGGAGAGCTGGAGCTGCGTATTAAGGCAGATAGGTACCTACAGCTCCAGAGCATCAACAAGCTTGAGCACTACTGCATCTGGCCCTTTAGATCACAACGTGATTATAGTACTGTAGGTATATAGATTCGTCCAAAAGGCCTAATGAAATTGTTCTCATCTCGGCAATACTCATTGCTGCCCGCCCAGAGCGGTGAGGCGACAGGGGCGCGCTCGCAGACAGACGCGCTTACCACTTCCAGCCACGCCTAGACCCCCCGTCCAAAAAGTCAACAAACCTCCCCTCTTCCTGTGAAAGCCCCTGTCCGTCCAAATTTCCCCCCCACCTCTGGCGACCCTCTCCCGACGAACCAGCTGCAACTTCTCCGTCCTCCTGTCCTTTTCACCACCTTTTCCCTCTGGAACCCCGTAATAAAAGCCTTTTTTCTTCTTTCCCCGGGCTCAATCTTGCACTCTTGCTACCTCGAAGTCACCACTCCTACTTTTCCTCTCCAACCCTTCAGAAACCAAGAAAAAGCGTTCACCATGCGTGAGGTTATTAGCATCAACGGTGCGTGCTAGCTCGACAGAGGGAAAGCCCCTTTACCTTTAGGCCCCCTCTCCCCACCAAACAAACGCGTCCCTTCACCGCATCATGGACGCCCAATCCTGCGAGTTGAGTTGACGATGCTAACTTTTGGAGGATAGTCGGCCAGGCTGGTTGCCAGATTGCCAATTCCTGCTGGGAGGTTAGTTGATCCGCCATTGCCATGCGTGCTCTCTTTGTTTTTCTTGACCATTCGAGCTGACATTTCCCACCTCTCTAGCTTTACTGCCTCGAGCACGGTATCCAGGTACACCACCACCTCCATCCGCACATGTGGCTTGAGCCTATTGTTTACAACCCTTCTACGACCCAAAACGCGAAGCTAACGACGTATTCTTCTTCCCACAGCCCGATGGTTACCTCACTGAGGAGCGCAAGGCTCAGGACCCCGATCAGGGTTTCAGCACCTTCTTCTCCGAGACTGGTATGTTTTCCTCTCCTTCTCCTCTGTATGGTGTCGTTGAGAACATGTCACCTCTAACCCTTCGAAAAATACAGGCCAGGGCAAGTACGTTCCCCGTGCCATCTACTGCGACTTGGAGCCCAATGTCGTCGACGAGGTCCGAACCGGTCCTTACCGCAACCTCTTCCACCCGGAGATGATGATCACTGGCAAGGAGGATGCTTCCAACAACTACGCCCGTGGTCACTACACCGTCGGCAAGGAGCTGATTGAGGGCGTTCTCGACAAGATCCGACGTGTTGCCGACAACTGCGTTGGTCTCCAGGGCTTCCTGGTCTTCCACTCCTTCGGTGGTGGTACCGGTTCTGGTTTCGGTGCTCTCCTGATGGAGCGTCTGTCCGTCGACTACGGCAAGAAGAGCAAGCTCGAGTTCTGCGTCTACCCTGCTCCTCAGACTGCCACCTCCGTCGTTGAGCCCTACAACTCCATCCTGACCACCCACACCACCCTGGAGCACTCTGACTGCTCCTTCATGGTCGACAACGAGGCCATCTACGACATCTGCCGTCGCAACCTCGGTCTTGAGCGCCCCAACTACGAGAACCTCAACCGCCTGATTGCTCAGGGTAAGTAGTCGAAATCTGGTTTCCCATCAAGTGGTACGTGCGCTAATAAGCTTGCCTACGCAGTCGTTTCCTCCATCACCGCCTCCCTGCGTTTCGATGGTTCCCTCAACGTTGATCTCAACGAGTTCCAGACCAACCTGGTCCCCTACCCTCGTATCCACTTCCCTCTGGTCGCCTATGCCCCTGTCATCTCTGCTGCCAAGGCTGCCCACGAGGCCAACTCCGTCCAGGAGATGACCATGTCCTGCTTCGAGCCCAACAACCAGATGGTCAAGTGTGACCCCCGCAACGGCAAGTACATGGCTACCTGCTTGCTGTACCGTGGTGACGTCGTCCCCAACGACGCCCACAACGCTGTCGCCACCCTCAAGACCAAGCGCACCATCCAGTTCGTCGACTGGTGCCCTACTGGTTTCAAGCTCGGTATCTGCTACCAGGCTCCCGAGAACGTTCCCAACGGCGATCTCGCCAAGGTCAACCGCGCTGTGTAAGTTTATATCCCAGTTTCCCCTCTTGAGTATGTGTATGAATCTAAACTAACATGCAAACAGGTGCATGCTGTCCAACACCACCGCCATCGCCGAGGCCTGGTCTTCCCTGTCCCTCAAGTTCGACCTCATGCACTCCAAGCGTGCCTTCGTTCACTGGTACGTTGGTGAGGGTATGGAGGAAGGTGAATTCTCCGAGGCCCGTGAGGATCTCGCTGCCCTGGAGCGCGATTACGAGGAGGTTGCTGCCGACTCTCTCGAGAGCGAGGAGATGGAGGCTGAGTACTAAGTTGTTTTTTTGCTGTTGGAGTCATGGATATTGAGGGTATGGACTGTGAAAACCGGTACCACCTAATCCCGCCGCCGAGTCCTCTTGGACAGGAGGTGTATTTTCTTTATTAGGTCGCAAGCCTCAGTTTTTAATGTTAAAAAGCAAATCTGTAAATGGGAAGAAGCCAACAGACGCTGTTATCTATAAAGGTTGATTTGAGCAATTGGTGTACAAGAGAAGATTACTAATCCGTAAAGTACGGTCTTTTGTTGATGCCGTGATTACCACCATGTTTGTATATTTTGAATGTCCACCCTGAGATGTGAATTTCAACTTGTTGAGCACGAATACCTACCAGGTAGATACTGGGTAGGTAATATTGAAACAATGTATTCGTATTTGTTCAGAGAGAGATTGTATCCATAGGTACCAAGGCATCAATTATCAGGCACCTGTACGCTTATGTATGTATGCACATATTGGCACTTCTTGGTGATTTTGATGATTGAATATTTGAAGCAACACTCATCTCTTTGCTATTAGGTAGATAGATACCTTACAATGATCGCTTCCCCCCCATACGCTAGTCGGCGGCCCGACAGTTGTGAGAAGTTAACCCTCTTTTTTTTAAGGCCGAGGATTGCGGAGGACGACGCCGGGCCAAACTTGCTACAGCCGTCAGACGTGGTGCCACGGGCCGATAATACGCGACAATCGCCGCCCTGAGCAGCTGCTCCCAATTGCCATTAATTTCATGCCCGCCACGACACCACAACGCTCCCCCCTACTGTTGTCGATTCACTTCCTCCCAACTACCTACCAGATCCCACCCCCTCGATTGCCATGTCTCTACTTCGATCGTCCATCTGCCGGGCCTGCAGGCGCTCTTCGCCGCTAAGAGCCTACAGGGGCTTTGCAACGCAGACGTCATCCGACAACCGGGTCAGGATCGTCGAGGTCGGCCCACGAGACGGGCTACAGAACGAGAAAAAGGCCATTTCGCTGGCAACCAAGATTGAGCTGATTGAGAGATTGGCCAAGACGGGATTGACGACGATTGAAGCTGGTTCCTTTGTAGCGCCGAAATGGGTGCCTCAGGTAAGAGCAGCCTCTTTGGCTTCCGGGTGTCTTCGTGAGAAAGATGGCTGATTCGTGGCGATGCAGATGGCCAACTCGAGCGAGATCATGGAGCATATCCTGCAACAAAAGATTGAGGCCCCCGTTCCCATCACCTACTCTTTCCTCGCACCGAATACAAAGGGTCTGCAAAACGCAGAGGCGCTGTTGAAGCAGAACCCCGGGAGGTTTGCTACACAACTGGACCCCGATGTTACGAAGCCGGCGGTGGAAGTGGCCGTCTTTGCAGCTGCTACGGAGAGCTTCTCGCAGAAGAACCTCAACTGCGACATCAAGACCTCGCTAGACCGATTCAAGGCCGTCATCCAAGACTCCAAGGCCCTTGGACTCCGCGTTCGAGCATACATTTCAGTGGTGCTGGGCTGTCCGTTTGAGGGCTTCGATGTTGACCCTCACAAGGTGGCCGAGATTGCCACCGACCTACTGGAGTCTGGAGCCGACGAGATTTCACTCGGCGACACCACCGGCATGGGCACCGCACCCCGGACGAGCGCTCTGCTCAAGTGCATGAGTTCGGCGGGCATCCGCACAGAGGACATTGCGATGCACTTCCACGACACATATGGACAGGCGCTGGTCAACACGGCTGTATCACTGGAGCACGGAATCCGGATATTCGACAGCAGCGTGGGTGGACTTGGCGGTTGCCCTTACAGCCCTGGAGCAACAGGCAATGTGGCGACGGAGAACATGGTTTACTTTATGGAGAGTCTGGGCATGGAGACGGGCGTTGATTTGGATGCCATGGCGGATATCGGAGCGTGGATTACGCAGGAGCTGGGCAAGCCGAATGACAGCTCGGTGGGAAAGGCAGTGCTGGGTGCGAGGTCGAGGAAGGGAGCTGAGGCTGCTGCGGCGGCTGCACAGACATAGAGCAGTAGTTATAATGGCGAAGACGTGAGGATAGTTTGATCCTTGTTAGTAAATAAATACCAATCTGTCTTGCTTTACGCTCAATGGGGTTGTATGATATGATATACCAGGGTTTACAACCCAGCTTATGGTTAGAAGCAACCTTAATGAAGCGCTCAGCCTGTTTCAATCCTTTACTTTAAAGCCTGAATAAACCACCTCTCACAGCTCAATTGAATCACTACACTGCCTATTTAAAATAGGATACCCATTATCTGCATTGTCGGACCTATGGACAAGGATACGGTCATCGTCTTTGTAGGGGATTACCGAGCTTCCCCCGTCGTCATGTCGTGTCGCTGCTGATGCGGTTTGGAGGGGTAGCTTCTACCTTGATACAGCTTGGACCGCTTCTTCTTTTTCCCCCACGGAAGAGGTACTCGGTACCCAGTTCGTGCTTTGTTCGTGCTCTGTCTTTGTCTCCAACGGCCTTGCACGTACTCAATGGCTGGGTACATGTATGGAGAGCAAGCCATTCAACACCAGATAGCAGGAAAAGAGTCCGGTCTTATGTAAATGCATTATCGCCAAGATATGGTTACCGGGGATGCAATTCCAAGCACCTTCCGCTAGCAGTCATGTGATGTCACGGTTCGCTCTCGCTGTCCAAATCATGACTCCAGCCAGCCAAAAGGCCCTCGGCGTGGGGTCTATTTTTTTGCGCAGCGCAGGCCTCAGCGCCCAAACCAACCGCTAGCCCACTAAAGACGCTCGCTGAACAAGGACCGCGAAAGCAAAGGCGGCGTCTCTCGTCTCCACTCTTGTCGAGCTGTTTCGCTTCCAGCCTTCTCTTGCCTCTCTCCGACCTTGATTCCTCCATCTCGCCAGCTGCTTTTGCGACGCATCCCGTTTTCGAGCTCGGTGATTCTTCTTCGCTGCTCGACTGTCCGACCGCTTCTGATTCATCTGCACCTTGGTTCGCCTTCATCCATCCCTCCTCGGTGAAACGCTCCTCCTTCTTTCAACCCCCCGACGGTAATTCGTGGCTACTTGAGGTTGCTGCGCCGTGACCGCATAAGAGCAAAAGCCGGCCCGGATCAAGAGAGATAGAGCTTCAGAGGGGAAGCTTTCAGCTGCACACAGGCGAAAAAAGCAAAACCACAAGATAGATTCGCAGCAATGGCGGACCCACGCAATTCGTCATCCTACTCGGTTGTGCCGCAACTGCAGTACAACACCGTGAGCGGTGTCAACGGTCCACTGGTTATTGTCGAGAATGTATGGCATCTCCAACTTCTTTCCCCCTCTCTTCCTTTTCGATCACTGGAGCTGTAGCGGTCGCTTGGAGCGGAATGAGGATTGGGTGATATTCGATGCTGACGATTGGTTGCGGTATAGGTCAAATTCCCGCGATACAATGAGATCGTTACGCTTACGCTGCCCGACGGAACGGAGAAAAACGGACAGGTTCTGGAAGCCCGAGGTGGGTGATGATTCATCTTCTATAATATACCTATATATGAGAATGGCGCTGCCAATGCCTGTGTGGAAAGCGTGTTCTGACCATGAGAGGGGACAGGTGACCGAGCTGTCGTCCAAGTCTTTGAGGGTACTCCCGGTATCGATGTGAAGAAGGCAAGTAAGCCCAGTGGCCAATTGCTAGAGGGCTGTTGGCTAACAAGAAATGCACATCCAGACTCGTGTCAAGTTCACCGGTCAGAACCTTAAGCTTGGTGTCTCGGAGGACATGCTTGGCCGTATCTTTGATGGATCTGGACGAGCCATCGACAAGGGTCCCAAGGTGCTGCCGGAAGAGTACCTCGATATCAACGGCAGTCCCATTAACCCCTTCTCCCGAGTGAGTTAACATCTTTTTGATCCATGCTTCGTGGGTGGAGACGCATTGCCTAACATATCTCAGGAATACCCCGAAGAAATGATTGCAACTGGTATCTCGGCCATCGATACGATGAACTCGATTGCGCGAGGACAAAAGATTCCCATCTTCTCGGCCTCTGGTCTGCCGCACAACGAAATCGCTGCCCAGATTTGCCGACAGGCTGGCTTGGTCAAGCAGCATGGAATTACCAACAAGGGTGTTCATGACGGCCACGAGGAGAACTTCTCCATTGTCTTCGGTGCCATGGGTGTCAACTTGGAGACTGCCCGATTCTTTACCCGTGACTTTGAAGAGAACGGCAGTTTGGAGCGTACCACTCTATTCCTCAACCTTGCCAACGATCCTACGTAAGTGCTCTTCTCCTCCTTTGACGAGGACTGATGGCTAATGCACTACAACCAGTATCGAGCGTATTATTACCCCTCGTCTTGCCCTTACGACAGCCGAGTACTACGCCTACCAGCTCGAGAAGCACGTCTTGGTCATCTTGACTGATTTGTCTGCCTACTGCGATGCTCTTCGTGAGGTTTCTGCCGCTCGAGAAGAAGTTCCCGGTCGTCGTGGTTTCCCCGGTTACATGTACACTGATTTGTCGACCATCTACGAACGTGCCGGCCGTGTGACGGGACGAAACGGTTCCATCACCCAGATCCCCATCTTGACCATGCCCAACGACGACATCACCCACCCCATCCCCGACTTGACAGGATACATTACCGAGGGACAGATTTTCGTCGACCGACCTCTGTACAACCGTGGTATCTACCCGCCCATCAATGTGCTCCCGTCGCTGTCGCGTTTGATGAAGTCTGCTATTGGTGAGGGCATGACGCGCAAGGATCACGGTGACGTGTCCAACCAGCTGTATGCCAAGTATGCCATTGGCCGTGATGCTGCCGCCATGAAGGCTGTCGTCGGTGAGGAGGCCCTGTCCTCCGAGGACAAGCTGTCACTCGAGTTCCTGGACAAGTTTGAGCGCCAATTCATCAGCCAGGGTGCGTACGAGTCCCGAACGATTTACGAGTCTCTGGATCTGGCGTGGAGCCTGCTCCGCATCTACCCCAAGGACTTGCTCAACCGTATCCCGGCCAAGGTCCTCAATGAGTTCTACCAGCGATCTCAGAAGGATGCCAAGGCAAAGGGCAAGGCGCGAGCCGAGGTTGCCTCGAACGACAGGCAGCAGGCTGAGGAGAACCTCATTGACGCATAGGGGCCCTCTTCGGCGCCGCCTATTGTTTTTCTTTTGGAGGAGTAGAAGTACAGTATAAATTAGTTGCTTGGCTTGGAAGTATGATATTACCTGTGGTAGAAAGTGAGGTGCATAAACCCCGGGTGTGGAAACCGTTATTCTTTAGTTTTCTTTCATTCTTTGGTATTTCCGACTGCGCTGGGAGGACAGCAATCTGACACGATAATGGAGAAGGGTTGTAGCGTGAATATAGGCAGCAGAGCAAATGTCAAATCGATTTCCAAAACTCGCCAGTGTGCCGATCTGCCATGTGCGGGTTTGGTTCTGCGTACAGTAGATCTGGAGGCCAGGGGAAGGCAAGATGGACAAGAGATGCAATGCAACGTGAATTGGAGTAATGCAGGGGACAGATTTCACCGCTCGTTCTTGGATGATGAGCTTGGTCCCTTTGGTATGGGAAAGCGTCGTGGATTGCGATCTGAGTGGTGCGGAAATAGCCGTCAAAATGCAAATGTGCCTATAAGCAGCTGAACTAGAGGGAAAGCTATGATTTCCCGTTTCGTTTAGTAGTCGTAGATTTAGGCTTGTAGTCATTGGAGCGCTTACTATTTAATTAGGCATAGAGTTTTAAGAGTCAAGGGAAATCGAGACAAGGGTGCGTGTTAGTTGCGATGGGAGCACTTTTGGCGCACCTATAAGGTTGTTTACTTGGAGCAATAGTTGAATGCCCTTGTTAAGGGGAGGGGATGAAGCGATCGAGGTTGCAATTATCGGATCTGTGGTCTGCTTTTGCCCCGCGTTTGAGGTTACCTTGGGCGTGGATGTGGATGGTTGGATTCATCTCTTGGGAGAGAGGGCACGACATGGTAGGAATGATTGTATTGCCGGTCAATTGACCGCGATGTACGGAGTACATAGAATACTGCTTGGATATTACAATGACACATAAGAAGAAGATTATTAAATTAAATTAAAAGTAGCTTGTATAAGATATGTCCTGGCACTATCTCGGTCGTTTTGCTTCGGGATACCCTATACATCACAAAAGGTGACATCATGCCAGGATGCATTGACCAACCGCTCCAACCCCCGACAAGCACATAAATCCTTCGCTCATTCACGCCTCGGCTCTACTTTTGCTCTCGGAATTCGTCTCCCTTGTCGCTTAGCTAGCTCTCTTCTCCTCATTGCAAAATCCGGGGAAGCACATCTACCCCTCTCAGGCCTTTCCAACCCCCTGGGATCATCGTCGTTGGTTACCTGTTGTAGACATGGGTAGGTTGGTCGGGACCTTTGCTCTGCGTCATGTGGATGAACAAAGAGGCCGAAAACACGAGATGCTGCGTACTGTGTGCACTGCAGAGTAGCATTCGGCGCGGGAGATGCGGTTGCGTTGTGCTGTGTCACTCACGACTTTGGAGTACTTAATGCATGGATGGGTCCTCCTGATCTGACAATGTCTCGGCCATCTCCCTTTGTTTGGCTTTCCACTGGGGCTGAGTGCATCTCTACAGTCTGCGCTACTCTTGATTGTCTTTGGTCATCACCTAGGAGAAAGAATTGCTCATCATGAAGCTGACGGGCAACTCTCTGGCCGTCTGGGCTGCGGCTGCTGCCCTTCCACTTACAGCCAGCGCCGCAACGATTGGAAAAGGCCCAGACAAGGATGGCAAGTATTGGATTCGCGCAAAGGGCATCGAGGCGTCCTTTATACCCTATGGAGCCTCCATTTCAAACCTGTTCATCAACGACCGCTACGGCATCCGGCGCGATCTCGTCGGCGGCTTCGACAATGCTACGTACTACGGCATTGACAAGCAGCACCCGCACTTTGGCGGTGTGCCGGGCCGGTATGCGAACCGCATCAAGAACAGCACCTTTGTCATTGACGGCAAGACGTATCACACGATCCCGAATGAGAATCCCACAAAGGACGCGCCCCAGGGGACAGATACCCTGCACGGAGGCCCCGACGGCTGGGACTGGCGCAACTTCACCGTCTCCGCATACACTCCCACGAGCATCACCTTCAGCATAGTCGACCCAGATGGAAAGGAGGGCTTCCCGGGCGAGGTGGTGTCGCACATCACCTACACGGTGCAGGAGAACCAGTGGGACTTGAAGATGGTGGCGCTGGCGACGACCAAGAAGACGCCCATCATGCTCAGCAGCCACACGTACTGGAACCTGGATGGCTTTGCCAACAATGAGACCCAGACGGCGCTGAACCATACGCTGCATCTTCCGTATAGTGGACAGCGCGTTGGTGTCGACGGCTTCTTGATCCCGACGGGCGACATTTTGGCCAATAAGAAGGACACGGCGAATGACTTTTGGTCGCAGCCGAAGCAAATCGGCAAGGGCTTTGAGCAGAGCGGCATCAAAAACAACTGCGGTAACAACTGCCCTGGCTACGGTAAGGATCCTAACAATCCTCCTTCGTATTATGAGTAGAAGAAGAAGAAGAAGGAAATGGGAAAGGCATTGGACTAATAGAGACATCAGATAACTGCTACCTGGTCAACCGGGAGGCGCTGGGGCCATTTGACTGGCGCACCGAAGGCCCTGTCGCAAGTCTGTCCTCGCCTTGGTCAGGCATCCACCTGGATGTCTATTCGGATCAGACAGCCTTCCAAGTGTACAGCTGCAACGGGCAAAACGGCACGATGGCCTTGAAGAAGACGCAGGGTCTGCATAACAACAAGCATTTCCCGAGGACGATTCCCACGTACGGGTGTCTGGTTCTGGAGGTGGAGGACTGGATTGACGGTATTAATAACCCTGAATGGGGGAGGAAGCAGATCTGGGGGCCGGACGATGGTCCGTATGTTCTCCAGGCAAGCTACAAGTTCAGTATTGACAAGTAATGAATGTCCCTTTTTGTGTGACAAGAGGACATTGGATGTATGAAGAAGAGAAATCAGAAGGCAGAATATAAGTCTAATTATGGGGTTTGATAAAGCGCAGATTCTAATCCCGTCTTGTACTATTTGCTGTAAGAGAAGCGAAGCATTTTGACAAGTCCGTTGTGGGGCCGCTTGCGATCCATCATCACCCCACCTTGAATGTGTGATCGATCTCCAGTGTAAAAGCTTTTTGCCTGTTACAACTACCGCCAATCTCGATATATTCTCGAATTCCAAATTGAAACAGATCTTAATTACTAGACCACTAGTAAACATATTACCTCGCATACAAATTCGAATCACCAACTTAGCCGCAGACGGAAAGCGTTGAACAAGCTGCAAACGAGGGGCAGCGAGGGGCAACAGAAAAAAAAAGTGGAAGAGAGAGGATTACAAACAGCCGGAGATGGAAGACGACCGGGCGCTCGTCGACCTCGGCGCGGCAGCAGACATTGAGGAAGCGCGACTAGAAGTTCATAAAGCAGATAACGAGGCCACAAAAGATGAGGCACCGACAACAAGGCAGCCAAAGCGGCGCTTCGTAGGAAGAAGAGCGGCAGATGAGGCGGCGGCAGCAAAGGGAACAACAGAGGAGGGAGGCAGCGGAGCGGTTCAGAGTATGTTGCGCCTATGGAATATCGACATGCCTCATTTTTGCTTCGTCGGCTCTCTAACATGATTCAATCTTGCAGCGGCCAAACCTCGACGAGCTCCACGACTGCTAAATAGAGTCCCTCCCGAAATATCAGAAGATCCCAACCTCAAGGAAGCCATAGCGCTGCTGCCGGCCAACTACAACTTCGAAATCCCAAAGACAATACACCGAATCCGAGAGTCGGGCGCGCGCAAAGTAGCGCTGCAGATGCCCGAAGGCCTGCTCCTGTTTGCGACGACCATTTCGGACATTGTGACGCAGTTCTGCCCGGGCGTCGAGACGCTCATCATGGGCGATGTGACGTACGGCGCATGCTGCATCGACGACTACACTGCGCGGGCGCTGGGCTGCGATTTGCTGGTGCACTATGCGCACAGCTGTTTGATCCCCGTGGACGTGACCAAGATTAAGACGCTGTACGTCTTTGTCGACATCAGCATCGACACGGCGCATCTGGTTGCCTCGCTGGAGAGAAACTTTGCCAGCGGCAAGACGATTGCGATTGTCGGCACTATCCAGTTCAACGCCACCATCCACGGTATACGGAGCGGCCTCGAGGCAGCCGGCTTCGGCGTTGTCGTACCACAGATTGCGCCGCTCAGCAAGGGCGAGATCTTGGGGTGCACATCACCTCGTCTACGGGATGAGGACGGCATTGACCTGATCTTGTACCTTGGTGACGGACGCTTCCATCTCGAGAGCATCATGATCCACAATCCTGCCATCCCCGCCTACCGCTACGACCCGTATTCGCGCAAGCTGACGCGAGAGACGTACGGCCACGATGAGATGCAGTCGGTGCGTCGTTCAGCCATCCAGACTGCCCGCAAAGCCCGTCGCTGGGGCCTTATCCTGGGATCACTTGGTCGCCAGGGGAACCCACATACGCTGGCCCTGATCGAGCGGGAGCTGGCCGAGCGCGGAATTCCCAAAGTCGACCTCCTTCTCAGCGAAATCTTCCCGGGTAAGCTCGCCATGATGAGCGACGTCGAATGTTGGGTGCAGGTTGCGTGCCCGCGTCTGAGCATCGACTGGGGTTACGCTTTCCCCAGGCCGCTCCTGACTCCTTACGAGGCGCTTGTGGCCCTGGGGAAGAGAGGGGGATGGGGCAAAGAAGAGGGTGGTGATGGCATTTACCCTATGGATTATTATGGAAGAGACGGGCTGGGGAGAACGAAGCCGCTGGAGGGTGTTGCTGCGTGAATGACTTTTGGGAGAGCGTTTTAGCCATATATTTAAATCGTGGTCTAGAGTATACAATGCTCTCCTGCTCCATCAGATGAGATATGCTTTAGCATTCTTGTATATAGGAAATGATGATTACTATGCCATAGCTCTCCATGAATATGAGCATGAATTCACAAGACATGTACTCTTCATATCTCATTGTAACTTGCCCATGAAGGCGTCATTGGTGTGGATAATGAAGGTGGCAGCTTGTTTGCCAAGTGAGGGATAAGAGGGCATGATGATTCTTTTCTATCCGTCATGAAGCGGGGGCGTGAGCTGTTCCAACAGGTTCTGGTCGACTCGCAAATATGAGCTTGTACTTGACAATATCAAGCACCTCCAGATTATCTCCCTCCTCCATATACGGCCCCGAAGAGCTCTGCAGCATCCTATTCTCCCTTTTCCTCACCACAGCGAGCGCCTTGGGGAGCTTCTTCACTTCGCCCGTTAGCCGCTGGTGCTGGCCGATGTACATGTGGACTCGCTTCATCCAAGCTGAGCCGATGGCGTCTGGTGAATATTCTGGAAACTCGAGTCTTCCGACCTCGACGTCTTTGAGAGCATCTCCTTGGGCATCTTGGGGGAGATTTATACTTCCTTGGAGTTCGAGGATGGCGAGGCCGGATGGTGTTTGGAGGAGGGTTGGGAGGGGGTTGGTGGTTGTGGAAGCTTGCTTGGATGGAGGATACAGTTTTGAGGCGGAGGACGACATGTTTGGATTATTGTTTGTTAAGATTTAAATAAAATGAAATAATAAAAATGAAACGCTGAACGGTGAGTATAGTGATGTATGAATGAGAAGACGATTGGACAACCTCTCAAAGACAAGCTCAAGATCAACGCTGCGAATCCTGCCCCACAAGTTCACAGAGGATATTGGATCGACGCCACATTCAAGCTCCAGCACAAAAGAGGCTGGTAATGCTCCAGCCACACAGCAAACCAAACTGGATCTGGAGATCGCCTAACCCATCCACAGGTACGTGCCCCACCAACGGCACAAGAGCCCCTGATTGGCCAGGCTAATTTTCCGCACGCCAAAATGGAGCCCTAGGCGAAGGCACACAACATTTTCTCGTTTTTTTCTGCCCGCCCCAATTTCGAGTTTTGCCCTACCTATTCCTTCAACACCAAAAGCCGACTTCACGCGAGCCAGGTCAAGCCAAACTTGCACCACCACAACACTGGCAAGATGAAGGTACGATACAACAGTCCTTTCCACCTCGCAATGCGGAAACGCATCTGTTTCGACAGGCATTGCGGATGCTGCACACGCCATCTGTTCTGCTTTCATGTCGAATCAGCCCGTCCACCAGCGTCCGTCGCTAACATGGGTTTTTTCCCTTTGACAGTTGAACATCTCTTACCCTGCCAATGGCAGCCAGAAGCTCATCGACATTGAGGATGAGCGTAAGCTCGCCGTCTTCATGGAGAAGCGTGTACGTCCCAAGATTCTTCTCCCTCCCTTACGGAACGAGCAGGACGGAATATTTGGTTATCGACGAGAGAACGCCCGCGCTCGATATCGAAAACCTTTTCTTTCCGTTTCGCATCTTCCGGGTCAACACAACCCTATAACGCAAGGATCGCAAATTGACATGTTTTTGATGATATAGATGGGCGCTGAGGTCCCCGGTGACTCCGTCGGCGACGAGTTCAAGGGCTACATCTTCCGCATCACTGGTGGAAACGACAAGCAGGGTTTCCCCATGAAGCAGGGTGTCATGCACCCCAGCCGTGTCCGCCTCCTGCTCGCCGACGGCCACTCCTGCTACCGCCCCCGCCGAACCGGTGAGCGCAAGCGAAAGTCCGTCCGCGGCTGCATCGTCGCCATGGACCTGTCCGTCCTCGCCCTCAGCATCGTCAAGCAGGGTGATGCCGACATCCCCGGCCTGACCGACGTCGTCCAGCCCAAGCGCCTCGGACCCAAGCGCGCCACCAAGATCCGCAAGTTCTTCAACCTCACCAAGGATGACGATGTATGTTTCACCCTGTACCCATACTCGGTCATCGCCTACCAGGAGCTGCGGTGGAGGGAATGGCAGTCCGGGTAGAGTGTGAGAAGACTACTGGGCGAGCTCTTTCGCGCCTTTCAAGGCGAGAAGGAGTTGGCCCGGTGCCGAGGTTAACGAATAAACAATTATAAGAATTCAATGGAACTAATCACCATGGGCAAAAAAATAGGTCCGCAAGTACGTCATCCGACGAGAGGTCCAGCCCAAGGGCGAGGGCAAGAAGGCCTACACCAAGGCTCCCAAGATCCAGAGACTGGTCACCCCCCAGCGTCTGCAGCACAAGCGCCACCGTCTCGCTCTCAAGCGCCGCCAGGCCGAGAAGGTCAAGGATGAGGCCGTGAGTATTCTCCGCGAAACCCTCTTTTTTTTTTCCTTTTCAATTCATAATGCTAATCATTTTCATAATAGAACGAGTATGCCCAGATCCTGGCCAAGCGTGTCGCCGAGGCCAAGGCCCACAAGGCCGATGCCCGCAAGCGACGAGCAAGCTCCATGCACAAATAAGGGTTCGGCGTTTTTTTATAATGAAAGAGAAAAAAAGGGGAATCATCATACCTTAGTCCTGTGGTTTGCATGCATTGGGAGTGAGGATCTCTCGGGCTTAATTTTGGGCCCACCTGTTATGAATGTATTAGAAACATATCGACATATTTCAAAATGCATTCATGACGCCATTCTTGATAATTTCTCGTGTCTTTGCTCCATCTTCAGCTGTGGAGTTGTAGTTGCTTAAATGTTGGAGCCCACACGTAGTCGTACATCTACATTGTGCATCTTTGATGGATAATGTACTAGTATCAATTATTACGAAGTACTCACCATGAGGTCATTGCAGTCTACAAACAAACTTGCTCACAGTCAAATGGCCAAATTATGAACATTTATTTACTCAAGATCGCTGGGGATAGTTTCATGAATAGCCTATTTTATTTGCCCATTTCTAAGCCTATGTAGTCCTCCTAATCTACTTGAAAGCAATGTCTTTTAACCACCCTACCAAACAAAAGCCTTGCTTTCCATTCCAGCCCACGTCGAAATCTCTCGCTAGTGCCAGAGGGATCTGCACTTCTCTCTAGCAAGGCGAAAGTTCCGAAGGAGCCTTGTCCCTTTTTTTCTTCTCTCTTTTCTCTCCTTTTTTTTTTTGTTCTTTCGTGTCTCCGTCATGAGCTCTGAATCTCCGTCATGAGCTCTGAAAGAGCTATATACTACAAACAATCATAAAATGCCAAGGATACTCCTCTCGGCCACTCAAGTGCCAATGCCATGCATCGGCCACCATTCTGTAAAATCACACCATATCCTATATCACCATTAGGCGAAGCCGAAATAATCGCTGCCCTGTGTGATTGCTTTAATGATTTGCGAGCGAAGTATGTCGTAGCTATCATACTCGGGGAGATCAAGTTCTATCAGGAAATGTCAGTACAAGACTTTTTCAAGTTTGGTGGACAAATATTGATGTGGGAGAGAGATATAAAACATACGGTTAAAGCAGGTGTGCGTAGATGGAAGGCGATCCTTGTTTCCGTAGTCACGGTGGATATTGAATCGATTTACTCCGTTCATTCCTTCAAGTTCCTTGAATCCGTTGAGAGGGACCTTGCTTGTACCAGTGACAAACTGCAGCAACTTGGCTAGTTCTTCTTTGTCGAATGATCTGACTGCTCTCCAGAACCACTGAATCTGTGGAGAGGAAGGGCTGTAGTTGTGGTACTCAGTATTGGCTTTCCAGTCGTCAATGTCGATATCCGGAAGGCCAGAGATCAAGAGTTCCAACTCTTGCTCGTTAAAGATTGAGATTAGCTCTGCAGGAATAATGTCGTGGAAACCTGACGAGAGAGTTAGAAATGACATTCAACGGCGTAGCCAAGGCTGCGGAATGGCAACGAAATGATGACTTACCACTCAAGAAATTCTCCATTTGATCCTTTACCGAGGATAGGAGTTTATGCTCAACCACAACACGCACATATTCGTGCTTGTTCTCTTCAGTTACCGCGATCTCTCTGCCGTTGGGGACAAGATCAACAATCTTGGTGACGCCGAACTCATCGTCTTCGACAGAAAATGTCTCCGTAATGATGTCGGTGATGTCGTTTTCCAGCATCCAGCAAAGAGATTTGTAGTAATCTGGGTCAAACGATTCCATATCCTTGACAGACACAGATTTTCCAAGAATGCGCTTGTAAACAGCACGACTAAAAAAACAGTCAAGGAGGCGCCCTTCATACAAGGCTTTGCCAATGATGCGACCGATGAAGCTGAAGAACCTCAAATGCTCGTCATTAATGCCGCTCAGCTTGTTTGGATGGAAAGTTGTACGATCAGACGAAACTGGAATGAATAGAGCATAGTTGGGATCGAACATCTGCCGGGCGAGAACCTGGAACCACTCGCGTGTCACACCGCCAGCGTCCACACCCTCTTCACCGTTAAACCTTATGTTGAGCTTGCCATATTTCATCTCATCGCCTGACTTGAAGCAAAGCCATTTGAATGAGTCGTGGAATACGTGCTCTCGGCGAACTGAAATCTGTAGCGGCGGGTATGATGGACGGCTCTGGTTCTGGCCGCTCCGCGAGTGAACGCTTCTGTTGAAATAATTACGCTTGTTGTCAAACTCCAAAACTTTGGGGTTCTTGACGAGCAAGGCAAAGGTGCCAGACATGAGCTTTGGGTTGTGTCGCACGAGTTCATTAAGAATACGTCGGTGGTCTTCTGTAAAGGTGAAGAAGAGATTCGCCGTACGAGATTCTGGCTGTGGGCTAGACAACAGCATGTCCTTGACAATTTGGCTGTGTGAGAGGTCATCGTTCGTCGTGGTGTTTTTGCATACCACCATTAGAGATTCAATCAACGGAAGCAGTATTGTTGCGACATTGAGCATGTTTTCCCGTTGTCGAATGGCACTAAGGCAAGCGCTCAGCTTCTCCCACATCGTAGAGAATGTCGAATTGTGATAGAGCGAGGTAACAAGGTCTTGCTTCTCGTTTTCGTTGGGCCCACCCTCCTCAACCTCGTCTGTCTTCTTCTTTCCATCGAATAGATGGTCAAGTGCGGTGAGAACTCTGAGAAGCTTGTTCTGCTCTGAAGCTCCAGGTGAGAACTTGGCGAGGGCGACCCCTTGGATTTCGGTACCAGACGTAGCCGCGTCAATGTGAGGAAGCAAATCATCCAGATCAGATACAATGTTGCTGCTGAGCAAGCGAGCCTGGCTAACCAACTCCTGTCCAAAGATGGTCTTGGCCCCAGGTATGGCTGACAAATTCTTGATAGTAGAGATGGTGTTCTGAAACGTCTTTGAGCTACATTCTCTGGCAACGAATACCCTAACCACGAGGGTGAGATTCTGAGGTGGAATAACCGGGGGCTGCAGTTGACGGGCACGCTTCTGCTGTGTGCTCTTCGATTGCTCCTTTGAATCCTCAGATCCAGCGGTCTTTTGTTGCTCGGAAGATGCCGCCGGCGCGGATGCTGCCTCGCCATCTGCTGTCTGGTCGTTGCTATTTTGTTGGTCTGCCTCGTTCGCATCCGTAACAGGAGCCTGGCCTTCCGCTTCGTTTGCCTTTGAAGCCGATGCGTCTTCATCTTGCGTCTCCTTGCGTCGGCGTTCCAAGTTTTGAAGAGGAAGAGTGACTCGGTTCAGCAGGTCTGCAAGGTGTGTCATAACAAGCGAGCTTTCCGTTACAAGCTCGCGATCCAACAGGGTCAAAAGGGAGTTGATGGCATATTTATGCGCCTTCACGTCTTTGCCCTTTCCTCTACGGCTGAGACTCCTCTTGAGAGAAGACCCCACGGACTCGTGTTCTGTCAAGAAGAGCCAAGGAATGTGAGGGTTTTTGGTGCATAGGTCGACAAGGAGATCTAGGCATTGCTGCACAATCAACAATGGGGATGTCTCAGAATTTGTCTGGCCAGAGGTGGTCAGGCTGCCAATGGTAGTCAAGGTTCTCTTAAGGCCCTGTGGGTTTTTCTGATCGGCATCTTTGTCCTTGTCTCTCTGCTTTCTAGCTTTAAGTGAGAGCTGACCAAAACTTCGCTCAACGGCATTCATGTCTGTGCTGCCATCCTGGAGAATTTGCAGGATGGTGCTGATAACCTCCAGACGAGTCTGTCGGTTTTCGCATACATCTGCAAATACGCTAAAGAGGTAGTTTCGGATAGAGCCTTGTTGCGCAATAAACATCAGACGTACCAAGGTGGCTACACCGGCTTTATCGAGCATCTGCACAACAGCCCTCCGTTGATTCTTGTTCTCCCCTTGTTCATCTGGAGAGCCTTGCATTGCGGCTCTAGCTGCGCTAAGGGAGGTTCTACCAGGAAGAACGATTGGCCGCATACCTCGTTGCTGATGAACCACTGGTGGACGATTTTGGGTGAGTGCTCGCACCTGGGCAGCCATGTCTGGAGGAAGTTGACCCATAATGTCTTCACCCTGGTCGATAAGTGCTTGTTCGCGAAGTTCCGGCGGGAATGTGAGTAGAATGCTAGCTGGGTCCATCTCTGTGGGAATTGCCTCTTGGCCATCAGCGGCTGCTTGACGACGACTATCTTCCCGGTGACGACGACGCTGTTCTTGCCTCTCTTGTTGCGCAATTTCCAATCGTAGCTCCTCCGGCAGAGCATCAAGAAATTCTTGGAACACTTCGGTCGTTTCCCCTGATGCAGCCTCCTCGCGGGCTTGAGATCGCCTCTCACTTACTGTTTGAGCAATGACTTCCTCTCGGAACTCCTCAGGAAGAGCCGCCAAGTAATCTGGATCTATGCCCAATTCGGTGACATCGACTTCCTCGCCTCTGATGATAGTTGTCACTCTTGGAAGATTGGCTCTCGCTGTGTTATCTGTGCCATCATTCGCTGTGGCGTCTCCAGACTCGGTCGATTCAACTCCTTCCATGGCTCCACTGCCTTGGTTGCGATTCTCTTCGCCGGACTGTGATTCGGTGTTTTGACTGGCAGCAAGAGCGGCGGCTTCGGCAGCTTCAGCAGCGAGTCTTGCAGCAGCTTCGCGTTCCTCAGCCTCTTTTCTTTCTCTTTCTGCTCTCTCCTCAGCTTCTCTGGCTTCTCTAGCCACACGCTCTTCTTCTTCCCGCTTCTTCCGAGCTTCCTCTTGACGCTTTTGATTCTCTTCTTCCTCTGCCTTCAGTTTCCTCTCCAGCTCCATCGCTGCAGGAGTCAGTTGCGCAATAATGGCGTTGCTGAGTCGGGCAGCTTCCACGGCAGGGTTACCACCAAAGATCATCCTGGCCTCCTCTTGATAACGATCCAAGGTTGATTCAGGGGTGAAAGCGACTGCTTGATGGGGCTCCTGAGCAGCAGCATCCCGGCGCTGATCGTTTCTAAGGCTACGGATAGGTCCAAGATCCGCGCTTCGAGTGCCACCGGGACCAGTGATATGCACGTGGAATGCATGTGGGTTGTGGTTTCCATTACGCCCCATGATTGGCAAGAATTCCATGAGCTCTCCCAAGAAGCCCATCGGGCCATCGATCATGTGTCTGCCTGGCCCCAAGAAGCCCTCTGGGAAGCGAAGGCCAATTGAATTCGATTGACCGGGTCGCGGCTGATTTTCTTGAGCCTGGTCGCTGCGACGAAGTAGCGGGTTAATGCCATCATCTGCGTTGGACTGTTGTCCATTATTACGATGGCTGCGAGAGAAGTAGCTCCGGAAATCTTTTATTGCGGAATACGTTAGTATATGTACTAGTAAGCAGTATCGAAAGACTCTCAAACTCACCACTAAGCTCCCGATTCGACCCAGCCATAAACCGGGGAGGGAAAGGGTTGCGGTCGCCCATTCGTGCAAAGACTGGTCGTCTGTTATTGTCAAGCAAGAAGAGTTGGCGATGTCTATCATCAACTTCTGGTGTAAATCCATCCCACCCAAGAGCTGGCATTGGCGGCAGTGTCTCGTTTACTATTTGCAAGTTAGACGGTATCCTTATACAGGCATGAGATAGTCCACTTACGTGGATAATCGTCATCATAGATGTATTCTTCATCCTCAATATCCTCTTCTTCGTCGTCATCTGTTTCGAGGAAGAGAAAAGTGCATTAGCAACACGGCATCACTTTAGGTGCAAAAAAGCAGAGGAGTATCCAGTGGGGGGGTTATTACTCACCTCCTTCCTCGTGACCATCATCCATATAATGCTCGTCCAACGCCTCCATTATTTCCGGTTCGTAATCCTGGTCACCACTCATGATGGCTCTTGCCATATTATCCAGGAGGTCCACAGGGCCCAACCCGTGTAGGTGAGCCTCGTGTTCGTCTTGGCCTTCAGCCTCGTAGTCAATATCGTCAACCTCTGGCTCTTCATCTTCTTCGGCGCTGGTCTCGCTCTCCCATCCCGATTCTCCGTCGTCTTCGATGGGGTTACCATCCTCATCGACAATTTCAACTCGATCTTCAACATCTTCCATGTCAGCAGAGTCGACTTCGTCATCATCATCGTCCTCACTGCCATCTTCGTCATCGTCGTCATCGTCATCGTCGTCGTCCATGATGACTTCAACCACTCCAGGTTCACCGTGGAGTCCCTCAATTTCTCCCATTTCACCAAGCTCTTCATCTTCGTCGCTGATGTTGTCTTCATCATCCGACATACCCTCGTCACCGTAATCCATCTCATCGTCATCGTATTCATCCCCGTACATATCCTCGTCGTCGTCATCTGCTTCCTCGGATTCGGATTCATCATCCTCCCCACGAGGTTCAAGCATGCCGAGAGCGGAGTTTCTGTATAAGTCGGGAGTCTCCTCCCGACCCTCATCTAGGTCTGACAGGGATGAAGTAGATGCAAAATCCTCGTCGCTTTGGTCAGCCTGTGAGTCGGATACCAAGATATTCGAATGACTGAGTTCTTTCGCAGTATCGGTCAAAACTCGAAGCACACGCAGAATATACTTAATCGCCCGCTTGACTCCCGGAAAATTTAGGTTAATCTCGGCAATGGACGATGTAAGCTTATCCAGGTAGCCCTTCTCGTACATGAGCCGCCGCAGCTGCGCTTGGGATCTTGTCTGAATATTATCGGCATTGCGAGACCCAGAGTTTTGCTCTTTATCTTTCTCTCCGATCATGTGGTTCATCAGCTCAGCTAGGCACTGCATCCTAGCATAGCGAACCTCTAGTGGTTCATCGGTAAGTGGTGCCTTCTCATACGCCTTCAATATAGTGTCGAGAACAAATTTGCGAACGAAAAGCAGATCTGGCTCGTCGTCATATGCGTATTTTTCTTGCTTGCGTTCGAACACTTTCTCATTGGTTTTCGAAACCAACGCAACCAAAACTTTTTGAGTCTGCGATGAAGTTGCCGCCTTCTTCTTGGATGCAATATTGTCCGACGTGCCGCTCAGGTTGCTCTGGCACAGCAAGTCGTATATCAGGTAATTGAGAATGCTTGACCTCGGTTTGACAGGAGTGTTGGTAGTTAGAGGAGGAGCACTACGTTTGAAGTTAATGAATTCCACCTTTGTTCTAGTGTAGCTTTGCAGGAGCTCAGCTAAGCAGCTAAGCAAAAAGCATCTATACACGAAGATGGGGTGTTCTTCTGATTTGAACGTAGGCTTTTGTGGTTTCTTGTCCTTACCATCGACAGCCACGCCATCGACAGAAGAGGTATCCAGGATTTCAGCACTGACTGTTGACTCGCTCTCTACTTTCCCTTCTTTGCTGACCGTTGGTACCTCCTTGTCTTCAACCTCTCGATAATTGACCAACTCGCAAAGAAGGAAATGGATGACTCCGTCCGGATTTTCGACCACCGGGCGTTTGCTATCATGATGTGACTTATGCGCGTCTGGCATTTCCTTATCTCCTGACTCAGTCGACTGCTTGACATCATCTTTCTGAACCTCCTCAGAGTCTGTTTGAGTAACATTCGCATTCCCTTCTTCTTGTTCCTTCCAAACCAGGGCTTGGGATCGGGAACCTTCGGTTGTGGGCGCATTCCAGCGTGAGAACCGAAGCAGCTCGTTGGTTACTTCAACAAAGAGATCAGGCGCACGAAGAGCAACAGGTGCCATCGCCCTAAGGTAGGTGGAGACATCCAAATGGCCGCGCTGAGTACGTTGAAGGTTGGGAAGGTCCGACTTGATTTCTGCTCTCATTATTTGCTTGATAACGTCTTCATCCTCAACAATGTGGCGGAGGATAGTAATGAGATGAGCAGTCAGCCTGGTCTGCCTAAGACGTTCAGATCCCGAACCAGACATTTGCTTAGCCATGAGGAAGAGTCTCTGAAGATTCTTCTTCTCACCAACTTGCTTCGCCAGCGGACGCCTACGAGTAAGGATGATAAGAACCCGCAGAATAGCAGTCGCCAGCATCTCCTCCTTCCCTATACGGGGGAGTAAATCCAGTAGGGACTCCAGGACATTGGATCGTTGCTGGTCATCAAGCAAAGGCGTTCTAAGCTGGATGATGGGCTCCGAAACGGTCTCATCTAGAGACTTGGGCGCCTTCCATTGAACAGCAACCGGTTTCTCATCGTGGTTCAGCAACGTCTCTAGTACGAGCAGTATAAAAGGGATCCAAGGGGGTAGCTCCTCAGTCGGCGTAGATGGCGGGACTTTGAGAAACGCTATATAGTCACCAATCTTATCACGCAAAGTGTCAATGTTTCGGCTAAAAAACATCTCATCTTGCAGCAAGAGCGCAAGTAGATGGGCATATGCAGCGATGCACTTTCCATTACGCTTTTTCTCGTCTTCATCCAGAGCAAGAGATGCCAGGGCATACGTAAGCGTAGATCCAACTTCTTCGTGCGCATCGGCATTTTGATGTCGCAGAACAACAGTGGTGATAAGCTCGGACACCTCAATCGCCGTATCTGGATGGGCGCGAATGACGTCAAGGCACTGATCAATCAGATTTTCTCGTAGCTTTGATCGCTGATTGTCAAGGTCTACCTTGAGTGAGTTGAAAACGGCTGCGGTATATTGAGTAGTTGCTGAGTTTTCTTCTCCGCTAGGGGGGGCGGGTTCCGCAACCTTTGGTGCCGTATCAGCGCTGCTCTCACCCGCCAGTTCATTGTTCTCGGGAAGGCGAGAGATCAGATCATCCAAGGTTTCTGCGGATGTATCGGGGGATGTATCCAGTGACATTGCCTCCGGGTCTGGTGCACGAGTGCCACTGGGATCTCGGCTAGTAGTCGTTGGTGTAGCCCCTTCTGCCAAAGACGCGGCATCTGGTGCATCTTCAGGAGGCACAGGGTTTCGAGCGCCTGCTATCTCTGACTCGTGTGCAGTACAGTATGCCGGGGCGGTAACAACGTTGCCAAGGGTACGATACACAGCCTCCTGTGCCAAATCTTCATCATAGTCGTCAGCAAGCTGACGAACAAGAACTCTGACGGCGCGCCAGTTAAATCTCGCGTCTGAATAATTGAGAAGCATAAAAGGAACCTAGAACAATGAGCCTCGATTAAACTTTGACATGAGAATGTAGGGAGAATGGCTTACCTTATCCTTTGGCATTACCAGCAGTTCATTCTCACCCAGCGACACCATCTTCAGAATGTCCACAAGTCGTTTCACAGTCTGATCTGGAACTCGCTCCACAAACTCAGAATCCCAAAGCTCCATTACAACGGGGAGTATGAGCGCCCTGAATTCGACGGTAATTTGACTGTGGATATTTGGGACAACCTGTGATCGATCTGTTTGTCGCTGAAGGTTGAAGAAACTATGCGTGTCGGCGATGTACTTCCCGTTGACTAAAATGAAGTACAAGTCTAGTATCTTCTTCAAACCAAAAGCGGCAACCTTGACCTTTGAAGACTCGTCGGCAGTAGCTGCGCTAGAACTCTTTACTGTCTTTGCGAAAACACGAAGCATGGAATTGAGTACGCTAATTCCATGGCGTTCCTTGAATGCGAGAAGAACAGGCATGATAATTTGCACGTTCGAGCGGTCAGTTTGACGAGCTGAAGCTATTGATCAAATGTTAGCATGAGACCAGTATGAAGAGGGAATTAGAAAAGAAAACTCACGGTGGTCAATCAACATCTCGTGGATAGTGTGTAGCATGATGATCCAATAGTGGAAATCTTTAGATGTTGGCTCTGGGGTTGCCACAGATGGTCCAAGGTGGTCGAGAACCGTATCAGCAAGCGCCCTTGCAATCTCCAAATGGCGTGGTCGGTGGTACGGGTCACCGTGATTCGACTCACGCCTGGGTAGCAACGCCTTGCCTATAGTCTGGAAAAGAGGGAATGACGTAGGAATCATTGGGTGTAGCAGGATTCGAAGCGTTTCGTAGTTTTGAAATCTAGGGCTGGCTTGCTCCTGCTCCGTCGGACGGGCAGCCGTAGAGTTATCAGCTCCATCGTTAGGTCTCCAACCATCCGTACCGCCGAGAACGTCGGGCAATGAGGTATCGTCGGCTTCAGCATCGGCACCGCTGCCTCTGTTGCCGCCTTCCGTCGGTGGCGACTGACGTCTCAAAGACCAATGCTGGGGGACAGCCGTAAGTTCACCCGCTTCTTCTGCTAAGACTCCACGTAACAGTGGTCCGATCGAGGTTACCAGTTTTTGATAATAGTCGTAGACATTGATGGGGTAGAACTGAAGTGAGTTTGATCTCGAGGAAGCGAAACAATCAGATATGATTTTGATAAAAGTCTGGGCGTTGAGTAGGGCTTTGACAATATCTGTCCCTGTTGCAATTATAGTGGCCGCCTCGGCGCTGGTGTATTCAATACCTAAATCAGGCGCCAGGAAGGGCGCAAAATAAGGAGGGACTGCCTCCGTCTTCGTTGATAATGGTTCCAGCACGTCAATGGCACGCTGAGCCCGGTAGAGCAGAGACGTTAAGCCTTGGGCAGCACCGTGTTCAATGAGTTGAGAGACGACTTGGTTAAGGACTCGAGATGCCATGGAATCGCCGTACCCAGCCGTAAGGCTAGGGGATTGGCACATGTCAAGAAGAAACTCAATGCCACCCCTATCGACAAAGCTATTCTTCAACACATTGTTGGACAGGTATGTGGTTAGGAAGGTGGAGAGAGCATAAATATAAGGCGTATATGACTCGTAGGGAGATTCCCGTTCAGTTTCGGCACGCTTGTCGGCTTCCAGGCCCTGAGACACGGCAGTTTCAGACATGTCCACGTCGGATTCTTGCAGTGATTTAGATGCGCCGGCTGCTGCAGTTGATTCAGCTGCGATTTGAAGGTTGCCAATAGGGAGCATTTTAACTCCCCAGCCTGCGAGTCGAGCCTTCTCGATGCCTAGCATGCGTACTCGGGCGACCATGTCAATCACTGCGTTAGCTATCGCTTTCCTCAAGGGCGGATGATGTCGCGCAAGCTCGTCAAAACTAGCGCCAACGTTACTTGCGAGCTCAGCATCTGTCTCCATGCATTTCACATGCGCCGGACTCTCAAAGACTTCCAAGAAGCTCTCGATCGCTCGAGAGGCGACCACTAAATGCATGCCCGCGTTGTTGAGAGAGATGGAGTTTAGAACTTGAGGGACAACATTGATAGCATCAGAAGATGCCAGGATGCCTGTTGCAACCGGCCGGCCAAACGACTGTCGAGCGGTCTCGTCCGTGGGAGGGTGTGGCCGGCTATCGAGATCAGTGATTGATGTTATTGCGGAGACAGAGACATCCGCAGTACCAGGCTCCCCGCCTTCAGCTGCCACACGTCGATTAAGCCGTGCGGTATAACTTTCGGGAATAGGCCGTCCAGTAATGGCTTCAAGGTACGTCTTGATCATACCTGATTCGGAAATAGCAGCGAAGCTCGTTGGATCATTATTGATAAAATCACTGAGGATGGTAACCGAATTTGTCCAGACAACCGAGCCGAAGCTCTTCTTGTCGTTTATGATGTCCCTCAAATTAGCCAACAAGTCAGACTTCTCGGCAAGATTTCGCAGGAGCCGGTCCGTATTGCCACTATAGCTATACGAATTGGACATGATGTGGTGAACAAATTTCAGGATCCATTTGAGCGTCTGTTGTTGGTAGTAAGGAATCTCGTAGTCAACAGCACTGGATTGTTGGTCTGGCTTGATGCCCTTGGATGCTTGAAGCAAGCTGCGAGCTTCACCAATGGTATCAACAATCAGCTTGGCAACGGCATCCAATCCATCGGCATTGAAAAACGCAGTAAATGCATTCGGATAGGTCCAGATTAAACCATCTAGGAAGGCAAGAACCATCGAATGATGGCGCTGAGCAATGATGGACCGAATATTAAGAATTTCGACAAGGATATCCATTAAGCCAGCCGAGACCATTTCACTGCCCACACGAGTGGCCATAGACAAGTGCAAGGTAAGCGAAAAGAGATTGTTCCGCCATTCATCGATCTCATTCATTTTATCACTGTCGTCTCCGGCATTGGTGTCAGTCATTCCAGCAACCGCTTTTCTGATGACGTAAAGAAGTATTCCGTGATTAACATTCGCATTCAGGGCCGACAAGACATCTTGACATCGAGCGTGAAAGCTCGATACCGCTTCGAGGAGCGCAAGGGCAATGGTCTGCAGCCTCAAAGGGACGTCGATTGCACCATCGGTGGATGGATGGATCAGCTCAGCAAGCTGATACACAAGCTGGAATCGACGGGTTTCGTCAATATCTTGACGAAGGACTTTCTCAACGAAGTTAGACTCGGAATGTATGTACGCCAGATTGGTTATCGCCAGCAACCGGGTTGCTAGAATTTGCTGTCTTGAGTCCTGGGAACTGATGAGAGCCTTGGCTACTCTCAAGCGATGAAACGCCTCATATTTGGCCGCTTGGGGCATATCATCGGGGCATCTGGTAACGAGTTCATAGATCGAGTGGGAGGCAACGACGGATTGGGGCAACTCAAACGCCTTTTGGCCAGACGAAGAATGGTCATCCGCAAATCCCGAAGTTCGCGGCCCAAGAGGGGATGGTTCCTCGCCAGCAGTAACATTTCGAGCCCTCGGAGTGTGCTGAACATTCATCGTTGTGCTTCGGCGTAGCGGAGTGGGAGTCGAGGGTAGATTCGACCGCCCCGTCTCTGCTGGAACGTCATGCTGCAATGAGGTGGTTTCTTGAGGGTAGTAGAAAACCTTGACATCACCCCAAGCATTCCATCGGTTGTCATCAGACGTGGTGATGGCGACTAGATCATTGGCGTGCATGGTGGCTACATTTCTACTGCCGCCTCCTGCAGCCGCCTTATCCTTTCCCTTTGATGCAGCAGCAGGCGTGCTAGTCGAGGGGGGGTCCGAAAGGGTGAAGATGGGCGTTTTGACAAACGGCAGTGCAATCTGCTGGACACGGTCCAGGTCGATGTTGTAATGATTTGCAAGCAGTGCGGCACTGATGTGTCGGGAGGCACTGCCTATCCGCTTAACCGATGCCTGATATCTCTGTGCTAACTCAGAGCCGACCTCGAGCGTGGCAATGAGAACAGAAGCGGGAGTGCAGTTGAGAAGGTCGTTGAGGTGAGCACTGCTGGCGTAGATGCTGCGATTTCCGCAGTGCTCTAGCAACATACGAGTAAACTTTAGAACAGCTTCGATCAGCACTCTGTCACCATCTGGGGGAAAGCTGAGCTGGAGGAGGTCAGCCAGCTCCCACTGCTTTTCGCCCTCGAATGTCGAGTCCTTTGCATGATTGAGCAGCACATCGCACCCAAAATCACGCTGTTGAGGGCCTTCATTCAATTTATAGACCTTGCAGAAATACTCGAGCACGCTATCGAATCGGTTTAACAATGGAATCCAGTGGTATAGGTCTCCGCGCCCGAAGGGCCACCTCGTCGGGAAATCAGCAAGCTGCTGCGGAAGGAGGGGCAACGGGGCTGTTGATGCAGACTCGACGTAAAGCTTTAGCCATGGAGACTATCAAAGGCAGATAGGGTCAGCACAATAATTCTCTTCGCAAAACGCATGTGGGTGCGTGGGAAAGCACGACTCGTTTTTAGCTTTGTCTGTCCCAGCACGATGTGACCTACCAGAGTTTCTCGATGCTTAGGCTGCATCGCCTTTGTGATCTTGCCCATGGTGAAAACAGGAGCGGCAAAGCCGCAGAAACAAGTATCAACTCCCCCTCCACTTCGATCCGGCTATCCGCTGGCGCGACAGCGCGACTTGTGAAGTCGTGATATGTTCCAGTAGTATTCACTGCAAAGGCCGCGTACACGGCTTTGTGTTGGGAACAGTGGTGGCTGGGCTGGGCTGAGGCTGAACCGCGGGGGGGCCGTTTCAAGTATCGAGATGTATATATGTATTGCTTCGCGGCAAGGCTGCCAGGGCTAGTGACACGGCCAGGGCTCGCTGATGTCGACGTCTGTTGCAAACGAGGTCGATGCGCAGCTACTAGAGGCGAAACACCGAGCTCGGGCACCCAGAAGTCTAAAGATATCCAGGGGCGACGTGGTGGGAGAGGGAGAGGACGGGATAGAAGGAGCTGCTGCGTGAGCTTGAAAACGAGTTGTAGGGCGAGTGCAGTCGTCCCCGAACAGCGGTTCCAAGAGTCCAGGCGGGCAGCGGGGAGGGGTATCGCAGAAAATAAAGAAACACAGCAGCACAGATCAAGGCTTCGAATACGATCTGCAGATGTTTCTGTCGTGAAGATACGGGCGGAGAGGTGGAGAGAAGACGGTTGTTGGGAGAGAGAAAAAAAAGAGATGCTGGTTGACAAACGTCAGGTTGAGCAGTGGAAGCAAGTGGGCCTTTGCGTAATAGGCGTGGTGGTGCAGCTCCTCCCACTGTCCCGCACTTGATGCAAGGCCGTAGTGAATGAGTGCGAATTGCCTACATCGGCATTGTTAGGCGTCAGTGAGGGGCGGGCTGAGCAGGCAGAGTTCGAGGGGTGATGCGAGGGATGCCGTAATACAGGCACAGTCTTAGGTACCTCGACGCTATAGCGTTCCGCTGTGCACTCTATTTAGGCGGCATGTAATAGCACTACGACTAAGGCTGTAGCGGGGAGGGCACGACAACTGCGGCAGATGCACACGCTTAGTGAGAGAACGAATCTCATGCTCTAGCCTCATATAGCTAGCAGGGTGATGGGCTAGTACTCTACGGGCAATGAGTGGGCTTGTCCTTGCACCGTGTGCCGTTGGTACCAGCCAGGCGGCGCCGATAGGGACTTGCCTACCCGAAAGCAGAACAATTAAAGAGCTCGGAACCTTGGAAGGGAAATCTACATGTAATCGCATCGAGAGAATCGGACCAGGTGCTAAGGTCTAAGGCAAGGGTTATTATAAGTAAGTATACCTAGAGAGCGGGAATATTCAACTACCTATCTGGTAAGCACCCGACATTAATTAGCACCTGCTAATGGCTGCAAGATCATACATGCATTTGCTCACTCTTGGGCACACAAGACAGCGGACTTACCTCTGCCAACATACAGGTAACTCTGGTAGCCTTGGACTTTGGGTAGTATTTTGAACCTTGAGGCAAATTGCTTTGATGCCTAAGCACCTAGAGCTGAAGGTAAACCTGCCAGGGCAGTTGATATGCTACCCGCAGCCAAGAACATAAAAGACACAGATGCTGCCCGTAACTGATGTCGCAAATCTTAATCCGCTTAACCACAGGTCTGAATTCTACTACTCATCCGTGCAGCTACCACAAGTATATGTAGGCTTCGATATTGTGGGTCGTATTAGAGCTGATCTACTAACCTAGTACCTATCTTGAAGATACTTCCCACTCAATGCTCCTATCCGTTGTAGCAGTCGTTGTAGCAGTCGTTGTAGCAGTGCTTGTAGTCTGCAATACAATTTCGTGCATGGATGGCATATATCCATAGGTAGATACTTTTAAAGCTCATAAGCTATAGTTTAGTCCGACTACTCCCTACGTTGGTATTACAATATACGCATGAAGAAGAAAAAAAGATTGCTTCCTAAAACGGGTGTAACAAGATCCCATTCATCAATCTCGATTGATCAACAAACGTTTAGACTACAACTCCGTATATGCGGAATGTCGATAAAACAACCCGGACCCCAGCTAGCACCCTGTCATTGCAGCTAGTCAGCTTGATTCGAATCTGGGGGCATTCATGACAGCTAGAACGACTTCCAAGCGTCAGCGTTCTTAATTTGGATCCGTGATGGTCGCATGATGCACGTTGTACTGTGCGCATGACGGTAGAGCGCCTGTCTGGTGATACTCGCTTTCTAAATGGTCACGACCACTTCCTTGTGCCTGTAGTCTAATACTGTTGCCAATGAACTTCTGAAGCACATTCCACGTCAATATCTTATTCATGTGCTCCATGCTTCTTCTGCTTTCAGTAGTGGGCAAAAGATTAAGCAAGGGTCCCATGGCTATCCAAGGTGGGTATCGTAGGCCTACCCTGGAGTCCCAACACCTTCACTGAGAATTCTCAACCTCCATCCATGATGAAAATGGGGGTTCCTTCGAGGAGTACTGGCAGGTGCACAAATACGAAGTGAATGCTGCTACAGTATATGGTTGTACCGATGCTACCCAGGTAGGACATAGCCTGAGCGTGATGAGCTCTCTGCTATGGAGCTCTGAAACAGACCGTCAAAACGGCGGGCTAGTGTCAAAGGCACCATCGTGAGAGAATTTAGGCATTGTTCCAGATTGGGGTTGAATGCCAGATGCGAGACAAGTCCGTACGGTATCCATCTAGGTAGCAATACATGCCGCTTGTTGACTTGGGTACTACCAAAGCGGAAAATGTTTCAAGAACCCCGAGTTACCCTGGCGCTCGTCTATCGCGGGGCTGGCTGGAGGTGGAGGATTGAGTTTCATCGTTTCTGTCTTTGCCACGCCATTTTGCAAATCCGGCCAGGTACTGTAGCATGCTTGTATACAATCCGTAGACGGATGCAAGATGGAGCTCTCTGATCAAGTGAATTGATGCTTTTCCCCCTCTCCAAACCCGCCGACCTGCCCCGAGCAAACGGCATGCGAAAAGAGGAGACGGAAAAAGGGGTTGTTAGGCCACCCACCAAACCCACCCACCCATATCTGTCCAGCGTTGCCGAATAGCTGCCGCTTGGTGATCTCTGCCCGTCGAGAGGAGAGCAGCACGCGACCCTGGACACCGCCAGAAGAGTAGAGATGCTGTTATCAGTTGCGCGGAACAATTTCGCCTCCGTGCGTGCCAATTGTAACGATGGGAAAGCTACTACGATACTACTAGCCCCCCTTTGGCCGGCGGTGGAAGAGTGCAGGTGGCTTTTTTTCTTTTTAAAGAACGGGAGACGTTAGGCTCTGAAGACCCGCCAAAGCCACCTACGCACCCCCCACTGCGCACTGTCGAGACCACTGAGCTTAGCAGCCAGCCAGGGGAAACGTGCCATTTGGCGGCTTGAAGACCAAGTGCAGACTCCATCCCATCCATGCTGGCTGCATGCTCCCTGAGACAAAATCTCCAAGCTCTCAACCTTGAACTGTACATACCAGCTGGGACGAGCCGGCAACGCACAACACTAGCATTCGTCATTTCTTGCGAGGCTTGTCCTTTGTTGACGAGTCCTTTCCTGCTTTCCTGCTTATTGCTACGATTGTCATCTATACTGCATTGGTTCCACCTCCACACCGTCAAAAGATATTCTTCAGCAAACAACCACGCCTGGGATTCTATAGAGCCTCTTGATGGCTCGTCGCTAAACGGTGCCTGTTGACACGCCGTATAAACGCCCTCTAGGCCAAGCAAATCACCAAGGGAGCCATGCCGCAGCCAGACGACGCAGCTTCCCAGCACACGGCCGAGGCGTCGCTCAAGGAGAGACGCCCGTCCCTTACCGACTCCGATGTTGATACGGTATGTCTAGCGTCGTCCCACCACAACACCTGACATGGCAAGCCAAGGACTAATAGTGTAGACCGCTGAGCAGGATACGTTCGAAGACGCCGTTGACGCCGCCTCTGTACGATCCCTGACCAAGAGATCTGTATCTGCCTCGAAACCTCAACCTCCCCCGCCGGAGCAGGATGCCACCAAATCCGATGCTGATAGTGACAGCGAGGAGGAGGAGGAAGACGAAGAAGAGGCCAATTCAGTCAAGAGCGAGGAAAAGCCAGATCCGCCATCACGCGACTCATCACCAGTCTCACATCGCATCTCCAACATCTCCAACACATCAAATCTCGATGTCGTCAATTTGGACGATGATGCTGCCCCACAACACCAGGGTACACCTCTCTCACCGTCTTCACAATTTTTGCTTACATGTCGCTAATTGCCTCGGCAGAACCCGCGAGCCCCTCTGACAAGGATCAGTTGAGCAGAACAACTTCTCTAAACAATACCACTGCCGCTGCACAACCTCCGTCGCCGAACAAGAGCTTGCCGCCTGTTCCCACTGCCTCGACCGCCACTCCAGCTGCGGCACCGGCTCCCACCCCCGCCCCTGCACCGACTGGTAGGAGACTGACCAGCCCGTTCTCCTGGCTGTCTAGGAACTCTAGCAAAGACAAAGACGTCAATTCGACTTCGGTCACCCAGCCATCTGCCCGGAGAAACACTGCTAGCTCCGTCGCTACTGTGGGTAGCAACCCTGAGATGATGTTGAGCAAGCTTGAGGAAGAAAGAGAGGGCGATGGCAAGGCATCCAACCGAAATAGCCTCAAAGATCGATTCAAGGTGCTTCGGCAGCAGCAGGAATCTGGCGTTCCGCTGACCGTGAATACTGAGGATATCCCAGACGAAACCACAGAAGGCGAGGCGCTGCCGGCAGCTGACTTGCCACCCCTATCCCCCTTGCCCCCTCCAAGCTCAAACTTGGCACCTGGAACGGCATCCGGCATCAACATTGGTCCGTCGGAGACGGCGCCATCACAGGTTGATTGGGATCTCTGGCAATCGGTCGTTTATGAAGGCCCCGCTGCTGTTGCGCGGTCAAGTGCTGAGGAGTTGAACAAAGCTATTGCCACGGGTATTCCTAGTGCCATTCGCGGCGTCATTTGGCAAGTGCTGGCACAGAGCAAGAGTGAGGACTTGGAGGGAGTTTACAGAGACCTCCTTGCTAGGGGAACGGAGAAGGAAAACAGGAATCGGCACAGCAGCAGCACGGCAGCAAGCAGTTTCAGCAATGCCAACCTCAGTGTTCAGAGCGGTGATGGAGTAGCGTCGTCTGCGTCATCGGTTAACTCTGAACAGTCAGGTGGCTCAGGCCTCAAGGGTGACAAGAAAGAGGACAAGAAAGAGGACAAGAACGCTGAGGCCATCGCCAAGGCTCAGGCTGCGGCTGTGGCGGAGCGGATGCGCAAGGAAAAGGAAGACGTTGCTTCCATTCAGAGGTTGGAGAAGGTCATTCGTCGTGACCTTGGCGCCCGCACTAGTTATTCTAAGTATGCAGCTGCCGCGGGACTTCAGGAGGGTCTTTTCGGCGTCTGCAAGGCGTATGCTCTCTTTGACGAAGGTGTTGGCTATGCTCAGGGCATGAACTTCCTGATCATGCCCCTGCTGTTCAACATGCCGGAGCAGGAGGCATTCTGCCTGCTTGTCCGCCTGATGAATCATTACGGCCTGCGAGATCTCTTTATTCATGACATGCCTGGACTTCATCGACATCTATATCAGTTTGAGCGGCTGCTGGAGGACCTTGAGCCTGCCTTGTACTGCCACCTTCACCGAAGGGGCATCTCTCCCCACCTATACGCGACACCATGGTTCCTCACGCTGTTCGCCTACCGTTTCCCCCTCCAGCTTGTCCTGAGAATTTATGACTTGATTCTCTCAGAGGGCCTTTCCGCCATTATTCGATTTGGTATTGTTCTGATGCAAAAGAATACGGCAACACTGCTGGAGATTTCCGACATGCAGCAACTCACTACATATCTAAAAGATAAGCTGTTTGATGTCTACATCGACAAGGACCCTAGCCAGGGTAGTCTCTTGGAGAACGGCTTCTTTGGCAGCTCCAGTTCAAGTATTGACAAGGAGATTTACAGAGCAGATCAGCTGGTGAGAGATGCCTGCGAAATCAAACTGTCCGCGGAGCTTCTCGAAGGATATACTGCAGAGTGGGAAGAAAAGACCAAAGCCGAAAAGGACCGAGAAACTGAAGTCAAGGAACTCCGAACGTCGAACCAAAGCCTTACAATCCAAGTCCGAAAGCTGGAGGAGAGAGTTGAGGTCGCCGATCGCGAGCAAGCTGACCTTGCTACAGAACTCGTCCACACAAAGGTTGAGAATGACGAACTCAAGGATGAGGTCGAGGCCCTCAGGAACCAAGTTCAAGAGCTCAAGAAGGTGATTGAGAAACAGCCCTTTGAGATTGAGGAAACTTGGAAACTTGAGCGCGATGACTTGATGAAGCGCAATGAAAAGGTGCACTTGGAGAACGAAAAGGTTGAAAAGGAATTGGCTGAGCTGGAAGAAGAGCTAGTCCAGACAAAGCTGCGATATGCGGAGGTAAGTTTCAGTCTTCAACATTGCCTACACCGCCACTTTTGGGGGCGAAGAAAAATATTGAACAAAAACTAACTATATTCGACAGATTGCTGGTCAACACGAGACTCTGAGCCGCAAGTGGTCTGAGTTGAAGCGTCAGTTTGTCTAGGGTTTTATTCCTCTTAAAATTTGAAATGCGATCACCACATTCAACTATTCTTACACTCCCTACACTCTCCCACCCCTCCCTCTTGTTTTCTTTGCGCATTATGACCACCTCATGGTTCTACAAGAATCCAATTCACCATCATGACTACCATATTCCCCCTTCCCTTCTTCTTATCTCGCCCCAATTTCTGTTGTTAAAAAAAGTTTGATTTTTGTAAGGAGTTTTCTTCTTTCTTCTTTTAGTGGTTCGATCAGCAGTACATATGCCCGGCCAAGTCTAACTGGCTGGTGATGAGATGAAGGACTCTGGGGGAAACAGTATTCACGCTCTAGCAGGATTCTGGCATGCATGTTTTTATTTTCCTCGTTTAGGACAGATTTTTGCAGAGATGCGGGAGGGAAAATATCATGTTTTATCAATGAGAATAGATGGACTCCACTGGTGCAAGCTTTAAAATAGTAAAATTACCTTTGGTAAAATTTTCTTTCGCTTTTTGAGTGTATAGGCGGTATAATACTGCACCATTCCGGACGGGTTACGTATATATCGGTGTAGGTATACATTACTTGCGGATTACTACTGGTACTACCTGTACAAGTGTGGGCTCAGACGGAAAGACGGTGTTTTGAATTGTTTTGTTTCTTGTATCATTATCATACTTGAATGAAACAACGTGAAAAATGTAACATGATTGCATAAAAGCTTTTCATTTCCCTATGGACCCATTCTGATGCTTTGTGTGTTAAAAAGCTCTTCATGCCCTGAAAATGCCCAAGATAACGAAAAATCCTTGAACACCCATCCGACTCACGCCATTGTGAGTTTATTTGTGCAGCTTCTTCTGGTAGAAAGCCAGCTCCTCACCCTCCAGGACGTAACCGTCACAGCGGCCGGACTGACCAGGTCGGCTGGTGACAACGGCGTACAGACGACCGGCCTCGAACTGCTTCTCAACAGCGGACTCGACCTTGCCGTTGGCGGCGTAGCGAGCAGCCTGCTTCTTCTCAACGGACTTGCTCTTCTTGACCTCCTCGACCTCCTTGCCCTCCTTGGCGGCCTGGGCCTTCTGGCGTCTACGGCCGATGGGCTGTCCGTAGTGGGACTCGTACCACTGTCGGAAAGGAGCAGCGTCGATCTGGACGATGGCGCTACGGGTCAGGGTGTTGGTTCGGACCAGCTCGTTGTTGGAGGGGTGGTAGGCGACGGCAATGACACGGGTCTTGCGGGTGCAGCCCTCGGAGGCCCAGGCAAAGTTACCGGAGTCGAGACGCAGAGCACGGTACTTGTGGTTACCACCGCGAGTGCGGACGGTGTGGATTCGCTTGGCGCCGATCTTGGTGTTGGCACCCTGGCGGCCAGCCTCGAAAGCGCGCTTCTTCCCTGTTGACGGAGGTCAGAACGTATGTCCTAAGATCATACGGGCTTTCGGAATTTTCATATATCATGGTACGCACGGTAGTAGGCACGCTTGGCACCGGAGGCGGAGCGCTTGTGGCGAGAGTCACGAGAGATACCCATGATTGCGAGTTCTATACTCAGAGAGAAGGAAGAGGTATTAGCAACTCTGAATCAAAATTTCCAAAGGGTGGGAAAATTTGGAAGGAAAAAGCGGCTGACGGCGATTCCCTCCAGCAGCAGCAAAGAGTAAACCTTTTTCGTTTCTCGCAGTCGTAGATGAATGTCGATACGAATTGAAGTTCTTCTGAATGCTGCTGAGAGATCACGACCGCAAAACTTACCTGATGATAATGGTGCTCACCAGGGCAATCGACTTGTCGGATGTGGGAGGAATGAAACTTTTGTCGAGCTCGAAAGAGTGGAGGACTGAATTGGGTCGAAAATTGTGGTTGTGGGTTGCGCTAGCCCGCGGTACGTACCTCATCTCAGGGCTTCTTCGGCTGTGCGTTATTCCGCACGAAAAAATTGTGTGTTGTTGAGCTCACGTGACCGCGCGTTTCTCGCTAAATAGCCCCTCAGGCTCTAGTTCTGGGTAGTCGCGACTGGGAGCGCTTGACGTGGTAAGTGGTGATTGTCACTTGGCCTGTTGTAGCAGCCTCGACAATTCTATGAGATTACAGGTATCGTTCCATTTAATTACTTGTGAGATTTCAGTACCATTCAGCTAGAGCCATAACCTGATCAGATTTTATACATTGACAAAATTCCCGCTTCTCTCGTCCTAATTGCCTTTCTTGCCTCATTCTTATTGTCAGTTGCATCTCGTGAGATTTCGTCTCCCTTGACTTGCCCCGTCATATCGAAAAGTCCAAAGCCCTATCGAAAAATTGACACTGCCTTCTCCTTCTCAGACGATTTTGTGATGACTCCGTGTTGTTATCGCCTTTGTTGATGCATTCTTCACGACCCGTTCTTCTGAATATCCAATACAAAGTCCCTCAAAAACCCATTCAGGTCGGCGAGCTCGAGTTGCGGCAAATCGTCCGAGTCGTCTTCAAGTGATGACGTGATGGGAGGGATATTCCAGGAGCCAGTTTTCACGGCCTTCTTCTCCTACAAGATGGTTCCGTCTACTTTGTAGGTGTGTTCCTGCTCTCCCTCCGGGATTTTGATAGCAACAACGTTGATTCGAGGAAGGGGGAGGTATCGGCCACATCTTGTGCGTCTGTCGCCTTCTTCTTTCAGCTCAGCTAGCGAGGGCCATTCGACGCGACTGTTGACTTCAGCTACGTCTTGTTTATTGAAGCAATTTTGAGCAGCAAACACTGGAGAAAGCCTGTCGCCCATGTCTCGTCCGTTGAACAGAGTGATTTGTGGCTTAGATGCCAGTGCCAAGCCTGACGCCTTCGCTAGCTCTTTTTGTCGAGTTTTTTCTTCCAGGATGCTGACCTCGTGGGCAAGCTTCTGCTGTCTAGCTTCAGCAAGAGAGATTTTGAACTTGGTCAATTCAGCAGGGGTCTTCGGAATAAAGGGTGACTGGTCGGCCTTCATGAACTGAAGATTAAGCATCATCTTCTGAAACGCCCTGCGCTCTTTGGTTTCCGAGCTTAGCCATCTCTTGGACTGCGACCATGATGCAACCTCAGCTGGGGTTTGGTTCTGGCTCGATCTATCGGAAGCTTGACCCTTTCTTGAGTATTTAGCTGACGGTCTGTTTGCAGGGTGCATCATGAAAGGCGAGGTGTCTTTTATTTCATCGTTATCAATCTTTTATCAGTGTCCAATGATGTGGTAGCTGGGCAAATGCGACTTACCTGGCTGGATGGACTCATTTGCCGCGTTGTGATGATGTTGAGAGCTGAAGAGCACGTGGCAGCCCTGTTGGAGCAGCTGTTCAACTCCATCATTTTTCTTTCCAGCTTGCGGGCCGGCGACAGCTGACAGCGACCCCGTCTCTTCGGTGCAGCCCTGGTAAACAGTTGGCAGCTCGGCTTCAGCGTTAGGTCTCTTACCCGTGCATTTCTCGGCCAGGCCTTGGCCATAATACTCGACCGCTCTAGGTTCGTCGAGGCCCTGCTCTTGAGTTAGCCTCCAAGTTTTCAACCAGAGTGACGGATTACGTCCTGGGACTCAAAGCAGAAATCACCCACCGATGAGCAAGCTTGCACTTCATCAATTCTGCCTGGTGCATTTAATGCCTGTGTTAACGATGGTGGATGATGAGGTCTATGTGCCAGGTGTCCATGGATTCTGGCATTCATTTCCTCTTGAAGAGGATATGGGTTCTGATCCTGAATCTGGAAGCTAGGATTTGGCATAGCAAAAATTGGTAGTGACCAATAGGTTACTTTGAAAGCAAAAGTATATAGATCCGGCAGCGGTTGACCCGTCGAGACATCCATGATCTGACAGGGAACCATGTGAAGCAATGGAAAGCAAGGTCCTGGTGGTGGCGGCGGCGATGGCAAAACAGGTAACACTGGAGGACGCGGATAAATAGAATGACCACCGCCATATGGCAATGGAGGGACAACTGGGTATATGAAATACGGGTACAGGCCCGGTGGCCTCAACTCCGGTGTTGGCACAACCTCTGTGGAAATGGCCTGCGGACCCTGCGACTCGATAAGCTACTGAATCCCAGTTTACATGGCTTGTGGGAGCGAACATTGCCTAGGAAAGCATCATTGTTTGTGTCTGACGCAGCCTTTTCACGGGCCATGCGATGTGTCTGAGGGATATTAATCTCAGGAGACTCTAGAGCTCGTTGACTGCCAACGGTTAGACCCGAGCTCTCGATAATCTTGTTGCCAGCAGCAAAGCTGCCTTCTCCCTGGTTTCGATCACTTTCTGTGCCATGAGAGGTATTCTCTAAAACTTCAGTGCTAATTTGAGACGAAGTGTTTTGACCAACAGATCGGCCAGTGGTTGGAGTAGTGGGACAGGGTGTCTGATCACACACACAATTAGCAGCCGCGTGGGCCTGTGAAACCTCGCACCTGGTCTGCGTGATAAATGAGGCGAAACAACGAGCGAAAGAGGAGTCATGGGCCCCCTTTCCTATGTCGCTCGACATTACCTGGTCTCGAAATAGTAGAGCATCATCTCCTTCATGTCCCTCAGCCCACACAGTCGAGCGAGGCTTTCTGGTACGCCGCGTAGGAAAGCTCGGTTGAGAAGAAGCAAGTGGAATGAAGGGTATCGCGAATGGGTTCATTACTCCATTAGAGTCTTGTGTCGCCGACATAGCGTTAAGAGTGGTTCGCCGTGTAGTTCAAGGAGCCAAAAAAGAATATTAGACGCAAGGAACTCGGTGATGTTGAGGTCGCGATAGGGGAAGAGTCCAAGAAAACTGCGGAGGAATGAAGTGAGATGCAGGCTGTTTGCCTGTCACGAATGGTGTTTTATCGAATGGACAATTGTTGATTCAGCTGGAAACATAAGCCACATGCCCCCAGACTTGGAACTGGGGATTACAGCTGGCAGCTGGCAGCTGGCCTGAGATTTCAAGCACCCCCGAGTTTATTGTTAAAAGGACTCAACAGCTCAGAGCCTTTATCAAAACAGTGGGGTGAATACCCGAGTTAAGGATTATTCTTGTAGTATGTGACGAGGAATTCTACCTATCACAGGTGGATTATTGGTGTTGTAGCTTATAGGAGAAGCGCCAAGACACGAAATGAGGATAATTCAAGGTTATTAGATGGAACAAGCAATCAGAAGAGCACGTATTAAGATGAGAAATGAAAAAAGACAGTATGCTTTAATATTAAGTAGATTCACCAGGTATCTATCCAATACAATGACACCTATCTGTGGTGGACTCATTGCCTGCCGGGTATTTGATTCAGGAGGTATTGTTGGTGTTGACCCGCAAGTATGCAGCGTTCTGTTTATTCACCATGGATCAGTTAGAAGTTTTTGGATCTCTCGGAAAGATTGAAACGAGACTGTGGAGCAGAATAGTTATTGTTGGCCCAAAGGACGAGGTTTTGCTGATTGCTCATTCACTCGACCTGGAGTTTGAAACAAGGCGAATCGTGGTGTAACAACAACACAATGCGATCAAGGCAAATAATCAACCGATACCGGTAAGAAAGATGCAGGAGAATAAGTTGATGACAGCATCTATTCATTTCATAGCCCCATATGTGTACTCTTATTGTGCCACGTTAACAGTGGAGGTAAATGATCGCTGAGGGTGAACGATGAAGTCGTGAAGCTACTTTAACCATAGCAACTCTTGACATCGAAAAGAATGCGTTTAACAATTCTACAATAGCTGTTCGGGAAAGAGATTCCCCCAATCAAACACCTGATGACTCTCATAATTTAATTCACATGTGATAGCCTGCCTAAACATCCCCCAGCAACTCCCCAGTACCTCATCAACAGTATAGCAGTCCCTCGGAGCTGATTCACTGCTACATCCCCTGTATTGTGATTTTGCTGCTCAGCGCAGGTAACTTGGCCCGTACCCCGCTACCAAGCCTTCCGTACCGCGTACCTTGAAGACACCCTCCGAACCCCACCTGCCTTAAGTCCCGAGAAAACTAACGCCAAGCCGTATTTTTTGTTGGAGCTGGTCTTTTCCCCAACGACTCTCGCATCTACTCCCTTTCAACTTCCCATCTTCACCAGAGCTCTTCGTGTCAAAATGGCTCCTCCAACGACGCTCAAGCTTACGAATCGCTGTAAGTCCTCTATGGCGTCGCTGCATATGAAACCAGTTGATCATTGATTAATTTCTTATGGCAAAACCTTACTAATTCGTCTTCGACTTGGTAGCTCCCAAGCAGCCGATCAAGAAGCTTCCACCAACCATCGAGGTCCCTGCCAACGCCACGGTCGAAGATGTCAAGATCTTGATTGCGAAACAAGCTGGCTTCAGTGACCACAACCGCATTGGCCTGTTCTACACGTCGACCAGGAAGACGCTCAAGGACCGCAAGGCCCTGATTTCAGAGGACAAGGATGTTGCCGAGGCAGGCGAAGTGCTGGTCAAGGACCTCGGTATGCCTTCCAGCATTGTTCTTTTTTTCTACAAGTCAATGCATTATGACTGACCAAAATTCACCATCTAGGCCTCCAGATCGCCTGGAGAACCGTCTTTGTCGTTGAATACCTGGGCCCTATCCTCATCCACGTCGCTGCCGTCGCTGCCCGGCCGTACCTGCTCAAGGACCCGTCCATGTCGCCGTCGCAGTGGCTCAGCTTCGGCATGATCGTTGCCCACTTCGTCAAGCGCGAGTTCGAGACGCTCTTCGTCCACAAGTTCTCCGCAAACACCATGCCCGCCCGCAACATCTTCAAGAACAGCTTCTTCTACTGGGCCTTCTCCGGCGCCCTCTGCGCCTGGTCCATCTACTACAGCCCCTGGTCTCTGGCCGCCCGCGCCAACGAGCCCATCGTCGATGCCGTTGGCACCGCACTCTACCTGTTTGGTGAGATTAGCAACGCCCTGGTACACTTGTATCTGGCTAGTCTGCGATCGACTGGCGGCACTGAGCGCAAGATCCCGCACGGCTACGGCTTTTCGCTCGTCACTTGCCCCAACTACATGTACGAGATTCTGGCTTGGGCGGGTATCATCACGGCTAGCCGCGACTGGTCTGTTGCGCTCTTCATCATCATTGGCGCCGTGCAAATGTTCATCTGGGCTAAGGGCAAGGAGAGGGCATACCGCAAGGAGTTTGGCGACAAGTACAAGAAGAAGCGCTTCGTCATTCTTCCGGGGCTGTTGTAAGAGGGTTTACGCTATAGATCCATACACATGATTTAGCGAGAAGAGCTTGTAGTGATACTTGCGGCCGAGTATGCCGATGGAAATAAAGTCGGGTTGATAGACTAGCTTCAGAGGTATAACGAAGTAACACGATTTCTTGCCATATGCAGACAGATTAATTAGTAGGATAGCAATGGTACTAATATACTACATACCTATACGGCGTATACATCTATCTGACCTCATGGCGACGCGGCTACCTAGCAACTAACCTATTCACGTACCCCTCTGTGTTATATCCATCTCTTCATCGTTGCCATGCATCTAAAAGGCTAAGACATCACCCCGTCGAAATAGACGCCGTTTCGGAGCCCTTTGCTCGCCCCGTGCCGGTACTTGAGTCTAGGTCCATCAGGCTTCGACTGGCATCGGACATGCCATCCACATCCATTCTCCTCTCAGCACCGTTATCGACACCATTGTTGGCGTTGCCATTGCCGCTATCGTTGCCCTCGTCCTCTTCGTCGTTCATATCTGACTCCCTGCCGCACTCGCTGCAGCTGCAGCTGCACTGACTGCCCCCATCCTCATCCGTATCCTCCCCTCCGTTAGCAAGCCTCACAGTCTCCTCCAGCACCAGAAACCCTCGCTCCAGCACCTCGGCCCAGTTCTGCACATTGCCCAGCTCCTTGACCTTCCTCGCCGCCTTGTCCGCCTCTGTCTTCAGCTTCTGCGTCTCCTTGCGCAGGCCCTCGGTGGCGCGCAGCACGTCCCGCTCCTGCTTCTCCAGCGCCGCGGCGTTCTCGTGCAAGATGCTCGCGCGCGACTGCAGCTCCGAGTCCAGCATGTTGCCGATGGAGGCGACCACCGCGGCGCGCGCCTCGGAGACGTGCCGCTGCGTTTCGGCCGAGGGCAGCGTGGGCTGCAGTGCGGGCGCGGGCGCGGGCGAGACTGTGGCGGCGGCCGAGGCTGTCACCACGGACGGGGCGGACGGCGGCGAGGCGGACTGAGTCTGGGAGAACCAGCGAGGCGACGACGATGGGCCGGCCATGTTGCTGGCGTTTGTGGCCCTTCGTAGGCCGCTGGACGATGCTGCCGACATTGCGCCAGAGGAGGTGCTGAAGCTCAGGTCTCGTCAGGTCCCCTCTCTTTGCCCCTCTGCTATCTCGTCTCTTGTTGCTTTATTCCGTCAACGTTTGGCGTAGCACAGCAATTTGGATGTAGCGATGCGATGTCACTCCATCTCATACACACTGGTGTATAAAGTTGGGTATAAATTTGGTGGACGTTGAGGGAGGCAAAAGGCCCAAGGCATGGACCTCAACTGCACTCCTTCCCTATCAATCCAACCCAAGGTTGCTTGACATCATGCTGCCAGCAGGGAAGGTGCTGTGGGGTGCATGGCAAGTCGGCAGTTGGCAAGGATCATATGCAAGGCTAACTGCCGCTTACTACAACATCAGCTGCTGTAGCACGGCACGATTTCAACGCCAATATTTGGATGGTCATGGCATCAACCAAGTATTCAAGAAGTGATTGAGCTACATCATAATACAGGGTAGCAACTGTAAGTGTTTGGAAATGATGGCGCTATATGGCCTTGTGAGAGAGCCTAGCAACTTCAAACAGTGTGATGTACCAGTGAGGTACCAGCAATAAAACATTGTCAACGAGAGGCAGCGGTCTTCTGTCATTTCTAAAATTCAGATGCACCACTCACTTTACATTGTTTTCATAAAGTACATTCTGATAACCTTTGACCAATTTTATTGCATTCTCCCTCCTCCCCAAGGCCCTCCACCACAAAAATCGAAAAGAAGAAAAATGTCAACGTGACAGGTAATCTAATATACACCAACACTTTGTGCTTCCCATTTCTCTATCCTCTACTAGTAACTTGTTCGTCGTGGTATCGTTGCCCTAGAGTCTAGATATGTCCGTCCAAAGGCACTCCGGTATTGAAGGATCTTGTCGGGGGGCCATCTTCCGTTCAATGCCATCACACCAAGTATTGTCATAACAAAACCATAACTCCAGGGCTATGCAGAAAAAAAAATGAACGTAACAGCATCCCGTCCTCAAGCCAACATTTTGTTCCAAAGCAACAATAATCATTCGTGAAATCCATTCAAGTACGTGCTATGCAAGAATCCCCTTCGCCGGCCAAGGCAACACGGCGAGATCCAAACGAAGAAAAAAAAAAAAAAGAGCAAAAAAAGAGAAGAACAAATCAGTACTGATAACTAGCTTTTGGTTTTGAAAATCTAGAGGGAAGATGCTTCAAAGAGCTACTTTCCCTCCATTCATACGAAATGGCGCGGATCCTAGTTGAACACTAGGACTAAAGGCCGAGGATGGTGTCGGCACGCCATCTGATGACATGGACGAAATCGACGACAGCGAGTTGAATCCAGAGTGGCCCCGTGACATGGTGCCGGTGCGAGACATGGAGATGCCAGGGTTGGCCATGAGTGTATCCGCGCGATCAAAGACGTTGCCCTGGAAAACCGCCGCAAACGATCCCGTCTGCGGCGTGGCAACCGTGGCTTGCATGGCCGGGCCTAGGGCTGCGCTTTGAGGCGTTATTGGGACCTGCGGCGTGGTTGGCGATAGAACGCCTGGTGGAAAGGACCCCGGCGGACCGCCGGCTGGTCTCAGGATATAATTCCAGGGAGAGTTCATGATAATGATGCTCGTCTCCTTCATGCTTTGATGGATGGGCCGCAATCGAGCTCTAGTGTCAGGCGGCAGAGGAATGGCATTAATCTCCGACTTGATCTTAGAAGCCATTTTTGTCCAGGCCGAGATAAAATTGCTGCAAAGGCTCCAAAATCCTGCGTGAGACCGCACTCCTGGGTCCTTCAGCTTGATGAGAGATAATCGGTTCTTCAAAATCTCCGTTTGTTGAATAGCGTCATTACACATGGCAATGAGATTCTTCCAATCTCGTATCATGGCACTCGGGGCTCGCTGTTGCATAGCGTTTCGGATACCTCCCGTCAACTGAACATTAAAGTTGGGCAAGATGTGAAGAACGACATCTGTTGACCTTTGCAAAGCCAAGTATATCTTGTCGAACTGGGCATCTTCCTCGGAAAAGTCGGAGCTGATATCGCGCCCAAACGATGACGGGAACGAGTCGTTGGACCTGGGCGTCGCCGATGCAAGTCTTGCAGTGCGACTGCCTCCGTTATTATACGGAACGGGTATGTCGGTGGCCACCCTGAGGTTGCTTGGGTTATGCATAATGGGACCGCTGCGATTCCGAGGGGGAGCTGGCTTCTGAGCTGCGGGAACAGCCGCAGGAACAGCCGCAGCTACCTCACGGAAGTAAGGTTTAATGGTGTTGCCGTTATCGGGGGCTTCCAAAGTGGGAAGACTATGCTTGCTGTGTTCCATAGACACGGAAGACAGAGTGACACGAAGCTCCATGATACTGTTATATATCAACATCAGGAGCGTCCGGATATAACGAGCATCTCCATTGTTGACAAAAGTATCGATGTTATCGGCCAATAGAGTGCAGACGTGGCCATACGCCCCGACCAGAGTCTGGCAGGCGCGGTGAACATTGGCATTGTCTCCGAACGGCGGCTCATCGTCCTCCGCCACTGCCATGTCATGCTTCTGGATTTCCTGTTCCAGTTCTTCGACGTGAGAGTTGGTGTTGTAGAAAACGATTTCGAGACTCGAGCGTTTTGCCGAGCCATCGTTCGTCAGGGTCATGAGCATCTGGATCATGGGGTGAATTTGAAACACTGAATAGAGAATGCCCTTGGCAGCTTCGATGACGGGGTCGAAGATTTTAGACTCCCGACGGCGCTCGGGGAGGACGGAAAGCCTTCGTACGTAGACTGGTCGCTGTAGAGAGTCGGTAGGTGTTGCTGGGCTCTTGGACGGCGCAGCCTGAGTTCCCTGCATGGCAGAGCCGTGGCTTAGCCCTCGGTAGTGACTCCATCTATTGCTGCCCTCGACCTCGTCGAGCGTGCCCAAATCTGACGGCGCCTTCTTTGCGAGTATTCCCATGCGACGCTGACGACTACTGGATCTCTCCGAGTGCATCAAAGTTTCGGAGTTGCTCCGTCCACGCTCGTTGATATTTCCAATGGTCAAGGGCATAACGCCAGGACGACGGGTGGTGGTGCTTTGCTGTGATAGGCCTCGATAATGCGATCGCGAGGGGATGGGGGGAGGGGGTCGCGCTCCAATGCTAGGTATCCGCATGTCCGTCACATCAGAGTTGCTCACTTTGATGGGGAATCGCCCACTTGGCATGCGACGGAGAGGCATCCGCGGAGTGTCAGTGCCTTCGCTAGATTCGTCGCCAGTCGCCTCCGCGTCACGACCACTAATGACATGCAACTTCATAAACTTCTTAATATGAGCCGTAATAGCCACCTCTGTCACCTCGCCCTCTCTTCCAGAGCCTTCACCGGAAGGACTTGGAGAGGGTATTTGCAGCGCATCCCGTGGAGGAAAGCTGATAGGGTTCCCTTCAAATTTGAGGACTTGGAGCGAGGCCATTTCGGCTAGGCAAACGGGCAATTCCCGGATCTGGTTCTTTGGGATCGAAAGAACTTTGAGGGACGTAAGCCTTGCAATGTCGGGCGGCAAAACTCGTAGCTGATTACGGCCGAGGTCAAGGATTTCGAGAGATTTGAGCTCACAAAGCTAATGCATATGTTAGGTTTAGTCCATGTAACAGTAAGACATAGCAAAGGGATATGTGGGATCGTACAGGCAAGGGAAATTCTTTGATCTGGTTGCCTCTAATGTTGAGGTATCGAAGCGAAACACACTCGGCAAAGCGGGCGGGCAAAGACGAAAGCTGGTTGTGTGATAGGGCGAGCCTATATCGTAACGCCTAGTAGTCAGCAAACATGATCTCTATGTTGGTGATTCCTCTTCTTAAGGAAAAAAAAAGACTGTTGGCTGCTCACCGTTCCAGCTCATTCTTGACTATATCAACCACCTCTTCGGGGAGCTTTTGTATGCCTTTACGGCTCAGATCGATGGTAACGCCCGACTTGAGGCCGGGGCCGACGTCGACGGCTTGGCTTTCATTCTCGAGGGCATGTCGCATTGCCTCGCGGGTAAGACTGATAACTTGGGCGGCCGTCAAGATGGGCGTAGGAGGCGGGTTTCCATTGGGAGGCGGGCCATTCCGGCCATTGGGCAGCGGCGGAAGCGGCATCATGGGCGGCTGCTGGCCGTTCGAAGGAGCAGTGGTGAGAGGAGGACGACGTGCCTGAGATGGATTGTTATTATCGGGCATGCCCATGCCTATGCCTATGCCCCTGAGAGCAGTGGCGGGGGGTCCAGGAGCAGCTCCAGGACTTGCGCCCATGCCAGCAGGCATTCGGTCGGGTCGCTCCATGGCGACTAACCGGGAGGTAGCTGTTCAAATCAACCCTCTTTTTTGGGGTTGCTCGCATGCACACACACACCCAGAGAGACGGTACAGAGCACCTATATCGGATACTCTGAGTCGGCCGTTGGGAGCTTTGGAGGGCCGAGGCACTTGGCAGTAGAAAATGTTTCAGAAGCCCCCTCTCCAACCCTCGCGCCAGAAATCTGGGGAATTTTGCGATTAAGCAGATCGGGGCTGCGACGAATGACCAAGCGAAGCACGTGAGATCATCATGATCAAGCCCGGCCAGGCGCCTAAGGAAGATTTGCCGTTTCGCCTTGCAGGAGGGATTGAAGTGCCAGAGACACGAGGTCGCGAGAGAGAAGTCGGTCGTTGGACGTGGTTTGGACGTGAGGCTCTTGGCGGGATTGGATCGGATTGGGTTGGACTGATTGGACTGGGGCCAGAGCTGGACGGTTAGAGCCCCTGAAACACTAGCGGGTGGTTGGCGAGGACAGTGCGAGGGTCGCTGCGAGGGTGAAGCCACAGCGGCTAGGCTGGCCAACCTCGCCCTGAGAAACGACCCTGATAGGGGACCGCATACCTTACGGCGTCTTTTTTTAGAGCGGGCGCTGGGCTGATCTCATGAGGCTGACTGTGACACATTACATGTACCAATAATGGACATGTACGGAGTACAAGCATTCATCAACTCGATGACCTGTTGTCCTGGCGTTTTCTGTTCGCTGCCTGATGGAGCCACCTTATACGGAGTACTTGTACGAGTACATGTTTTCAACCGTCATATTCATGCTGCGTCGCTCGCCAGGATTCCCGCTCGTATCTGCCTGTACCTGAGATAACTTTTTCTCGTGCAGATGCTCCACCGCATCATCCGGGATTGCCTAAATGCATAAACATTGACTCGCATGCCCTGCAAGCACGAGCGCGGGAAGCAATGCGTTCATCGAGCAATACGGGGCGTGGTCCGGAGTGCTAATGGGGTACTGCTCCGTACTTTGGAGATCGATATCGCCACTTGTTGGGCGCTCCATCGGCCCCCTTTTCCTACGACGAGTGCTCCATGCAGGTCAGCGGATAATACTACTAGCATTGGTACTACAAAGCACTACCAACATCATGTTTAATACAGGTCCTAGCTCCATCAGTAACATTCATTCTATCTCTCGCGCTGAATACCGTAGGGATGGATCAACTCCGAGGCGCCGCTCACAAGACAAGGGTAGATATGTGGTTATGTCCGGATCTTGGCAATGTACTCCCTACAGGTATCCAACACGACAACGCGTAGCTCAAGTGCCGTAGCAAGATGCTGAAGAAATCAATGGATTCCTTTTAACCACTACCATTGCTACTTCCTTCCGGTATCGCTACTTTATGCTCCCATCGCTGCATTTCTCTAATATCTGCTATTATCACTACTATTAAATTTGGGACACGGGATGCCGGATTGCCGCGCAACTTGGGGTGCTGGACGGCCACTCCCATAAGATACCCAGGTAACCAGAGCACTAGTTCCCAGTTCAGCAATTCGCCATATTCATCCTGCCCGCCAGTTGCTCCAGGAAACCGGAGTGCTTATTCTGGCCATGGATGCTGTTGAACCGGACGCAGGAATGCGTTCAGCTTCGCATTGGCCGCAGTACAGCCGGGGGTGAGAAAAAGCATTCAAAGAGAGAAGACGCTAGCATGGCGCTATGCATTAATAATATGGGGAACAGTGTTTAAACGGCCCTGAAAGCTGAATTGTTTACTTGTACCCGTACTTGTACCCCGTACCACAGCGTTTCCGCGTACAACACAAACAGAGAGAGGGCATTTAGGACATGTATTCTGATGGGTTGCTAGAAGCTCCAGGATTGGGTGTTTGCCGTGCACAAAAATAAAAAATTCGAAATGACTGGTGCGACTCTCCAGAGCAACACGAGTTGAAAGCAGTGAACACGTGCCTCCAGGCAACGCCCCCTTAGCAAGGTATTCGCTACTTCGTAAGGCGCCGATGCTAGTATGCGTGCTGCCAAGTGGCGTATCCTAGACTCACGTACCCAGTACAAGTGCTCCCCTCCTACTCCATATCCCGCGTCCCCGAAGTTGGCGATTCGCGTTCTAGAAGAGCGTCAAAATGCTTCTAACACGAGCTAGGCTTCACCCTTTGAATCGCAGCAAACCCGCATGCCATCTCTATCGGTCCACAGCGCACCCAAAGATCTCGATGCCGCGCAGATCTTTACTCACTCACTCGCTCACTCATTGCGCCGCGTCCCAGCCAATGCCAGCCTCTGCCTCGCTGCCGTCGCCCTGAAGTCTAGATTCGCTCTGCCATGCCCCCCCTGCAGAGGGTAAATTCATGCACGGATATCGGGTTCACTCTCCGGCGGCAGTTCCACAAGGACGATTTCAGGTAAGCTCGGTGGATTTGTTTTTCTTGTCGTCATTTCCCCGAGTCGGGTTCTTTGCCTTTCTGGTTCATGTCCTTGCAGACTGACATTCACGGGCAATCGGCTCCTCAAGGCCCCATCAGCGTGAAATCATTGAGGCGGCATTAGGCGGCCATGATGTATACGTCCAAGCAGCCACATCGTTCGGCAAGAGCCTGTGCTTCCAACTGCCCGCCGTGATTGATCAAGGCAGTGAGTTGTTGGCTTAAAGAGGGGAGAAATGGGGTCGACTAATAGGGATCTCGGTAGTTACCATTGTCGTCTCGCCGCTGCTAAGTTTGATGGTACGGTTGGCCGACTGTATGGTTCCTGTCGACATGTGTTGGTAGCTGATGATGCTGCCTGTAGATCAACCAAGTAGAAGCCTTGAAAGCTGCCGGAATCGATGCCAGTTCTTTGAACAGCAACACGTCGCCCGATGAGAGAGATCGCATCCAGCGTGATCTGGAGACCGGCCATCCGAGAACCAGGCTTCTCTACGTCACACCGGAGTTGTGCTCGGGCTCGCGATTCCGCCAGCGCCTGCAGCTTGTACACAGGCAGAAGGAGCTTGCTCGCATTGCCATTGATGAAGCTCACTGTATATCAGAGTGGGGCCATGATTTCAGAAAAGATTTCAAGCGATTATCCTGGTTTCGGGAGACGTTTCCGGATGTACCCATCATGTGCCTCACGGCGACGGCGAACGCCCAAGTACGGCAGGATATTCTCAAAGTCTTGCGTCTCGATGCCACGCCAGAAAGGATAAAGACATTTCTGATGAGTCCAGAGAGAGGCAACCTTCATTTGGAAATCAGATACACCAAAGACGAGGACGACAACCGTCTTTCAGACTTTTTGAAATGGATACATGCCGTGTATGAACGAAGGCGCGCTGAGCCGCGGCAGAGTGAGTTGGCGAAGCAGCGTGAAAGAACCGAAAATGTTTCGGGAATCATATATACAACGTCCCGCGATGAATGCGAGTCGCTTTCAGCCAGTCTCCGAGACGCAGGCGTTGGTGCTCGGCCGTTCCATGCCAAGCTGCCCAAAGATGTCAAGGAAGACACGTTGACCAACTGGATTAACAATGAGCCGGGCTACGATATCATCGTGGCTACCACGGCATTTGGCATGGGCATTGATAAGGACAATGTACGATTCGTCGTGCACTGGAGACTTCCCAAGTCCTTTGAGGGGTATTATCAAGAAGTCGGGCGAGCAGGTCGCGATGGCAACGCCAGCTATTGTTTCCTATATTATAGCCGAGAGGATCTCGAACGAGTCTCGCGGATGATAAAGAGCGACACAAAAGCCGACTCAAACTACGAATCGCGGTTAAGGAGCCTGCAGGCATTGGCATACTACTGCGAGAACATCAACGCCTGTCGACACGCTTCTATATGCAAATATTTCGGCGAGGAGACAATTCCAGCGTGTGATTTCGCATGTGATTTCCATAAGAACTCTGACGATCTCGAAGAGAGATTTGTGAGAGGTTTGGCTAGCGAAGAATGGGTGAGCACGCAGGCGATGCAAGGCACGTATGACAACTACGCGGGGGACTACTGAAGTTATATTTTAAAAAGATGAATGAAGAATAGACTAGGGGCCTGTCAATTGAAAGCGTGGAGAGTACATAGCTATATAGACGAAGGTCGCATGAAATCTAGCTAGAATTGCATAACCCCCAATGCTGTTGCGCCTTTTCCCGCACATATCTATCATACATATGAGAAGATAATCAGTGCTTCTTGCCTTCTTTCTCAGCCCTCTTCGCGGCAATAATCGAGTCCAGCCTGTTCCAGGTCGTCACGCCCTCGAAAAAGATGTTGCTAGTCCATGCCCACCACACCCTAGAGAACCTCGGCACACCATGCTTCTGCAGCCTCCATCTGTCAAGCAAAAACACCTCCACCACATGGATACCAAAAACTATCCAGAAAATCGTCCTGACTATCCACAGGAACCACTCTGGGCCTCCTGGAAAGACCACCTCGAGCGTATCCCATATGCCACTCCCTGGCACAACCCACGGTAAGCCAACACAGCAGATGTAGTAGAAGACGACACCGCCGAGGGGGACCCAGTCGAATCCTCTGGGCCAGGCATATTCTGTAAGATAAATGTCGCTGATACCGAGGGCCTCGCGAGCAGTGACGTCCATTGCGATAACACGAGGGCGGGCTTCGGCCCAGGATGACAAGGGAGGCGAAAATGGGACATCATAAGTGCCGTTAAGGGTCTTGATGGCCATGCCAGTGAGGCTCATGTCCTGTATGGCAGGCGAGGCAGTGGCGGCGCGAGCAGAGAGACCAACATAATGGCGGAGGTAGTGAGAGAGCTCGCGGGAGTGCTGCGTGTTCATGTGAGTGATGATGCGGCCTTTGATCTCCTGTTCGGAGGGAGGAGCTCGGTTCGTCGCCATGGTCCCTTTGTTTGCCGTGAGGAGGTATGGGAGAGAGGTTTCCGGAGTCAATTGAGGTGGGAGAGGGGATATTATTGAGCGAATTCTACTCAACAGGGTGAGTTGATGATGTGAGATGTGGTTGAGAGTGGAGTCGCGGCTAGCTGCATGTGTACTCTTGTATAGGTACCTACCACCTAGTTGGTAATCGCAGCAAGGGAGTATACGATGGGAGCGATAAGAATATGCCACGTAAAATGGGAAAAGATTTGTCTACTCTATTTTTATATGATTTTTCGTCATTTTGACTCGATTGACGGAATTCGAGGGGCTTTCTCGCCGAGATCTAAGACATCCCCTGCTGTGCTGACTGCATATAGTGATCTACTTGGGTACCTGACTTGAGTTTAAGCAACATTGTTGCGAGTTTGCTTGGTTCCAAATTATGTCAGGTTGACTACCTATATATGCTTTGTCGAGGGGAAAAATATAAAGCTTGAGAAGTGCCCGTTATTGTAATTTGCCTCTGGTGTATAGCAAGTTCCAGTGAATAGTACCGGCGGTTGCACCTATCCTGTGTTTGACAACTTCAGCATCCCATCTTACCTATTAGTCCGAGTTCATTGCAGGGTTCTCGGGGATGCGGGCCGCTGCTATTATGGATAGGTAGTTTATTAAGCAGCTGTGCTAGACGGGAGACGCACAACCTTAAGTGAACCTGGAAGTAATCTAACTGTCTCTGGGAAATGTTCTACGAGCGCAGTGCCTTTTGTAAGTGGCCTTTTTTGGCAGCTTGTCATCTCAGCCTCGGTGCACCGTCAATTACGTAGACGATGGCTGAGTTTCACGTGCAAGCGCTATTTACGCGGCCGGATGGCCATCGGAAATGTAAAGGCTGCAACTATAAAAGACTGGAGAAAACAAGAGATCCCATCTTGGATTCTCGGACCCGCAATGTTACCGGCGTTCCGTGAGTCACTCGAAATCCTGGCTGAGGATTTGATCCTAGTGGAGATCAGTGCGACGAAGGAGCGGAATTAGAACCCATCTCCGTCGTTAGCCGGAATGTGTAGAGCCAAGTTGTTAACTTGGAGGTAGTTTCACGATGGCTTTATACAAGTGCCCAGCGGCCCGATAGCCTGTATCCAAGAGATAGAAAAACTCGATGAAATGCTCTTACAGAGCTCAAATTATCCTTGAACCTGGCTATAGAGAGAGAGCGTTCATCATCAAATAGGTCGATAGATCGCCGAATGCTACGTGACAGTAGCTCCGGACCCGGAGGCCAAGGAGCCGTTGGGTGGGTTGAGATGGTGGGTTTGGTTCGCCGGAGGAGGCCGGATATGTCAATTTTAATCAGCGATTCGTGGCCCGCGCTTGGCCAGTTTGGAAAGTCTGAGCGAGCTGTGCATCATAGGTCGAAAAAGCTGTCAGGTCTGGATAGTGCGGAATGCAGAGATATAATTACGATCGAGGCAGCAGTTTCGCGAATCGCGTGTGACCCTGGGTTAAAACACCGAAGTCGTCGACATGCAGCACCGGGTAAATATTCTTTCATCACATCGACGCCGTTTCGTCATTTTCGATAGACACGAGCGAAATACGACGAGAGCCGCGCACGCCGGAAAAAGGAGCCGGAATTAACATACATATATATACACACGTATATATAGCGAGAAGGAACTGGTAGGGGCGTATTCTTGGGGTTTTCTTGGCTCTTCAACCCATTGCCTACCTGCGTGAACTCGGAGGTCCGAGGGATGCCAGGGCCAGCCAATGACTAAGCTGCGCATCACTTTCTGTTTCCGGAATAGACCGTCGGTCCTCGGCTCGGACTTTGCCTGAAAAGGCGCCCATGACACAAATTGCAGCTTTTCTTTATCAGATCAGATTGATAAAATTCCCAAACCACCAAACATTTTTGACCCCGGGACCCCTCCTCTCGCCTTGCGCAGTATTTCCCTAACTCTTTTTTTTCGTCGTAACTCCGACATATCTTCGCCATGGCTGATCGCAGTGAGAGCCCGGACTCCGACGGCGGTTCGGTATCAAGACACGACTCTGACCAACCACCGGCCCGCAAGAGACAGCGCGTGCGACTGAGCTGTCTCGAGTGCCGCCGCCGCAAGCTCTCGTGCGATCGTGGCTTTCCGTGCGAGCGCTGCATTAAGAGCGGCACCCCTGACCGCTGCAGCTACGAATCACGCAACGGAGAAGTCGTTAATGCATCATCCGGCATTCCTCCGTCCTTTGCGCAGCTGGACTCGCGCCGCTTCGGGATTGGTGATGCGGTTTCGGGCTTCGGCCCCCGAGACTCTGAGCTGGCCCGCCAAGATCATGACCGCATCCGCAGACTGGAGCTGGAGATTACCCAGCTGAAGAACCTTCTCACCAGGCCTGGCGGCTCAGCGTCTCTAGACGGGAGCACCGTCGTGGGCAGCACCAACTCGCCGTCGACGCAGAAGGATGAGGGAGCCGATGGCGAGGCGAGGCCCCCCGCGGAAGAGCAGGAGATTATCCAGAAGAGCGGCATGGCAGGTGAAAATGGCGAGCTGCGCTTCTTCCGTGGCAAGGGCTTCCGCACTCGCTACTTTGGCCCTCACAATGCCAGCATGGCCTTTGTCGAGTTGACCGGCCTTTGTCCGTTTATGCGCGAGACGGCGGATGAGTGGCTGCGGCCGGTGATTCTTCATGATCGCAAGGACCGCAAGCGCCGCCAGGAGGAGCGAGAGACCATCTTTGAGCAGTCGGACCCGGAGCTCGACGCCCTTCTACCCCCCAAGGAAGAGGCCGATGCCCTCATAAATGTCTATCTCGAACAGTTTGAGCAGATCCACCGCATTGTACACGTGCCCACCTTCCGCAAGGAGTATGCGGAATTTTGGCTTCCTGGAAGCAAGCAGCGATACGCAGCCTTCACGGCTTTAGTCTTGTCGATGATGGCCGTAGCGAGCTGCGTGCATACCCACGAGTCGCTCAAGTTCATTGGCATGATGTCGAAACCACGACACATGGCTGAGAAGTGGATTGTGGCGTGCGATGCGTGGGCGACGAGGCAGAGCCAGAAGCACCGACGACTCATCCATTATCAGATCGCCTGTCTGCTTTACCTTGGCAAGCGCGTTAACACCATTAAGAAGAAGCGCTTCTGGACTAGCTCGGGAAATCTGATTCGCGATGGCATCGCTGTAGGACTGCACCGCGAGCCGAGCCACATGGGCGGCAAGATCACCGTGTACAACCAGGAGATGCGGCGGAGGATATGGGCAACAGTGCAGGAGTTTGACATGCAGGCGTCGTTTGACCATGGCTTGCCGACCTTGGTGAGCCAGCTTCACTTCGACACCAACCCTCCTCGGAATCTGGACGACGAAGACTTCGACGAGAACACGACGATATTGCCACCCTCTAAGCCGGCCAAGGAATATACGTTTTCTTCGTTCCAGAACTTGGCGCGGCAGAGCTTGCCTCTGCGTCTCGAGCTCAGCCGTCTTCTTACCGGACCGGTATCCGAGATAGACTATGACCAAGTCATTCGTTATACCAATGACTTGACACATGAAATCGATGCCCTCCCTTCCTGGGATATGAATCCTGAGAACAACGGCGATAGCAAGAAGAACCCATTGATCGCATACACGTTACTGCACGTCCAGTTGCGGCAGTACATTACCCCTCTGCATCAGCCCTATCTCAAGCTGCGCAAGCAAAACTCCAAGTACCAGTACTCGGAAATCATCTATTACAATGCCGCGCGGGATATGGTTCTTTTGCATGACAAGCTGTACGAGCAGGGCGTACGAGCGCTCAACTTCTTGCGAGAGGACGCTCTCACCACGGCAATCAATCTGTGCAGCGTCACGATGCTGCAGCCTCGCGGATCGACAAACATGATTATGATCAACTCCCACCACACGGTGAAGCTCATCGAGAAGTGCATTGCGATGAAGGAAGACCGCCTACTGCGTTGCGGCAATAACGAGCCGTGGGGTTACTCCATCATGTGCGCGGCATTGGGGCTTCTTGAGGCCCATCTGGGAACCAAGACCACCGAGGTGGCCAAATCTACGTCGGCCGAGAGATTTGTAAATCTTCATTATAAGCTTCTTGCCAACCAGGAGCCTCCTCTATCGTCTGCTCCATTGCCAGGGACTCCTCTTCATCCCCCTCCCATCGGCCCAATTGCCGGGCCAGGTATTGGCCCAGTACCTGGCTTGGAGCTGCCCGACGGAACCAAGGTGAGTAGTAACTACCTTTCTCCCATTCTATTTCTTGTGATACGACACTGACTTCTTTTGCAGTCTGTAACACCATTTGCCTTCCCAGCGCCCCTGCCAGCAGTCCCCGTGGATCCATCATGGGGTGTGAATGACAACACACAGCCCTTTAATCTCGACCCAAGCCTGGAGCTACTGGGTCTTAATCTGAATGAGATCTGGGGAGAGTCTTGGGAGCTGGGGCTGTAAAACACCCCCCCAAAAAAAGGAGCGACTGTTTTTGTACGTGAAAGCGTGTGTGATATATAGGGGAGGGTAGCCTGTTTTGTTTTCTTCTCCCTGACATCGAACTTGTAAAAAAAAAGGTCGGCGTTTTGCTTGTACTTGTACGAATGGCGTTTGGTGTATATTATAGAGATACCATGTAAGTATCACAGCTCTTATGTTTCTGCGACATGTTGCGGCGTAAGATGTATGTAATATATGTTTGCGAATTTTGCTATGCAGTTTGATAGTCGAATCTTCGGGTTACTGGTCTACATTGGTCTAGTTATAATTGAGTATCTATATGTGAGACCGTTATCTCAGCCTTGAACGTGCATCTAGGAGGATATCGTGAATGTCAAGTCATTGTAGAACCTTGATTGGTAAAGTTCTACAAGGTCATCAAACAGGTCTAATTCAAAAGGACCCCGTGTCTGATTATTCGACAACTCAAACCATCGGTTATAAAGATTATTCGTCACTCTTGTCAAAATCAACTCGTCCACAACTTCCAAATCCTTGGCGATTGCCGCTGGCCTGGGCCCGAACCATATCGGATGCCCCGTTTGGTTGCCTCCAGGCCTTGTCTGGTGAAGACGCCAATCCTGGCGGCGAGGTTGTCGACGTAGCTCTCCATCTCTTCCTTCGTATCAAACGCCTGGTTGACCCAGCCAAATTCCGCAGCGGTCTTTGCATCTGCGCTTTTGGCGGCCAGGAGATACTTGGTTGCGCGGCCTAGTCCGATCGGACGCGTGAGATACTGCAATCCGCTTGCTGCGTGTGTAAGGCCGATGGCTGCTTCGGAGGCACCGAGCAGTGCGCCTGTGCTTGCGAAGCCCATGTCCATCCGCACAAGTAATTCGTTGCCAGCACCCTCCGCACGGCCGCTGACTTCGCCGATGAAGATGGTCGGCACCGTACCAAGAAGGCGAGCTACGTTGTTGTAGGCGTAAGTGACCTCTCTGTTGGAGAAAGGAGGATGTAGAGGATGGTCTGTTGAAAGCATGTAGAAGTCGAGGTGCGCAAGGAAGAAGTCTAGATCGGCACTGGAGAAGATGACGACTTTGGGGGCAGCGTCTGAAGCATGATTCTTCTCAAGATTTCGAAGCAAGGTTGTAAAATCGGAGATAATGTCGATGTCTACAAGATTGATCGGGGGGTGGTCAATGAGGACTCGTGTGACGTTGCCAGTAGTGTTGAATGAGAATTTTTTATAGTCTTCGGGTGCTCCGAGTACTTGTGCTAAGGGGGAGACTCTCCTGACGGTCCGCGATAGTCAATTCCTACAACTCGAGCACTAAGTTTAATTTGAGAGAGTACAAGCATTATATTGAGCTTGTGATTTGGCGATGAGGATTAGCATTGATTCTCAGCCTCCTAAGCCTCTCTACGATAAAGCAGTTTCCATGTTCTACTCCGCGAATTTTGATTGTCCACGTTATCTATCTTAGGCGATCAGCCGAATACAACAATTATATGTAAGCTACAGAAAATCTTTTCCTCTCGTAAATTCGGCTTTTGTCTGTGTAATGAGAATAACCGTAACACCTTTGAAGGTGACTTTTGATTTCTAAAACAACTCTTTGAGTTACTGCCATCTGGATCTACCTAATGCCTGGAGACATCTTGTCTAAGATTGGATAAAGATACCCTTCCGATTTTCTCTCCTGGTGATCATCGACTAAATCGGTTGAAATTTTCTTTTTTCCATCATATATTTCAATCTTACATGAATTTGTTTGTCAATGTTATTCTTCTTTGGGCTCCTCTAATTGATGATGTCTCCTCATCCAACAAAGGGCCATTGCAGCAAGATTGGACAAAGGAATCTCTTCATAGGGTCCTCAGGCTAGTCAGTTGAATGAAAAATGTTAGGTCTGTGCTATTTACTACGGTTTGCGTATCTCCCCTGAAAGAAGACCAGAGTTACTTCTTTGTCTTCTTTTTAAGAAGGCATCAAAGGTGAACATAGCCTCTGTTACATAAATCCAGCCGATACACTTTTCCGACCTTCACTGTTCTTCTCCTCAGCATCGCGTCTGAGACAAAAATCGCAAACTAGCTGGCGAAGTAATTTTACGAAAAGTATTTTGGCCACGATGAGTGAAGAGCAATGGAATTTCAGGTTAGTCTACGTTTCGCAAAACGAAACATCTTGATGACCAAGGCTCACACACATATTACACCTAGTATTTACCTAGTTGGATTTCCTGACGTCAAGGGAGATTCATCGACCAGTCCAATCGCTACCCATATGAAAAGGCTTCTCTCAGAAGCTCGAATATTCAACCATAGCGTTTTTCAGGAAGTTACCTCTAAAATTTCTGAACATCACGGGGTTTCAGATGAATCTGTGGATATAAAGCATATTTGCGGACCGGAAAACTCGCGTCATGATGGCAATAAATGTAAGATGGTATAGGCAAGTGCTTAAAATTTTTGTACTCACAATCACTAACTGTTTCCCCCCCTTATATTTGCAAGACCTGGAAGTCTCTCTTCAGCATGGACTTGTGGATGTTTTTGGGACATCCGGTGTGCTCAGTGATCCAAAGCGCGAATTCTTCTTGTTGGCGTGGATTGAAGATGAAGCTATAAAGCTTCTTGACCACATTCGACAGAATGTTCTCCAACAGAAGGGACCTCTCCTCCATCGAATAGTACTTGCTGGCCATGGATTTGCTGGAATTGTTGTTAAAAAGGTGAGAGAGATGTCAAATGGTCGCAAAACTAGTTCGCAATGCCTAGTTTTACTAACTCTCTGATTGTAATTACAGGCTGTTACTATGGCTAATACTACTAAGAGGTTCTACGACGTTGCTTTGGCTATTGATGCCTTGCTATTCATTGATTCACCTCTTCAGCCAACAGACCAACAAAACTGGGATGAGTTGTTGCTCAAAATGTTGGATGCGACAAACATTAGCTATCGGGGTCGCCTGGCAGAGATTCATCCTGGTCTTATAGGCTCGCTATCTCAGATATCATACGACTTTTGTCAGTTTGCTGCCGAATACAGAATAACAAGTATCATCAGAAAAGTCAACAGCGACGAATTTGAGACTACAAAGTTCAATACTCCATTTGAAGAAGTTATACCGATATTCCGGACGCGTGATGAGATGTTGCGTTGCTCAATGCAAGATGCGGAATACCTCGGGTTATTAAAGAAGTTGTTTACTCCGCGTTACGTCAATCGAGGTATGTACCGTTGATTAATAGATACTGAATTGGTTGAAAGAATAAATAAATCTGCTTTGATAAGATATTGACTTGATGCTAGGTTGCGATGTTCGAGAACATCGACTGCAATCAGATATTAGAATTGACAGTTACTTTGAGCTCCTCCAGCGCCTCTCATCTTCGCAATGGCTCATGCGCAGCAACAAATTAATGGACCGTATAGAGGATTTCGAAATATTGAAGAAGATTTACCATCCTTACTTAACTAAATCTCTCACAAAGGAAATAATGGGGCGCTCTATTGAGATTGTGAATCCAAAGCTTCACGGAGGGTCGACTTTGTTGAGGCTTCTTTGTCGAGAGGTAATCGAAAGCTCACCTGTGGTCCTCATTGATGGTAACAACATACCACAGCGAGGAGAGAATACAAGATACAATATGTATATGTCTTCCATCCATCAGATCATCTCACAGTGGCCATCCCTGTTTCTTCCAATTCAGTCCATGGCAATCGAGATCATGTCTCAGAATGTATGGACAGAGGAGGTGCTTCATACTCTCCTATCTTCTATTCTCATCAACTCAAATAGGACGAAGTTCGTTGTTGTGATTGATGATTTTGAATCATGGCCATTTAAATTACATTTTTGGATATCCATGATCCAGAATAATATTTCAAAAGCTATGGGCTCAACACTTTCGATCCTGACCTGCAGTCGAAAGGACATCATCGAACCTACCCAGAAGAAACTTCAAAAGATCAAATTACGAATAGACCCAGAAAAGCACGCTGGCTTAATGACGGCTTTCATACACGCAAAATTGGATCATTTCCTTAGCCAGAATCTTGGATCAGCTTCTGCCAGGGCAGAACTAAAAGCTCATATCCTGAAGACTGCAATTCCATTGGTCCACTCATTTGAAGGATCATTTTCTTCTATGAACGCATATTTGATGAATCTGGTATACTCAAACCCGCCCTCTTCGATCAGAGTAATCAGAAATACGATGCAAGGCATCCCAGTCACACGAGAGAATATCTACAGACATTTCCTGCAGGATCTATTCCATAGACCAAAAGAAGTGCTCTCTTGGGCTGCCAAGGTACTGTCATGGCTTCTACTTGCTCTCAGACCGCTACATATTAAAGAGCTTGCGGTTGCAGCTGCTCTGGCCGAAGAGCATCTCACTCTGGATGACGTTCGGGATGATATATCTCTGGATATAGAGAAAGATATTCGTGAACATCTCGGACCCTTTGTTAGAATAGAAGGTCAATTTGCCTATCTGGACAGTCAAGAACTCAAGAGCATCTTGCTACTATCTGATGGCAATTCGCCCAAAGAGTTCAAGATATTGAGTGACCATGACTTAGTCCGAAACTCTCTACGTTATATCTATCTAGCTTTCACCCGTTCGCGAGAAAAAGAAGAAACATGGGAAAATTGTCTCTCGCAAATTTCTCATAAATACCAAGGCCGAGGTTACGATGAGCCTGTTTTATATCTTTTGGAATATGCCTGCCGATTTTGGCCCATGCATGTACACCGCTGCAAGGGACTTGATGAAAATCTAAAAACTGAGGTTCTTCAATTTTTCAAACAACAATCTTATATTACAAACATGTGGTTCAGGCTGTATCTCTTGTGTCACGGCCAGGTATCCAAACCATTTACGCAAGATCCAGAATTGGAAGAGATGAAAGTGCAAGTTCTTGACGATGATGATACTACGGTAGATGAAACATATGGATATCAGCCTCGGCCAGTTATTGAAATGGCTGACTACGTTGGATTATCTACAATTATTTTGGTACTTCTCCCCGATTTGGAGACAGACGTGCTTAAGGAAGATACAGCCAGGCGCGGATACTGGGATCACAAAGTTGTCATCCGGGACACCAAATCTAGGGATTATCTAGATTTAATCATTGAGAACGATGATGAAGTAGAAGAATTATTTAATGCTAATCGAAAAGAGATGGATGGCCACTTTCTTCTTCATAGAGCTGCTATATCAGGCCGTTTGAGAGCTACCAAAGTTCTTTTCAATATTCTCAACAACCACAATCCATTACTTTCTCATACTAATTCTGACGGCCGAACACCTTTACATATGGCAGCAATTTGTGGAAGCGAAGAAGTACTTCGGTTTCTCATTAGCAAGGCAGTCTCTGATACATTGCCTGATATACTTGATGCCAAAGACAACTACTCTGAAACAGCATTGATGGTTGCCGTACGAATGGGCAACGTGGTAGCCGCAAAGATTCTGGTAGAGTCTGGTGCGAAAGTCAATACCCAAGATGACGCAGGAAGAACTGTCTTGCATTTTGCAGCGTCTAATTGCCCGCAGTTAATCACAAGCCTAATGACTGCAAACAATGGCATCGCCTTTATGGCTGATCACGATGGATGCACTCCACTGCACATTGCCACAAAATGTGCAAGCCTGAATGCAACGTCGTTCCTTTTAGAAGCCTCTGGCGAATTAGGGCGCCTCTCACAGATTATGAGCGCGAAGGATAACGCGGGCAAAACAGCAATGCATTACGCAGCTGAGCTAGGCTTGGAGGAAATCATCCGATTTCTCGCTAGTACGGCATACGCAAAAAGGGCCGAAATGGATGAGATAGAGAAAGTCGCAGAGATAGCAGCTATATCTGGCCACATTGAAACATTGCGCGCGATTGTTGGTCACGAGGATATGAAGAATTTCGGTCACCAAGTTCTGAATGCCGCAGCATGTTCCGATCAACTGCTAGTGGTTTATTATTTGCTGCAAAACCACGTGCCTCTCAACAAGACACTTAAAGACGGCCACATCGTCCTGTCAAACGTATTATCAAAAGGCTCTATAGAAGTGGTACGCGTTTTGCTAGAACATGGTGCCGATGTTCAAGCGGCAGATTCTAAAGGGAGGAAACCTCTCCATCATGCTGCAGAACATGGGATGTATGAGATTGCGGAAATGCTTCTTGCTCATCAACCTATTTCGGATCGAAAAGCCATGATTGAAGCTAAAGATCTAGAAAGGTACAGGCCGCTCCATTATGCAGCAAGAGCAGGGGAGGTAAAAATGGTAGAGTTTTTACTGCATAATAATGCAAAGATAGACGCACCATCTGCAAAGCAACAGACTCCTCTTCACGTTGCCGTGGAGCACCCGGCAATGATGCAGCTTCTGATTGACGCTGGGGCTGATCTGAACGCTATCGATCATATTCAGAGAACTCTATTACACTGTGCCATTAGCAAGCGTGCCATCGAATCTGTTAGATTTCTTTTCGAACAAGGCGCATCGTTGGATGCCGAGGACTTCGAGTATTGTTCTCCTATGAGATATGCCATTGAAGAAAACGACGCAATTATAGTGGAAGCGATTATTCAGTTTCAAAGCAGTCTGAGCAAGCCCCTGGAAATTCCTTGGAAGGATCTGCTAACAGCAATTGACTCCTCAGCATTGGAAGCTCTCCGGATCCTGATAAAAGAGCTACCGAGCATCATCACAAAAACGGGTTACAATGGCACCTCGCGTTTGAATCAGTGTGACGATGGTTCGACGCTTTTGCATCGGGCGGCTGAATTTAGTGAGATTGGGATACTTCATATCCTCCTTGATGCAGGCTCGGATATAGGTGCATTGAGTATTACGGGAGAGACGCCATTGTTTCGCGCAGTAATATCCAACAAGGCGGACAATTTAAGACTCTTAATAAAGCGCGGCGGAATGGTAAATGAATGCAGGAAGGATGGCTGGATGCCTCTGCACATCGCCGCATATTGTGGTCATATTGAGAGTGCTGTTGCATTACTGGAGGGAGGCGCATCAATTAATCAACTTGCCGTCTGCCAAGCGACGCCTTTATACTTGGCTCAACAAGAAAACATGGTTGAGATGGCCAAACTGCTTCTCAAGAGAGGGGCTGATCCCAACCTGGCAGCGGATAGAGGCACGTCGCCTGTTTATATTGACAGGAAAGGAAAACCATCACGATATCTTTTGGGGGTCAAGTGACCCCAACTACATCCACTGTACCTACATGTAGTCATACCTCCTCTCTTCTTAGTCACTTTAGTTATGCAATCTTTCTTCTTCTTCTTCGTATTTCGGATTCTAGTCACCCTGCTTGCTTGCATTTGAGCTTAGTGCCTTTGGTACTCTAGCTTGTTTTCTCTTTGCCACCGTCTTTTCGTTCAGGATCTCTCCGTGACCACTCACTATATTGGCTTGAAAAGGGGTGCGTTATTCCTCTGATATGTATAAAAGTAACATAGATTGGTGACTTATACGTGTGACGTTCATTCTTTTATGAAGAATGCAGTGCCTCAAAAAGGGCATGCGAATGCGCCTGGGGGCGCGATGAAATCTAATAAGGGGCCATAACTACATACATACATGGATTTAAGATACCCAGCATCTGATTTCACATGATTCAAATGTCAATCGATGATTAAATATGACCGTAAGTAGTGGGAAATGAGGGTTCCGACAAGTTCCCTCCATTGCGATGCGCTGTCTTCCGTTCTACGAGCTCTAGGGTTTCAAAATTGGAGCTATATAGCTCCGTTTTCTGTAACATTTGAAATTGTCGAGAGGATCTCGAAAATAACTACACTTTTAATGGATATAGATAATTCGAAAAAGCTGAACTTGCCACTGGTATATAGCGCATTCTACCTGCGTTATGTTATAAGTTAATGGTAGTGTTCATCCACTCACCACGGCAACGAAGCTGAATTTGCAACCCACGAGACCGAAAATTACCAATTCTAAAAACTATCAAGCCGCATGACGGCCTAGATTACACCACTCTCGTTGATATTGAACTTGTCATTGGCATTGAGAGAAGTTCTTCGCCTAATGTGGTGGCAGCGACCTGCAGGACGTCATGTCGTGAGAGCCGGCAGGCTTAACGGAAACAGGGCATACTCGTATGTTTGATTTCGCCATTTTGGTCTAGTTAAAGCCCAGGCCTATAGCAGCTTTATAGTATCCTAGTAAATTCTTCTCGACGGCTTGAGCGTGGTAGGTCAGGCTACGAAAGCTGAAAATGTTAATGTCGACTAGAAGGAACTAACACTAAGGCTATTTTTAAGCTTGGCTAGGTAGGGATGCATTGTCGCTCTGGATGGAAGGGGTCGAGAACGGCAGTCATCAATAGTACGTGCAGTAATGGCCGCCACGCGCTTGAGCTAGGCATATCAGCTCTGTAGACGGCAGTTGGTCTATGCTCCTATTGGGTGAAGGGGTATAGATTAGATGACAACTATTGATCACTCGGCTAGCAAATGCTACTTCAGAGCCGCGTTCTCGATTCCCATCGTAAGCAGCCCATGTAAACATGACCAACGCCTCAATAGCTAGTGGCATTGTATCTCAGCCGCAGCTGGTATGAATGATGGCGGGAGATAATGCGCCATGGTAGTCCTGCATCCGAGCCAATATCTATTGAAGCTGGATAGCTTACCTGAAATTATTTTACGACCAACCAAAGGCTTCTTAAGGCAATAAAAGTATATAAATCAGTGGGCAAATTCTCATGTTCTCAAATCCAACCCTGCCTCATCCACAGAAAAATATTGAAAAAGCAGTTTAACAATCGATTCATTCTTCTCCCTTCTAGGCAAACAGTTATATATCAAAATAATTTCATCATGCCTCTCAAGGACGGAATTTTCATCATCGCCAGCACTCTCCCCACCAATCCAGTTCTTGATATATATGGCACGGCCGTCGCCTTCAACAGCCCCCTCTCTGGCGTCGTTGGTTTGTCAGTTTCGATCCAAAGCCATATCTCTTTAAATACTCATAAAATTAACGCATCTAAAGCGCAAGGCAGAATACCGACACTAAACACCAGCAGTGGGTTGTAACCACTCTTCGCCGGGGTGTTTATAGCCTGAGATCCGTTCTCGGTAACGCTTATATCACTGCTCCCGGTATGCTCACATAACATTATTTATCTATTCTATCTGATATTCGATTATTTAACTTCAAAAATGCCTCCGAATTAATCTAACTCATCCATACAGTCGATGGCAGTGTTGCACAGCTCGACACGTCCGTATATGACCCTGTCAATAACGAAGCTACCCGTTGGAAAATAACGAACGTCGGAGTTGACACCTACATGTACGTATCGTTCTTTTCTTTTCTTCGTTTATTATCTTTAAATCATTTTTCACAATGATATAGTTCATCTCGTCGCTAACATATTTCTCAGAATTGAGAGTGTACAATTCCCAAACTGTGTTATAGATCTCCAGTATGCTAGCTCCGATGACAACACTCCTGCTCTTCTGTATCCGAATCACCAAACCGCCAATCAGATCTGGAAATTTCTCCCTATTGCGATTTAGTCCATGAGCATTATTACATCGGACAAGATAAATATAGTAATAATAAATACATGTTTATTTAGTGTTGTTAAGCCTTTCGGGTCTTGAGAACTGCATCGAAGCTGCCACTTTGGTCGTATTATTCACCTCAATCATGAGTAACTAGATAACATTCTCGTGGCGATCGAAAGTCTACCAATACTTCTGTGTCTTTGTTCTGTTTGGTGGACAGCAGGGTAGACCCGTCTGCTCCGACCACGACAGTGGTATTCGGCTTGATTGGTACCTACCCACTGATCGGACTGTGTGTTGTTCCCATGTCTAGAATTCTCTGACTTCTGTTGTTATCATGTTTTATTCTTCACTGTCTGTTAACCTTCTCTTCTCATCTTCTCCGTAATTCCACCCATGGATGTGACAAAGCTCACACTAATCTGCTGGCAATGAGTCGTTATTTACTGGCCGAGGTAGCTGGGATAAACATCTACTCTTCTCCTTCTAAGCCTCTTCTAATGACCTTGAGGTTCTGCTTAAAAGCCTTTACATTAACAGTCAGGCAATTATATGACGTGTTTCAATCACATACACAGATGAACAGTAGGAAATTTGGGTGCCGTCAAGTTCTCATTTGAATTCTAATGTCTTCTATCTCTTGTGTCTAATGACTCTGTTTGGGGAGTTACATGATGCCGTTGACAGAGGGCGATGAACCCCTCGTGTCGGACAAATCGCCACAGTTAGGTTACTTAATCAACTGTTGGAACATATCTCATATTAACGCCCGTTTTGTCGACGTCGGTTGTGTCCTTGTACCCCGACGTTTACGGCCATGGCCCACTCTTGTGCTCATCCTCAATACTGTATGAGCCGAGGCGAACCAAGGCCAGTAAATTGAGGAATGGCCAAAAATCTTGTGTCAATTAAGGAGCGTCTCTACACCGCCATAAAATTTTTTTTTTTAAAAAAAAAAATAACATAGATAAATAGTTCTGCAGAACTGCAAAAGTGACAGTCGCTGTTGAATGTGCGTGATTGAAGGAATAAGAAGTGCTATATAGATAAAACTGACGGGCTCAGCATCTGCATAGCACTGGGCCAATACGTTTGCATATAGGCAATATATGCTTGTGCTAGCAGGCGCCATACAGTCAACTTCAACTCGAGAGCATTAACATATGTTTTGTAATCTCAAGCCGCTTCTTCATTATAACGTTAGTGCGGGGTTTGAGGGGGGAGAATATGTCATCAATGTTAAGCTTAAGTTGGCTGGGCCCTAAGCACCTTAGCTCAGAGGCCAAAGGTATAACAGGAAGATAGAATAAACCTGGTGTCTTTATATCCGAGGCTATGGCGATGTGGCAGCCTTTGTATTATTAATTTGATACGAATTTGAGACGCGGGAAAGGTATATTTAGACGACAGATACAAACTTGTAAGAGAAGAAGGCCGACATTTGAATAATAAAAAGATGGAAAGTGGAATGTGCGGAAGGAAAGCTACTTGGTCACAAATTGAATTAATCCTTTATGGATGGAACTATAATGTCATTATCTCTCTCAATACTTTAGTAATGCAAAATATTGAATAAATAAGTATATATCCGAGACTGAGAGCCCGCAGCATAAAGCGCATAAACTTGATTATATGTCTAACTTGATTTCGTAGTATATTTTAGATGTCTTCACCACGGAGTCTCTTATACAAGTGCCGTTGTACTCTGTATATATCGGCGGATTACTAGAGTACTACCCCTTCCGCAGCTCCGAGAATAGATCTGGAAATACTTAGCAGGCTAAATCGTATACTTAGCCGGATGCACCCCAGATCCGCTTGACGCCGATGAAACGGTATTAGCGCGATGCATCACTTTCCAATCTCTTGAACGGCCCTATTCTAATGGATGGCTATTAATTTTCTTCGGCACGCAATTGCCGAAGTATACCTGGCACCTGCTGTGTTTAGGCAAAACCCCAAGAGCAGATGATGATCGAGCTCCGTTTCAACGTCAGTTGATGTGTAGATATTCCAAAGGCCTCCGTTAGTGCGAAATGTATATAAGCCCAAGTTGAACAATCCGGAACTCAAGTATCTATTAATGACATCTCCTCACTGCTTTTTCTTAGAAGATCTTCACCATGGTTAGCTTTACTTCTCTTGTTGTCGCCTTAGTTGGCATCGCCAGCTCCTTGGCTGCTCCATTGGATGAATTTCTTAGCGTAAATATAACTGAACGTGGACCTCACGACTTTGTCTTGGGAGAACACAATGCTGTTCGTCGCTCCGCTATAAACTATAACCAAGACTACACCACTGGCGGAGATGTTGTCTACACTCACACCAGCACAGGATTTGCGGTTAACTGGTCCTACCCAAATGACTTTGTGGTGGGAGTGGGCTGGAGCACAGGAGGATCTGCGTAAGAGCCATTACTCTTTCTTTTTCATTCAGTTGCTGATACTACATACATATTTTAGACCCATCAAGTTCAGTGGTAACTTTGGTGTCGGTAGTGGAGTTGGCCTGCTCTCTGTCTATGGCTGGAGCACTAACCCCCTTGTTGAATACTACATCATGGAAGATAACTTTGGCTTTCCCGCCAGCGGCACGGTGAAAGGTAGCGTCACCAGTGACGGATCAAGCTACACAATCTGGGAGAACACACGTGTCAATGAGCCTTCCATTGTTGGCACGGCGACCTTTAACCAGTACATCTCCATACGAAACTCCAAAAGATCTAGCGGCACAGTCACTGTTGCAAATCACTTTAATGCGTGGAAATCGCTGGGAATGAATCTAGGCACCATGAATTATCAGGTTGTCGCTGTAGAAGGCTGGGGCGGCCAAGGTGGCGTGCAACAAACTGTCTCTAACTAGTAATTTTTAACTGGCTCTGAGAAGTCGTGATACTACGTTGCCTTTACTACGCTCGTCTAGCAGTGAAAGATTTGTGGTATTGCATAGCTATAGTACACATGCTTAGTGATTGGATGTAATTGACAAGAGGTAGTGACAGTACACCAAGCCAGATATATCTGAAATTATCAACGTTGTAGCTAGTTGCGATCGTATTCCACAGTCCTCCGTGGAGGATGAGCTAAAATTGTTCAACATCTAGGATATAAGCAAAAATAATAAAGATTTGAAGCACATCCGACTTAAAGTAGTAGAAAATTTGGGGACTGGTCAAGTTCATTATCAAGGTTCAGGGTTTACCATTATGGGAATCTCGGGCAAACTTAGACCAGTGTTAGAACTTGAATTGAATCTTAACCTTGGAACATAAATACAATTATAAATCCAGCCAAACATAGGAAGGACAACGTGGTATATTGAAGCGAAGAGTACAGAAGAGCAGGCAAATAACGTCTCACACAGACCAGCCGCCGTTGTAATCGCTACCATAGTGACAGCTACATTCACAACTGCAACAAAAATTCCAATTAAACAACAGTATTCGAGGCCAGTAGCCTTCATTTTGCCCCACGTTTTGGCATCCCGGACTTCTCATAGACAGCATCCACAATCTCCATAAGCTTAACGCTTTCATCCAAATCAACCCAGGGTCCATTATATTTCTCTTGGTTTTTGGTAGCTTTGATACGATCAACAAAACCTTCGAGTTGATATCTGTACGTTGTCCACCAAGATTGGCCCCTCTCGCCCCATATAGGCCCACCAGTGTAGCAGGTCTCAGTTGTTTTCTTGCCGCTCTTCTCCGTAACGATAATCTTATGCCCAATAAATGGCGTACTGAAGGAAGTAAACTCAATCTTGGCCTGTTCTAGTTCCAGCACTGCCAATGGTGTCAGACCCCACATCTGTGGTATGAAGCCCAAGTACTTGGGCGTTGCCAATTGACAGACAGTGGTGCATTTGACCGGTGACCTGGCACTGTCGGCGTTAGTAATTGTGATGGTTGCGTCCATGTTTTCATCAACTCGTTTGTCGCGTTTGCTGAGCTGAGGCTTCGTTGATAAGACTTCAAAGCTGGTCCCTTTTACATCGTTGGGAGCGGCGGCCCAGTACAAAGATGAAGAAAGGACATAGCAGAGATCCATGGAAGCTCCGCCTCCTAGTTCGTACTTGAATCGGATGTCGTCAGAGCTTAGAGTTCCAGGGGGTAAAACCATTTTTGAAAAGACAGACGTGAGGTGGCCATATTTCCCGCTTTCGACGATTTCTTTAACCCGATGGGCCGCAGGGTGAAATCTCCAGTGGTAAGCCTCAAGAGCAATTTTGCCAGTCTCGTTGGCGCAATCCCGGATCTCTTTGGCTTCATCGGCGTTAGAAGTAATAGGCTTTTCGATCAGCACATGTTTGCCCGCTCTCATGGCATTTATTGCCCACTTATGATGTAGGCCATTGGGAAGAGGAATGTAGACAGCCTCGATATCAGGATCCTGGAGAACCTCTTCATAGGAATCATATACTTTAGCTGCGTCTAGTTTGTATTTAGCGACTTGCGCTTCTGCTTTTGCTTTCGATCTCGCGGCAATGGCGGTAATGACGACACCTGGATGAGTCTGTACCGGATCAAAAATTGCAGGGAAGTTGATTCCAGCGGCCGACAAGACGCCAAGCTTAATTGCATCTGGACTCTTTTGCTTTAGATTTGCCTTTATTTTGTTGACGCCATTCCACCAGTTACAAACATCGATGATGAGCTGTACACATCATTAGCCTCATCGGCATAGAGATTTCGATTTGTATGGTGTACCTCTAGTATCATCGGCATCTTTGAGGTGTTCCAGTTCGAAATGTTCGAAATGAAGCGTTATGGATGAAAATGGCCCAACCTATCACATATGTGCTCTCAGTGGACTTTAAATCGCAATGAGCATGGGAATTAGAGCTCCGACGAGGAGCGGAGATTGTAGGTTTAGGAATGGATTTACGTCTAGCCTTAGGCCAGTTGTTCGGGGCGAGGCCTTTTATCTAATTTAGAATGCTACTTTTGAACATTGGAATTGGGCAAGCTTCTCGCCAAATCCGGCCGAATCGCAGGGGTTCAACATTGTTGCAAAATTGGCAAAGGTAGCCTCAGAACGGTTCTTCGGTGCATTTCAACATTCCGCACCTGATCCGACGACAATGCAACGTCAACTCTGAGCCAGACACTACTTTTCAATTTGGATAAACGCACTTAGCATCTCTCCTCCGCTGACAAACTTGGTTATTCATTGTGAAAGGGATTCGGATCGGGATTGCGACCAGAATCCGAATATTTGCATCTGTCCATCGAGTAAATACCTTGCCAGCGATACCTTTTTACTAAAATCATGTAGTGCAAATCTGATGTGCTTTACACATATACACAGGTGTTGAGAACCACTAGATTGCTGAAATAAGCAGTATTACCTCCAGCCTGGCCCGTGAGACATGCAGCATAGCCCAGCAAGACTCTACCGCCATGCTGTCAATATTCTGTCAACGCAATCCGAAGACAGTACCTGTAACAAAAACAAGATGCGAAATGAAATTCGGCCTCTGAGATGTTATACCTCTGTGGCTGGAGCAAGACCTAATGTAGGCGATTACTAAACTACATGTAGAAAGTAGGTACTCTGATGTAAACCCGGAATTTGCCGGTATTTCATCTGACAACATTTCAAGAAAGTATCGACTGCAAGATTCTTTTGTCTTTCTCTTTCACAACGGATGTCGAGATACACTATTATTTGGTGCTATAAAGGAACGCATTATGTTCTATCCCTGGTTCTTTGTAGCTACAAAATGCTATAAGATAGTCCACTTTGTTATGCTTGAAAGATTAAGCAAACCTACGGCCGTCAAACTCAATAACCTCCCGAAGCACCATCATCAATGGGCTTGAACGTGACTGTTGTGGGTTGCTCCGTGATCCCTCTCCTGACAGCTTCCTCCATGATGGCCACTGTGGCCGTGGCACCAATTCGTGTCACTCCGAGTGACATGACGTGAAGAAGGTCATCCAATGTCCGTACACCTCCAGCGGCCTTGACTTGGATTTCTGGCTTGGAATGCTTCCGCATGAGCTTCAGATGAGGCACTGTTGCCCCCTTGTAAGAGTACATGCCATTTGCTTGCTTGACAAATCCGTATCCAGTAGATGTCTTAACAAAAGCGACCCCAATGTCAGAGCAAATCTGGCAGAGTTTGATAATATGCTTCTCTTGAAGAAAGTCGTTTTCAAAGATGACTTTCAGGGTGGCCCCGTGCTTAGTGACAGCGTCGTTGATGCGTGCAATTTCATCCGACACATAATCCCACTCTTCCCCGAGAGCCTTGCCGATGTTAATAACCATATCAATTTCCTTGCCACCGGCTGCAGCAGCTGCCTCAGCCTCAAAGACTTTCACTTCCGTGGTGCTATTTCCATGAGGGAACCCAATGACGGGGCATACAAGGACATCGCTGCCTTCCAATTCTTTCTTTGCCATCGGTATGAGGTACGGCTTGACGCAAGCAGTCGCCACAGAATACTTCTTGGCGATACGAAGCCCTTCGAGGATATCATCGTCTGTCATTGTCGGATGTAACAAGGAATGGTCAATCATCTTGGCGATTTGATGCAGAGTCACCTGTATCGAGTTTCCTTCAGTGGCGGCCATCTTGTAGGAGAGTTTTGCTGTTTTGTGTAGGAAGAGCAATTTTGTAGTTGCGATTTGAAATATTGCCTAAGTCTTCATGTAGCTTGTTCTCAGGCTCGAGTATTTAATAGTTTTCAATGTATGGCCATTTTGCTTAGAATGATGAGGGCGAAGCGTGTTCCGCTGGAGGAAATTACCATATTAGGTAACTCCGTTCCACCGGAAGTGAATCTGTAGTACCTCAGCTAAGAGCCACCTAGAGGGACGCCACCGCGGAACTACAAGCTAGCAAGTTGATTGGGCCGGTGGAACAGACTGCCAAAAGCATCTAGCTTTCTGAAGTGCCGTTAATTCATCCACCGGCCTCACAACCTTCTCTTCATAGAAGTAACACCAGATCTTGCGGCTCAACTTCCAAGCCCACATCTATAATGCGATATGGCTTCTCAGGGTCAAGATTATATTTTTAAGAGACACGTTTCTAGTAAAGTTCGGAGTGCGTGTGAGCGATGCCGCAAACAAAAACTCAAAGCAAGTTTGCCACTGCTTTTGAACCTCATATCCCCGTAGTCGGAAATATTGAACTAACAAGGCAGTGATAGTGCGATGTTCAGCGACCTTGCACGTTGTGTGTGAGGTCAAACGTTGCCTGCCGTCCTCTCCAAACATCACGATGGATAGTTGAGACTGGCGCAGCGAAGAGAGGTTCCGGTGTTGCACGCGAGCACGATGACCGGATGGACGACCACAGTCCGGCGGCAAAAAGACTGCGTGGCACAGATAACAGTCCAGTTTGTAGTAAAAGTAACGACGGAAACACTCGGGTAGATGTGGGTAATGCCAGTCATCGTCCAAATATAGCGATGGCAGATCCGGACTCTCGCACTCCGGCCGCGTGGGATTCAAGTTCGACCATGGTCTTAGTCGACGAGGTAAGATCATTGGGCCTCGTGTTGTGCAGGACGACTTGTAACGTATAATCAGGCCTTCCACCATTACCATGCCAATACACCAGAAGAAGGAGAGACATCGGCATTCTCAGCGAGCCAATGGATACGTCCAGGGGCAACTGTTAGCCACGAAAGGCGAAAACAAGCAAATCAAAATCCGCTGCAGAGGGTATTGTCTCGACATTTGAGAATTACATCGAAACATGACTATAAGCGGCCTAGCCTGCCCAACTCTTTCATAGGCGAGCTCTGGGCACTTCTTCCTAATCATGATTCTGCCTCACTGCTTGTGAACAACTATTTCAATCACATTCACTGGTTCATGCTATTGTTTCACCAGCGCAACTTTAGGAACCGCTTTGAACGGCTTTACGAGCCAGGTAGACGACAAGCCCTCCCAGCAGGTTCTACTAGCCAAGTTGGATACGTAGCTGTACTCCTATCTGTATGTGCAATCAGTCTTGAGTATACTACCGCATCTCAGAGACAGGCTTTGGAGAGTCAAGGGACGGACCCGGAAAGCTTGAGGAATAAAATTCTTATGACAATGAAGCTAAGGCTGCTGGACATATTGTCACTAGGGTCACTGGAAGCTGTGCAAACATGCGTACTGTTGGGCAGCTACTACCTATATCATGGACAACCAGAGCTAGCTTGGCCACTTTGTGGATGTGGACTGCGTATTGCGCAGGCCTTGAATCTGCACCGGAAGATGGCATCTCATGGCGCTGACCAGGAAAGATTCGATCAACCCACCATTGCTGCTAGGCAGCGGTGTTGGTGGGCGGTGTACGAAATCGAGACATTCTGCTCCATGATGTACGGCTTCCCTCTGGGCATATCAGATAGCGATTGCGATGTTGAGGAATTAAATCCTCATGATGGTTGCTCTGTCTCTACTACCGATGATGAAGATCCTGGCCAACCGAACCTACTCTTCTTCAAATGTGCCATGTCGAAACTGTCAAGGATTGTCAGGTGTGCCTTGACGGATCTTTATGGCACGCATAGAAACCTTGATAGGCAAAATCGGCCGATTGTGGACGATTCTTCGCGACTCCAGAGTCTGATCGCCAAGGTGGCCGATCTGGACGAGAGACTTTCCCAGTGGCAGGAAGCTCTTCCGACCAAACTACGACCAACTACCTTGCAACAACAATCGGCTCAAAGCAGTGCTGAGACGGGGAGCACCGAATCATTCACTGAGAAACTGTTCCACCTCCAAGCTCTGATTCTTAAATTAGCTTACGAAAACGCCAGAATTCTCGTCCACCGGCCGCTACTGTCATACAAAATGGTGATCACGGAAAATGCGGACCCGTCCAATAGTAGATCGTGCGACGATCCATTTCAACGTTCAGTGCAGTGTTGTCGAGATGCTGCCCTACAGGTCTCACGTATCGGATCCAACCCAATATTTCGACAAGTATCAGACACGTATGCCGTTACTTTTGTCTCCCTCCACCTATTCACTGCTGGCGTTACACTCTGTATCATGACCAGCCTCGATCCGCTTAGTCGCGAATCCCATGAATCGAAACTTGGCATCCGTGGTTTAATGGAGATGCAAACCATTTTGAAACCAAAGTCAATTGCCGCAGCACAGGGACTCGATATCTTACGAAACCTCTTATCCTTGGTCATGGCCAAGGAAATAAGCAACTTGTTTGAGATTCCGTCGCCTAGCGAGGAGTCGTCAACAGCCAGAGATGTTTCTACATCTGCCAACCAGAACCCAGATCCTACATCAAGTCCACCACAAGATGAACAGCCAATTTTACCGGGCTCATCAGCACTGTCAGATGTTGGCACGGAGTTTGAATTTTGTGAAAACCCATCCATGGCCGAAGCGCTTTTAGATTTCGAGCACGGTAAGTATAAAATTAAGAATGATTACTTTACGCTTCTCCGCCACTAATGTTGTAACATAGCAATTTGGTACCCGCCAAATATTGCAACAGACGAGGAGCATCCTTCAGTTTCAACTGATGATCATTTTACTCCCAACTATGTTGGGCAAGACCAAGCTTGGTTATGGGGTTGGAATTGCAGTATGTGATCCCTTGGGAGGGTGTTTCGACGTATTCATCCTGACAAGGGATCACGGCGTTTCTTCGCTGAAGAACGTGGACTTCGGTGCCCAATCTTCTCTTGGACCCAACGAAAAGTGTAAATCAAGAATGAAGCTATTCGGACATATTGTGATTAGGTCAATTGCTGTATCTCTCTAATTTAATCACTCGGACAGATTTTGAAATGAATGTCTGTATATTGCTAATGCATCTTATGCTTCTATACATTAACTAAATGATGTAACCCTTAAGTCGAATGTTTAATCCTTTATGGCTATTTGTGCTAAGCCTATCGCAGTCCCATCCTTAACAAATGAAATAAAAATCAACCAAACCGACGCCCCTCCCATGATCCCTTCCAAAAACCCTAAGCCATTTATTTAGTGCAGCTGATTGTGAAGCCATTCTGCCAGTCCACGGGCTTCTGGGCAAATCGTTGGAAGTCCTGGTGGGGGTCGTTAATGTTGGCAACGACAGTAACCCCGTTCCTCAGGACTGTGCATGCCACGTTTTGGAAATCGGCAGTGAACAGGAGGCTGGTAACAAAGAGAGTTCCGTCTCTTTCCAGGTTGGTGTTTGCGTAAGCCTGTCCAAGGCTAACAGGAGACCCGTCAAGAGGGATACGGGCGTTGCCATTTGCTCCGGTGACATCGTTTGAAAACTGTACTTGAACAGTGCCTGCAGCCCGAGCGGTGGGATCGGTGGGAGCCGCAGAGACGGCAAGGGCAAACAGGGAGAGAGAGTAGGCGATGGCGGAATGCATTTTGATGAAGGTATAAGTTATTGAGTAGAGTTGAGAGGTGATTGAAGAGTAGTTATTGTTTGTAGTAGTGTTTGTGTTTGTGTTGTTGATGCTGATGAGGTTGTGAGAATGATTTAAGTGTAAGAGGAAGAGCTGTTTATATAGATGACTTCTTTATTCTGAATACCTATTATTAGCTACATACACTCTATAATTATATTGACTTTTGCCTACTGCCCTAACTGTGCAAATACGAAATATACTTTGCCAAGCAAGAATGTTCTTTTTTTAAAGGATCACTAGAATTAGTTCGATGCGGGCTGATAAATATAAGCTGACTGCCTAGCATCCTTCGGCCCAAGCTAGCTGTGGCTCTGTACGCCACACATTTCTTCTCTCACCTCGTAAAAGCCATTTGCCAGCACTTGCTTACCTACATGTGTGCTAAGGCGGTGCCATTGTCGTCACGATCAATGTCACTTTAGCCCCGGATCTCCGGCCTCCCGGCGTCCCGCCCCGTAAGGTGGATCAGTTGGGCTCTCATCAGTCCGACCAAGTTGGACTTTAAGGGATCTCTACAACTGTTGATGGGAAAAAACACAAGCAATAAACCACAAACTGCCGTGCAAAGACTATCAATTATGTGCGTATCCTTAGGCTTTTGCGGCTGAACTGATGGTGCAATTAGCACTGCCGTCTGTTTCTTCCCCGCAACCCGCAACCCGCAATTGCATGCGGCATGTCTCTGGGGTTTCTCCCCCATCATCTTCAGCCTCACCTAAACGGGCCCCTCACAGCGCAATGACACGACTCAGATGACGTAGAGATGGGGAGCGCCTTCACATCCTTCACGATATTCTTTCCGTAAGCCGGACTTACAGCAAGCCAAACTTTGTACTCACCTGATCATGATACATCCAGTGAGGGAAATTTTAGGATCCTTCCCAAGGCCGGGTAGCCGTATGCATCTTGTCCCGACGCCGCCAAGAGATGATGTCTCGGAAGAGGGCTTCATAAATTACGTAGTGCATAACTTGAGGAGGATCCTTAGGTGCTACACACCTAGAATCCCTTCGATTCGTCTCGTGAACGGTGATTTCGGCTGACTTTTGGGAGGTGAAGAGACTAGAGAATACGAGATTTCGGGGTTTGCCATTAATCACCTGGGCAGATCCTCTCAAGAATTCCAAGAAACAGCCTTGTGTTCCCGAGCTAGAATTTTCATCATGCCTTGGGATCACAGCTTGAATATCTGGCAGCGGTGGATTTGGGATAATAAGCTTATTACCAGCAGTAAACCAATCGGACTTGGAGATATGTTTTGGGTTTCTACAAAAACAAGATTGCCCAGCTCTTCTCGTAGACAAACCACACCAGTAGGGTATGTGCATTCCAGAGTCAGCCTAGAAAGGCTGTGCTGTGGCAGGGAGGAATTTGTGCTACAGCCGTCCTTGGCTTAAAGTTTCCGACGCCTCGCCTTATTTATTTCAGCTGGCCGGGTCCCACTCCTGCCATTTTGAATTGGGGTATTGTCATTCGGGAGAGGGTGTCACCGTTTTCTACAAGCACCCCCGTGTGGGTTTGGCAGCTAAGTCATCCTCACTTGGAGCTAAGATGGGTCGGTTGGCTTATTTGGATATTCCAAGAATACCATTGCTTTGCTTCGTCTTTCTCTCCGTCAAGCTGGCGCTCTTGTCCATTGTGACAGTTTGGTCTCTTCTTGCCAGGGTATGGGCTTTAGAAGTAACAGTTTCTAGTTCTACCAAAAGGTAGTGATAGCCGACAGTGTATCTATGTATGTACACGTATAATATCGATTCCAGAGATGCCTGCAGCGGTATCCGCGGCCATAGTGGTGTCGCCTGTGCCCAATTGTATTTACTCGCTTGGGGCCCGGGGTTTGGTTCTAGGTGCTCATGTTTGCACGTCGACCATACAGGCAGCTGAACGGACAAAGCTATCTTTTTATGAGATTCTGCTATGCATCTAGCTAGGTGTTGGAGGTGTCGTTAACGAACTTGCGATGGAAGACGTTTCCAAGGCAGCTCCAACTCCTCAACAAATGCATCACGCAGAACCCCCGCACCACGAGGAGGCACTTCGCCATCGTGAGATTCTCTTGCAAAGGGGTTATCGCCATCGCCATATAAAAACTCGTCTATTTCTTTATCGACGTGGATAGTCTGTCCGTCTCTGTAGGAATCTTTATGAGGTATAGCCATCTTGACTCTTGGTTGAATCTTCCGTTCTCGCCAACCTAGGATGTCGTGCATATCTTGAAGCAGATCAACGTAACCCCCCTCATAATAAAAAAAACAGAGAGCACTGAGCTCAATTGATTGTAGCGTTTGCGGAAGTTTGGCCAAAAATGAGAGCAAATCAGATTTCCTGACATGCAAATTCCACAATTTGAGGTGTTGCAGCTTTGGCCAACACTCAATTGGGATAAAGTCGTCCAACGAGGGGGGTTCTTCTTCATCTATCTCTTCCAGATCCAGATCGGTCTCTAGGGCAAATTGCTCCAAATCCACAGCTTTAGCAAGAGCATCTCTCATGAGACCACTTCGAAAAGCTTTCCAGTGAAAAAAATGCTGTCCCTCAACATTAAGGGAGAGATGAAAACGTCGGAGGCCAGGAAGCTCAAGAATCGATGCTATATCTGTGTACGCTTCGCAAGGCTGTTCAAACAGGCGACTGCCAATCCCAGTGTGAAGCTGATTGGAATCAATAAGAAACTCGGACACACGGTGGTGCTGTCGCTCTTGTGCGACTGCATGAGCAACCAGTAGAAACCCACGCCAATTATCTCTGATTTGGGCAGCCCAAGCTTCGTCATGCTCGTTGACCCATGGCACCGCCTGCAAAGGATCGTCTGACTCATAACGTGCTGGCCAACCGCGGGGAAGAGGATAGTTGAAGCCAAATGGAAAGGCTCGAATCATTGGTGTCTTGTAGAGGGGGCAAAATAACATCCCATGGGCGGCAGGCGTGACGGTGATGGTTCGTAATGATGGGAATCGTCGGAGACCATATATGAAAGCCTCTATATCAGCGCCGCATGCAATGACTTCATCCTGTTGGCGGACCAAATTCTGATAGTATGCCCATGATGCCTGATATGACATCTCACATTCCGCCTCTTTTGCCCTTGCAAGACTACCCCATCGGCCTTTAACGTGATTTTTATGAATACCAATCTCCCGCAGGTTATCCCGCCGCGCACTTTGAAACCACTCCTCATCTGAGCCCTCAGTTCTTCTATAATATTGCGAGTCCCACAGATCAAGAGGGGCTGGAGGGTTAGTCATTAACATTTCGGGCCGTCGTACCGCTTCGGCATCAAAAGCAGACCGCGGGAGCCAGGCGTCGTCGTAAATGATTTCGGTAACGCCGTGGCGAAAAACCTCATGATCGGCAATTGCGCGGAAGACCTTGACATTAAGCGGGTTCGCAGAGAGGAAGACGCGTTTGATGCGCAGGGCCGATGCATTGGCAAGTTGCTTGCAAGATAGACGGAGGTTCTTGATGTCGCTGTTCTCTAGCTGGCCGACGATGTAACTCAAAAGCTCCTGGGGAAGCGCCGTCAGCAGAGAAGGCGATTGAGAGCATGGCTCGCGCTCTGCCTTGGGCGAATCTCCAATCATGGCTATTGATGGTGGGTGTTTCCCAAGTGATTCTTGGATGGTTATTAGATGATTCTCGGATGATTTCCAGCTCGATTGTAAGTAATAGAAACAGAGTTGAACGGACTTGGGAATTAAATGCAGGCGATAGCGCCACAGCGCCACACAGCAGCGGGGAAAGAGCGTTGGTCAAGGTACATCACTCGAACGGGAAACACCGTCCAACCCCCCTTTCACAGCACTTTTAGTCAGATGAAACACCTGCTTGTATTTGTCTCGTTTGATGGTTTTTTTTTTTTTTTTTTTTTTTTTTTTGGACGTCCATGCTAAGTTATGTTTTGGTGAATGCTAGATGAGATCACAGTCATTGTTGCCGTGATAAATAGGATTCTTCTGAAGTCTGATACATACCTAGGCAGGCTATTTATCGTGTGTCAATATCTCCTGTCCAAATGTACATTATTGTTATTTACAAAGGTCCATATCTCAGTTGGCCCAAACTATTATTCCTTGTCATCATGCATCACATTGAGACATCCATTCATAAGACTTGTCTCGACAATAGATCCCAGTAGCGGCACATTTCAAACAGCAGATTACAAAATCTGCGCATTTTTTGCAAACACTGAAACGCTTCCAGAATTTGGATCATTGCAGAGATAATATTGCTTTATAGAGAAGTGAGTGAGTCCCACTCTGCTAGATTCAAGGTCTGTCGAGTTTCAATAAATGCTCAGAAGTGAGCCACAGAGGCCAACCATCTCACTATTAATATATTCATCATCGATAACACCGGGTAGATCACCCAACAGGCATTCATCGCCATCAATACTGACAACAGAAGCCTCTATCAGTTCAGTAAGAGCCAAGGGCTTCGCTACAAATGCGGTTAAACAGAGCAATAGAAGGGCCCGATTTCTGTCATCTTCCGGAAGTTGAGAAAGTCTGTCCCAGCTCCTTAAATTGAGATCTTCTAGACCAGAAAGAGTCTTGTCAATTGCAGCTTGCAGCTGTTTCGAAATCTTTCCTCTTTGTAATAAATCTCCCTGCAGTTCGGGCCAAAGGAACTGCCCCAGCACATCTCTCTGCCATTTTCTGAGATGTTTCTTTCGTAAGAGCTTCGTTTTTCCGAGGTAATCTCTTCTCAAAAATACTTCTAGAGTGTTTTCGGTATCGTTCCTAACATCTTCCGGAAGAATGTTATACTCTATTATTTGTACATATGCTCCCCATGCTCTCAATACCAGTTCGAATCGCAGCCTCACCTCTACTAACAATGATAATTTTCGTCGCTGACTCTGCAACTGCTTGTCTCAGCTTCTCTAAAATCTGCTCTGAGAGTCACCAGCTTGATTAACGCCCCAGCCTAGCCACGCGCACTAATCAAGTCCATCTATGATGAAAATACACCCTGGGAGTAAATGAATAGTTTTCTGAAATAGCTGCATGATCAAGGTCCGAGTTACAACTGATTCAGGCTGTTTCTCTTGTTCCATGAGAATATAATCGAATACCGCATTATTATAAAACATGACTTTAAAAATAAAAAGGTGCGTGCTAAATTTCTGAAGCAAAAGAGACATCTTCAGCGGCGAAGAACAAACTTGCCGCGGCCTTTTTGGTCTTGGAATAGGACTTAAATAAACAAATTTATGTTGGTGGCGGGTATATGTACGTTCCTATGTATGATTCGGTCCCTCTCTCGGGCTACTACGCAGGTACATGTACATACGCGTAGGTACTTAGCACCAAAACAGCCTTTTATTGGCAGTGGATTGATCCTTATCTTACTTTCGAGAGCTGTCTCCGTAGCAGTAGTAAATTCTGGGTTTGTGTGGGAAGTAAACTGAAACTTTCGATATATGCTTTTGTTCTAACCACCACAACTACCAACAATTACTCGGTTGTTCAATTGTCGAAAAGATTTGCCTGCTCAGATTATCTCCTAATCAATCGTCGACACTTCTTTGTGAAAATCGAATATAGCCAAGCATAGTTACTTAGTATGAATACCCTGGCCATCTCCTGAGACCCTCGCATCACTACCCAAAACGCCAGTTCCGACAACGCCAGTTCTTGCGGCAATCATTCGCCAATATGTTTGTTCTCATGCGATGGGCCCAAAAGTTCTACCCATTCAAGAATAGCGACTGTCTAAGGGAACAAGACGATGGGAAGGAGAAAGTTGGGCAACCAGAGCAACCTCGACTATTCCCTACTCTGGGTGACCTGCAGCGAACCATGGACCCGTTAGTAGCAGTGCAAGTCTACAATTATAACAGCAGTCCCATCTGCCGACTACCGGATGAACTCCTGCTTCATATCATCCACTTCCTAGGCGACGATATTCTCGCCATGCACTGCCTCCGGCGTGTCTCCTGGAGTTTCCGGCGTCTTATCAACAAATCGGATATGATGAACCCCCTTTTACTCCAACTATCATTGACATACGAGAGTTTGAGTGAATCTTCTTGGAGCCTCCCGGCCAACCTGAGGGAACAACTTCGACAGCGGTTACAAAGAGACGGGATGTGCGACGAGTGTAAGCTCTGGTGCGATGTCCCCGTCAAGGGATGGCTCAAACAAATTATCCAGGCTTCCAACCTTAGCAATCTTAACCACAATCGAGCATATTGGAGTCACTGTAAATTCGGATTTAGGTCTCTGCGTGGCCGCCCTCAATGCGATACCTGTGGTAACCATCAGGATGTGCAAGCATCTTCCTCCTCCTCTTCTAAGCACCATCGCGGCGCAAGGGAGCGACAGTGTCTGGGCTGCCAAGGAGCCGTACAGCTGTGCGAGCATATCCATATATCCTGGGCCACCATTGAGGCGCATCTAACGGACTGGCAGCAGCGCAAGCCTGGAGACTGGCAAGCCTGCTTCGACAACTTCGATATCGAGTGCCACGATCCGAGTCACGACACACGTTGCAGGCCAGAGGAAGCCCCAACCTAGCCCCGGGCCCGTCTCCAGATCGCAGAGTCTGACCATAATCTGGTGGTTCTCATTTTGGAGTGGAAACCCCATAGCGGCCTCGACGCTTTCACTCGTACCTCGGATGGGTGGGCGCTTGCCTCGGAGCTGAGGGCGCTGTTTCGAATGTATCGACAGGGTCCAGCCGAGATTTTGTTTCCTTCGTACTCTTCAAATCCTTTACCGGAGATGGCATGCTTTGATCCTACCAAGTGTAACTGCCTTCACTACGAGACGGGAGATGACGAGAGACTGAGTGCTGTCGATCCATCAAAACACGCAAGTTTCTTCCGCAGAGACGGACTTTTGGAATGCTATGCCCTCCATTTCACCTCTAGAGGTTATGGAAATGGGTTAAATGGCCAAGAAGTAAAAATGAGTGAACATTGGCCCAGAGGTAAGTGGAACTCGAAATGTCTGGTCACCACCTACCATCGCGATGTTGTGGTTTGCCATAGAACAGACCGTAACAATTTCAAGCCCACCCACGCGTGGTTCCATGCCATGGATCCTGACACTTATCCTCATCCAATTTGTGGCCGCACCGCATTGTGCAAGGACAAGGATTGCATGAATTACTATCGAAGACCAAAGGGCAGGTGCTGGCTCTAACCAGCCATTTTCACACCAGTTGCTTTCCAGAATCTGAATTGAAGGGGAGTCCAGATTTTAACTGAATAATAAATACTACATGTGGCATTTCTTCTAAACTAAAAACTGCCTTACTTGTGTATCCCAGGCTCTTGATATGCACCATAGCTACCAGTATCTTAATTATGAAACCAAATGACACGAAGATCACAAATATAACCACTATTATTGTGCGATACACGTCGATATCATATCTCACAAGAACAAGCTTTAGATTAACGGCTCTATAATCCGTCGTACTTACGTATCTCATTCTAAGACGATTTTTCTTTTTCTCATCGTAGTGTAGTTTCCCTGTGAATATATTTCCCGGATTCCTTTCTTACCATCAACGCCAAATTTATGAGAAAAAAAAAAGGACTGTAATATTCGATTACACGATAAGTACTCTAATGGCCACGACCACTATGATGACGATGATAACGATGGGGGTTTTGGCTGCCGTCTTACGACCGCTGTCGGCCCTGCTGGGCAACCGAGGCGCACATGCAAAGAAGGGAAGGGCTTCTCAGTACCCCAGTGACAACGGAGAGTTCCGAATGTCGTAACGACGCATAATGAAGATCTTTTATTACCATTAATCAAATAGATACACGGTTGCTGAAGCATCTACATTACTATTATCGCTACTTTCTTCTACTATCACTAACTTCTGCTACTGTCGCTACTTTCTGCTACTATCGCTACTTTCTGCTATTATCGCTACTTTCCGCTACTGTCGATATATCCCTCTAGCATCTACTATCGTCACCACCTACCTACTTAGCTAGGTAGGTAGCTTTGAATTTGAGACGGATATTAACCAACTTGGGTGCTGAATACCGTCCAGGGTACTGTACATGTACATTCAACCAGGTATGGACATCCTTGCCTTGCAACAAACATGGAAGCGCCAGTGAGGGGCGCAGAGCTTCCAGGGACCTGCAGCAGCGGGGAAGCCGGCGCTGATTGGCTGCGGCCCGGCCCCAGCGGATTGTTCCAGGGCCTGGATTGACAGCAGCTTTGGCGCCCTGCTCAATTCAACTCAACACCATGACGTTGCCACCTCAACTGCAATCCGCCATCACCACTTGACCTCGCTCTCTCGTCACCACTCCTAGGCCTAGCTGTGCGGCGCTCCCCAGGCAAGGCTAGACGCAGCACAGAGTTTGAAATGTCGGCTCGGCCGTGTCCTGGCCGCCGCCTTGCTCCCGCCTCGCGCTGAGCCGTCACCATGTCCGACAGCTTCAGCAACATCCGAGTCTTCGTCCACTGGCGCGATCAGACCGTCTTCGCGGGCGAGGCGGTCCAATGCACCGTCACCTTTCGAAACATCGCCCCGGAGGCGAACCAGCAGCAGCAGCAGCAGGCTCACGCGCACTCCCAGTCGCAGTCGCAATCCGAGAGACAGAGGCTGGCGTCGCCCATTCAGACCCGGGGCAAGGCGGCTGCGTCGGCCAGAGGCCATAGGCGGGCGGCTCTGTCGTTGAGCGTGCCATCGCCGAGCACAAGAAGCCGGCAAGGCTCGATCCAATGGCCTCAACCCGTCGTTTCCGGCGAGCCCCGGGGCCATGCGCACAAGCGATCCGTGTCTATTGTGTCCATTGGATCGACCACCAGCACCATCGACGAGCATTCGCAGTCGCCGCGACATGAAAACTCTCCACGACAGCCGCGATACTCGCATAATCGCGCCAGCAGTCTGCAGATTGCGTCTCGCGGGCCGCCCACTGTGCCCTCTACTCCCCAGTCAGGTATTGCATCTGTTTGGGCAATCTTTGTTATGAATATGGACATCAATTGACTGACCGATTCTCACAAGGCTCCTTCTCCCAAAGAGGAATATCCTCCCCGCTATTCAATGCTTCATATCCTCCCGATCGATTTGGTCGGATACCTAGTAATCCAAGAAGCCCCCAGTCGTCAACTGTCTCGGTACAGCGCAGGTCATCCAAAACCTTGTCCAGCCCCATGCCCGAATTCCGATTCCCCGCTGCACCCGCACCAGACTCGGAACCGGCTGCGAGCCCACGAAAAGCTTCAGGCAACAGTCTTCTCAGTCCGAGAACGGGGCCGGTTGACACCACCGTCCCTATACGCTCAAAGGAGCAGATCTCGCCTGGGCCCGACAGACCGATCCTTACCGCCCGTATACTCTCCAGCACGAGCATGGCCGGAGGGACACCACGGAGCAGTGGTGAATTTTACTCGATAAGCAATAATTCGTCCGAGACGTTGGCCTCGGAATATGTAGCCCAGCCTCTAACCAGAGGTCCTGGGAGACCGTCGTATCCGCGACGAGGCTCAGCCTTCTCCCTGCATCAGTCAAGGACCGAGTCGCTGATGATGGGCTTTGCCCAAATTCAGGGCTCTTTCTCTCTAGACGGCTCGCTTATTAGCCTTGCACCCTTTGAACAGGTCAAGAAGAAGGCCGTTGTTGGCGGGCGAGGTGGAGGAGTGGTAGGACTGGAATCGGGCCGCCGAGAGAATGGCCTCCTGAGGGGCTTTGGCTGGGGAAGTATAAGCAATTCTCTGGGCGATTTCCTCGGTGGTGGAGAGCTGAGCACCATCAAGGAAATGCGTGGTGTTGCAAACTCAAAGGCTGTTCCCTTACTGAGCACACCACAATCGATTCTCTTTGTCGACCTGCAGCTGGCTCCTGGTGAGAGCCGCTCATTTGAGTACACATTCAAGCTCCCCAGAGGGCTGCCTCCTACACATAAAGGAAAGGCCATCAAGATTTCATACAGCTTAGTCATCGGCACTCAGAGACCAGGAGGGGCCAGGGAACAAAATGTTCGGACAGTTGAGGTCCCATTCCGTGTTCTAGGGAGTGTCAACAATTATGGCGAGATTCTGGGGCATGATCTCATGAATCCGTACATGTTACTACGCGATGAGGCCTTAGTTAAGATGGTTGGGAAGCAACAGAAGAGCCATAGGGAACGCGAAGCCCCTGGGGCATCAGCTGCTATGAGCGACTTTTTATCATACGTCGACAGCCTGACAAATCGACCTGGGGATAAAACAGGTGGTTCGTTGCTGTCCCCGACGGCGACCCCAGATTTGCGGCGTCTATCATCGTCAAGCTTTGACGACACGACCTCAGCTAAAGAGGCAATCCGTCTCGCCATCATGAAGAGCAACTTGACTGGTCAAGGACAACAGAGCGCTAATCGATTCGAAATTGCGCGGAATGGACAGAGGGTCGGCGTGGTTATGCTGACCCGGCCTGCTTATCGCTTAGGAGAGGTCGTGACCATGGTTATCGACCTTTCAGATGCAGACATACCCTGCTACGCGGTTCATGCAACCCTGGAATCGTCAGAAAAAATAGATTCGACACTGGCTCTGCGATCCGATTCGAGTATTCACAGGGTGACTCGCAAAGTATATGTTGCCTCTTCCGAATCCACACTCTTCACCCGGCGAGTGGTTTTTACCCCCACGATACCCATCTCTGCTACGCCCGAGTTCGTCACCAGCGGCATCAGCTTTGAATGGAAGATTCGCGTCGAGTTTGTTGTGCCGTCACAGGGCCACGATGCCTTAAGGGGGCAGCAAACGCCGTTCCCATTACTGGAGCAGATTTCGAGGGACGACAAGGGGGGGTTGGTTCTCGTAGCAGTTGAGAACTTGGCATGCGAGAGCTTTGATGTGCCTGTGCCTCTGCGCGTATACGGAGCTGTTGGGACTGGTTTGGAGCGGTTGGAGAGGGATGAGGCGGCTGATGAAGGGCTTGTGGTGTAAAGAAGATTTTTTTTTTTTTTTTTTTTTTTTGCGTGTAGAAGGAGTTGGGTAGTTGATGTTAACCTATAAGTGTACTGTGCGTATGTGTGTGTGAGTTTTCTTTAAACCTAAGCCTCTTGAAGAAATGTAAAGTATTGGTGATGAGTGGTAGGAATGAAAAGACTTGCGAGGGACGGGCATTTACGCCTTACATTCTGCTTGATGAATGAAGAGTTGAGACCTTTTGGTCGGTTGACCATAACGAGCGATGTGCATGCACCATGGAATATCTAACAGCAAAGTTTATTAGATGGATTAAAATAAAATGCTTCATTATTCGTTATTCCGGCTGGCTATTTTGCTCTTAATCAGTAGAAATCACAAAATCATCACTTGTCTCCCACGACATTCTGTACAATAGACTCCAAGTCTCTCCCCTCATCACCACCTCTACCCAACTGCACTCTCCTCTTCCTCTTCCTCATCCATTCAACACCTCCCCAACACGAGAAATATCCAAAATCCCAAAAGAGACTCTGGTGACGCACTTGATCCGAATTTTCCGTAACACTCGGTGCCTCTAGGAACAGTCTCAGCTTCTGAATCTCCGAATCATCTCTCCCAGCCTCCACCACGCGATCTATCTTCCCATCATCAAACGCAATGCCCCTCCAGAGCAAGATCCCCAACCTTCGCCCTGCTTCTACTCGCATAGGTTCGATCGCATCCCGTCCGATCAAGGACAAGAACTTGCCCCAAAAGACTCGACGCAGCTCTCCGTGATCGTGATAGTATCTGAAGCCTTCGGATGGTATATGTTCCCCGAGGACTTCCTCAACGCCGTACAAAGCCATGCCAAAGGGAAGCCATTCCGCCTCAGCCCAGTCAATGAGTCCCGTCAGGCGCCCAGTCTTTGCGTCAACCATCATGTTTCCTGGGAGAACGTCTCCGTGCGTGAGACACCAATCAGACGCCTCGATGCTCTCGAGCCGGCGCTGGGCTTCAGAGACATAACTCAGCAAATCTTCTCCAGGAAGCCCGCTCAAAAGACCCAGGCGCCACCGCATCGACTCGCCGATTTTGCCCTTGGAAACACTGCCTGCTAGCATTGCCACGTCTCCCAAAGGCCGCCTCCCGCGAAACCCGAGAGCAAACACCTTGGCCAGGCCGCGCATCAGCCTCTTCTTGAATATCTTGTCATTGGCCTCACGACCACTCATCCTCATCCTCCTCCGAAACTCCGATAGCGGGATTCCCTGGATCCTTTTATGCAGGTAGGCATGCATCGCTGGTGACTCAGTATTGATATCGAGGTTATTCGTCGCGATGCCCTGTACCTTGCCCAGATACGTCGTAGTCGGAGCAAACTTTCCATAGATAGCCTTCACCTCGCTGCAAGTCTCTATATCCAACATGAACGCCTCCGGCCGAAACTGCAGCAAATAATCCTTTGACAAATTCAACGTATAAGAGCAATAGCCCTGCGTCGGCGTCGGCGTTGCTTCCAGGCCAGGGAACCGCACACGGGCATATTCATCGCACGCATCTCTAGTCCTCACATCAAATCCGTTGCGAACAAAAAACGCTTCAATGTCCTGGTCATCCAGATGAATCTCCCTGTCAGCCGTGCGGCTGCCGGCTTTTTCGGAGCTGCCCCAAACCATAATCAAGCGAATGACTTATATATAGCTCAGAGGCACAGGTGCGTCGAACGTCTATAACATGGCATGGTGCTATTACACGGCACGTGTAGCTCCATGACAGGGGCCGAGTGATTTAAGACATGTTTGGTCAGATGATGAGAGACGGAGAAACGGCCAAAGAGACAGACAGCCTTTTATGAGTAAATTGTTATAATAGCTGACACTCATAGGATCGCTAACCAAAAGCCACCCCCACATACTCGTGGCTCTTCCAAAGCTGCACATGACGTGACCCCTCTCTAGAGTGCGGCTGGAATCACGCTTCTCGCCATCAAGGGCCGTATCCTGGTGAATCGTCAGGCTGGGCTACAGGGTTTATCATGGAATATCATGTAGCCGAGCAGCGCGGGCGCTTCCCCTTGTCACCGAGTCGCCGAGATGGAATGCATCATCGTACTCATTTTATTGTGCATGCATATGTATACCGGCTCTTCACTTTGGTATTGGCCAGCTCAACGTCAGTTAATACGTCGCGGTGAGTCTCTGAACGAGGTAGTCGCCGCTATTGATGCTGCCATACTTCTTCTCTTGCTCGGTTGCATATGTTCCCGGTAGCACCTCGATAAGGTCCTTGAAGTTGGGGTTGCAAAAGTAGCTGTCCCTGCATTAGAATACGAAATATCAAATATTGCATCATGTTACTTACGCAATGCTATATCGTGAAGGATACGTCGCGCCCTCTTTTCGCGGCGGCTCTACTACCCTGTGAATGGTGCTCTTGATCGTGTCGTTGCTCCATCTTGCCAACAGGTCGCCGGCGTTGACAACGATTGTATCTTCCATGGGAGTTGCATCGACAAAGGTTCCGTTGGGGCTCTTGACCTGCAGACCGCCGCGGTTATCCTGGAAGAGAAGCGTGATGGATCCGTAGTCCTGTATCAAAGAGTTTAGAATGAAAATCTCTTGTGTAACCATATCGGGGCTTGCTTGGCCGCTTACGCTGTGTTCCCCAGCACGAACTTGGCCTGGGGTATTGAAAATATCCGACTTGACTTCTGGATAGTGCAGTAGCCGCAGGTTGTTATCACCAACGTCAACAAAGTGATCAAAAAAGCTCTCGTCAAACCCCATTCCCAGAGCGATAGCCCGCATAACTTCCACATGTAAGGCCTTGCACTGCTCAAAGAAGCTCTTCATATCTGCCTTGAAGCCGGTAATAGAGCCCTCTTCACTGGGCCAGTTGTTTGGGTGACCTTCCTCATCATCGCGGCCAATCTCAAAGCTTTCCTTCAAGTCCGGCACTGCGCTGCGCACCTTTTCCACCTCGGCAATGTCCTCCAACAAGGAAACTTTTTCTCGCCCTTGAGCCACGTAGCCACGGTTGGCCTGTGGAGTGGTCCATCCCAGTACGGTTTTCTTTTCCAGAGGCTGCGCAAAGAAGTTTGCCGACATAGCAAAGGTGTGCTTCACCGTCTCTTTTGAAATGGGATGATTCTTGAGATAGATGAAACCAGCATCTTGGAAGCCATTGAGGATCGCCTTGGCAGTCTCCTGTCGTGTAGTTGCGTCGCCATCTAAGAATTTGGAAAAGTCGATGAGCTAAATGCGGATGAGATCAGTTTAAAAGTCTGTTCGTTTGATCAAACAAACACGACAAAGCATCATGTCATGAGCAGCACACAATATACTCACCGGAATGAAGAGCCCATCTTTGCTCACTGCAGCATCAGTAGCCATTGTACACTTCTTTGGATAAATGTATGCTTAATTTCAGAGATATTAGGTTCCTAGTATACTAAGTAGTAGTTTGTCAAGGAAATCCGGCCTAGGTACATGTGTCATCATAGGTATTTATATAGAAAGCTCGAGTCCAAATTAGCGCAGAGTTACAAACATCCCCATTCCAATGCAACCTCTACACTATTGTCGCACTCGTTGGCGGCCCCGCGAGTAACACGGAATAGCGCGGGCGCTGAAGGAGAAAGTCGTGCCACCGTAGGAGTTCCTCCAAACCGGGTGAGACAAAAGGCACTTCGTATCTCGAGCAAAAGCTTGAGCCTGCGATAAGCTGGGGTCAAGAGACGGCAGCTAGTACACTTAGTCTGGGGTGTGTGCATTGGTTGGCTGATCCGCTTGATTCTGACTGGTGCGACAGGCTGATTATCATGGTGGAGAGTTGAGAACCGGTGCGGGGCTATGATCTTTGATGTACCATGCCCCTCTTCAAGACTCTCTAGCTTGCCAGTTAGGTGTTGCTCTTGTGACAATGGATCCGCGTATCAGTGTATCAGTGTAACGTCTTTTGTCGCTAAGGAGGCCGCTGAATGAAAACCGTGTGCTGCAGTGAAGCCACTCGAGGGCTTAACCACTTCCCCGCTATGCTGCTGACGAGAAGATGAGTTTGTCCCGACATCATAACCCTTTCTCCCTAGCAAAAGCTTGAATCTTGTCTGTGAAAACGATCCTCCGTCTCCTACGTGTGAGATGGCAGCCTCCAAGGTGCGCGTTGTGGACATCCACACACACATGTATCCACCATCATATATCAAGATACTCGAATCCCGCTCCACAATCCCTCTGGTTCGCACGTTTCCACAGACACCGGATCCGCGCCTGATACTCCTCGAAGCTGAAGTCAAATCACTCGAGGAGGCCACCAAAGATGCGACAGCCAAACTCCCTGGACGGCCGCTCACTTCTCACTTCGCATCGCTTGCTCAAAAGGTCCATTTCATGGACACCCATGGTATCGACATTTCTGTCATATCTCTAGCTAATCCATGGCTTGATTTCCTCAGCGCATCTGAGTCGGGAAAGATTGGTGAATCTGTCAACGAAGAGTTTTCACGAATGTGCGGGGAGCACCCTGGGCGCCTATTCTTCTTTGCAACTTTGCCGCTGACCGCGCCTCTCGAGACGGTGCTGGCCGCGGTATCCCATGTGAAAGGCCTCAAGTACTGCAGAGGGATAATCCTCGGCACCTCAGGTTTGGGCAAGGGACTTGACGATCCCGCTCTGCTGCCTATTTTCGAAGCTTTAGCAGCGGCCCACCTGACGGTCTTCCTGCATCCGCATTATGGACTGCCCAATGAAGTATGGGGACCTAGAGCCAGCGAAGAGTACGGCCATGTTTTGCCCCTTGCCCTCGGCTTTCCTATGGAAACCACCATTGCAGTGACGCGGATGTACTTGTCGGGTGTGTTTGACAAGGTGAGGGATCTGAGGATGATCCTAGCCCACAGTGGAGGGACCCTTCCCTTCCTAGCAGGCAGGATTGAAAGCTGCGTCCTGCATGACGGACAGCTAGTCAGGGAAGGCAAAGTCGGAAAGGGACGGCGGACAGTTTGGGAAGTCTTGAAGGAACAGATCTACCTTGACGCAGTCATTTATTCCGAAGTTGGACTCAAGGCGGCGATAGACGCCAGCGGAGCCGATAGATTGATGTTTGGAACCGACCACCCCTTCTTCCCGCCTCTCGAAACAGATGAACAGGGAGAGTGGGAGAGTGTGAGTCTAAATGCCGACGCAGTGGCCAAAGCTGTGGGTGAAGGGTCGGGAGAGGCAAAAGCAATCATGGGAGGCAATGCTATAAGCATCCTTCGCCTTGACCAAGACTTTTGAATACAGCCGAGCTAGCCGCTTTCGAGTAGTTAAAACCAGGTTGTAGACAGATGATAGAGCAAGACGGGTCGATATGATTTGGTGGCGCCTCATTTCCTCTGCTCAAGAACAGCTAGACAGCAGCTGTATCTTGCTGGAATTTCATCTCCGCGTCGTGGATTCGTTGCCTAGCTTCCCTCATTTCCTTCTCGGCGTTTTCGAGCTCCTCGCTATTCGTTATATCCAGCTTCTGTAAGTTTCTTACCGCTTGAACGGCCCGCAACTTGTCGCAAACTAGCTCCCAGTACATCTTCCTTACGGAACCAAGGTCCACGACGTAATCTCCAGGAACCAGAACTGCACCATTCGCAGGCCCCGAGGTTTTTTTAACAGCGCCCGTGGCCTTTAATGACTCCTTGAACTGCTTCCGCCTTGCCTTTTCCTCTTTCTTCTCTTTCAGTCGTCGCCTGGCCTCGGCCAAATCTTCCATTTCCTGGGCTGCCTCAGCCTGCCGCTTCTTTTCTTCTTCATGGAGACGCTGCTCCTCTGCCAGTCGCTCTCGTTCCTTGTCCAACTTCTCTTGTTCTCGCTGTTGCTGCTGTTGCCTCTGCTGCCTATGGGCATTTTCGCGAGCCTCGAGGTCGTCGGCAAACTTTTGGTGCTCCCTGTCCATCGCCTCGCGCTCCTGCTTGCGCAGTAACTTAGCTTTGAGGGACTGATCATAAGCCGCGCGGGCATTAGGATCAGATAGAATATCCCTAGCTCTCTCGAATAGCTCCCATTTTGCTGCATCAAAGTTCTCGCGCGCTTTGTCCGGGTGATAGTTCAAGGATGCTTTCCTCCAAGCTCGGTGGATGTCTTCCTTGGGAGTGAGAGCATCCACCCCAAGAAGCTCATAGAGGTCAATATTTTTGTCCGCATATTCATTTGCGAACCGCAAAAGGTCCGCTTTGTCGTCACTCATTGTGAGAGTCCGTCGATTTTCTCCGAATTATGTGAGATGACAGGTTTGGTATAGGGATCTAAGGGTGGTATTTCGTTGCTGAGGAGACAGAAATGAAGAAATATACAAGTTCCCAGTGTACCACAGTTTAAAATAGTGTATTTGAAAGAAGAAAGAAGAAATTTCCAAGGGTTTGATGTGGCTCAAACGGCGCTTGCCTGATGCTTGTGAGATTTTATGATTGACAGAAATAGAGTCGCGCCTTCGCGCCTTAGCTTGATACGTTATCACGTGACTCTTACACTCTCCATTTGCCACAATGTACAACTACAGCAGGTATCTATGAAGGTATCACAAATCCAATTTATACCTGGTGGGTAGATTCATTCACATCTATAAAATGCTCCTTTTCCTAAATCCAATCCCATATAATATCCCAATACCCTAGGTACCTATTGATGAAATACGCTACAATATTAACAAACCTTGTTACCTCCACATTAAATCGCCAACCTCCAAATTGCAACTCTTCGACAGGCTCAGTCCTTTCCAGTCCTCAGAGCTGGAATCTTCTTCCCCTGCCAAACGATATCTTGAGTCTCCGCAAACAGGTAAACGTTTGGGTTCCCCTCTAATAGTTGAAGGAGATATCGTTCATATGGCCCCAACGGCTCCTCCACCATGATCCTCTGCTTGGGATCCGTGGGTGCAGAGCCTGCTGGTCCTGTATACTCCCAGATCCATCTTCCGTTCTGCTGCTTATCGACTCCAGATGCGTCGGGTGGGCCTTGCCACCAGCTTGGGTTATGAGGAATCGGGTCTTCAAATGTTTCATTCGTATGCTTCAACTGCCAATTGGAGAGTGATGGGCAGGTCCAAACGGATTTATCGTCCAAACCAAGGCCCTTGCAAGCAAGTCTGACTCTGGCAGAGCTATGAATGCGCTCGTTGGTGTCTTGCAAGAAAATGTTGGTGTCACGGTCCGTCTTTGGATCGGTTCGCTTATACAACCCCGGCGTCCTATCTTCGAATCCTGAGAGCTTGTATATGAAGCTGCCGGCCTTGTTGATGGCGCCAAGTGCCCAGGGCCGCACCGGTTGGTTGCTTGAATAGATTGGGTCAACTGCCCATTTTAAACTCTTCTTCTTCGTAGTTGGCAGGTTTTTGTAGTAGCCGATGGTCTTCTGTGCGACTCTCTCAAGGCATGACAGGTCGAACTCGACTCCTACAGATGCCATCTGGTCCATCATCCCTTTTTGCCCAATTGTCAGTTCCTTGGCGATCTCGCTTTATGGAAATGTCACTTACAAGCAAGTGAAGCGTCGGCGGCTTCTTGGTCTGGCCAACCACCACCACAGTTTGCATGGTTTCCTGGGAACCAGACTTGTCTAAGATCGGTGGTCAACCTATTCTCTGGCAGACGCTCCCAGACAGCAGGGGAAAATGGAGCGCGGGTTTCATCCAGAGCAAGTGCCTGGAAGGCATGTTCTATGCGATCCGACAACGATGTGTCATGCCATTTGTATGTGCTATGAAAGTTAGCTTCCCGCGATGCCATGTATTTGGAAATCAGAGGGGAGACTTATTCGTCATTCGAGGGATGGATGCCGATCTTGTCCAACCAAGAAACCTTGGGGATACCCAGGCTACCAACAGTGTCCCAAACGCAGACGGCCTTGATCTTGATCAACTCGCCATTCTCCTGGTACACGCGAGTATATCCCAACTCCTCAAGCCTTTTTCGGTATACTTCAGCTGCATTTGGTCCTTTAGGCTTGTTGGGAAATGGCTGTCCTGGAAATTCATCATCATATTTGTCATTGTTCCAGTTCTCCATGTCCTTGAAGATGGGATAAAAGTACTCCAAGCCCTCTCTGGTGAGAAGGCCTAGGTTACCGACCATGCCCGCAACTGATCGAGCTGTAAAGGCCCCTCGAGAAAACCCGACAAGAAATATTTCGTCACCATCCATATGGTTGGCGCACAAGTATGAGTACGCTTCGCGGACTCGCTGCATGTCGCATTAGTTCAACCCTTTTCCGACATGTATACAGGGGGGGTTCAGATTCTTCCTACTTCAGAGAGACCCAGGCCAAATGCACCGCCAGTGAGGGTGTCAATGGCATTACTACCAGTCCCTACTCCGGATTCATAAAACATGACTTGCAGCGTGCCATCGTTGCATCGCCTCCTGAAGCATCGGCTAATTCGAGTTACATTCGACGGCACTTGCAGCATCCCCTGAGGGTGCTCCAGAGTCGGCTCTTCATAGCCGTTGTCGCTATTCATCCACGTCCCATCGCAACAGACGATGAGCCGCTTGTGGACAGGAGGTAGAGGAGCCATCAAGACAAAATTCGCAAAATATGTCAAATATGAGATTGCGTGAGCTAGTGGAAGTGTGACCTTTGGGAACTAATGAGAAAACCAACCCAAAGAGGACACGGACGGACCAGCACTTATACAATATAGCTAGATATACAAAGGCAGAGAACACCAACACGTCCTCATGTGAGGCTGCCTCCCCGCAAAGCCCAGGTCGCCAGCTACCGTTACCCTTCCCAAAGTGAACACTTTTTAGCAAACAATGACCGACCACTGGTGGCGGAATAGGCATGACCTCAGCTGCAAAGCCGGCTTCACCAATAAGCTCCTCGTGGTGGTGTGCAGCCCATGAGTCGAGGTGGTCAGCCCCAGCCATGGCGTCCGTCCCTTGCTTCGAGCTTCTCCATGCGCTATGCGGTTTAGCACCTCCAATAATACTACCCATGACCAAAGAAGCCATGACCCAGAAAGGCCGTGGACCAGGGCCAAGAATTCAAGGCTCTTTTGACGTTAACCACTCAGGTGATCATCTCGACTCAACACCTTTTCAGCTCCAAGCCCTTTTCAGCTCCAAGCCGCTGTGGAGCGCCGCCGTCTCTCAGCCCTACCGCTGCGACTATAGGGGAGCAAATCCTACATTCCAGTGATGCTGACAGCAGTTCTGGCGATCCAACCACGTTGAGCAGAACCATGGATGGCTCATTATTAGCGAGTTTCGCTACAAGTCTCCTCTCGCGCTTCGAAGCCCCCTTGCAGTGCCTAGACAATAAACCCAAGCCATCATTTTGGGAGGGTTCTAGACCGCGTTTAATGAGGTATGATGGAGGTGATAAGAGAGTGCTTATGTGCATATTCCAGGCTAGTGCGTCGGTTATGGGAAAGGAAATTAAGGCGCAGCTTTTTAGCCAGTAAGTTGATTTGGTGCCCTTGCAAGGGCTGCAAAAGGATGATTTCACTGCAACCACGTTTTTGCTCAGAAACGAATGACGGGTCAAGCTATGGGTAAGTGGCATTCATACCGGTATGTAGCCTTTACTCAGTTGAGCAGGGGGGTATTGTTTTCCGTCTAAATATTGTACATGATTCGTACTTTCTTTGTACACATATGAAACATGCAGCATCATGGTAGTAGTAATACAGACACTCATCAACGCCAAATCTACTTGTATGCCTCCTCATCGATGTTGTCCGTCTAGGCTCTGTCTCAGCCACTCCGGAACAAATGCCTTGACTTTGACGCCGCTCTTGTTATCCTCCTCGCCCCATTCCAGCTCAAACTCGTCGCCGTCTCTGAATGTCGCCGCAGCCTGCTCCCCCGGCAGCACCACATCCGTCATGATCTCGAGGCGGCACAGCCCCAGGCCGATGTTGCCCACCCCGCGAAGCCACTTGCCGGCGCTGCGGCCTCGCTTGCCGGACCGCCCGATGCTGGTCTCAGCGGGAATCATGTCTGCCGTCAGCGTCTCGGGAGAGCCACTCTCGGGCTCGTAGACAAGGCTCGGCGGAGCCGCCTTGGCTTTGTCGTAGATGACGCAGGGCAGGATGCGCTTACGGACCACACCACGGTGCTTGGTGCGGATAGTCAACTCTTGACCTACATAGCAGCCTTTGTGGAAGTCGACGCCGTTCATGTACTCCATGTTACTCTCCAGAGGCAAAGCCTGTTCACGTAGAATCTCGTCCTGACCCTCTGCCACGCCATGTAGATATCGGCGGATTGTGTAGGCATCTTCGGTGGTCTGGTCGACGTCTAGCTCCGGCGCCTTTGGGCCCGCAAGCTGGATGATTCTGTAGCCCAAACCGGGTGCTCGAGGGTCCTCAAAGACAATTCTAGATTCGTTCGGTGCGATGTTGAGTTGCGACCCGGGAGTGTCGTTCCACGCATGCCACACAGATATTTCACCCGAGTCTATTGCTCGAAAGGCTACTTTGGCCCTGAGTTTGTACCGCTTGATATATTTTGTCAGCGCGTTAATCTGCGCCGCATCCACCTCTACCAAGAAGCTGTCCCCCTCTTGCGCTGAGTCACCAGCAGCACCCCGGACTGGGTAAATGAAGACATCGTGGAGCACTCTTCCCGTCGCATTCAGGAAGCCCGTATAGAAGGCATCGGTTCGTGGCTCGCCCTTGCTAGAGACGACATTCGCGGTGATGATTCCCTGCAGAAACTTGGCGGCGTCAGGACCAGTCACAGAGAGCAGCTGCCTCGAGGACAGCGCGGCCAACCCTGAAGCCGGGGGTCGAGCAGACGCAAATTGGCGACGCTGAAGCTTGCAATTGCGGCAGACGAGATTCGGCGAGAAGTCGTGCAGCAAAGGACGCCTCGAGAGGCTTCGCATGATTGGCACCGAGGCCATCGAGAGTGCCAGTGTCGTATGATGTCGTTGCTCTAATTGAAGAGGCGGAATTGACCACACCGGCGGTTAAAAAATCGACAGAGCGAGCTCGGCGGAAGCTTCAGGGCGCAAACGGAGAAAGAGGAAACGATCTATGGCGGTTGATTACGCAGCAAAGGTGGGAAATTCGAAGAACGAACCACTTGAAGCCGAAAAGATGCAGCTGTGATCCGATGGTGGGGAACGTGGAGTTCTTTGTGCCTGGTGGGGAAATCCGGCTCTTGGACCGAGCACAGCCGGTCATCGCGTACCAATAAATACCTTCACATTTCCAACATCTGAAAAGTCACGATGGTGAGAGGACTTATATGTTGAGATGCTGTAATTCATCATTATACTGTTATTTCTTTTATTTTATTCTTTCTTTCAGCACGCAGCTGCATTACCTCGAAATGTCCAGATGTTGGATAGCCACTCCCTGCTTAAATACTGCGGCATCCCATCGTCCAATGCCCTTCCATAAATCCTCAAATATTCAAGGCAGAATGCATAATATTGGATTTCCCGTTGTTTATGATCTCTCAAATGCCCCGTCCTTTAAACATACACACGACAGGTCGAATCACGGGTCCGGGTCCTGACTGTACCTCAGTGGTCGGGGGCCACACGCTGCCTCGGATGCCGTGGTGATTTCTTGGGCCTCCAGAATTCCCAAATAGACGCCTAATTAGCAGTTAGTATGTCGGCGAAAAAGAACTGATTCTATCCCAGCGATAGACATACTGGCCATTTTCCAGCGGGGAACAATATCTTGCAGCAGCCCCTTGAACAGGGACATCCTTCTGGTTGTAATATCGTCAGGCTCGCCTCGACTTAGTCTAATCAGGAATAATGTCGCCTGATACGCGACGTGCGCTAGAAATGGTGTTGCAACCAGGACTGAAGTAGTATCTATCATCTGGTCTCGAAAGCCCTGCGAGGTGGTTGCCAGGTGGTCCAAGGTAGACAGTGTCTCGTCCGAAGTGTCTGCCGCAGAGACATAGTTGGGTACATGGCCCATATTATTGCCATTCGCCCGCCATTGGTATTCCTGAAGCAGAAATATGGTGCTGTAATTGGTCAACATTGTACGCCTTATCGTATGTGCCTCAATTTTGGACCTTCTTACCTGGAGCAAATCGATAGCTGGGGACAGAATCCAGAGCATGTCCTCAGTTCTCTAGCAGTGGCCTCGGCGTTTGAGACCGTAATCAATGCATGAAGAGTTCGCCTTAGTTGGGCTATCTGCTGATTCCTTTCCATCACGCTCTGGTGATTATCTGGACCAACAAGATCGAGAGCCTGGCTGAGTAAAAAGGTGGCCTGCCCAAGTCTAGAAAACATGCCCATCTCAAGAGAAAATCCTTGAGAGATGCTGAAAGCATCGCTTGGTTTCGCAGTCTAGTGATGCTGTTAGCTCCAGCTATAGACGACCCAATGATACACTAGAAGCCGGACATCTTACACCATCATCCCATAATTTATCGTCAATCGGAAGCAAGTCGTCAAAGGTTGGATTTTTTGTCGCCAGGGGTCTGTTTGGATTGCTAATGTTTAAAAACCTATTCATTCGTTAATGGCGATCCGTGAGAAAGGTATTCTCCGTGCCTCAACCAGACTCACCGGTCCAGAAATAATATTGTCCACCACGCGCGTCTCCGCTCGTCAACTTCGGACAATGAGCGCGGGTTTCCGTATTCACTTGACGATTCCTCTCTCAGATTATCCACGCCAATTGCTATACCATAGCGTGCACAAGCTCCAACTGTCAGATATGCAGCTGGATAGATGGCTTGCCCAACTTCATACAGCGCAATCAAGATGCCTGCCTGAAGCACCCGCAACGACAAGATGCCCGCAGCTTCCATCTCGAAATGCAATCTCTTGGCATTGTGATACAGTGCACTAACATCAAGTGCTCCCGTCTCAGGGTTGAGGTCCGGTGCGCAGTACAGCTGCATGCATATGATGAGCAGGCCAAGTTCACTCCGTCGCTGCGACAGGGGGTTCAACAGATGCGCAAAGAACCCCTTTTTAGAGATGATGGGCATCCACCAGTGAATCGAATCGAAGAAAGTATACGCAATGTTGCGGATGCGTGAGGGATCATTTTCGAATGGCGATAGATCTGCCGGTATAGTAGGTTGAATTCGGGGCAGCTCGAGCTGTGCCTGTCGAAAGATGTGCGGAGCGATGAAGTATATCGCAGTCGTTGTGGCGGCTTCATTGGAGGGTATAGGAATCACGGGTATCACAGGTGTCACAGAGGAAATAGACTGAGGCCGTCGGCTATCAACTCGACTATCTGGGCGAGAGATGTTCGCACTGGAGCTTGACAGCGTGTTTGGAGTAGCCAAGCGGCCCTCGCCCCGTATCTGACGAGTCCGACGCCGCGAGAGATAGTCACATTGTGCGCCTTTCCTAACGCACAATGAACAGCGAGGCAGAGCTCGATCGCATCGTCGTTTCCCCTTCCTACAGGGATCACAGGCAAGCCGAGCATGGTTTGCCGGCGCTTCCTCCGAGGAGGATGCCATATTCTGCCTTTCTTGCTCAGTATGCTGCTCCGGGTTTGCTGCGGAACGGGTTGCGGAATACCCGCTCGGGATACGGCAGCTGCACGTCTGCAGCGAAATTTCTTGTCAACAACCAATCTTGGTAAAGAGCCGTAGCCTGTGATGATAGCCGTCTCGAATGGCTTTCCCTGAATAATAGCTTCAGCCAGTCAAGTTCTCCAAGTGCTGGTGCAAGACGAAGCACCGGATATGCGGGTATGCGGATCTGCGGAAATTCCGCACCCGCAAGGCTATGTCCATGTAATTGCTCTGTAAAGTCTTGGCACAAAACGGCCATGTAAGCACTATTGAGATGCCGGTTTTTTGGTTCTCGGAGCTACAGCAAAACTCCAGTTTGTATGGAGCTCGGTAGTTGCTGCTCAATTGCTTTATTGCTCATTCACATAATAAATACAATAACCTTAACTCCTTCGTCTCTAGCATGGCGCTAAGCCCAATCTCATTCATTTATACAGTCTCATTGGTGAAAGCGTCATAACCCGACATATCTCAGGACCTACCTACCAGATTTACAGCAGGTCTCACTAATTGCACAGTAACAGACATAAACTTGATTTGACATGATGCAGCTAGACAGCCGCTGGAGTGCTTGAATTGGCCGGCTTTCGGCTCCGTCTCCATGACACAAACATAAAGAGCAATGTCAGGACCATTCCAAAGCCTGCTAAACCTACGCTGAAATATAACGCTGAACGATATCCTCTAAGCAAATCCTGTCCGTGATGATTTAGTTGGGTCTCGATAGTCCCCGCAAATCCTAGACTTAGAGAGATAGAATAATTGATTGTTGTGGCAATGAGAGATGCTGCGAGGCCCTGGTGCTCACGCGGCATGGCATTGCTTAGGAGAATAGTTCCCGCGGGAAATGACATGTCCCTAATGATCAGATTAGTCCATCTAAGTACATCACCTTTGTCGGACAGGGAAGATGCTCGCTCCTCCACATACATGCCAAAAGGGTAGATCAATATCATCACAAACGCTTGTGCCCAATACGTTTGTTCAACCGGAATTGTGGCCAACAGCGTAGCCGCAATAAGGAACCCGCACATTGCCATAAACATGATGACACTTGGCGATACGCGGCTTAGCAGGTACGCCGTTGTGAGGCCTGCGATAACACCCATGATTGGTGCTGGAGCCCATTTACCTACCGCAAGGAGCGGTTCGTCGCCCTTGATAACTTCCATAAACTGGTAGTAGTAGTACAGGCCAATGCCAAAGCTAGCCCAGCCGGCCGAGATGCAGCTTAGAGTCCAACCAAGATCCCCCGTAAAGACAGAAGTTGGGAGCAAAGGAAACTTTGCCTTGCGCTCAACGATTCCAAATCCACCGAGGAACAGAAATCCAACAATGAGAAGGATATAGATGTATGGGTTTGCCCACCCGGCAATCGGGGCCTGGTTCCAGGAGAAGTTGATTAGAGCAAGGCCGGTGATGCCGAGAAGAGCGCCAGGGATGTCGATTTGATCAATAAAGTCGAATCGATGCCCCTGTTTAAGCGAAGTGTCTGTTCTCGGGGGCGGATCTAGTGCTATGGGGATCACGAAAATCCCGGCAACAGCAAGGCTAAAGCAGAAAATCGCCATGATCCAGTATGACCAGGGCCACCATACCCGCTGTGCCAACAGTGCGATGAATATGCCCGCAACATTGAATCCAGCAGGGGCGGTGGCTCCAAAGAGACTAAACACCAATTCTTTCCCCCGTCCGGGCGGATATGTTCTCGCCAAGATGGCAACAGCGTTGGGTAATACCAATCCGGCTCCGATGCCTTGAAATGCGCGGCAGCAGATAAAAAATGTCGTCGTCGTTGAATACACGCTGAAGCCGGCCAGCAGAGACCACAGCCCATACCAGAAGAAGCCGATGATGAAGAGCCGCCTGTGGCCATACAAGTCTCCCAGCCGGCCGGCGACGAGGATGAACGTGCTGTTGGTTAGTGAGAATGAAGCCGCGAACCAGCTCAGCTGGCCATCGCTTACATTCTCCCAGCTGCGGCCGATGATGTGGGCCGTGATGATAGAGATGGCCAGGCCCGTCTGTCCAAGGAATTGCGCCATAGAGACGACAAAGAGGAAACAGACCTCGTGGAGCAGCGACTCGGGTCTTTTGGCCATGGAATGCGTCGATATCGCGAGAGAGACCGGGCGCGGCGGCCGGAGCGCATTTTCGTCGTTGCCATCGTCGTCTTCGACTTCGTCCGGGCGGTCGTCTTTCTCAGTATTGGAACGAGGCGTCGCTGGCGGACTCTGGAGTTGAATAATGTCGCCTCTGAGTCTATGTAGAGGCGTCATATTGACTGTGCCGCTACGCACGCGGATTGACGTCGCAAGACATGGTGGCTAATTAGCGAACCCCCTTGTTTTTATAGGGAGCTCATTCATCGCCTCTGTGGCATATTAGAAATTGCTACAGGCCCGTTCTAGTGGAGCAGATCGCACCGTCAGACCGGGATCTGACCAGTGCTGAATCGTTCGGCGGCAAGATGGGATAATTTGACAGGGTGTCTGGGGTAAAATTTGACGCACAAGGCCCTGTCACAACGTTTCAGCCCGGGGAGCTTGACAACGGGTAAACACGATGAAGTCATTCGGTTAGCCCGGTTCTCGACGTGGCCCGCGATCGCATCGACCAATGAGCACTTCGCAGCTGGTCTATTCGGATAGAACAACATCAATAAAGAGACCATTCACCTCATTGATAAACAATGTATCCGAAAGACCCCTCACGATTCAGGCTCAACAGCCAAATGCGGCAGTTCCGGTCAGCTATCCGGGTTGCATCGTTGCCTTGCATTGCAGATGAACGCGCGGGGCTGCGGATTCTTGATGCGGGATGCGGCATCCGCAGCGGACATTCGTGTTGAAGCTTTGCAGCTCATCTACGAGTCTCCAGAACGACAACGGCTTCTAAGCCGGCAGTCTGTGATTTCTCAGGATTATCAATCGCTCCACCACGATTTCGTCAAGTCCGGACGAATGCGAGATTCAACCTAGATAAACGCTCGTATATGCCAGCTGCAGCCTAGGTAGCCCTGCCTCCGACTTCTGAGAGCCGCAGCTTTGGCTGGGGTTGTCACAAACGACGATGAAACCTTGCGATGCCTTCGCCACCTGTTCCCCCTGTTGTCTACTTATGTACCACATACCGGGAGTAGCATGCAAAAGACCCGCCATCTCGAAAGCCACGGCCCCCCTGAGACTAAATTGTAAGATGCTCCCTCTCTTCTGAGGGATGTCCTGCACTCCAGCCCACCGGAGCTTAGTTGATCTTCAAAAGAACCAACCAAAGCTTCAAATCTTCTCAGAAAATTACTTCTCCAGTAGGAAATTCCGGGGGTCTGCTTGCCGCCTCCACCTCTACTTGGTAGCTTGATAAATAGCAGCGAAACGGTGTGAAGATGCGTCAGCCTTTGCTCAATCAAGTTGAACGTCCGCAGGCTACTCGAGCCAATCGCTTCCACTGTTGTGCCTAACGAAGCACGCAAATGAGAGACCCAGGTTGATACTTGTAATTATAAGTATGGGGACCAGGCAAGTCTTCAAAGTGAGTCGCCGTGCTGAGATGCTCTGCACGAGTCACAGAGCACTGCGCTTAATACGCGGAGTGTTGATATATGAGCTGGACTTTCATGCTTTCCCATCTCTTCAACTCTCTATCCGTCAGCTACACTATATCGGCTCTTCTCGAACGACCCAATAGATTTACCCATCAACACCCTCGACTGCCCACTTCATGGAGTCGCCATCAACGATGGACTGCCCAGCAGCAAACACGGTTCTGTTCTGCCCTCTGAAAATTGGGAGTGGGACTATTTCCAGTCGTATCGTCATGGCACCAATGGCGAGGCTTCGAAATAGCCGGCGGCACGTACCATTGGTACCTATGGTGCCCACCTATTTCGCTGAACGCGCCAGTTATCCGGGATCACTTGTCATAAGTGAAATGACCATCGTATCTCCTCGAGCGTCTGGCTACCCGCACTCTCCTGGAATCTGGACAAATGAACAAGTTGCGGCGTGGAAAGCAGTCACGGCCGCTGTTCATGCTCAGGGATCACGCATCTATCTTCAGATCGGAGCACTTGGCCGAGTCGCAAATCCCAACGTGCTAGAAGAAGACGCTGTATTGTTTGGCCTGCCTAAGGATTCGGTCCGGTTTGCCGCTCCAAGCCCAATCCCTTGTAGCAGAGGCCATCCGACTCCGGCAGAACTGACTACAGAAGAAATCAACACCCTGGTACAAGACTTTGCTGCGGCGGCCAAGCGTGCCGTGTTTGACGCAGAATTTGATGGGGTTGAAGTTCACGGCGGCTATGGCTACCTCATTGACCAATTCATCCAAGACACATCAAACCAGCGCACAGATTGCTACGGCGGCAGCGTTGAGAACCGCTCCCGCTTTGCACTTCAGGTCATGCGCGCGATTGTGGACGTCATTGGCCCTGAGCGTTCCGCAATTCGCTTGTCGCCATGGTGTTCCTGGCAGGGGATGAGGATGAACGATCCTATGCCGCAGTTTATTTATCTTATCCAGCAGCTCCGTGGCATGAAGTTGGCATATTTACACTTGGTAGAGGCATTTGTAGCTCGGCAGACAATTTCTGCGGAAGCTTTATTAGGCGATAGTAACGATATTCTCATCCGCATGTGGGGAATGACAAGTCCAGTCATTTTGAATCACGGCTTCAATGCGACAAGCGCCATTGAGGCTATCGAGAGGTACATTGGGGTAGCCGACATTGCGGTCGCTATTGGCGCACCATTCATGTCGAATCCAGATCTTATTTATCGCATCAAGAAAGGAATCTCTCTGGCTGTGCCAGATCGGTCCAAGTCTCACTCAATCATGGATCCAGATGGCTATATCACCTACCCCTTTTCAGGCGAGTGGAAGACAGAACAAGAAGCGAAACTGCGCGAGACAAAGCTTAGCATTATGCGGTCAATGATGGGATTTTTCTCGACATACTAGAGAGCTGGATCATGTTTGCATGTAAGCACAAGGGCGCGAATCTCGGCGGAACATTTCTCGACGTACTAGAGAATTAGACCATTTCTACATGCGCCTATGCAGATACAAGGCGCAAAGCCAAGCGACTAAGGAAGATCGTATCTCGATCTATAACACCCAACGCAGGTACTAAGGCACCTAGGCGTTAGCTCGACAACACATTTGGCAGTAGATAACACTGTGCAACATAGGTAAACACCAATGCCGAAGAAAGAAAGTTAGGGTTAAGAAGATGAATATACGGAGCAAATCAGAAGGCAATATGGCATGTGATGTGCCTCATTTCAAGAAACCCTAATATGATGCTTTCGGATTGGTGCGGTTCGGACCAGATGCTCCCAAGAACACCCAGCATTCCATGTAGGCAGTTGCTCGGCATCGATCTTGCTCTAGCTTTGTGTAGAAACACTCTGGGAAGCTGAACACCATCAACGGACCCAGGATTTTCCGAACTTGGCAAATCATCGTCACATCTTGGGGGAGCACAGATAACCGCCTCTTGATTGCCGGTGTGGTAGTCGCGCGCTAAACCAAGTTCCTGTCTAGTCGTTCGGAAGATGCCGTCTGTTCAAACAATGGCTTTGAGTTTCATCTCCCTCTGACAAGATGCGATGAAACACACATTCCAATTTTTAAGGCCGATATCGGGTGCAAACCGAGGTTATGTGGAAGATATCCCGTAGGCTATCCGGAGGGCATCAAGGCCAGCATGAGTAAGTATATTCCTCATTCTCAATGTCAATTTCGCCAAAGAACAAGATCAGCCCACTGATAAGGTATCCTTTAACCAGTTTTGGCGTATGGCTCCGCAATAGGCAATAGGTTACTTTAAAAGCAACACGAGTTGTGCAAGCGTTGTTCCAGAGGTGGCCAATCGTTGCGGTTTCACACCTAAAGTCATAACCGTTAAATTGAAATGAAATTGAAAATGGAATACTGGTGTGCTGACCTCGTATTTAGCAGCCTTGGTGCCTGAATTCTAGACCAAAGATGCCAGTACCTGTAGTCACGTGCGATCGTGTAGTCACGTGCGATCCAGGAGAAGTGCACGTTGTTGGCGGTGGCGAAAACGCCACCACGAGATCTAGAACTTGACAGTATCAAAGCAAATCTCGATTACAGAATGATTCCGTGATCCGGTGTGCGACGATGAAAATACATGTTCGTCAACTTCGACCGCCTCCGGACATTCACCTCGTCAAGATTTTGCTTCCCCAGGTTGAGACTCCACGGCCCCGTACTGGGGAAATAGTGTTTGCGGGGGATGATGGGAAGGTGGTATTTTGAATTGCATCGTGACCATTGACAGGCAAGATTTCAGCTCGTGGTATGATGTTATGTGCGTGTCAGTCCGACAAATGGGGCAACTTTCTAATTACCCCGATTCAGACCTCCCAACATGTTCCGATGTGGCGCTGGATAGTGCGGGGAGTATGTTAACTTTCGTGTCCAGTTTCGCCTCCGTGGAATTCCGTCAACCCACAAGAATGCGCTGTATTCGCATATCATTGACTAATGATTTCCAATGCCTGCTCTGTTAGAGTGACCGCTTGTCAAAATGTCATGGGAAATGTCGGAGGCAATCTGCTAGCTGAAGAGGCTGAGAAGATGGGGGAATGGAGCAACATGTCAAGCGGCAGGGGAAAGGTGCGCGTACTAGCGCATGCTGAGGTGTGGAGAAGAGCAAGGAAGGCCGGGAAGAATATGTGCAGAAGGAAAAATCGCCGCCACTGTCGTGACTCGGCGTGCCCTGAGATGGTGGTTGGGAGGCTTTGGAGGCTTGGACCATTCAGCGACCAGGTCAGGCCAAGCCTTTCGTCAGCGGGATCTACGGAAGGTGGCCCAAATCTGCAATGGCTTGCATCAAACTTTTCTTCAGCCAGGCACTACTTCGAATGGAAGAACGGTGTGCGCGCAGGAACGAGACCAAGTGTAAGGGTACCTGGAGTTTATCTGGGAAGGTTGCTGGCAATGCGCGCAGACATGGATCCCACGAGTCCGCATCCATCGCATTATACATGATGATTACTACCTCGACAGCTCAAATGGAGCCATATCTGGAGATAAGACAGGGGCCGGACCATGCTCTCCAAGCTGATCTCGAGTCAGGGCTGCTCCATCCAGCGCACCAACTTGTCTCCAGGCTTCCACTTTCAAGATTGTGATGATGCGACGCACACTGGGCCCACTGCCGATAACCAAACAGCAGACTATCTCAAGCGGCGTCTCACTCTTTACCTAACGTGCTCCACTTGGGTTCCTGTGAAAGCCGGCCTATCGGTAACCACAAACCAACGTGACCTGGGAATGCTGGAGGCGAGACGCCTCCAATATGACGAATCTCTGAAATTGACCTATTTGGTCAATGATTCGGAGCATCGCACGCGGTCAGTTCCAAGAAGAGCTAACTCGTTCATCCGCATGGCCCGGACATCTGCTGCGGGGAAGTGATTGGATGGGGAAGTTGGAACTAGATGGTTTTAGGATCTCACCGTCGAATCAGCGCATTGCAGAGTTTCATCGTCTTATCAAAAACGGGCATTTCTGGGGGAAGGGACCCCAAATTTCTCCAGTTCCCCGTCTCCAACATGGGCGGTTCTCGGGGGCCCCGATTGTCTATCGCCCATTGAGCAGTATCTCGAATCCTACTAGCTGCGTTATCAAGTGCCCCCCGTCAGTACCGGTAGTCTGACGCCTCATACTAGCATCGTCCGTTCCGGTTGCCGGTTCCGGTCCAAATGCCGGTCGAGAAGCTCTGACATTCTTTATTTTAATATGTCGCCAGCTCTTCTCTTCAACTTCCATCTTTTCTTCCCAAGTTGTCCTATTTCTCCAAGGCGACAATGGAAGACTACAGCAACGACCCCAAACATGACCTCACCCCGGAGGCTGCCGCCCTGGCACAACTGGGTCACAAGCAGGAACTCAAGCGGAATTTCTCCTTGATTTCTATGCTGGGTCTTGCCTTTGCTATTCTCAACACATGGACTGCCTTGGCCGCCTCAATTACACTTGCGCTCCCTTCAGGAGGCTCAAGTTCCGTCATCTGGGGTCTGATCGTGGCCGGCATCTGCAACTTGGCTCAGGCTGCTTCACTTGCAGAATTCCTCTCCGCCTATCCCACAGCCGGCGGTCAGTACCACTGGGCCGCCATTGTATCATGGAAGCGATGGAGTCGCGGTATTAGCTATGTGACTGGATGGATCAATGTATCCGGCTGGGTGGCCCTCAGCGCCACTGGTGGTTTACTAGGCAGCACATTCATCATCAACATCATTTCGCTCCTTCACCCCGACTATGAGCCAAAGCCGTGGCATCAATTTTTGATTTACATCGGCTTCGCCGTCATTGCCTTGGTTATCAACGCCTTCCTCACCAGAATTCTGCCTCTCTTCACCCAGGCCGCCTTCTACTGGTCGGTTGCCGGTTTTGTCATCATCAGCATTACGGTTCTGGCAACCGCATCACCGGATTACCAGTCTGCCGAGTTCGTCTACGGCAACTTCATCAACGAGGTTGGCTGGCCAGATGGAATGGCTTGGCTCCTTGGCTTGCTCCAAGGAGCGTTTGCCTTGACAGGTACGTCGATAAATGAACACATAATGTAGTCATTAGAGAAGGGCCATTGCTAACTAGTCTTGTCTAAACAGGTTTCGATGCGGTTGCTCACATGATTGAGGAAATTCCGGAACCACAAAAGGAGGGCCCCAAGATCATGCTGTACTGCATCGGCATTGGCATGTTCACTGGATTCATCTTCCTCACTGCACTGCTTTTCTGTGTCAAGAACGTCGACGACGTCATCAGCGCCGCTTACGGCCCGCTGCTGCAGATCTTCATGGACGCAACCAAGAGCAAGGCTGGCAGTGTATGCCTGCTCATGTTCCCTCTCGTCTGCATGCTTTTCACCACCGTTACCCTGGTTTGCACTAGTACCCGAATGAGCTATGCTTTTGCTCGCGACCGAGGAATGCCCTTCAGCAGCACCTTCGCCAAGGTGCACCCAACCCTTGATGTGCCCATCAACGCCCTGCTCTGGACTGTCGCTTGGGTCATTGTTTTTGGCTGCATCTTCCTGGGCTCCACCAGCACCTTCAATGCCATCACCTCCGCATCCGTTGTGGCTCTTGGTGTCACCTATGCCATTCCCCCGGCGATCAACGTCCTCCGTGGCCGAAAGATGCTTCCGGAGAATCGCTCTTTCAAGATCCCCGAGCCTTTCGGCTGGATTTTGAACCTCGTTGGAATCATGTGGGCCATCTTGACTACCGTCTTGTTCGTTTTCCCTCCAGAGCTTCCGGTCACGCCTGCCAACATGAACTACTGCATTGTCGCCTTTGGCGTCATTCTCCTCATTTCGGGAGGCACTTGGATCATCGACGGCCGAAAGTCTTACAAGGGACCTGTCGTGGATATCCAGGGCATGTTCCATGGCGCTGTTGATGGCTTGGATGGCCTGGAAGGCCTGGACGCTGCAGCGCAGTCGGATAGCGTTCGTGAGGACCTCTCAGCGGAGAAGAGGTGAATGGGGTAATGTTAGAAATAGCGGGTTAAGCGGGAAATTATTTTTGTTTTGAATATATTATGATACCAGTATCCATTTCAGTTCTAATCGTGATGACCGCTGGCTTGAAAAATGGCATGTCAACTGACGTTCTACGAGTAACTTGACTTCGCCTTTGAGATAAAATCCCAAGCTGTACCTGGCCCTTTATCTGCCTTCACCTCCACCAACGACTGTCCATCCTCGGAGATAGCTACCTGCCACAGCTCCTCACCATGCTTAATCAGGAGAATATAGCCGCCATCTGGATGTCTCTCTGCCATAAAATATTCGTCAGACCGTTGGTTTAGCTGGGCGGCCCGAATTACGCCCGACCCGTCGCGCCCAAGGTACGTGCCGGAAACGACATTTTGGAAACCGTACCAGCCAGCTCTCTTGCGACACATCCAAAGGAATCCAAATCCAGGATACGTCTTATCAAGAAGCATCACTTCGCCGAAACATAGCGTGACGAGGCGGTGTGGCTTCTTTCTCTCTTGGATCATACATGGCTCGTCGACTATAGGGTGGTATTCTATAGATCGGATATCGAGAGTTGACGAGCTATCGTCTTTGATGTTGATAAGATCTGACATGGTGGAGGAAGTGGGCGTATGGCAGTCGTCTGTCGAGCTGGTGGTGACGATTGAGGCAGTTTCCCATGTGGTTTTGCTCATTCTATAAGAAACATATGGAGAGCAGACGAGGTCGCGAGTCGCTGATGTTGATTTGGTGATATCGGTTTGGTAATGGGATTAAATGCACATTTGCCTAAGGTTAAATGGAAGAGGGAGAGCCGTAAATTCTCTTCAACTGTTAGGTATCGTGCGTGTCTCACTGTGCCGCATGTGCTGCGGGAGGCCTACAAACGATGTCTCTGAGTGGACAATTTTCCTATTGGCGGGAGGCTGAAGAGGCGGCCTCAAGATACTCGGCATGCTACGCTAAGAATTTACAACAGCACATAGCATCAACAATATAGTCACAAGAATGAAAAGTGGTAGAAAGTCAGACTTCCTAGACTACATGTTTTTTTATTAACCAACGTAAAGCGTACTAGATTCGACAAAATCCCACGCCGTCCCTGCTTCTTTTTGTTCCACCAGGTAATCCCCGTCCTCGGAGATGGCTACCTGCCACAGCTCCTCGCCATGTCTCGTCAGGAGAACATAGCCACCGTTTTCATGTCTCTCAGCCATGAAGTATTCGTGAGATTTATGATGCGGCATAGCAGCATGGATTTTGTTCCTGCCGTTGTGTCCAAGGTACGTACCGGAGACGGCATTTTGGAACCCATACCAGCCAGACTTCTTGACGCACATCCAAAGCCATCCAAGTGCGGGACACTGCTGATCCGTAAGTATGATTTCACCGAGACGAAGCGAAAGGATGCGGTGCGGGTGTTGTCTTTCGCGAATCATGAAATGCCTGCCGTTTTTGGGGTGATGCTCTCCCGATGGGATGGTAAAGGTGGATGATTTGTCGTCGTCTTTGAAGTTGATAGGATCTGACATGGTGGAGAGAGTAGGTGTGTCACAGTCGTCTGCCGAGCCGGTGGTGGTGGTTGAGGCACTTTCCCAGGTGCTTTCGTTCATTATCCCAGAGACTTTATGGGAGATGGACGAGGTTGCAAAAGGTAAAAGGTGTGATAGTGTCTTGGGGCTGGGATCATATGTGCGTATGGGTGAAGCGTTCATATTTGATGGAGGGGAATGCGAAAAAGCTTATTTCAGATAGCTGAAAGCTGCATATCAGTCACTGGGCCGCGTGTATACCGCTTGCAGTTGAATGCGGGAGGCCGACAAACGACGTGGCTGAGTGGGCAATGTTTCTATTGGCGGGAGGTCTGTGAATTGGTCTGAAGAAACTCGGCACCCTACGCTATGGATTTACAACGGCCCATGGCCATCAGGAATATGCCCTATGGGCAGTTTGAAGTAGTGAGACCCCCGTCAGAGGTTATACTTACATTTCATGTTGCTATGTGGGAGTTGCAGACAAGAAAACACGAGTCTCAGAGACAGGTCCTGTGTATCTGGCACATGTATTCCGTTGGCAGCCGTGTTGATAAGCCAATAATTCACATGATTGGGTGGAAAGGTTTGTTATTGTTACACAACAGTATTTTGTTATCTTTGAGATGGATGATGCCCCCAAACACACTTCATCAAGAAAGTAAACAAAAGCTAGTGTGGAGAACTAAATGACAACTCCGCGATGCTGCTAGCACATGCATGTACAAACTACCTAGGTACTACTAGGTAGGTAGGTACCCTAGAATCAACGCATTGCTTCTGCTAGGTTCTAAGTTACCGAGGCGGGTGAACAGTTATTGGTCAGTCTCAAACCAGATATTGACCTAAAACACACCGATTTAGATCGTCAAAGAGATATTGCTGCAATAAATATAGAAATTCATACAGTCTTGAAACATCACTGGAGTAAACAACTATGCCATCATAAGTGCTGTGAAACTGGTGGCGTCACATCATCCACAACACTAACAGCCCCACAAGGCGGATAGCGGCAAGATCTTTGAAAAGAGTCACAGAACTTCAATTCTCACTCGCAATTGTCGCTCTTGTGAATTGGGGGCCTCCTATCATCATGACGCGCTTTCGTCCCTGCATTGATCTCCATGCCGGCCAGGTGAAGCAGATTGTCGGCGGTACCCTGGACAGCTCCTCCGAGGCGCTCCAGACAAATCATGTATCTCACCATCCGGCAGAGTATTTTGCGCAGCTGTACAGAGACAATGAGCTTGAAGGCGCTCATGTGATTATGCTGGGCGGAGGAAACGATGTCGCTGCGAAGCAGGCACTGCAGGCATGGCCTGGCAAGCTTCAAGTGGGAGGCGGCATCAAGGATACGAATGCAAAGGAGTGGATTGAAGCGGGAGCAGAAAAGGTATAGACGGCCTCTGTGTTACATGAGCCAAAATTGTCCCAAGCTGCTAACCCAGATGCTCCTCGCTAGGTCATCATCACGTCCTACCTCTTCCCGGATGGCCACTTCAGCCAGCAGAGACTGGATGCTGTTCTCGCGGCTCTTGGCGGCGACAAGGCCAAGCTGGTGATTGACCTCAGCTGTCGCCGTCAGGGGGACAAATGGTTTGTTGCCATGAATAAGTGGCAGACGCTGACAGACATGGAAATCAACCAAGGTTAGTCCTAGTACATCCCTTGACATGATTACGAGCTCATTTTATTAAACACCTGCAGAGTCAATAAAACTGCTGGAGCCATACTGCTCAGAGTTTCTCATCCACGCTGCAGACAACGAAGGGCTGCAAAGGGGGATAGACGAGAAGCTGGTCGAGCGTCTAGCAGAGTGGTGCTCTATTCCGGTCACATATGCCGGCGGAGGTCGGCAATTGGAAGACTTGGAAACCGTCAAGAGGCTGAGCCGGGGTAAAGTAGATCTCACGATAGGGAGCGCTCTGGATTGTTTTGGTGGGTCAGGCGTCAAGTTTGATGATTGTGTGCAGTGGAATAGGAGCCAGGATGTCTGACGAGAGAGGAAGCAATCCGTTTGTTGACATTGGGGAAAAAAAAATTAAAAATGGCCCGACGCTAAGGGACCGTCAGTGTGGATGGAGTTTTGTGTTGCAATTATGCCGTGCAGGTCACCGTCATAAAAATAGAGTTTTCTCACCCTGGATCAAACAAAATTGTCTACCTGCTACTCAGGTAAGACTGGAGTAAAGAATGGGTACGTTTAGTTGGTTGAGCCTTACGGGATCGGTGTGGATCAAAGGAGGTCATGCTCCGTACCTAGGGTATAGTCTACTTGTACTGAAAGTTGTACACAACTGGGGTTGCAAGACATAAAGTCACACATCTTTGATAACGCAGCCAGGGCCTGGAAATTGTTGGCTCAAGCGTCGTACTCACAAAACCAGGTCCTTTCTCTCGGTAACCATGGCGTTGCCGTGTTTCACAATCACCTGCAGGTAAGAGTGGCGATAATAATACCAATAAAGGAGTAGTACGAGTACTGCACTTGTCAGAGCACTGTTCATGCAAAGTAAACAAAGGAAAGTAAACACCAGGATATGGGTTGTTGCACTTGGCATCCTCAAGCCTTGCATGAATCCACCGGGCGAAGGAAAAAAAAAAAAAAAAAGATGGACCAAGGCTCACAAGCCAAGGAAAAGACCAGAAGAAAAAGGAACCATGAGCTATGGATTACGGAGTATTTATGAGGATATGATGCATCTATCGGAAACTGACCGCTTGCATGTGTCTGATGACGACACGCAACAGGGCAGGCCGAATGCTTTGCAGGCCTCTAGCGCGAGATGCGGGTGAGAACAAGCTCTGCATCAAGGCTGTACGTAACAAATGGGTGCATCGTGCGGCGGAAGCAGCCGAATCAGCGTCCTCAGACGGCCAAAACTCTCGTTGCCGTCTTATTGTTTGCATGTTGCCTCGTCTCAGACCCCTGCCGGCTGCCATGGCGACTCTAAGTTTTGCTCGCAACTTCATAGGGCGCTGGTACGAGGCTCTGCTAGCTCCCTCTACTGCCTGCAAGCCGCCTGCTGCAAGCCCTGTTGCAGCAAGATTTAGCGCGCATCCAACCCCTCCTCAGCTGTGATGTGCCCCGGAAGCCCCCCAAAGCTAGGCAAAATAGTGTGCACCAGCAGCCGCGTTGCCACGACAACCCCTGGCACATTGAGGGGCCGTGTTTTGTTTTGCGTTAGGCCAATCACGCTGCCCGACGGCGGTGCATTTGCTGCTTCCCTTAAACACTCCCGACCTGCAAATGAATAGGCCCCCCTTCTCTGACCTCGCCAAGTTGTCATCGTTTGATATCGATTTTGGATGCCAACGATCGAGTCGACTTCACGACTCCGAGGCAACTTTTTTTTTTTTCCTTTTCCTTTTTTTCTTTACTAACATCCAGAAGAGAACAGAGTTAACCCGGCGAACATTCTGATATCTCGCGCCCCCTTTCCCTTTCCCCCCCTCTCCTTGTTCAATTCCAAACGTTCGTTTTCGAGGCTGGCGTACCAACCTTAGCCTCCCTTTTATTTATATATACCTTTTGCGACATACGAGGAACACACACGGCGCCGGCAAGTCGTTACATTCCTCGCTCGAGTCACATCACCTCTGCGCTGATCGGCTTGCGCGCTGATGCGTCGACGCCCTAGCCCAACCTGAGCTGCAAGGATTAGCCAAACCAGTTCGATCGATATGTCATCTGAACCGGTACGCCCAACGTGGCCCCCAAACTTGGCCCTCGACACGAGGCAGCAAAACTAACCTCCAACCTTCTCTCTCCAGGTGCACCCATTGCGCATCGCGAAGGGCACGCCAGCCTCGTCACCGACAAAAGCGCCCAACGCTCCCCAGCCCCGCCCCCTATCTGAACTTTCTCCCACAGAAAGGAGACGCAATTCTCCTAGCTCGAACCAAATGGCTCCTACCAAGGTTTGTGAAATATTTAGCGACATTGTGTGTGGTGTTGTCTCGCGCTGACAGGGGGGTGCGCTTTTTTAGAAGTCGAATACCAGCAATGGCAATGATTCGTCTCCATTCCAGCCCTCGCCCGCCGACTCGGTGACCTCTCCGCGAGTCTTTTGGCAAAATCGCAATTCCGAGAACATGTACGGCAACGGCTCACCCTCTCCCACCCGGCGTTCATCGATTGAGCGTCTCCAGAAGGCTTCCCGTGTCAAGAACAGCAATATCTTGGCACTTGAGCAGAAGCAGGAATATGATCCAACCCGGGTTCCTCAGATTGAGAGACCCCTAGCCAAGGTTCAGAGCACATACGGTTTGCCGGTAGGCTCCCCTGGTCCTTATTATTCTGATGGCGACAAATCCGTTGCGCCTATGAGTCCAACAAAGTCAGATAATTCTGGCCCCAGTACGCCCAGAGGGCCTAGCAAAGACCAGGCTTCGCCCACCAAGTCTTCACTATCACCTTCCAAATTCAAGAGCAGCTTCGACCATGAGACGGGCACGTGGTCTGCGGATGCATCCACCGTGGACGGCCCTCCGAGCGGCCGGTCCTCGCATCGGCACACGAAGAGCGTGACATTCGACGCTGCGCCGCCCCAGATCAACGAGTACGAGATGGCCACCCCGGATCTCTCTTCTATCGGAACGAATTCGCGCGAGGGCAGCTATGATTCGATGGAAGAGGATGAGGACGAGGACGATGATATCTATGATCCTAATCACATGGGCGGCCCCGAGGATGAGAGTTTCGATGCATCCCTGGAGGACACAGACAAGACCCCAGTTGTCGGCCCCGATGATTGGGCCAAAGACAACTCCTTGATGAACAACGAGCATGAGGAGTATGACGGGAGCCCTATGCCAGAGGGAATTCCAGGAGCAGCCAGTTCGGGACGCCTATCCATGGGCAGCAGGGCTGACTCTGTGGGCTCCGTCGCAGAAAATCGCCCTCTCCCCCCTCTTCCTGGAGCAGGCCATGCCAGAAGCCAGTCTACCGGCTCTGTGCCCTCATCTCCCGCGCTCTCTCAGACTCCGGAGAAGATGGGTGGCTCTCACAGAAGCCTACCCGTCCCGCCTCCAGCCTCAGCTACAAAGTCTGATATCGAAAGCTTCATTAGTGGCAAGATGTCACTAGAAGAAAGACTCAAGCTCATGATGATGACTGATGATAGCAGTGGTAAGACCGCTGCTGAGCAGCAGCGTGAGCGACGTCTTCGACGAAGTTCTGGCCGCAGTCGAAGCTCATTGTCCCGTGACGATACACTCAACACGGCTGACAATAGCCAAGTCGCCCTTGACATCCACAATGATGAAGAGGCAGAGGTCCATGAAGAGGAAGACAACCTCGGCGACATGTCCGGACTAGGGGACTACCAACTGCCACAGCCCATCTCCAGGGAGTCTATTATGAAGCGTGTTAACGGAAACAAGATAATGGCTGATCCCGAATCAGAGTACAACTTTTCTTCGCCACCCGGCAGCCCCCTTCGAGACCAGCACTTTCCTCTTGACCCCGACGTTCCCATTCCATCAACTGAGGACTCTTTGCTGGATGACGAGGACGATGAAGACGATGAAGGCGATGGGCCTTATGATGATGATGATCCTGTGGAGAGCAGTGTGATTATTCATCGGGTTATTCATGAAGACGATTCCGAGCTCGATATGTACGATTCCGAGTACGATGACGAATATGACGACGAGTCTCACTTCGAATCTGATGACGATTTGGATGCTTCAGGCTCTCATTATGGCGGTGATGACAGCCAATATACAGAGTCCGAGCTTAAGACTGAGTCTTCTGACAGGACTGTGGAAGATCCTGCCAAGGAATCTGCCGAGGAACCTGTCAAGGAACCTGTTAAGGAGATGGTCGAGGAAGCTATCGAAGAACCTGTCAAGGAACCTGCCACGGAATCTGTCAAAGAACTGTCGCCCCCGGAGCATGACCTTAGCGAAGAGGTGCTGACTCCTCGTGCCATCTCGCCAGTGGGAACCGAAGACGAAACACACACTGAGGCTGAGTCCAGTATGATCAGCGAGTCGGCAGCTTCAGTATCTGATCTGTCATCGGATGCCACTCCCGAAGCCACGATGGAGCCATCTTCGCTTGAACCCTCTGTGCTTGACCCCTCTATGCTTGAACCAGCCGCGCTCGAGTTCAGTCGAGAAGTTCCAGGAGAGCCAGAAGACTCAGAGCTAGAGCATGACGTATCGCCAAGGGTATCAACTGAGATTCTCCGAACCAAGACTCCAGAGAAGTTACTCCCGAAGCCTGAATATGACGGTACTGGCTGGGGCGACGATTCATACGTAGAAGATAGATCAGGAACTCCTGACTCTGTCATCCATAACCCCGTCTCTGATGAAGAAGAAGAGATTGTTCGGAAAGAATCCCCCGAGATTCCCGAAAGGCTCGCAACTATCAAGGCCTCTGGCTCCAAGCTGAAGACGAGGGTTTCCAACACGCCTTCTGATATTGTGGCTATGCGGGAGGCTCGCCGGCACGTTAGCGGTGAAATACCCAGTGTTCCATCTATTCCAAGCAAGCATCGCGCGCTCATGTCGAGAGATGGCAGCGACATTGAGCTGAGCAATGACAGTTTCCTGGCTCGACATCCTAGCTTTAAGAATCGGAGTCTGACGTTGGACCTGGACATGGGCCTCAGTTTGGACAAGGACTTTGAACGAGTCATTGAAACGCAAAAGGTAGCTTTTAGTCGTCCCTATCCTCACACAGCACAGATAACCACCAACTACCACCACTCTTCACCTCGACAAGTGTCAGGGGAGCAGCACACTTCACCAGATAAGAATCAACTCGATGCTAATATCACATCTCGTTCTCAGCGCGGATATCTCATGCGACAAAACACCAAACTCGTGTCTGCCAGCGACAAGGACGCCGAGGATCCTTGGAAAGCGCGATCTGCTAACAACTCACCCATCAAGTCGAGTCGGCCGCAGTCGTGGACCGTGGAACCCTGGAACAGCCAAACTCGTCGCAGTATTCGAAAAGGCCAGCCGATATTAAGCCCTGTTCCACCGCTGCCGGGCCAGGAGAGCAATTCGACAACTCTGAACAAGGTTGTTGAAGAAGATTACAGTGTTGATGCGGCCGGCCCGGAGGCGGGTGAGAGAGGCCGCCTATTTGTCAAGGTCATTGGTGTGAAGGACCTTGACCTACCAATTCCAAAGAGTAAGTTGCATCTTGTCCTTAAATGGCAGCCGAATCTAACAAATTGTTTCTCAGACGAACGCAGCTGGTTCAGCCTGACACTGGACAATGGTGTTCACTGTGTGACGACAGCTTGGTTGGAGTTGGCTCGCAATGCACCAATCGGACAAGAATTCGAACTTGTCGTCCCCAACGACCTTGAATTCCAGCTCACGTTGAACGTTAAGCTAGAGAAGCCTACGTACTCCAACGTCCAGCCCGCAGCAGTCAAGATGGCAAAACCCAAGACATCAACGTTCAGCAGGGTGTTTGCGTCACCCAAGAAACGCAAGGAGCTTGAGCTTCGACAAAGGGCAGAAGAGGAGCGCTTTGCGCTGCAGCAGAAGGAAGCGCTGGCACGAAAGCGTAAGGATGCTGGCTCGGCCTATGAGCTCCTTTCACCGCTGGCTGCTGAGGATGGAAGCTTTGCTCGAGCTTACATCTCCCTGAAAGAGCACGAAAGCCGATGCTTCGGTCGCCCGTACACGGCCGAGGTTATCTGCTTCAACGAGTGGGCTACTGAAGAAGAAAGTTTTGCCTCGACCATCAAGAGCAAACGAGGCAACGCTCCCGGCATCCTCAGAAAGGCGCCGTACAATATCGGGAAGCTGGAGCTTCAGCTTCTCTTTGTACCTCGCCCCAAGAATGTTACGGATGATGACATGCCCAAGAGCATGAATTCATGCATCCGGGAGCTCAAGGCTGCCGAGGAGAGGCTTGCCCGCAACTGGGAGGGTGTCTTGAGCCAGCAGGGTGGTGACTGTCCTGTAAGTTGGCCATTAATTTTTTCCCCCTTCTTTACCCTCTTTCTCCCCCACTCTTAGGTTCTGATTTTTGGCTAACCCGTGGATCAGTACTGGCGCCGCCGATACTTTAAGCTTGTTGGCACGAAGCTGACTGCTTACCATGAGGCTACTCGCCAGCCCCGAGCGACGATTAACCTTTCCAATGCCAAGCGATTAATCGACGATCGTCGAACGTTGATGGAGAAGGAGACAACAGGCAAGGGAGGCAAACGTCGCAGATCTGCCTTTGCGGAAGAAGAAGAGGGGTACATGTTTGTTGAAGAGGGCTTCCGCATCCGGTTCAACAACGGCGAGGTGATTGATTTCTACGCCGACTCGGGCGAGGACAAGGAAGGCTGGATGAAGGCCCTTTCCGACGTCATTGGCCGTGGTGATGCCGGATTGGAAGAGGATGCTAGTGGGCCCCGGTCGCGGGCAAAATGGTGCGAACTTGTCTTTAAGCACGAAGAGCAAATTCGACGCCGAACTGAGAGCCGGAGAGTGCACTCACGGACAAGGAGCACATTCAACTAAAAGCGGATGGGCAAGACGCCAAGCTGAGATGTACTTGCTATGTTATGAATACGTGTTGGATTATGGAGTATGACCGACGAGTTGGCAGGGGGACGGCGCATTTTTTGCTACTACAGACACATTCATTGGCGTTGCCGGTGGTTTTCTTCGTGTTTTCTTCTTCTTCTTCTTTTTTTTCTTCCTCTTCTCGTTGGCCTCTCATTTTCACTTCTTCACATTCTACTTTTTTCTTCATTGCTTGCTGTTTTGATTCCACAGCTGTTGCGACAGAGGTCGCCTGTACGTATGGATTTTGATTTGTACTAAAAACGTTTTTAGCCAGTATAATGAGACCAACGCAGCCAATGCGCAGTTCCTTGATGCGACTGGAGTAACTGAAGTAACTGAAGTAACTGATTTTGCATGATACTTAGCCCTGCCCCTCGTTTCTAGAGAGTAAAAGGTGCACGGCGGTAGTAATAAAAGGGGTGCTAGTAAAGGGGTGAGACGGGTATTATCATGCATCAATGTATTTTGGGAACATGCTCCAGCAACACCCTGTCTTTGTTTGTAGAGTGCCGTTGTGTAGGGGGTATTGTATGTATCATAGGTATATATGAGAAGATTATGAAGCTATTCCCACACCTCTAGTTAGCCCGCCGTAGACAACGCACAGAGTATAAGGTTATTATTACTTGCCCCTTTGGCAATACTTGCTCCCATGTCCAGTCTCCAACGTCATTTGTTTTTTAATCTTACAAGTCCCCTTTGCATCGAAGCTGAGACACGTGACCCTTGCGCCATCTCGCATTGATGCCAGGTTAATTGAGTGGAGGAGCGCTGACGGCAGCAGCAAAAAGCGGGCTGGTGGGGTCACCAGCTGGCGAGGCGCAGCGGGCCCTTCAGTGGGCTCAGAGCTCTGGGGGGTCCTTTTGGGGGGGCATCGTCACCTGTAACGGGGATTGAAGCACCTCTGCTTCCTCCATCTCCAGCACCCAAACCTCAGCTCTTCTCCAAAGCGCAAGTCCGCAAGCCCTCAACTCCTCTCTCCCGTCTTTTCTCTTTCCCTTGTCCCTCAGATCTCGTTCGCCAGAGGACGCCACAATGGCTGGTCGATTCGTCCGGGCGTCCAAGTACCGTAGGTCCATCCAGGCGCGAACGCATCTGCGCTGACGACGACGGCGAGGCTGACGACGATAGGACACATCTTTGGCAAGCCCACGAAGAAGGAGTTTTGCTACGACAACCTGCGCATCAGCCGGAATGCCTGGGACACAAACCTGGTAAAGGTACGGACGGCGTTGAGACGCGACATGCGACGCTTCGACACGGTGCTGATCAAGAGCTGAACATAGGCCAACGCCGAATACCTGTCGGTCAATTGGGAGTCTTCTGGAGGAGGCGCCTTTGCCGTTATCCCTCTGAACGAGAAGGGAAAGGCACCCGACCAGATCCCACTGTTTCGCGGACACACGGCAACGGTCCTCGACACTGACTGGTGAGCTGCCCCTCTGAAACTTCCCCCCCTATTTCGATTTCCCTTTGGCAACACCCCTTGCCAACCCGCTCTTCGCCCAGACGGCTTGGGTCGCTGACTTGTCTTGTCGCAAAGGAACCCGTTCAACGACCGCATCATCGCCTCGGCTTCGGAGGACGGAAAGGTCTTTATCTGGGAGGTTCCCCAGGACTTCTCGCTCTACACTGACGCCGAGGTCATCCCCGATGTATCGCCGGTCAGCAAGCTGGGAGGCCACACGAGGTAGGCCACCCTATCGATTTCGATCCGTGCTTCTGAAGAAGGCGGAAGCAATATAAAATACAATACTAACCAGCTCGCGACAGAAAAGTCGGGCAGGTCCTGTTCAACCCCGCGGCCGACAACATCCTCGCCTCTGCCTCGGGCGACTTCACAATCAAGCTGTGGGACGTCGCCACCGGCCAGAACCACCTGACTCTGCAGCACGCCGACATCGTACAGAGTCTGTCATGGAATGCGAGCGGCGACCTTCTCGTCACGACGTCGAGAGACAAGAAGATCCGAGTGTGGGATGTTCGCCAGGAGAAGCCTGTGCACGAGTACGCGGGCCACACGGGTGCCAAGAACAGCAGAGCAGTCTGGCTGGGCGAGCACAACCGCTTCGCCACGACTGGTTTCTCCAAGATGAGCGAGCGACAGATTGCTCTGTGGGAGCCTGGCCGCAGTGATCCTATTGGAGGATTCACTCACCTGGATGCCATTTCTGGTGTCTGCATGCCTTTCTGGGGTTCGTTCACATCAACACCATCCGGATCGCACTGGATCGCGACGCTAACATATGTTTTATAGATGACGGTTCTAACTGCCTCTACCTTGCTGGCAAGGGGTAAGCTCTCTCCCTCTCTCCCTCTCTGAATTACGACTTTGTGGTTACTGGTGTGCAGATGCTGACTAACCTAATAGTGATGGCAACATCCGCTACTTCGAGTACGAGAACGACAAGTTTGAGTACTTGAGCGAGTACAAGTCCGTAGATCCTCAGCGAGGTATTGCCTTTATTCCGCGACGCGGTATCAACGTGAGTATTCCGGTGGTTTGCAGGTATTACTATGATAACCCTAGCTAATGCGGCCCAGGTTCACGAGAACGAAGTCATGCGCGCTTTCAAGACGGTGAACGACAACTACATCGAGCCCATCTCCTTCACTGTGCCCCGAAGAGCAGAGACATTCCAGGCCGACATCTTCCCCCCTGCCGTTGGCCTTCGCCCTGCTGTCAGCGCCAAGGAATGGCTCGATGGCAAGACAGGAATCCCGGCCAAGATCGATTTGGAGAGCGTCTATGAGGGAACTGCTCCCAAGGAGGTTGCTGCCGACTACCAGCCTCCCGCTGCCCCGGTGGCCCCCAAGGTCGAGCCCAAGAAGGAGGAGCCCAAGGAAGAGCCCAAGCCGGTTGTGCGAGCTCCTCCCCCCAGCGTCAATGACCAGAAGAGCTCCATTGCTGCCATGGCCAACAAGTTCCAGGACGCCGACGAGGAGGAGCCCAAGCAGGAGGAGCCATCCAGCTTTGACGAAGAAGTCAAGCCGGTGCAGCGAGCCCCTCTACCTATCCGAACCGAATCGAAGCCAGCAACTCCTCCAGCCGCTACACCCGCCCCAGCTCCTGTTAAGCCCGTCTCCTCTATTCCGGCGTCCACACCCGCCCCAGCCTCGAATGATACCACAACCTCTCTGAGCGAGATTAAGGAGCTTATTGAGAACCAGACAAAGGTGATTAGCGCGCAGAACGACCAGATTGGCCTCCTGACATCCGAGGTCGAATCACTCAAGAAACGGCTTGGGTCAGGATCCCAGGACCAGAGCGAGCGAATCAGGCAGCTTGAGCTAGAGCTAGAAGAGGCACGATCCTAAATCCGCCTCTAGTACAGTAGTATCACGGCCTACCTATCCAAATTTGTTTACCTTGTTCTGAAAAGCTTTGTGTGTCTGTGTGTTGTCGTCTCAATGAGAGCCTGGAGTCTAGGGTGTGGGAAACAGGGGAAGGGAGGATCTTGGAAAAAGAAAGCAACAAAGAATTATTCCTGAGAGGGAAAAAGCAAATAAAAAAGGGGACAAGTAAACTTGATATAAGGGCGGCGAGAGGTTGGGGGAGAGTGGCGGTTTGATGCAAGGGCAGGCAGCTGTTGGTCTTTTGGCTTGTTTGTTTGTTTGTTTTCTGGCGAAAAACAACAACAAAACAAAAACGTTGTAATTACTTGCATTTATGTGTGTATGTGTTGGAGCCGAAGACTTTTTTTTCATATTTGCTTTTTTTTTCTCGACCTTTTCTTAGCTTTTGCTTTTTATTGATTCGAGCTCCTCGGCTTGTTTTGTTCAGATTCCTGCGCCTGTTGTTGTATCCAAAGATCACGTCTTTTTTCTCGCCTAAATACTTTTTCTCTTTTTCTCTCTTGTTCCCACTCCAGGTATTATTGTCCATGAGAATTAATGGCTCTTAGTGCTCTCTACATATAATAATAGAAAGACGAGGATGTAGTCAGAATACGCTGTTAGTACAACTGAGGATGAGACAGGCATCTATGTCTATACTCGTATAACAAGCTGGAAGTCCTGACCTTGGCATATAAATGCGAGACCCAACCAACCAACAACGCCTTTCACCCTCAACCCAACATTTTCATGGACGCCCAACTCCCCCCTGAAGCTCAATACGGATCTCTGCCGTTCGACGTCTTTGCCACTGTACGTCACAGAACACCTTCCGGTTGTTCCGTCTGACCATTTCTTGCAGAAACATTGGGATCATGAACTGCCCCAAGATCAGGACGGCCAGCAGTGGGAGCGTCTAGTGCACCGATACTGGAATCTGACTCCTCCTGAGCGATTTGTGCGTCTTCAAACTGATCCCTAGCCCGGCTAAAGCACTGAGAGCTGACATGGCCACGGGTATTACCTCTAGCCGTACCACGATGCAGCCAATACCAATTCAAAAGACCTTTCGAAAGAAGAGATTTCGAGGTGCTTGGTGCCCTTTCAGACGGCACAAGAGCGAATCATCTGTGCCAATGCGCATAACACTCGATGGATACCCGTTTTTGTACGGACTTATTACCGTGAGGATCTAAACGAGGCGTACGAAACGCTCATTGATCGCGATGCAATCGCAGAGTACGGAGAGCTTAATGATCGAACTCTGTACGATGGATGTAATTGGTCTCAGATCCTGCAGCGCATCCCGCTTCTGGTGGACACACCGCAGATGAGTGTGCTTGAAGACACTGCAGACTGGAACTACAGGCATCAGCAAGACCCTCCCACTCATGAGTTGCCACGTGAGTCCCTAGAAAAAGCCGATAGAGGCGATCATACGCTTCTGTACGTTGCGGATGAAGAGGCTTTGCTGGAGCGTCTTGTCAAGATTAAGTGGCTGGGGCTTCACGGCCAGTGCATCTGGGAGAACAAGATTGTTCCAGGCGCTCTGCAAAGCTTTAGTGGAGCGCTGGCTGATGGACAGAGCTTGCAGGAGCTCGTGGAGCGTTTCCTTGGACAGGGAGAATCTCAGAATGGCGGTATTTTGTGTAGCAACTGAAGAGTCTGTATTCAACCCAATACAAAAAGCAGTGGCGTGTCTGTTGTGTTGATATGGAGGCTTAATGATTCCATCTACTTTAGTCTTTTATTCAGCTATCCCTGGCTTACCAACCCGTATTACCACGGTATATTGTATAGATGCAAGCGTAGACTTTGTAGCATCCGTAGGACCAGCCAATCCACGGCAAGCCCATGATTCCCTCAAGATACAACATCTCTCCATCTCCATAATTACTCTTTATTATCAACAGCGTATAGATGGTACAGATTCAAGGACTGGATCAGATTTACTGAGGATCAAGTACCACCTCTTGAAGCAGCAGTACGTCCAAACAAAGAATGGCGAGCGTAATCAATGTCATGATATGGTGTGTACGCTTCGCCGGATAGGTAACAATCAAGGACTGGAAGACAGCTACAATAAACTTTGGCCATGTTGACCCTCTCATCAACCATACCGTTTCAACCTATTCGATAGAAGCCCCTTGCATTAAGCATAGAGACATTCCTACGCCCGTTGTTGCACAGAAGGATCACATCCCTTTTCTCGCCTAAAACTTGTTTTTTCCATCACCATTTCTTTTCTTTTTTTCTTTTCTTTTTTTTTTTTAAACGCTCATACGATGGCGTTGTTTCCCCTTCTAGTTTCCTCGGCACTTTTGTCCGCAGGCCGGTTTTGCTTTTTTTCTCGCCTGCCGTGATGATTACTGGATAAGCAAGATGCCGGTTAATAACATGACAACGAGGTCTTACATGTGACTTATGATGAGTAACAAAAGCCCGGGATTAACAACGAGGCGGTACAAAAACTCTACTGTGCTTGTACCGTGTTATTGTATGACATGATACATCAGTTTTAGTTAGTTACCAGCATCTACAAGCATCATCCCTCTTGTAAAGGCATGTGAGCGTTGAATCTCCCAACCTGATTTGTGAGGTCGTACAAACACGACGTCGCCATCTCTTTGACCATGATGGCAAGTCAAGTCTGGGAGGTGTTCCTCGCCATCACGAGTCAGAATTGACTCTTTTCTTTTTCTTCTTCTTCTTTCCTTTTTTTTTTTAAACTCCGGCCAAGGTAAGCTATATGCATGCAGGGCTTGGTATGCTGCTTAGACCGTGCATATGCGAAATTGAAGCTACCCTACAGCTCCTCCAAACGAGCCGGATCTGCAAGGCAATTTCCACGGCGGCGTAAAATCAGGCCATTTCCCCAGCAATGCTGTTGCTCCCACACTTGTTGGTCTGACTTTCGCATGGGCCGCGGGAATTACAGGTAACAAAAGCACAGACAATTCGACGCTCCCCCTGTAGAAGCAAAGCAGCTACGGCTACTACCGCGGCTGCGACCTTGTAATCGCATCACGGGGTTCCGGGTTCTGTCTTCTCTCTCACACATGCTCGTGCTCGTGCTTGCACTTGCAGGCCTCCCACCAACAGATGCCGAATCATGGTGACAGCCCTATTTTCGTAACCATCCCTCCGATAGTACTCCGCGCCCAGAGCCCGTTCCTATTCCTGGAGACGAACGAATGCTTTATCTGAAACCCAGACATCGGACGTCCCCCTAATCCTTTGGCTCTGCTAGTAGTTGACCGAAGCGGCTGAATGGCAGAGGAGAAACGTGAGGCACCACCGCCGATGTGACGATGTCAATGCGACCTCCTCATCACAGGGATTCCAAACGAGCGAAAGAGGAATAGACAGTGCCCACGGAGCTGGATGCCCTCTGTTTCAAGGCTAAAAGTTCCGGTTTCAGAATGTTGTACCTTGCCATGCGGCCAATCGGGTCACGGCCCATCGAGTCGTCACGACTTGCAATGCAGAGGGAGGGGTCAAACGGCATTACTACTGATTATACGGGAGTGCTCCGCAGGCGAAGAGCGAGAAGCAGGCATCAGAAGCCTGTGCGGCACGGAGTTGCAGTAGCATGCGCAGTTACTAGCGAAAAGAGACGCAAGTGATGGTCCGCAGGGGGTCAGCAGCGGAGATGAACCTGGGATGTGACAGCTTTTCGTAGCTGCATACGAAAGGATGCCTAGAAGGCCAGAGCTCCAGGTGAGAGCTGTGCCGGGCAGTCAGGATGCTGGTAGCGATATTGCAAAGGGAAAGAAAGGCGAACAATAGCCACTGCAATGCTGGTCAGCTAGCTTTCACAGTAGACCGATGCTCAGCCGTGGCCGACGTGTGACGCCGAAGACTCGCATGTGTCCATCGCCGATGGCAGCATAGTACTCCGTAGACAATGCTAGGATTCAGTTCCCGGCCAGCGGGAGATCTGGGGCCGAAGGGTTGCATTCGCATCTGGAAATCATAATCAAGACTGGACCTCGAACCCGTCGAGCATGGTGAGATGGCCATGGGTCGGCATTGACCAGACTCGACAGAGGAAACACTCATCAGCCACGCCAAGCACAATAGATTTCTCTCATGAGTCAAGGCTCGACTCAGCTTCTATGCCTAGCTTGGCTTCCAGAGCGCAGTTCGCAGTCCTCAGACTCTCCTGCAGCGCACTCCTTCCTTTGTTTGGCAAATAGAAAGCTTCTAGCTGGACGCATGATCAATAATTCCATATTCTAGATGCGGTGGTAGTCTTCGTTTCGAAACGTGATACGAGTAAAGAGGGCTGGGAAATTTCCAGAAACGGACTGCCTTGGAGACTTTGGGGCTGAACGAGATGGCCCTAGCCTTTGTTAGTCCGCTGCTCGGTTTTCTAGAAGAGGATGAAACGGGGCCCTGAGTCTCGTGTATAATGAAATATTGCTCCGTATCCGGTCTAGGTGTCGACCTCTGCGTGTTATCGTGTAGTCTAGCACTTCGTGCCATGTAAAAAGAGCTGGGTCTCGAACAGATACTCCGCACAATGCTCAAAATTGAGCTGATGGCTGTCTTCGCTGCGGATCCACCGCAACGTCTATCGCTTTGCTATACTCTATTCGCATTAGATAGCGATCGAGTCAGCAATGCCAGGGACGCAAATGAGGGAAAATTGACCCCGTAATCGATCGGCCGGTGAGGGCCAGTGCGGCGGACATCGGGTAGGTAATAGCTCATGCAGGCGCTCCGTCATCGAGCTGAGCTGGTGTTAGCAGCAGCAGCAGCAGCAGCGGTGGAGGAGGAGGAGACGGTGGTGGTGGTGGTGGTGGCGCGGCAGTCTCTCGAAGGAGTTTCGCCTTTTGGAGAGCTGATGAGCTGTTTCAGGTTTAACAGCTGCTCGGACCTAGTCCCAGCCTCGCCTACCAAGTGCGATGCGAGCTCCGGCCAGGGCTCCAACAAGCTTGAGACATCGAGAAAGGCGCCGATCTAGCTCCATCTCGTGCCAGCTTCACGAGAGGCTACTGGAGACAGTTGCTGGCCAAGGGAAATTTGGAAGTCTGTTCCGTGCTTGCATGATCTCCGTACGCCAAGCCAGATTGTGCAGTCCAAAGTCAACAATGGATCAAGGCCAGGGTTGACGCTGAATGACTAGCCGACACCAGTCCTGCGCTTCTTGGCTCCGTTTCAAAGTCTGAAGCCGGTGTGGCGTTCTTCAAGAAGGGCCTTTACTTCCTTTCTTGACGCCACGCAGCGTCAACTCCATGCAGACAGCATGGTCAGCTGGTATAACATCACTCAGTGCTTGGCTGAGTGACGCAGGCCCATCCATGTCCTGCGTTACTATCTTTATCCCAAGGGCCCATTCTCGAGACCGCATTTAGTAACAAGGAGAAAGGTTTCTCTGAGCGGTAATGCAGACTTTGCAAGATGCATCACAGAGAAGAGAGAGAAGAGGATGATGACAATATGCAAGGGGCAACGTGCAGCAAACCAATCAGTACAAGCTCCGTGAGCACCACGGCTGGCGTGCTGCGGCGTACTTTGAAGAGAAGGCATTCTCGTGTTCCTGGTTGGCCGATAGAGCGTTAAGCTTGATCTAAATTTGGCCCGCTCCCTGGTTTCCTGGGCGTCAAGCGGCATCTGGCGAGTGCCGTCGACAGTTTACTACCAATGAGAATCCTAGCAACGGCGAAGAGCTCTTGAGATGGCTTGCAGAGGCCGATTTGCGGGCCATGCATTTGCCACGCCAGAGATTGATGATCTCCAGAAAGGCGGGCAAGATATTTCACATCACGACCCAGCCAGTGCCGTGCGAGAGATGCACATTAGTTGCGAGCCGAAGCGCCAGGAGGCTCTTTGAGCAAAGGTGATGATGATGCTGATTTGTGAAAACTTGTGCTCTTACATGCTGATGATGCTGGCCTTTATCGCGCCGCTTGTATGACCCGCACGCCCCTTACATGCTCCCTCTCACAAATATAGCCATCGTCATGACAAAATAGCTCGGAGTCTCAGATGGCCGCGGCGCGTACCGGGCTATCAGTTCAGACGGGCGGGACGATCAAGCACGCAAGCATCTATCTTCATGTTTCAGATGGCCGCTACCTCGGCCGGGGTGGAAACAGGTCATCACATTGCAGAGACCCTATAGCTGCAGGATCTCGTCATTTTCCCACCACCAATGCCACTAGTACCAACTGCTTGTTGTCAAATCTTGCAGAGACATTGCGTCGGTGCATTCGTGATGAAGAGCAAAAGTTTGATGCCTTCTTTGTCGACATATCGTAGGCCGCAGACTTTTGTGGAGCAAGCTGGGCTTCGCTTTATTCATCCTCCGCTTTGTGCGCCGTGCACCAGCCTCGTCGGCCAATTGATCTAGACAGAAGCGATGAAAGCTGCATGAAAATGGCGATTGTGCCTGGGCGATCCGATGTGATGTGCTGGATCACCGCCATCACATGCTTGCATGAGATGGCCTTGCTGAAGAGTGATGGAGGTCCTTGTAGCAGTACCATTAATACTGCCTTCACACTCGGAAGCATCTATCTATGAATGGAGACAAAGCATCCACTGGGGTAATAGCATAGTAGGCGTCGCTTGGCTCAGCTCTCTTTGGGTAGTGCTCGTCTGACGTCTTCCAAAGCACCCAGCGTGTATCACGGACCTGTGAGCAGGGCATTGCGGCAAGCCACCGGCTGTATCTTGCGGTTGCTCCAAAGCCCGTGGGCTCTTAGCTTCAACCGCTTGCCGTCGTCGTCGGACAAGATGCGGTCGAGAAAATCGACGGACCGTGGCTCGCCATCCAAGGCGCCTGGGTGCAGAGTCATGGCCCGTCTAGTTGCGGTCACCTGCATTCATCGTCAACACGACCTTCACGGTATCAGGCTTAGCGAAGTCGCATTCCACGCTGTCGAGCAACCGACACACCCCTGCTCATGCATGATAGCATGAGGGGTTGGGCTCAGTCATGATTCGGTGGAATATGTGAAGCAAGACATGGGACAGGATCAAGGGGCGTACATACTCTGACGCGGCCAATCAGCGCCGCGCGTGTCTCTAGCAACGCCTCGTCCCCACTGAAGCGTCGCTCCAGGCGCGTTTCATGTTGAGAAGCCTCTCGTGCAGCCGCTTGGGCCACAATGTGGTCAGGGCGATGTTCCCAAGGCTCTCGCGTCGATTGGCCTGGAGCTGCTCCTGGGAAGATGGGAAGATGGGAAGAGAAGGCTTGGCGTGGGCAAAAGCCGGCAGCGGAAAAAGGTTTGACAGGCGAGGGCACCAGAAAGATTACAGTACAGTACAGTAGTACCTGTACCTGTACCTGTACCTGTACTTGCTCGAAGTTTACTGTGGTAGGTGCTCGTACAAGCTGCACCAGGATCGTGAGGCGAGCAGAGAGATGGGCTTTGCCCGGATATGACCAAAACGAAAAGGCCACTGGCCTCGATACCAAGGAGGAAGCTGGAAGCAGGGTTTCATTGCCACAGGCCGCTTCGGAGAATGCAGCGCTCTGACTCTCCTCTCTGGTGTGCTTCGGGTCGGATGAAATCAACTGCCTTTGCTCTCATCTTTTCTCCCTTCCAGGATTCGACGGCCACAACACTCTCCAGCCATTCGGTTTCGAATGTGACAGGGGGGCTGATGTGACAAGGCGACAGGAGAGTCTTTTTTGTTCTGTCATGCCAATCCTGCGCTGCCAAGGAGATGCCATCTGCTTGTTACCACCGATTCGAAGAACGAGGACACGCTTCACCATCCTGACTGGAGCTCATTGTGGGGTAGCCAGATCACATCACTGCACGAAACATGGGCACTTGTTGTTACAGGTGATGATTCGGACGCTATCTGGCCGGCTCTGCTCAGGTGGCATGCCGGGGTTCTACGAATATGTACGAGTATGCGGACTAATAGCGGACGACTCGGGATTCCAACCAGTGGAGTGGGCAGACAGAAATCAGCAAAGATTTACTTCGTATCATACCGCGGCCTTTTTTGACGAAGGTACTCCGTAATCGACTCTGAAAACTGAATCTTGTCACCTGGGAGGCATAGGGGCGGTACTCCGGGATGACTCGGATGGATGGCAAACAAAAGATGGCCCCCTTTCTTTTCTGGCAGCAGCTGTGAGAATCGACGAGGCGATCTTGTTGGCTGACTCTGGCGTCTTGGGTTGATGAATCGAAAACATTGTTTTATCGGACTCATCGCCGGGGGTTCCTGGCTTCCATGCCGGCAGTGAAGAGTCAATGAGAGGCGAGGCACCGGCAATGGCAGCGGAAGCAATCTTTTGGTGACGCCGAACTTGTTCCTGCGTCAAGGACCAGGACACAACGAGCCCAATCGGATGTCCTTGCTGACATGGCTACGAGATGTGGTCGTCTCATGAGCCGCCAAACACTGCTCCTCCTCGATCGGTGCTGCGAGTGAGAGTCGCTCTCAGGGAGTTGGTCGATGAAGCGGACATGGACGCGTTGCGGGGCCGGCAATGAGGCACAGAAAGCATCTGTATTCTCCATTCCCAGTCTGTTCATGTGCTCCGAGGCTTTCATGTAATGGATAAGGGACCTAATGAGCCCTAGATTGCATGTTTATGCGGTCGACACATCCGGCCAGGGGTGCAGACGGCTAGCGCCCAGCATAGCAACGGACTTGCGAGAGCCACACAATCAAACAAAAGAGGCTAACACAGGCCTTCTCGTTGCCATTAATTTTGGCTCTCCTTTTGGCAATGGTCGACGAGCTGGCTCTGCCTGCGGCATGAATGGCATTGAGCCGCCCTGTGCGCCATGCCCTGAAAGGCTATTCGTCCAGCAAATATCCAAGTTGCCATGTGGCTGCGTGCGTGCGTGCTAGCACAAGCAGGATTAATTACTTTGTACATTACCGTATTACCGTACAGTACAAGTAGATAGTGTACCTGTATGGGAGAGTCAGGTTTTGGGGGGGCAGGGGAGCAGCCTTGGGGAGAAAGGAGAAGATGCAGCAGCCGGGTCCGGGCTTGTTAAATGACAGCAAAAGGAAGGCGTTGCATTGACTTGCCAGAGTTGAGGTGACGCTGAAGGATTGCATTATGAATGCTCGTATCGTACTTGTCTGGCTGCAAATGCTCACTGGCCTGCAGAGTGCCCAGAAGCCCCCTTTGCTTATTAGCACTTTGTACTGCAGTGGTGATGGTCGACACACGCCCGTCCTATTTTTGTCTCGCTATCTGCACGCCCACTCTCTGACAATGTCGTGCAAAAAGCTGTTGAGCAGGGAACTGGGCTTTGGTGGAGGCCAGATGAAGGGGCCCGGTTTTGGCCCTCCCTGTAGCCCCCCCTTGGCTGCAATTCCACCGGTGCTTGTACTTGGGCTCGTCCACATTTCGGCCGATGGGCGAATCTCGGTCCAGGAGGGCTTGACTTGACCAATTCATTGTCCATACAGTGCAGTAAAAGCAGAGACGATACTAATCTCAGCGCCTACTGTGCTGTACTCGTACTGCATCACTGGGTCTGATGCCTCTCCTGCATGCGCGCTGATGCATGTACTTTGGCGGTGATTGGGCTCTGCAGCAAAGCGCTCAGGCACCCAAACAACTGCTCTGTACAGGTGGTTGGCTGTGGAGCCTCAGCCGGAGCGCCATGGCGGCGCCAACGTGCACTGACCGACGCAGCTTCCACGTCAAGCGTATGTGTGCTTTGCTTGCAGCCAAAGAGACAAGACGAGGCGAACGAGCGAACAATCTGCTCTGCCATGCCCTGTCCTTGCCCTTGTCCTCTCATTGATCGTTTTTTCGGCTCTGTATCTGTACTCGTACCCGTAGCGCATACCTAGGTACTGTGCTGTACTCGTACTGTCTTTTGTTGTTTGTGGCGTGTCGTGCCGCCGCGTTGTCAGTAAAAGGAACTCTGTCGAGAACTCGTACCGTATCAGTACTGCACTGTACATAGTACTGCACCCACTTTGTTATTAGGCGGCGCTCTAGGGGACGCACCACCAAGGTACCACCACTGCCCAGGGCCTGGCCCCAGTGGGTGCTCATGCGCTATGACAGCCCGCCCAGCAGTGCAATTGCTCGTTTCCCAGGCCCACACCCTCTTGCAGTCGAGTCGCGCCCCGCCGCTCTTGCCCGTACCGCCCATACCCTCTTCAGGCTTAGCTCCAGCCTGGCTGGCGCCGAGCTCTGGGTGCGCACCGACCCTTGCACGTTGTTTTTTATTTTTATTTTTATTTTCTGTTATTAATGGGGCACGGTGATTTTTTATTACAGTCTTTTCTTGCGCGTGTATTATTAGTGGCCCCTCCCCCTCTCCGCCCGCCAAAGGGAGCACAGCACGGCCAAAGTAGCGACGGGGTACACCGTCACCTGCCGCCACGCCACAGAGTACGCCGCGTCTACTCCGTGCCTGGCTGACTGTTAATAACGGCCCTCCCACGTCCGGCGGCTCAGTTCCTTCAGTTCAGGCACAGCACAGCCAGCCAGCGAGTTCCGGTACATCCAGGCACAGGCACCCTCCGCGCGCAAGCACAGGTACTGCACACCCAGTACGAGTACATACAGGTACTCATAGTAGACAGACAGGCTCAGGCACAGGCTCAGGCACAGGCTCAGGCTCAGTCCCAGGCATCTTGCAGACGAGACGAGAGACGCACAACCCCAAGGCCCGCGCCACTCCACCCCATTAAACGTGCCATCCCCCGTTGTCCATCCTCACAGTCCCCTTCTTCTGAAATCTCTTCCCTGTGTTTCTTATTTCAACGTTTTTCTGCCCTTTCGCTTCTCTCCTCCGCCTCCACCCTTTCTCTCCTGCTTTTCTCGTTCTTCTTCGGAGCCGCACAGAATCCTCTTGTGCCCTCTCTTTTCTTCTCTTTTCTTCTTTTTCCCGCTGGGCCAGGCTGTCCCTCAATCGCGCGCACAGTCGCCGCAACCGCTCGTCGCTCGTCGCTCGTCGCTCGTCGCTCCATCATCGCTCAAAAACAACAACCCGCGAGGTTTTGCCGACTGCGCTCCTCTCCTGGACCCTTCGTTTCTATACTCATTTAATTCGTCTCAGCGACCGTTTCCGCAGACTCCTGCCGCCCGCTTCCACGCACGACGGCATCATCCTCGCCTTGACGGTTCGCTTTTTGGACGCGCCCATACATTCGCTAGACGCTATTGTTCGGGTCGTTCCCCTTTGCTGTGCAACCTCCTTCAGTCGTTTCGAGCTGGTCTCTCTCTCACCATCACCGCGGTCGAATCACCATTCCCCGCGACTCTCGGGCAGCGCCTTTCATTTGATATTTCCTTTTCTCTGTCTCCAACTGGTCTCGCACCGCCGCCGCGCGCAAACACCAATTACCGCACGCCACGGTGCCCGCCACCACCGTAGGACAATCATCCGCCGTCGCCAATTGCATTGGCCACAGCAGCCGTCCTACAACACCCGACTCACCAAGTCGCATCGTCGCAACTCTCGCGCATCATGTACTCACAACACCCGGCCATTGCGCCTCAGAAACCTGAGACGTTTATGCTGAGCACCGAAGCCCAGCAGGCTCTTCCCCATGATGCCCAGGTCGCCCTCCAGCAAGTCGACAACCTCAAGTACTTCCTCATCTCCGCCCCGGTCGATTGGCAGCCGGATCAGTACATTCGACGCTTCCTCCTGCCGACGGGCGAATATGTCTCTTGCATCCTGTGGAACAACCTCTTCCACATCTCGGGCACTGACATTGTGCGATGCCTCTCTTTCAGATTCCAGGCCTTTGGCCGCCCTGTCAAGAACTCCAAAAAGTTCGAGGAGGGAATCTTCTCCGATCTCCGAAATCTCAAGTCAGGAACTGACGCCTCCCTGGAGGAACCAAAGAGCGCTTTCCTCGACTTTCTCTACAAAAACAACTGCATCCGTACCCAGAAGAAGCAAAAGGTTTTCTACTGGTACAGTGTGCCCCACGACCGCCTCTTCTTGGATGCTCTGGAGCGAGACTTGAAGCGGGAGAAGATGGGCCAGGAAGCCACTACTGTCGCTGTTAGCGAGCCCGCGTTGTCCTTCCAGTACGATTCGTCGCAGTCGCTCTACGAGCAGCTCACCAAGAGCCAGCAGGCCAACTCGTCCTCCTTCAGTGCTCAGCAGTCTTCTTTTCACCCCAGCCAGTCCACCTCCCCCGTCATGAGGGCCATGGACTCGATGCCTCCCCCGAGCATCATTCCCAACACAATGGCCCCTTTGTCTGAGAGCATGGACTCCATGGTCTCCTACGACACCATGGCCATGGCTCCCGCCGTCCCCCAGCAGGTTGCGGCAGTCAAGAGGGAGGCTGACTTCACCCGTGTCCACTACAACCAGAATGGTATCCCCATTACACACAGCCACCACCGTCATTCCTCGATGCCTGCCTACGGCCTGGAGTACTCGCCTGCTCCGTCCTTTGTGTCTTCGGGCTACGAGGATTACAGCAACCGAGGTTTGTCATTTGAGCCCATCACTCCTCCTCAGCAGGCCCTCGGCATCACTGCCGAGCCCGCCTACATTGCCAACGAGGAGACTGGACTCTACTCTGCCATCCCCGATCACCTCTCCGGCATGTCAGGTCTCGGCGGAATGGTCCAGATGCCATCCCACCTTTCTGGTCCCCAGTTCCCTCGCTCTTACGGCGCAAATAACATTTACTCCGTCATCGAGGGATCTCCCACCTATAAGCAGCGAAGACGCCGCACCTCCATCCCCACCTCAATGTCTGCGATTGCACCTACGTCAACTCCGTCTGCCCCTCACAGGCCCTCGGATCTGCGTCGGTCAGTCTCTGTCTCCATGGGACCCGTCGTTGAGGGGGATGAGTCCACCGGCAACTCGCCTTCCAGCATGGTGTACCCCTCCCAGCACAAGGATCTCATGGACATCTCAAGACATGGCAGCCCCGCTGTTCACCCCATGGCTCTCCAGCACGACTTTTCCCACATCAGTGATGACATCTCTGGTGACCGTTCCATGATGGCTGGTGGCATTGTCCGACGTGCCCGATCAGCTACTGTGATGGAGCTGGGTCCTTATCCTCACAAGTCTCACAGCTGCCCAATTCCCACTTGTGGCCGCCTGTTCAAGAGACTAGAGCACCTTAAGAGGTATGAGCCTCTCTCCAAGCAAACGATTCTCAGGATGGCAATGCTAATCATACGCTCCCTAGACACGTCCGAACGCACACTCAAGAGAAGCCTTACATTTGCCCTCACTGCAGCAAAGCTTTCTCTCGATCAGATAATTTGGCGCAGTATGTGCACCCTTTCCTTACCTAGACTGAAGGGTCAGAAACAGCAGTTTGCTAATTGATGACTACAGGCACAAGCGTACTCACAGCCGCGAGGATGGTGGCGAGGGCTCATTGAATCTCTCTGCCGAGGAGGAGGAGGAGTTTTCCGGCGAGGAGCATCTTGGATCTGTCGAGGAGGCGTCACCCACATCAGAATCAGCCTTTGTCCCTGGCTCGATCAATGCCGTCGCTACCAGCGGCACCGTCACTCCTCAGACCACTATGACTTCCAGCCATAGCTTCAACAGCCTCCAAACCCTCAGCATGCCCATGACCATCAGCCAACCCACCCCCATCAATGCTGGAGGTGCTATGTAACGCGTTTTTTTTTCTTTATCTGTTCTTTCCATATGATCTTTATATTTCTTTTATTTCCTTTTCTCTATTTGCGTCATGATACATTTTCACGTTCTATGGATCTCGGTTTCGGGGATTTCATGTTTTGTTTCTTGATATCATTTCTTCTCGATCTCTCACTTATTTACCCCTTTCTTTATGCGTCTTATGCTCGGATTGTCCTTTTCTATTTACGGCTGCAACAACAGATTTGCTCTTTATACACATTGGCTCGGGGCCGACTTCAGCAGAGTAGCATCTGCTGTTTTGGCTCTGGACGAAAACGAAGAGAAGGGGCTTGCATGTGACAGGAGTGAAAATGACGCCATCTGTATATATATATTATATACTATTTATTCTTTCAATGTCAGATTATAAAGGGGGCTTCTCGTGGAAGGAATTACCACTAAGGGGGGCTTCCTTTGTGTTAGTGTTGCGGTGTAGGAATCAATCAATAGACATGAAAAAACAGTTTCTATTTACTTTTGCGCGAACGCTCCCGCTGGTAGATGCCTGCAGTATTGACAATTGTCAATCGATGTAAATTTTGCTTTTCCGCTCTCAATCAAGTGACCATGGTATTTCCAATGAACGCCTCTACTTCTTCTCATCGCTTGCCGCCTCCCCTTCTACCAAACGTATCCCTCGTCCCCTCAATCTTCTTGACATCTCTCTCACTTATTCTAAGCTCGGCACCCTTGAGCCTGCCCACAGCCGGACCAAATCCACCGCCGCCGCCACCGCTCTTCCGATCTCTTCTCTTCTTCTTGCCAGTCTCTCGTTCCAGAATGACGCCGCTCTCCTTGGCCTCCCGTCTGCGCTTGGCCTCCCTCTCGACGACCGCGGCATTGATGCCCTTGCGCATGTGCATGGGCATCTTCTCCTGTTTAAGGATGGACGTCTTTGAGCCGAGGGCCTGGATACGCATATCGAGGGCCTTTTGGCGGATGCGGCCCGCGGAGAAGGCCTTTGGCTGGGCGTTGGGGGAGGATGTTGTGGAGAGGGCGGCGGCGAGGGAGAGGGGCTTGTTGGTCTGGAGGAGGTGGGATTCTGCGATGAGGCGGCGGAGCTCGAGGTCTTGTGCGAGGAGGGAGGGGGCGTCTTCGGGGAGGGCGGAGGACGACTTCGAGGAAGTGGGTTGGACGGCTGGTTTTGGGGAGGAGGTTTGGTCTGGAGGGCGGGAGGACTGTGTGTATTTGTTAGCATTTTGTGGTCTTTGGGGGAGTGGTTTTGGGGGAGAGGGAGGTGTACCATGAAGGCTTTGAGTTCGCGTTTGGACATTGTGTTTGTTTTAGGGGCCTGGGAGACGGAATGGTCTACTACTTCGATGACGGGAGTGTCTGGTGATCAGGTCAGCAAGAAGGGATACCAATAGCAGCAAAGGCGTTGCTCGTCCTACCATCTTCCTCTTCCTCTTCCTCTTCCTCGTCGTCATCATCGTCTTCCTCTATGTCATCCTCCTCCTCATCATCCTCATTCGACAAGCCGTCCCATTCGCCTCCTTCGCTCCCGCTGCCATCACTGTCGTCCTCGCTTCCATCGTCCTCCTCCACAGCTTGCGCCTTGCGCTTTGCCTCTGGCAGCGGAAGAAACTGCGCCTCAAAGTGTCGCCGAAAGATCTCCTGTGCGTCTTCCGTTGAGACTGTCGGCTCCGGGGCCTTGCGCTTTCCGAGGACGGCCATTTTCAATGTCTGGGGATGTGGTATCTGCTGCGAAGAAGGACGCCTAAGCAACGAACTGAGGCTCGACTTTTTTGCTTTATCGTTATCGCAACAAGGCAATTCTCCGCCGTGATTGGCCCGGCGCCTCTTTTTCTCCGACCCACCAACCATCTTGCGACCACAGCAATGGGCCTTGCATGTACGAAGTAACTTTTTCCATTTCGTTGGCTTTGTTCAAAAAGCCCACCACGATGGCGACAATGTCAAACCGGACGCTGAGGACGGCGGTCCTATCAGTTGGACGGCTAAATGGACGGCCGGCTCGGCCTACGGGCCTTGCGCTGAGGCAATTCAGCACCTCGCCCGCACATGGTATGCAGTTGGAACCACGGCTTTGAGCCTGAGCGTTGTATCACAAGATTCTAACGGGAAGCTCAACAGGCGTCAGGGCTGTATTCGCAGAGACGGAAAACACCGAAATGAACAAGATCCTCAACACCATCCAAGAAAGCATCATCCTCCCCGCCTACCTCCCCGAAAAGCAGCGCAGACTCGTCTTCGACCCCAAGATGAAGTCGTACCTCGAGCAAAACCCCATCATTATCGAGGTCGAGGGCCTCGAACACAAATTCTCCTCCATTGACCACTTCACCGGCATCGAAAACTCAAAGACGATCCTCTCCAAGGCCCTCAGCAGCATGAAGAGCCAGGACGACTGGGCCAACCTGGGAACCCTTCTGGCGGGGTACAAGAAGGCGGGGATTCGACTCAAGGCAAACCACTGGGGAAAGATTGTGCGCATGGCAGGCAAGAGCGGCAACATTCACGCTGTGATTGAGTGCGCAAAGCAGTCTGAGAAGACGGGCCTCCTGTTCACCAGCCGAGAGACGGTGGTAAGAGTGCTCTCCTACATTAACGAAAAGGTCACCGGCAGCAATTGGGACGAGGCCGAGACGAAGCAGGCGCAAAAGTGGGCAGAACAGGTCCTTGATCTTGTCCAGCGCAGGGAACACACGGTAGAGGGCCAGCCCACCCGTGAGAGACTACACTTCTCTCGCGTTGTGCGTGGAATGACTCTTTTCACGAGAGCGTCCGCCATCAAAGTCAGGCAGGCAGCAGGCGAAGACGTCGAGCAAGACATTTTGCTCCTCAAAGACGAAGTCGAACTCCTCAGCTCTCTGTGGAAAGACTCAACGAACGCCAACCTGGAGGAAGTAGCCGAATTCGCAAAGCTGAACCCTACATTGGAGAGAAACTCCAGCCCCAAGGGTGTCAAGACCCCCACTGCCCTGAATGGAAGCGCATACGTGCAGGTCCTGGCACAGAACATCAAGGGCATTGCACTCGCACGCGAGATTGTTGGAGAGGAGGCGCAGGGCCTCGCGCCAGTGGAAGTTGCCTTGGCCGATCATCTGCGGCACTTTGTCCAGACCAGCAAAAGCCCGACAAAAGGCTGGGACCAGGAATACTCAAAAATCGCCGGACAGGCACCCAAGTGGTAAAACCTCGTTGTACAAAAGTAAAAGGGAAAGAAAGGGATAAAGTCTATGTATGTATGATATATACGTGTACAATATAAAAAAAAAAATTTATTCAACGTGAGCTCACGGCAGCACAATGTACTTTTCTAAATGCTTCGGAATGGCCCCCAGGAGCTTCTTCTCCCCCAGCCACTTGCGCGAGAACAGGCGGTCCGCATACCGATACGCTCCGTCGCACAGCATCGTCACGACGACGTTGCCCCGGCCCAGCTTCTCGGCGACCTCCTTGGCGGCGACGACGTTGAGCGCCGAGCTGGCGCCCAGATACAGGCCCTCCTCGTCCAGGCAGCGGTACACCATCTCGATGCTCTTCTCGTCCGAGATGGTCAGCGACCCGTCCAGCAGGTCAATGTCCGGCTGCAGGTTGTCCGTGACGCGGCCCTGGCCGATGCCCTCGGTGATGCTGGAGCCGGTGCGCTCGATCAGCTTGCCGCCCGAGGAGATGTACGAGTGCAGCACGCTGCCCGGGGGATCAGCAAGGAAGCTCTTGACGCGGCCGCCAGAGATGTCCTTGAGATAGCGCGTGGTGCCCGCAAGGGTGCCCGCAGTGCCGGTCGCGCAGGTAAAGGCATCCACCTTGCCGTCCGTCTGCGCCCAGATCTCGGGCCCCGTCGTCTCAATGTGCGCGCGGCGGTTCGCCGTGTTGTCGAACTGATTCGTCCAGACGGCATTCTCCAGGGCCTCGGCATGGCGCTTCGCCTGGTGGTTGTAGTTCTGCGGGTTGTCAAAGGCCACGGCGGGCACGGGATACACCTCGGCGCCCAGCAGCCGCAGCAGGTCAATCTTGCCCTGCGACTGCGTGTTGGGCATGTAGATGACCAGCTTGTAGCCCCGCGAGCGGCAGACGTGGGCCAGGCCGATGCCCGTGTTGCCGGCGGTGCCCTCGACGACGGTGCCGCCGGGCTTGAGCAGGCCTCGCTCCTCGGCGTCCTTGACGACGTAGAGAGCGGCGCGGTCCTTGACTGAGCCGCCGGGGTTCATGAACTCGGCCTTGCCCAGGATCTCGCAGCCGGTTTCCTCGGAGAGGCGGTTGAGGCGGATGAGAGGCGTGTTTCCAATGGCTGTGTGTGTGTGTATGCGTTTGTCAGCTTCCATGTAAAGTAGAGTAGCAATAACAATAACGACAGTGTAATCTCATAGCAACATCACATGGCTTCATTTCACTTTCATACCTCCAGTCAGCCCTCGTGCCACGCCCTGCGCCCTCGACACAGCCAGAGTATATGCGCTGGGCTCAGCAGCCTTGGCCGCCGCCACCGCCAGACGCCGCGTCGTGTGTCGAAACATGGCTTCAAAGGATGCTGTGCTTTTTCGACCCCCCGTGAATAGCTTCAATGGATGGCCAGGGAAGATTTGCAAGCTGTTGTGACGCTCTCTTTCCCCAGAAGCATGCTGGGCACCGATGGCCCGTTTGTGGGGCTTTTCACCCGATGGCCCGATCACGTCATTTTGCGCATCAATTAGATGCCGGTAGTGGAGAGCTCGAATGCTGACACGGAGTGAGGCTGCTTGTACTGTAGAGGGATCTTCATTATACGGGCTGTCATAATGGCAAACAAGTCCATCTCTGCATTTGCTGTATTGCTGGCAACACATCCACGACACAAACTGTTTGTAAGAGTGATGGGTACTATGTAGTGTATTGGGTATAAACATAAATCTCATCTTGTATGAGGCTCGAGTATCATCTTGTATATAAGTAGAAGGTGGTTAATAGCACGACTGAAAGGCTCATGCAAAGAAATATGCTTGAGCTCTTCAAAAAGCATCTCTATGCTTGACCGACCAGACACCCTCCACATACACCATCTTTCTGCGTAGACACGCCTTGCTCCCTCGATTACACCGTCCAAATCTCGCATATTGCTTCCTCATGATTGTTGCGGCATCTTCACATACGGCGCCGGGAACAGGCCCTTGGCACCCATGTACGTCCCAAAGAACCAGTCGCCGTTGATATCTCGTATCTCTTGTATGTCGGCCCCTCGGGGAAACATCAGCTCATCCTCAGCGCCGGATTTGGGATACCATGACCACATGGCATGGGCAACCAGGCCGGAGCCGCCATCTGGCGGGAAAGACCGCGTATACGATATCTCGCCCAAGCTTTCGGGGGCTGTTGCCGACGCCTCCGTGGTGACAAGACGTTCTAGCTTTTCTTCTCCATCATACCATGACCACTTCTGAAAATCTGGGTGCGCAATGTTCTCGAGAGGCTCTGCGCGGAGGGCCCTTCCGCCGACTTTATCCCTTTCCACGTATCGCCACTGTCCAAGTTTGCCTTCCATGAATCCAATTACGACCATTCTGTGGCCACTAGGGCACCTCCTCCACCCCGACGAGCCGTTTTCTTCGCTAACATCTCCCTTGGATTCCAAGTTGCTGTAGCAAGAGGTGCAGATATCGTAGTCTCCAGGAGTGGCATCTTGCAGAGCCGTGTTTGTGCAACTGAAACAGTGATATCTCGTTTGAGATGGCGGGATGACATCCTTGCAAATGTTACACTTTGGGTTGAATGTGAGTGGTTTGAATGGTCCGATCCCAGATACCTGAGCCCCTGTTATGGCCGTCGCTGTGGAAGGTCGACCGCCAGATCTGGGACTGCGAGGCTCGTACGTGGACTTGAATGTTCCTTCGTGGGCCAATGGTAGAAGCCTATGGCTACACGACTTGCCCTGATTCACACAATTGTTACAGAATCCCCAGTCGCCTTCGTTGCAGGCATCGCAGCGCCAGAAACAATCATTGGTCCAAGCAAAGCATCGTGAGCAAAAAGTGCCAGTTTCCAGTCTCGACTTTGGATCGTCAGCCGTGAATTTCTTCTTACCATCCGAACTAACGGTTGTTGACGCGGGTCGCAGGTAGCGTCCAGCGTTCAACATGTGAGGCATGGGTATCGATTCGTCAGCTTGCTTGCGCTTTTCCCACTTCTTCCAGGCTCCATAACCAAATCCGAACCAGTAAAGACAGCCTTTGCCTGACCGGTAGCAGTCAAGACACATGTTCCAGTGGCCATCATTACACGTTTTGCAGTTATAATGCAAATCGTATTGGATGTCAGGCTTTCTGCATCGTGAGCAACTGATTGAAGGCTCTTCAAAAAGCTGGGATCGAGTGTGCTGGTGTCTTGACGTCGTCGCGGTTGGACTTTGGACAGGGCTAGCTACCAAAGAATCTGGAGGGCTAACGACTACTTCCGTTGGTCGGTTCGATTTCGAATTCCGAGCTGCTGTTATTTCCATCAATTCAGGGGTGATCGAATGTGGAGTTGACGAAGCTGATGGGTAGCTCTGTGCGCGGCTCGCAAAAGATGCAATCTTCCCATTGCCACTTGCTGGTGTGTCGGAGGATTGAGCAGCAGCAGGTATGGTGACCGAACTAGAGTTTCTGCTAATTCTAAGAGCAGGTACTGATGCTGTAGGATCAAAATCATTTGGATCTCTCCTCAAAGCCAAATCATTTTGAGAGTGAGCAGCGGGCCTCGTATCCATGGCAGATAAAGATGAGACGATAGGCGGCGTTGAGTGATGACCGCCGCTAGTTGTCCGTCTCCTTGCTCTCCGCTCCGGCTCTCGTACTCCGAGGTTTGCTGACGCTGAAATCGGCGGTCTATTCCTGTCTCCCACCTCGCTTGTCGATCGTGAGTGCGCACGATGCCGGCTTTGGGGCCTAGCATTATCAGGTCGGAGCCTAGAATCCCTTGACGTAGATGTAGCGTTATTATTTGTACGTGCGTCGGCTCTCCGCTCTGATTCTTGTCTGGAACGGCCCCTTTGGCGTCTTCTATACGCCTCGGTGATGCGCTGACTGAGCTCGTCATCTCGGCTCAAGTCGATATTATCGAGGTCAAGACCATCCAGGAGGCCCTCTTCTTGGATTTGCCGCGCAAACTCTTCGATTTCTCTCTCGATATCCCGTTCGCTCATCTCAGACCCGATCAAGGATCTCAGCGATGACTGGTGCTCGACTTGGCGTTGCCGGGACTCGCTTCGTCTGCTTCGAGACTGCGAGTCACCTTCCACAGACAGATGCTCGGTATTGCTCTGGCCATTCCCCCCTCTCCCATCTCTTGCCCGTTGCGAACGGCCATCTGATCTATAATCTGAGCCTGATCGAGCCCGCCCATCGCTGCTCCGACCCTCTGCATGTCTCCGAGCGGACCTTGCTTGCGGGGTCTCTGGTATGGCAGCAGCAACAGCCTCTCGTAGACTCATCTCCCTGACCTCGTCGATAAGCCTCCGGTCTTCTTCCTCTGCCCGCTTCTCCTCCGCCGTCCGTTCTCTGGTCTTGACCTTGGGCAGAACCTGGTCGCCCGGCTTGTACTTTTCCTCCATCTCCTGCTTGTCGGCCTCGGACCGCTCCTTGGCCGGGTTGGCGGCGGTGTACATGTCAAGCAGGGTCGCAACGGTGGCATTATGCCGCGTGTCCCGCACGGCGCTCCGACATGATGGGCATGTGAAGATGATTGCGTCTGGCGGCGGCGGGGTAGGCGCGCGGCCGACCTTTTCAGCCTGGAAGCGGAACCATTCTTTGAGACAGGCGCCGCAGTATGTGTGAAGGCAGTCGAGCAGAGTGAGCGGCTGGTAGAGGAGCTCAGTGCATATCTAACCAAAGAGGAGCGTCAGTTATAGTGGTCCATGACAGATGCGAGCAGCATGGAGGGGGGACTAAGTGGCGGGACCGCATACCGAACACGTCAACTCCTTGCCCAGGTCGAAGCTCGGTTTGCGAGACTCCATTCATATTTTGGTTTTTCTGGCGGATGGGGAGATGGCCGGACTGCTTGGACAGCGCATATGGCCGCAGATGGTTTGTGCGAGGGGAGTTGCGATTCATCGTGAAAAGAGCAGATTTGGAGCGGTGGTCACTGGCCACTCAGGGCAAGACGGTCTGTGGGTACGTACCGGCGGATGGCCTCGTCATTGGGACGGGATACGAGGTACAGCAGTAGAGAGTGGTACGAATTTTTGGAGCGTGCAAATTAGAACAGGTCAAGGTATATATTGCTTGTCATCTATCTACTAAGGTAGGCAATCGTGGTTGTGGGAAATACCTAGTAGGTAGACTGTAAAATACACTGAGTGAACTACGGCATATTGAAGAATAGTATACTTGTCATGTCTCATATTTCTTCAAGCTTTACATCCCAGACCAGCGCCAAAATCTTCATAGTGCCCATCTCACAGCGGGAACCAAAGACTAGGTGCGAATTAGCTTCCCTGTAAATGCTCTGTGCAGCTAATTTCCATTTTGGGCCATCATCCTGATTATTCTTCTTACCTACTACCTAGTAAGCTACTAAGGTACAGATGGGCCTTGCGATATGTAGGGTGTGGCATGGCTTCCTATTTTCTGATGCTCTCCATACTTTATAAATCCCAGCCAGCCATCTTCATCTCAGTCGTCCACAAACATAATCCCAAATTAGGCAGTATGGAGCGCCTAAACCCGGACCGAATCCTATCTCCGCTCCCAGTGTGCGTGCTATCCAATCCTAGCTATAGAATCCTAGCATGCTTCTTGAGTTGGGTGCTAAGGGTACTGTTAGTCAGGCTGAACACTATGTTAGTTGGAAGGATTGGGAATGCTTAAATAGAGCCAGTGACGCAACTCGCAATTTCGGACATTCAATAAACTCACGTTAAAATCACTCAGTACCAGACGCATCACTCACCATGAAATTGATCATTGTTGGATCCAGCGGCTTCGTTGGCAAAGAGCTTGTCCGGCAGGCCATCACCAGTCCTGCTGTGACCTCAGTCGTGGCAATTGCCCGCCGTGAAACGCCCGTTCCAGAGAGCCTCAAAGACTCTAGCGATGTGGCAAAGTTGACATCTGTCGTGTGCGACGACTTTTTGAATTATTCGGATAATGTCAAGCACCAGATATCCAATGCCGATGCCTGCATTTGGTGAGACTTGATTCATAAGCAGTCGAGAGGTCTAATCACTTAATAGTTCGTTGCTGTATAGGCTGATGGCTGTTACGCCGAGTAATTCCGGGAAGATGCCCTGGGATGAAGTTCGCAAGATCTGCTTGGACTACACCATTGCTGGCCTTGAAGAGTTGTCCAAAGCCCCCCGAGATAATGCGAAAAAGCCTCTGCAGTTTGTATATGTCAGTGGTGCCAACGCTGAGCGTGATCAATCCAAAAAGCCATGGATTCTGGGCGACTACTGTCTCATGAGGGTAAGGACCATGTCTCGTTTCACTGAGTGAATACAGGAAAAAGAAGAGTAAAGTTGGCTGCTAAACTGCTTCATCACAGGGAGAGGTGGAAACTCGCGTCTTAGACTTTGCTAAGAATTCCAACAACGCTATCGAGGCTTGCATAGTCAAGCCAGGTCTCATTCGAGATCCTCAGCAGGGAAACATGCTCATCAACACCTTTCAGAATGTCGCCACTAGTATCATCAACCTCCCCGTCGTTTATTTGCACGATGTGGCGGCGACGTTACTCAACCAGGCAACAGAAGGATTTGAGAAGGAAACGCTGGATTGCGACGACATCGTGAGGATTGGAAAAAAGACCTAGAATCCCGAGAAATGATCGCAGCACATATTTAGGTTGTACGACTAATCATTCGGACTCTTCACTCTGTAGTGATCGATGCTTCTATCATTTTGATCTTGTCTGTGCCTTTTTAGCGTACATGTCTGTGTCATTGCAGTGATATATCTTTGGCGCCCTCCGCATCTGCCTTCCAGCCAATTAAGAGTGAGTCCACTCAGGCTTCTTCTTTTCAGCAAAAGCCTTCATGCCAATCTTCTGGTCTTGGCTGCCAAACAGGCTGTGGAAAACACGTCTCTCAAACTCAACTCCGTCCCGCAGACCAAGGTCTTGGCTCTTGTTGACGACCTCCTTGCAAGCCTGGACAGCGACCTTTGAGTATCCAGCAATGGTCTCGGCAAGCTTCAGTGTCTCCTCCATCAAGGCGTCATATGTGGGGAAGGTCCTAGCAGCAAGGCCCCATTTCTCAGCCTCGACACCGCTGAAGGACTTGCCCGTCAGGATCAGCTCCATGGCCTTGGACTTGCCAATGGCATGGGTGAGTCGCTGGCTACCACCGGCGCCGGGAATGGTTCCCAGCTTAACTTCAGGCTGGCCAAAGTTGGCGGTATCAGTGCAGTAAAGGAGATCGCACATCATGGCAAGCTCGCAGCCACCACCGAGCGCATGGCCAGAGACGGCTGCAATGATGGGCTTCTTCACCTGAGTGGTCAAGAGGGACCACGACTCGATGAATGCCTTGGTGTAAGCTTCGGAAAAGGTGAGAGGGGCCATCTCCTTAATATCGGCTCCGGCAGCAAAGGCCTTTTGTGAGCCGGTAAGAATGATGACCGAGGTCTCGTCAGAGGCATTGAAGTCGTTCAGAGCTTCGTTGAGCTCCTTGATGAGAGGGGTGCAGAGTGCATTGAGTGCCTTTGGGCGGTTCAAAGTCACTAAAAAATGAGAAAAAGAAGACATAAGTTAGCAGCCTCCCTTCCATCTACATGCAATCTTGTTGCACCCATTGATATTCACCTTGTCCAACGCCTGGCTTAGGAGTCGAGGTCAAGATATACTCATACGACTTGGAGCTATAGGCCCGTGCAATTCGAGGCAGCGTGGATCGCTGGAACGGCACCTTGGCGACCGCGGGCCTCGCAAACCGGAAAGTATTCATGATGAGTTTGTTTGTGTGTTAATTGTGTTTATTTTTAATCAGAAGAGAGAGAAGCTTCCAATGGGAAAATGCAATGAAATGAAGATGCCGGCTCCAGATGGGTAAATGCTGGAAAGCATCGGCTCTAAGCCGAGGATAAACTGCTAACAAGGTATCCGTATTCTGGTGACGACACGGAGAGAGGGGTGCTTACTAAGGAAGACACATGCTGGATGAACGACGGAAATAGGATACGCCGCAACCGCAATGCTGTTACAACATGTCAGTACTCACCTCATCTGAGAAACTGGAACTCATTGAGGGTGTTGTAGAATATCATCATTATTATTTCGGTAGATAGATGTCTGCCTGACTCTCTAGACTGACTTGAAATGACAACTTTAAACATGAAGGAAAAGACAGCCACTGTGATGTACTATGCAAACAAATATGTCTGGTATTAACAAACATTCCCCCAAAACATCATCTCGATACTTTCCAAGTCCAGGTCATTTAACTAACGCAACTCTCTACCTAAATTCAATCATCTCGGAGGTTTTCTTCCTCTTCTTTCCCAATAAGGGGAATCTAGGGAGCTCAAGATGGCCCGTGCGCAACCGACTCGGTCGTGGCATGATTATGGCAGATTCGATCCTCAACCCCGTGCTTACATGCGCCAGCCATTGAGTTTCTTACCGCTGAGCTTCAAGCTTACAAGACCATCAATTGCAGGTATCCCTCATCTATACAATATCCTTATATTGTTAAGGATATGGGGAAAAAATTATATCGCTTGTCAACGCTTGTCATGTTCACAATGGGTTGTAGTCAAGGACATTGCCAATTACACGCTTCGCATCGCCAGGGCGCCCAGTGCCGTTACCCAAAGTTTGGCAAAGTTTGATTATGCCTTGAGTCGGAAAGCTTCCCCTCGATAAGATTATGGCGTCTGACGCCATGATATATCGCGACTACCCCAGCGATGCGGTGTGGTGCAAATCCCGGCATCCTGTCCCACAATCGTCGAGCCCCCATGAACCATCGGTGGTGGCTTCACGCCACAAACATTCATGTCTATATTCGATTATATATATATACTGCTTACATCCCCTTTTTCATTTTCATCCCATTTCATCTTCATAACCATCTACACATTTCTTGCTGGCCTGCGTATCTGCGACACAACTCTACGATTCCAACCATACTCAGCTAACATCAAATTCCAACATCACATACAAATTCCAATCTCCCCTGGAAACAAGATGTCGGCTATACTTCCCGTCGAAATTTACCTCAGCATAGCTGCGTATCTCGGCTGTCAAGAGCAGTACGCTCTTCTACGTGCCATCCCATCCCTTGCAAGCCAATTCTCATACCGCCGGCATCTCCTAGCGAATACTGACGAGAATGGCAACAACTTGGTGCATATTCTTGCATTAAATGGCGAGGGTACCTTGCTAAAATCGCTTTTCCCGGATGAAGACTTGGAAAAAAGTCTCATCTTTAACAACACTATCCCTCGGTTAAGGCAGATGCTTCTCACCCGCTCTGTAAACAACGATGGAGCCACACCCCTTCACCTGGCGGCAGAAAATGGGCATCTCGGCGTTGTTGAGTGGATATCGAAGAGGCCGGACTCGGATCTGAACCGCCAGGACAAATCCGGATACACGTGTGTGGAACGGGCAGCGAGGGCAGGACATGCAGAGACTGTCAGTCTGCTCCTGGATAATCCGAATCTGACGGTTGACTGGAATTCCCTTCAACGGGCAAACCCCCTTTGTCTGGCAGCAGAGCATGGCCACGAAGCCACTCTGAGGATCATACTCGAGCGCCATGAACGCAGGATCAGTGTCAATTCCAAGGCCGCCTATGGCATCACAGCTCTCACCCTTGCAGTACTTCGTGGCCACGACACGATCACCGAGTTGTTGATTCAACAGAAGGGGGTAAACGTCAATGCGGAGGATCATCTGGGCAACAGCACGTTGCACATGGCAGTCAGAAGCAGGAACCACGCTGCCGTCAAGTCTCTCCTAGCGCATCCCGACGCCAATCCCAATGTCAGAGACTGGTATGGACACACTCCCCTTCAGGAGGCCGTATGCATGGGGGATAAGGCCACGGTCGAGCTTCTTCTTGCGCACCTCGAAACAGACGTCAATCTCGGCAACTGCAAGAAAACGACTCCGCTCATTAAAGCAGTACAAGAGAGCCATGAGTGGGCGGCGGAACTCTTGCTTAGACGGCATGATATTGAGCCCGACAAGAAGGACTACTGGGGTATGACTGCTCTCTCATGGGCCGCATTCTTGGGCCGCAAAAAGATTGCAGAGATGTTACTTGATCGAGAAGATGTTGATCCCAATGCAACAGAAGAGGACGGCTTGACACCTCTATCCCTCTCCATGCAAATGGGATGGCCAGAAATGGCCGAGCTACTTCTCGAGAACCCCGAGGTTGATATCAATTTGGAGGACAACTTCGGCTGGACAGCTCTCGCCCACGCCAAAAATGCCCCCAATAGCAAGTCCGTTCCCTTGATGAGACTCCTGCTCCAGCACGGAGCAACCATGACACTCTATGCGGAAATGGTTGTCATGTACAACTCATTGGCCGATTCTGACGTCGCCATAGACATGGTGGAATCCATCATTGTGGATCACGACATCGAGGCGTATATGATGGATCGCTTTGGACGCGAGAAGACGGAACTGGCCATGAGTGACGGCGAACGGGGTGTGCGAGAACTTCTCTTCCGAGATACCAGGGCAGCAAGGATGAGGCGGGAAGGGGTAGAGGGGATGCTTTGCTTGGAAGGTTAGCCGTAGTTGGTTTTCGTTTTGTGTGATGTTTGATGGGATTTTAGGGATTGTCCAGCGTATTTCTTTTTCTTTTTCTTTCTCTTTTTTGCATATTCAAGGGGTTAATTCTTGGTTACCCATGGCCAAGATACTAGCATTATATATTTTATACCACTCAGCACAGGTTAGAGACAGTAATTGATTCAATGATATCTACATATAGTAAAATCACCAGTCACTGGAGTTTTACGTGGTTGGCCAATCTCAACACAACGCTACGACTCTGCAATCAACTAGTATGAATAGGGTAAATAGTGGGCAAATCTCACCACAACGCTACCGCTGAGTCTCCAGCATTTACTGCGCTTAGCCTAAATAAGCACCTCGACAATTGAAACCTTTTCGACCCATTTGAGCTTCTGCGACATTCGGTCCCAAACTTGACGGCCAGCCTGCAAACCAGTCAACCATTCCCGGCGGGCGCCAATTCCGATCACGATGAATGTTGCTGTTGCGAGGCAGCCGGTGGGCTGTCTGAAGGCGGCTTTGAGGAGGACGAGATTCCAGAGATCGTGGCAGCGGTGCATGGCGACCGAGGCCGCGAGCCCCTCCATCACAAGAAATGCATTCAGTCAGAGACAGCGTAAGGCACTCTTTTTGTTTGGTTGGGGCTTTGATAGCAGGCAGTCTTGCTAATGGTGATTTGCTATTCTAGACATGGAGCAGCAAAAGGTCGCAAAGTTCCAGATATGGCCCCAGGTCCCTTCACCACGAGCCACCCATCCCGATCCGATGCCCGCCTTGAAAAAGCAGGAGATTGCCCGCCTTGACCCGACCGGCGCCAGGACGAGGCTCTTCTCCCGAGAGCACGCCGATAGTGCCAAAGTGGGCGATGTGCTGATGGTGACGACCAAGGCCGGAGAGCCCTTCTCGGGAGCATTCATCCAGCTGCGGCGGCGCGGCGTGGACACGGCCATCCTGCTGCGAGGCCAGATGATGAAGGTGGGCGTGGAGATGTGGTTCAAGATATACAGCCCGACGGTGACGGGAATCGACATTATATGGCGCAAGCCCAAGAGGGCCAGGAGAGCGCGGTTGACGTACATGCGCAAGGCGAAGCACGACATGGGCAGCGTGGACAACCTGGTGTCTGCCTGGAAGAAGGAGAGATATGCGCTGCGGTCCAAGGCGAAGCAGGGTGGAGGGCGACTGACTACGAGGTAGAGGGAGACGGGCGTCATGGTTCATGCTGTATGATAGGGTCTGAGAAATGTACAATTCGACTGATATACACGAATGATTTCAATGCAAATGAAGCAAGACTTTTTTTTTTCTGAGGGCATTCTCGATGAGATTTTTGTTGTTTATACACGAGCAATCAAATCAAGCAACGATATTCACTTGTGCTCGATGTAGGCGACCAAAGCGGCCATGTGCTTTCATATAACATACAGGAGAAAACGCATGAGCATACTCAGCTCTACAAGGTAGTCATCAAAGGCCATGCGGTGTTTTTTTATCGATAAGAGCAGATGGCTCTACCTGCCTACTAGGGAGATGCCAATTGGTTGCGGCCATTGTCAAAAGAACTAAAACTCATACTGTAACTAAAAGGGTGGGAGCCCTAACAACTACTGGTGGCAGAGGCAATTTCTTGCATGCATGTTTCTTTCTCCTCCGCATGAGCATCTCGGTGCCTCTGCGAAACAGGCCAAAGCGGACAGTATGAGGAGATCTCATTGCTACGGTAGGTAGGTAGGTATTCTGGTGAGTCGAAAAAAGAAGAAAACAAGGCAAGGTGCAATTTCAGCTTTGCGGCTTTGCGACGGCAAGTCAATTTCTCATTTCTTGTATTTTCGTGGCATGGCGAAAAAAAAATCCTTTTGTAAAAATTAGATTTCTAGCATTAGGTTATATATTAAAATTTCGCAATTATTATCGCCTTCGGGCATTTGGTCAATTTATAACGATGTAAGTTGTACTCCGTCTCATTTGAAGAGGTCGCCTGTTCGAATCGCTGACGTTGCAACAGACAGAGAAGATTAGCATGGCCCCTGCACTAAGGATGTAAGTTGAACTCCTGAACCATACTCTGGTCAACCATATACTAATGAGCTCTACAGGACACGCTCAATCAAAGAGAAGCTAAACATTTTTTTTTTTCTCTTTTTTTCTCTATTATAAGAAAAAAAAGGGAACATCTCGTATCAGTCATGTAAAATACATGCAATACGCAAGATTGCATATCTCCAACCAAAATGCCCGAGACTCTTCTATCTAAAAACAAAATTTATCGTGCTCTCATTTGGAATATATCATTGTACGCGTCGCCATTTTGCTATGCAACTCTCTTTGCTACTGCTACCCATCTTGGGATTAATCATGGAAGAATATTTCTTGTCTCTTATTTTCCAATTGCAAAGCTTGAAACTCATCTCAACAGCTACCCGGAACTCTGGTAAACAATGGATATATTTGGAGTTCCACCAAATTTCTAAGACCCCAAAAAATTCCAGGAAGGTCACAACAAGCGTGCAATCTTTTACAATATGATCTCATCACCGCCACGACATGAATGTAGCAGGATTCCAAGAAACGATTAGTGGGGCACTCTGTCTACTCATAGACTACCCAGCCAAAATACAATGCCCTGAACTAGAAAATATAAGCTGAGAGGCACAACTCGTGGTTGCACAATTCTACACATTTGTGCGATCCACAAAGCTTCAGACACTTAATGGTATTGATATGAAAGCCACTCTATCTGTTGTCAAGCACACATTAAGAATGAATCGACCAACTTTTGAAAGAACAACGCGAATTGGGTCCGTGATTCTTTTCCTGATATGCCTGCACGAACTTTGAGTACTCGAACGAGTACTCCAGGAGCAGCTAGGGAATTAATATCACGACAACGAGCTACGCCGGGGGCTCCACCTTGGAATGATAAACAAGTGAAGCTGCTACAAGATGCCGTGGGAAATAGATAGAACCAAGCCGAAAGATACCAACCATCTTCTGCCTCAGCGATCTGTAAGCGCAATCCATGTGAAAATGGGAGAGCTTAGAAAGAAGGTTAGAAAGGAAACTAGTGATCCTCTGAAGGCATATCAAAACTCTCCGTCAGAAATCGACTGTTGATTCAGGTATCCATCAGCGTTCGTATAGATGTGCATTGATGGATAGTGTGAAAGCAGCAGCCAATCCTGCCACAACGTGGGAGGGCAGAAAGCAGCATTGTTTTCCACAAGTTCTGGGCAATCCATGATACGCGAGGTCGAAAATCCACCCAGACATCCACATATGGTATCTTGACAACACCTCAACGCGGAGGCGAGGAAGTAAGCCGTCGGCGGCGCCAATCTGGGGTGAAAATCAAGGAAAATATCCTGGCAGTTGCAGATTGGAGGGTCGATTTGAGTCAAGTCGAGTCAATGTTGATGGGAAAACTCGGAGGGACATTTCGACCGTGGGTGACAACGGACCTACTGGTTAACCGTATTGTACGACGGTTGCAGCTCTCGATACTCCATGGCGACAACTGGCATCATGTTAGCTCCGTCAGATATCGACGCGACTAGTTGCTGTTGAAGGAAGAGGTCCTTCGGCAAACATCCTTGACTGCATCGCATTAAAGACGACCTGTCACGTCCCCCGGAGCTGGCAGTCTGCGTGGTATAGGGGCGTGTTTGGAGAGGCCTTCGAGACGCGCCTTCGCCACTGCCAGGCTTGTCTTTTTATCCAGCCGTTTCTGTCTTTGACTGTGAGTTATACGGAGGAAGCGGTCAATTGTGAGCGTCCAGGATCATGCAGGATCGAAGACTGCCGAGAACCACGAGGTCCACCGATGGTTATTGATCACCACGAGCTGAGGCGTAACGCGGCAACGCTGAATTGCCATGCCCATGCCCAGGATTTTGACAGCAAAGCTGATCAGAACCGGTTTCTGCAGCATCGAACGACGGCTGCGCAATCACGAGATGGCAGAGTGGAGGGGATGGATCAGAAACGAGGATTCGTGCAGCGAAGCGACAGACGAGGCGCCCGCCACGAAGGCCTGGTGATTTGCTGGCCTTGCGTGATACAGTTCCATCACCGTTTTCGCGACGCATGGAGGTGCAGCTGCAGCATGCCGGACCTGGAGTGCTTGAATAGGTTCGCGCTCTTGGGAAATTCAGGTGGCTGGATGCCGGCAGGACGCGATGCTAGCTGGGCCGTGGACAAGGCGAACTTTGTCTCCATCTTCCCGCCTCGATCCGAGTGTTGGCTGACCTGTCTCGACTGGCCTGGCGCAGAGTTTATGCGGCCTGCGTGGAGACGCGCATGAAGACCCAATCGCCCAGACTGCGAGGTTGCTTCAACGGTGCCACGTCTTTGTTACGGAGCATCTGTCAAGTTCGCCCGCAGGGAACTCCAGGAAGAGTTTCTGATACATCTTATCGAAGTACTGGGCCGAAGAGTATAATAACAGTCGGCGTCCTGGTGGGAAAACAAGAAAAAGGGACAAGAAGAAGAGCATCAAAGTGTAAAAAGCATCAAGTCATATATACCTAATACTATCCATCTGCTGATTCTCTTTTGGAGTCGCTGTCATTGAAGGCTCTTGCTTGGCTGAATTAAAGTAAAGCCACCCGCTGAACCGTCTTATCGATAATATACAACTGCCCCCGCCCCCCGTCGCAAGTACCTGTACATGTACCGGTACCACGACGACGACCGTCTATTACCGCTGCCACTAGTAGTGCTACTGCTGCTGCTCGCGTCCTTTACCATGGCCTATTACAGCCTGCACCATGGCGCCACAGCGCCGCTAAAGCCGCCCAAGAGGATGGCGCCTACGCCCACTGGCAGCGCCCGTATTAGCACCACCTCCAGCATCAGCGCTGGCATTAGCGGCATTAGCACTCAAGTAACCACCGGCACAACTGGCGCCACGGGCCTATGGAAGGAGCTGCAGCCCGGCAACGTCGAGTTGGCAGACCAGTTCCCGGAATTTTGTTTACAACCCCAGCGCCCCTCTGGTCTAAATATCGACACCAAGCTCGCCGCTTCATCTGCGTCGGTCCAGCTCCAGCTGCAGCTCCAGCACCTCGCCAGCACTAGTAATACGTGTAATAGTACTACTACGACTGCCACTGCTGTTACGACTGCTACGACTGCCACTACCACCACCATCACCACCACTTCGTCCACCTGCTTGACCTCCCTAGGCCTCTGCACGCCCCCCAGCTCTCCCGTCAGCTCGCCGGCCGTCTCCAGACTCTCATCACCTGTCAGTGCCGCCAAGGCTGAGGCTGACCCTGTGCCTGTGTCTGTGTCTCTGCCAGTTGAGCGCCTGCAAACGCCCCTCTCTCTATCTCTACCCCGGCCACGGTGCGCTTCGGACCCTCAGCGGAGTGGGCGGGACAAGGAGGAGTCTCGTGGTATTACTGCTGCACTCCAGCGGTCAGAGAAGCGTCGCTCGTCATTGGGCACCAAGGCCCTGAGCCAGTCTCCAACGCACTCAAAGCTTTCCAGTCCTCCAAGGCCACCGCCCAAGCCAGCAAAGTTTTCCAGACAACCTCGCCCGGCAGAAACCCAGAGTCAAGCCGACTCTGACCTCGCCCTAGCGGAGACCAAGGCATCTACTGCCGACGTACTAGTCGATTCGTCGTCGATTCGGGGGGTCCATGAACAATTCCTAAACAGGATGACTCTTTCGGAGCAGCAGAGATGGATCACGGTCCAGGAGAAGACCTTTACAAAATGGTACGTTTAATTCAACATGCTTTGATGCCGCCTGCCCGCCTGCCGCAAAGGAGAGAAGAAGGAGAAAAAAAAAAAAAAAAAAAAGAGTTGCAGGTTTCTCAAGAAGCCCCGTGTGTAGCATGCTGACAAAGACATCCCCAGGCTAAACACAAAGATTGTAGCCAGAAATCTCGAGGTCAAGGACTTGGTGCCGGATCTTAGCGATGGTGTAAGTTGACCCTATCCACGCCTCGATGTTATTTATTTCTTTTTTTCTATTTCTTTTTGTCCATGTCGACTCAAGGAAGGCTTCCCATTGACATTGAAACGATGGTTCACTAGGTTATGCTGATTCACCTCCTCGAATGCCTCTCGCACGAATCTCTCGGTCGATATGCCTCCCGGCCGAAGCTTCGAGTCCAAAAGTTCGAAAATGCCAACTTGTCTTTGGACTTTATCAGGTCGAGGGGCATCCAGATGACAAATATTGGTGCCGAGGATGTCGTCGATGGAAACCGCAAGATTGTTCTCGGCCTTATCTGGACCCTGATTCTCCGCTTTACCATCAGTGACATTAACGAGGAGGGCATGTCTGCCAAGGAGGGTCTACTCCTGTGGTGTCAACGAAAGACTGCATGCTATGATGAGGTCGAAGTCCGCGACTTTAGTAGCAGTTGGAACAACGGCCTTGCCTTCTGCGCCTTGCTCGACATCCACCGCCCGGATTTGATTGATTTTGACACCTTGGATAAGTCGGACCACCGTGGCAACATGCAGCTCGCCTTCGACATTGCCTACGAAGAGATTGGAATTCCCAAGCTGTTGGATGTGGAAGATGTGTGTGACGTGGCGAAGCCTGATGAGCGAAGTTTGATGACATACATTGCCTACTGGTTCCATGCCTTTTCCCAAATGGAAAAGGTTGAAAATGCAGGGCGACGAGTTGAGAAATTCTTCAATAACATGCAGGGTGCGTGGGAGATGCAGAATGCCTACGAGAGACGAATGCGGGAGCTCCTCAAGAACATCCGAGGCCAGGTTGACCAATGGCACACGGCCAAGTTTGAGGGCACCTATGCTGATGCAAAGGCCCAGGCAGCTCAATTCTCAGAGTACAAGAGGGGCAAGAAGCGTGAGTGGGTTGCAGAGAAGAGCGAGCTTGCCACATTGCTGGGAAATATCAAGACGAAGCTCAGCACTTACCGGTTGCGGCCCTACGAACCTCCACATGAGGTCAGCCAAGAGGTGATTGAGAGAGACTGGAAGAGCCTCACGAAGAGTGAGATGGCTCGCGCGCAGCTCATCAATGAAACCATTCGAGAGTATGTGGACATCCTTTTCTATGTAAAGTAAAAGCAGCTGGCTAACACTGTCGCAGCATCAAAAACGCCCTGCGCAAGTCGTTTGCCGATAAAGCCAATGATTTTGCAATGGCTCTCAACACAATGCAGCTTGCCATTTCAGGCTTGGATGGTGATATCGAAGATCAGCTGCATCATGTCAAGAAACTTAGCGAAAACTTGGCCCCTCTCGATCGATATCTTAGCACCATTGCGGAAGTAGATGCCATGTGCGAGGAAGCAAACATTGAGGAGAATGACTTCACCACATATACATATGACGAGTTAGCGTACGAGTTAACTTTGGTCAGATCATCGGTTCAGAAAAAGCTATCCTTCTTGGAAAACCAAATGGTTGCCCGCAACATGACCAACTTGACGCCCATCCAACTGGAAGAATTCGAAAGCGTGTTCCGTCATTTCGACCGCGACGCTTCAAATTCGTTGCAGGAGCTCGAGTTCAGCGCAGCCCTGGCCTCACTGGGACTGGTTTTCTCCGAAGAGGAGATGCACGACTACTTTGTCGAGACGTCTGGGGGCAAAGAATATGTCACGTTCGAGCAGTTTATTCGCTTCATGGTCGATGTCACCGAGGACCAAAACACTGCCGAGCAAGTTTTCCAGTCGTTCCGAGAGGTTGCGGATGGAAAGCCGTACGTCACCGAAATGGATCTGCGCCACAGTCTTGTCCCGGAAGAGGTCATTGACACGCTCCTCAACATGATGCCGCCGCACAGCGGCCCAGATATGTCACGGGATCGGGGCAAGGCCCAGTACGACTACATCTCCTTCATGGAGAAGATGATGGGTGGTGAAGATGCGGACGACGACATACCGGCGGGTGTGCTCCAGGATAGCACGAACAGCGGCGATGCTCGGCCTCGAAGAGATTCCAAGGTGAACGGCGTGCACGCTTAAAGAGTCCCAGCGACGAGCAGAATGGGCCGTCGCTAGCGGTGGTGCTCCATCACCATCTTCTATGCCTGGCCCACCGTCATTTTATGGACGGTCTCCGTATATTTCTTTGTATACTTTCCCCCCTTTTCTCCCCGTCGCGCACATATGCTCATTATACGGAGTCCCTGTCTCCTATGTTGTCTGGATACTTGGTTGGAGAGGCAGCGGTGTTTTCTCGGTCCCCTCGATGCATGCGTGCATTGGTGTTTTCTCTTTTTCTCTGTCTCTTTTTTTATTTTATTTTTTTGGATGGTATAGGGGATGTGTGGATAAAAATTGGACACAACTCTATAGTGTATTCCCCACGTTGAATTAATAGTACTTACTGCAACGGTAGATAACCAAATTAATTGGCACCTAGCCTCCTATTAAACAAATGCTCGTATTGATGCTATTCTTGCTTTTTGCTCGTATCATGTTAGACCAAGCTTCTTATTATGGACCAATTTGCCGGGTCCGCATTCGGAGGCAGAGGCCCACAAATGCCTAACCGGCACTTGGGAATTTAACCAAGGGCGTCTTAGTGCCACAGAAAGTGACGCCTAACAGTGGCCTTATGGCGCCTAACATGAGGTGCTTGGGCTGATGTCTTTGTCCCCAAGAGAGAAATAGCTCCGGCTCTTGCCTACCCGGGAATCGCCAGCCGATCGAAGGTACTAAGGAAGGAAGCTTCAACTTATTGCCCCTCTGATCTCACTCTGTCCATTTTTTCCACACTCCGATTTTTGGTTGTTTGCCTCACGACAACAGGATTCTCCGCTCTGACAGAAAATGGTGACACGATCGAGACTTGTGCGAGTGCTGCAATCGCCCAGCCGGCGAATGGGCGCAATTGGCGGTGCTAGAATTTTGCCGTGCCATGCAATTGCGCCTGCTCGATGCTTTGCGACTTCGGTCCCAAGATTGCTGTCTCAATCACAGGCAGTCCAGCACCTGGCCAAGCTCACATCTGAAACGTACCCGGGCCTTACGAGAGACGCCAAATATGCGTCACTGACGGCGGAGGATGTCGCTTACTTCAAAAACCTGCTGGGAGGCGAGCAGGCCGTGATTGATGGCTCCCGCGCTGGTTCGGAGGATGATCTCAAGCCCTTCAATGAGGATTGGATGCACAAGTACCGCGGCCAGAGCCGACTCGTGCTCAAGCCGGGATCGACCGAGGAGGTCAGCCAGATTCTCAGGTACTGCAACGACAGGAAGCTGGCGGTGGTGCCACAGGGTGGTAACACCGGCCTTGTTGGGGGCTCGGTGCCTATTTTCGACGAAATCATCATCAACATGAGCCGTATGAATCAGATCCATTCCTTCGACGAGGTCAGCGGCTCACTTGTGTTGGATGCTGGATGCATCTTGGAGGTCGCCGATCAGTACCTCGCTGAAAGGGGATACATCTTTCCCCTCGACTTAGGAGCTAAGGGATCGTGCCATGTGGGCGGTACTGTTGCCACCAATGCTGGAGGCCTGAGACTGTTGCGCTACGGAAGTTTGCATGGAAATGTGCTGGGCATGGAGGCCGTGCTGCCAGACGGCACCGTCATGAACGATTTGTGTGCTCTGCGCAAGAACAACACGGGTTACGACTTGAAGCAGCTGTTTATCGGTGGCGAGGGAACCATTGGCATCATCACCAAGCTGGTCATCCAGTGTCCGCAGCGCTCGGCTGCCGTCAATGTGGCTTACTTTGGCCTGGAGTCCTATGAGAAGGCGCAGCTTGCCTTCCGAGAGGCAAAGAAGCAGCTGGGCGAAATCCTTTCTGCCTTTGAGCTGATGGATTCTCGGACGCAGCAGATTGTGCACAAGATCAAGGGCGAGGAGCGGCCGCTAGAGGGCGAGCACCCCTTCTACTGTCTTATCGAGACCAGCGGCTCCAACGGCGACCATGACTACGAGAAGCTAGAAAAGTTCCTCGAGGACGTGCTTACCAAGGAAATCGTCGTCGATGGCGTCGTCGCGCAAGGCGAGGGGCAGGCCAAGGCGCTGTGGAGCTGGCGCGAGAGCATCACCGAGTGCATTGGCCACGGCGGCGGGGTCTACAAGTATGATGTCTCGATCCCGCTGGCCGAGATGTACTCGCTTGTCGAGGATGTCAAGACGCGCATGGGGGAGGCTGGCCTAATCGGCGATACCGAGGAGTACCCGGTAAGCGCAGTGGTGGGCTACGGCCATATGGGTGACTCCAACCTGCACCTCAATGTGGCCGTAAGACGGTATGACGCCAAGGTCGAGGAGGCTCTGGAGCCCTTTGTGTACGAATGGATTGAGAAGCGTAATGGTAGCATCAGCGCCGAGCATGGTCTGGGGCTGGCCAAGAAGAAGTACGTGCAGTACAGCCGGAACGAGACTGTGATTGGCTTGATGAAGCAGATTAAGAAGCTCTATGATCCGGTAAGCCCACCCATCTCAGTTGTCGTTTGTCGCTTGTTTCTTACCCTTGCGCCTTGTTTCAACCTGCTTGGTTTCATGAATTCCTTGTGCTTCCCCATGCGACCCTCTTCTGCATGATCTGATTGCTGGCCATGGCATATCACATGTCTTCCGAGGCGGAGAGGCAGCTCACGTCGTGGCTGTAGAATCCAGGCGGCGCGCGCTCTCATGCACCCTTTTCCCAATCCAACCTGAGCAATCTATCCAACTTATGCACTGCTACGCCGTAGGGCTGACACTGACAATGGCTCATGACAGAATGGCATTATGAATCCATACAAGTACATCTGATGACTGGGGTATTCGTCCGAGGTGGCGGGTGGGGATGCGATAGTACGAGTAATACCAGAACCTTTTTGCGGTCGGTCCTAAACATAGGCTCCCATTTTGGGCCTTTTGCATGTATGTAAGTCATGGCAGATGCGGACCGCTGGTGAGTGGGAGAGGAGCCCATCCCCTCCCCTGGATCCCCTTAGGCATATTCCTCACATCTTGTAACTCTTTTGAGCCTGGCGCCATTTCCCAATCCGGCTCCGTATCGGCCGACACCGGTTTGTGAGGACGGCAGACGCGAGCAAGGAAGCAAGGAAGCAAGGCAGAAGCACCATGATAGTAGTATTTTGCAAGTCCCCTATTTTTTCATCATGTTGTCTCCCCGGCGGTCTACAAAAGTGGGCGATAGCAGCACAGGACTTGAGAGCATCGTAATCAACTTACAGGCACCCACGCAGGCGAGGCTGCTGGGTTCCGGATGGTTCCTTGGGGTTTTTCGCGGCTGGGGGACCCCGGACAACCTATCAGATTGCCGGACAGGGTGAGCGGCGGGCAGGTTGACGGAGCCACAGAGGCCCAAAGAGGTCCAGAGGCACCAGGACGGTGCCTTATTTCTCATAGGTCATATTCCTGTCATTTCAGCGACCCGGCCAATGGCGCGGCGCGCCTTGTCCAAACATCTGATCGCTGACACAAGACGACTTGGGCCACCGCGCTCAGCCGTCTCGGTGGGGGAGCCAACCAGGAGCAGAGCTGGCCCTCCGCGTCAGCCCTACGAAACTTAGTGCCAGAAAGAAGATGGTGGGACTGCAGTAGAGAGGGCTGCCAGTCTAGCGTCATGCCGGGCGGACGAAGGCTTCGTTTGCAGCGGAAGTTGCCCTGCTGGGGGCAGAGAAGCGGACCAAAAGTGACAAGAGACACAGACAAGAGACTGAAAGCTTGACCGAGAGCCAACAAGAGGCCTCGGAGCCCCTGAACCGACCGGCAATGTGGTAAGCCTTGCATCTCATGTCGTCCGTGGGGCTGAGGCCGAATGGCCATCTCAGCCTTCCCATTCGCCGGACGCCTGGTCGCCGTTCGTACGTTTCTGCTTCGGTGGTTGCCGGCCCTTGATGTGGGATGCCACCAATCCACATCCAAAGGCCCATGCCAAAAGGCGGAGTTGTGTGCCTGCCAATATGTCCCAAGGCCAAACGTGAAAGGCCATTCGACGCTCGAGACTGGGCATCTGTCCTGTGGGGATTCACCAATTCCAATTTTTTCTCTTTCTTCCCCCCTCCAGTATGGGACATTTGCTGCCATGTGGTTCTGATCCGGCCTTGGGCCTGTTCCTTACCTCACCTCCCGTATAATGTCCCGACCCTTACCAATTTGTCCCCCATCGACCTACCTACAAACCTTGTTAGCCGGAATAGCTCCCGTGTACCCAGTCCATGCTTGTCCAGGAGGCCTATAGCCAACGCCGTCCTCTTCTCCCTCTTCCACAAATATATAACAGACCCAAAGATGATGCAAAGAGGATAAGCGGTGGCAAAGAGAGCAAGACTGCGGGCCGGGCTGCAAGAGACCACGGACCAAACCAAATAATACCTTTTGCGACGACGAACCGGACATTTTTCTTTTTTTGTTTTCCCGTTTGTTTCTTTCTGGAAAAGGTGAAGAACAAATCGCCGGCCTCCCCCACAAAGGCCACACACACTTACGCGCGCGCGCGCATACACGGACTCGCCCACATACCTTTAAGCTCACAGACGCACACACACACACTCACACACTCACAAATATATATATACATACATCAATATATATACATATACATATATATATATATACTTACGCGTGCGCCAAGATAGACATCATGGTTGGTGTTCCTGGCAAGTATAAGGGGTGTGAGACCTGCCGCAGGCGTCGAGTCAAGGTTTGTTCTTCTTCCCCCCTACTTATACACCTTGGTCGACAAAAAATGAGCCATGATGATGAAGATAAAAGGAAGAGAGAGACACATACACACAAAGAAGAGACAGCATGCACAGCAACTAACACGTCGAGAAAATAGTGCAGCAATGAGCGTCCATTTTGCCAGAACTGCATTAGCAGCGGCAGAACTTGCGAGGGCTACGAGAGAGAACGAGTCTTTATCACTGGCACACCAGAGACCAAAGGCCGTGTAGCTTCGCATCCAAAGAAGACGACACCTTCCAAGAAGCCAAAAGCCAGCCCTAGCCCGAGTGTCAAGGCGGACGAGCCAGAGAGCAGCAGCAGCAGCATCTTCAGCGGCCCTCAGCTCTTCCAACCCCTGACACCACTTACCTCTGCCTGGGACGACTACGTTCGATTGACATCGGGGGCCCAAGGGGGTACCGGATTTCCAGCTCTCATCACTGCGCTCCAGACGAATTTGCAAAGTGTGGCGAGACTCGAGGCGGCTGTCGGTGGTGAAGGCGGCGGTGATGGGTCGGCCGCGGGACTTTTGAGTGCTATACAGTTTCCTCCCTACGCGGCGGCTGAATTGCTGCCGGTGGCGGACGATGCCTTCGGTATGAATGCGCAATGTTTTGTGCGCCAAAAGGCCACTAATGCTGAGCATGACTCGACAGAGAGCTACTGCGCGTTTCTATTCGAGGTGAGTTTTCTTCTGTGTTTCTGTTCTCGGTGATGCTGTGTTTCAATCACCGCGGGAAATTCTCGGAGGGGCCCAGTCAAGCTAATTGGAGATGACTTATACAGCACGATTCGTCCGGTGCATCATGGAGGCTCACGGCCGAACAGATGACTCGGCTTGGTCCGCATTATTTCGCCTCCTTTCCAAATCATCACTTCTTCGTGAGGGTGTATCGCCCTGTAGCTGTAGGTTCTCGGTGGATTTTTCTCTGGGTGGCCGGTTTCCCCCCTCCCCTTCTCCGGTTGCTAACTGCTGGACAATAGATGAGCATTGCTCTCCTGAGCCGACGAGATACCTTCCTGAGAGCGCCGGAATGGACCACGATACCATGGGACCAGCATCCAAAGTCCCCCCTCGACCAGCTGTTTGATATCATACTTCAGCTTCCCGCCATCTTCGAGCAGATGGATCGAATCATCCACCTCCAGGCGACACTCGCCCGACGCACACAAGCCCAAGAGCTTCTCCATCATTGCCTGGTCGTGGAAGCCCAGTTCCGACAGTGGCTTCAGGAAGCTTACAGAGGAACGGAAGACCATCCATACCCATTCTGGGCTGAGGAGCTAAGGAGCCCTGGCGGCGCCATTCCTTTCGCAAACGCATATGCGTTCAAAGACGGAGTCACTGGCTTGATGTTCGTCTATTATTGGATGGCCATGATCCCATTCCACCGTTGTATCGAACATATTCACATGGCCATCTTCCAACCGGTTGTCGACGCCTATCCCAACATGTGGCCAGAACTGCCACCCAGCTTGCAAATCGACCCAGTGCACTATCAAGACGGACGAGAGTTGGCTGCCAATATCTGCAGAGGACTTGATTCGGCGCTTGATTCTACCGTCCAGCCGGACTTGCTCCTGGGGCCGATGACAGTTGCCATGGACTTTTACCGAGACGTCAATGCCGCATCACAGGATGGCGTGCTCGAGATCCTCTGGCTGGACGGCTTCAAGAAGCGACTATGGGCGAAAGCGCAAGCCGTGACGAGTGTCTTGCAAGCCCATAAATGGTCTGAAGTGGCCAAATTCTAATGCATAATAAGTGCGCATATGTCAACCCATCTAAGTTGACGAGGGGGCACCGAAACGGACGACGACGAGGCCAAGAACGAACCGACGATATCACAGTGTAGAATATTTGTATAGCGACATTTGAAACTTTGCAGGAGGATTAGATAGAATCGATAGAAATCTCATAAGGGTGGGCAGCTGGACTGTCATTGGAGGACAGAGACAAGAAGGACATTTTTTTTTTCTTTATGGGAAAATCAAGCGACGGATATTCGCGTCCTTCAGGAAGGGAAATTTTAGGGGAAAAAAGGGAAAAATTGCATCCACTCTCCATAGCTTATAGCTTGAATACTATATATGACCCAAACCTTTATTTAAGGGGGATGCACGCGTATTGGTAATTCTTGGGAGTTTCAGTCATGCATGGCTAAGAATAGCAGTGTTAAAAGATACAATGCGGGGCACGAGATCTTTGCGTGCATGAGCTGCATAAGACACGCGATGGGTGACGGTATCGATACTGTAATGTCTTGCATGCTCTGATAAGCTTTCACGAAGGGTGAGTCCGTATTACACTCATTTGCATGTTGTTGGATCTGTTCTTCTTGGTGAAATGAGTGAAGGGGGGGATGGTGTAAGCTGAAGATTTGGGAATGGTGCGAGTGATGCGTGAGTGACTGTGAATCATGGTACTGCGAATCAGCTTTAATGCGAGAAATAGGGAGATGGAGTCGTAGAAGGACTAAGTTACTAGGTATGAGCTGGGTGAAAAATATGGCCGATTTGTTGAGTTTAGTCGCTTGATTCGGTGATTCATATTTAATCACGTCTTTTCTGGGGGTTGCATCTGATTAACTTACACTTACAGACTCGACTCTGTTGAATGGTATGTCCGAATGTGTAAGTCGACCACTGGAGGTGCTGTCATGTGATCATGCTCATGCAACTGGTGAGAGGTACGTACCTGTGCCCGGCCCGCCATCACGTTTCTCCGTTCCCCAGCGCGGCTGCCACAGGGAAGCTCCAGCCAGCTCCAGCCTTCCAAGTACCGCCACAGGCAAGGTAGGCTGCCACTCTGACGAAGCTCCGCTAGAACCAGCATATCGACCCCCCCAATTATCGACGTCAAGGCGCCAGAACAACAACCTCATCTTGCACAGCATTGCCCTGCCGCCAGACCGCACGAACAACATCATTGCGTGACTTTGCCTTGCAATAATCAACGGCCATGGCGTCTGGTTACGACAGAGCTCTGTCCGGTAAGTTATTACGCATCGCTGGTTGATGTCGATATCCTCAGTGCTGACATTGCTGTGTGTCTAGTCTTCAGGTTTGTGCTGCCGCAGCCGTGTCTTGTACCGCGCCCCGTCCATCTGACATTAGCCCAGCCCCGACGGACACGTTTTTCAGGTTGAATATGCCGGCGAAGCTGTGAAGAGAGGTCCGTCTGGATGCACCGAAGCTGTCTGCCCACCCCCACCTCGACTGACCTTCTCGGGATAGGAACATGCGCTGTTGGCGTCAAAGGCAAGGATGTCGTGGTGCTGGGATGTGAGAAGAGGTCTGCCATGAAGCTGCAGGACACAAGAATTACACCCTCCAAGATCCAGGTCCTGGACCACCATGTCGCCCTGGCCTTTGCCGGCCTGAATGCAGATGCCCGAATCCTCGTCGACAAGGCACGATTAGAAGCCCAATCCCACCGCCTGTCGGTGGAGGACCCCGTCACGATCGAGTACATTACAAAATACGTTGCCGGTGTGCAGCAGCGCTATACACAAGCTGGAGGTGTTCGACCGTTTGGTATCAGCACCTTGGTGGTTGGATTTGACAACGGTAGCGAGGTGCCCAGACTGTACCAGACGGAGCCCTCCGGTATCTACTCAGCCTGGTAAGGCTCAAGCATGCATTGCATCAAATGCATGATGACTGACTCTTGGACCACTATAGGAAGGCAAATGCCATCGGCCGTTCCAGCAAGACTGTTCGAGAGTTCCTGGAGCGAAACTACAAGGAAGACATGGACCGGGAGACCACCATTCGACTAGCGATAAAGTCTCTTCTTGAGGTGGTCCAGACTGGTGCGAAGAACATCGAGATCGCGCTCATGGCCCCCGGCGCGCCTATGGAGCTGCTGCCGACGGACGAGATTGAGGGCTACGTGAAGGAGATTGAGCAGGAGAAGCAGGAGGAGGCTGCCAAGAAGAAGACGGGGCGAACACCGGGCACTGGAAGCGCTGCTATTCTGACGAGGAGCGGCGATGACTCTGCTGCTGAATAGAGAATAAATGGAAATGGTATTTATTGGAATGCAAACTTAGAGCGCAGATGCTATTGTATCAACATGATATGCAAGGTTGAGGAGGCATGCCATAATAAAAATGCTACCTCGTCTGATGAACGAAAACGAAAAATGAACTCCAATTAATGTGATGCCGTGCAACGCCGTAACATGTTCTTTCCAAAACACGACTGTATAAACGTATGTACACAGCCCATGCCCTCCCCTCGAACTGCTTAGCCAAGCTTGTCGGCATCTGGCGTAGGGTCGAAGATGGTCCTCCGGCCGTCCTGTCGGACTCTCTCATCCTTGAGCAGCTTGTTGTTCATCCGCACATCCTCACCCTCGATGGTCAGGGCGGCCTTGGGGGTCTTTGCCTCGAGGACGAAGTGGTTGTCGCAGTGCGGGCAGTACTCGTCGCTCTCGTCGAACTCCTGGGCGTCCTTGCGGAAGGCCTTTTTGCACTTCTTGCAGACAAAGGTCATTTCGAAGCTTTGTAGGAGGGGGTGGCTTTCCTGCTCGGCGTGGCATTCAGCGCAGTCGAACCATTTTCGGCCTTTTTTTTTGTCAGTACATGGTGGGAAGTGGGAAGGGGTGGTGTTTGAGGGCGTACAGCATGGTGACCGGATGGAGACTTGGGCGTTGAGGATGTGTTTACTGGGACTTTTGGTTAGCTGTTGGTGCTGGATGTTGGGTTTGTGGTTGTTTGTGCGTACCACATGGTGATGAATTGGATTCGTCCCTGGTGAGGTATGAATCAGATGTGGAAATCCTCCTTTCTTCGTAGCTTATTAACGAACGTGGTAATATTTCTGGAGCTGCTGCAGAATCTCTTGTCTTGGGTTTTGTCTCTCAGTCGCCGCCCTGCAGCTGCTATTGGTGGGGGTGCCTTTTAGTGCAGTGACCGCCCCTGGCCGGCCGTTTTCTGCAATTTGCTTGGCCGGAGCCGCCTGAACAGTTCTTCCTCTCGGTGGCGCGTCTTTGGCTTTGTTAGTCAGCATCTGTCTGCCTCGAAGGTCATCTATTCGTCGTCGAGGTGACCGTGAACTTAACTTTGATTATTCTTCCTTCTTCTTCTTCCACAGTCGTCGGCTTGCTTGCTCGCCACTTCTCCTTCTCTGCACAACAGTGACGCGCTCTTCTCCCCATCGAGTCAAGCCAGCGATTGCGATTTGCAATCTCCCTCTTTCGTAGCAGAATCACGATGCCTCCCATCAAGAGAAAGGCAGGCAGCAGCGCCGTGCAGGGAGGACTAAAGGCAGGCCGGTCCTCGCGCCTGTCGACGCCTGGAGGCACGACTCCCCGCAGCATCGATAGTGGCGATGAGGTGGTGGAGGAGGATGACGCCCCCCTGGATGAAGAGCTGGAGCAGGATATCGACAAGAATATAGATCGCTTCTCACTGGGGCGGTACCAGAAGAAGCATCACATCCGGGAGCCTCTCCCGCACATCTTTGGTAGCAATGATTTTTCGTACCTCGATCTCAAGAAAGATCACCAGAACCGGCCGCTTTGGATTGATCCTCAGAAGGGCAGAATCATTCTCGAGAGCTTCAATCCACTGGCGGAGCAGGCCCAAGACTTCCTCATTACCATTGCCGAGCCCTTGTCTCGCCCGACGTTTATGCATGAATATGCCCTCACAACACATAGTCTCTACGCCGCGGTTTCCGTCGGTTTGTCGCCTCATGACATTATAAATACCCTCGATCGCTTTCTCAAGACGCCTCTGCCAGACGAGATCCGATCTTTTATTGAGAGCTGCACCCAGAGCTACGGCAAGGTCAAGCTCGTCCTGAAGAACACCAAGTACTACGTCGAGAGTCCAGACCCCAACATGCTGCAGATGCTACTCAAGAATCCCAGGATTGGGCCTCTCCGCGTTCAAGGAACAGCAGAAATCACGACATCGGCCGCGCCCAAACTCGGCAACCTGGTCATTCCTGGCACAAAGAATGCTGCAGGTGCCAAGCAGGCGAACGGTCTGCAACCAGCAAACGGCGAGCAAGCGCAGGATGGCCAACCCGCCATGCAGGGAGGCGATGTGCTTGCTCGACTCGGCGAAGAAGATGACGACGACCAAGAGGTGACGCACTCGTTCGAGATTGCGGATAAAGATGTCGAGACGGTACAGAAGGAATGCCTCAACTTGGGATTCCCGGTCCTCGAAGAGTACGACTTTAGGCGGGATGAAGTTAACGCGACACTGGATATCGATCTCAAGCCCGGCACTCAGATTCGACCATACCAGGAGAAGAGTCTTAGCAAAATGTTCGGTAACGGACGTGCCAAGAGTGGCTTGATCGTTTTGCCCTGCGGTGCTGGGAAGACGCTGGTTGGCATTACCGCAGCATGCACTATTAAGAAAGGCGTCATCGTGCTGTGCACGAGTTCCATGTCTGTGGTGCAATGGCGAAATGAGTTTTTGAAGTGGTCCAATATCAACCCAGACGATATTGTCGCCTTCACGTCGGACTCCAAAAACAGTGTCTTCACAGGAAGCACCGGTATCATCGTCACGACCTATTCCATGGTTACTCAGTCCAGAGCTCGATCGTACGACGCCGAAAAGATGATGAGGTTTCTTACCGGGCGAGAATGGGGTCTGATGCTCTTGGACGAGGTGCACGTCGTGCCCGCCAACATCTTCCGAAAAGTCACCTCTTCCATAAAGACGCACTCTAAGCTGGGACTGACAGCCACGCTGCTCCGAGAAGATGACAAAATCTCTGATCTCAATTTCCTCATCGGGCCAAAGCTATTCGAGGCCAACTGGATGGAGCTGTCTAAGCAGGGCCACATTGCCCGAGTGCAATGCGCCGAAGTTTGGTGTCCTATGCCCACCGAATTCTATGACGAATATCTTCGGGCACCATCGCGCAAGAAGAATCTACTCTACATTATGAATCCACGCAAGTTCCAGGCCTGCCAATATCTGATCAACTATCACGAATCCAGGGGTGACAAGATTATTGTCTTCTCGGATAACGTGTACGCGCTGAAAGCATATGCCTTGAAGCTAGGGAAAGCATTCATCTACGGTGGTACTGGCCAGGCAGAACGTCTGCAAGTGTTGGAAAACTTTCAGCACAACCCGCAGGTCAATACTTTGTTCCTGTCAAAGATTGGAGACACGTCCCTGGATTTGCCGGAGGCTACATGCCTGATTCAAATCTCTTCGCATTACGGATCTCGACGTCAAGAGGCTCAGAGACTAGGTCGTATTCTTCGAGCCAAGCGTAGGAATGACGAGGGCTTCAATGCGTTCTTCTACTCCCTTGTCTCTAAAGACACGCAAGAAATGTACTTTTCATCAAAGCGACAGGCCTTCTTGGTTGACCAGGGCTACGCATTCAAGGTGATTACTCAATTGGCAAATATCGAGAAGACGCCCGGACTCGCCTTCGCAACGGCGACTGAGCGTCGTGAGCTGCTACAAAAGGTGCTGGTCGAGAACGAGACGATGGACGATGAAGACATCACGGATGACCTGTTCCACAGCGGAACGATGGGCCGAAAGAAGAAGAAGGGGGCTGCCCGCCGAACAGCAGGCACGCTGGGCGAGCTCAGCGGCGGACAAGATATGGCTTACATTGAACAGAATAAGAAGATGAACGGTGCTCTCAAGAAGGGCAAAGGAAAGAAAGAGAGCAGCGCATTCTTCAAGAAGATTGGGCGAGAAAATGCTAGGCGAGCTGCCTTGGGTTAGACCTGCGACCTTGATGACGGATTCTTCCTCCGTCTTTTTTCCTTTCCTTTCTCTCCTTTCACGTTTATTCCTTGTGACAACTATACAGATTGGATGGCCTGATACTATTTACCAGGGTTGATTTGATGCGAGGTGTTATGGGATATGAAGGCTTTGCTGAAATGCATAAAAGCAGCCCTCTTGGTGAACGGCGTTATCTCGGATTTTTCGACGACGGTGAACATTTCTTCTACTTACCGCAACAGATGCATGGAGTTGTACTATCAAAGAAATAGGCCGTACCCAATACAATATTACTATCACTATTATTATTATTATTACTATTATTTTCACCCGATTTTGCTCGTATTTTTGGACTGCATGCATATGTTAGCATCCGTTGTGTGAGCGTCTCGTGACAGCCATCGTATGTTGATTGGCATGGAGGGGACTTGCGCATGGCGAATGGAAAGGCATTGGGTCAGCACTGCGTGGAGGAGGATTGATGCTGATGCCCAAAGCTCACCCTGGGAGTAGCATCCAGGAGCCCAAGCAACGAGGCACAGGGTTCTTTCATTGGCCACGGATGCGAGAATGGGCCACGCCTCACGACGGCTGCATATCACGAAGCGGGCGGGCGTCAAAACTGCGCGAGCTGCGATGAGAGAAGTGACGAACTGCTTTTCAGTATGCGTGATATGTGGAGATATGCTTAATTCTACTTTGAGGGGAGGATGAGAATGATGACGGATGCTGGGGTGGTGTTGGGATATGCATCGGTTGGCTTACATGATGTCTATTGTGCATTTCATCGGATTTTGGGATTAAAATATCTATTGAAATTTAGAAATATGTTTTTCGGTTACGAGAAGAGGAATGGGTTTCCTAAAAGTCGGATAATTTCAAGCTATTGGGCAATATCGTGGTATGCTATCCCTGCCACGGCGAGCGTCTATGATGACATTACGCCTGTGCTAAATGATGATGAAGCGATACTGCGTGTAAAGAGGAAAGGCGGCAGACGCGGCAACACAATCAGCTGCACCCAGCCAACAGCCAACAAGCCCTATGAGATCGTCCGTTTGTCTTACATTAGCCTGTGGTGATAGGTCGCTAATATTGTTGAGAGCTAGCTTCTGTTGCTTTTGACGAAGGTGATATTACACAAGGTTAGAGAGACAAGACGTGATGTATGTATGAGGGTGCCAAGTATAGAAAACGCGATGCTGGCCGTCTAAGCCATCGACAGCAGGCATTTCGTTTCAGATACGGAGATGCAAATATGCTCCAAACCCGCCATCACGCCAGTCTTGCTTCATGACTACTACGTATATTTAGAATTAACATGCCCGATTCATTGTCCCGGAGAATTGTTGGTCTTGGCGTCTGATAGGGGGCATGGGTTGAATTCCTAGTTTGGATTCATGATCAGATGTCATCGGATTGGAATGGACAACGTGTGCTTTTTGTACGCACACGATGGGTGATGGTGCAAGCGTCTGTGTGCGTGTGTTGGAATACTGTCTAATACTATTACTCCGTAGGTACTCGCAAGACATGCGGATAGAATGCTGTGTGAGGCTTTGCTGTATTACCCCGTACAACATGTGTGTTGGTGGCAGGTATGTTGTCTCGTGGGGGCGGGTCGTCCAGAAGCTACGGGATGCTGCTTGGGATCTAGAACATGGCCGGGACGAATCGAACTGGAACCGCCATTGTTTGGTGTAACGCCGGGGGCGCACAGAGTGCGGTGCTAATGAATCTTGCCTCAACTTGCATTTCTGATGCCTTGCGTTATCTCGCTGTCTTAGTTGGGTTGCCTGCTACACAACTACACAAGCTGGGGGGTCACTTGTGTCCGCCTGTGCGAAACACGGCGCATGAAACGGATGTTGCATCCGGCCGGGGAGAGGGCAAAGAGGGCCATGTGAGAATGGAATTGGGGAAAAAAAGTGCCGCAAATGAAAATGACTCGCCCGGCTTTGATTTGGGGGATCGGCGGCAGTGCACGAGGATCTAGAGTGACATCATTGTTGGTGTTTTGGATGCTGCCCAATGCTGCCCATTTGCGTGTTACTACAGGTCGAGGATGGGATATTCTCGATTCAATTGGCGGCTTATCTTGTTTAGCGGATTTTGTTTCCTTCTTTTGGGGGCTATTCGTTCTACAGTATAATGAGATTCACGGCGTAGCATGGCCCTTAATGGGTGATGCTGATGTTTTTTATTTTTTTATTTTTTTAAAATGGATCCGTTGATGTTTCTTTTTGATTTCCAGGTTTATTTTTCATGTACCCCGGCGTTGCGGCATGGCCGTCGGGCGCTACGGGGGATTGTTTATCGGGGAGAGTCGCTGCGAGCAAGCCAAACTCCGCATGGAGGCAGGATTCGCTGTTCGGCGTTGGCTGACCCTCTGATCTTAGGGGGGGCCATTTCGAGGAGCTGGAACACGCGTGGCTGAGGTCCAAGTTGCCCATCAACACTAGCGGTTGGTGTATCAGCAGATTCCTTAGTACTGAAGCCATTGGGGGCACTGTGTTTAGCTAGTTGGGTGTGTATTTCACCAATTGGATCCAATTGATGCGTTTTTGGTGACGAGCATCCCGAGCAAATGTGTTATTGGATGCCCGTATATCCTGTACATAGGAGATGCTATACTCCGTACCGTGTAGAGCACAGGCATCCCGATATAGCGAGGATAGTGGCCCGGCATCTCTAAAGGAGACGGAGCATGGGCTGAGAGAAGGCAGCAGCTCCGTTGGATTACTCGTACTGCTGCGTCGCCGAAAAGTACTCCTGTTATTCAGGTACCTTGCCACTTGGTGGAATCCCGCATGGCCCGCATGGCCCGTCTGGCCTCGGCTTAGCAGCCGCTACCCAGCGCTCCAGCAACTGACGTGCGTGGGGCGTCGGTCTGGCGTTCTGGTCAGCGAAATGCCTGGACTAAGCTTTCTGCTAAGCCTCTCCCGGCATAGGGCGCCAGGCTCTGAGAGCAGCAACGGAAGACGCTGAAAAGTCGGCAGCAGCAAGTCGCACGAGGCGCACGTCGTTGATTTTCTTTTGCCCCCCTTCCTGGCGAGGGAATCTCGACCTTTTCTTGTTTGTTTCTCCCAATTCCTCCCGACCTGAACCGAAACACATCGAAGCAGCGCCTCGATCCGGAACGAACTCGACCCTCTTAGACGGTGGCGCGTCTCGAACCGTCTGGCTGTGCTGCTCCATTCTTGGCCTCCGTCTTCCGTGCCACCAATCGCCGCCAAAGGGGCTTGGCATCTTGCCGCAGCCGCGGGACTCGACGAGGCCGGGATAACTTGCATTGACCGTTGCTTGGACCGTAACCCTGCAGCTGAGCTCCGTCCACGCTGCATGTTTGGGTGGTGGTGACACTATACAAGTACCACAAGTCCGGCTGCTCCAAGGCCACACGCAATCCAGCGAGAGGGTGCCTTGTAACCACGGGCCTGCGCATCACATCAGCCCACGGGCCACGACAACGAGAAGGGGATCCCGGAACCCTGCTTTAGACCCGACGTTTGCAGCAATAATTGTACACTATTGCTTTTCGTTCTTTTTTATTGCTTCACCGTCTTTTTCCTCTGCTCAGCCATCTGCGATTGCTTCCTGACGGCAATCCCCCCTCCATCTAATTCCTGCATACGCCATTGATCAAGGCCTCTGCAAACCCAATCGACAGGTCGCAGGTACGCCCGGCCAATTCGCAAGAGTAGTCACCAATTACGATCTTCCTCCTCGCCAATCTCCCCAGCGGTATCAGCGCCATCCTTGTCTTTTTTTCTGGCTGCTGCAAACCACGGCTACCTTGCAAGCATAAAACAGTCAGCGCCGTTACTACCTGTACTCCTGATAAGCTCGATATCAGGTCCAGGCCTCCTTGCTCCCCCTCCCGCCACTGGCTCGTACATGCGCTATCCTTCGTCCTTTTTCTTCACCCATCTCGGCGGTAGTGTCGAGTGCTGCACAGCCAGTACTCCTCTTTTTTGACTCTTTCTGCTTCCCTTTGTCAGCTCTTCTCAAGGTTAGCTTCCCCTGGACCACGAGCTTTGCCCCCCTGACGAGACATGGTCTCCTCACGATAATCACATCTCGCCGCCTGCATTGCTCTCGATCATGCCTTTTTGCGTTTTGTTGATTGTGACGTCCTTCGACTGGACTCACGCCTAAAGAAACGCGAACCCAACCTCAACGATCAATCTTTTCCTGTTGAAAGGATTTCCGTCTTTCCAGAGACACCTTGCTCGCGCTCACACCTTGTTGTGCTAACTTCATAACCTTATCATACCTTGGCGTCGCGTCCGCCTGCATCTACCCCTTGCAACATCTGGAGCCTCTGTCCCTCTCTTGGATAAAATGTTTGACGAAACTCGCGCCTTTATAGCGGCGCAAATCAAGGGTGCCAAACCCGCCTTTGTAGGGAAAAAACCACACTTTAACTTCATTACCGTCCATTGTGAGTGACTCTCTTACTCCTTCTACCACCCTTACCTCACTTGGAGCGTTTGTGTGCTAATTTTTGCATGGTTAGACTTTTGGATTATTTCCGCAACATTGCTTTGTGCCATTCTCATATATGCTGGCGGCAAAGGAGAACTCCACTTCATAGATGCTCTCATGTTCGGTAGTGGTGCAAATACCCAGGCCGGACTCAATCCTGTTGATCTCAACAATCTCAACGGATTTCAACTATCGTGGATTTACACCTTTTCTTTATTCTCAAATCCCATCACACTACATTCATGCGTTGTGTTCCTCAGGCTTTACTGGTTTGAGAAACGTTTCCAGCACTGGGTTCAGGAAGCTCGATTGCGCCGCCGAACCCTCAGCAAATCCAAGTCCAAGGCACGAAATGATTTAAGCCAGCTTGAAAGTGGCCTCGGTGTGAATGGGAGAAACATTACCATTGTGCCGCATGGCGATAAGGCAAACCGAATCACCAATGATGGTATTCTTCTAGACCAGATACCAGAGGTCGATCCTAAACCAATTGCGAAAAGCGATGAAAGCGATACGACTACAGTGTCTGACGATCTGCACAAGAGTGTTGACCTTGATGACATTGGCCCTCTAGATCAGCCCAGTAAGAAAGACGCATCGCACGCGATTCCGGATGAAAATGACTCTGCGCCTGGGCCCCCACCAGAAAACCCCCCTCACCTCACAACGGCCATTACATTTGCCGACACTGTTAAGAGAAGTGATGGCGTGGGCAGCGACCCTACTAAATTTCCCCAACGACGCCCCAATGCGGAACACATCGCCATCCTTGAGAGACAGCGAAACCAAGACAATGAAGTCCTTCGCATCCCTGGTCCACGAGAAACGGAAAGAGGACTAGGACCTCGCCGCCTCGAAGAGGATGATCAACAGGAAGACGAAGATCGGCCAATTGCTCGTCAGATGACCGCTCAATCTCGTGATGAGCCCAGTGGCATCTATGGCCGACAACCAACCATCACAATTGCCGAGCCCGAGCATCACAAGCGGGACGAACTTAAAGATGATGTTGCAGCCGCAGGCAACGTCGTTGATAGCTTGAGGTTCCGAAAGCCACGCTTTTTCAACCGGTCACAGGATAAGATACACGAAGATGGCGAGGAATCCAGACACACCAGGTCAAGGACTCCACATCCACACCCTGTGCGAACTAAAACTATGGATACTATTCGCTCTGTCTTGACTCGGGACAAGGCGGATGACATGCCGTATCTCAGTTATACGCCCACCATGGGACGTAACTCAAATTTCCTCGGCCTCACCCTAGAACAGCGTGAGGAGCTTGGCGGCATCGAATATCGAGCATTGAGAACCTTGGCATTGGTGTTGATATTTTACTTTTTCATCTTCCACGTTTTGGGTGTCGTCTGTCTGCTTCCTTACATCCTTCTCAACCAGCATTACGGAGCCGTTCTCGAGGCTGACGACATTGGCAAGACGTGGTGGGCGTTTTGGACCTCCAACATGGCCTTTATGGATGTGGGATTTACCCTGACTCCTGACAGCATGAACTCATTTGCAACTTCCGAATGGGTCTTGATGTCCATGTGGTTCTTCATCATTATCGGAAACACTGGCTTCCCGGTCATGCTGCGCTTCATGATTTGGGTCGCTTCTAAACTTACGCCCCGTGGCACTGGCCTCTGGGAAGAGTTTAGGTTTTTGCTTGACCACCCTCGTCGGTGCTTTACTTTGCTTTTTCCATCTAATGCCAATTGGTGGTTGTTCTGGATCCTCATCTTGCTTAACGTTATCGACCTTGTATTCTTTATTGTCCTCGATGTGAGTCGCCTTTTCTTCCTTTTTCGCCATCTGCAATTTTGAACGTTGATGTTAACTTGCCCTAGCTCGGAGCAGAACCCATCACGGCATATCCTCTCAAAAACCGAGTTGTCATTGGTCTCTTCCAAGCTGCCTCAACCCGAACCGCAGGCTTCTCGGCAGTCAGCATGTCTGAACTTCACCCTGCCATGCCGGTTCTATATATGATAATGATGTATATATCCGTGTTTCCCATCGCCATTTCTATCCGACGAACAAATGTCTACGAGGAGAGATCCCTAGGCGTGTACCATGATCGAAGCAACGAGGACGATTCCGAAGCAAGCGCTCTTGATTATGTGGGGACTCATTTGCGACGCCAGCTCTCTTTCGACTTGTGGTATGTCTTTTTGGGCTTCTTTCTTATCGCCATTACAGAAGGTGGCAAGATCGTTGGAGGTCGGTTTGACTTGTTTGCTGTTCTTTTTGAAATTGTCAGTGCCTACGGAACCGTGGGCCTGAGCATGGGTGTACCAAATGTCAACGCCTCTCTCTGCTCACAATTTTCCGTTGTCGGCAAGCTGATCATCGTGGCCATGCAAATACGTGGTCGCCATCGTGGTCTGCCATACGGTCTTGATCGCGCTGTAATCCTCCCGAGCGAGGCTCGCTTGAAAAGGGAACAAGAGGAATCCGAGGCCGCCCTCGCGCGGACAAACACTGCAGTGTCGACTGGCGCCACCACAGGGTTGCAGCGGCAGGCGACTACAGGACGAAGCCGCAGCAGAAGTCGTGACCGGGCTAACAGCAGCCTTCTAACACAACTGCTGCACCCGGGACCCGTCGTTCCGCAAGATCAATTTTTGCGGCCCAGGGGAAGATCAGTGGAGGCACACCAGAGGAGCAGGTCTGTGGATGTAACGAATGCTTTGCCGGAACCCTCAGACGCTCACTTACACCCCCCGATAGAGGAAGACGACGAGCTGCGGCAGATGTCAAGCTACGACTTCCCACACAAGCCGAGACGGATAGAATCCTCCGCTTTTTAGAAGAATCCGTGGAAATAAGACGGATTCGCCCAACTTCATTTCGTTAACTGCCTAAGAGCGGTTTTATTGCTCATGTATATATTTATTTATCCGCTCTTGACTTTCTACATGAAAGAAGATTCCCAAGATGGCTTGCATAGAGCAAGTGGAATCCCCCAGATGGCTGTGGGTGGCGACAACAGAAGTCCTCCTGGAGTTGGCTTACTGCGCCTGTTCATGATTGGGTTGTACTTGGAATCGCTTTTACACGTTGGAAGATCCTATGGTCACAACAGTTTTTATCAGAGCGATCGGTCGCATAATGTATTTTATGATTGCCAAGAAGAAATATATGGGACTTGGTCAAGTCAGTTTATTATTCCGCTATGACGCCTGTAAGACCTGATGCTCTCTATCCGTGCTGCCGTGTAATGAATGAAGCCACATACTCCGCCACTTTCCCATCTACTTCCAGCTATTAAACTAAAGGCAAAGAAAAAGAAAGATTTATCCAGAATGTTGGGAAATAGATAGGAAATTGGTGCAGATGAGGTTACGAAATCCGTCTCTCTACGATGCCTTCCTTTCCTTTATTTATCCTCAAAGGCGCCCATATTCTTCAAGGCGCCGGCAAGGCGACGATAATCTTTAAGCAGATCTAATACCTCGCTGAGCCTCAAATCGCCCGGATTCTGAAGCTCCATGAACCGTTTATTAGGAGGCGCAATTTTGGGGATTTCCTTTGGCGGCAGGACAGCCGCGATATCGGGGAATGCCTTTTTAGGAATTTGTCAGTGATTCAGTTTGGACATGGATTGCATTCAAGTTAAGACAAGGGGTGATTGTAAACTTACCGTTGCCAGGTCTCCTCCATCGGTTGGCTTCACGCCGTCTTTCGAGTCCTTGGTATCCTTTGGAGCATCCTTCGTGTCCTTGGCAGGAGTGTTCACAGGAGTAGAGACGCTTCGACCAAAGCCTCGGACTAAGCTGATGCCAGAAAGTCGTGCCATGGGGTTGAATGTATTGCCCAAGTTTCGCATTTGGTCCAACATGGCCGGTTGGGTTGGTGCAGGAGCAGCGGCTCCGGCCTTTGCGTCTTCTGCTGCGAAGAGCACCTTTTTAGAGGAGCTCGCGCTGCGACCACTGCGAGTGCTGTCTGTACTATGATCGCGGCGACCGCCAATTATGCTTAATACACGGTCATCTCGCCCATTCTGGGGTTTGGCTTGCTCCGAGTCTGCACCAGTAATGGAACTGGCATTGTCTTCATCTTCAGGAGGCGGAGTGCTCACGAGCTTGCGAGCGTCGTCAAGGGTCTTTGGGACAGCAATGGGCTCCTTGGGATCCTCCTGGCGCTCCTTGAGCTTGCCGAGGAGAAAGCTGTAGCTCTCGCCTAGGCTGTTTGAGATGGTTTTAAGCCCTTGATCGGCCGTGGTAAAAACGGCATCGCTGGCAGCGCCAAACGCCTGAGTGGGAGTATTAATCAAGTCGCTTAGTCTCCGGTTCTTAACAGTCGAAGCCGGCTTAAGGCTAGGCGATGATTCGGGCTTTGGGGCCGTAGCATTTTCAGTATTGACTGCAGATGTGCTCTGTGGCGAGGTCGTCAGCCCTTGAGAGTATGCCGGCGGAAACGTTTCCACTTTAGGTGTTGCAGGTTGCCCAGGGGCCTTTACCGGCCCTGATGGACGCTCGTCTTCTCTCAATGTGGCAAGATCAACCGTTTGCAGGAAGCTGATGGCGGCCTCGAGATTTGTAAGGCAGTAAGCCTCTTCACCGGTCAGCTTTTGCTCCCACCGGAAGTTTTGGATGAAATTGAGGTCGCTGATAACTTGGAGATGCTCTGGGGGAAGCGTGATGAGTGTGTAAATAAGCATTGGCATAATTTCATCTGCGGAAGCAGAAGGATGAAATTGAGCAAGTGTATCAACAATGCTCTTATGCGCAGCCTTGAGACGATTCAACTTCCCAAGAGGGTATCTTGACTCGGTCATTCGAATCAGGTCTTTTCTCGCAGACTCAAGCTGACCACGGATGACCTCTGTCCTTTCGGCCGTTGATTTTTCGGTTTGCGGTTCCACTTCACCCAAGTCTATCCCGAGATCCGAAGGGCCAATGCCAACAAGGGATAAAGCGGCGGTCTTGGATCTAAGCTTTGCATCCTGAGCCTCATCTTGTGTACTCCTATGGCGATAGATTCGGTCATAGATACCCTCACATAACCTCCTTTCAACAGCCTCCTCGAGCAAGCTTCGTTTTGCCTCCAGAGCTTTCCTTGCTTTCTTTCGATTTGCTAACTCTTCGGGCGTAATCATCTGCTGTTCATTCTCCGCTTTTTGTTTATCTTTGGAGCCTAACGAAGCTGCTTTTGATCGAAGGCGGCTAGCAACAGAGGACGATGATGGCGGAGGCTGAAAGGTCTCGCGGCTCTGGCGCGAGGCGAGGGCGCTAATATGCGTGCCGATATGAGAGGACGCCTGACTATAGAATTCTTGAAAAAGCTGAGATAGCTTGGCGATATTCGGCGGAGTGGAGTGAACCTTGGCAGATAGTGATTCCACAAAGCTAGAGAAGTCGGTTAGATAGGTACCTGGGGTCGAATTGTAAGTGCAGGATCCATCTCCTCACCTATCGGTCAAGGTTATTAGCTCGATTGGAAGGTCATCAAGCTCAATGGATGCTCGCGTGATCTCAGGGAGCTCTTCATTGTCGGAATTCTCGGCAGTGTCGAATGTATCGGGAGCCTCGGGGTTGGCTCCGGCATCTCCATGCTTCTCGGAGGGCGATGGCGAGTGGAAAGTATGTGCTCTCTTGGGGGGTTCAACTCTACTTGTAGCGGTCGTGCTTGGTTGATGTGAATATGAGGAGAGTCTGTCTGGGCTTGGTCGAGCTGCGGGGGGAGTGTCGGTGGATTGCTGAGAAGCCATGTGCCTCTATAGGAATAATGGAGACCTATGATTACAACGGTGTAAGTTTTGGTAGCTTGGAAGAGTGAATTCAAACAAAGCAAAAAGGGTATGTATAAAGATAAGGTTATCAATAGAAGTATACCCGCTTGATGGCACTTGTGGAGAGTGGAGGGGACAGATTTGGGCTGAAGCAGCGGGATGAGGTAGGTACCCAGGGGGCTTGATTGGGTTTCATAAGTGTACCACATGTGTACATACTTGATATGTCTACAGTACCTGGCATCAGCTGTGGAGAATTGCCGTGATGTAGATGCCCTCGTGGAAGGGATGCAGTAAGGAGAGGTCGAGTAAGGAGAAGTTGTCGAGTCGGGCAGTAGATAGATGGAAAGATAAGGATGGCTAAGAAGCGGAGGACAGGGCCGAACGAGGGGCTGCAAATTGAAGGGGCTCTGCGGTGAGGAAACAAGGAAGAGGCCGGTATTTTGTGCCTGAAAGATGCCAAAGATTGCCGCGATGAGATGCAATGCAAGACAGAGGAAGCCACACTTTGGGATGAATGGGATGACGAAGCTTTGAGATGATTTTGGAGTTGCGAAGCTCAGATCCGGCGCGCCACCAAAGCTGTAGCGGGCAGATGCCCCCACTCTGTGTTATCGGCTTATCGATACGCGCAGGCAGCGCTGTGGGAGGGGAGGATCCTACTGTAGTGCAGTGGTAATGCTTCCGTTTATCTGTCCTAATGTGTGCTATGTACTACCTGGTATCTTGGCATGATAAGGGATAGAAACAATACTTCAAGGCGAGAGAAAGAAATGAGAAAAATAGACAAGGTATCCTGTATCCATGGATTTTCATTTGCATCTGAACGGTCAATGATCAGCGCAGATGGGCGGCGGCTAATCCCAAAAAGCCACCACAACTGCACGCAAACATTCAATTGCACCAAAGCTTAAGCCGGGCTCCATACCCGGTGCCTCGTACAAACATCAGGGCAATCAATACTGTACGACAGGTATTAGCCATTGACTCTATTAATACCTTGGTAGCCCGCACTCGTATCCCCTAGCCAAGGCGTTGTACTATGAGTAGAAAAGAGTTCCAGCCAATTGCTTACAGCATGCCATCTCAATGCTTTACCGTAGAACCTGGCGTGTCTAGGTACTATGTACAGTACTTGAGTACTCCGAACTGGTGCTCCGTTACTCCGTACTAAGAAACCCTCCAATTTGCGCTACTTCGGAACAAGCATCAGTCCAAGATGCCGAGAAAATGCGGAGGAGGTCCCCAGATTTTCGCCCACGGATCCACGACAAGCCTAGTCCGTAGATATTAGTAAATGTATTAGCCGTCCCGTCCCGCGAGTTGCATCGCAACACAAGTGAGCCGCGTTTTAAACCGAGGGCAAGCTGCGACTGTCTTTAAGAGGCTCCCATTTCTCTCTTCTCTTCTTCCCTTCTTCCTTAAAAAAAGCATCCCACAGTCACGACCATAGATCGTGTCCTCATTCTCATCGATCCGCTTCCTGTTTTGTGTGATGCTTGTGTCTCATCCCCGTTCCTCTTTCTGATTTTCTCCCTTTGCCATCTCAAAATCTCCCTTGATCCGAGGTCGGGGCCTCTCTCACCATCTCTCCAACACCGCCGTCATGTCTGGGCCGCCGTCTCGCATTCGCTCAATTCTCGGCCATCTCATTCCTCATCAAACTCCTCCTCCTCACATCCATCATCTGTCGCCGACGTTTTTCCTCGAGCGCGCGGCATCCATTGAGCCCAATGCCGAGGCTATCTATCACATCACCTCCAACGGCGCCATTTTGCACCGCACCTACCAGGAATTCGCCGATCGCGCCAGAGGATTGGCCTATTATCTGAAAAAGCACGGCTTCAAGCGCGTTGGTATTCTAGCGCCCAATACGCCGGCTTTTCTCGAGGCCATCTACGGCATTCCGGCGGCCGGGGCCGTGATTGCGCCCGCCAACTACAGACTCAAACCAGACGACATTGCTTACATTTTTGAGTTTGCCGAGGTCGACAGCATTATTGTCGACCACGAGTATGTCCATCTGCTCGATTTGTTCAAGGAGAGACACCCAAAGATTCCTCTCATCATTGATTCGGTACGACTGCTTCCCCGGGATCCCGTTTGAACGCTGACTGACAAATCCTGTATTCAGGATACCGATGCCACAGAGGGCCAGCTCTGCGGGCCGTTTGATGAGGCCGTGCTGGAGGGACTCAACTATGATCGCGCTACGGGCAATGCAGGATGGGCTGGTCTCCATGCGCATGCCACCAACGAGGATGACATGATTGCCATTCCTTTTACCTCGGGGACCACATCCCGGCCCAAAGGTGTCGTCTTTACCAATCGAGGATCGTATCTTGCCGCCATGGGCAACATCATTGAGTCTGGGCTTAATCATGGCCGTTGCAAGTACCTGTGGACTCTGCCCATGTACGCAATCCCACTTGCTGTAGATGCAGCTGTCATCGAATTCAAATTGCTAACGATTGTGTCTTTACCAGGTTCCACGCCATTGGATGGACTTTCCCATGGGCTGTCGTGGCAGTGCGCGGCGTGAATGTCTGCTTGCGAAAGATTGACTACCCACTGATCTGGAAGCTCTTGAAAGAGCAAGGCATTACTCATTTTAATGCAGCTCCCACAGTTAACACCCTCTTGGTAGCAGCAAAGGAGGCCGAAAGACTTCCTCAGGAAGTCCGAGTCACGGTTGCAGCTAGCCCGCCAAGCGGCCATCTGTTTGAGCAAATGGCAAGTACATGAGAACACTTACGAGTCTTTGAACAGTGGCTAACCGGGACTTTGTAGACCAACCTGAATCTCATTCCCGTCCATGTTTATGGCATGACAGGTAAGCCTCTGAATTCCAATTCTGGTGCTTTTGTTTCTGACATCAATGACAGAGACGTATGGCCCTCTCACCAAATGTTATGTCATGCCAGAGTGGGATGATCTTCCACCGCAGGAGAAATATGCCAAGATGGCTCGCCAGGGCCATGGCTTCATCACCAGCCTTCCCATCCGGGTGGTCAAGCAAGATCAGCCGGGTGGAGTCCTGGTAGATGTGGCCAAGAACGGCCAGGAGATTGGCGAGATTGTCTTCTTTGGAAACCTTTGTGCCAAGGAATACTATAAAGATCCCGAAGCTACACGAAAGCTCTTCGAAGGAGGCGGTCTTCACTCGGGCGACTTGGCGGTGTGGCACCCGGATGGCAGTGCTCAGATTCTAGATCGTGCCAAGGACATCATCATCTCTGGTGGTGAGAACATCTCCTCGGTAGCACTGGAGAGCATGCTGGTCCAGCATCCCGATATTCTCGAAGCCGGTGTGGTGTCTGTTCCAGACTCTCACTGGGGTGAGCGACCCAAGGCATACGTCACTGTCAAGGAGGGCAAGAGCCTGGTTGGAGAGGACGTGATCAACTGGGCCAAGCATCAGAGCAACATTAGCAAGTTCATGGTGCCCAGAGAGGTCGAGGTTGTCAAGGAGCTGCCTAAGACGAGCACTGGCAAGATTAAGAAGAATGACCTGCGGCAATGGGCCAAGACTGGGCGAAAGGAGTAAAAAGGAGCCATAATAAATGGCAAGGGGTTTTGGGTTTGTTTGGATTGTAGAGCGCATTGCGTATCATTTTATGGGATTAAGAGGATAGAAGGCATGGTATTGGAATTCATGTGCTTGGAAAGCATTGGATACATCAATGTCTGCGGATTACCTAAGCCCAGCTGATCTTGTAGAGTTTCAGCCATAATCTATCAAGTTGCACCTGCCTCTTCATGAGCACTTGCTGTGATGCCTGTTATTGTACTGTATAGTCTGTATCAGCGACACCCTGTATTTGCATGTGATGTCTGGTGTTTGTTTTGCTGTTGATGGCCCATCAAGCCACCACCAACAGCCAGCTTTATAGTCTGGATATCGAAGCCCCTTCGACCAGCGAAAAGGTCGAGTCGTATAACGGTTAGTACAGTCGCTTCACAAACTCGAATCGAGGATGCGGAGCGCGCGACAGACCCGGGTTCGACTCCCGGCTCGACTACGCTTTTTGCGGGCGCTTGCTATTTTTTGCAAGCTGGGGGTTGAAGATACGACAGCGAAGAGGTGTTGACGTGGTCTTCATTCGTGATGATGGTGGTGTGAATGGATTGGAGGGCAGTAGGCAATTTCTTTTTTTGGTGGGTGGCAATCATGCTTCATGTTTTATGGGTGATGGGTGATGGCTTCGGTATGCATCTACTGGAAGCTTTCTGTAATCGATCTTTAGCTTTGAGCTATCTCGATAGCGCTGGTACCGGAGCTATTTACCTGGAACATTCCTGTAAGCTGCATTGATTGCATCAGGCCACTTCTTCCCTGCATCTTTCTATTCAGCAACTTGCTTGAGAATCATTCTCTCTTTCAATATTGTCTACCTTGGGTACTGAATGTTGTGCAGAGAGTAAATCGGGCTGTCAACCAAACTCCCATTACCCTGGAATTCAAGCTCCAGTGGGGCTCTGGTTCTAGAAAACCCACCGCGCAGTGGAACGATCCAGCAGCATCGAGAGCTTCTGCACCCAAGCTTTAGCGCACAGACGCCTGAAACCCCCATCATCCATCAATTCATTCATCCATCCGTCATCCATCCGCCGCGCTGCTGCTGAGCTTCCCTTCTTTCCGCCCTCGATTATTTATTTCCCTAGGCGCTGCATTCACTCCACCTTTGGACAACGACACTCAATTCTGGATCAATCGCATCCCACACATCTTTTTTACTCGGCTTCTACTGGCATTCTTCTCCAGCTTCCTCCTCTGTTGCAGGCCTTCATCATGAGCGGGTCGCGGCCACTGCGGGGCGGGTGCCAATGCGGCCGGAATCGTTACATCATCGCCATCCCAGAGAATGGCATCAAGGACGCTCAGGTCTTGTTTAACACTGAGCCGCAGCATCGTAAGGATTTTCTACATTGATTGACTTGTAGATTGGTTTGATTTGCTCTTTTCAAGCTGCAACCAAGTGGAATTGCATGGCGCCGATTGATGGTCCTGGTTGTTTGTTTTGTTTTGTCTGGTTGTTTGTTTACTTGTTTTGAGTCGCAAAGCTGACAGTCCTGGTGCAACTACGCAGAGATTCCTCTCGCGACACCTTTGGCAGCGTACATTCGCGTACCGCTCTCGTGGTATCACAGCTCCACGTATGCCTTCTTCCCAGATGAAACCCACACCATGATCCGCAGGGTCTACTCGCACCCGAGCCAAGACTACTCCAAACGGCATTTCTGCGGCTTCTGCGGGACGCCCCTCTCATATTGGTCCGAGGAACCTCGTAGCGAGGCAGAGTTCATCAACCTGACGCTGGGCAGCCTGCTTCGGGAAGACATCCGGGACCTGGAAGACATGGGCCTAATCCCCGAGGACGAAGGTTCGCCACCCAAGAGCGAGGCGGCCCCAGCAACGCCGACGAGGAGATCCGCCATCCAGCAGTCGTTTGGCGTGCCGTGGTTCGATGGGCTAATCGAGGGCTCGCGGTTGGGTAGCATGCGCAGGAGCTACGGGGCTAAACGATCGCGCGATGGACAGACGAGCATCGAATGGGACATTGTCGAATACTCGGAGAATGGCGGCGGAGAAATGGACCAGGATGAGCCTGAGGCAGAAGTGTCGACACAGCTGGGCAAAAGGAAACTCAGAGATCATGAGGTTTGACGCTGACGACGACATGGGGGGGATATGTTGTGTGTGTATGTGTATGTGTTTGTACTCGGTCCGAGTCTGTGTACAACAGTCGATAAGGGCTTGGGCTGGGACATGGTCTGGTCTGTTGCGTATATGAGCTGCCGCTTTTTTCCCTTTCCTCCTTCTATTTCTCGGTAAGGCGTTTTGTTCAGTTGTTTTTGCTCGGACAGTGGCCGGGGTGTTTACCTTTAGGCGTACCTCTTTTCGGTGGCAGAGGCTATATACCGTGCATGTACTCCGTAGACATGAATGTAATTGAGTACGGTACTACCCACCAATCTCCCGTCTTTATGCATACAATATACCGAGTGCCAATAGCATCGCGGCGCTGTAAGTGGCATAATTATGCCAGGTCCTAGCCGGAATGCAGCTTGAATGCAGCTTGAACGCAGCTTGTTCGCAAGAGGATGCTCCTTGCTCGATATGCAACTTTCCCACGTGGGCTGTCGGCTGAATCTATCCGTCGGGCTCTGAATCAAGTGACTGTCCCGAGTTCCCCGACAGAAATCTGGCCATTTCCACGCCCGGATCCTTCGATTCCCACACATCACCATCACCACTAGCAGCACGTCGAATTCATTCTTCTTGTCGGCCCGCTGCCACCCTTTCGGACAATCACCACGGGCTAGACTGCTTGGAGCCCGCCGGATCGCCAGCCTCCGCTGCTCCAGCTTCCCCATTGAGGGCGACTAGCCCATGCCTTGTGACACCTTTTGGTCGGTCAAGATGGCTAGCTGCGTGGGCAGGCTGCGTTACGAGGTGACCATTTTTCGGTATCCCCGCCATTTGGCCTCTTTGTCGTTGGGTTTTCCACTGGGTTTACGGGGGGACCATGTGCTCCATAACTCCATAACTCCATAGCTCCATAATACGGGGTTACTGTACGGAGTACGGGGTATGTCGAGGAACTAGACAAGCAAACAGGCACCAGACCCTTGCTTATTTTTGCTTGGACGCTCAAGCATTTCATCGCGTCGTTGGATAAAATGCACGGCGGCAGGCTGGCTAAATGCGCAGGTACCCAGACGCAGGCGCCATCCAGACCATCCGGGAAAATGCAAGCTCTCGCATGATGCGGGCTTTGTATTTCTCCATGTTTATTTTCCGACGTCAAGGTGGGAGGGGATCATTAGTGTCTATATATATCCGGGGGGGAACCAACGCTATTTCTCGCCGTTCTAGCTTGCGTTTTTGACCTGCAAGTGGTGTTGTGCGAGTGAAGTGTTCTTGTTGTTGCTATATTCTGTAGTAATTTTTCTTCTTCTTGCAGCTGGAGAAAGAAAAAAAAAAGAAAAGAAAGACTGTGAAAATGTTGCCCCAGGACTTTCAGTGGGGTTTTGCGACGGCGGCGTAAGTCTTCCATGTCCCCCGTCATCTCATCTCACCTCACCTCATCCCTGGACTGAATCAATAATCCAATCCCCCGTGCAACTTCACTTACACAAAACCTCGACAGCTACCAGATCGAAGGCGCCATCGACAAGGACGGCCGAGCTCCCAGCATCTGGGACACCTTTTGCGCCATTCCCGGCAAGATTGCCGATGGATCGTCCGGTGTCACGGCTTGTGACTCGTACAACCGCACCGCCGAAGACATTGCGCTGCTCAAGTCTCTCGGAGCAAAGGCCTACCGCTTTTCCATCTCCTGGTCCCGAATCATCCCCAAGGGTGGCCGCGATGACCCCGTCAACCAGCTGGGAATCGACCACTACGCCAAGTTTGTCGACGATCTGCTGGATGCGGGCATCACACCCTTCATCACCCTCTTCCACTGGGATCTGCCCGAGGAGCTGCATCAACGATATGGCGGCCTGCTGAACCGCACCGAGTTCCCGCTGGATTTCGAGAACTATGCGCGGACCATGTTCAAGGCGCTCCCCAAAGTGAGGAACTGGATCACCTTTAACGAGCCGCTGTGTTCTGCCATCCCCGGCTACGGCTCCGGCACCTTTGCCCCTGGCCGCCAGAGCACCAGCGAGCCTTGGCTTGTCGGCCACAACATCCTTGTTGCCCACGGTCGTGCTGTTAAGGCGTATCGTGACGAATTCAAGGACCTCAACGACGGCCAGATCGGCATTGTCCTCAACGGCGACTTTACGTATCCTTGGGACTCGTCGGATCCTGCCGACAGGGAGGCCGCCGAGCGACGGTTGGAGTTCTTCACAGCCTGGTACGCGGATCCAATTTACCTTGGCGACTATCCTGAGTCTATGCGCAAGCAGCTGGGTGACCGGTTGCCGACCTTCACTCCCGAGGAGAAGGCATTGGTCCTTGGCTCCAATGACTTCTACGGGATGAACCACTACACGTCCAACTACATCCGACACCGCAACTCGCCTGCCACCGCAGATGACACCGTTGGCAATGTTGATGTTCTGTTCTACAACAAGGAGGGCCAGTGCATCGGCCCAGAGACTCAGTCCTCATGGCTTCGCCCTTGTCCCGCTGGCTTCCGCGACTTCCTCGTGTGGATCAGCAAGCGGTACAACTACCCCAAGATCTACGTTACCGAGAACGGCACAAGTGTCAAGGGGGAGAACGACCTGCCAAAGGAGAAGATTCTGGAGGACGAGTTCCGCGTCAAGTACTACAGCGAGTACATCCGCGCCATGTTCACGGCTGCTACGCTGGACGGAGTCAATGTCAAGGGATACTTTGCCTGGTCGCTGATGGACAACTTTGAGTGGGCGGATGGTTATGTGACGAGATTTGGAGTGACGTATGTCGATTACGAGAATGGACAGCAGCGATTCCCGAAGAAGAGCGCAAAGAGCTTGAAGCCCTTGTTTGACGAGTTGATTGCAAAGGAGTAACGAGCGTTGATACCTATGACAGATTGGTGCTTGGATGTAAATATGGATTTAACGATGGAAAGGATATGAACCAGAAAAAACTGAAAAAAAGAAATATCCGGCTTGCACAGGAAATTGGTATATAATGAATAAAAAATAGAAATTATAAAAAAAAAGTATAGTCCTGCGTAAACAGGACTGGATGGATATAGCTGGGTGGCATATCCAGCTGTATATAAACTCTGGATTACCCAAAGCCTATGCTATAAACCAGGTATGTGAATCGGTATCAATAGAACACGTTTTACAAGATAATTGTTAACAAGTGAAGAAATTTGGATCTCTCCAAAGATGGCATTAATTCTCTAATGGCTACGATTGTACTACTGGAGAGGCCGCCTCGTTCGTTCTCCCCACAGTTTGAGAAGGCATCATATTCTGCATCATGGGCCAAACCCCGTTCGCGTTCCCGTTCGGCCAATTCTGGCCAGGCATTTGCTGTCCCGCATTGAACATGGCCTGCTGGTTACCCATCATGAAGTGACCCTGCGGATTCTGGCCCTGTGGGAACTGCTGGGGCATCCAGTACATGCCCTGTGGACCGTTGGCCATCATATATGAGCCTTGGGCTGGCATCATGGGAGGAGCCGCAGATTCGGCGGTTGATGACGGAGTTGCGATTCCTGTCGAGACGGGCATATGTCCTGTGCTTGGGACGCCACCGGTCATCATGGAAGGCATTCCGGCCAACGGTGGGACCATGCCACTTATCGCAGATGGGGGTATGGCTGGCTGGGTTCCCTTGGTAGGACCATAGATGGCATCATCGTCGCTCGTATCAGTTGTGTCATCATCGTCGTCTTCGTCCTTTTTAGCTGCCTTGGGATGTTTCGCACGGAGTCTCATGTTCTTGGCAACTTCATCCGCGCTGAACCCATAGATACTCTTAAGATATCGCATAAACTCGAGATATGCATCAGACACAATCTGAACATGGAGATGGGTCAGTTCAACCTGAGTAGCAGGAGCATCACCGCCTCCAGAAGCAGTCTGAGCATCATATTCTGCCATGGCCAGGGCGGTTTGACAAGCATTCCGGATCTGGCGACCGTTCCACCGCATATTTTCGTGCTTCTTCCAGTACGCAGTAGCGTACTTGAGAATGTCTTTTTCTCTGATGTTGATTATACGGCCTTTATCCTCGAATCGTTTTCTGATGATGCTCAAGTTTAGACGGAAGATTTCGCGTGTGGATGTTTTGTCGAGGGGTGGGTAGTAAAGGCTGATGTGGATTCGAGATGTAAATGCCTCGTCGAAATCACCGATGCGGTTGGTCGTAAGGAATAGAATGCCGGCATAGTACTCCAAGACTCGAAGAAAGACTGCATACAAATTAGACAAATCATTCATCTTTTATGTGGTGTATTGGGGAAGGCTTACCTGCGACGAGTCCATTTCGAACAAAGTTCTTTGGAGAGCGCTGGGCAAGGAAAACATCGGCCTCGTCTAGAAGAAGAATGCATCCCCATCTATTGGCAAGACTAAAATTCCTCTCTAGTGCTGCTTCTACTTCACTAGCAGTTGCACCAAGATCTCCTGCATGATGAGGGTATGCATGTTAGCATGTCTATCATTCAATCACACCTCATAGATACAGGAAGATGGAGCTCATACCGCATGTAATTTGGAACAAAGGCTTGTTGAAGCGCTCAGCTACGCCCTCTATAAACCCAACATATTAGCACATATGCAATTTAGAGAAGACTGGGCTGAATTTACTCACCGGCAGTAGTAGTCTTGCCCACTCCAGGGGAGCCGTGTAGGAGAAGAATGAGACCCTTTCCTATGTATAGAATTAGCCAGTTTAATAATTGACTTGTAGTCCATGAAACAAAACAAAACAAAGAAAGTACCTTTGCCTCGAATAATGTCAACCTCTTCGTTATCACCAACTCGGGCTTCCTTGTTTCGAAAGTGCTGGTCAACCAAGCAGTAGACTATGTCCTTGTGCTGCTTGGGAAGCACCAGCTGGTCAAACGCTGTCTGTTCTTTCGAGCCCTCACTAACAGGACTAAGATACTTGAGATCGAGTTTTGCTATAAATTACACAAAGTTAGTAACACTTCAGCATTTCCCCAGTAGGTGCATGAACAAACCCCATTTGCGGCTTCGCAAGACAAAGCCAAAGACTCGATAGGACATGATGATCAAGTCATCATCAGTCAGAGAGTTCTTGGAGGCAGTTATCTCTTTCAATAACCGAGGGTAGATGGCTACTGATGGCTCGTCATTCGGATCGTCAGGACCAGGCATCAAGCTCGCAATATAGTTTTCGTTTCTCGTCTTGTCGACGTAGTTATCGTTGTATATATACTCGCTTGCGCAACATGCGGCCGAGCAAGTCTCCTCTTCAGATGAACTCGATGCTCCCAAATCTTTTCCAATTAGAGATTCAATTTCAGGCTGCCACCCATTTCCTGCCATTGCCGCAAAGGACTCTGCGAAGTCAACCATGACCTGGCTGTCAACTTCGTCTCGCGCCTCTAGAGTAAATCCATTATAGTGCATGTGCTTCACGCTGGCGACATCAATGAACATCTTGCCACGGTCAATGAGCTCTTGCTGAAAACTGGCCTTGGCCTTCTCCTTGGAACCTTCTTCGCGGCTCTGGTAGTTTGAAGCAGGGCTCTCTGCGAACCGGATGGGATAAACTTCGAGAGCTGTAATCGCCTTTTCCCCGTCGAATTTTGAAATGATGAAGGATTTGGATACCGGGCCGAGTTGCTTTCCGTCAAAGTCGATATAAACGCAAAATAGAGTGATATGTGCGGCCGGTTCGCTCTCATCTTTCCTCCAGGCACGCCAGGGAGGAGTGACTTTATGCCCCGTGCTGGAGATGCTTATGACTCGGTAGGCTTGCCGTCGACCCTGTGCTACGACATCATCCCCTGGTTTAAAGAGATACCATAGGTGGTTGAAGGAAATGGTGCGAGGTTGAGAGTCAGATAGATAGTCTATTTTGGCTTGGATCGTATTGTCCATGAAGTCGATAAGGCAGCTCATGTGTTGGTATGCCGTCAACGAGTTCGTAAACTCGTCGTCCTCGCTGACCTCATTACCTTCAGCACCTGATTTTGTTTCATCTTTATCATCCGAAGGCTCGACTTCCGAGGGCTCAACTTCCGAGGGCTTGACTTCCAAGGGCTTGACTTCCAAGGGCTTGACTTCCTCCACCAAAGCTTCACCGTTTCCAAATTTCTCCTTTAGCTGTGCATATTTCTCACGAATCTCCTGGTTGTAATAAACAAGCGCTCGGAAAGGTCGAATCATGACAAGAGAACTGTTCATGCGATAATCTTTCGCTTTATTCTTAAAGATGTTGTTGAATATTTTAATAATGTTCTGCGATCTGATTCGAATTCGTTCTGGCATAACTTGTTTGCCTCGGTTAACATCGCTGGTAAACTCAGCCCAAGACATGACTTTTTGCTCTTTTCCGCTTCCGCCCATTGATGGATTTGCCGATTTTTCAGCATAGCGCATGAACCAGGGATTGTTATAGCCGTCGAAAGTGATCGAAGGCTCTTCTGTGAGGACTTCGATGACGAAATGATCCCTGGCCTGATCTCCATGGTGATGGCCCTGGTATTTGAAACTGCTCCAGCTCATGGGATTCACCTCCACATGCACTATATTCGGGAGGGCCTTGCTCGGGTCGTCATCATCATCCGAATCGTCCGCCTTTATCCCGTTAACCTCTTCCAATGTCGGAATGTGAATTCCGGGCCGCGCATCTTGTAGCTGAGTTTTCAACACGTCGAGATATGTCGCCCACTCAACCTCTTTTTTGGTTATCATCTCCTTAGCCTTCTCTTCCTCTTCAATATCTCGAAACTTCTGCTTTAAACTTCTCAATTTACGCCAAGCACTATATGAAGTGGAGCTTTTGTTTATGAGAGCTTCTGATCTTTCTTGCATTAATGTCAGTGAAGATAATAGGCCGCCGCTCTCTTCATTGGCAATTTCTTCCACGAATCCCAGCATTTGCTTTTCAAGCCGCTCTCTATCGCGCTTCTCTCGCTTGGCATCCTCTTCTACAGTATTGAGTCTTTGCTGCAGCTTGAGTAATAGTTGTTCCATATTCATTTGTTGCCCATTTGCTTGGCCAGAAGCATGGGTGCCCGAGTTTTCTGCCATGATGGTGCTTGGGGGTGGTACTGCCCCCTGATTCAATTCAGCGGCTTGCGGAACTTCAGCCGAGAGAACATCCATGGCTGATTAATATCTGGAAAGGATATTGTTTGCATAAACGTAATACTAATGATATGAAATGAATGCAAAATAGCAAAATCGCTTTCGAAACGCCAAAGAGAACGTAATAACCTGCTTAAAAGATGTTCCTTCTCTACTTCATGATTTAGACAAGGTATATATATAACTGGAGCCCAGAACAGGGATCTCAGCACGAGGCGTCATCTTGTCCAATAGAAATGTACTCCATAATCATGCAAACACTTTGAAGAATCTGTCAATTAGGCAGCCATGCAGCCAAGAAACAACCATTGGCTGAAACATGAGGCCAAAAGACAGTCAGTATACCGCGCAATATTTTGATTTGGGCCGCAAAGTGCAAGGAGTGGTGCCTTCATGGAGGGTCGGCAAAGCAATTGGTAGGAACAAAGGCTCAGCTGCTCATGCACACTTGATGTATTGGGTTAGCACAAAGGAATAGTTGCCTGTCAAAAATAGATTTAGAAAGAGGGGTAAGTCATATTTGTTTCAAATGGAAATAGAAAAGTGACAGGAAGTAAGCAAGTGATAGGAAATAGTGATAGCTAATACCAAGTGGCAACACTTTCAACTATTTTAATTTAATTTCCGGAAGTTGGAGTACTGTTAACTGTAAGACTTGAGTCCCTTTTTTGTTAAACCCACAATCTGTATGACAGTTTCCGTCTTCAACTCAAACCGCCATGGCAAGTAAAGCTTCCTCGTCGATTCCACCTATACATCTGCAACCTCCGTCCGTTGACTATATTGACAATCGGCTTCCGGACCACCATGGCGTTTTTAAGAATACAAACTCCCACTATGATCATATGGCACAGAAATATGTGCCAGATCAATCCGCAATAGACAATAAAAGCGTAGTCGGAACCCAGGACAAGTGTCAAACCCCAAACCAACTTAGCCCAACATCTCAACTGGGAGATATTGGGGATCCGGAAAAGTTTTGGGGCCTTATCTTCCCCGAGGCAATCGCTGCATTTATTACCAAGTATCCAAAAGAACCTGATGGGCTCGATAAGCTAGGCTATAGCATTCGAAACCAGACGACATGGAAAAGCATCAATGCCCAGCTCCACAGAGCGCGTGAGGTTTACGATGGCACACAAGTAAATTTTCAGGGTCGGTGCAAGCGAGCGCTGCGCAAATTAGGTGATAGTGCTATTGAGCCAACAACTAATGTCGTCAATCTCGTTCCCAATATTGAATACGTCTCTCCCGTATTGGGAGCAGTGCAATTACTTCTTAACGTAAGCTTGGTCATGCTTTTTGCTGAAACGACTAGATCTAAACTGCTGATTCAATGTATCAAGGCGTATAAAGCGGCATATGAAGTGCGAGAAAGAGTCACGTCGAGCTTCGATGAGACAGAGATCCAAGAACTCTTCAACGATGCCGAAGTCTATTTGATCACATTTCCGGACAGCAGCAAGGTCAAAGATGCAACTATTTCCCTAGTAATGACAGTGATGAAGGCAGTCGAGGATGCCATTGTATTCTTCTTGTCTAAACAAAGTATGTCCCTTCACTTCTGCGGGCGGAAAGCTTTTAATGTCCAGGACTAATATGCTCTCCTCTTTTGCTCAGTAAACCGGCTTTTCTCCGCTATTTCTCGTGGGAGAAAAGGATACCAGGAGGCTCTTATAAAGAGCCTTGAGGCCATTAAGATAAATAGCGAAAAGCTCATTCAACAAGCACAGAATGCACATCTCCTGTACACGCAGTTCAACCTTGCAGCCATTCGGACCGGTTAGTATCGATAACGGCTGGAAAGTTTCCGAACAACAGCTAATAGTGTATCATGTTGTAGAAGCCAAGCGGTTCCACAATGATGCCAAAGAGCAATCGAAGTATACTACCCTAGTGCTCAACGACATATACCAAGTCTCTACTGAAGCATGCAACAATGTACTTGTCATGCTCAATGATGCCGAGGAAAACAAGAAGCGCCAAATGCAGATTTTAGCCAATCAAGAAAGCATACTCAACAGGCTTGCCGCCATGGAAGAGATTTCTAGGGCATCAACTCCTGTCCCCCTAGAGCCTATAACATGGCAAAACCAACATACTGCCAGCTTCAATTCTCAATTCCAATATGGTCCGGCGCCACCTATGTATTATCAGCAATATTTTCAGCCCGGTCAGCAACCGATAGCTCTATACAGCGGGCAAACAGGTTCGTTCGAAAGCCTTTCGAATGCAACCCAACAGAGGCCTGTATCACCACAGCCGAGGATCATTAGCTCCTCCGGCATTCTCGGCATACTGAATATCCCACTCGACCCGGACGGCGTAGATCTACTGGCTGTCAAGGAATATAGTTATAGGCTACCAAGGAAATATCACAGCAGAGCTGTGCAGGTGACCCAAACACGAGAATTCCGCCAGTGGATAGTCACGCCCACTTCAAGACGGCTACTGATCCATGGCCATTTTTCACCACATAGTCTTGATACGCGACAGATTTCCCCTCTATCCTTTTTTTGCCTCTTGCTGGTGCGCATGCTCCGCGAGAGGGAGAGATACATCACTCTGGTGTTTTTCTGTGGGTTCCATGTTGAAGACGAAGATAGTAATGTCGGTGGTGCAGCAATAATCAGGAGCTTTATTGCTCAGCTTCTACGGCAAATACCGTTCGAGTTTATGCCGTTAGATATGACGATAGACTTGGACAGCATTTCCAAGGATGACTGCAAGGTGTCACATCTGTGCGAGCTTTTTGTCTATCTTGTTCGACACTTGCTGCGCCGTGATCGCACTCTTGTTTGCATCATTGATGGGATCGGGGATTACGAGACCGATGAACTCGAAAGCGATATGCTGGTCGTTATACAGATGCTCCTTCAATTTTGCAAGACGGTCGAGCATGGCAATGGTGCAGGACCGTCACATGGAGATGTGAAAGTACTGGCTACGACTCCTTTCTCCACAGAGGCGGTTCAAGAACTATTTCTTGGTGAAGGAAATAAGAATGAAGATGATTCGCCATTTCTAACGATGGAAAGCTTCCCAGATGTAAATGATACGGTGGGTATAGGCATGCCGTCGTTTTCACTACGCAGGGGGAATACAGATGAGCTTGATTGAGGTACCAATAATTTTAATTACTATCAAAAGATAATAGAGCCAAATAGTCCAAGACTGAATGAAATATCGATGCCTTTTGAGTTGCTTTTCAAGAGCGTTGCCACTGTTGGCCTTTTGGTTACTGGCTACCAGATTGAGAGAAAAATTCAATGTTCTCTTCCCAACGCACGAGCTATGATGAGAGAAAGGGCTCATTTTTTCATCCATGCGCATTGGTAAATAAGATGATGCACCTTTAAAAAATAAAATTTAAAAAGTGAAAAAAAGTAAAAAAAGACAAAAAGAAATGAAGCGCAATGGAGAATTGCTCCCGGCAGGGCTTGAACCTGCGACCTTCGCATTACCAAGACTAAGCTTAAAGCTGAAGTATTAGTACGAAGCTCTAACCAACTGAGCTACGGAAGCTTCATATGTGATAGCTCGTCTGAGATTTAACGATACTTCAAGCCTGGTAACAGTAGCTGGAGAAAACTCGACCAAAAGTTGCATCCAAAACCCCTGTCCATGAATTGAACGGCAATTTGACGTATAGGTTGTTGCAAATTTCCTCGTTTAGGATTCTCAAAGGAATAGAATAAGCAGAATAATAGTACAGGATTGGGCACACGGTGGGTAAGAGAAGAGCAAAGCATAAACACTCAACCCGCTCAATCCTGGGGCGATTTCTGGGTTGAAGAAGCATAAATCTGGTCAGGATTACATGTCGTTCAGATGACTAGATGGCTCAACATTTCCAAGGACCAACATCTAATACTGACCCTTCAGCCACGTCACGGCTACTACGATCATGACCTCTTCTGCAGCTTCGCTTATACTTATTCGTCCAGTTGCATGAGGACTATAGGCGCATATCCACTCATGCAACTCCTCCAATTGGCGATTCAATCCTTGTTGACTTTGCTTACTGCAGCTCTTCGAGTTGGCCAACAAGCACAAGCTGCAAGCTTCCAGGGGCCTAGGAGAGTGCATTTCTTTAGATTCTATCATGGCGAATTATAATGCTTGGCAAGGCAGGTCATGTCTCGAATCATTCGACGCGCTGCTGGCCCCAGAATGCACGCTTCTCTAAGTAAATAGAGCTCTTTGTCGTGATTTATGATACCTATACCCCTCATCGTGAATACGCACCAATTTCACCGATCATTTCCGGCCATCACCTCCCATTTGCTTCATGTCCATTTATTCAATGGCGCAGTGTGTTCAGCATGCATCTAGCGAGCACTTGCAAACAGTTTTGGAGGACACAAACCAAGTCAATTCTAGCGAACTGAGAGAAATAGTAAAACACAATAAGGAATTCAACAATGGACCAGAGAAAGCACCGCCTTCTGAGGGCACCAACCCATTTACGACGAGCGAACTGAGAGCGAATACCAAGCACCATAAGCAGCCGAATCATCCAGCGGATGGGGAGGAATCTTCGTCTGCCTGCTCTGGCGCCACAATTCCCTTTACCTCGGGCGAGTTTAAGGCAATTCTCAAGCGACATGAATACAATACTCGATCAAAAAGGAAGATTGGGACTAGTCACCCAGCCTTGCAGGGCCCTATTCTTGATCCTGGCAGGCCAAGCAAGCGTGATCATTCCGCGCATCGCGGTGACCCGAGCAAGCAGGCCGGTGTTGTTGATAATGACAAACCACCTAAGCTGGATCGATTTGTTGATCGCGAGAAGTCAAGCAAGCAGGCCAGCGTTCTTGATAAGAACATACCCAATGGGCAGAGCCGCGTTTTTGAGCATGGTGAATCTAGCAAGCAGGGCTCTCGTCAGGTTGCCCAAGTGAAACGAAAACCACGGACAATACAGGATGCCAACATTAATAAAGCAAGTGAAACTACGCAGGCTGGCCCTTCTATGGCATGCCGACAGAGCATCGCAAGGGCGACTCTTAAATTAGGCCCGGAAAGTCTAATTAATATCAGTTCTGAAACGATTGGGATGTCACAGAAACGCGTTCTCCATACCACTAGAGAGTTTGCTCTGACCCAGTCACAGCATGATTTTGGTATGAAGCTACATATCGCCAAGCTCCATTCAGATAAAGAACAACTCGGCCGGGAGGGACTGAGCAAACCGCTCCGATTGGTCCTCTTTTTCGACCCCAACAGCGACTCCGTGCTGCTCATCAACAATACACTTCTATCTAAGCAGCAGATGCTCATTATTAAACAACTGCCAATTTCTCCTGGGAAACGACCAACTTCACTGGGTTATATGGAAAAGACTCCCCTAGCGCCCTCCTCATATCGCTTGTTCGTGTCTGATGGACATGTGTTTGACATTACCGTCCTCCCACGCCGCTATGTCGCCTTGAAGTCGGGGCCTCGCAGACAGGTGATGCAAAGCGTTAAGAGAACACTTGAAATATTGTCTCAACGCTCCCACCCATCGGTAGCTAAGAGAATAAAGATAAATGAGATAAACGACGAATGCAGAGGAGAGAAAATGGATGTAGGTGACCAATCGAAGGGAAAGGGAAAAGAAATAAGGCACCAGTCGAAACAAAAGACAAATAAAAAAGAAACAAAAGATGACCCGAGAGGGAAGGGAAAGGGAAAGGCAACTAGCGACGCCTCCAACGTGGAGGAGACAACCGATGAATCGAATGCATCTACCATTGTCCGGATACGGCCGCCGTCCAACGACCTCATACCTGCAAGCGCATCTCCATTCCCCAGCAGCTTAGATCTAAGAACCGGTTATGTCTCCGCCGTGAATCATCCGTTGGAAGAACTCCAGCAGAATGCTACCATCAAGATTGCCAATGCTACCAGAGAGGAAGATTACACGCTTGTTCGCAGAGACAATATCGCAAATCAAGCGAACACATTGGTCTTCAAGGCTCACCACTCGAAGATTCAGGGAAAGCTGATAGCTGTCAAAGTATGGCACAGTACATCCGATGCTAATCTCATCCCTAGTACAGACGTGAAGTCTATAGCCAATATCAGCAAATATTTCTTGAATGAATTGAAGAATCACTTGACAGTGAGCGAGCATGTAGGTTACATATACATATGGGATCATACAAGGGTAATGCTCATTGCTGATTGGATGTTAGCCCACGATTGCCAGTCTTCATAGTTTTGATGTGAGGCTCCTGGCGCTTTACATCGAACACATCGATGCGCCTAATTTAGCTTTCTACCGGGATCCTGGAGATAATCCTTACTGCACGTTAGATGATAGCGACGCAGAGCAAGTATTACAGGGTATAGCCGGTGCCCTCAAGTTCATCCACGACAAAGACGTCGTGCACAATGATATCAAGCCAGCGAATATCCTCTACTCCAAAGTGAGGGGTCCAGTCCTCATCGATTTCGGTTGGTCCTCTGACACAAAAACTATCCATACCGCTGGATCACCCTGGTATATACCGCCTGAATACCAAAGGCATGGTACTCGTGGGCCTGCGGGTGATGTATTTGCTTTTGGCGTTGTTATGCTTTATCTCATGCGTGGGATCCCGCTCCCAGAGCTTCTATCACCACGCTTAAGATGGCAGATTCACCATCTTCGATCAAGAGGCCCCGAATCTGTTAAAGCTTCTGAAACAATGGGTCAATGGCTGCGAATTATCAGGAAAACTTTACAAGAGCTACCGGATGTTGATGATGAGGACGGTGGCGGGATATTGGAAGCAATAGTTCCTCACATGGTAGAATTCGAAGACAAAGATAGACTGACAGCGCATGACATAATTCAAACGATGTCGGAAAGAGCGGGACGGTTATATAGAGCATAGGGAGATTTTTATGAAAAACTTTATATCTACCCATGTACAAAGAAGATTGGCCTATTACTGGTTCGATATTGGGATAATCGCGGCAATAGATACACACGGTACATCAAAAATTACTAAGTACTACTGATATTTTACACTGTGGAAAGAAACAATACCGTATACTAATAGGCACCCCGTTTTTAGAGGTAAACCTTATTTATTGTGATATTATTTCATAGTAAGACACATATTATTAAATCAAAATACTACGTAATTTAATCAGATAATTTAATTAGTACAGTCAAATTATTAATGCCCAAAAAAAAAAAAAAAAAAACCCCTTGTAAAATGAATTTCTATTCTTTCCAGGCGATGTACGTTGTCTAATATTCTGGGTTACCTTTAATAGGCTAGACTGGTTTATTAGTAGTTGCGGCTGGCTGGTTCGGGCCGCTGCCTTTCTCACGGACAGACGCTTTTACCACCTTGCGTCTACTACGACACTTTAATATGGAATATAGGCTGCCTGATCCCGAGAACTTCTTCACTCCAGAATGGGATTGGCCATTCCTCAAGTTCCAGCTCGATCCCAAAGAGCTGTTCACGACTCTTCACGAGCGCTTTAATATCCACAAACTGCCTCTACAGGACCCTATGGCGTTCCACAAAGATGTATGCGAATCTGTGAATTACTCTGCAACCTTGGAGGAGTTTTATTCTCAGATGGAGGAGCGCAAAACCGAGCGAATAAAAGAGCTGAATGAAGCATGGGATGATGTCTGCCTCTTAATGACTACAGCCCCGTGGTTGCTAGCGTGCCAGCAGTGTTATGATCCCGACACCGGCGATGAGAATATGGATCCAGACACATTGAATGCTTCCATGCTAGAAAAGTGGCATCTCTTCAACTACTTCAGCCGCACACTGTCGTTTGACACTCTAATAAGATTTTTTGATGGCTATGTTCGGGATTATCGCAAGGAAGTGGAAGACCGCCGGCGCAGGGCCAAAGAAAGGCTGGAGAATTGGAGGAAGAGGCAGGCGGAACTCAGACGCGCAGCGGCTGCTGCTGAGGCTACGGAAACGGTATCCCAGAACGGTCCCGAGGAGGCGCACAACCAGCCAGAATCACGCCACGACGCGTTATCTTCGCATACCCCCGACAACAAGTCACGACCCTCGTCGCCTTTGGGACAACATGCCGCCGTAACGCATGTTTCAACAACCGAGAGCTCGACATCAAGAAAGAGAAGGGGAGATGAAGATATACAGGGAATCGAGCAGAAGAGGCGACGCGTGGCGAGTGAAAGCGCTGGAGGTGACGACGGCGCGGAGTGGTTTGCTGTCGGGCATGATGAATCTGAAACCGAAGAGCCCACATCGACGACGAAACAAGCCGAGAAACGCAAACGAGTAGACGATTCCCCCGACGAGCAAAGGAACAAGCGGCCGAGATCTTCATCCGATCGAGAAGAAGATCCCGAATACATGCAGCAACCCCAAGACCATCCACATGAACACCTTTCTGAAGATTCCGATGATGGGCAACCTCCATTATTCACGATAGGCCACTTTTACGGATTTATAGAGGGCTCAGTCTCTCAGGAAAGTATGGAAGAGCCTGCGATCAAGGACACTACTCCTGAAACAGCGCATGCAAAAAATAACAAGAGGAAGTCTCGAACGCTCCACCGGCAACGAGTCGAAACAAGACGCTCACGTGAGGAACATACAACATCGCCGCCGCAGAAGCAACCACGTCAGAAGAAGCGCCAAGAGCGAAAAGTTTCGCGTTCTGTTGAGCATCTTCTGCAGTCGAAGCGGTCCTCCAGGCGGAATCCGGGTCAAAAACTGTTATTTCTCGCTGATGATGCCACGGCTTGCGTATCCAGTGATACACGGGAGATCTAACCGTGCTAACGTGGATAACATTGACTACAGGATGACCAGTACAAAAGGCTACATCACCATAGGCTAGTTGACTGAAGGCATACTCGTTAACCTGGCAGGGCTGGGGGCAGCGAGCAGCTTTCGGCTCGGCTAACAGCCCTCAGGCGGTTGATACGTCTTTCGAGCATGATCGTTAATCTGACAGGGTCGGAGGCAGCGATGCAGCTCAAGAATGTCTCAATCGTACTGTGGCTGGTTCTAGAGACATGGTCGTTATCCTGGCAGGGCTGGGTGCAGCAGCGGCGGAGTCTCTAGAGGCCTTGGAAGCATATGCTTGGATATGCACCTGGCGTTCTCTCTTCCCTTTGACATGTGGTGAGATAGATTGTGAGAGGTGATTCATCAATTGATACCCAGAGACGAAGTTATGAAATGTTTTTAGCGGGCATATATTGTGTTTAGCGGGCCTTTTCGAGCCTTTTATTTGATACCATTTTCTAAGCGATTGATCTTCTAGCTCAGTAATCTTCTGCTGCCCTCCATGAGCAGAAAGAAATGAGTCTCACTGTTGGCATAATGATGCAGCTTTCTAGTATTTATACACCAATCATAATACTAAGTTGTATATCACTGACGTCAAAATAACGTCGTGATCAAACTATTAAAACGCAGGAATATCACATGTATCCCCGACTTCGTACCAAGTGCCATGGTGGAAGCCCCTGTCACCAGCCTGATTCTTAACGAATTTGTTACTATAACCAAGGGTATCTCCCCCTAGGTAGAATAGATCAGTGCTTCAACGCTACGAAGTGCTGGAGCCAAGATAGAGACAGCAAATTGCATCGTTTGACTAGTGTTTGCACCAAGACGCTGAGTGTTCACTTGCTCAACTTCTCGATAAGCCTTAAGTCAGTCGCTACCCACACTCTATTGAACGCACATCTTCTGACAAATGGCGAAACACAGCCTACTGATTCCTATGGAATAATGCATGTAAGCCTAACGTGGACATCATAACGACCAGGCCTTTTTTTTTTTTTTTTTAACACGGCTACAGTGCCTGACTGGTTGCATGCGGGGGTCAAGCAGGGATACTCGAGAATCCAGCCGTAGCTGAAGTATAGAAGAGGCCGGTACACCACTCGGCGCATGTTGCATTTGTTGGCTTTGTATGACCACTTTGTCCGTCTATGCCTATCTCTATCACGGTCCAATTCTCGGTTATCGTACCCCCTTTCAACTCAACGCACTATCTTGTCTAGCTATATAAAGTTTAAACCTGTCCGTTAGGGAGAGAGCTCTCTGTTTTCTGAGGCAAGATTTCATTTCAATAAAGTATAATTGGGTCGACAGTTGTTATAATCGCCTCAATATGGCTATCACCGCCTCAGATTAAATTACTACAGTTAAATCCTAGAGTTAGTTAGTAGGCTGACCGGTCGCAGAGTGTTCATCAGGGTGATGGAATCGCAAACTTCATATAAAATATAAAAAGCATTTTTCAGCATCTCAAGTTAGCTATCCAGCATCTCAACAATACAAGGAGTTCAGATGTCATAATATGACGCGGAGGAATATCTTTTATAACTATCATATAAGTGTGCATAGTAGATAAACAGTTCCTTAAGTACCTATCTACTACTACTATTATTATCACTACTTTCTGTTAATATTACTACATAGGTAGGTACTCTCTGCAACTATACTATCAATATTCCTCTAGTATTTGTTATCACCACTACTTAGGTATGAGCTTTAAATTCGAGACACGGGATGCTGGGGGCGGGACCAAACAATGTGGTTCAAAACCACCACGTTGCCTTTGCCACTGTCACGAGATTCTGTATCCTTCTCTCTTACCATAAGGCATTCTGGGCAGGTACTTGGCGAGTACTCTTGTTATTCCAGATAGCGGCTTCCTTGAGATTGAAATTATCTCTATATCGGGTATGTAGATATACGCCCCGGTGACAAGTCAGTGATATGGTGCGAAATTCACTATGGCGCACAAGCGATGTGAATTTTCAACTTCACCACTTCGAGGGGCAGGTATCACAATCGCATGCTTGTTCTCGAAATAGGGATCTAGTATCATTATTACTGCTGCTGGCCGCTGTGAGCTTTCTGAGATTGATGAAGCCCAGTTGCATTCTAATTGAAATATTTCTATTTTATCACTTCCCGGTACAAGGTAACGATAGAGCTGACGGGAATCTGCTCACTGGCCCTACTGACAGCTTCAGGCATGTACATTTTAGCCACTCGAGAAATCCTTGATCTTGTAGAGCAATAATTTCTTGGCTCACATAGCCAAGTTCACAATACCTTGAGGAGAAAACGGTGTAATAGGAGCGTGCTGATTTACCCAACCCCACCATGATGAGTAACAGATTGCTGGACATGGTTGCAAGTATTCATGTTATCAGCGTTATCCAGGTCATGGCTCAAAGCTTGTCAACTCAAGATCCAATATATTCATTCGTAGCTAGAAATCGCTATCGAGGCACTACACACCATACCAGTTTGTGATGCCCAATTCCAGCTATTTCGCTGCGGTGGTGCCCAATGTTCCATGCGGCTTGAATATCTGCTTCTAATTTGTCTGGCTGTTGATCTCGTGATTATGGCCTTGGGCTCCAATTTAGCATGCCTACAAGTATTTCAACCCCATCAATGCACACGAAACATCAATGCATCGACAATTGGCACGCCTACTAATGATCCCAAGCAATGGATAGTCGCATTATTTCTTCTAATACATTCGGAAATAGCGTTCAGATTCATCAGGGAGACGTCTATTACACTTCTGGTCTGTCACGCCTATCCTGTTCCTACGTGTACTTAGATGGACGCAATTCGCTAATTCTCGCCAAGATGCAGAATCCCCTCAAAGCAAAGTTAAAGCCTGCCGAGATGCGTTGTTTCTTGCAGACCCAATCGTCGATCGGGAAATTCTCAAAAGCACAAAAGGCCAAAGGACTGCCGGCACCTGTGAATGGATCAGAGACAATGAAGCCTACCGATCTTGGCTGAATGGTGGCTCCCAATGTCTCTGGATTTCTGGTGGCCCTGGCAAGGGGAAAACAATGCTTTCTATCTTTCTAACCGAAGAACTCGAAAGACGCACCCAAGAAACCGAGACCGCAGAGCTGCTTTTGTTCTACTTTTGTACTGCAGACGAGAAACATAACAACGCCGTGGCTATTCTTAGGGGTTTGGCGTATCAGCTGGTCAGCAAGCGCCCAAGCTTGGCCAACCATGTCTTGTCAGACTTTGAAAGTCCCAAGAAAACCGAAGAAACGCTAAAGTCTCCAAGTGCTCTCTGGATCACATTGGAAAAACTCCTACAAGCTCCCAACCTTGGCACGGTCTTCTGTATCCTCGACGGACTTGATGAATGCGATAACGATTCATCAACACTGCTAATTGGCAAATTTTATGAATACTTTTCGGAGAGTTCAAACATAAGTGGTGGGCAGTTCAAATTAGCCATTATTAGTCGGAAGATTGATAGGCTGGATGCATTTCCTCAGATAAAACTGGATCCTGACAATGACGAACATGTCAAAGGCGACATTCGACATTACATCGCCAGCAGCGTCCAAAGACTAGAATGGATACAAGGCTTCAATGATATTCGCGAGAGTCTCGAGGCCATCCTTCTAAATCGATCCCAAGGCACATTCCTATGGGTCGGCTTCGTTATGGAAGAGCTATCGAAAAAAAGGACCTGTACCGAAATCATGGAAGCTTTAGACGGTATTCCTCGAGGGCTGCATGCAATTTATGGCCGAATGTTGATGCAGATTGAAGCTAGTCGGCGACCCATCATCATCGACATCTTACGATGGGTTACTCTGGCCGTCCGGCCTCTGACATTACATGAATTGATGGCAGTCATCCATATCCCGTCTACTGGGAAAACGAGTAATGATCAGGCCATTCTAGATTATATCACTCTATGCGGGCATATTCTCACAGTTCATAACCAGCAAGTCAGCCTGATCCACCAATCAGCGAGGGACTACTTATTGCAAAAGAGCGCTGACGGCGACCCAATACTTGAGGAGTTTCAGATTACAGCGGAAGAAACGCATGCTAGACTCGCAGAAATGTGTCTTGACTGTCTCGAGAAGAGCGATTTACGCTATACATCTCTAGATACAAAGGATGTCTTAGTTCTACAGAAGTCTCCTCTATTACACTACGCCGTACAGCACTGGCCAGAACATGCAAGGCGGTGTTCAGATGCGGATAGTGAGAACTTATTAAGGCTTTCAAGAGCCTTCTTCCAAGAGAAATCTACTGTGCGGATGCACTGGTGGCAGAGCTACAGAGCAACGGGAAAATTCTTTGATTTTCTCCACTTGGACATCCTCGATCCAGCTTTATTACACATTGCCTCTCACTTCGGGATCCGTATATTGGTTCGGAAGCTGCTTACGAAGAATGCTTGGTACAACTGGTTTTCAAGTTTTATCCTCGGAAAACCTCTCGCCGTAAATCAATTGAAGGGTCCAGATGGCAGCACAGCCCTAAGCATAGCTGCCAGTGAAGGCCATTTAACAACTGTGCAGCTACTGATTTCAAAAGGCGCTGATGTTAAAGATATTGGTGCGCTGAGAGAGGCTATCCACGGAAGCCACAGCCCAGCTATTGTGGAGCTACTGCTTGCAAATGGCGCTGATGATGAAAATGACGAGGCGCTGAAATGGGCTGCTGGCAGAGGCCATAAGGCTATTGTGCAGCTTCTAATTGCAAAGGGCGCTGATAATGGCGAGGCGCTGGAGTGGGCTGCTGACGGAGGCCATATAGCTATTGTGCAGCTTCTAATTGCAAAAGGCGCCAATGTCAAAAATACAGGTAATAGTGCGTTGAGAAAGGCTGCTGGAGGAGGTCACATGGCTATTGTACAGCTTCTGATTGCAAAGGGCGCTGATGTTAAAAAAAGCGAGGCGCTGAAATATGCTGCCAGCAGAGGCCATATGGCTATTATGCAGCTTCTAATTGCAAATGGCGCTGATGATAAAGATGGCGAGGTGCTGGATTGGGCTGCCGAAGGAGGCCATATAGCTGCTGTGCAGCTACTGATTGCAAAAGGCGCTGATGTCAAAAATAGTTATGCACTGGTAAAGGCTGCCGACAGAGGCCATATGGCTATTATGGAGCTACTGATTGCAAATGGCGCTGATGATAAAGATGGCGAGGCGGTGGACATAGCTGCCGAAGGAGGCCATATAGCTGCTGTGCACCTACTGATTGCAAATGGCGCTAATGTTAAAAATACCCGCGGTAGTCATGCGCTGGGAGTGGCTATCTGCAGAGGCAACATGGCTGTTGTGGAACTACTGCTTGCAAATGGCGCCATGGCTGATTACTACGGTGCCACGTCAAAAGTCACGACTCGACGCAAAAACGCACCAAAACATAAAGTGAGACGTTATCCAGTACCCCAAAATCATTATCCAACACCCTGAGTACCTGCGCGCACTATGGCAGGCTCATAGAGGAGCAAAGTACTGTCGGGCGGATGACTCAGTAAAAAATCAATGAGGTTTCTTACGAAAAGGTACTTCTTTAAATATTTAAAATATTACAAATTTACTCCAAATTTTCATTTTCTTCTTAGAAAAAAGAGAGAGAAATATCCTTTATTACTTAAACTACTAAATTCATAAAATAAATTTTTTAAATTTTTTTTTTTATACATGAAACTTCAAAACTTGCTCTAAAGTACAAGCATCTTCTGGTATTTTCCACTAAAAGTTGGGGTGTTGGATAATGATTTTGGGGTGCTGGATAACGTCTCCCTTTTTTTAAGTCAAACTTTGAAAATTTAGTGGATTTTGTATGGCAATTTTCGGTCGAGTCGTGACTTTTGACTCCCCACTGTACATGTATGGCAAGGCGCAACAACTAGCTGCCGACATAGGCTGCGGGGATGTTATGAGGTTATGAGGCTTCCATGTTCTGCTAAAGATGCGTGAAGGCCGGTGATTACTGAGGGAGGCCACTTAATGTTATCTACATGTATTATCCAGTTACCACTTGCACATTGCGCTAATGATAAAGGTATTTGGAGGGTAGGGGAACCTTCAATTCTACAGTGACCTTTTTTTTACCTTAAAAAAAAAAGTGAAAAACTTGGAAGTTCAAGCAGTAATATCTATGGCTAGAATAGGAGAATTTGTGGAATAGCTCTGATAGATACAAATTTATAAGCAGCTTTTAGACGGCTTAAGGGTTATTCGACAGTTATTAAGATTTACTAGCAATATACACAATATTGGTTATTATATAAAAATATCCCTGTACCCGGGTGTTTACATACATGTACATATTATATGTAAATTGGGTGGTGAAGGAGTCGGAGCAGGCAGAGCCGCAGCTGATGTTGGAGTCGAACTCGGAGGTGGGAACACGCCACACAACGGCAACTAATAACGTACATGTACTTGTGGACGATGAGGATGGCGCTGTATTTGCCATTTATGCCGTCCTCGCCGTCTATGCAGCCAGTCGCATACGGCCTTGATCCCATTCATGGCAGCTGCTGCTCTGAGCTAGCTTTGATAGAATGTCGACCTGTCTCCGTTTGACCCTTTTCAACCTTTTCGCCCCTCGGGCCGGCGGTGGGTTCCTAGCCGTGGCCTAGTACTCTGATCCAGAATCACGCTCCGACGGCTCGGTGCGCCACAGCCGTGAGAATGTCGGAGTAACCGGCCGAGGCATCAGCGAGAACAGTGTGTCAATGGAGCCGGTTCACTTTCTAAGCGGCGGGAGGTGCTTCGTCACCTTCTGCTTCCACTTGGGACGTAGGCTTCGAAGCCCATCTCATGAGGTATTGAAGTCATTATTCTCGTATCAAGTCCATACATAGGTACATCAAGTCCTTTGCCCCTTCAAAATTACCAGGTAGTGCGTCATCGACAACGAGGCATACAAGACTTTCTAGCCATGATGAGTGTTTGAGTCACAGGAAATTGTTCAGGCGATGAGATGCATCTGCAGGTAAAGCTCCCATTAGAATTGCCAAATCGATCTGACAGTACATGTAGTTACCAAGATGCTTACCTTGGCATAGGCGAATACGACTCATTGAATGCATGTATCTCGTAATACATGTATCTTTGATCCCTGAAAATGCGGGCGGGGCATCACCATCACCCAGCTGCAGGCTCATCCTGTTTACACCGAAGCATGCTGTGATTGGTTTAGGAATATGGCACCCTGTTGTACGAGTAGTGGCCGAAGAGTTTAGGCTGCAATTTCGCGGAAAATTCGTCGTCGGGACGGTCGCCCATTCCAGCCCTCCCGGCTTGATTCAGTCCCTGCGTTTCCTTTCTCTTCCCGTATCTTGCAATATTTTCCTCAACTTTCAAAGCTGCCAGCTCATTAAGAGAGTATACAGGCAACGAAGCACGCCAAAAAGCTTTGCACAGTTGCAACCCCTCTCTCGCGAACTTCACTGAACGGGGCTATCAATAGGCAGTTGTACATACAGACCTTAACCATCGCAAAATTCTACAACAAAGTGCAGCATTCGAATGCCAGCTGGTCCTCATCAGCAACGGCGTCGGGAACCATTTGAGGCCTATGCGCAGGCCAGTCCCGCCAACTGAAGTCAGAAACGCGCTCTGGTAACCGGTGTGCTCTGCCGAGTATCGACACCTCCTCCACGAGGGCAAACAAATATGTCGGACAATTTAGATTCTCCAGAGTGGAGTGATGCGGGGAGTCCGAAATGGTTATGGGATTGGGGTCTATCTCGTCCACTCATTCCTGAACCGGGCACAGATTTTGACGTTGCCATCATTGAATGTTGGATATATGAAGAGGACGAAGGAGGTCGAACAATGGCGGCAACTAAAAGATATGACATTCTAAAATTTCACTCAGATTCGATGAACTCGTGGTTGAAAAAGCCCAATCCAACCAGAAATGGGCAGAAACCGTCATCTGGTTTCAAGGCAGTGGTGATGCCCTGTCGTAGTGGCGCCATGATTCCTCACTTGACACAGGACCAAATACAGGCCTTCAATACTACTCTCGGACTTCCAAATTTTCATCAGCATTTTAGCTCTCTCAATTCTGGAGCCTGCGGGATGTTCTTGCAGAGTGACAGCAGCTATGGTATCTCCAGTCTCTAGAATACACATCATGCCCTAGAAGTGTACCACCACTAATGGCAAATACGGGTAGTATTCACCATTCAAAGGAATGGTGACACAGCATCGATCGGTTCAGCGCTTCGATACGATCCCCTAACAAATGTGACTCGCGGAGTTATCCATCTTGGCTTAGAAAGGTTTAGGTTGAACGCATTTGCAGAGATGTCTGAACAATTCGTCAAGTGTAGTCATCCTCTCCTCTTACCGCTACTCACCGTCGAGCATACAGTTGAGAGTACTATGGAGCACATGTGGACCAATAGACTGGTCCTACATGAAATAGAAAATCATACGGGACACGGTTTCGGAAAAATGGAAGATGAATCAAATTCGCCAAGTGACTACCGGGCTCTCGTTCGAAAACTAGGTCAAAGTCAAAGTCATGTTTTTTTGGGGTTGTCAACAATAACTGTCTGTCAACTTAAGGCTGAATTTTTACACCAGAAACTACAGCATCTTGATCGCCTATTACCAGAGGAATGCCAGAACAAGCTTAAACTCCCCAGCCGGATGTTGAATGAGCGAATTGAATACCTCTTGAGTAATGTTGAACACGCAAGGGTGTGGGAAGGCGTAAAAGAGCGGATGGAAACACAGCAAACAGTCGTAAGTACGCCAGGGCTTTAATGGCTTAACTGAAATATACCTGGAAAACAGATCTAACCCACGCAAAGCTTTTCAACCTCATTGCCCAATCAGATAACCTTGTCAATATCAGTCTCGCAAAAGACTCCAAAGAAATGGCCGTTGCAAGTAAACAAGATAGCTCTGCTATGAAAATCATAGCTCTGCTCACTACCTTTTTCTTACCAGGTACCTTCATTGCGGTAAGTTTTGTGTTCCCCAACGGTCTAAGAGTTGGGCATCAAGCCACAGACTTATGCCAGATACTGACTGTCTTCGTAGTCATTCTTCGCAATGCCTCTATTTGACTGGTCCGAGCCTTCACTCAACCATGTTACAACTCGTCACTTTTGGGTCTTTTGGGCTGTAACTGGCCCTGTCACATTAGCTACTATGGCAGGTGTTATTGCCTGGGCACTCTGGAACAACCGTCGTGTTGAACTCCTGCAGTCTCGTGCAAGGGAGAGTGTGGGTACCAAGTCTCAAGGAGACAATGGCCAGGACACAGACAAGGAACAATCGACTGGAAATGATTCAAATGAAGGAGGGATCACAAACGAAGATCAAGCACCGAAAAGTGGGACAGATGGGGTGCGAAATCTCAAAAAGTATTCTCTGTTGGGCATACTTAGTCGCCGACGCCGCCGTTCCGGTTCCACCAAAGCCGAGCCGTAGATATTCGAGGTCTCTCAGCGTTGTCAATAAAGCGACTGGCATTCAGCTAGACTCAAATTAGTTATTAATCACCCCCAAACGACTACATGCAGTTTAACTGCTGTAGCGATATGCGGGGGGCTGCTTCAATAGTAATACGCATCCGCTGCTTTTTCTAGACAAGTATCCTACTTTCTCAATCTCCTGGCATTTGATATCAGTAAGTAGGTAACTAGGTACGTAAGTGTATGTAGCTATGTGTGCTGCGCTATATAACATAGGATAAGGAATGCTGGATAGCCACTCCCCAAATAAAGACAGGATGAAGATTTACACTCGAGACATCTCCGAGCTCATCCCCCTTTTCTATTATTATAGATCACCTTGAGAAATTAGGTGCACATTAATTAGGTATTATATCTAAGCAAATACTCCCCCTCTATCCGCTTTTCACAGTGTCCTTCTCTTCAACTCTCTCTACTGGCACTCTTTCTACCTCTTCATCATCATTATCATGAGCCGTAATATCGCTTTCGTGATCCTCTCTTTCTCTTGATGCGGGTTGCTCCTCGTCAACAACTCCTACATCACCAACAGCCGGTTTTCGATCTCGCCGTAAATACCATCTGAAAAAATAGACTAAAACCTGAGCCATGAAGACCTTATCCACGCACTTGTCAGCAAAATAGACACATGTTAAAATGGAGGGTCCTGACGCTTACCTGCTCAATCGTATATAGCAAAACAGGAATCGTGATAAATGCCCTCGTCAAATCATCCGCCTGATTCCACATGGATGTCACCAAGGGAATTCCCAAGCTCGTCGTTTTGGCCGCTCCGCAGAAGCATACGGCAATGGTCTGTTCCTTAGACATCTTCTTAACGGAAACGATGCGCTTGACACGCTCAGACAGGTGAGATTCCTTGACGTGAGGATTAATGTAAGTTGCGAGAAAGGCGGGCGGACGAGCGAGGTAGAAGCAGATGAGAGTGAAGATGATGTAGAGACCGATATTAATGAAGACATTGAAAATGACGTCCTCTTTGGATAGCTTGTAGAGCGCTCCAGTACCGAATGCGCCTGAAAAGGTGGTCCTTTTGTCAAGTCTTTGTCAGTCAAGGAGCAATATTAGACTAGAAAGATGACCAACTTACCATACTAGCAGTATCAGGCAAACGGCCGGCACCTTTCCCAGCATCGTCACCCTCAACACCTTAGCCACGAGATCTCCTTTCCACCACCTTACCGCCTGTCCCACTCCCAGAGGCAGCAAGACGCTCAACCCCAGCTGCTTTGCAACGTTGGCATACATGTCGCCCAGCGTACTCGGGTCTGCGGGCCGCCAGTTGTCGAAGACAGAATCCCGCGGGATGAAGCCATATATCAGAATTGGAGTGAGGAATGAGCCAAGTGTGTTACCGATGACTACAGAGATGACGGCTGCAGCTTCATCCCCTCCGGCTGAGCGTGTCATAACGACATTGGAGGCGATTGTCGTGGGAAGACAGGCTGTAGCAAGCATGCCGAGGATGACGGGGATAGAAGGGGTGCCATGCTTCAGAGCGCCAGCTGCAAGACAGATGTGTACAAAGGCTAGATGTCATATTTTTGTTAGTTTATTACATATAGCAATTATCAGGGGAGGGGGACATATTGGTGGTTTATACTCACCCAGCATGATTACCGGAATAATCACAAAACTGCACCCCTGGACCATGATATGCAGCCTCCAGTTTGTCAAGTTCTGCTTCAGCTTCTCTGGAGGAAGTTGCAGTCCATTGATTAGAAAGATGAGTGCCACAGCACCATAGAGGATGCTATACTCTGATCTAATGACGCCCCCATGCTCTGCGACATCTACATTTTGTTACATAACAAAACGATTAGCTTGCTTTTACCTCACAACACAACCCCTCATCCAATTCCCGGCCTCAAGGCCGATCAGAAAGGGGAATAAACAATACTGCAGAAGAAAAGAACGAAGAGAGAACTCACTTGGGAAAAAACATCCCAGGACACACGCCACGCCAAATCCAATGAGCAACCACTGCGCCGCCACAAACTTGATTCCCGTCCAAATCCACACCAGAGCTTTGTTATCCCTCCAATTACTCCTGTCCGTCGTCGTCACCGTCGCCGTTATTGTCGTAGTAGCCATAGCTCCCAATCACCGTGCTGTAAATATCCAAAAGCAGAATACCCATCCAACGTGAAAATTTTACTGTTCAAAAAGTCATAAAATCATCAAGAGTATGTCAAAATTATAGCCAGCATATTCGAATAATAAAGAAAGAAAAGGGGGGGAAATGAAGAAAGAAAGAAAGAGGAAAGGTCACGATATTAGTCGTAGTTAAAATACCGTGCCGATCGGTCAAATATGTTGAAATCCGAAAGTGTTGCCAACTTTTGAGACACGCAGGAATGCTGCGGGAGCAAATGCGTCTTATTACCGGCCAAGCTGGCGGGTCTCGTCGGCCGATCGCTTGAGATATCTGCCGACACCGCATATTACAATAGCCATAATCGGATTACTGAGGTGGTCGTTGGTGGGATGATGAATGGAATATCTTGTAAGCGTCGCGATAACGGAAAGGGGGCGAGGGTTGGAAAAGCATCAGATCCAAGGGGAACAACGAGCTCTGAGACATGCATACGATGGCGTCACGTCGGCATACCCCGTGCGAAGCATAAAAATGTGAAGATGAGGGCTCTTAGTGCTCGGATAATCGCAATAGTATATTCAATCCAGACCGCTATTAAACAATTCGGCTACTCCTTTGGTCTGAGCTCTTCATAAACTTATACAGTCGGGACATCAGAACAGCATTCACCCTCTGTCACGTCCCTTTTTCCCCCAAGCGACAAACATCTAATCATCCAAGAAAATAAAAAGTCGCTACCTCATCAAAAGGCAGTGTCAAGCAAGGCTAACCCCAACGCCGTGCGATGCCTGTGGTATCAAAATAAACATTCCCCTGAAAAACAAGTTTTGCCGGGATCAAATCGTAATCAAAGAGCCTGCTCTTCTCATGGCGCCTCCATTGGTCGTGAGAATATTAGATGGAAGAATAAATATAAGAAGAAGAAAGAGGCAGTAAATCTTCAAACAAACAAAAAAGGCAATATCATGTTGTCGTTTATGCGACGAGCACGGGTGCTGGCTCCAAAGGCATAGCTGCAATTGACTCGGCAGCGCCGGTGCTACTCGGTGCCGGCGCAATCTCTGGGTCTGGTATTTGTATGTCCAGCTGACGAAAATCATTAGCATTGGTGACCAGAAACCTCGGAGCAAACAGAGGAGCAGAGGAGAGGTCCACTTACAGTCATGTAACCCGTGCGACGGAGCGAAATTAGTTTCGGCGGGAGAACACCTTCTTCAGAGGGCGTGGTCTTCTCTTTTTCTCGATTCCACATTTCTATCCACGCCTCCAAGTGGTTCAATCGAGATTTGATGCCGGTCATACCGAAATCATCCCAAAGCCACCCAGTAACGAGGCCCAAGAATGCGTCAAGCACGTTTCGGGGATTGTAGGGATCAAAGGCTGGTACCAGCTCCTTGTTGAGCTTGTCTATGATGCGCCGGAATTCAGGCTCAGGTATCCCAGCGGGATCCAGGATCTCGGGGTAGAGATTCGAGAAGGTGGGAGCGAGATCACCCTGGAGGAGCCAGTCGCGACGGATTCGGATTATCCGCGTTTTGGCATATTCCGCAGAGTCTGCTGGTACATGGGGGTTTAAGTGAGGGAAGCAAGGGTGCTGCGGTCCCCATGATTCTCCTAAATCTGGCTGGATCTCTTCGCCCATGATTGACGAGTTGGATGACGAAAGAGCGGATCCTATACCATCTCCAATGGATACGTTGGAGAAGCGATGGTGGTCCATTATATCAGGTCCTCGCTCCAGGTCTCTGGAGTAGGACCGCCTCGGTTCCTCATTTTCAGGTAGCATGATGCCTTTTCCCTTGTCAACTTTGGGATTATTGGTGGGTGGCGGCGATTCACTAGTGAAATCGCCGCTAGCTCTCGTCTGGAAATCAAACCGGGTTGGGGAGAGGGTTTGTGAGCGTCTCTCGTCGTACGAAGCCCGGACAGATCCAGGCAAGCTTATCCGTTTGTTATCCGTTGTATTTAGGTCGAACTGAAAGCTGAGGGGTGTCGATGAAGAATGCCGCACCTGTCTGTGCTCGGTGAGGGTCAGCAGGGGATAGTCGCCAGCGCCGGTGACGTTTGGGTCGGCAGTGTCGGTAGACTGATCGAAAGCCGGGTGCTGCAGCGGGACGGGGGCCGCAATCGGACTCGAAGGGCGTCGTTTGTGGGAGGGAGCTCTGGGAGTTGAGTTTGTAGGATTCCACAGGCGGGCGGAGGAAAGGCGTTGAAGGCGAGTCGGGCCCGCGGCCGACGTTGTGAGGCTGCGAAAAAAAGAGTGTTGGTTCCGCTTATGCAAGACGGGATGATGCAGCGACGTAGGTTCCGTCACCTTGGAAGCGTCGGGACGAGGAGGCTGGCGAGAGGCCGAGGCTGAGGCTGGGACAGTGTCTGAGCGAGGGTTTGCCTGCGCGCCTAGGGAGGGCGGGCCGGTTGCAGTTGAAATTGCCTGAAGCTCGTATGAAGCCGTGGGAATGGTGGAAACGGCACGGCCGCTGGGACGACCGCGCTGCAAAGAAATGGCGAGATCGCGTCGGCCCTGGAAGTCGGCGAGACCAGCGCAAAGCTGCTGCCGGATGAAGGCGAGAGAGGCCTTGACTCTGAGAAAATCTGCAGATGCGATAGAGTCGCTGCGGCAGAAAATTCAGACGCTTCCGCGGTGGCCGTCGAGCGCAATGCTGAGTTGGAAATACACAGCCGGAGAGGTGCTGAGAATGGTTTGGCGTTGAAGCCGTACTCGTATCGGCTAATCAGGGGCGCGCGCTCGAACGGGTTAGTGCGGGTGGTTAAATCTCTTGCGCGGCGGCTGTTGCGTGATTGCATATTTATCGATTTGGCAGTGTGCGATAAGGCATAAGATTGGGTAGGCGGTGGAAGACGCTGGGGGAGGGCAGTCTTTTAAATGCACATTGCTGCGGTTACAAACAACAATCCGAAGTCAAGGGGGTTCTAAAATAAAAATACGGAGAAAAAAGAAAAAGAAAGGGAAAGCGAGAAAGAATGGGAGAAGAAAAAGGAATTATAGCTACTTGGCCGGAACCCGTGGATCGGAGGAAGAGAGGGTCTGTGGCCTGGGCCTGGGAGCCGTCTTACCTTTATCTGCGTTTGATGCTTGTTTGCTCGCCAATGCACAAACCACTAACACGCCTTTGTCCTGACGATCCATGCAGCATCTCAAGTGCAAGCAGCCGTGCTTACATGCTTGCCTGGTCCGCTGCGAGTGAGCTCTAGCTGGGAGAATGCGGCATGGTTTCGGGATACCGCGTAGGTGGCGCTCAGCATCAGGCGAAGCTGAGCCGTTAGACTTAATTTTGCACTGTCAAGGGTCATTTATTGTAATGGATCTTGTGACGATAACCCAACCGCAGAATATTCCATGATGGGATTGAGCTGCTATTCTAAGGATCAGACCCATGGCAAACAGAAATTTGCATCGTCGCTCACGGCAATCCCGAAGATCTAGAGGCACGCATAATATGGACGGACAATGCACAGGAGATCAATTGGATTCCCATCATGCCACTCTCACTAGCAGATTCGCTCCTGAATGTGGCTTACAGGAGCATATGCAATAGTATGTTAGGGCTATTGACCCCTTTGACAGCCCTCTCTGCTAACCTCCTGACTTGATGCATGGAGGCGTTTCTAGCTTAGTCTCACTTCCGTCTGAAGAAACAACTCTGTCACATACTGTTCACTCGTGGCTTTTCATCCGACGCCGCAGAATTAGGCTCTCTGGGGAATAGTAGGCCATCCACAAGCAGGCTGTTGAATAAATAGCAAGAATAGTAGCAGCCGCTTTGTGTCGTCAGCTTCAATTGCAGCAGCAACAATGGCGCCAGGGGCCATCCCGGGCAATTCTATCGGGTCTCACCGGCCAGGCCCCATGCGGAGAAGCAACTGAAAGATCGTAAACCCCTTCAGCTTGTCGTCGATCTAGCAGCAATCCCGAATAATAGGGGCTGAACGAACCGTGCACTCCCATATTGCACGGGCCGCTGTCACAGTTGTTCCCCGGTGACAAATGCCAGCTAGCCGCCAAGGCACGGGACAGGGGCCAGCACTCAATCAAAGTCTCCTGTTGCCGCTGCCCAGACCAAGGTTAGAATCGGATTTCTGGAGATTGCCCTGCCTGTTCACATTGCGGCGATAGGAAATTATGCAATGCGCACTCGTGAGATGACGTAGGCGACGATCTGCAGAGTTGTCCAGAGCTGGGAGGCGGGGCGAGATCTAGGCTGGCCTTCATTTCTGGGAACTGACTTGTCAGCCCGCAGCCGTTTGTAGCTTTCTGAAGGAAATGAGATGAGCGGTGTTGGGCCGAAAGATGGAATACAAGCATTTCTGATCTAAATCGTCCCATCTACGGTGATTTATACGTACTTAAATTTGCAGAGGTTGTGCTCTTGAATGCGGAGTAGTAGCATTGTCATTGCTGCAGGGCACATCGTGAGGTCAGATGACTGATGCCGCTTGAAACAGTGCGAAATGATGTTAGATGCCTTTAGGTGAGCGATAAGTCGCTACCGAGTCAGAGATGCTAGGAAACCGGGTAACCACTCAAGATAGTGACGGTGAATTGGTTACATGATCATTCCATTCATGTCATCAATGGCGCTCTTGGCGCGGAGCGTTTCGTCCAGATTTGATCCAGTGGAGACTCCTTTGCCGTGTCATGTTGCGCCCCAGTATTGACTGTTGCTAGGAATGCAAAAATATCACTGCGGGAAACCATGCATAAATGGGCTTGTTTATTAAATCTTTGGAGCAACATCCTGATCAACGCGCATGGGGCATATAAGTCGGGATGACATTTTATATCAACTCTATCTTGGAGCTTCAAACCCACCGCCGCCAGTCAGTGACATTTTGCTGCGGCCCGCCACCACATCAACTGCCAAAACCAGCACAAGCCCGCTGTACCCCAGATTCTAGCCGGCCCTGCCATGCGGGAGCGCTAGCCCGTAGCAGGGAAGCCGCTGGAGCGTCCACTGACATCTGCTAACAGCGGCCTCGAATTCCAGTTGACGTAATGACTGGACGCTGCGTCGCTGCCCACCATCCTCTTCCCTTCCTCCCTGCTACCTGTCCAATGACCCTCTGCTGACATCCTGCACAACCGTGCATATCCTAACCATGTCGGCGGCAGCAATGCCAGACGACGGCCGTCAGGCCTCGACCGCTTCATCTTCAGCTCGGCCCGGACTCGCCGCCAGCTCCGGCATCAGCCTCGGCCACGGTGTCGGAAACAACAGCAATGCTGCTCCTGGACACTTCATCCGCCGTTCCAAGACCCTCGACGAGCCCCCGATGAGATCCGGATCCATGTCGCGACACTTTTCTTCAGATTCGTCGTCCGAGGCGCCTCCGCGCAGGAGCTCCAACTTTTCGGAATACAGCCTAAATGAGGCACGCGACATCCTCAACCCCCGGCCGCACGCTCATGGCGAGCTCTCCCATCACGAATCATCACCGCTAGCCTCTCTATCTCTGGCCTTTGCCCTTCTGCCTGCCATCGCTGGCGTTCTGTTTCAGAATGGCACATCTGTTGTCACCGACATTATGCTCTTGGGCCTCGCCGCCATCTTCCTTCACTGGTCGGTGACGCAGCCTTGGTACGTAGTGGCGTAGCTATCGCGTCCATCACGCCCTATACAATGGGAATCACAATAACAGGACTCATACTCTACTGTAGGCAATGGTATCACGCGGCGCAGGAAGTCCGTACTCTTGAGGAGCATTCGATCAGTATATCGCTTGAATCAGACAGTGATCTCGACTCTCAGGCCAAAGCTCCGAGTACTAGCACCCCCCTGGACGATGTTCCCGAAGAGCGAGAGGGAGATAAAGTAGATGATTCCAACTCAGAGAAGAGGGAAACTCGGGAGAAACAGGCAACGGCACAGCAACAGGCTGCTCTGAAGGAGCTATATCGCCACGAAAGTCTTGCTCTCGCATCCTGCTTCGTATTACCAATGCTTAGCGCATATCTCCTACATTATATCAGAGGCCAGCTGAGTCGGCCGTCTGAGGGACTCGTTTCCAACTTCAACCTAACAATTTTCCTGATGGCAGCTGAGCTGCGTGTGCTGTCACATATAATCACACTGGTCCAGTCTCGGACGCTGCATCTTCAGAAAATAGTACACGATAGTCCGTTTGGTCAGCAACCCGGGACTGAAACGCTACTTGAGGAGATGCTCAGAAGATTGGAGAGGCTTGAGACTCTTTCAACGTCTCAGGGCAACACGCTCGCCGGGCACGGAGAGTCTTTGGGTACGACCACGGCGACAGTGAGCCGAGACGTGAGGAATGCTATCCAGCCAGAGCTGGATGCTCTGAATCGAGCCGTAAGGCGGTATGAGAAGAAGGCAACACTCTTGCAGCTACAAACAGAGGCTAGGTTCTCTCAGATGCACGCACGACTGGAAGATGCCATATCTTTAGCAGCTGCGGCAGCTAAAAACTCGAATCGACAGCAGAATATACTCCCGTGGCTGTGGAAGTTAGTTGTGACGGTAGCAACATTTCCTTTCAAAGCTTTCTTGGAAATACTCGCGCTGCCGTTGAGGCCTATAGTCGCATTTGCAAACAGAAATAAACAGCCATCTACCAACCTTCGGGTACCTCGAAGCAAGCCGGGAAAGCCAGCAGCAGCAGCAGTAAAATATAACGGCGATCGAGTGCTGCCGAGAATAATCAAGAAATGAGGCCGTTCTAATCTTGTCGCTTTTTTTTCCTACTGTTTTTTTAAGGCTTGCAGAGATTCATTATCGGCAAGCAATGGTACAACAGACTGGTCAACGGCTGTATTTGAATGACGATGGAAATTATTGGCATTACGCATGTACATCATTAAATGAGATACCTGATAGCATTGGCTTTTGGAAATCATCACTACTACAATAGAGTTTGATTCTGAAACGCTTACCCTGCAAGTGACGATTGATAAGCGGCGGTCCATCTTAAGCCAGAATAAACTTCATCGCCTGCATGCTTGGCTGTTTAATACCAACCTAATTCTTTGCGGGTGTCTCGCTTGTGGCGTTAACTGGTTCTCGTTCCCGTTCAAGCGTTACTTTGAGCTCGAGATGAAGCTCTCCACGATGTCTCGCCTTTGACGGGTAGACGGAGTAATTACAGCAAATTATCAGATGTCATATTGCAATAGGCACATTAACTAAACAAAGACAATGCAAATCATTATCGCGTAGCGCACGTGTGCCTGAAAAGGCCCTTTTGGGTTATGCAAATCATTATTTCGGTCCAAAATTCGGGAGAGCTACAGGGGCGCGAGAAGGTAGTGCGACCACACGGCGATGGCTTCATTTGTCATGTGAGGTGCCTGCGCTCATAATCACCCCAGGAACGGGAAATAAAATGCCTTTTGAGTTTGAGAATTGCGTATCACGAGATACTATTTGTTTAGTATTGCTATGCGAAGCGGCCAGATGCAATTGCCCGTGCCACGATACACTTTGAATCTGAATAGGTAGCTCGGAGCTGAGCTTCCAGTCCTCTAGGGCCATGCACTTACATACGAGCAGACGATGACTGTAGTTCTGGTCGACCAGTAAAATCGCGTCCATAGCTTTTCTCTTCTCCTATTTCATCTTGGCAGAGCTTGCTCATACGAGTATGCCAACCGATGCTCTGCATATATGGCTACGTTTTCCGAGTGCCACTTACAGTGCTTAGGTTCACTTCACTTCACCATTGGATGATTGTGCATTCGTATGCCATTTCCCTCAACAGTAGGCGTTGCCTTGGCACCGGAGCTGAATCTTTGTGTTATGTTCACACCGCTTCCAGGGCTGAACACGATTCTGATGCTGCAAAGAAAAGCATGCGGTGCCCAATACAGTTTTCGCGTCTTCCACTATAGCAGGTAAAGCTGGAAGTGGAAAACGGTGTGTGTATCGTCATATTGCTTGTAAGTGGAACTAATGCGGCGTAGCACAAACTCCCATTTGTCCACGCATGGTAAGGTTTCACTATCGACGGAGAAGCGCACCCAAATTGATCACTGAGGAACCGAGCAAAGTCTAAAAGCACCGATTTGCAGCTGCAAGATCGCGAAAATAAAACGGGTTTCATGGGCGGCACTGGCCAGAACGTGGGAATAGGCTCTCTTGTGTTGTGCGCCGTGACGAGCCAGTCATCTGTCGATATCGAGTCACGCCAGCGGAGTGGATCTTTTAATTTCAGAGCACAATGTAGCGTGGCGCAAGGGACGGCATGAATGCTGGCTGTGTCTTGGGCCCAGCAATCCATTGCGGAACAAGAAGAGAGTTTGGAGTAGTACCGGCTATAGTCGTTGATTGATAATGCCGTTCCTTTTTCATGTGGTTCTGCCAGGAGAGAGGCTGATTAGGCCTGTTATTCCGTGCATGTGCTCTGGATATCCCTGGCTGCAGAAGATTGTTGTTCATGCTACGCGACCATCGTATCATGCAAGGGATATGCGTAGTTACGTATACTCGTACAAGGACGAGTGTTGATGAGCACGATCAGCTGTGGCTGGCTGAGAACTCCACGGTACGAGTATATGGAACACGCATGCGGCCTTTCGAGGCAGTGTTGCCTTTCCTTTTGTACGCTGAAGAAAGTGGTGAGCGCGGACAGACATACAGCGGTGAATATGTCTGTCTGTGATGTAACAGTGTGAATCAGGATTCGGCTCGTCTTATCGGGACTCCGTAGCCGCTGGAGACGCCATGAGACTTGGATGCCACCACATCCGACAAGGAAATGCCTGGTCAGACAACTCGACAACTCTTGAACCTTGCATTGCAGTGTTTCGCACCTGGCCACTGCCAAGGCAATGGGTGGTCAGCAGCTTCTCCGCCCCCGACTGCGATGCCAGGATATTCAGTGCCAAAGATGCTCTTTGGCTCGCACAGCTCTCCGTAAGGTGCTGATAGGATGATGATGCATTGGTGGCGTCTTTTGCGTAGGGATGCACTGCAAGGGAGAAGTTCAGCTTCATTTTTGCTTTTTGCTAGCAGTACGAAATACGGGGTACGTGCCGCAGTGCGTAGGATTCGAGGGGCGAGCCAATGGCTGATCATTCGCCATATGCAAGGGAGAGTATCATGAGATACGGAGCACGGTTGACAATTGGATTGCTGCCAAGTAATAGGCGATGAGCTGCTGTGTGGATTGAATAGGGACCAATGTTATGCCCGGCACAGCTTGATAGGTAGGCACAACGCCTGAGATCTTGACTTGGTGGAAATGAGACCGGAGATCTCGGGTACACGGATCACTCCTGGTTGGACTCAGTCACTGAATTCAGAAATAACATGTATCAACCCTTGGAATTCTCCGGCAAATGGTCCGTAAGGGAGATGGCTCCTTGAGATTTTAGCCGTCTACCTAGGCGGCTGCCGTGCAGCAACACAGCGAGACACTTTAGGCCCTCGTACTCGTGCGGCGTCTTGTACCGAGTGCCGCTGGGCCTTGTTTTAGGCAGGAGATGATCGCACAAAGACGGTGGATGACGAGGCGGCGTTGGTGGTGCGATTAATCTAACGGCACATCACAAACGGGCTGATCTATGCCATCCTAGCCATTGACTGCCAAGTTGTTTGCTTGGAATCACATGCACGAGCATCTGGGCGAGGGATGAGCACTTACCAATCAAATACAGTAGTCGTGGACGTACTGACGAATGAAGGCCCAGGTGTCTATAGTATGAAAGGTAACATGGAATAATCTCCAGCATTTACAAGCTCTGTTTTGCGGCCTCAACCGCACCAAGTTCTTCTTTCGAACCCAGCCAAGCCAGCCAAGCGGTGGCGCATCACACGGGGTTTTGGCTTCCATCCTGGCTGGCTGAAAGCGGATGGCACCGCGCCCGGCTTGCTGCCAGCCTTGGCGTCTTTTGGCGCAAGGGGCAGTAGCTGAACAACCCCGCTCGGCCAGAGCTCTTTCCTGTCCGTCCCTGGCAACCTGGGCCGGACGGAGTAGCACAGGCCAGGTACCACTGGGGGCACTAAATACCACTAGTGCCCAGCACTTGCGGTAGAGCTTGCGGTAGCAGGGGGCGCCGGAGGTACTTGCGGGTACCTGATGCAATGAGATCGGCCAGGTTCCTGCATGCATCTCTGCCGGAAGCCGCATCTGGCCCCTGCGCGCCCGCTCGCTCTTGCAATCTTGGGTACTGGCACTGGAAGCTCTGCTGGGAGGACCTCTTGCCTGGCAGTTGCCAGTATACAGCATACAGTACGTACCTCGACTCCAAGGCTGAGTGAACTTCCATGTCCAATCGATCATCTTGCTCTCCTCTCTTAGCTCCTCACACCAAACGGCACCAAAATGCCACCAGGCGTCATCGATGGGTGCTAATGCGTCCTAATGCTCCCTTCGGACTCTCATCAACTTATTCTCACGCCCATGTACGAAGTACGAGTACTTGCGTCTGCACCACAGCGTCACGCCCTTGGTGGTACCGCCCAGAGCTCTGCTCTCTACTTCTTCTCTCCACCTGCCCTGCATCCACCGCCGCAGCCGGGAAATTGGCCCAACAGCCACGCGCCATGGCAGATGCCCGCTCACCAACCAGCTAGAAGCTACTAGCAGCTTTCAATTCTCACGATGGACCCGCCTTGCAGCATGGCCCGCGATTCCGGGTTTGACTTTGGGACCGTCCGTCAGAGATACAGGGAACAGAGCCATCGATGGACGAGGACAAGCATGTGCCACGCTTCCAAGGCGTACCAAGTACTGCCAGAACCGCAAGCACTAGGCATGTGGCCAAATGCCGTGCCGATGGAACTCATGCTGGCCGCATGCAGGTATTACCAGACCAAACTATTGGGCCGGAGGGGGAAGAGAAAAAAATGTGATGCCCGTTGCTTTTTGGCCACCAACCTGCCCCGTCCTCCTTCCCTCTCTCGCTTGGTGTTTTCATGTCTCACCCGATTTTTCATGGTTATTTGACCGTCTCCCCCCATTGTGTACTCAAGTGGCCTGCCTCCTGATGCAGATGAGACATCATTATTCAGTCTCTTGGTGCTCCTACACCAATCCCCTACCGCCGCTACCATACGTGTCTCAGCCCGCGCCAACTAGACCCGGGTGTAGACTCGCAAACGTATTAACCCTACCTGGAGGCAATTTTTCTTTCTTTTCCGTGTAATTACCTGAGCCTGTCGATACACTCTTTCGTGATTTTGCTCTTTCGCTTCATTCCAAGCAAATCTTTCCTCACCCATCATCACCACACCTGGTAGTTCTTGGATAATGCTCTATGAGCTGGCAAATATAACCGGAAGCCATTTCTGATCCTAGAAGCTTCGGTATTCACCGCTGGCGGTACTCATACTCGGGCAAGAACAGAAAACATGCTGAGAATCGCGAGGCTGCAGGCACTCTTATGCCTCCTGCTGGTGTTTCAACTGGCCGCAACCCAGAGCTTTCATGCGCTGAGGCGGGACGACAATTCCATCTCATCACCAACTGCCTCATCCAGACCAGAGCCCAGTTTGCAGCCCTCAGTTAGGAGAGAGTCGAATGACGAGCGCAAGCAAACTGATAGCCCGCGAGAATCAACAATTACGAAGGCTCCTGATACCACTACATCTGTAAAGCCAGCAATTCAAACCACAACCACTTCCATTACTTCAGAGATACCGCTTAATAATTCGACTTTGTTTAATGGTGAGCATACACCCTTAATGCTCCATTGATTGAAACTCTTGCTGACGAAGAGGGCCAGCAACAATACCAGCGGGCCATCTACCAATCCAACCCATCATAACGCCAGGATGGGGCGTTGCCGGTATCATTTTGATGCTCACTGGCCTTGTATACACCCTGGTGGGCATTAAAAATCGATGGATTAACTGCTTCTTCTCGACCGCCTTTATCACTGCGCTCGGAATCTCGGTCCTTATCGTCTACATCATGAACGTCCCTGTCAGCCGAGGTGTTCAAGGAGCATATGTCGTCGCCGTTACCTTATCTGGTTGCGCACTAGGCGCAGCATCCCTCATCTTCAAAGAGCTGACTGAAGGTTTGGGGTGTGCTCTGGGCGGCTTTTGTCTCAGCATGTGGTTCCTTTGTTTGGCACCGGGAGGCTTGATACAAGATACAATTGGTAGAGCCATCTTTATCGCCTGCATGTCTGTCGTTGGCTTTGGCTTTTATTTCAGTCGCTATACTCGAGATTGGGCAATGATTATCTTAATGTCCTTTGGAGGTGCCACGGTAATAGTTTTGGGCATCGACAGCTACAGCAGAGCCGGACTGAAAGAATTCTGGGCCTACATCTGGAATCTCAATGACAATCTGTTTCCCCTTGGTGCAGACACATATCCTATTACACGAGGTATTAGAGTCGAGATTGCCGCCATTGTCATAATCTGGCTGATTGGAATCATTTCCCAAGTGAAACTTTGGAAAGTGGTTCGAGAGAAACGGGAAAGAAAGGCTGCAAGTCTTGCTGAGGATCAGAGATACCTGGAACAGGAAGAAGAGATTGTCGGCCGCAATATTGAAGCGCAGGCAGCACGAGAACGAGTTGAATGGGAAAAGGTCTATGGAGGCAGAGTCCTGATTAACAGCACTGCTTCGCAGTACTCGGATGGTACCGATGGTGCCAGTAACAGCAAGAACTCCCCCGCTGGGCACTCCGAATCTGCCTATACAGGCTCCAAGGTTGACGTTATTGAGATGACGGACTTTTCAGATTCAAGTGCAGCGCAGGCCGGGACAGATGGGCTCATGTACGCCGAGATGGTTGACGACGGCAAAGTCATGGTGCGAGTGGCTGCAGATGAAGTAATCGAACCGCCGAACCATGACGAGGGTGAAGCGACTAGCGAGCAAGATAATGCACTCCGGGAGTCTGACACAGCATCTCATGATGGTGATAGATCAGTTTCAGCGGAAGATGTGGCCAAAGGGAAGCAAATCTCCCAAACAGGCTCAGTGACCGGACGTAGTTCTCGACAGAAGCACATCACAACGGCCCCTGAAGTTGTGCCCTTGCCATTCAAGATTCCGACAGAAGACGACCTAAAATCCGTTGGTGATCGGTCTTCGGTTGCAACTTTTGCTGACGATGAAGCTGTCGCAACTGCATCTCTTCCGCGAGATTCACTTGTCAAGAGAGTGTCACAAGGCTCAGTCACGCTGCTGAGAAGTTTGTCCCAGAAAAAGAAGAACACTTCTTCTGAGCATCAATTAGAGAACGGCGAAAGCTCTGAAGAATTAGTTGAGCCGGTAGTCATTCCCCACCATGACGATCAGTCGTCTCTAGCTGCAACTGTTGACTATGACAGCACAAGTGATGATGATGCGTTTAGTTCAGTTGTTGGCAATGACGAGCGGAAGAGCATTGAGATTACTGCAGAACTGGGCCAGGTTGAGAAGAACGAAGAACCAAACAGGACGGAATCAGAAGCTGCTGCTGAGAATAATGGTAGCAAAGCAGATGATGAGGTAACCCAAGAAGATGACAAACAAAACGTTCCAGCCGAGTCAAACGCAGGACCACGCCAAAAGGATGACGAGCCGAGCGGGGTGGGTGAGAATCAAGCAATGAGTGAGGATCAGGAAAAGAATAAAGGGAACTCAAAAGCCAAAGCTGGGGATGCAGTCGAGGCTGAAGAAGAAAATTTCATGCCTCGTGAGCAAGAATCCACCGTAGCTGCAAGCCATGCAGCTGAGGTCCTCAAGCCGCTCGAGCCCACTGAAAAAGCCACATCTCTTTCGTCGGCGACTTCAAACCTAGCGAGCTTGACTAAGGACCGGTTGCCTGAATCTTTGTCCAAGGTTGCCCTTTCATATAGGACAAATGAGTGGACCAAACATCTCAGCCATGCAGATACCCCAGAACCTGAAGCCATCTACATCGAGCCATATGCATCTGAACAAGATGCCGAAGTCCCTAGATATGTCGACATCGAAGACCTTCAGAAGAACTCAACCGGCGATACTGTCTCTCCTCCCACCGCTAAGAGGTCGAATTCCAAGACAACGCAGGTCTCTTTTGTTCAACCAAATCACAGGAGCAGTAAAAAGAAGCACCATATTTCCAACGTGGTTACTTCAGCTGCACTGCCTCCAAATGCTATGAGCCCCGGCGGGAGCCCCAAATCGCCTCCCATGGATGCCTCTCTCCAACCAGCTTCACCGACCCTGCGACGGACTTCTACTGGCTTTGCGCCAATCGTCGAAGAACAAGATGGGTCACAGGCGACCAATATGCCCACTTCAGAAGAAGCTATGCAACAAGACCGTACTTTCCGGCCGATTGTGCCTCGCGTCGTGTCTTTTTCTAATCCTAATACCCTGCTTAGTCAACGAGAGACTGTCCTCCGGAGTAGATCACAAGGAAATCTTGTTTACAACGTGTCCGAATTTCCTATAGATACACACGGATCGGTTGGTGACGCAGAATCCATCCACAACTATCCTGTGTACAATCGAGTGCTTAGCCCCGACCCTGATGAGCTTCCACTCAATCGACGGAGAGAAATGCTACGCCAGAGTAACATGACAAATTTACCACCTTCAAATTTTAGGCTGAATCGCTCAAGTAGCGGCGTTGAAGTTTCAGGCAATACGCAGTTCAACTCGCATCAGCCGAAGAGAGAGTCGACAGTCTCGTTGGTAGCCCGTGAGACAAAGCTCGCCAACTTCAGACAGTCTTTAGCTCACGACCTTCGATCTATGACTCCTGGCGTGCCCAATAACATGGCGCGTGAGACACCTTTTGCACCAACATCAAGTCTTATCGATGATATGGATATACAGCGCACCGTGTTAATGGAGAAGAGGGAAGCCGAATTACAGCGGAAGGAGATGCAGAGACGCGAAAAAGAATGGCAAGATCGCATGTTTGACAGCCGTATGAGGAGTGGCGACCTACTAGAGGCGCATCGAGAAGTTATACGGAAGATGCAGAGTTCTGCAAAAGATGCATAAATGATCAAGGATAACCGGAATCATCAGATAATGAGCTAATATGGCATCATACAAGTGGGCTTTTGCCCGGATTTTGTGTTTATTTTTTCTTGTTTTGGTTTGACGTATAACTGATTATCAAGACGTATAATGTTGGCGATACCAATTTCTTCTTCTTTGCTTGGATATACAAGGGATACTGGAGGCATGGCTTCGGATAAGAGCGAGCCTCAGGTAGTGGTGGATTATTGGGTGCGCACTCACTTATACTAGAACATAGAAAAAGAAAGAAAAATTCCATGAAAACACTCAACTCCAAAAGTCAGTCAGTTGGAATTTATCATGAAGGTTTCAAAGAAAAAGTGAAAAGTATAATTGCTACCAGCGGCTAGAATTATGTATGCTAGCTTCTCTCATTTTGGTGACGTATAGCTATGTAGCTAGGGAGAAGCAAGTGAAAATGATATGACTGAGCCTTTTCTCCACCTCCCTTATCATGTCATATGCATAGGTACGAAAATTGTAATACCGTGTATGTCAGAGAAAGACTTGCTACTTTCGAGACAAAATATAGACAGAAAAACATGTGTCAAATGGGTTAATAAGGCTTTGCTCCCTCAAAACCGAAATGCGCCGTCTTCTCTTCATACCCATAGCTATAGTGGCCGTAAGGATAACACAACTAATGTTCCCTTTCACCGTTGGCCCGATTCAGGGAAGAGTCGAGTAACAGGACTGGAGGAAGAGCCGCGATAGCAGGATGGCCGTTCTCGCTATTCCCATTGTCGTCTGACGAAATCTGTCTTGATGCAGAAGTTGAAGAGGGGATGAAGAGCTTAGCTTCTTCGTCGGACCAGATGGATTGGTGGGTGGGTTGGTGGTCGAGTGGCTCCAGGGGGGTAGAAGAGGATGCTGCTTCAGGGAATTTGAAGAGCGAAAGACTGAATGGAAGAGAGAAGTTGAGGCGGGTACGGAAGAGAAACGGGTTGGGATTAGGCACTTGGATAGGGACGTCCTGGTTGTGAATGGGAAGGGATATTGTGGGAGGGGGTTGTTGAAGAGTTGACAGTGTGGTTTGGTTGGAGCACATGTTTGTGAGGACGGTCGAGGTGGTTGTATTCTTTTTGGAGGATCTGGTAATGACTTGGTTAGTAATTTTTTCTGTTCAATGCTTGAAGCAAGAGACTGCTAGTTGAATGGCGATTACCTTGAAGATGCCGTGTAGCTGTTTGAGCAGCCGTTGGACAACGATGCCAGCGCTCTTGAGTCCGGATTATACTCTTCGTACAGACTGGGAAACACTTTCCCAAGTCCCACATATAAGAGTATCACTCGATAGCAATTCATGGCGTCTTTAGTCATGCCAAAGAAAACGAACACTGGTATAGCTGTTATGATGGGTACGTAGCAGATGTTCATGATCACCCATCCTATGTGGCTGCTCGACAGATAGATAATAGTATCCCAGGGGAGGCTTCGTTCGTTACTATGGATGGCGTTGAAGTCGAAAGGTTCCAAGGGACTGGAATTGATGATGTTGAAGGCTGCCATGGCGAGGGTAGTGGGAAGGAAGGGTATCAGGATGGAGATGACCATGAGATAGAGGCGGCGGCGGGCTCGCTGGTTGCGGACGTGAGCAAGGGGGTTGTTGGAGAGGGCGGACCGAGTTGCCTTGGCGATCTGACGGAAGCGTATGTAAATGAAGACTACGAGATATGTTAGAAGATGACTTGAAAGTTCATTTGATTGGTATACAAGGTACTTACTTGCATAGCCAGCAGTCATGACCGACACAATTGCCGGTGGGAGAATCTCAAAAACGATAGTAGGCCAGGCGGCAGCATTCGGCCAGAAACACCCAACCAGAGTGCCGACGTAATATCGCTGCTGTGCAAGGGGATACGTCCAGGCAACCTGCACAAGTGGTAGCGGGAAGATGATGAGAGCTTGGATGATGTTTCGCTTTCGTTTCTCCCTCCTAGATGGGGGGCTGGCTCTCAGACTTCCGACCTGGATGGCCAGGTTCCGCATAATGGCCAACAAGCATGTGGCATAGAGGCTGATGCAAAAGTTGTGCACAAAAGCGTCGAGGTCGCACAGGCCGTAGCCCGGCCACCAAGATTTCACATCGTCGTTGCGCCAGATGAGAGCAGTGACAATGTTACGCACGTTCTGCAACTCGACGTTGAGGATGAAGACGGCGGCGGCGAACTCTCCGTTACGGTAGAGCAGCTTCAAGGGGACGAGGCAGACGAGGTTGGCGATGATGCCAAATATGACACGGCAGACGAGGCCAGCAGTGAGTGATGGAGTGTTGTAGATGGTAGGGATTGGACCAAGGGCCAAGATGGAGGCATCAGAGGAGACTGGACTGAGGACTGAATCCATGATGGCGGTTTACACCAAGGCAGTGACTGAAGTGATGGCTAGCTATCGTGAGATTGAACAGACGCGTGGCAAATGAAGCAGGAAGAGATGGTGATAGAGATGGTGATACTGATGAAGATGGCGATATATCTAGAGAAGAGGAAAGAAGAATAAAGCTGATGAAGCAAAATTCTCACAACTTTTGAAGCAGACGAAAGCAAAAGAGCCTTTGCACATAGATGGATTCCAGGTTCAATAACGCATCACTGCGTAAAGGTGAACGGCCGACAAAAGAGAGTCAAGCAATTGATATATAGAGTCAATAGGACAATAAGGTACATCAGCAGAACTCGAGCATGTCATATTGCGAACAGCGTCTAAGCCCCCCTCAATACTCGAAATGATTAAAAAAAGCCCATCTTGATGAGACGAAAGCCCAATCATCAGCCCTTGCAACTGGCCAAGATGAAACTATTGTCTGCTAAAGAGCAGCAAACTGCAGCGGCAGCCTGCGAAGTGGGAGAAGCACGGCATCATGAACCAGGTTCAAGATCCAGCCCGCGCAGCCAATTGCTCGGTTTCTCAGCAACATTGCAGGGCATTGCCGCGTATACGGGCTGCACAGCGCAGCGGAAAAAAAGTACATGTCAATACATATGATGCTCTGCGGTGGGAAGCATGAGGCATCACGACACGGCAATCGCACGCCACAGACAGGTTTTCTGAAGTTTGTGTCAGTTTGGAGGCGTCTATTGAGGACCGCATTGAGCGTCTATTGACAACCGAATCGGGAAAGTCCGTGCACCCCCATCCCGCACCTTCAGTGGCAGCGGCTCCGGGATTTGGGCTCGAGATTTCGGATTTCAGGCAAGGCGTGGGAAATAAGGGGGGGATTGGGGACGGCTGTGGCTTGCTGTAGTGGTACGGATTTGGATGGTGGGCAGTCCGTTTGATGTTGTGACAAGGGGAGGGTTGAGTTTGAGGGGGCTTTATTGTGGTGATACCAGGTCACTTTGGTGGAGGGAGGAATGAGATTCGCTGCGGCAGCGGGTGAGAGTGCGCGGAGAGGCGGGAGGGCAGCCGGTGGAGGGATTTGATTTGCTGCAAGTGTTTGACAGGATGATGTCTAAGCATGTGTATATTTGCATTAGTACTAATTATGCTGTTACGCGCGTCAAAGTTATGCAGAGGATGTATTTATGTGTTGCTGTTGCTATTGTTATTGGTGTTGCACACATGAGGTTTTGACTTACATGCGGTTGGTACCTGCCAGGTACCTGTCAGGCGCTGCTAAAAAGATAGAGCATCCTAGTCACCCCGCAGTGACGACGGCTACAACCGCTTTGCCGCTGCTGATTTAAAGTTGTCTAGTACCTCGTATAGCGATGCTTCCCTTTACAGGCATATGAACCGCATTCCCTTCCCGTATCGCGTTGTTGATCTCACAACCGGGGACCGGAAAAATACCCCGCCATCCAATCATTGCTTAGAGAGCTTGGGCGTGGGTCCTGATCTTATCGCGGGCCGTTTGGCCTGAGGGAGAGAGCAAACGCAAAAAAACAACCACCAAAAGCTGTCTACGAAACTTTTTGCTGGCTATTAACCCCTTCTACGCCCCTCAATAGTCCCGTCTTTGCGTCGATTACCGATCACAATATCAAAATGTCGTCCTTCTTGCTGCGCCGCGCCACCGTCGCTTCTGCGGGAGCTGCTCGCGCATTCAGCACCTCCTCGCCTCGCTCCGTTGCCCGCATCACCATCATCGGCCACTTGGCTGATTCGCCCGAGGGCATGACTGCCGGCTCCGGGGAGAACACCAAAGAATACGTTAGATACACCGTCGCCAGCAACAGCGGGCCCAAGGATGCCCGCCAGACGAGCTGGTTCCGCGTTACTGGCTTCGTCGAAGGCGCGCGCAGGGACTTCATCATGAGCCTGCCAAAGGGGTATGTTTTTTTTTTGTTTTCGCGGGGCAAGAGGGGAATGAAAATCTCCGTGGCAAGGGACGTTGCTGACATTGAACTCGATTACTAGCTCCATGGTCTATGTCGAGGGTGATGCGTCCATCAGCTCTTACACCGATGCCAACGGCCAGAACAGACAAGGCCTCAGCATCGTCCAGCGTAGGCTATCCTCTCCTCCAAGATGGTTGGATTGTATAATTTCAGCAGCTTACTAATTCACTGATGCGAAATATAGGCAGCATCGAGGTTCTGAAGCGCCCTTCGCTCCCCGAGCAAGGCGAGTAAATCGACACAAATCTAGATGGCCGCAACTGGTTGGGAATGGGTGTTTGGCGAATTAGGAGGCGGATGGATGCCTGCTATGTAACTGTATTGCCTGATGATATGATGTACGATCTGTTATGGTGGATGAACCCTCGGCTCTCTTGCTAGCTTCTATGCGATGTACGCTCCCAAGGCTAGTTTGCCGGAGCATCTCTACAAAACCCACGCATGCTTGTGATGACAGCTCTATTGGCTTTTGGCATTTGGCCTGCTTCTTTGACTCTGATTCTATTTAACTTGCTACACCAAGCTGACGCTGTCCATGCAACCATATCCTGCTGCGACGCCTCCCTCTTCACTCTGGTCTCCCTTTGAACGGAGCAGATATCCTGCGCCCATGTTGTGGAGTATCTCTCCGCTGCCCTGGTTCCACAGACAAGTACCGTATACACCCAGCTCGCAGATGATGCCACCTTCCTCCAGGTGGCCATTGCGAAGGATGATGTTTGAAACAGGAGGCGGTACAATCAGTTCCATGAGGATGTATGCGCTCCAGTGGGACTCTGGCAGCGTCTTGAGGAACTCGGGGATGGCACTGCGGTAGATGTTGTTGCCTCCACCCTCTCGCTGGGGTTTGAGAACATATGCCTTGCAAAGTTCAGGATCCAGGGCCTTCTTCCGTGCTTCTAGGCCGGCCTCGGATGTGTCCATGGGGTAAATGTTGGTAAAGGTCTTCCAGAGCTCGGCCGCCGCTGGGGTGCTATCGTTGATGAATTTCCCGAGAACGGACGGCTCGGATGATGGCCGGGGAGTGGCGAGCACTTGTTGGACCTTTTTCGTACCGGCAAGCTGGGTGAGAATGCTGGGGCACTTGATCGCACCCGACCGCTCTAGGTGGTACCTGGCGTCCCAGGCCGTTTGATCGGGATAGTCGTTGGTGTGATAACCGGAGCGTATGTAGATGACGGCTACTTCAAAAACCTTGGACGGGTCACGGGGAAGATGATAGAGGAGCTGGCGTTTCGGTGTGTTGGCGAGGGTGGTGTGCTTGAGGATGTCGGCAATGGCAAGTCTGAAAACTGGTATCGTTGGCGATGACTGGGTGACTTGGTACTCCAAATGGCGTTGATCAAAGATGTTGCGTTCACCGCCCTGTACCAGGAAGATGACACACTTGGCATAACCTAGCTCTGATTTGGGGTATGCGTGAAAAGCGGCTTGAATACCGCCGGCCAAGCCCTGGATGCTCTGGTTGTCGGGAAGATTGAGTGAGTCGGGCGCCAGGGCATTTTGGAGTAGGGGGTACTCGGTAGCAGCCAGGAATCTATGAAACCCCATTGCTTGTTAGCTTCCGTCACTATATAGAAATATGAGACTGCATCGTGAACTGACTTGTGTAGTTTTGAGGTGTAAGCTGATAGGCCGCCAAAGGACGCGGCGATGGTGTTAAATTCAACCTGCTTTGCCTGGACCGACGGGGGAGAGGTCGAGCTGTCTTGGTGAACCATGTAGTCTGATCTAAACAAACCCAAGGACAAGGGCTAGAGTTATGGATGATGAATGAGCATGACGTTCATAGATTGAAATGAGTTTAAAATGGCGATGTCGTATATACCTGCGTGTAGCCCTCGGCCTTGACCTTGAGATGAACATCCCACAGGTTGCGAATGAAGTCGTCACCATCCATGACCCTGAGCAGACGATGTCAGTCCGATGAAACCCACACGAAAAGCGAATACTGCTCACTCCTTGACGGTTTGCTCCAGAAATGCCTCGTCACGGCTCACAGCCGCATACAGCTCATTGTAAGTCTGCTGCACTGCCTGGCCCTGCTCGAAGCACACCTTCGGGAACGGACTGGGGAAGAGAGTGACCGGGACGTTGACGGCGGTGATACCCGCTGGATCTGCCTCAGCCGGGATGACCGCAGGGGGCGACCGCACTGCGAGGCCATTCGCAATGGCCCAGTCCTTGACGACTTCGACGAGAGCATTCTTCTCAGTCTCTGTCAGTGGTGGGGGGAATGCCCCGCTCGTGAGGGAAGCCATGTGAGGTGATGGAGGCCTCGTTGGCGAAGATAAAATTAGCTAGTTGAAGACTGTTGGGTCTGAAGAATGGCCGGCTGTTGCGATGAAGAATTTCCAAGTGTGGTTGTTGGTTGTGTAAGATTGCCCAACTCGTTGGGTAGGATGGGACATTAATACTACCTAGGGCGCGATGTCGCTGAGCGGCTTATTAATTGCACTACGGAGTACCTAACTTGACGCCAGTCCCCTGTAAACCACGCTTGCCACGTTTGTCTGAGACCCTGGACAGTTAGCCGCAACCTAGCGGTTCCCGCTTTGGCACTACCGCCATGGACTGAGACGCATGGATGGCTCCCGTCATATTTTTAGCTTTGGTGGGCGGAGGCCGGCATAAAAAAAACAAAACCTGGAGAGGAAACTTGAGGGGAGGAAAAAGGAAAGAAATCCGGACAACAGATAAAAGCGCCTGGCCGCGCCCGTGGCCGCTGGGCAGAAACAACTGGAGGGGAAAGTTTGATCCGCTGCTGCATCTGTGATTTGAGCAATTCGCAAGTCACGTGAAGGCGTGCAGTGAATCGCCTTTTTCTCGTCCAGCAGCTCCAACCAACGCGCCTTGAGCCTGGAGGCGAGTCACGCACTGCACAGCACAAACAAATGAGCATGTCGTTTGCATCCGATCATTAATCGTCTGTGCGGATCTTACATTCTTCTTTGTTGTTGTTGTTGTTGTTGGTTTTCTGGAAACGTGCCTTACGCTATTATTATCTCCTTACCCTGTTATTCCTTTCTCTTGCGGATAAGACGAGAGGCTCAGGCAATTCAGCACCTTCTTCTGGTCACTATAGAAACAAACGACCCTGCCGCCTCTACCTACCTGATCATTTCCATCTCCATCTCCATCATCTCATCTCATCTCTGCATTCCTTCTCATCTCTTTCTTTTTATCTCCAGTTCTTTCGACTTGTTCTCCTAATGCACGTGCTGCTTTCAGCTGGAGACACCCCAGTAAGTCCACTCCCCATTTTCTGTGCCTCAATCTTTTCCCTACGACGCTCGCAATCGCCTGTGGCTACTTTGCTCTTCTTTCCACCCGAGAATGAAACAACGAGAAAAATACATGCTCAGGCTTATCACATGTGAGTGGCTAACATTTGGTAGTGGATTCATTCGCACTGACTACGCCCGTGGCCCAGATGGGCACTGCGGCTCAGAACGATCCATTCCATTGGGACTCGGATACCCTTTCAAAGGAGCTTTGTTCTCAGAGCCGTCTATGGGCTAAAAATCCGGCTTCGTTGGCCGCGAAGCTCGCTAATGAAGATGTCGACGGATTCACGCTACTTACCTATGAGTTTCATTTCTCAAGGAAAGAACTGCAAGAAACTCTCGGCCTGATCACTGCGCGTAGCAAAGCAGGTCTAGCAGAGGCCATCCTCAGTTTCCAAGCGAGAAGTCCAGCTTTTCGTTCATGGAAGAAGGATTGGTCGAGAAGACACTCTGTTGTCAACACCCAAGACGAAGGAGGCGACGTCAAAGACGAAGTTGCCCTTACACCTTTGGTGAAGCCGAATTTGGTGATAGCACCCGATGCAACCCTGCATGGCTACCCACCCCAGCATCAATCAGAACAGAGGGATGAAGCACAGTCAAGACCTATTCAGGACGCTGCACCTTTGGACAGTTTCTTTTTCGAGCCCGACGCAGACTACGCAATGCAAATAGCAAACGGAGATTCGGATCCCCGTATCGAGACAGACTCTACCGATGGCACTGCTTTGCCACCCTCTGAAACTGTTCACTCCTTGACGCCTACTCAACAAAGCGAAGAACAGCCTTCTAAGCGGAGACGGCTGGCGCCAACAAATTTGAGTACGAAGCCTCTGGCTGATTCGGACCCTTTTGCATTGACGCAATCTCCATCGTTTAATTTAGTGGACAAAGCCGAGGAACGAAGCAACGATGATGAACACTCCACCGCAAGAATTCCTTCGGGATATGCCTATCTAGGTGAAAAGGGTCGGCATCACCGTGTCGTTCTGTCTCATATTGGCTCCCCTGACACCCCTTGGGTAAATCTCAGCGGAGGTGGATTTGCGATCGTGTCTTCAGAGCACAAGATACCTCCCGGGAAGAGACTTGCTACAAATAGCATCTTGCGGAAGCAACTAATTAAAAACTCCAAAAAAGAAGCTTTGCGCAAGCAGGGATACGATCCTGGTCGATCACCAACTCCTTCTTACAGAAGCGAGTCTGTGGTTGATCTTAACGACCTGCCGGATTCTTGGGATGAAGAGACGCAGCGAGAGATTGACGAAGAAAACGCAGAAGCTGCTGCAAGGGAGCGTGAACTTGCCCGTCATCTCTCCAAGGAGCATGCGGAATCCGTGTTGAAGGAAGAAATGGCTGTTATGGAAGCTAAGTGGAAAGAAAAAAAGCTGCCCAGATACAATCTCAAAGCCTACAAATTTTGGATGGACTCCAGGCGAGAAGAAAGGACCAAGAAGATGATATTTGCGGCTCGAAGAGACGCCGAGCGTTATGAAGGGCGATTAAAGAAGCTATATGCCGAGATACTCGGTAACATTTGGCAATCGGAACGAGAGCTCAGAACCCAAGCAGGCGTCATGGAACAGAGTTTGAGCGACAAGCTGTATAGTACATGGCTCATTGAGCTTCTAGAGCAACGCGACCCTCCGCCTAAGCCTTTGCAAACGCCAAAGCCAAAGCCGAAGTCATCAACAGCAAATCTTTCCTCGGGTTCTTTTGATGACGAAGTGCTGACCAGTTCCGACGAAGGCGAATTCATTGTACCTGACGAAAACGATGACGACGACGACGACGACGACGACATGGTTATGGCCGACACAGAGCCCTCTCCAGATGCTCCCCAATTGCTACCATTGCGACTCACTCGTGAACCAAGCTGCCCCCCATCTGATGTTGAATCCGACATGGTTGTCGATCTTACGCTTCTGGAGTCTCCAGAGACGATCAAAGACAGTAAAACGGCAATTCAATATATTGATTTGACCTCTCCGGTTAAGCGTGAAGTGAGCATGGCTCGTTTTGTTGCGGAGAAATCATTGTCGGTATTCGATTTACCCGAAGAGGTGCCACCTATGGATCATTTGGGTAGCCTAGAGGCCATCGGTGAACATACTGCAAAACACTGGGCAAAGCAGAAAGATCGATGGAGATTAGTCCTCTGCCTATTGCGGAAGCTTCCACAGACTCGCCGTGGGTGGATTTTCCAACTAGTACAAGCCAGGGCCCCAGAGGAAGCCTGGCAGGCCTCAGTACCCTTGTATCAGACAAATCCCTTTGGCAAAGAATCCGACATTGGAAAAGAGGAGACAAAGACTGTCGCATTCGATATTACAAAGCTCTTCTTGAGCTTCACACAGTGCCGCCAGTACACAGATGGGCGGATAATCGCTTTGGATCAGAAAGATAAAAACAGACTCAATCGCGCAGAATATTTTTTCTCAACTTTCCATGCCTTTATTAAAGAGTGGGCGCCCCAATTCCCACAAAGCAGTCAAATTTTCAGAACAGATGCCTTCGACGATGAAATTGGGTTAGATGAGGCTGATGAGTATGGACCGAACATAACCGATACGCCCTCAAAGGCGCGCAAACTCGCGGCTAAAGAGATTGTTCAGAACAAGGAAGGTGTTGATCTTCGAGAACGGGAGCGGAAGCGTGCAGAGGAACTTGAGGCTCGCCGGGTGAAACTGCGGGCTGCACTGGCAACTTCAAATGCTATTCCTGTGGAAAAGTCTCGAGTCATTATCAACGAGAGCAAGGAAGATGACCAATCATTCATTTACGTGAACGATGAAATCGGAAAGCTCATAAAAAATCACCAGATCAATGGTGTTCGATTTCTCTGGGAGCAGATTGTTCTCGATGCAAACGAGAGAAAGGAGCGTCAGGGCTGCCTCCTCGCTCACACCATGGGCCTAGGAAAAACGATGCAAGTTATCACTTTTCTTGTGGCTGTGATTGAAGCTGCCAACTCAGATGATGAATCCGTACGCTCGCAGATTCCTAAGGAACTTAGAAAATCTCAGTCGCTTGTCCTATGCCCTGCTGGTCTCGTCGATAATTGGCTCGACGAGATATTGATGTGGTCTCCTAAAGGCTTACTTGGCCATGTGTTCAAAGTCGAATCAGCTCAGAAAGGAGACATACGCATGTCAACTGTCAGGGACTGGGAACGAGAGGGTGGTGTCTTGGTTATTGGGCATAAAATGTTTGAAAAATCAGATAACGACATGCGAGAGATACTGACACAGACGCCCAATATTGTCATCTGTGACGAGGCCCATGTCATGAAAAATCCAAAATCCAAGATTCATCGCGCCTGCCAGGAATTTCGGACCAAAAGTCGAATTGCCTTGACTGGCTCTCCGCTGTCCAACAATGTCGAAGAGTACTACTGGATGATCAATTGGGTAGCGCCAAAATTCCTCGGGCCCCAAGAAGAATTTCGAGACATATACGTAAATCCGATACAGTGCGGGCTGTGGCATGATAGCAGCGGGTATGAGAAACGGAGGGCTCTCAAAATGCTAGAAGTGTTGAAGCTAAATGTTGCACCAAAAGTGCAGCGAGCCACGACTCAGTGTGTCAAACATGAGCTGCCTGCAAAGTATGAATTCGTCATATTTGTTGAGCCAACTCGCACCCAGAAAATGCTTTACAACCTCTACTTGACCGAAATGGCGCCGTACTTGGAGGACTCGAAGCAGGCAAAGATATTCAGCGCCTCTGAGCATCTCAGGCTCATCTGCAATCATCCCCGTTGCTTCAGGCAAAAGGTGTTGGAAATGTCGTCCAAGGCAAATGTGCCGGGGTCATCAAGGGCCTTGACAGCGGCACAACAGAGGGAAATGGACGAAATTGAAGACGACACAGACGACGATTGCGTTGACAAGATCAAGGCTCCGGCAATGACCTTTCCCCAGAGTATGATCTCTAGCGTTCTTAAGGAGACAAACAGGGCTGATAATGCCAATCCTACTCTGTCACGAAAAGTTGAGCTTCTTCTCATGGTTCTGGATGAAGCACGTGCCATAGGAGACAAGGTTCTCGTATTTAGTCAATCTCTCCTCACGTTGAACTATCTCGACAATTTGTTCAAGCAGCAAAGGCGCGCGGTATGTCGTCTGGACGGTTCCACAGCCGTTTCTAAACGGCAAGAACAAATCAAAGCCTTCAATACTGGAAAGCAAGAGATCTATCTCATTTCTACGCAGGCCGGCGGCGTAGGCCTCAACATTTTCGGCGCCAACCGCGTTGTTATCTTTGATTTCAAGTGGAATCCAGTGACGGAGCAACAGGCGGTAGGACGAGCCTACCGATTTGGGCAAGAAAAGACGGTGTACGTCTATCAATTCGTCGTTTCGGGAGCCTTTGAGGAAGCTTTGCAAAACAAGACTGTCTTCAAGATGCAACTCGCGTCGCGCGTTGTGGACAAGAAGAAACCAATTAGCTGGGGCAAGCGAGTAGGGGAGTTGCTTCAGCCCATAAAAACAAAGCCGGCCCGGGACCTCAGCCACTTTAAAGGCCGAGACAGGATACTGGACAAGCTCATCGAGCATTCTCAACCTTGCGGCGCCATTCGTGAAATTATCTCAACAGATACGTTTGAAGAAGAAGATCCCACCAATGAATTGACAGAAGCGGAACGAAAAGACGCCCAAGAGCTGCACGACCTGCAGCGGATAAGATATACGGATCCTGAAAGATATAGGATGATGTTGGATCAAAAACAAAGAGCAGAACAGATTTTGGCTATGGCTACAGCCGCCAGAGTTGATACTGACCTTTCAGACATGCAATTGCTTGAGCGGGATTTGTACATACCACCGTCGAGCCAGCCGGTGACGCGCATCGCTGGCCTCGCCTACAACAGGGCAGCGGCACCAAATGCGAATACGGAGCCGCTTGTTCAGGCACAAGCAGCCGGTATTGCACCATATGGCCCTCCAGTAAGTAGTACAGGATGCTTTATCGAGAGTTCATAACTAATACTTTGGGAAAAGGCACACACACCGCAGTTTTCATCGTCAGCCCCATTACCCATGACTGGGGCAAACACTCATATCCTAACATCTGGTGCATCCTCTATACTTCCAACAATGCCATTGAATGCGGCAGTCAAAGAACCGGAATCTGGAAAAAAACCCAGACAGGAACTGGGATCATCATTAACGGGTGCGGCACCTGCTATAACGCCAAGCATGGGAACATCATTATTCAGCCAACCCCGAAGTCAAGTTAAGATCGATTTCGAGAATGAACTAGTTAAATCGATGGAAACTCAGCCTGAATTCAAAGGCAATGCGGCAAATGTGGCAAGAAAGCTCATCGAGGGCATTACCGTGGCACAGAGAGTTCAGGGTCGTGGATTTCTCCCTGACAATGCTCGATGGCGCTCGTTGCTTGGTCATATACAGAGGCACCACCGGTTCATGCTTTCAATAGCATGGGGCAATTGTACGCCCCTATACTTGGCAACAGCGCCAGATGAGGAAATCCAAAATAGGATCGCAATCATGAACAGCCAATCAGAGGATGATTTTTTAACCCAGTTACGACGCACCCTTGAGACGCCTGACCCAAGTGTAAGTTTGACGACACCCTTTTCCTCTTATGACAGGTTGTAAGTATAGTCCTTTTGGATATTCCCTGTCACACATACACTCTCTCTCTCCCTTTACAAAGGACTGGACTAATATTAACAGAACTTGAACAATATCGATCGGCCAGTGCCACAATCAGCTCGAGCTACCGAAGACGTGCAGGTAATGCGGCGAGCAGCTGATAAAAGAACAAATCATTGCTTTCAACCACTACCGACATGGGCAAACACTGCACTCTCTCAGGCCCAAGGGCAAAACGCCGTAAAAAGAAGATGAGTACATGCGATATTGAGAACAGTGAAGCGGGTTCATTCTGGTGTTTGCGGCATTCGTGCGGCGCAGTGCGGCGTTTGGGCGGCTAAACTTTTTAAGCCTCTTTTTCATTTTTTTGCTTCTCCTGCTCTTTAGTCTCATGTCGGTTTATGTAGAAACAAGATACCCACTACTCCACACGGAGCATAACGGCAAGAGTGCGGTTGCGGCTTCGCCTTGCTGTTTGGCTTTTCTTTTTTTTCTTCTTTATTAGGGATTGCATTCGGTTCTGGCAAGTTCGTTGCAACATGGGGAGAAACGCGGGGTGTGATTTTGGACTCTCTTTATTTATCACTAGGACAGAGAACAGGTTCTGGTGCATGTAGGAAATGCGAATGTTGATGCATGGGCAGCCAAGGCAGCTTTTAGTGGACGTACTCGTATGCGGTCTAGAACAGCCAAATCGTACGAAGGCCAGAAACATCAGTCCATAAAGTGACGAATGGAGTCATTGGCAATGGACCATCCGATTCGAGTGCGAACACTTCAATGACAAGCCAGAATTACACATAGCAACATAAGTTAAAGTACGGAGTGACAGCATGCCGCAATGGCAATGCATGTATTACTCGCAGCCCGCAGTCGGGCAACGAGAATGACGACAGGCATGTGCACTCCGAATTAGTATTAAAACTGGAGAAAATATTAAGACCAAAAAAAAGGGCTCAACCAACTCTTTTTCCAATTGCCATGGCCCTAACCGGAGATCCGAAATGCAGGGCAGGCCAGGCCAGCCAATCAGCGGCGAGGCAATGTCAGACCGACCCGAGAGAGGCCGAAGCAAGCGGGTGGTCTGACGGCTGAGTGGCTGGGCTGCAGGCGCTATAACGGCCGGCTTTGCAGGGGCTTCTAGAAAATGCGCAGCGAGAGGCCGGAGTCGCCAGCGGCTTGACGGTAGTCTGGCAAGTCTGGGTGGGCGAATATTGGCGGCTCCGGCATTCGGGAAGTGAAGTTGTGGGGGCGTTGTGTAGTATTGCGTCTAGGGACTGTAAGTAAGACGGTCTGGTTGCCTGGATAGATATTGGCGCCGTCCCCAGCCTCGGATGGACGAGATTCCATTGTCTTCTACTTCTTCTTCTACCCCTTCTTCTTCCTGCATTCTTCATCAACTCTGTGTTTGACCCCTCCCATTGGATTCGACCTTCACTGGGACAATTCTTTCTGCAAAGCAATTGCTGCTGTTGACAGGTCTTGGTGTGCAGTGCAGTGCAACCTGTTGTGTTCGGGACAAATCTGGAACGGCGGGCTTCGGTGGCTGACTATTCCTCCGCTTTTCTGTCTCACCAACTCTGACTAACCACCCGCCTTTTTTTTTTACATCAACTTCCTCATTGTTGCCACGCTTACCCGCAACTTTGAACCTGGAACACCACAATTCTAGGGTTCTACCATCGACAATCCTACACCCAGCGACAATTTGATCAAAGAAAAAAAGAACTATTCGCCATGGATAGCGTCCTGCGTCAATCCAAGGCCATGTGCCCGTTCTTGAAGTCGGCCTCGCCCGCGACTCTCCGCGCCATGTCGACCGTGGCCCGTCCCAAGGCCTCGCCATTGGGCGGCACCATGTCCAAGCTGCAGCTGTATGCGCACCGCTGCCCCGTCATGGGCAAGGCCATGGCCGTCCAGTCGTCCAAGTACGGCGCCGCGGCTGGCATTCGAGCCTTTTCGGCGCAGACCAAGACTGGCAAGGCCAGACTTCACACGAGCCGCAACCAGGAGGCTCGGGCTGTGGAGAGCCCAATCCTCGAGGGACGCAAGAATGGTAGGTTCAGCTTGAAGTTAACAATTGATTTGCCCTGATGTTCGTGTTCCAACTAACATGTTTTCTCTGTTACAGCGCCGCCTCCTCCTCCCACCATGGCTGCCCGCAAGGATGCGCAGCCGGTCGCTACGACGCCGTCCGTCTTCAGCTCGGCCGGCAAGTTCTCCTATGAGGATTTCTACCAGTCCGAACTGGACAAGAAGCACAAGGACAAGTCGTACCGCTACTTCAACAACATCAACCGTCTCGCCAAGGAATTCCCGGTTGCTCACATGGCCACCGGGGAGGACAAGGTGACCGTCTGGTGCGCCAACGACTACCTGGGCATGGGTGGAAACCAGCATGTGCTCAACACCATGCACGAGGCGTTGGAGAAGTACGGTGCCGGTGCAGGAGGCACCAGAAATATTTCCGGACACAACAAGCACGCCGTTGAGTTGGAGGCAACGCTGGCCAAGCTGCATGCCACTGAGTCAGCCCTCGTTTTCAGCTCTTGCTATGTCGCCAACGATGCCACTCTGGCCACTCTTGGCAGCAAACTCCCAGACTGTGTTATCCTATCTGACAGCTTGAATCATGCGTCCATGATCCAGGGCATTCGTCATTCCGGAACCAAGAAGATTGTATTCAAGCACAATGATGTCGCAGATCTCGAAGCCAAGCTGGCATCGCTGCCTCTGCACGTCCCCAAGATTATCGCTTTCGAGTCCGTTTACAGCATGTGCGGCTCCATTGGACCCATTGAGAAGATTTGCGACTTGGCTGAAAAGTATGGTGCCCTCACCTTTTTGGATGAGGTTCACGCCGTGGGCATGTACGGCCCAACCGGCGCTGGTGTTGCCGAGCACCTGGACTGGGAAGCCCATGCCAACGGCAAGCCCCGCGGAACCATCATGGACCGTATTGACATTTTCACCGGCACTCTGGCCAAGGCCTACGGATGTGTTGGTGGCTACATTGCTGGCAGCGCCAAGTTTGTCGACATGATCCGATCGCTCGCCCCGGGCTTCATCTTCACCTCAACTCTGCCACCAGCAACAATGGCCGGCGCCAGGGCCTCTATCGAGTACCAGATGGCCTATGATGGCGACCGTCGCCTGCAGCAGCTCCACACTCGCGCCGTCAAGGAGGAGCTCAACGCTCGCGACATTCCTGTTATTCCTAACCCGTCTCACATTATCCCCATCCTGGTCGGTAACGCTGCTTTGGCCAAGCAGGCCTCGGATCTTCTCCTCCGAGATTACAGGATCTACGTCCAGGCCATTAACTACCCCACCGTCCCCGTTGGCCAGGAGCGTCTCCGTGTCACTCCTACTCCCGGCCACACCAAGGAGCTCCGTGAGAAGCTCGTGACCGCTCTTGATGAGATCTGGACCCGCCTCGATATCAAGCGCACTTCGCAATGGGCTGCCGAGGGCGGCTTCATTGGCGTCGGCGAAGAGGGCAACGTCCAGGAGCCCCTGTGGACTGATAAGCTGCTGGGTGTTGAGCAAGCTACCAAGGAGATCAAGGCCGCTGGTGTTCCCGAAAACGGCATCACCGAGGCTCTGCTCGCCCGCGAAGCACACAACACCAACCGCGTGATGGACGTCTCGGCTTAGAAGACCGGGCGCCATTGTGCCATGGCCGCAGCTTGCTTCAAGCCCGCTGCAAATCAAGTTCCTTTCTCCATATAACCACTTTTGATGAACACTTTTTTTTTGATGCACCCACGACAGCTAAAGCTGCACACAAGATGGGATGATGAATACAATAAGTTTTTTTGGCGTCTTACAAGATGCCACCTATACCTTTCTAGTGCCTCTGCATTGTGCCCTGTGTCTGTTGTGAATGACGTACCTTGTCGTACGGTATTACTTGTAGCCTTCTTGAATCGGAACTAACGCCCTGTTTATATGAATGTTTAATTGAATTTCACTCGGTTGGCCAATAAGACGCCGATGATTGAAAACCGCGTCATTCTCACATGCTGCATGTAGGCACTGTATCGCCTGTCACTTGTACTCCGTAATACTCTATCAATCTGTCAATCTGTTATGTCTCGCAGCCAACGTGATGCCCGCCTCCCCCATTCGGCCTAGCGCCCCGGAGCTGGAAAAATGTCTCGGATGCCAGCCGCAGCCCGCGGAACGTCAGCCCCACAAATTCCGCTCCTGTCCACGAAGTCCAAGACGGACGTCCGGCGCAATTTCGACTCCGACTCTCCGTTCTTTCTGGCTTCATGAGCCTCGCTGGGACGTCCGTTTCTGCAGAGGCCCCCAATGAATGAGTTCCCTTTTCTCTCTCTCTCTCTTTCACATTGGCTTTTTATTTTTTATTCTCTCTGCTTCTGATGGATGTGTGCTGACTGGATGAATGGCTGCCTATTTCGATTTCTTGTGCTAAAATTCACACCACCACCCCTTCTTCTTTGTCTTCTTGTTTAGTGCTTTTTCCATTATCTCCTTATCAACGACTCCCTTCTCCGTGATATCAAGGACGGAGCAACCTACGGGCCAAGCTTACGGAGCAAGCCATCATCAGCTCCGTATCTGACTTAAAGAACTTGGGTACCGCGCCAGGATTTCCAATACCCCGTGTAAAAAGACAAAACAAAAAAAAACAAACTAAACCTCCACAAAAAGAAGCCTCGGCATCCACAACAGAGAGCAAGGGAAAGGCAAGCATCAGAAAACTCACCGTCCCGGCGCGCCAGCCGGCCATGGAGCCCACTAATAAAGGTCCCAAGGCCTGCACGACATGTGCTAAGGCCAAGGCGCGGTGCATTCCCGGCCCGGAGAGGAACAGCAAGTGTGAAAGGTATGTGAGCTCTGCATCTGGGGTTTACCCGCGATTCTGGGTGTGTTTTGTATTTTGTATTCCTCCGGAGCCCGATCCCGGGGGGGGGAGCATGCGTGGGGTTTCCTGTCTCTTCCTCGGAGGGACGCGGGGACGGGGTTCTGTTTTTGGTTCTCGGTGCGGCTCCGGAGAGATTTCCGGCTCTCATCTTTCTTTTTGGGTTTGGCTGCTTTTATGGTTGTTACTTGATTCTGTTTAACTTGCAGATGGGTTTATTAATACGTTGCCGTGTGTTAGGTGTCAGAGACTAAACAAGGAATGCGTCTCGCAGCGGCCCGCCCCGCCCCGGGCCAAGAAGGCGCCCAAGAGATCCAGGGTGGCCGAGCTGGAGAAGCGATTGGACGAGCTGTCGTCGCAGTTTGTCGATGGAGTCGTCGCCGTGAATCCCAGGCCCAAGCCGTCTACGGGGCCGGGATCGGTATCGACGTCGTCGACCAATGGCCTGTCCGTTACTGAGCGCCCCGGACAGGGACAGGGACAGCGCCAGCAGCGGCGGGAGAGGACAAAGTGTGACAACATTGTCACGTTTGAGTATCTGTTCCCGTCACCGAGGTCAGAGAGTGCCGAGGCTTCGGGGTGGAGCTCCGAGGCTGGGAGTAATGACTGTGTTGCGGCCGAGAGGCTGTGGCCCGATCCGGCAGAGGCGGAGGCCTTGCTGTTTGCGTATCATGAGACGCATGCTCCCTTGGCGCCGTTTGTGGTCGTGCCGAAGCATCTGACGGCGGCGGAGCTGCATCGGCAGAGGCCGTTTTTGTGGAGAGTGGTGATGATGGTCGGCTGCTTCTCTGACGGGCCGAGACATCATCGGTTGGGAAAGGAGGTGTTGGCTGAGTTGGGGAGGCTGGTGGTGATGGATGGAAGCAAGAGTCTTGAGTTACTACAGGGGCTGCTGTTGATAATAAGCTGGTGAGTGGACTGTGTTTTTGCCCTGACTAACGATTCGCATCCCCCCTTCCCCAGCTTGGGGATGTGATGATGATGATGATGATGATGATGATGATGATGATGATGATGATGCTGATGGTTATTTTGTCCACGTCAGGCAAAACTTTGCCTTGAGGAGTGCGCAGTTGACAAATCTGCTCTTCCTCGCGAGGTCGATGAGTCTGACTGCAGCCAGCCCCGGAACTCCATTCTGTGGCGCCAACTGTAATAAAGGCGAGATCAAATGGGGAGAGCTGGAATATGCACGAGCATACGTAGGGACATACTACGTCAACGCCATGTAAGTTCAGAGGCCCCGGAAACGCAAGGATCCATATCGTTTTCTCATTTCTAACGGGGACCCAAAATAGCGTATTCAATACGAATAAAAAGGCAGATGCCTTTATGAACACATCGCAGCTCGATGCTTTCTGCAATCTCCTTACTTCGCCGGGAGAATATCCGTCTGATATCTACTTGGCTAAGCTTGTCAAGATACAGATGCTGTCGCAGTCGATATCCATGGCTATGACTTTTGATCCTGCGCAGCAGCAGCCGATGCAGCTGCCCCTGACGATGGTGGTGCAGACTTTCCAGGAGCAGATTGATGCATATCGGGCATCGTTGCCACCTCATCTTGTTGATAATGGCAAGTTTTTTCTTCTTCCCCCCTCTCTCTTCTTCTTTAGCATCTCCTTTTTTATGTTACTACTTCTATAAACACACCCGTAGCCATCAACATTCTAACACCCTCGCAGGCACTCTCCAATGCCACTTGGCCATATCAGAAATCCTCCTCTCCGACATCTCCATCTCCGACCCCCACTGCTCCTCAGTCGCCCTCCCGCACGCCGACCGCATCCAGCTCCTGTGGTCCTGTCTCCGCTCCCTCCGCCGCTTCTACACCGTCCACGCAGCGGTCAAGTGCTGCGACATCAGCGACAAGGAGCAGCGCTCCTTCCTCGGCCTCAACGCCTCGGATCTCGCATACACCATCATCACAGGCATCAAGTTGCTGCTCGTGCGGCTCCCTGGCTGGGATCCCCGGTACATTGTTTCCGAGCTGTGGATCCGCGAGATGCTGGATAAGGAGATTGAGGATGTGGGCGCAGTTGTGGCGCGGAGGGAGAGCGATCGTTGGATGGAGGAGGATCCGTTGGGCAGGATGCATAAATTGCTAAAATACGGGAGGGATCTGATTGAATTTCAGCTACAGAAGCTCAAGTTGGAAATGGACGTAAGCAGCAGCAGTGATTCCACGTTATCGACACCGTCGATGGTGAATAAGGGAGAGGGCGGCCAAGGGTGGGTGATGATGGGAATAGAGGATCTGGACGATGACTTGTGGCAGAGCTTCATGAACGATACGGCATGGGGCTTGAATGGGGAGCCAATGGTGATGGATGCGTTTTAATATGGTATTTGGTTGACTGTAAGATTGGGCATCGAGAGCTTCGTGGGATACGGATCCACGGATCGATCCACAGACTGAATGAATGGGTATTATCAGGCATTGCGTATCAAAGCAAGCCGCAATGGGTTCGGAGTATATTAGCGCTTTTGTATTTTAGCACGGCAGGGAACATGCATCATAGGGTTTCTCTTCTCTCAATCGCTTCTTTCAAGATCCCAGTCCTCCTTTTTCTTTGTTTATATATCAACCGCTGCCAATCCATTGCTTATTTACTCCATTCACTCTACCTCGAGAGTTTCAATCTTGGACCTTGCTAGCCATGCAACATCTCCCTTTGCCGTCTCTGTCCGAATTGCGCTCAGCTCATCTATAAACGCCGGCACAAACGTCCCCGGTCCTCGAACATCATCCCTCACAGCCGCCCTCTCCGACGCAATCTCAAACAAGACCATGCCCGCCACAGCCGCTATCAACGGGTCACTACGAAACGCAGCCTCCATGGCGCTGATGGTAGTCCCAAGAGTGCATCCCGTGCCCGTAACGCGGCCCAAAAACTCATGTCCGTTGTCCACGCGCAGCGTCCGCACACCGTCGCTGACAACGTCCGTCTTGCCGGTCAGCACGACGACGGCGCCGGTGCTGCGGGCGACGGATTTGGCGAGGGAGGCGCGCTGGGAGATGGTCAGGGATGAGGAGGAGTCGACGCCGCGCTGGGTGACGGAGGCGCCGTAGACGGTCTGGATTTCGCGTTCGTTGCCCTTGATGACGGTGAATTTACCGGAGGAGAGGAGCGTTTTGACGGCGTTTCGGCGGATGGAAGTTGCCCCAGCTCTAGAAACGTGTGATGTTAGCATTAGGATAGAGAAAGGGGTGCAAATAGAATCGTAACTATATACTATAGGAAAGTGAGGTGAAAAAGGGGGAGGGTCAAATGAGAGGCATCATGGACATACCCAACAGGATCGAGCACGACGGGCCCTCCAGCGGCATTATACGCCTGCAGTGCCTGGATATGGTTCTTTAGGCCCTCGGGTGTCACGGTTCCCATGTTGATAACAAGGGCGCCTCCCAGCTTAGCAAGGTCAGCGGCCTCTTCAGCGTAGTTGGCCATGATGGGGCTCGCGCCAACCGCAAGGGCGACATTGGCAGCAAAGTTTTGCACGACCTAAACACACATAACCCAGTCAGTCAACTATGATATATACTTCTCAGACTAGAAAGGAAAAAAAAAACTCACCAGGTTGGTCATGTTATGGGACAGCGGCGTCGCAGCGGCCACAGCCTTGATGACATCGGGAACCCGGCCGGCCACGACTTTCCCAAGCAAATCCCGGGCCGCGGCCGCGGGGTCTTGCGCCGCGACAATGGCGCTCACAACGGCGATGCCATCGAGGCTCTTTGCCGGGGCGGCGCTGGACTCGGCCAGCACGGAGATGGCGTTGGAGCCGTTGATGCCGCCGATGCAGACGGTGGGGATGGAGTGGCCGGCGGAGGAGAGGCCGAGCAGGATGGAGCGGATGCCGGCGGTACCAATGATGGATTTTGTGTCCTTTTTGCTGGGTTGTGTGTGAGAGGCATGTTGTATATATGTATATATATGCTGGATAGGTATCATGTAGGCAGAAAAGGGGGGGGCAGGCTGGCTGAGGCTCTTCAAGCAAAAAACTTACGTTTGAGTGGCGTAGACGGTGCCCAGGCCGAGATAATCGGCACCGGCTTCGCAGGCCTTGAGGGCTTCCTCGAGGGAGCTGGCTGTGACACCGATGATTTTGTCTGGGCCCAGCAGTTTGCGCGCTTCTTCGTATGCTGTTTGATGGGAGTCGTGGATGGTCAGCCCTCCTTTTTCGACATGATATATCTGCCACAAACTTGAATCTCAACGAGAAGAAGCATCTCCATTTCATATTCCTCAAACAATAGAAACCAATTATAGAAGAAAAGAAAAGAAAAGAAAAGAAGAAAAGAAAAAACTCACCCATGTCATCCTGCCCAATATGCACCCCCTCGCATCCAACCTCAACCGCAACATCCACCCGGTCATTCACCAGCAGCGGCACTCCAAACCGCCTCGTCACCTCGTGCAGCGCCCTCGCCGTCTTCACCGCCGCCTCCCTGTCGCTCGTCTTGTCGCGATACTGCACAATCGTCACGCCGCCCTGCAGCGCCTTCTCGACCACGCTGGTGAGGTCTTTGTTGCCCAGGATTGCGGGCGTCGAGTCCGTCACCAGGTAGACGCCGTAGTCTACCTTGCTCTTGGACATTTTGACTTGATGGTTTGTGATTTGTGATTTGTGTCTTTGTTTGCGTTTTGAAATATCAGGGGCAAGTAAGTGAGTGAAAAATGTTGTTCTTTTTGAGGTGGAAATGTGCTGTGGAAACTTGCTCGGATTGCAGGGCGCAATTTGATACCCTGGAGCTGGAGCTGGAGCTGGAGGCGGCTATGATCGGACCCATAGGCCATGAGCTTTATTATGACGCCATGTTGAAGTAGCTCTCACCAGACGACTGGAAAAACACGGACAAGTCTTGTTCTTAATTTTAAGAAGATACATTACATATTGTAATGGAAATTTCTCATCTCCTTATCTGCGAAACTCGTTTTTTGCACGGCAATCTCATGTTCTGCCTCATCACTCTAGATAGATACAATTATACTCCCAGGAATCAACTTCAAGTTGGCCAAAAGTTTTACAAACTTCATGCATCAAACACATCAGCAGCCCCTATTTACACTCTTGCATTGAATTCAAAAATGTATTTCTGTATATTGCGCCAAATGCTGCTCAGATCTGGAAATACACCATCTAAGCAATTTATATCCACAACACCATATAATTCACATCGACAGCCTTTTTGTTTTCCCCTTGCGTGACGTTCTCGACACGCCGGTCCATCCTTTATTATATACTCCTCCTCCCACATTACTGCAACATGGCATCCAGGCTTTCGCCAAGCACGCCCTCAATCTTGACAATCCATCTATGCGTTTCCCGCTCAACCACCTCATCGTCATCCTCTTGCAGCTCGCTGATTCTAGGCAGCATTTCATGCAGCATCGAGAGCCATTCCTCGCCCAGTCGATCCGTCAACGCCTGCTCGCACTTGACGGCTGCCAACCTGATTGCCGCCTTCTCTGACCGAAGATGCTTCAGCAGCGCCGAGTTCAGTTCCTTCTGGTGCGCCTGAGAGTCTGCCGCTGCCGCAAGCTCCACGGTTGTGGGGATCAAGGCTTCATCAACGTTGACCAAGGGAGCGTGGGCATATTGCTCCATCAGCACAGGAGCAATTGCTCCAAAGTGCGATGGCGCTTGCCAGAAGTCGTCCTGATCATGCTCGAAGCATTTGGCCAATGTGTTGAGAACGCGGCTCCAGAGCTGCTTTTCGCCGCTAATCTTGACATCGACGCTGTTCAGAATCTTGACAGCATCCTCCAGCACATACGTGGCGTAGTTGGTCACGATGGACTTGAGGTTATCGAAGAAAGACTGCAAGAACCCGTATACACTGTACCGTCTGGCCGCCAATCCAACCTTGTCGTCCTTGGGGAGCCCGGTGCTCGACCATTCGATAAGCTGCGCGAAAATGGGCCGGAAGGCGGCATCGTTGAGCTTGTAAATCATCTTCAGCGCCTTGTCGTTCATCGACTCCTCCAAGGCAGTGACACGAGCAAACAGTGCGTCACTGGTCTCGCCCTTGGCCAGAACTTGTCTTCGCAAATCGAATGCCTTCAGCAAGATGCTGGACAAAACTCCGGCATTCTTAGTAATGGCAGACTTGGGGTGCTTTTCGATAGCCATTCCCAGCATCTCGATGTATTCAGACGTAGCCTGTGTTGTACATGTTAGTGCCCTGTTCCTTTCTTCAAAATTCTTCGTCTTATTGTAAAATCTTACCGTAAAGCCGTTGGATGTGGCGCTCTCCCAGTTCAGGTCCAAGCTTGTGAATATCTCCTTCGCTTCCAGTTTCTTCGCAAGGAACTCACGGCAGCTGACACGAGCCTCATTAGTTTCTGCGCCAAGATTGGCTTCTGCCGACTTGTTGGAGACCTCCAAGATCCGGCCAATGTAAGTAGAGAGCATGTACGGCAGGTGTTCAGCAAGAGCGCTAATGAACCCGTATCCGGCCGAGTGAAGTTCTTCATCTCGTGTATCCTCCTGCAAGCTCTGGTTGAGATAGGTGACCGTCTGAGGAATGGCAATGGGCAAAACTGGCACAATGGCGTCTTGTAGAACGTCGACAAGAGAGGTGAGGCACAGGAGAGCCATGATACGAAGCTGTTTCTCGTTTTGGCCAAGGCAGTGCTCGCCAGCAATTGTTGACGCAGCTGCAACCACGGCCTCGATATCCTTCTTGCCATACTTCTCGGCGATCTTGTCAACACAAGTGACGGCCGTATGTTTGTAGCGGATATCGCTGGACTCCCGGATCGCAGCGGTGAGCTGTGGCAGGAAGGTGAGCAAGGCTGTCCTTGACGCAGGATCTGTGTTGCTTTCCGATCCCACGCGAATTTCCAACGCGCGAAGGACCTTTTGGCGTAAGTCGAGGTTGGGTCTGTCAAGCAGGCTCTCCACGGCCTTGATGAATTCGCCAATTGAAAGGAGGTTCAGCAGGTTGGAAAGTGCATTTCCGCATCGGCTGTGCAGGCTCTTGTTCGACTTGACTGTATCCGCGAGTACCAGCACGTCCTCGAGCAGGGTTGCATAGAGCTGGCGGACCTCTGATGTTTCCATGTCATCTCGGTCAGCGAGCTTGCTAATCTGCGCCTTGAGCTTTCGGTTTGCCAAAAGACTCGGGAGCACGGAAAGCTGGCGAAGAGCAATCTTTTCAACATCCTTTTCCTCGTCCTCATCACCGCTACCAAGCAGAACAAGAGATAAGGTAGGTTTGGGCTTGAAAAGATCAGAAGTGAGGTCAAGCAGCTTGACCAACGTCTCCAGCTGGATCTCGATGCTGAAATCGTTGAGAAGATCCAGAACAAACTGAAGCAAGTCGTCGTTGAGTTCATAGCGGTCGACCAGCATGCTCACCAGCGTGAATAAGAAGTCCTTGGGTCCCATAGTCTCAACCAATGCTACGAACAGGCCGTGCCGTCGGTGCACTGGGATATGCTCGTATGCCGTCGTGAAGCTGACCAGGATGTCCGAAGCTCCGGCAACGGGGCTCTTCTGGCCTTGCCGTAGCGACTCGATCAGGGGAGGCACAACCTCTTTGATTGTCTGCGCTACGACGTGGGCGGAGTAGTCGTCGCTCTGGCGAAGCACCGATGTGCCCATGAAAGTGAAAATGGGCATCACACTGTGAAGTACCAGGTGCGGCGCAATAGTAGCCAGGTTTGCAATCAGCAGCAGTGCGGCGTTCTGGACTACAGGGCTCGATGACTTCTGGATGCAGCTTACGAGCAAGTCTCCGTAACCACCAGAACTGTCCACCTTAAGATTCTTGTTGGCCTTGTATGCTGGCATCATGGCTAGAAGGCTGCGAAGGATTAAGTTCTGCAGGTATCCTAACTCTGAGCCAACGACAGTCCTAAAGTGTTGAAGTTCGGACAAAGCTGTGAACAAGCCGTCAAGCAGCTCGGGATGTGACACAGGATCTGAGCTATCGACGATTTGCAGAACAAAGGTAACTTTGCGCAGCGCACGACTCAGCTCGGGAGTGACTTGAGTGTTCAGACCACGATTGGCTTCAGAGGAGCTTGTTCGCCTTCGCTTGTTGGGAGGAGGTTCGGTAATCATCTTGGTGCCAGTCTGGATCGAGTCCAAGAAGAAGGATAAGATATCTGTTGTTAGGGGCACGGACTTGAGAAGGTCCGCAGCTTCGGCTGGGATGACGGATTCCTTATTGTCGGAAGCAGCTTCTGGTTCTTGCGACAGTTCCAAGAATTGCTCCGCCACCATAAACTTCATCTCATCCTTCATTGAGGCCCACATCTTCTTGATTCGAGAGAAAGCGGCTCGAATAAGACCCGGCCTTTCGCCATTTACAGAGTCCTTCAGCAGTGTAAACACAAATTCCAACCCGGCAGCATCGCTGGGAACAATAATGTCAATGAATTGAGAATCCAAGACAGACTTGTCCATCTGTTGAGAGAGGCAGATGTCGGTCGCCTCGGACTCCGTCAAGTTAGCCCAAGACCTCAAAGCTGGCAGAAGGAGCTGTGTTCGTGTCACATTAGAAACACCGCGGATTTCGTTGAGGGATTTGAGGAGTCTACTCTTCACAAGCAGTAACGGAGTACAGACAATGTGAGAGGCGAAGAATGTTAACAGCGCCTGCCTGCCAGACTGAGACAGGTGGTCTTTCTTGTCCAGAGAGGGTTCAGGGGCGATTTGGTATTTTCCGCTCTCGATGGCGGACTTGAGAACGGCAGAAATGTGCTCTGGATCCATGACGCATTCTTCAACAGTCGGCAGAAGCTGGAGGTGAAGAAATCTGGCGGCAACATCTACACCCAGAGCTGCAACATCCTTGGATTTGAGTTTTCCATAGAGAGACTCAGCTCCCCATGTCTTCACCGATTGTTTAGCAAAGGGAGGATTATAGAGTCCAGCTGCTACGGTGATGAGATCTGCTGCTGCTTGGCGCACTCGCTTGGAAGGATCACCCAGAGCTGCAACGCAGTAAGGAACAAGGGCTTGTACGTCCACCACAGACCCTTGTGCGGCCTTTAGTCTGTTCCTAACCACATCCAAGGCCGCAGCACGTGCCAATGCTGGATATTGTCCGCACCAGATCCGAATAAAGAAACTGAAGTATGTGCAGACTTCGAAGGCCGATTCCCGTTTGAGCTTGGAAAACTGGTCAAGCTGGTCAAGGAGTTCCGTCTTTCGCTGAGTTTGATCGGAAACGATGGACACGAATAAGTCACTGAGGCTAACAAAGGCTGCATCATCGTCTGTCAGGAGAGAAGAAGCGAGAGACTCGGAGCTGTTAGCCAATTCGGCAAGGCGTGCCTCAGGGTCCTGTGATTGGGCTTGAGCAGCAGCGTCACCTGCCTCATCTTCTCTCGTGGATTCAGGAAGCTTTCTTGTACGGAATACGAGGTCCAGCTTCATTTCCAGCTCCTCGATATCGAATTTGACCTCGTTGATGACCAACTGAATAACCTCTCCAGACGATCCGGTGGTTTGAGACAAAGAAATCAGGGTAGATCCAACATCCCTTCGTAGAGAACCATCCTTGTCGTTTTCGTCATTGAGCTCGTGAGCTGTCAGGAGCAGCGATTTGAAAATGACGGAAACCTGTTTATCCTTCAAGATGTGGCTGCCCAGAATCGTGGTGATTGTTGCGAGGCCGCGCGAATCCCCCTTCTTCACCAGCCGTTCGACCAGTGCCAAGCACAATCCGTTTGCCAACTTGTCCACACGACGCTCTTGTCCAATTTCGACGAGAAGGGTTCCAATATCTTGCACCTTCATAAGCGCTCTGGCAACCTTGCTGCTCATCTGTTTCGCGGATCGGAACTGAGCAAGGATCGTCAAGCACACCAGGCCCGGTCGAACAGTGTCGGCAGTCCAGCCGTGAACGAGTTGCTGCATCAGCGCAGTAACAGCATTGTCGTGCAGATCTCCCTTTGAGACAAAGACGGTCACGGCCATGTAGGAGGCAATTTGAAGGCTGGGGACCTTTCTCATGACGAGTGATTCGGCGAAGATGGGGCCCAGTCGATGTAATAACGCCTGGCTGCTATCGCTCTGCACCGCAGCTCGGCCAGACTTGGTGCGATCGAGGATTCCGCTCACAGCTTCGGTGATGAGCCCACCCCAAAAGGTGATGAGAGCCGGGTATTGATACCCATTCCGGCATGATTCCAGAACGTATTCAGACACGGCAGTTACGAAATCGACTTGATGGATGGCCTGGTGGACAAAGATGGATCGGGGAGGCGGAGTGAGAGATCGAATATAGGGATCGAGGAATCGGAACTGGCTCGGAATCTTCGGGGGCAGAATGGATAGGAGGGTTGCGAATGCAGTGATGGAGTGGTATGGTAAGAAGGTCATGAGCAGCATTGACGTATTTTCAACATGAATGCTACAGGCAGGTAGGGTCAGCTTATTCTCATTCAACTTGAGGGGACTACAATTGATTTGTTTGATGATAAACGCACTTGAATCGCCGAATCAGCCACTCAACGGCCTTGATTGCGGGCATCAGCCTCAGCCGACTTCCCACAAGCCTCAGAAAGGCTTCGATGTGACGGTCCAGCTCTTCATTTTCAGTAATTGTGAGCTGGTTTCGGTCCTGGTCTTGGCTCTCTTCGCTGAATAGTGTCGACTGAAAGGCTGTGAATCGGCCATCCAGCTGGCAAAGCTCTTCGAAGCCTTGGTGGCATGTCGCATACAGCGTTTGATAGCTCTGGGCGGCTGCGACTCGAGGCTCCCAGATTAAAGACTTTGAGTGGGCAGCCCTTTGCGCTTTGATATCCAAACTCGACTTGGAGTTTGCGGCAACCTGCGCCAGCTGCGCGGCAAGCGAGGTCGCCATTATGTTGAGAGTTGAGGCTCCAGGTCGGAAAACGGGCTCGAGGTGGGAAAAATCAGGAACGCAGCCTTCACTACGGCGCCTTGAAGCCTGTTGAACTTTTTTTTTCAAGACCTGGAAGATTGGCGGAGACTTGCTGATAATTTTCTTATCGATAACACCACGCTAACGGGTTGGCTGCAGATTTGCGCTCCACGTCCAATCACGTGGCTTGTGTCATCCATTTCACCACTGAATGAAGCACCGGCTATAATAATATGCGACCAGAGTATTAGTTCTGAGATGAAATTAGCCGTCTGGTACGGAGTAATACAGTCCTCACTCTCGAAATGCGTTGTACGATGGTATCTTGTATTTTAAGATCTAATGCAGCTGTTTTACATATTCTTCCCACTGGCAGCCATTATGCATTCGTCGGTCTGGTTAGATAGAATCACCTGTGTGATGCATGTATGCTCGACGTCAAGTGAAGGCTGTTTGCCCGTCTGAATTATGTACTCCATACAATTATGTGATACGATGTTGCACTACATTTATTTCCGACCAATTGGAACTTATCAAAGGCAGCAAAAAGGCAACCCGCAGTGTTCGGTGCAAACTCCTCCGGTGAGATCCAAGTGGGGAGGAGACTGGCAACTACAGTACTATTGATACAAGTGCGGAGGATAGATACCCAGTACTTGAACCCCCCGCCCGCTCGTATAAGCCGCGTCTACAATTCCCTGAGGGGAAGAGGCTTCTGGCAGTGTATATGACAAAATGGCGGTAAGTGAAACGACGACTCTGATGTATTCTGTAAAAAGGCTCACTCGCATAGAAACCATATCCTCAAGTTATCCTCCTGGGAGACTCCCTGCTTGAATTCGCCGCTACCGTCCATAGCGGCTTCTCGTTCCAGGCGGCTCTTCAAACACGTAAGGTCTCGTAGTGCAGACACAGAGCGGGATTTCTAACGAGGAATATACAGGGCTGATACGACGCTTTGACGTGGTTAATCGCGGCTTCTCAGGATGGAACACGGCAAATGTGGTCAAATATTTGCCTGAGATTTTCTCGGAGCCATCTGCTTCATCACCAAAGATTGCGTATCTGGTGAGTGCTAAATGAGAGATGGAGTTCTATTCGTCAAAAGTATATAATACTGACAAGAGAGGGGGGATCGCCAGATTATTCTCCTGGGAGCAAATGACGCAGTTCTTCCTCTGGAGACTACTTCACAACATGTTCCGATTGAGACATATAAAGAGAACTTGAGCAAGATCATCAACGATGCTCGGATACGCGCACACAACCCCAAGATCCTGCTGGTGACTCCTCCTCCGGCGGATGAAATCAAGCTCAAGGGTCTAGACATCGCACAGGGCCACGCCTCAGCGATCCGACGTTCGGCCGTAACCGCGTCGTATGCAGAGAAAGCTCGGGAGGTAGCCCGTGAGAACCCGGGCGTTATTCTGGTCGATCTCTGGCAGGCCATCATGGGCGAAGCGATTTCCATGGCTCCCGGAGATTATCAGCCTGGAGGTCCGTGGCTGGGGTCACCTGAAAATGGGAAGCAGGGGGGCCTGGACACGCTTCTTCCGGACGGACTTCACATGGGCGGAGAAGGATACAAGGTGTTTTTCGACGAGATCAAGGCGCATATTGGGCAAGATATTGTTCCCGAAGAGAGAGGAGATTATGTGCTGCCCGACTGGAGAGTAGTGAACCCTCCCAAGGTGGCACTGTTGCCCAAGCCATCTCCCCTTCAATAGATACGCTGCTTATAGGTACTAGACTAGATGCTATAGATATAGAGGGAGGAGTGCTAGAAGATAAGGTGCTTCCACTGTAACTATTTGATGCTAAATGAGTATGCAGCAGAGTAATCTGACGTAATGTATTGATGTATACGAGTACGCAAATGCAGATGCAGACTTATATTGAGCAATCTGATGTGCAGTAATCAGCTGAGAAAGTACGTCATAATATCAAGAAGGAATCACGCTCAATGCATGGAAGACGAAGACATGGAACTTGCCGGGTTCGCATTTGTCAGAGACACCTGGACTTACAGGGCTGTCTGCGGGGAAGAGCAAGCTTACAGCCGGCCGGCTTCCCGCTATGGCGCTGTAAGCAATGGCTGGGCTTGGCTGCCCTGCGCTGTAAGGGCCGCTGTTAGCCAATCGATCGCCCCCCGGTCATGAGTATGTGGTGTTTTTCTCGGGTTGGAATCCTGGATGTGGAGAGACGCAACAACCTCGCATCATCCATCACCCAGGCAATTGTCCATCTGCCTTGGACCTGAAACTGCGTGCTGTGCTTGCCCTCAGCCGCTTATTTACGTCCTGTCTGCACATGCACATGTACATGCCAGAGCCCACCAATCGATAAGCCGCTCCCTCTGCAGCTGTCCCTCTGCGCGGCGGCCTCTCCTCTCTGTCTCTCCATCAGCTCGTCGCCTCTCCAACGCCTAGCCTCCGCTCAAACAGCCAGCTTCTTCAACGCTGCCCCCTCACCCGCTTGCTCGTGTAATTCGAACATTCCTACCGCCTACTGACTCAGCATATCCGTTGCCTGTTGGACGCTGCGCCGCCGCCGCGACTCTCCCTGCGAAACGCAACATCTGCGCCGGACATAGCAAACTGTCGAACCGCTCAACCCCATACTCATCCAACATACGCATACCTACATATATTCCACCTTTATATTCGGCTACTGCTTCGTCCGAGCCGTGTTTCTATATACACAGAGTTTGCACTGCACGTCTTACTAGCATAATTCTCGCGCATACGAGGACTCTTCGGTGTGGCTGAGGCCACAATATTGGTGCCGCCTTGTGTCTGTGACGACACAGAATCTGCCACGCGATTTTGCCGCCTCTTGGCCCATATCCCATATCTCTCGACGCATTCAATACCGGAAGTGCCCAAGCTTTGACTCTATCCAGGCCATAGCGCACACTCTGCGTTATCGGCAGAGTGGCCCTGGGGTATAGGGCAAGGAGATGTGGTTGACGAGGTTGATCGTGAACTGTTGATGATACTCGAAGGGAACAAATCCAAAAAGAATTACAGCTCAACACCACCTCCCAAGCGAACGTCGAGTCTACTGAGAAGCGCAGGCTTACGACACTTGGCACTTTCTCATCCTTTACCCCTGTGGCTTCGACGTTGTGCAACCCTGACTGAACCCTGCTTTCCCCCCCTCTCCTTGTTTCCTTGTGTCGATACCTAAGCTTAATATTGTTTAAACGCGCTGTTCAAGTTTACACTCCCCTTTCCTAACGACTTGAACTTGTCCTTTTTGCACCCTCACATGTCCCCTTAATTCCTTTCTTGAGAACTCTTTCGGACATGGATCCCCGCTTTTCCGTCTCCCGGGACGAGCTGTACAACCTGCAGATGGAGTTGAAGCAGGTCCAGTATGCCCAAGCCAACCACGCGGAACGAATCGTGAGGCTAGAGAAACGTCAGGCAGATGACTCTGCGCTGAAATCTGTATGGAATTCCCCGTTTCCAGGAGTTCTGGCCGGGACGCCACAACATGGTGAGCCGTGGCCCTCTGTACTGCTATGCTGAATGCTTTTTTTTTTTTTCTCATTTTTACTAACAAGAATGTTCCCTGCAGGGCCCGTCCAAATTTCCCAGAATGATGTATTTGACGACTTGGATGAGCAAGGAGAGCAGCTGCTGGGCTCTCTACACCTGGGCCCCGCAGAAGAGGAACCAGTTCGGCGCGGCGGCGCGGCTTCACGAGCAAACAGCGTCCGGTTTGACGAGAGCGCGTTGCACGGCTCAAGCTGGGGTGCCCAAAACAACCGTCACTCTGGAGACTTTGGCGCCGTTCGCCCCGGGTACATGATGGAACGGTCACTGTCGCACAAGTCAGACGGCAGACACAGTTCTGCCGGGCACTCGGTGCATTCGCATCATTCTGTAGCGTCAGGCCGAGCCAGTAGCATTGGCCTCGACACAAATTTTGCCACGGGCGATGAAGACGACGACGATTCCTCCTTTGACATGCCAGGCCTTCCGGCCTCCGTTTACGTCCTTGGAACTGTTCCTTCCATTGTTCGTTGTTGGCTAACGACGGATTACGCTCACGGAACACTGCTCTATGCGGACATTTGCACTGGATCGCAAAAGTCCACAATTGATTATTCGCTCGTAAAAGAACTAGACTTTCTCAGCGAGTTCCACAGAGACGTCAACGGAGTTTACAGGGCCAGGTTGGATGTCTATCTTGCAGAGGCCGTCATCACACGCCATAGCAGCAGATCAGACTCTGCTGCGGGATCGGTTCCCTCGATGTCGGTTTGCTTTGAAATGTGCGGCAGTGAGCAGACCAAGCCGAACCAGGTATCGAAAGCAGTCCGCATCTTCATCGGAAGCGATGCCCTGAGGGCACATGCAGCCGATATACTATTCTCTCAGAACACAATGGTGCTCTACAGCAACGAGCGAGATCGACTGCGGGTTCCCTTTATTCGCCCGGAGGACGAAGAGGTGTTCCGTCACATAACCACCAGCAGCGCTGCACCAGAGAGACCGAAGCTGAATGCAAACGCCGCACCATTCGTCTTTGGAGATGGTACCCGGGCTGAAGGTGAGGACAAGGCAGCAGCTGCACCACTGACCACGACATCAACGACGACAGCAACCACGCCTACATCTGCAACAGCAACGACCAAGGAGTCGGGAAGCAGCGAAACGAGAAGCCAAGCCTCCCCCGCTACGTCACATTCCGAGCCTGCGGGCCGTGTTCGGGCGAATAGTGTTCTCGATTACGAGGAGGAAAATGAAAAGTCTGGAGGAGACGCCAACGGCTCCGAGCGCCGGCGAAGGGACGGATCAAGCGCGTCTGAAACTTCGCGACGAGGAACATCGACCGGCATATGGGGTTCATGGCGCAACCCCAACGGCAGCGGAGCAGATCAACGCGAGACTGGACCGCCTCTGAGCGGGTACCAACCGGCACCGCGGGGACGCAACATGAAGGTGCTCAAAGCCCCGAAATCGGGGTCATCGTCGGCACGCACCGGGGCCTCGTATGAGCCCCCGCTTCCGTCCAAGTCTGAGCTCGGCCGGCGGAAGAGCCAGGTGAGCATGAACGGTGAAAGTTCCACGGCTGTGAATGGCGGCATCAGGTGGGACATCAAGGGGCCAGCAACGCCAGGTGAAGCAAAAGGTGAAGCAGCAAAGTCCGGATCCAGCTCTAGCGGCCGGGCTGCCTCTACTTCAGTGTCGTTGCCCAGGTCGGCGAACAACCCGATAGGAGCAGCGTCAGCCTTTCCTTGGATGACTCCACCGGCGAAGCCTACCAAGACGTCGCCGGCGGCAGATTAAGACGCCTAACAAGGACTGCTGCACCAATCAGCGTCATGAGTGTGTTGTGGAGTTGAGCATGAAGCAATTCCTGTGATGAATAGAGACTCTATGCAGTGGCTGATCTGACTTTGGCCTTGCAGCCGTGTCTATTGCTGTAGCTAGGAATTGAAACAATTCAGTGCCCCAATGCCGCCCTGATTTTCCAAAACCTCGCTGTATCTACCTACATAAGACTGGTGAATGATTTGCCCTGTAAATACACTGCCTCCCTCTCCTCCTCCTTAACCCAAATGAAGATGCGGTACGTAGCCAGATTGCTTTGAACAGAGATGTTGGAGCAGATACAAAATAGAAACAAAAAAAAACAACAAGGGACAAGTTTTGCCGATTTAGATCTTGGAAGCAGGCGGCAGCACGCTCAAGACCTTGCTGGTCTCGCTCGACTTGTTCTTGACAACGGTGATCAAGGCCTTGAACAAAGGGTGCGAGGCATCGCCCAGACACTCGTACATCCAGCTCTCGCTCGTGGTCACGGTGATGCCGGGCTCGCTCCTTAGCCTGTCGAGGGCAATGCCGACCTCAGCGCGGTTGCAGGAGCTGACGCCGTCGGCAATGACGTAGGGGAAGTGGCCGGCGTCGCGCAGGTCGAGGGCGGTCTGGGTGATGCAGATGTGGGACTCGATGCCGACGAGGGCGATGCGGGATCCGGGGGCGAGGGCGGCGGCGACGGAGGGGACGAGCATGGAGAACTTTGTCTTGTCGTGGGGCGCCGAGGGGAGCAGGTCGGCGATGGCGGGGACGGTGGCGCCGAGCTTGGCCGAGGTCTGGGTGGTTGTGTGGACGGGGATGGAGAGGTTCTGGGCGTAGGTGAGGAGCTTGACGGTGGTAGTGACGCTGCGTTTGTTGGGAGGGTTTTTGTTAGCGGATGTGTTGTGGTGATGATGATGATGATGCGGGGGGGGAGGTTTTTGGTGTTGAGATAGTTGAGAGCTTACATGCTGTCGAATTCGTAGATGACGTTGCGGAATTTCTCCTGCATGTCACAGACGCTGTCCATCCGAGTCCATTTGTTAGCCAGGCTTGCATCAATGGCTCATCTTTTCGCGATGGATGGATGGGGGTCGAGGTAGGGTTATCGCGATCGTCTGGGCGCCCACTTACAAGATGGCAGGGTTCTCTGTTGAAAGCAAAATCCCACGGTTAGTTCCCTATGAGCAGCATCTCCTTTGAATATGGATTCCGTAGACTTACTGAACCGCAATTCCGTGGGGGTCGCCATTTTAAGAGGAGATGAAAGCGAATGCGAAAGAGAGAGAAGACGCAGGTGTGTGATATTGGACGAGGGCAGAATCACAGGGCGGTGTGTCAGGAGCGAAAAAGGCCGTCGCATAAGCATGAAGAAGACAAACGCGAAGAAAAAGATATAAGAAGAGGAAGAGGGAGAGGAAGGGGAGAGTGCAAGAGGAAGAAGGAGATGAAGTTGCTGGCAGATGGTGCTATTAATTAGTTTCTGGGCCTGGGGACCGCTTTTACCTCGTTTTGAAGATCTGCCGGCGGGGGAAGAAATCCGGGGGGGGAGGGTGTTTTGTTTAGTCAGATGTCAGTTCTGGGGGCATTGAAGATTGTGTAGATACTAATTTGTTTTAGGTGTAATAATAATAATAGAATCATCATTTCCGGAAACTGGAATTATTGTTACTATCATCATATTCTTTTTATGGCGAGTCTTGATGGCGGGCTGGCTTGTGACATGATTTGATTTCGTCTGAGACCGAGATCGCACACGGACCTTTTTCGGCGTTTGACCCCATGGGCGTGGGGGTAGTCAAGGCATCTACAGAGACAGCGAATGGCATCAATAAATAGAATATCTTACTGCTATAGGAGATACTCTCGAGGTACCTACTACCTGTATACTAGATAGGTATGTACTTGCATTGACAAGAGGAAAACGAATTTGTATTACCTTAGGTACTTTCCTACTAATATAAAGAGGCACATGCCGAAGAATCGATACCTTGCCAATGTCTCGGCCTCGTCAACCAGACGAAGAGGGGTAGATCAGACACACAATAGACGCAAAATATCCATATGAGACACGCTTCTCGATTGCCCCCGTGACAAACATCTCGCCGGCAAATCCATGAGCCGAGGCCCTGTCTCTATTCCGCCAAGTCAGCGCAAGTATTTCAAATTATCGCAGCCAGCTGTGGGTTCCTTGCAGATTGATATATACGCTAACGCGAGATGACGAGGGGGGGGGGAAGGTCTCAGTTGGAGATGCATGTTCCAAATCCAGCTCCCATTTCCAGGTTTTCAGCAGTTCATATGAGACAATGGACTGAGAAAATATCAACTTGTAAAAAAAAACTCAAATACTGAGTTTATACACTTTCATTACTGCGTTTGTCAGTGCTTTGTAGACGTGGCTCTTATTCGCTCCATCTTTTGTGTAATCGGGCATGGCTTGCATGTGCATATGATATATTGACGTGTGCAGGGGTGCATTCGGAATGGCGTCATGTAATAGGACCTCATACGTTTATGACTAACAGAGACAGAGAAGAGCCATGCAAATGCAATTACTTGTAGTACCAATTAACATGTGATTATTTTTAACTGAAAAGAGAGAAAAGAAATACCATCTAAAGTCATAGTCTATGCACGATAATAAGGAGAAAAGAAAACCATCTAAGCCATCACCAAATCCAACCCAAAAAACTCCGTGTTCCCATGCCCTTTTTTCGTTTTGTGATTCGTGCTACAACAGCTCACGATGCAACTTCTGCAAACCACGTCCGCAGCAATCCCGCCAGTGCGCTCGGCAGCTCCTCCAGATTATGCACAATCAGGTAGTACTGGAAGGGGAACGTGTCCAGATACCGCTCAATCACTACCCGGCTCTCGCCCCCTTCGCTGACAAACTTGGCCTCCTTGAGCTCCAGCACGCTGTCGCCCTTCTTCTTGCCCGTATCGTCCATGATGATGAAGACAATCATGATGCGCTCCTCCATGGCTTCTCGCAGCAGTCGCCGGATGGAATCGTGAGCTGACGATGGCGTCAGTCCGTCCGACAGGATCAACGCAAGCTGCCACAGATCCGACCCTCCGCTGGACTGCTGTCGTGCCGCACGGAATGTATCAATGGTCTGCCGGATCAGCAGCGCAATGTCCGTCCTGTCTTGGCCAAACGAGAATCGCTGCAGAACTTTGGCGCCCGCATCCGAGGCAAAAGGATCCGTTAGCTGATGCGCCGTGAAGACGTCGGCACCAAAGCCTAGAACGCCCACCTGGCCGGCCTCGAGCATCGTCAGAGATCGTGAGACCATGACCAGCGACTCCATGGCCAGTGCGCCAGACGACGACTCGCCCATGCTCTTGCTGTCGTCTACGCACAGCATGATTTGGTACGTCCGCTTCGTCGGAATGCTGCGGCGCATCCAAATCTTGTCTCGCTTGTAGCTCGAGGCAATGTAAGGGATGATACGCTTGATGTTGAGTCGCTTTCCGGTGCGGAACGATCCCGACAGCTTGGTAGACTGTGAGGGCGTGAGAATCAGTCGCAGCTGGGATGTCAGCGACAGCGACAGGCTGTGTGATTTGGTCTGAAGCTCAGTCCACTGCTCAAGACAATGAGAAAAGTCACGTAACGGCCGCTGGTCCTCCCAAAGGTGAGTTGTCGAGAGTTGGGCTGATGCGCCCTGTACGTCTTCTTCTTCCTCTTCGTTCTTGAGCTTCTGGTCCTCTTCTTTGTCCTCTTCAGGCGTAGGCTCTTTGTTGTATGCACCTTGCCTTGTCTTCACGCCAGTGCGATTGTCGTCGGCATCATTCATGCCCGCGTCCTTATCGTCTTCTGCAGGCTCGGTGAGATCCATCTTATCAAGCTCTGCATCCTCTTTTTCATCTTCATCTGCGTCCATCACGTGGCTGGCTGGGTCTCGCTGCTCCTCATCAATTGCCATAGACTCATCCAGGGGCTGCGCCTCTTCGTTGTCTGCTGTGCCCAGAGCCTGAGTATCCTCCGCTGCTTCGTCATCCTTGAGGTGCTGGAATTCGCGTTGTCCTTGCTCTTCGGCCTCTGGCCCGTGCTGCTTCTCGTCTTCCTCCGGATTAGCATCCTTAATGTCGAGCTGCTGGCGGTGCCATCTCTCCAGTGCGTCTCCCAGTTTCTTGAATGGATTGCTGCGAGCCTCTTCCTGAGCATCGCCATCTTCAGGCTTATCCACCGCCTCCTTTGACCGTGACGTAGCTCCTTTGTTGCCAGCACTCGTATCTTGATCTGCGGCGCCGTCTCCCATGTCACCTTCATCTTGCTGAGCTGCCTTGGCTTGGAATTCGTCATCCATGTCCATAGAATCTGCGTTTTGGTCGATTCCAGAGCTCTTGACATCGCTAGGTGCCGCATTGTCATTGTCCGCCTTAGTCTCCTCTTGCTTATTAGGGGGTTGTTCTGGGTGGCTCTCTTCTGCCTGTTCTTCCTCCTTCTTCTCTTCCTCCTTCTCAGGCTCTACCTCTTCTTGAATCTCATCGACACCGACATTCTCTTCAATCTCTTCCGCCTCGCTCACCTCATCCTCTACCGCAGTCTCCGGCTCTACCTGCTGCTTTGCAGCTTCATCCATCTCCTCGTCATCAACAGCCTCTGCGTCTTTAGGCTGCTCTTCTTGCTCTTTGTCTTCCTCAATGTCCGACATGAGATCCAAGTCATCCTCATCACCTGAGCCCTCTGCGTCGTTTTCGTCGAGATTCATATCTAGGTCTTCAGGAAGCTCCAGTGCATCGTTCTCTTCCACTGTTTGGTCTTGGCGGTTTAATTCTTCCTTCGCCTGCACGTCTTCTTCCTCTGCTCCTACTTCTTCATCTTCAGGCTCCTCAGCTTCGTTACCGTCAGGTTTTTGATCTTGGTCTTGATCCTGATCGGCATCGTCTGGTTTCGCCTCTCCTTCAGTCGCCATTTGCTCATCCTCCTGCTTCTGGCCCTTTGCTTTATCACCCTCTTGGTCCTTCTCTGCCTTTTCATCATCACCATCCCACATCTTTTCATCAACGGCAGTGGGATCAAGGTCATCCACATCACCAGCCTCTTCATCCATGACGTCTTCTTCCTCATCCTCATCTCCTTTCTGAGATTTCTCTTCGTCTTCTTCCTCAGCGCCATCTACACTGTTCATGTCTCCTTCCAGTTCCTCGTCGGCCATATCGACTGCGTCCTTTTCATCCTCCATCTCGCCCGTCTTCTCTTTATTCGCTTCCTGTGCGAGTTCAGAGAGGTCTTCGTCGGCCTGAATATCCTTGCTGATATCCTCAGCGCCTTCACCATCGCCAAGACCAGTGCCAGATTCCAACTTGCCTTCGGCACCTGATTTCTCATCCGACTTCTCTTGCGGCGTGCAGAATCCTTGTGAAGCGATTTGTGTGAAAGCTTTTGTCATGCCATATCCTATCTTAACAGTAGCGCGATGAATATCCAGACCCGCTGTGATGGATTGTTCACATAATGCCACGAATTGATTCAAGATTGGCGACGCGACGGTAATTGCGCTCATTGCGGCCATGCTTGCCAGTGGCTGTCTGAGATCGATTTTCTGCAAGGCGCGAATGCATTGTTCAACTGTCTTCTCAATGTTCTTCATGTAAAGCTGATTGATCATGGAGAGGTAAGCGTCGCTATGTTTCTTCAACCAGGCCGCCTCATCCTCTTTTCGGGGAATCTCCGCTCCAGCTTTCTTTGCATTCTCAACAGCCACTAGAACAGTGTCACACAGAGTGGAAACTGATTCTGCAAAACCCAAAAGATCCATCGTATGGCCTGAAGCTTCCAGAGGCTCGCTGGTCGTATGGCTCCAGACACGAAGTTGCTGAAGAATAAAGCCAACACCAGGGTTAATCTGAATAGCCTCGCTGACAGCTGACTGGAGCCCGACTAAATCTCTCGTCACATCTTCATGTAGCTTAGTATGCACATCAGACGTCAGCATTGTAGGAAGCTTGGCCAATTCGCCCAGTCTCTTTGCGTGATTCTCAATTGTATCCAGCCACGTCTGCAGTTTTTGAACCAACGCACTGTGATCGATCTTGCCCAATTTTCCGTGAACTCCCAGCAGATGGATAGCGAATTTCAGTCCCTGGACGGTCCATGGGAGGAAGCGTGCCATATCAGTGCTTCCCTGGCTTCGAGATAATCCGCCCAAGCTTTGGAATTTGCCCAGATCTTGGAACTGGAATATGGTCTTTTGAAGTGATTTGAAAGCAGACATGATGCTCGCAAGGCTGTTTCGTTGAGACAGAGCGAAATGAATAAACCCTTCCACGAAGCCAATGCTTCGCGCTACCTCAGAGCCGGTCAAATCCTCAGAATGCTCACGTGCAGCATTTCGAGCCTTTGGAGCAAGATCTAGAGTCTTGTGGAAGTAATATTCTGCTTCACTCAGAATGCCGGAACCAGAAAATTCTAATGGCGCAGTAGAAGCAAGCACAACAGACAACGATTCTTGCTCAGCCAGCTTGTCCTGGCCAAGGTTGTATCGGAGGCCCATGCCGCGAAGGTCTCGTAGTGTATCGGCAAATAACTTGCGCTTCCTCGTCTTCATGTGCTTGACTTGCTCTTTATTCTCATCAGTCAGAGTTGACGGAGTTTCTTTCTTCAGCTCTGCCATTGACTCTTCCAAGCTGGAAAGATATGCATCCAAAGACTGGGGAACGGAGCTGGTAACTTCGGAGCTGGCTGCGATTTTCTGCATCACAGATACCGTCTTTACTACATTGCCGAGACGTTTGTGTTTCTCTAGCCAACCAGGGAGTGCTCCATTCAGAGCCTCAACGGCAGCATCAGGTACATCGATTTCTCCAACTTGGCCTACCACAGCAGCCTGTTGAGACGTCGTCTCATCAGGAATGCCCGCCTCAATAACCGTTTTCATCTCTGCGCCCAAAATCCCGCGGAACTTTCGAACGATTCTGAAGAGCTTTTGGTGAGATCTCTTTGCGCTATCTCGGAGGGCATTAATATTGGTGTCTTTCCAGCTAGCCATGAGAAGGACATCTTTCATTTTCTTATCGAGTGAGGCCCGGCCCTTTTGGATAGCAGTCTCGGCAGCCTTCTCATAACGGGCATAGTAGAAGATGAAATTTGTGAGAGCATGGTAGATGACTGTAAGATTAGGATAGTCTTGAATGAGAAGCTGAAGATGGCTCTGCAGCTGTCGCAAAAGAGCCAAACGAGTTGCGAATTGTCCAACGATTGAGGTCAAAAAGTACGTCTCCAAACTCTGGATCAGCGATACAGTATACTCTTGCAGTTCAGCTGGAGAATCAACCATTGAGAGTGGAACGGCAACAACAACTTGGTAGGCGATGAACCACCATGAATAAGCATCCTCTTGGCATTTCGTTTGCTCCGTCTCGAACAAATTGGCCCATGTTGATAGTTCCAGCCGTCGCCAACGAACAATAGTATCCGTGAGCGCATTATAGAGCGATAAAACGGCATACACCTTGCTCGCCCACCCGCCAAATTGCCATTCGTAGACGTGAGCATGTAGATGCTCCACCTTTGGCAGGATCTTAGCTAGCGGATCTTCATGGATGAGTTCAAGAACGTTGTTGCAGCTCTGAATGACGTCCGCCAGTGGCTGCATGTGACCAATCTCATCAACAAGCTGCAGCTCGCGGAACCTAGCCTTGATCTTGCCAATGAGAATCACAAGTTGTCGGGCTTCGGGCAGGTTGGGGCTGGTATAGAAGCTGTAGGATTTATCCTTTTCGGCTGTTTGCAGCCCATTGATCTTTTCGTCGAGCAGGATCGCTGTGCTTGCAAGCATCCTGCTGTTCAACTCACGGTCGAGATATGACTGACCCTTGGCCTCATTCGCAACCCGACTGCCCACATCTCTGCTCAGTTTTTGAATAGAGATCTGTGCATCTTCTCTGTCCAAGAAGATCTTTCTGTGAGCTTCAGCAACCTTGAGAGACATGTTGCGAACAGCATCCTTCTTGTTTACTGGGTTAGCAGTTTCTTTATCGGCATCATATGTAGGGAACAGCTCGTTAAACTCTTGTTCATCGATTTCTTCCTCATCCTCCAAGGAACCACGGAATTGGTAGATGCTACCCTTTGTCTCTTCTGCCTTTCGGTCTGCTTCGAGCTTCTTGCTCCAGTCGTCATAAAAGCCGTGGAAACATTCAAAAATAGCTTCTCGGATGCCTGGTCGGAAACACTCGCTTCCTTCAACATTCACAGCAACTCGGACAAGGCTGAGGAATTCAAAATTCTTATCGAAAGAAGGCTGCATTGTGACATCCCAGGTTGACCCTCCGAAGAACGGCGTCATTTCCAGAAGCTGTGTCGTAGATGATGTTAACGATGAAGCTGCAGCTGCATCAAAGAGTGATAGGCCGACACGCAAGCATTGTAAAAGGTTCGCAGCAGGCCTAGTCATATCCTGGTATGCTTCAAATCGAGCTGTAAGTCGATCCTGGAGCCTCTTAACATTTTCTTTAACCAGCACTAGTCCTTCTCTGTCAACAAGAGAGTTGGCATTGTCAGACGACTCGAGTGCTGCTCGAAGAGCTGGGCTTGTGATAGCCTTTAGGATATTGGAAAATTCAGCATGCAGCCGGGTAAGTTCTGACTGCTCTGGTCGGAACACTGGCTGGACTTCATCAGGTAACGGGCCCATGTTGGAAAGCTCCTGGCTGAGCATTTCAATGCGCTCATTTGTCCTTTGTCCAGTAAATTTGCTTTCAAAGGCAATAAGCGATGATATCTTGTCCGAAATACCATTCTGAAGCTCCTCAAAGAACTCTCTCTCCATCTTTGGACGTAGCTGAGGATCAAAGACACGATCGGGAACGTAGAGCTTAAGAACGCCAACGCTGAAATGAGTCCATGCCAGTGCAGACAAATATGTGTGCCGATCATCATTCTTCTTCGCCAGCAGAGAAACCATGGCTGGAATCAGATGCTGTTCGGCTACCTGCTGGAGATGGGGAGGCTCAATAGTGCGCAAGAAGGCATCAAAGAGGCGAACTGACTTATCGCCTTCAGCCTTGTCTTGTTCCTCTGCATTGAGATAGGCGTGAATAGCAGCTGTCTTGAGGTTTGCTGAATGCGCACCAAAGACTTCAAAGATAAGCTGCTGGAGAATATCGTTCAACTTTGGTAGCGGATCGGCAGCTACTTCAGCAGACAGCGAAGCGACGTGTCGTCCCATAGCCGGCAATTCCACATCAAGTAGTGCCAGAGATCCAAGGCTAACTCCACCCATAGTCTGCAGTTTTGACCAAAGGATGGGCGTAAACGTTCCATCCCATGGGAATTGATCCTGGTGTACCAAACAATCCATTGACTGCAGAAGTGCCGCTTCTTCGGTGGCACTCACAAGCGATAGTCCTGCCTTGGTTGGAACGTTTGACAAAATAGAGAGATCCCGGAATCCGCTGTCCAAAGTGACATTAGGCGAAACAGATCGAAGAATGTCAAATTGCCTCAGTGATTCGAATTCATTCGCCAAAAATGGCAACAGTTCGGCTTCTTCGTCAGCAATACCCTTTTCCAGAGACTCTATTCCAGTGATGAGATCTTTGACCAGTCCATCCGTTGTAAGAACGCCGTCTCTGATAATTTTGTAGGCCTGCTCAAGAGTCTGCTGAGCTTTCGATAAATCGACAACAGATGCTCCAGTCTTCCATCGCAGGTTATCAAATCTAGCTCCCAGTCGATCAAGCTCAACAGACCGGTCAAGAACTGACTTATCGGGAATAGGGATTGGCCTCATCAGATTCCAGAGCGATTCCATGCTCAGACCAGTACTCAGTTTGAATCCGCCATCAAAGTCGTCCTCCAATCTTCCTAGGATGTAGGTTGAAAGCTGACGATTATTGTCGGATTTCGCAGCCAGGGTCTGTTTCCCTAGGAGCGCAGCACCCTGTGCCAAATGAGCCTGGAATACAGCTTCATCAAAATCACTCTTTGTAGCAAGAGCAATCGTGCGGTCGATATAGTATCGAACAGCTCTAATGAATTGAGTACCCTAGTATAATCCGTTAACGATTTGATCAATAATGAAGCATGACATATTTACTTACCTCCCAAGTATCATGCGACAGCATTTCGAGGCCAAAAAACTCTATCATAGCATTCAAAATCGAGGAGACGAATGCACCCAATTTCACAGTAGAGTCCTTCGACACAGCAGCAACGCGATCACTAATGAGAGATCTCTGCAGTCGATTTAAAGAGATCAACTTTGACGAGCGAGCTTGTGTTTGCTGAGAGTCGAGAATGCTTTGGATGTGGTATAAATGTCGATACGTATCATAACGAGCAGCATTCCACCTAGCTAAGTCAACCGAGGGCAGCATGTTGCTGACTGTGATATTGTTAAGAGGGTGGAGTGGCTATTCCAATATCAGCGATTGAATCAACTTTGTTAGCAAAAAGAGAAGGTCTTACCTGGGCATTTGCCAGTGCATCTGAGGTAACACTGGCCAAGTTTGAATACAGCTCTTTGAGGGATACCTGCAATCGGGATCCAAGTGGCGATTGTAGAAGAGTCAAAAACCCTTGTACGAGGTTTACGTATGAGTCGCGTTCAGTTGTCATCGAACTGACGAATCTTGGGAGAAGAGCAACGTCCTGGATAGAAAGATTCTCCAGAGAAACTTGACTGGCCTCCGGGTCAACGCCCTCAGATAGTAGTGACTCTGAGTATTCTATGGATTTGAGGTATCGTTGGAGAGAGCTCTCAACATGTGACATCCTAGCAAGGGACGCATCCAAGGTTGGCGGCGGAGTGTAGATGTGAATCTCAATAGCACGGTTCCTCATAGCTCGAGAGAGCTCACCGTGGCGAGGATCCATGGTCAAGAAAATTCGGAACTCAGGATGAGGCTTGACAATCCTAGGTTCTCCTCCAGGGCCACAGTGTTCGTTGATGCTAAGGAAGCCATTGGGCTCAAGCAAAGAGTTCAATCTATCCAAAACGGAGGCGTTGCACATGTTGGCGTTGTCCAAGACCAGCCACTGGCCAGTCTCTAAAGCCTTGACAATTACTCCATCTAGCCATTCGAATCGAGGATTTGAGAGTACCAGAGGGCTGTGAAGGATTTCTAGAGCCCGAGAAAGTGACACAAATACCTCGGAGCCCGCAGCAATCTGCTGGAGCAAAGCCTCTATGGTAGTTCGAATAGCGGCGATGTTATCACTGTCACCATTGTAGTTGTCGAGCTGATGAAGCAACTGTAAAACCTCGCTTGGTGCCTGTGCGGGAACGACTGACATGACTGAATCCTGAAGGAAATCTCTCAAGTTCCGGAGAGTGGCATTAATCTCCCTCAGGGGATCCGCTTGCTCAAAACCTCCAACCAAATCCATGGTATCAATGTCTGCATTCATGGGGAACACGACTAGGGGTTTTCCGGCGAGTGCTGCAACATATTTCAACAGCACAGATTTACCATATCCTGAAGGGCTGCTAAGAATACAAGGGATATTCTGCTTTACACAGAGCATAATGGACTCGAGCTCTGGGAGCCTTGGAACGATGTCAATACTAGGAAGTCTCTCTGGCTGGGAGTTCAAGTTCCTGTCTAGTAGAGCAAGACCAACTTGGCCAAATCGAGACCCGAGATCATGATAGAAGTGGCGAGAGCGGGGCTGCCAGCTAATGACGCGCTGGAATATCTTGTCTACTTCAGAACGGTCGGCTTCGGTGCGGAAACGCTGTCTAATTACGATGTCAAGGAAGTCTTCAACATGGCGAGTCTTCAGGAGTGGGTCAGACGAGCTCAGCAGGTTGAGCCACCTGAGAACATCTCGGAGGTTGAACTCCCACGGACTACCTTGCGCGCCAAAGGTCTTTTCGACCAGAAGATGGTGCTCAATCTGTGATACGAATTGAATCAGCAAACCGACGACCTCAGCAGACAACTGCGGGAAGCTGTGGCTGGCTATCAACTTGAGATCGTCATCCTTGAAGACATCGGCATATACAACGACGAATCGGTTGACGAATGAAGCGGGAAGTCCCTTACGGCCGCCACCCTGGTGGTGGGGATTCTGGGCTGCAAAGAGACGGAAGTTTGGATGGCGCTTGAACACCTGATCGAGTTCAGAGATGTATACTTCACCACGATGATCCAAGCAGGCATTCAAACCCTCCAAGACGGACTGAGAAGCAAGATTCATCTCATCGAGAAGAACCCATTCACCCTTTTGCATTGCTTGGAGGAAGGGCGCATCTCGCCATGCAAAGTTGCCCGCTTCTTCTCCTTCAACGGGAACATCTGTTCCAAAGAGATCCATTAGATCAGTTTGATCAGACAGGTTGATTCTAGTCAGTGGTCGGCCACAGGCTTGCGCCAAGGCAACCACCAAAGACGTCTTTCCAACACCAGGGCTACCTTCCAACAGGATAGGCTTTTGGGTTCGCATCGCTCGTATCACTCTCATAGCGTTTAGGCGCGTAGTTGGCGCGTGGAACGCAAAGCTTGAAGGAGTTGAGGCGTCCACCGTTCGATCTGCGCTGAATCCTCCAATAGTTAAATGAGATTCAGTGATGTCAAGTTCAGGCTGAGTCTGATAAGTAGCCGAAACGTCTTGACCAAGAAGTTGCCCCAGCTTGTTCAAACAGTCTACTCGCTGACGGTGGATCGCGTTAAGATCTGTTGCCAAAATAGCGGATGGATTGGCACCCAAGCTATCAATAAAGATAGCAGCAGCTCCATGAACTATCGATAGTACGACATCTTGATCTGCTGATGCATTGATGAATTGAACCCAGGCGAGAACCTCTCGCACAGAGAATGGAGCAGTAGCCATCGGCCGGAACGTAGTGCCAAACCAGGCCGCAAACTGGACCACAGCTTCAGCATAGCTCTTGGCGGCCTCGGTCAGCTTTGTTCGAGTAATGTCGTATATATCATCGCTCTCTGACAGCGGAGGAACCCAGATCTCGGTGAATCGATTTCGCAGAGCAGGGGAAAGCTCCTTCTTACCAAAGTCACCTCCAGGATTCATGGTGGCGAAGAACTGGTAACCCTCTGCGCCAACGACAAAGGAATTATCCACTCCCTTTTCTGCCAGTAGAAGTGTTCGTTGAGGCTCAAGGACGGAGTTGAGTCGTTCCAGGACTGAATCATCGGCCAATGAGATTTCGTCGAGGAGAAAGAAGTGTCCACCTCGCATAGCCTCGACAAGAGCACCATCGGACCACTCAAATAAAGCCATGCTCCTGGTCTCGTTCAATGCTATCCTCTCTTTAGTCTGCTCTAGGATGCCATCGAGGAATGCTTTGTCAAGAGATTTGTATCTCTCCAACCTATCTGCTGCCGAGCCAGATGCATCAACATTGCAGTGTCTCAAAACCTCCGTCACGTCAGCGTCCAGTGCCTCAATGATAGCGCCCCTATTTCGGATAGGACGTTGTGAACCAATGATGTCTCCAGTCTCTGTATTCTGATGGGCATTGACAATATGTAATTGTCTGCCTAAAATCTCAGCGAGCAGCTGGACAACTGTTGTTTTACCGCATCCAGTTTCACCAACCAAGAGAACCGGCTCGTTATTCTGTAATGCCCGAGATACTAGCACATACAACCGCCTGATGGCATGGGTCCAGACAACGCCTTGCGCATTAGCGCGATGAGCAATATGCTTCAGCTCTGGTGCCAGTTCTGCTGAGTAGAGATCCTGGGGATTAAGGGTAACTTTGAACACCTTTTCAATAACTTCCTTGACAGCAGTTCTTTCTTCTTCATTACGAACTCTTTCGGCCAGGAGCATGAATCCATGTGCGGCAATCTCTTCACGAGTATCCGCACGTCTAAGAGCCCATCGAAATAGATCTCGAAGAGTGGCGAAACTGTCTTTCTGTTCAAAAAGTCTGCTTGTTTGACGAAGTCGTGATAGTTCCTTGTAGACGTTGACGATTCGCCTACAATCGGGAGGCGAGGTATTGCGGCTGCGCTGCTGAAGAATGTATTCCAGTTCATCTTCGGGAATGTCATCAAAATGAAGCTCAAGGAATCGATTTCGGAACGCCCTGGATAGCACCTTTCTACCTCCGTAAAGGCCAGGGGGATTCTGTGTAGCAAAGAGGATGAAATTCTCGTGAGGCTTGACAACCTCCTGCGTCTCGGGAATTAACAGCTCACGGTTATCATCAAGTAGACGATTGAGAGCCTCAAGAACATCAGTCGGTGCCAAGTTCAACTCATCAAGAACGATCCAGTGTCCTTGTCGCATGGCCTGTACAAGGAGACCCTCCTGAAAGCGCAACTTCCCATCTGGTCCGGAAATGTATGTGCCCAGATATTCTTGAAGATCGGTATGCTCGTGGTTATTTATTCGGACGAATTTATTTCCCGTAAAGTTTGCCAAATACTCAATCATGCTGGTTTTACCGGCCGACGTAGGTCCTTGAATCAGGATAGGGAAGCGCCTAGTAGAAGTTGCTCGGACAAGATTGAGAAGATTTCTCTCCACGTAGGGCGTAATGATGTAATCATCTCTCTCGATGGGTGCCTGCTCGCCTTGGAAGAGCCAGTATTGTCGATCCCGGCTCTGGTTTTGAAACTTGACATACTGTCTACCGTCGCCAGGGTGTTTGGGAGGTTGAGATAGAAGGGACTGGGGGTTTCCATGTTTGTCCAAAAGGTGGTGGTAGATTAGTGGCAGAAGCATCTTCTCAGAGTTTCGATCGAGTAACGTCAAGAAACCCATAGAGAATCCCTCATACATTGCTCGCCGTATACCGTAGAAGGGGGCTATGGTGTTGACATAGCTCAACACTCGAGTTAGAGTACGGAGACTGAAGTGAGGAACCTCATTCGCTCCGTCTACCAAACGCTTCTCTTCCGCCATTCGCTTAGTGTTGAGATACAGGCGTGCGATATCATCTCCTGCTTGGTCGTTCTTGTTGCTGCCATTACCCAAGTATGTCTTGATAATGGTGAGGAGATCCTTCAAGTCCTTATCAGGACTCTTCACATACAGCTCAGTGAACCTTGATCGAATACCAATAGGCAAATCTCTCTTTCCAATATCGGTCGCCGGATTCATTGCGCCAAAGATGCGGAAATTTGGGTGCGCCACAATTTTCTCAATCTCTCCTGTTTCAGAGAGAAGAATGGAGGGTCTCTCGTTCGGTCCGGTCAAAAGATCTGTAATGCTCTCAAGGGTGTCTGGTGAGGCCAGGTTAATTTCATCCAAAAGAACCCAGTCGCCATTTCTGACGGCCTTTACCAAGTTACCCTCCACAAATGAGAATGCGAAGCTACTTGATCCACCCGAAATTTGTATATCAAATTGCTCGAGAGTGCGGGCAAATTGATCCCATCTAGGCTTGAGTTCCAGTAGCGTCTGCAGCTTGGACTGGGTCTTCCGCTTCTTTGTGGGTTGGGAATCATCTCCGTTTCTCGCCTCGGCCTTCTCTGAGTGAGCCCGCTCCAACTCAGACACAATTTTGAGAAACATTTTAGGCGCCTCCCTCCACAGTTTGGATAGTCGTGACCACTGTCCCTTGGCAAAGCATTTTCCGACTTGCTCAAGATACTTTTGGTTTTTGGATGCAGATATTCCGGTTGCTGAAAAGAGGTCCTCAAATTCCTCTTTCAGGGGCACTGCAAGACTCCGGACGTTGACCGGCTTGAAGCCACCCAGAAGGTCGCCCACCTCGCTTTGCTGTGAAAGATTGACCGCGATAAGCTTATGACCAAGCGACTCGGCCAACTGTTGAACGACTGTTGTTTTTCCTATACCTGTCTCTCCGACCAGAAGTACTGGCTCGTTGAGCTTGACAGCTACAGCAATCTGTTCCAAGAGCTTCTTGGCATGAGAAGTGCTTGCAAATGGCCGTTTTGACTTTTGCAGCCGGCTCACAGTCTTCTTTTTCCGCAACTGAACTCGCCCAATGCTGAATTGAACATCATTCTCTTCCAAAGGGGGTATATTGGCAGTCAAATAATGGTCTGCCCGTTCTTTGGACAAATGCATCTCTTCCGCAATGGCATATATAAGTTGTCTGCCAAGCTCATCATCTGGACAGCTGCCCACAAAACAGTCGACAGCTTCCATGAACATCCAGTCTCGCGTAGTCTCAGTTATTGGTTCGTCTCCAGTCGTTGAACCTGCTGCAAGCAGGCACTCCTGCAGTCGCCGACACCACTTTAGCAAATCCCTGAGGTTCATCTGTCGATCCATGAGCCGTCCGCGAGAGAATGAGCGAGATCCGCTGTTAACTTGGGCCAAACGGCTATAGACGGCGATTATTCCAGGAAGAAATTTGTGCAGAATAGGATGTGTCTGCAAAACCACTTCCTCCAGCTCTGGTTGGATCATGGGCTCCGCATATAGAGATTGCCAGAATCGCATTCCGACAATGCTAGGCAGATTCTCGCGCCCATTCATACCCATGGAGGTCCTCACAGTCGCAAAAAGGCGGAAGCTATTCGCAGCTTTTATCCTCTCTCCTCGACTCGGAATCAACAGTTCATTCCGCTCAATCAGTGGAAGGAAAGTGCTGAGAACTTCGGTAGGGGCTCGGTCGAGATCCTCCACCAATACCCATCTGCCTTCCCTGATGGCTGTGGTTAGTACACCTGGTCGCCATGAAAAGCTGCCCGGTTTTGAGTCTGTCGAGTAAAGGCCGATGAGCATCTTGGCGTCTGTCTGCTCGTTCAAGTGCAGCGTAACCATGCTGGAGTACATTCCAAGTTGCTTGGCCATTTCGTGGACCAGTGCCGTCTTTCCGACACCTGGCAGGCCATGAAGAAGGATAGGTTCGGGATTGCGAATCATGGCAGCGAGCCGTTCGAGATTCTTGGTGGTTGTCGCAGTCATGACGAGATCTGATGGGCCTCCAGTCGGTACAGATGGTCGGGGGAGAACAATTTTACCATAGGATACCGCATGCTGGGTGAGGGACTGGAGGAAAGGCTGACAGTCATCTCCAGACTCTTGATCATATCGCTTCACCTGCTGCCGCAATGCGAGGATCCTCTTGGCACGTGCTTGCTCATGCAGTGACAGAAATCCATAATCCACCGATGCACCGTCGAAATCAGCAGTAATGGCATCCTCATTGCCGACATGTGCCTCGATAAGCGATTCAAGTTTGTGGTCGGAGGCGTGGAAGAGCTGGCAGAAGATGCGAATCGCAAGATATCTCACTGCCCTGCTCTCATGCGCAAACAAGCTCTGCAGGTACTCGGGTGGAATTAATGAGCTGAAAGTTCTAAGATCGAAGCTGAAAAGTCTCCAATATGTTAATAAAGCCTGCAATAATGCATCCGCATCCAACTTCAAAGCGACGCCATCAAGGGTCGGCAACACCAGGTGAAGCGAAGGTCCCTGCGCCGCTTCCTCTCCAGGTCTGCCGGGACATTGAAGAAAAGTCGAGAGATACGGCGCAAATGGCAAAATCCTGGCAATAGCTGATGCGATTAATAAGCGTCGTGATCCGTTGCCGGCGTTGAGAATCCATCGTGCGCAAATGTCTGAAAACACATCCTCAAAATGCACAAAGATTCTCTCTGTAAGTGATGGTGTGAGCGCGGCTTCTGATACAGCATCAAAGAGCTTCGTCGACGACTGATGCTTGATAATTTCAAGTAATTCAGAAGGCAGATGGTCCAATGCAGCCGCATCCTTCAGGAGCGACCTCCTCTGCCGAGAGACATCAATCATGGCCATGATTGTGCTCTGTGTCGAACGAATTTTCGCCTCTCTTCAATGCCGCTGTCGCGTTTCTGAACTTTTTTTTTTTTTTTCTTTATATGAGCGCCCGCCAACTTTTTTTTTTCCTAGTCGGGAACATGGGTACGGGAAGGAGGGGCACTCGGGGCTACGAATTTCCGGACCAATCAGAGCCCGCGTGGACCGGCAAACTTGAAGCTTTCGAAAAACTTCATGACAGGCCATCGCACGACAGCCAGCGGCTCGAGAGAATAACCCCACGAATTGTCAATTGCGAATTGCCCGCCACCGCCAATTTCTCCCAACCATAGCAATGGCCACTCCGTGTCGGTTCGCTGCGCGCAGCTGCGCTCGCCAGCTGCGATCAGCCGCCTCTCCCCGATCCTCCGCACAAATGCTCCGAGTGTCATGCACAACGAGACGGTACAACTCAACTGAGGCCGCTGCCGTAAACCCCAAGATTGCCGACATTGTCGACCAGATCAGCAAGCTTACGCTGCTGGAGACTGCCGATCTCGTCTCAAGCCTAAAAGTAAATGAATAGCAAGCACACGAGCGGCTGATCAAAGTCTGCCATCCCGCCAACACACGACTAACATGGTTTTTTTTTTTTAATAGAGCAAGCTGAACATTCCCGACATGCCCATCGGTGGCTTCGCTGCCGCCCCTGCTGCCGCCGCCCCCGCTGCTGCCGCTGAGGAGGCCGAAGAGGCCCCTGCCGCCCCTGCCGAGAAGACTCTCTTCACGCTGAAGCTGCAGTCAATCGATGCCGCCGCCAAGGCCAAGATCATCAAGGAGGTCAAGGGCATGCTGGGCCTGAGTTTGGTCGACAGCAAGAAGTTTGTTGAGAGCGCACCCAAGATGATGAAGGAGAACGTGCCCAAGGAGGACGCAGAGAAGATCATTGCCACCATGAAGGAGCTTGGTGCGGTGGTCGTGATGGAGTAAAGGAAACAAAAGGATGAGAAAATATCGGGAGGATATTTGCATGATCTTTATGACACGATAGATGGTCGAGGTACATGTACAACAAAATATTGTGTATTATATATCAAAGAAGAGAATTCTTTTTTCTATTTTCCCTTTGCATGATATGGGCCAACCATTCTCGGTGTTTGTGGAGTCCTGTTTCCCAATTGCAAATGTATTTTTCCCAGGACCATGAATAGTATAGAAATTCTCTGGGGTATCTCAATTCCATGCATATACAATTTGATAACCTCAATGTGGTACACTGAAACACACAACGCCGCCCAATGCCATGGTTAAAGAACAGGAGAAAAATCAATGACCGTTGCGATTCGCCGGTGGTTGGTGATGGCACTGCTGTATCTCCATCTCCTTGGTGAAGTCGTCGCCTTCTTCAGTCAACAGGCGGTCGTCGTCGTCGCCAAAGTCGCTCGTCTCCTCCCACAGCTTGTTCATCTCGGCATCCTCTCCCTTGGGGACAGCCCAGATCCTCTCTCGCTCGCGCTTGTGTCGCTCTCGATCCTCTTCAATCCGCTGCTCTACTTGACGCTTATCCAGGCCATGGGTCGCGGGTCGCCGCCGAGATTTTGACTCGGAGGCCGGGGCGTCTGTCATGTCAACGTCGCTGGTGGGAGATGCAAGGCCCAAATCGTCATCATTGGTACCGCGTTCCTTGATGACGTCCTCAATTTGCGTTACCACTTGGTTCTCCAGAAAGCCCTTGTTTTGAAGGCCAATCAAAACCTGTCGACACCAAGTTAGTCAAAGGCGTCAAAAGACATGAGGATAGTTTCTGAGAAGAGGAGTGCACATGCCTTGCGGACAACTTTGACATTGGCCGCCCCAGAGCCATCGTCAGGAGCCACAGCATCGACAACTCTTATGATATCACGCTGCATCATGCGGATGTAATCCGAGTGGCCGTCACGCTGAGCCAAGTCGAGGAAGTGCTCAATAAAATACATGATATTGGCACGTGTATTCATGTTATTCTTTCATGAGAGACGAGATCAGTATTGAAACGAAAAAGTAGAATTTAAAAAAACACCTCGTCAAAATTCATCACCATCAAAACTCTACTCACCCGCTCTACTTGCTCCAGGATACATGAGTGCAGATCCTCATCCATGTCCTTATATTTGAGCGCATACTGGGCCGCCTTCTGCGCCGAAGCAACAGATGCGTTGAGATGCTGCAGTTGCGAGCTGAAGCGCATGCGGACCTCGAAAGGATCCGCCATTTTCCGAGTGAATCCTCCGTCTGCAGGGTTTGGGAGCGCGGCTTTGTCGAGTCTGAATTGCTGCAGTGCGAGGGCGCAAGGCTGAGAGACCGAGTCCAGGGCGCGCCTCAGTGTGGCTTGACCTGCTAAACTCGGGTGCTCGGTGAGCCGCCACAGCGCTAGTCTGGATCAGCTTACAGGTCGTGCTCCGTATTACTGCTCCAAGTCTTGGATTGCTCCATGCTATTGTTACTGGGCTGGGCTGGGCTGGGCTATTGTTATTCGAGCACTGGAGCCCTTCATTTGCCCATGCAGCCCACGGTAATGAGCCGGGAGGACGCCAACAGCCGCTGCATGGCCCCCGATTCCGGCTTTGGGCTCCGAGTCGAGTCGCAGTTGAGCGTTTGCAACGGTTGAGCCCCTGAGTTCAAATACACACAGACTTGAGCCTAAATGTACGGAGCAGTGGTACAGTATTGAAATTTGAAAGTAATCCATAAACACATCCATAATCTACCTTGGGGTAGTATTACTCCATAAATCGATATTATGGGCATTAACACCGTCAATCCTTCCGATACCAGCACCCAACCGTCAACCATCTTAGTGGCGGCGAGGGCGAAAAAGTCCGGGGCACAGCTGAAGGGTGAGTCTCAAGTGATGAAACATCGTCGGCTGAGCCATTATTCATGCCCTCCATCCAGCTCACTGAGTCGGTCGGTCAACCAAATTCAGGAGCCCAATGCATTTTCCTTTCCGTAGGCCGCCGTCTTGACTTCCAGATCCTTGTCCCTTTTTTTCGTCCTATTTGTCCCATTGACGATCCCGCTGGGCAGCAATCGTTACGGAGACAACCGTTTAAGGGGGGGGCCAAAATGGCCCTTTTTTTTCTGACCTCTTCCTACTCGTCTTATTTATTTAAACTTGGGCCAACTTGAGATGTAGAAAAAAAAAACACTGACCTATCTTTTCTCTCATCCCCTTTCCTGAAAACCTGCCAGCCTGGCAACGACCTGGGTGGCCAGAACTTTTTCTCTTCTCTCGCGACCCTTCTTTTCACTCTTCTTTTTCTTTTGGCCACCTGCCACCGCTAGTGCTAGTAAACTCTTACTCCTGGACGAGCAACCCGACAAAATGTCCAACATGCTGGCTCTCACGCATCACAGCATGCCCCAGCCGCCTCAGGACCTGACCATGGCGGTCTTGGGCTGCGGTAAGTCTTAGATATAATGAAGCCTTGCGTCGCTTCAAGGCGGCATTTGTTCATTCCTGGGCTCATGCGAAATGCTTGTAGGCACCATGGGAATTGCCATCCTCAACGGCATCCTCACCTCCCTAGTCGAGATGCAAGGCCCCAAGCCGCTGCAGTCCGGCGCTTCTACGCCTTCAGAGGAGGTTCCGCGCTCTCTGCCGTCTCGCTTCATCGCCTGCGTGCGGACCCCGGAGACGGCCAAAAAGGTCAAGAGTGCCCTGTGGGAGCACTCGTCCGTCCTCAAGGTTGTCCGCAACGACAATCTTGCTGCCGTCCAGCAGTCCCAGGTCATCCTGCTGACCTGCAAGCCCTACATGGTCAAGGAGATTCTGGGCGCACCTGGCATGGCAAAGGCCCTGCACGGCAAGCTTCTCATCAGTGTCTGCGCCGGCATCACCGTCGAGCAGCTGGAAATCGCTCTTCACGGCGCTGTCCCGTCCAAGGACCCTGAGGAGGACGGCCGCTGCAGAATCGTGCGAGCCATGTGCAACACGGCTGCCCTCATCAGAGAGTCCATGACCGTCATCAGCGCTACCGAGCCTCCCTTGCCCCAGGAGACGGAGACGCTGGTCACCTGGATCTTCAAGCGCGTCGGCGATGTCGTCTATCTGCCCGCCCGATACATGAACGCCTCGACAGCTCTTTGCGGCTCCGGACCTGCGTTTTACTCTCTGTTCCTTGAGGCTGCTATCGAAGGAGCCGTCGCCATGGGTCTCCCCCGGGCTGAAGCAACTAGGATGGCAACTCAGACCATGAGAGGAACGACCGGTCTTATCCAGAGTGGAGAGCACCCGGCTCTTCTCAGAGAGAAGGTGTGCACTCCTGGAGGCTGCACCGTCAGCGGTGTTCTCGTACTAGAAGAGGAGCGTGTGCGTGGAACTATTTCCAAGGCTGTGCGGGAGGCTAGCTTGGTTGCCAGCCAGCTTGGTAAGAACATTCAGGCTGCTAATACCGCAGCCCCGAGAAATGACATCCATCAACACTACGATGAGTAGATATTTGGTCTGAGGAGGTACTGATTTTTTCCTATTTAATGATTGTTCTTAATGAAGAGAGAGCATTTAGCATGTCTTGCTTGCTCGGGTTGCCCAGTTATACAATAGAATACATAGAGTCATTGTTTTCTCCTAAAGCATCGTATCAAGTTTTCCCCCAACGCCTGCTATTAATTTACCCTGTCAGCCTCGCCCACTAGGATCCAGCTCAGTTTCGATATGCCACAGCCTTCCCAAGGACTTTACTCGTCATCCACTCTAGCCTTCTTACTAGACGTAGCCTCGACCAAAGGCTCACTAGGTTTCCGCTTTCCATTAGAAGCAGTCGAATGCTTCATAGCCCGATCATGTGCCGCTAGTATTCTAGCATATTCTAATTCAACGCTACCTAGCGTTTCTGACAGTTTGTCGATCCTCTCGGCAACATCTATTTGGGAAAGAACTTCTTTGTTATGGCGATATAATCGCTGCTTGACAATGAGCTGCCACAACTTTTCTTTGTGCTTGTCCGCAGCTGTAGGAGACGGAACATAGCCGTCCAGTGACATGGTTGGACGAACCGACTTTGGAAGTTGAGACATCAAGTGCATTTCCAAAACCCGAGAGAACTGCCGGGGCGCAATCTTGGCCTGTAGTCGAATCTTTTCGAGGTTTTCCCCACCAGCGATAAGTCTGGGCAGGGGCCCGGATTTGGGAACAGTCACTTTGGTATCGAGGCGAAGCTCTCTGAATTCGGGCATGGTTCGCAGGAAAGCCAGGTCGCAGGTGTCTCGTAAATCGTCAAAGGCTTCATTGGGATTTTCAACTGTGAACTCGTGCGTCTGCGCGTGACCGTGGTAGTACTTGAAGACGGTGTTATATAGGCGCGCGCCACTGCCCTTGCCCTGGAACGGTGGAAGAATGACAAACTGCGAGAGCCTTGTCCTGCACGGAAGCTGAGACAGGTCCATGTCACCAGAAGGTAGCTCCCAGGTTTCCGCTGGGGAGGTTGGCGGCGTCGGTAGCGGTGGGAAATAATAGAAGCGGTAAACTGTGGCGAAGCCCACAAAGGTGTACGCGCTCTTCTCCGAATCATCAACCGACTTTTGCTTGCGATAGAGGAAAAAGAGAGTCCATCGATCAGCATCTGATAAATCCAACTCTGCCGAGTCCGACTCTGGATCGTGGCCGATGTAGGTGCCTCCTTCGATAAATAAGGGAACCAGGATTTGAATTCGGCTGTTCAACTGTCTGACAGCAGGGTCGACAAGACTTCCCTTCCAGATTTCATACTGGCCATCGGGACCCTCGAAAGTATCGTGCAGCGTTCCGGGAGGAGACCAGTTGTCGCCAAGTTGTTGCGAGCTGTTGTCAAAGTCCGATCCCTTAACAAAAGCAACTACAATAGGATTAGCAAACGCCGATTAAAGGTAGAGCATCCAATGTCGAGTAGCGCAAACCTTTTGGCAGATGGCCACCCTCTTCCAGGATCTCTACAACATCGGTAGGTTCATGCTCGCCAACAGCCTTCAGTTTTTTGCTGTACGCAAGTCGCAGGTGCGGGCGCATATCATTGGCACGATATCGCAGGTGGATCTTCAGGTCCTTGTATCCCAATATTTTCTCCTCGTCGCCAAAGATGGGATACGTGAACTTGGGATGGAACGTCGCAATGGTCTTGAGGCCCGATTTTGACGGCGCTACAAGGCTAATGTTGAGCGCTTCGTTGGCATCTTGAAGCCCTGTTCCACGGAGGTTAGCACGAGAGGGTTTCTGAGGGCGAGATGGAGGCTCACACTCTGCAAGGTCAGGAAGACCGGCCATGGCCAAAGGAAGGGAAAGAGAAGAAGCGCTAGGTTCGAAGGTACAAGCTGGCGGTTGCAAATATGATCGCAGAAATTGAGAGTGCCTCCAAGCAAACAAAGAAAGAAAGAAAGAAGAAAAGAGAGTCAAGGCCGTGTTTGTCGCAACAAGGCTGGCCAGCTGCAATTTGGACCTTGGCACTAAAAGCAAAGCGCGTCTGCATGCATCCATGTAACGCGATTCAATTAAGCTGCTGCATCTGTGGCTGCGTTGATGCCCCAGATTCAAGGCAGAAACAAGTGCCCAGGTACGGTACTCTCCAGTCCATCGTTTTATTACGTCACGCATGCTAAAGTCACCCGGTGGGTCTGCGAAACCCATCCAAGGCATCTCGATTGTCTCTGGTGGACATAATCCGGCCTTGGCCATACAAAATCACCCAACAAGGCGGCGGCTTGTTTATTGTCTTACGTGCCTTGCAGCAACTGCTCCTCCAGCGTCGATACGCCCTGCAACTGCGTCGCCGTCCTGCAGCATCTGCCATATGAGAGCGCATATGGCGTTCGCCCCTGAACCCCCTCTTCGCCATGCCTGAAATTGCGAGCAGTCCAACGCCAGTTGGCTCTTTTATCTTCTCATCCATCGCCCTCCTGCTGGTGTCGCTGGGAGTCCTCCTCATCTTGCGCCACTATCTCCCTCTCCGAACCACGCCGGCCTTCTACATCGTCCCCATCTTCTTCGCCCTGTGGCTGCCCTCGATACTCGTCCTCCTGGTTCCGATAGACCTTGCTTCCAGCGCCATCACCGACGATGTGGCTTCGCGGGGCATCTGGCTGCCTCAGCGCGTGGTCTTGGTGCTGTGGCGCATTACATACTGGTTGACATTTTGCTTGACATGGTGAGGAGAGAGACTCTAGACTCGGTGTTGTGGTTGTAACCGTTTCTAACTCAAAACTCGCAGGTTCATCCTCCCCATCCTCGCCGAATACTCCGACACTGGCTACCGTGAGCCCTATGATAAGCTGATGTACTCTCTCCGCGCCAACGCGCAATTCTATGCCATGGTTCTAGGAGCTGGCGCTGTCGGCCTAGTGTACATATTCGCCTCCTACGAGTTCTCCTTTACAGCTCTCAAAGCGCTCATCATGGCTCTGTCTTACTGCTGGGGTCTGATTCTTGCCATCTACCTGATGGGCCACGGGCTGGTTTCCATACCACGGCACCTGCTTCGAAGCGGAAGTATCAGCGGCAGACTACGGAGATTGCAGATAAAGGCGCCTAGGGTGTATGAGAAGATGGAGGACTCTCTCACGGGCGTCGAGGAGGTTGAACAGCAGGTTTCCGAGCTCGGCCGCCGAAAAACGGGAAGTGCCGCGGCCTTCCAAGATTGGATTGAAGAGCTTCAGGAGATAGCCAATATTCCCGAGTCGCAGCCCCGGTCAGGGCTTCTCGATTCAACGGCACCCGCCCAAGCCGTCCCGCATGTCATTACCGAAAAATACTTGGCCGATCTAACACGAAAGCTCGTACGCGCACGGCACTCACGGTCTCAATATGTTGGAGAGTGGAACCGATTGGTGCAAGAAGCTGCCAACCTTCAGACAATCTTGGACTCGGTCGCCTCCAAGAAACTAGACTTTGGCAACGTTTCTCCCCACGCCGAATTCTGGGACAGGGTAAAGATACTCACGCCGTATTCTCGATACGTTTGCTATTATTACATCTTTCCCTATACGCGAATGGCCTTTGGTGCGCTGTTAGCTCTGGCATCTGCTTGCATTGTCTGGTCAGAAATCGTCAAGTTCCCTTTCCCTAAGCTGTCTATTATTCGTGTTAGCGTTGTCCACCACTGGGTTGGTGACAAGGCCCAGGTCGGATTCGCGGGACAGGTCATTTCGGCATTTTGGATTTGCTACATGTGCGCCGCTGCTCTTTCGTCCATGACCGAGGTCAAGGTATGGCGCGGACGAGCTCTCGTGAAGCGAAACACCGGACACGAAGCGGCATTCTGGTTCGCATCGCAAGTGGCAAAACTCAGCGTCCCGCTCTCATACAACTTCCTCACCTTCTTGTCAAGCGAGGTCTACCAGAAGACCATCTTCTACGAGTTCCTCGGACAGTACGTTGATGTTACACCCCTAGGAAAGTGGTTCGACAGTTTCTTCCCCATCGCCCTCGTAGTGCCTGTCCTGGCTGCCACTTTCGGGCTGTACGGCAAGGTCAAGCGCGTATTTACGGGCGTAGACATTATCGAGGATGAGGAAGATAATCCCACGGGCTACGGCACCGGTAATTGGCGCGAAGGCCGTGATCTCATCGCCAGAGAATTAGGAGGCTCAACCCAACGGCGCAGCGGTGCCGCGGCTAATGGGGCTTCGAGTCGAGCAGCTCCAATTCTGTCCATCCCTGCCATCCAAGACTCGGCTGCCACACCATCGAGATCGCCGCTACGATCCCCCGCCAGCAACAATCGTAGACCAGGCCAAGCACAGCCCCGCTTCACCGATGAACCACCCGAAGATGACAACATCTTTACGATCCTCGGACATCGCATGAAGAATACGGTCGATTCATTCGAGACACCGCAGTGGTTCCAAGATCTCGGACAGGGCATCAAGAAGCCCAAGTGGATGGGTGGAAACGATGCTCAGCCCGCCAACGCCGGCAGTGGGAGCAACAGCAATGACACCGGCACCGATATAAGAAGGTGGTTCGGAGGGGGCGGCGATAGCCATATCCGCATTTGATTTCAGAAAGCCTCTTTGTTCTTGCTCTTCTTTTTTTCCATAACTTCTCTTGACTACCATTTAATGTTCCATCGGTCTATCTTGGGTATGGATGGCATGCCTTACCACCGCATTGTCATGGAGTTATGGTGCTTAATATCTACGGTTTGGTGGAGTCTCTTTTTTTTTTTACCTCTTAGTATCCTAGAACCATAGATTTCATGTCTATTCTTTTTCTCTCGAGCGTTCGAATACCGCCGCCAATGATTTTCTTGTCAAAAAGAGAACTTCTGGTAGTGTCAATAATATATATTAAGTTTTATTGCAATTTATATGCGTCACTTGCTATCTACGTGATTACTTTCTGGCATACAACCTACCTGGGTATGAATCCAGTCCCAGCTTTTTCACAATCTGCCACCAAATTTCGATACCCCTTGGAAACTACATAAATATACTCGCGTGGAAAGCAACCAAAACAAGCAGATATATGCCCGCCATTCGTAAAATTCGTAAAAAAAAAAATAAAAAAAAAAAGTAGTAAATCATTACCGTTTCGTCATCCATGAACATAAAAGCGTCAAAGAAGCAAAACTAGGGGCGGCCGTCGTCGTCGCCGCCTGCTCTAAGCACTGATCTGTTTGCTGCGACTGTTCCAGGTATGCGTTTTGCTCATGGTCCTCTTGCGCAGGGAAGTCAAAATGTTCATCTCCATCTGCTCAATGTCGCCCTCGAGCTCCTTGTCATCCTTTTCGTAGCGGCGCTCCTTGCGGCGGTCGTACCAGAGCCAGAAGCCGACGATGATTGCAGTTAGGGGTATAGTGATGATGAAGTAGACCCAGAGCCAGTTGGAAATGACGGGGTCGGCACCTGCGTGAGAAGAAAAGAAATCGGTTGTTAATTTTTTCGTCTTGTGGTTTATGCTGAGTGGAAGGGGGGTGAAACTAACCGGCTTGAAAGTTGAAAAAGGTCATGCTAAACACCGAGGCGAGGTACGTGCCAGGTAGGAAGAGGGCTCCCATGAGGGAGATTGTCTTCATGGCGGTGCTGTCTCGCTTGCTTGCGTGTGCAATGCGACGCTGCTCTCCGGCGATTTCCAGGTTGAGTCGGGCCTCTCGCTGAGAGATGATGTTGTACAGCTGAATTGAGAGCCATTTCATTAGTATAAAGGACATAAATAATGCCAGGGATGGGGGAAATATGATAACACTTACCGCCTCTCGCTGTACTTTCAATCTCTCCAGCGTAGTGTGAATATAATTCTCCAGCCCCTTAAGCTTGACCTTGTAAAACTCCAGCCGTGCAAGAATGCTCCTGTGCAGCTGATCGATGGTCTTCCTGTGCGCAATTTCTTCGTCCGTCAAGAAGTCCTTCTTCCAATCCAGCCAGGACACCTTGAAGCGCTCCATGCACAGCTCCATCTCCCTGACCAGCATAAAGTAAGCCTGGGGTCGTTTCCACATGACATGGCTATGGCACTCGACCAAGTCGCGATTCAGCCCGTCTACAGATAGTATCCCGTCCTGGAAATACTGTTCCCCCTCCTCGACTTCGTCGCGCATGCTGACTGCGTTCTCCAGGCGGCGCAACCAGTCGCGCGCATCGCGCTGCTTCTCGTCGTTGGCGGGCGAGAGATCGTGTGAGAGAATGATGGTGGAGAGAAGCATCGGGTGGCCAACTTGGCTGCAGCACCCGCGTAGGTGTTTAAGAGCTTGGACAATGTCGGAGCTGGGTGTGCCTTTGATGAAACCTGTGGTAATGCCGGTTTTGAAGGAGTAGGAGAGTATCATTTCCCAGCCGCGGGTTTTGCCCTTTTTGCGCACATCGGATTTGCGGTGCACGATTTCTGTATTTTGGAGGTTAGAATAGAAAAGAAAAGGAACCTAGTTTTATCGTCGTCAAGATGGTTAATAGGGGGATTTCACATACGGAGATGGGGATCATCGTCGTCCTGGTCATAGGCGCACCAGAAGAAGGGCCCAACCACAGACGACGATTCTATGGCGCGAAAGGGCAACTTGAGCGTCCTGGCCATGGACATGTACTTGTCCTTTGGCAGGGAGATGACTCTTGGCATGAATGTGTCCTTGTGCTGAGCATCTTTTTGGATGCTTGGTGTGCAGATGTTAGCTCGATGTTGACATGTTATTGCAGGGGGTGTCAATCACAAAGATTACAAAAGAGAATCAACAAATCAGGCAGGCATCAAGAAAGACATAAAAGAAAAGAAAAAACTCACAGAAGTCGAATGCCGCTCAAGAGCTTTGTGCCCTCGCGCATTTTCTGCGGCGGTTCAAAGGCGCCCTGGTCAAGCTTCATGTCAGCCTCACACTGTGATGTGATGGTCAAAGTGCCCAAGCTCCCATCCCATCTCATCCCATCCACCTCATCCCATCTCAACTTCGTCCAATCCCCATCCCATCTCATCTCATCTCATCTCATCTCATCTCATCTCATCTCATCTCATCTCATCTCATCTCATCCACATCTTCATCTTCATCTCCATCAATGCCTTTCCATCTTCAAAGAACAAACAAATAAAAAGAAACGACGGCATCCGTCTCTGCACTCACCCTTCGGTTCAGAAAGTTCTCAAACTCCGACATGGGCAGCGGATGCTCCTCCACCGAATTGTATAACGGATCCTATCCTCGGCATCAGTCGCCGTCTCGGAAACAGCCAAATGCATCTCCGCAGGGCACTCACAGAGTAGTTGAAAATCTCCACATAGCTCGTCTTCTCCTCTACCACGCGACACTCGTCCACAAAGAACTTGAACATGTACTCGTCCATCTTGGCCAGGCCTCAACTCCTTTCAAACGTAGCCCGCGCAATAGCCTCCCAAAAACCTTGCCCCGTTTATCCTCGCCGTAACGTCGAGGGATCCTGAAGTGACGGTTGATTGATTCCTGCGGCGCAAGACGATGATGGGGTAATTGGCCCCCAATGCCGTTGTTGTGATGGAATCACTGCGCTATATCGCCGAGGCCTCCGACCAAACACAATCAATCACGTTCGCTATGCCGCTCCGCTAACGAATAAGACCAGCCGCTTATAGAATGACAAATAGACAGTCAAAGACGGAATAAGCCGATCATCAATCACTCCCAATCCATGAAAAAGAAAAGAGAAGAAGAATTAGAAAAGAATGGAAAAAGGGTAACCCATCAACTATCACGTAGCACGCAGTATTCCCAGAAATAATTCCCCGCTCCCGTGCGAAAAAGGGGAATCAAGCCATACGAGTAAAAAGTCTCAAAAAGGTTACATGTAAAAGAAGAAGGGGAGGAAGAGGAAAAAGAGCCAAACGGAAAAGAGACGACAGCATCTGTTTCGGGCACCCCAGCCTCGCGACTTCGGCTGCAGCACCGCTACGCAAGCAAAAGGTCACCCCGAAAAGCCTCCATGCAGCAGCATCCACATAAGACGTGCTACCTTTAAAAAAAAAATGTCCATAGTATATGCAAGCAGGGGGATCTATCATATTTGCATTGAACCGAAAAACCCCACGTCAGCGAACCAAAAGCCCAGTTGCCAGCAACCCCCCTGTAAAAAATATAAAATAAAATCAGGTAAAATACCTACAAAAATACAAAAACACACACAGCGAGACAGATACTCGACAGACAAAAAAAAAAAAGCCCCTACCTACTAGGTACCAAGGTAAAACCGATATGCAATCCATTATGGAAGCGTACTGTATCGCCCTCCAGACCGCTGGAACTGCAGCGTCACTTAGCGGCTCCGCACAGGGGAGGGTAAAACATCCTTCAACTCACCTACCGAGTAAGCTACAGGGCAATCCATCTCGGTATTACGGAGCACTTAATCTATTCCACCGCCTTTCTCCGCCATCTTGGGCCATCGAGACCATACGATCAGCAGCACCAGTTTTTCCCATTGATTCCTTGCTCCCCTTCTGGGGCTTTGCCATTTCTGCAGCCAATGCAATCAATTGATGATGCAGCAGACCCTTGGAAAATCTCTGCATGCCCTGTATCAACAACATGGATGTACGTGTGCCCATTACTGTACTGTACCTACAAGGTACACAGCATGCACGCGTCAGACTCGCATCATGTACGATACATCGAGGCAAGGTACGAGGGCAATTCCTAGCAGAGGTAACACGCAAAACTGCTCAGACAACGCCATAAAAAGTAAGATAGGTATAGTAGTAGGTAATATTACTAGTACCAAGGTATAATGAGGAGCACAAGCAAAAAGCACATCCTCTCAGGCTCAGCTCCTTCAACAACAACAAGTCCCAACTCCTGAGACAAGCCAAGTATACAATGTGCCCCCTTCTCTCCCTCTGCCCGCCCACTCGTAGCCCCAAAAAAGAAAAAAGAAAGAAAAAAGACAGGAAACAGGTAGAGAAAGATGAAACTGGATATACAGGTGCGTCGTATAGTTGGCTACCGGGCGAGACAGTTTTTGGCCTTGCAGCATCAAAAACAGCTCCCCCCCTCCCCCGAATACACGTTTTCCAACACAGACTCCAGGTCGAAACGAGCCCCCCAAAGACCAATCGAACCACCCTTTCCAAAGAGACAAGAAGGAAACCCATCTCCAATGCATAGCCCATCACCAAGACGCAACTAAACAAATGGCCCATCAACCCGCATCTTTTACATCCAAAAACAAACCAGTAAAAGAGCAGGCATTGCTCCTTTATTTTCCCCTTGGGCCACGCATCCAAAGCCTCGTCGTCAAGTCGTCAGCGTTTCCGCGTATGCCCGGATTTTGAATATTGATCCCTTAGAATTCAGTAAACAGGTTGCCATACCTGTAAGAATAGCCCACTCGTTAGCCACAGAAGCGTCTCAGATACATGTATATATGCGTGGACGCAGGGGAGAAAAAAAGAAGAGGGGGCAAAAAAGACATCACTCACTCGTCATGGCCGCCTGGACCCCCGTACTTTTCAGGGTCCTCGGGGTATCGGTCAAACTGGCTGGCATCGCCGGATCCAGCCTTGACTGGTGGCGTATACGGCGCATCAATGTCTTTGCGCGCCAACCGGTCCCATGTGACTTCTGCAAACCACGGATGGTTCTTGACGTCTTGTGAGCCTCCAAACAGGTTGCCCAGTCGCTTGGTCAAGTCCGCCGTGATCAGCCGCTCGAGCAGGTTCTGGGCATCCGGGTTTATATACGCCGGGTACTTGACCTTGCCCTTGAGAATGTTTTCGTATATGCGCATGGGAGAGCCGCTGTCCCAGAACGGCGTGTATCCGCAGAGCATCTCGTATATCAAAATCCCGAGGGACCACCTAGACAGGAATCATCAATCTTGTGTATCATGCAGGCCCAAAATCACCATCACTCACCAGTCTACAGACTTGTTGTAGCCCTTGTTAGAGACTACTTCAGGAGCCAGGTAATCTGGTGTTCCGCAGAGCGTCCATGTCTTGTCCGGCACCCGCTTCGCGAAGCCAAAGTCGGTGATTTTCAGGTGTCCGTGCCGATCCAGCAGCAAGTTTTCGGGTTTCAAATCGCGGTATATAATGTTTTTGGAGTGCAGGTATTCCAGTGCCAACGTGGCCTCGGCGGCATAGAACTTGGCGACCGGATTAGGGAATCGCTGTAGTTGAGGGAAATCCAGCAAGTTAGCCAAAAAAGCTCATAGCCAAACTAAGCAAGAAGACTTGACGCAAAAAAAACACTCGTGGAAGACAAGGTAGATGGGTGGATGCTTCATACCCCAGATTTTCTTAGTAGCGAAAACAGCTCGCCGCCCTCGACAAAGTCCATGACCATGTAGAGATTCTTCCAGTCCTGAAAGGTACCCCACAAGGTGATGAGGAACGGGTGCTTGACGTCGCTGAGCATGCGGCGCTCGTCGTTTGTGTGCTCGACCTGCTTCATCTTGACCACCTGCGCCTTCTTGAGCACCTTGACGGCGTAGAAGCGCTGGTTGTGCTTGGACTGGACCAGGTGAACGCGCCCGAAGCTACCGGTGCCGAGCGTTCTCAGGATCTCAAAGTCGCCCAGCGAATACTTGCCCTTGGTGACGCGGGGCTGGGATAGCGATACGCTGTGGCCATGGTGGATCTGCTGGTGGTGCTGCTGAGGCTGCTGTTGTTGCTGTTGCGGTTGCTGTTGCTGCGGCTGTTGTTGTTGTTGCTGGTGAGGGGGATCCAGCTGCATTGCCGACGACAGGTGCTGCTGCTGTTGTTGTTGTTGTTGTTGGAGAAGCTGCTGTTGCTGCAGCTGGGCATTGGGGTCGGCCATCTGGGAGCCTATGGTAGCGGTGGTCTGATACGGCGAGGGGGCGTAGCCGTTGGTCGAGCCGTCATTCTGGGGCGAATTGATGAGGTTGCTGATGCTGGGGAGGTTCTGCGAGTCGTGGCCCGGCGCGTACGAGTGAGGCTGGACGTTGACGGGATTCATCGTCGGCTGGCGGTCCGGGTCAGGAGCAGCGGTGGGAGGAGCGGCCGTGGCCGAGTCTCGCGCGGCGGTAGCGGCAGGGGCAGGGGCGAGAGCTGATGCTAGATCCGAGGCTGGCAGAGACGATGCTGTCGAGGTCAAGGTCAAGGTCGAGCCCGGCGCAGGAGCTGGCGTGGAGGACGCGGGTGCGGAGGCGGGAATGGGAGTGGATGCGGACGGCGAGATGGAGCCAGGCGAGACGGGGACGGTGCCTGGACCTGGAGCTGGAGCTGGAGCTGGAGCACCTGGTAGAGCACCTGGGAATGCACCTGGAGCGGCGTGATTGCTGTCGCCTGTAAGTGTCGCTGCGCCTGTGCCTGCGCCTGTACCTGTAGCTGTAGTGGCAGTGGCAGCAGTGGCAGCAGCGGCGCTCGTACTCGATCCGGGCGTCACTCGCGGCTGTGTCGATTCCAAAGGCCTCGAGCCCGGCGTGGGTGCGACGGGGCTGGTGGGGTTGGCAGCGCTCAAGCTATTGCCGTTACTGGTGCTGGCCTTGGCTGCTGAGGGGTCAGAGCTGCCCTCCTTTGTCCGCTTCTTCTTGAGGAATGAGCCGAAGGAAGGCATAAGGCTCGATTGAGGTGTTGTGGCCGCGGGAGGTGCACCAAAAGAGAAAGAAAAAATAAATCCAGCGAGACCCAGGCCGCAAACAGGGCGTGGGGAGCGAAGGGCAATTGGGTTGAGGGGAAGCGCTCGACTCGATTGAATTGAGCACGCTGGTTCCGTTCCGTTCGCGCCGATCTGACTGAGCTGAGCTGAGCTGGGAGGTACCTCGTAATCCAAAGCAATTGGGGGGAGTTTGTAGCGTCTTGTCGTTGAAGGATGGCGGGCTGGACACTGGCGTATGGTGCTATTTAGGCGGGGGAGGAGGCTGCGAGTGGCTGGCTTCAGGGGCCGAGGCAGACGAGTTGAGTGCTGAGGGCTCAATTGGAGCTCTTTTCGTCTGGACCTTTATTAGCGTCTGGTCTGGTGCTCCCTTGTCTGTCCTGGGGCAAGTACCGGTCAAGGGAAAAAGAATTGGGATGGATCCAATCTGATGGGCCGGCAATTGGCGAGTCTGATGCAATGGAGCTGTGAGAAGCAATCTATCCTCAGAATGCGACAAGCTGGCGATTTGCTCTCTGCGCACGTACCGCCTGTGTGCTCGAGCTGGACAGCTGCGTTTCCCAGCAACTGAGGCGGCAACAACAATAAGATTGATGCGGCAGAACGGCACTCGGCTGCCTGGATCGGTTGCGGTGCTGCGAATCGAGACAATCGGTTTGGCGAGATTTGATCAATGTCCCTTGCGCTTCTTCGCCTCGGTAGTTTTTCTGTCCTTTTTTTTTGTCTGCTTCTATACTCCGTATTTCTTCTCTCTTTCTTTTTTTCCCCCTTCGAATTGAATGAGTCCCGAATTTTACCCCTCAAGGTTCCCTTTTCGTCTGTTCTCTCTCTTGCTCTGCTTCTTCAGCAAAGTTCCTCCGATCAAGTGCTCAGACCATGCGCTGCACCCGACTCAATACGAAGCCCCCAAAGCAGAGCAATCAGCTACAAATTCAATGGAGCCCCACGGCAGTCCTCGGAGCAATCGATGGCTGAAACACAGCAAATTTCGTTGCCGAATTGGCTTAATGTTGTCGTCGGGCTTTTTTGGGGGGGTCAAACGTCCGATTGAATCTCTTTGCTCGAAAGCTTTCATAGACAGACAGGAAGCTCCCTTCTGAATGACCGTAGCTGTATGCGTACCGCCCAGTTTTTTTTTTTCTTCTCTCCCTAGAGCAAGCAAATCGCTGAATAAGCGATCGTAGATGTATGATGACGCTAGGTGTGGTTTGCGTTCTCTCCAGCCGAACTAATGATGCAAGATGATGATGCCCTTGAGCATGAGCGAGATCTGGCCTGGAGGCTAATGTCGATTCGACAAATGGATATGGAATGAAGCCGTTTTTAGCTGTTGAATTGGGTACTTTTCTCTTCTTCTTTATTCTCTTTAGTATGTTTTATTTTTCCCTTTCGCTTGGCGGTGCGATTGTGTCCCGGAAGCAGTCGTGGTCCCTCTCAGCAGGGAAGATCGCCCTCGCCGAACCAGCCGTTGATGTAAATCACACGAGCTAAACCGCCACACTATGCGGGGGAGGTCAGATTCAGCTACACAAGCATTCACAAAAACCGGGCAACTCTCATGTCCAATGAAATAAGGCCGGGATGGTTCGGCGTAAACGCATAATCAGACACGGCCTTGCGCTCGGGCTAAGAAGCTATTAAACTTGAGAGAATGAATACGAAAAAAGAAACAAAATAGACAAGGCAGCTCAACCAACCGATGAGACGGTGAAGGGAGACCAGCCAGGACGCACGAGCTTTAGTCCCAATTCCAGTAGTGTAGCCAAGTTGTTTAGCTACACCTAGCTCAGACTTTCTTTTCCCCTCATTCTTGACTCGTTTGCTCAAATGGCCATCCTATTGTTTGACGCCGTCAAACTCTGAATTGCACAAAAATGTAGTGCCTTCTAGCTCCGGAGAACGACGGGCCCCAGACTCTCATCGGCCACGAAATGAAGCACTTGATTTCCCCCAATCTCTCCAATGGACAATACCATAGCAACACACTCCAATCTAAAATAACTTCATGGTTAATTCCTCATCAATGGCAATAAATTTGGGCTAAAAAGCGATGGGCATAACAACTCCCTACTCCACAGCTATTGCTTGCAGGAACTCTACCCTGTAGCTTTTGCAATATCCATAATTTTGTACTAAGACGATTTGGGACAGCTATCTTCTTTTCGCCATGCTCCCTTTTGCTCAACATCTTCAACAGATCATCAATCATCAATTGGCAAATGAAAACAGAAGAGTATAGTTGAACCAGTAAAGACGTCTTTTCGCTGCTAAGAATGCGCTCTTACCCACCAATCAATTTCCTCCGCCTCCTTGCTTTATTTCGTGCTAGCATGATAGAACCCACCACCCCGTGCCAGTCAAGCAATACATCAATGACCCAACTCCCAGCACAAAAGTAAAACCCCGACAACAGACATGGCCGACATCCAATACTAGTATGCTTTTTATGTGGCAACGACGTCTTCCCGCCTACCCATCGACCGTTTGAATTATATGATCCCTTCGATAAGGCCTCTGCCTGAGTCAGTTTCACGGGTGAGTTCACCACATCTCTCACTGTTCATCCCCCCACAAGTTACAAGTTCAAAACAAGCAGCCCTGTCTAGAATCTGTGGCTCTTGGTTCTCGACCTGTACGCGGTAAAGCCCGCGTATCCACCGCCTACCACGAGGAAAAACAAAAAGATCTTGGTGAAGAACCAGGTCCAGCTTCCGCCGCTGGCATCGCCACCGTTCTTGGCCTTGAACTGGTTCCTCGTGTTCGCCTTGCCGGGACCGTTAGCAGCCGGGCTGCTGTACAGGTTCTTGGAAGTGATGGAGATGATGTCGTGGTGGTCGCTCAACTCGCCAGTCTCGGCGCTGAAGCCCAGGTAGGCAATGTTGGGGATCGCAGGGGGGTTGTCCACCTCGAAGCACACCAGCCAGTCGCCCACGGTCTTGTACTGGAGCTCGAGCTTGAGGCTCTTGTCTTGGAAGTAGGTCAATCGCATCTTGGTGGGAATGTTCGAGTGGCGAAGACCTCTGGCCGAGCAACCAGCCAGCTCCGTCTCCTTGCCGTCATTGTTCTTGTCGTAGGACTTTTGTCCGTCTCCAAACATGGCCATGACATAGGGAAAGACGACGCCAGGGCGGTTGTTCTTGTACGTGTCGACAAAGATACCCAGGCCCTCGAACTTGTCGGCGTGGCCAAAGACGGGTCCGAGCTGGCCTCGCTGCTTCGTGATCCACATGGCGAAGCCATCGCCATAGAGCTGGTTCTTGCCGTGGATCTTGAACTCAACCTCGATCTCCCAGTTTGTCGCCGTCAGAGGTACCCGTGAAAAGAGCCAGCCGTTTTGCGAAGGTCGATCGGAAGTGAGGCGGATATATCTGCAGCACGGTTGAGCTATTGCATCGTATAGTGAGAGTGTGCTGGACATGGACGTACGAGTCTGTTCGAATGATTGTATCACCACCAAAATCGAACCATCGGCTCTGCATATCAGAGTCCAGGTAGGGCTGAATATAGTAGAAAACCAGTTAGCTTCCCATTGCTTGCCTTTGTCCTCTTCCCCCCTTTCCTCCGCATCGACTTGCGACTGACCTGTTCGAGAGTGTGCGTCTTGAGCTGCGCGCCGTTCGTTAGCCCACAGCAATTCCTGCGCATTCCATGTCCGAAATCAACCAACCGTTATGCTTCTAAAGTCGTCCTGGGCCGCCGCAGTCCACGCAAACGCCGTGGCGAGCGCGGCCGTCAGCGAGGAGAGCCGCATCTTGGCGCGATTGTGACGCAGATTGATCCAATGGTCGGGCAGTCGGCGAGGTCAGTTGGAGATCAGCACGGGATCCGATACCGCGCCTCTCGTCGTCAGGAGTTGTGGTGTCTTTGGAATAACAAGCAACAAGCACCAGCCAGTGATGCAGTTCACATGGGAGGTTCCGAAAGGCCACAATTCGTGTTAAGCCCGCGACACAGTGCTATTCCTCAACGAGCTAGACTGTGGAGGCCCGGAGGTATCCGCCCTTACTAGCACCTGCTGGAGCTGCGCCGGGTGCCTTGGTACTTGCAGGTATATTGTCTCTGACAGGTATGTAATTTGTAGTGCTCGGGTCACCTCATATCAGTATTTCGTGCTTCTTTTCAGCTGCAATAGCTAGAGGATACATCAATTGACATCTTTACAGTACAAGAGACTAATTCTGTTGGAAATTCCTTGCCAATATTGAATCATGTATCGAGTACTGGTACTTGAAGGAGACAACTTCTGCGCCTGTAGTGGGGCACCAAACACTGTGCTGTCTCAGGACATTGTTTGAAGCACGAGCTCTCGAATACTGGTATGTGATCCGTAAATGCAATCTGCGAGGAGCAAATACTATTAACTACCTAATTATTGAGATTTAAGCCTTGCCACAGCTGCTTTAGATCATGCATTTTGCCATGTCTCGATTAGGGGTCACAACTCCTTCTAGGCAGGCAGTCACATGCCAGATACCAGGTGCCATTTTTCACAAGACCAACATCACGATGCGAACAATACAACCAGAGGACCTTATTTATCTGAAACAATATATCGACCAGGTGGAATAAAAAGAAAAAATCTTGTATTTGATTTTTGTGTCTAAGAACAAGCAAGAATCTCTTAGTAGGTATGGAGTACAATATCTGCCAGCAGCTTCATATACCCCAGCTTGTAGTATCTGAGACAAGTTAGCTAGCGCGCGAATGAGTACCTCTATGCTCATTATAGAATACGCTGAAGCATGTGGCGTTCAAAAATAGAAGATAAAAGATATACATAATTTAGACATATGTAAATAGAGTAAATATAGCAAACATAGGTAGGTAGAAGAAGAAAAGGTAAAGATTCGTTCCTCGTATCGTCTTACTTCACAATTCGCACCTTGACCAAACCAGCCGCACCGCCTCTCCACTAGCCTGCAAACGCCACACTCCAGCCACAGCGATTTTGCAACTTCTCGAATCCTCAGCTCTCCAAAATCTTTCTACCAGGCCATTCCAATCGAAACCAATCCTCCTCCAAAAAACAACCCGCCCAATCTCTCTCTCACACCCCAATTCCAAAATGTCCGACTCCGCCTCCATCAAGCAATCCGTCATGAAGCAGGTCCTCGCGGAAGCGAACCTCGCCAACGCCCGGGTCCTCATCGAAGTACGCATTATCCCCCACCTATCCACCTCCCTTCCTATGGAGATTTAGCAATAAGAAGAAGAAGAAGCTAACAAGATCTTTCTTTTTTTCTTCTTCTTCACTATAGAAACTCCAAGAGAACTGCTTCGAAAAGTGCGTCCCCAAGCCCGGCAGCTCGCTCTCCAGCAGCGAACAGACCTGCATGACCTCATGCATGGAGAAGTACATGGCGGCCTGGAACCAGGTCAACGCAGCCTACATCAACAGGATACGACAGGAGCAGGGAAACAACTAAAGATTCAATAATTAAAAGAGAGAATGATAAATGAATGGAAAGAAAGGCGAGAGGGAGAACGAATAAAATCCGAAATTAGATAATGAACGAACGAGCTAAAACTGTATGATACTGTTCAGGCGGGTGAATGGGAGAAGGGGGAAAAAAATAAACTGGGAAAACTATGCGAACAAGGGTCTGTCTATCTTGGGCCTCGAGTTTTCCTCAGATGAGGTTTTGTATTACTATTCTTCGAATTAGAGTGGTCTTGGGTGCCATGGCGCGGATCTCGGGACGGGATATAGAATATTATAAACAGGATCATCCACTCTGCCTCCTGGAACAATGAATTGCTCTGCGACTCATGTATCATAACATTCCGTTTGGGTATCTATATGTATATATGTATGTGCGTATATCATCGTCCTTACCATCACTCCGCCGCAGCCCCAGCAGCCTTCCTCTTCTCCTCCTCCGCCGCCCTCTTCCTGGCAAGATACCTCTCCTTGGCCCCCGAAATCTCCCCCTCCGTCTTGCGCGTCTTGGCTGCCCGCTCCACCTCCTCCCTTTTTGCCTCCTCCGCCTCTCGCGAGCGCTTCAGCGACACTTCCAGCTGTTCCGCAAGCATCCGCGACTGCCTCTCCCTCATGGCCTGCTTCCGGCCGAGCTGCTGCCCTGTGATTTCCCGGCGCTCCCGCTCCGCCGGCCGGTCGGCTTCTCGCTGCGCTTCGACTTGCTTCTTTGCGCCGACATTGAGGCCGCCCTTGAGCAGTTGTCGCTTGTCGACGACCTGGCCGTCCTCGTTGACGGAGATGGAGGCGCCCTTTTCGTTGAGCTCCTGCGCCGCTCTGGCATATTCTTTTTCTTTATCATCATCAGCTTCTCCTCCATCCTCTTCATTTGCCTCCGTTGGGCCTCTCTTGGCCATTTCCTCCGCAGCCCGAACCGTCTCCGCATGCCTCTCCTGCTCCTTATCTAGCAGCTTCCGGTAGAAAGACGCCATGCCCTTGCCCTCATTCTTCTTCGATTCCTCCTCCTCTTTCCTGCGCTCCTCTTCCTCCAATCTCTTGTTCTCCTCCTGCTGCTTCTTGTATGCCTCCGTCACGAATTTCTCCTTGTCGGCGAACTCGTCTCCTTCTGCTTCGCGCTCCCGTGCAATCTTCTTCTCCTCGGCAATCAGTTGGTCTCGTTTCCGCACGTCGGCCGCGCGCATCAGATTTTTCATGTATTTTGGTTTCCGTTCTTCGTCTTCCTTGGACTTGTTTTTCTGTGGCTTCATGGAATCGTATATAGAGTCGTACTCGTAGACGCTGGCGTCCAGTTCGGTCGCCGCCTCTGCATTCTTGCGGGAGGAGAGAGTGCTGGCGAGGTCGCCAAACATTGCACTTGTTTGAGGCTTTGATTTCAGCTTTGGTGGTTCAGTTACGAGGCCCTTTTTTGATTTGGGACCCTTCGTTGAATCCGCTTGTGCTGGCGTTGGTGCAGACGTGAAATCATCCAGATCTCCTCCAATTTCTTCAATTTTGGAGTCTCCGGCAGCCCCTTCATCGTCCGAGTCATTGTCATGGCTACTGAACATAGGTTTTGATCTCGTAGGCACTGGCTTGGATGCGCCAGGCTTTTTCGTCAGGTTGAGCCCGAAGGCCAGCTTTGGTTTGTTCATCGCCTCGGTAGGAATTGAATGCTGTGATGAGATGGGGAATTGATCGACCTAGATTTGGTGGTATAGAAGCAAGTGAAGGGGAGGATCAGCAAGTGTGTGTGTGTTTTAATTCCAAATCGATAAATTTTGGCTAAAGTAAAGAGTAAAGAAATGCGACAAAGGTTGAAGCTGTCGGCGCGCCCAAATGCCGAAGCACCAAATCGACTAGACACGCGCCAAGCGGCTCCGCAATTTATCTCTGAATCCAATCCATATTAACAGTTCGACCAAGTCAACGATGACATTTTTGACAGGTCCCGGGTAGGCTGCTCGCAAAGTATAAGGTGTGAAGCAGCTCGAGTTAGCCACAGACGCACTCATTACAGAAGGTAACAGCATTTCCCATCCATTTCAAATATTCTCCCGCTTAATAAAACCCCCGGCGCCTTTTTCAACAGCATCCCCCCCCCCCATGTGGCGACAACAGCCAAAACAGCAGCTGTCATCTGCCATGACGTGATTGGCCCCCCATGTTGTTTCTCCCACGGCCAAGTCGAGTATGTAATCCAAAAGCGGCGATTAAACTATTAATACTCCTACTATATGTATTCAGCCTAGGTTCCAAGTCTAGTAGATACTGTATCTCAGATAACTAAATACCACAAGACCGAGCCCTCTCATGCCCGTCACGAGGACAAACCGCAGGTCTATTTTCACCTCGAGTTCCAGTTCCAGCTTCTGATTCTGTACATCTCGCAACTCGGAATCATGGAATATTGCAGTACCTGCACAGGCAGCCTTGCCTCGTCTCCGCCATATTCGCAAGACGCCGCATCTTTCCCGCAGGATCGGAGAGTCGAGTGCTGTTCCCGAGTTATCTGCGCAAAGTGTATGCAGGTTAGCCACAACTTGATGCCTCTTATCTGCCACTGCATGGCGCAGCAGCAGTTACACCAGCTCCTCAAGGCCCTTTTCTAATCCGCGCAATATCATTTAGAGCAACCCGCGCTTTGCATCCTACTGTCCCTTCTGCCAGGTGTCAAGCACGCCCTCGCCGTTACCGCAAGGCCTTCGGGATCCTCCCTTGTACACCTCGGTCCCAGGTCTGGGGTCCAGATCCATCCCGGCTTCTGCTCCTCCGCCACCGTACAAGTACACAGATGATGCGCCTGCCAAGGGCAGCAAAAGCACCCCCGAGCTCGATGAGAAAGCTGCCCAGGACGACACGCTCCATTTCTTGGACCATGACCACGACACAGTCCAGTCGCTGTCGCTGCGGTACGGCGTGCCCCCCGCAGCGCTGCGGCAGCGCAACAATCTCACAAGTGATCACCTGCTAGTCGGCCGAAAGACGATCCTGATCCCCGGCGAATTTTACAAGGGCGGCGTTAGCCTGTCTCCTCGGCCTGTCGAGGGCGAGGAAGAGGAGCGGAGAAAGGGTAAAATCCGGCGCTTCATGACGGCTTGCAAAGTTGCCGACTATGATTACGCTGTATTGTATATGGAGCAGGCCGGGTATGATATCGATGCTGCCATCACTGCTTACATGGATGATGAGGCCTGGGAGAGAAGTCATCCTAACCAGAGGAGAAATGCCGAGGCCAGCAAGGTCAAGAGTCGTGGGCTCTTCTGGAGGGGCTTGTAAATATGCCGCACGGTTTCTGGCGCAGGTTTCCATTCTTTGCTTTTGGAGAAACGGGGACATTAGAATTTCGTATTTCATGTAAACGTGCAAAACCTGCACGAGCATCATCTTGGATGCGTTTTGCCTAGCCTGATGGGCATATATCATCCTGTATGTAACGCCATCACCCCTGAAACCTACTTAGTTACACAATTCATTGCCATATATCCACATGATTAAAGAAAGAAAAAGAAAAAAGTCAAGGCTCTTAAAAGGCAGACCGAGTTCGGATGTCCTAAATACCAAATATTAGCTTGTGTTCTGCCTTGATACGATATGGCGTAGCGGGGAAGATGGTGTCTCACCGATATTTTCCGCTCAATTTCTCGGACAGAGCGGTCCAGCTCCCCTGCAATCATTTGCTTCTTATCATTCGGAAGCAGGGCGTATCTCTCACAAAGATCACCGTCGATGATGCCTTTCATGGGTGCATAGTAGCTGCGATACATTAGGTGGTCTCGGCCCGCCAGTGGAGGGTCTTCGGCCCTCATGTGCTGTTCTAGACTTTGGAAAAAGTCTGTATCTTCTCGCGTAATAAACGGAATCAAAACACCAATCGTGCCCATAAGTCCGCTCCACAATAGGACGTCCTGCCCTCCAACTACCAGGCTGGTTTTGGCAATGCTCGTCGGAATATCCTGGGTGAAGAGGTGGCACATCAAATCCAGCCGATGAGAAGTTCCGTGGAGATAGTCCCTCGCGTTGAGCAGATGAAGTCCTGCTTGCTCCTCGTCGGCTTCTTCACTGGCCTTCTGTGGAGAGCGTACGATGAAAATGTTGCCGAATTTGTCTCCACCGGCAACAGTCTCATAATCTACCATCGTTGTGCAAGTCGTCCACCTGGCAACGGTGTCGTCCACGAAAGGAATGAGCTTGTTTGTTGATTGCTTGTAGACAGCATAAGTTATGCCTTGTTGCACGTCTCCGACAACAATTCGGCTGCCTTGCGTGCTAAGGGAAATAATTTGCTGCGGTGCGACTTCGGCTTGGGCCTTTCGTAGCAGCTGCCGCATGCCGAGATCGTATATGCGCAGTGTCTTTCCAATGCCCACTAACACTCGTCCTTGGAAAGGTATCATCGCCATGGGGGGCTCCTCGACCTTGGTCTTATGGATGAATACTAGACCCCTACCATCGCGCTCGAACCGGTAGATATGGACGAATGCGTCAGAGAAACTGCGAGGGTTCACGACCATATCTTTACCGGTTCCAACGACCAGGAAGGTTTCGTTCTCCTGACTGGCAAAGGTGACGATGGCTACGCTGACTGCGGCCTCGTTCTCCTCCAGATCTATTCTTTGCAGAACTTGGCCATCTTCGGCCAGAGGGTCAACAACGCTGATGCACGAGGCCCAGCGTCGGTTGCCTCTTGGGTGCCCAAATTCCTCTGCAGGAAGAATCTTGGTGTCCCCATTGACACGTGCTGGGTCGGCAAGCAACTTGGCACAAAGCTCAGGGGCGAGAGTGTGATTGTCCGCCTCAATCACATAGAAAAGGGGATGATCCGGATGTTTCACCATCTTCTTGGGTGTGTAGGTCAAGGGAATAGAACTCTGGATGAGTGTGTCCCCAAGTCGATCGACAGAGAAAATCCTGGAAATCATCAGCATCTGCAATGGCAGGTTTCAAGATGTCAAAACAATATGGCTGATTGAGTGCTTTTCAGTAGGAACAATTGGAAAAAAAATGCGTAATAAGAACCTCATAGCCCGCAGGCTTGGATCCCATATTTTTCATCATTTGGCACGATAGGTAAAGGGGGAAGAGATGTCTATCACTTACCGCAAAGTTTGGCCCTGAATACCCACGATGCCTTCTTCGCATTGCTCGCTTGTAAAATTCCAGCCCCATTCCAGATCAACATAGTTGAGGGGAGTGACGACAAAAGTCTTGGTTATGGGATCGGCATATCCCAGCCACGGTCGAGAGCTTAGACCAAGTACACAGGTCTTTCCCTGGACTGTTACCTGGAATAATCTCACTTGCTTCGGCCCCAAAAACTTCTGCCGTGTGTCTGTCAACTCGCCAGTAACTTCGTCCAACACTGTTCGCAAGTAGACGCCTGAGTAGAGGCCGATGTGCAGGTAGAGCGTGGAGCCGCCGGATGAGGAGTCTTCCATGGAAATGATGGCGAGGGAGGTGGGTGCTGCCGTCAGTGCTTGCACCGACTTGTTTTCGAGCGTAGACTCCGGGTCGAGGCTCAAAATGCGAACGGTGCAGTCGTCACAGCCAACCGCAAGGAACGAGCTTCGCAACCTGCCTTCGGGAACTTCGCCAAGACTCAGGCAAGTGACTGTTCCAAACATTTCTTTCTTCTCGTCATATTCCGCCAGGGAACCGTCATCATCCATCTCGAAATAGACGATTTCACCAGAGCTTAGGGCAATTGCCACTTGGTGGGCGTTGGTTGATGCGGCCACGATAGACCGGTGCTGAGGGGCATCCCACTGGTTGACTTGTCCATTACGGATATGCCTAATACCCTTGGGATGGACCTGAATTAGACCATCATCGCCAAGCAGCTGGGCAGCCAGGGTCGGGACACTGGTGAGGAACCCAGAGTCGCTGACTTCCTCCACCGTCTCTCCTATACTGAGGACAAGAGTCCCGTTGGTGAAGGAGAGGACAATGTAGGCATCGTACTGTTCAGTTCGATTCAGTTTCAGCGTCCAAACGGCAGATGGAATGCCCGGCAGCTCAGAGGACACGATCTCATTAATCTCAAGCCCGTGCTTCAGTGTCCGGAATGTGCTTCGAGCACCATTGCCACAGATGGTGTAGATTTGAGGCGCGTCTTCGTTGGTCAGGTTGGCAACCTTGCAGTCAAGAAGAGGGTTCATGGAAGGAATGCTCTCGACGAGGACGAGGTTTTCCAATGGTCGGGGATAGAAGTAGACAGGGTTATAGGAGGCCTGTGCATCGACGGGAAAGTCATCACTGGTAAACTCCAACTCTTCGTCATCATCTCCAAGTTTTTCAAACTGGTAAAAGGAGAAATTGCCGAACTGACTGGCAACATAGAGAAAGCCGCTCTTCAAGATGCAGAGACTAGCTGCAGCTGGAACAGTATCAAAATACTTGATCTTGAGCCTTCTGACCTCGCCTGTGGTGTTGCCTTCGTCATCCTCTACCATGTCGATTGTGACCTTGAACATGTCGCCGTCTTCTGTCTGCAACAAGAAGAAAAAGGCACCAGCACTGCCCTTGAGCTTGTGCATGACACCGGAGATGATGGTACGCTTTCTGGATGGGTCTTCCGTTGCTCCTCGTCGGCGAGGAATGGGTACTCTGAAAGCCTCTTGGTTGGAATGACGGTAAGTGATGTTTTCCTCACCGCAAACCAGGACGCCACTGGGCCCATCATTGCCACCAGGTACTTGGAATAGCAGCGAGGCAGTCGAGTCTACTGGCTCTGACCACTTTCTCACAACGTGATTCAAACCGAGATCAAGCTCGTAGTAGACCAGCTGAGTTTCCAGCTCTCGCATTGCTTCCCCCGTAGCATCTTGGTCCGCCTCGGTATAGTCCATCTCTAGGGCTGCAAACACGGGATTGGCATATCCAACGTCTAGTGCCACCATAGAAATCACCAAGACACCAGGTTTGTGAGCCTCGAGGGGCGAGGAGATTGTGAGCTCTGCCTGAGAATTTCGATTGAGCACGTATACGAGCTTGTTCTTTTCAATAGATGCAATGAGACACGCGCGCCCTTTGGGATCACAGGCTAGATATTCTCCAGGAATAACTCTTCGCACGCCGGACTTTCCGAAAGTCTCTAAATGCAGCTTGGTGAATCGATTCTCTTTCGGAAGATACTCAATAATCGTGATCCGACCAGAGTCAGTAGCTAAGATTAAGTAGTCTGGAACGTGACATTAGCTCATTGGTCGCGAAATGGTAACAGCCTCTAGCTCCACTGGGGGTGCAGGTTTGGTAGGGTGCGTTGTAAAGCTTTTTTGTCTTCACCATCACTATGTGGCCCCTCTAAAAAAAATGAGAGCTGGGTAACTCACCCTTATTGCTGCCCGCCAGGCGAAAGGCCGCCAAAGACCTGATAATGCCAAAGATGTCATGAGACAATAGGGTGATGACCTTGCCCTGCGACGGATCAGGTCGTAGGAGAGCCAACCGTGACCCAGCACCCGTGATGATGAGCTGCTCCTTGGTGCCCGCAAACTGACCCAGAACCGCTTGGACGACATTGGTTGGCGGCTGGATCGTCAGCGAGTAAAGGAACATGTTAGAAGTGGTCGCCATGTTCCTGACTGGGCGCAGTCAAGCCTGCGCGGCTTTTCAGAAGCTTGAATGGCCGATTGAGCAGCTCAGTCGCGTTGGGAAGCGGTTGTTGTGTGGAAAATCAACAGGCGGAGCTTTGCTTGGGATTTGATGCTAAAAGTTTGGACCAGGGCCGGAGACATGGAGGAACAATAATGCGGCGGTGGTGCGAGGGTGGTCCGAGCTCCTTGCAAATTGCGCCCATCCACTCCAGTCTTTTTTATACAGGCGAGAGAGGTATAGCGGGGGATCTCTTTCAACGTCAATTCGAGTCAATCAGGCGATACAATGGAGCCGGCTCTGCGTCGAGCGGCTCACAGCCTGTGCAGGAGCTGCTCTGCATCTTTGCGGAGGCAAATAGCCGCAGGAGGCGCATCGAAGCCATGGGCGCAGGTATCAATCCGGAGCGTGCATTCGTGCAAGTCGCAAGACACCAAACGTACGATTGCGGGATCCAAGTTGACAACTGCTCGGGAGTTTACATCCAGCGCGAAGTCGGCTTCTGAGGCCGCTGCTGCTGGCAAATCTCCGACATCTACACTTCGCTTGAGCCCCGATGACCTCTTCCACCCGTTTTCCGAATCGCCAGTTCCTGAATTCCGTCGCCGAGCTGCCTATATGAGACAGCATGCATACTGCCCTCACCCAGACCACAAGCATGCCAGAGTCCCTCTCGATGCTTCAACGGTTGACGATGCCGCTCCAGCCACTGGAGGTGACATGCCCCCTGCGAATGTGGATTTTGAGTGCCCCGATTGTGGCATTGCTGTGTATTGCAGCAAAGAGCACTGGATGGACGATTATGAGAATCACCTGAAGATCTGCGATACTCTCCGCCAAATCAACGAAGACGACCACGATCTACGATCCGGCAGAGTGTTCCACGAGGGCAATCTCCCCGATCTTCAGATGGAGAATGCTGCGGTCAACATGACGAATTGGGATACGTTCATGTATACTCGAGAGTTTGAGGCAGTTGACTCGGACCGCTCAATGAGGCAAATCACTCGACTCCTTACCTACCCGATTACAATTGGAAGTGTTCTTCATGAATTGAGCCCCTACAACATCCAGAGTGGTGGGCGTTTGACGGTCGAAGGCTTAAAGAGCTTTAGTGGTAAGTTGAAGCGAATCGAGTAGTGGATACGGATTCATTCCTGTCATCTCTTTGGATATGCGGCTAATGTGGCATTGTGATCCTAGCTCTGAGATATAATCTGCATATACCAAGGTCTGGTCGTGGTGCTGGCATCAACCAACTTCGCCCAGAGCCCCCGCCAGTGAGAATATTCATTCTCGGCGCTCGAGCCGAATCATCTCTGCCACGACCTGTATGGGTGCAGCTGGCTCATCTGTTCCCGGAATCACGACTGCACCTCATCTTTATCGGACCAGAGAGCATGGCCAACCGAGACGACGAATTTCCTCTGCCGGAGCGCACGCCGTCAAATCCATTTGGCACTGTGGTGGAAGACCGAGTGTGGTACAACATGAAGATTAGCACTATTGTGGACTATTACCACACCATTCACAAGACGGGTCACTTTGCACCTTACGACCCTTACTTTGATTGTTTCATGCTCTTCCACCCAGGTCTTGGCCACCCCGCAAGCAGCCACGACTGGGAAGAAACTCTACCCTTGCTTCTGGAGACCAAGGTGCCGATTATCAGCACTGGATATACCCAGGTCGACTTGGATCGTGACGTTGAATGGGTGAGGAAGAAGTCAGGAGGGGAGTTTGACGTGCTGCTGGAACCTGGAGAGAACAAATTCCGGAGTCTGCGATGGGACCTTGACGACATGGACCCTCAGGATATCAGCTGTGGTAACTGGGGCGTTTGGGCGTTCCGAGGCAAGAGGTACGTTTTGGCGACGATTGCATGATGCTTCTCCATTTCAGGTCTGCTAACAACCTTGACAGATACGAGACGACTACCAGGGACCTATAGAGAAGAAGAAGAAACCCCAAAGGAGTAAGTGGGTTCTGATGGCGTAGCCTTGTTGCAGACGCCATGCTGAAAGTGTGTAAACCATCCACAGCCATTGTACGGCTATACTGTATGCATAGATGCACCTCTCCAATGTACTATATCTACAAGGCGTTTAAAAAAGAGAGAGAAAACGGGGCTGTTTGAGAGCCACAAAAACAACCTGGATAGACTGTATTAATAGTTTTTCTCTCTTTCTCTTTCTTTGTTGCATCTTGCCGTCTGGTGACATTCGTACAGTATTCCTTGGAGGTGGATGCTGCACCTACTACAGCAGCTTGTGCCCTGTATTACTGCAGATTCCCGCTGAACCACCTCGCCTCAGCGCCTAATCCGCCTAATCCCAAACGACATGAACCCACTTGATGCACGTGCGGGGTGTCGTGCAGCGCACGGTGCAGCCCAAGCCAATTCAAGGTCAACCATCGAACTGCATGCCTGCATATCCCAGACAGACCTGCGACCCAACAGGCGACCCAACTTTACCTTGACGACCAGCCTCCTCTGTGCAGTTCCGTGCAGTTCCGCTCCGTTCTCTTGACTTCGTCATCGCCTCTCCGCCTCTCCGCCTCCCCGCCTCTTGCGCGCAATGATCCTGCGACGACGCCGCTCGACTCGCCGGCCATGATAGCCGCCTCCGCTTCAGCTCCCCCTCCTCTCGCCAGAGCCTCGACGAGGTCAAAACATGCTGCCGCCTCTCCGCCTCCCGAGGCCGGCGCCGCAGATCGCCGGAGCACTCGTGCCGTGCCGATCGACCCGCTGTCTGATCGGGCCACGCTGAACCTCATCCGCCGGACGCTGTGCCCGCAGCATCTGGGAGACAAAGGCCGAGATACTCAGCCCACCATCCGGGAACTGCTGCCACCGTTGACGAGCCGCGACGATGTCGACTTGCAGCTGTACGCCTTCCTTGCCATCATCATGCGGGAGTTTGTTCAGAGCTGGTACAGCAAGATCACTGCCGACGAGACGTTTGTACCCGAGATTCTGCGCATCATTGCACACTGCACCACGGCGCTGGAGCAGAGGTTTAGCAAGTTAGACCTCGAGAGCTTGCTCCTGGACGAGATACCAGACCTGCTCGATAGACATGCTACAGGCTAGTAGTGGTGTGGCATTGCCCTACGCTTTGGATCTACCACTGACTGGGTCCCAGCTCGCCGCGTGGCCTCTCGATCTGCTTTGCAGTCTTCGGTTGATGCTGATCCCCGGGAGGTCTATCACTCCATTTTCCCCTTACCATTTCTTTCCCCTGTGCCTCGCATGGATGATAGCACGGCTGTAGAGCTACAACGAGAGAATGAGGCTACTTATCGCCAGTTGCTAGTCCAAGGCGTTCTGGCCATCCTGCTCCCTACTGAAGATTTAGAGAACCCTTGCCTAACGGCCCTCGTGGAGCAAATCTTCTCGGAGCTAATCATTGGCAATGTCATTGCTGGCAAAGCATCCCAGCCCTGGCTGCTCTACGAGGCCATCTGTATCACCGCAAAGTCATTGGGTGAGCAGAAAGATAGGACAAAGGCAAGGATCGTGTCTGGGAAAGACCAGCCATCGGACCTTGGTCAGGATGCGGCCAAGTCCCAAAAGTGGACGGCCCAAGGGATCTTTGTGTTGATTATTCACTTGGGAATCCTCTTCTTCAACGCACTTCGGCTCATGGCCGGCACCTTGGCGGACTCCATATCGTTACCTCCTAGGACGGCGCTTCATCTCGATGAGGAAGCCGCAGAAGGCGCTCATAACGACAAGCAACCACCACAATCAACGGATACGAACCTCAGGGCTAAAGTACCTGTACTTAGCTTCAGGCTTTGGGCTTGTTTCGGAAATCTGATTGAGCTGGAGGAGAGGAAACCCTGGCTGGGTGGCTTCATATCGCTGTTACAGACGGCGGCCATCAACGGGCCATGGTGCATTGCGGGGCTTAATGGCCCTCTCGACAGGTAAGACACGCAAATTTCCTTGTTGTATTGATGATTTGTCTTGGCTTCACCAATCCTTCCTGAGCCTTTTCCCTTCCTACCCCCGGTCATTGTTGATTTTGCTCGTCATCTCGCATATCCTCAAAGTCACTGGACCTTCTTCCCCCCCTTGTCTCCAGCGAGTGAGCTTCCAGAGCCGGGTTCTCTCTGGACGGACCGTGCCTTAGCCGGATGTCGCCCCATCTGTGGCACAAATACAATTTACATTGTGCGCACGTTCTTGCCAGGGCGACGCCCTCGGAGTCTATCTAGTAGATAGGTAGCTCCATACGATGAGAGGTCGAAATGGCCATCCCGACAGGGTTATCAGGACCGGCGCAATTTGCAACGCACGACCACACCACACCGAGCATTCTAGATCTGGGCTGGTAGCTCCTTGCCTGGCCAGCCAATCGAAGCGCGGGATTCGCCTTCTCGTCTCCGATTGCTCGAAATTGTCGCGCCGGCCTGGACCACCACAAAACGGCCCGTCCATCGAGAAGCCTTTATTACGCGCCGGCCTCGAACAGGGGGGCAATCAGCTACGAGGGAAAGCGGGTCAGGACCCCAGCTGTCCAGTCTCTCACGACGAAATGGCGTTGGAAGAGCATTTCGTCTGAATTCGAACCACCCGCTCGCCCCGTGCCGCGCCACCTCCAGGTAGCCATCTGCTGTCTATTGGGCCGATTTCTCCCAAAGCAGACAAGGCGTCGTGGTTCCTGACCGCGCCGGTTCCTCTTGTCACACGGAAAGGAAGGAAAAACCCGTTCTGCCAGCGACTGGTCCACCGCGCGTGGCGCTCGGTGGTTTGTACCCAAGACCGCTGATGGGACGCATGTCGCTCGCTTCTCCTCCTCCGCTGCCTTCCTGCGGAAGCTGAGTCTTTTGCGTCAATGGCTAAAGGAATCATACGAAACTACCTGTCAGAAATCGACGGACTTTGGGAGAACGCGCTTATGCAAGGCCGTCGTTGGCAAGTGGCCTGTGAGCCTCCTTCACCTCCGTCCTCGCAACGACTCCTTGCTTTGTCGCATTACCTGGTCGACATGGAGCACGACACATCACTTCTCCCACGATACCCATTGGCAGTCTTTCGTCGCGCTATGAAGATCCAGCAGGCACCTTGCCACACATCGGAGATGTTCCTTTCTTGCCTTCCCCGCACGCAGCAAGCCTCCTGTCTTGTTATCCAATCTGATTCAACATTACCACCATGGATCATGGATAGCATGAGGAACTTTTCTCCCCCTCTCTGGCCTTGACCTTGACCCATGATCACATGTACCTGATCAGTCACACCTTGACAGAAGGGAGCACGGGTCATCCTTGACAGACATCGTCCCCTTTCACAAGCTAAACACGCCAGCAAATGGCTCTCTATGTCGACGCTCTTCTCTCGCCCTCGCTATCTCTCTCTCTCTCTCTCTTTTATGGTCTACCCACCACACAGCATCCACTACCCCTCCCCTTCTGAATCTCGCTTTCTTTCCCCACCTATAGCGGGCGGACCCGATGGAAGTATCCATTTCTCGTCCGGCTCGTTTTCTTTCTCTGATGGGACTAACTAAGCTAACCAATGGCCCTTTTGCTTTTCCGTCGGCTTGTGTAGACTCCTCGCGCACCATATTCAATCTCTCTTCGACTCGTCTCGTCTACCACCCATCCTTCGGTCGCTCCGAGGCGCCCTGTTTCCTAACAACAGCCCCGGCACGTCCACTCTTGTAGCTCCCCGGTCGGAGAAGGAGCTGCTCGCTCTGCGCCGCAGGGCCGCCAGCGCTATTTCGGACTTGCTCCCTGCAAGCGTGACCCGCGTGTACTTCGGCCGTCGGCATTGGCGCTTGGGCGGGCTATTTGGCCCTGGCGATGATGGCGGATCGTCGTCTGCGGTGACCGATGAGGAAGACGACGAGAGGATCTTGGATGAGCTCGAGAGTCTCCTCGATGTCGTTGGGGATGAGTACTGCAACAAACACTTGATGTATAGCGCTTTAGAATTGCTTCTCGTGAGGCTGATGCCAGAGCTAAGCGACAAAGGCGTTGTGGAGCTGTGGGAAGACAGACTTGGCTAATAGGCACCCGCGAATACACCTTATTGGTGGCTTTCGAGCGGTACTTGGAGTGCATAAACAAGTCTTTCGCGCATGTATGCTACTTGTACAGATAGGATCATTGTGCTCGCAGTGTATTGCAGCTTCTGCCTAGCCCCTGTTCTAGGTCCCGTCTACGGAGTAGACACCTGCTCTTGGCCTCCACATGGATAAACAATCGGCATGTACCCAGTACATCCAGATACTTCTCTCACATGCTCACACTCGCACTCACATTCACTCTCACACACAACGTTAAATGTGGCCCATATTAAATGACAGAAGTTTGAAGAAAAAAAAACGGGGATTAGCCGGTAACATAGCAAAAGGCATGTAGATGCCGGAAGAAAATTATGTCCTCATATGGGTTCCCCCCCGCTCCCCGAGACCCTCTTTTGGTCATTCCCGTACAAAAAAACACATTTGATATTGAAAGCATGCTTCTCCGTGAGGAGTATGGTGCCAAACAGGCCCTTGTAATTTTTTTGGTCTTGTCTTGTTCCCCCATTCATGTCCTCCAAAGATGAAATATCGCAACAAAATAATGAAACAAGAAATTTGGAGAAAAAAAAAAAGAATTGTTAGACCCAAGTAGATATTTTAAGAAAACCAGAAGCGGCGGGGGAGCAGCAAGGAGCTGCTGACTCCCACATCGCGTCAGCAACACCTGTCCATCTTTTTTTGTCCTTTTTTTGGTATATCAAGCCAAAACCAAAGATAAGAAAAAAAGATGTGAAAGAAATTCAAAAGGCGAATGAAATCAGAATCAAAGCAGTAGCATACTCGGGGTGCGCGTGAGCAGCAAGCAGAATCTTTCGTCGCTGTATGTGTTAAAAAAAATTGTTAGGTGTCATCGTACTGGTTCCTAGCGGAAACCAGGTAATAAATAGAAATGAGTGATTTATGAATGATAAAAATCAGTTTTGATGCTGGTAGATCTGTTGCCAGATGAAGTCGCCTTTCTCTTTTATAACCCCATGTCCATCCAGTTCAGTTCCTTGTCCATTCCTTGGGGGCCACTTCCGTCGCCTGCGGTGTGGAAACGGGAGCCTCTTCATTTTATACGAAATAGGCCCGTGTCACAGCACATTGCGATTCCATGTAAAAAATCATCTTTGCTCTTGCTTGGGGTTGGATAGCCGGGATCGCCGTCTTCTTCCCATGCTTGGTTATTTGTTTGTTCCAGAAATGCTCAAATAAATCCGTAACTCCAGAAAAAAAAAAAAAGAAAAAAAAAAGAAACCTCAATGACAGAGATTTAAGAACAAGGCAGCAGGTGTAGGTGTATGCAGGAAGAGTGTTGCTGATGTTTGAGAGAGAGTTGATGTCCCAGTTCATATCTCTACCATTGATGGCTCGGTCAAGGATTGAATTTCCCCATCATCGCCTTCGGGGATCCTCGATAGCCCTCCCATAGAAGGGCGCGTAGTTTGATGTTGATGTAACTGTAGCTTCTTTGTAAGTTGAACGATGGTGGCGTAGTCGCTTTTGTCAAACGGTCCGTTGGGTGTCATGCTGTGCAGATAATTTAGCAGCGTTTCCGCGGCACGTCTAGCATCCTCTGGGGTCGGAGATGTTGGCGAAGAGTCAGCAGTTGTCGAAGATACAGAGCTGGTGTTTGTGGAAGGGTTGTTTGATCGCGCAGCAATACTTGAATTGCTGCTGCTGCGGCGTAAAGCCGGAGGTGATGACACTGTTGTATCAAGCGTGAAAGGAGTGCTTCGGATCTCATTTGTCGGCGATTCAAGCGTTGAAGCTGACGTGACGGCAGATGCGTGTCGAGGGGTCAGTGGATCGGCACTTGTATCCTGGTTCACGCAGTCGATATTAAGAGAAGGGAAAGTATTGCTTCTCTTCCCGCGATGTTGTTGGAAATTAGGGGCGGTAGGATGTATATGTAGACTGTTTTGAAACGCTCCAACGTTGGGATCGGGTGAGAACTGAAAGGGAGCTGTTGGGCTCATCGTGTCACCAGGAAACGAAACACCTGAGTCCCTCAAGTCGCTGGCCAACGATGTAGAGGAATGTGACCCAGCATGTCCGTATTGGAAATTGAAATCCTGTCCTTCAGCTTGCAAGTCCTCATCGCTGCGGCTAGCAGATAGAGGGGAGAGTTGCTGAGTCGGAGAGACAGGAGAGATGGTAGTGGTTGTTTTATCCCCTGAGAAACGTGGGAGAGCTGTGGTAATACGGTCTGGAATGTTGGTCTCGGAGGCGCGGCGCATTAGCCGGCCAGCCCCTATGCCATGCTTTTGCTTGAATTTGAGAAGCCAGTTGCTATTAATGTTAGTCAACCCTCTGTCTTGGCTGCCGCTAGCGCGAGCAAAGAGCCTTGCTTGTTCGATTATCTCCTCGTCTTTGACTTCAAAGCCTCGTTGTTGTTGTCGACGGACGTAGTTACTGAGCGTTCGATCAAAATCCGGATGTTTCCCCTTCAGACGCTTGAGTGCTGAACTATCTGGTTCCGGGTCTTGCTTGAGGTACTGGTCTTTGTGTCTTAACACCTTGGATACAGTGCTTGGCTCAAATGTTAGTTTATTCCCATCTGCGGACAGGGGGCGGATGGATGGTCCGAGTAATGCTTGGAGAGGTTACCTTCTTTCAACACCAAATTTTGCGCCGATATCTGCCTGCCTGGTGCCCGGGTTATCTTCGTGATATTGGCACATGGCCCGTTTTTGCTCTGCGCTCAGTGTCTTTCTCGCCTTCTCGTGATGCACAGGGGGTCTCGGCGACGGGTCAACCGTGGGCAAGCTGGATGCCGGCGCGATGGACAATGGAGGAGCAGAGTAGCTCCCCGATGGAGTTGGGTTTGTCAACTGACTCGGCCATTGTGTATTCAGCATCGGCAATTGGTGATGGCCCATCAGCGGCGCAGGCTGTATTAGTTGATGCGTCGAGGGCGGAGGAATGGGAGGTTGAATGGGCGGAGGCATTCTGTTGAGCGATTCTGATGGTAACCCGTGAGATATAAACCCGCCAAAGGTGGCGCCATACTCATTTAGAGGGCTGTTTCCATAAGGACTTTGGCTATACGGGCTGATGCTCGCCCAGTGGTCGCTGGTATACCCAGCTCCGTTACTCTGTACCATGGTATCGTCTTGGCCCAAGTTCGCAGAACCGTGAGCAGCAGTGTTCATTGTATGTGTTCCAGAAGTTAGGGGCCCAGTCTATCGCTGGGTTTTGCTAGTTGCTGAAAAACTGAGCAAGTCAGCACTTAGCAAATAGTCTCTTGCCAGACAACGGAGAGGAGGAGGAGAAGAGCAAGAGGGAAGCGGAATGAGTGGGGGTATTATCCTTCATCCGTCAGCGAAAGAGACAAAGTCCAAACCTTGTCTTGGGCCGTCATCAATGAGCCGGCAGTAGTATGTCAAGTATGGTTACGGAAAGCATTTGTCGAGAGCAAACACAAAGAGACATACGAACCTCATGGACGGTGTATGTTAGGGAATGGCATAGCCCTTTTCGTTGAGAAAAGAGTAGCTCTGCAGCAGAACCTAGAGGAGGAAAGCAAATAACTTGAGATGCTAGAATGTGATTTGCAACGCAAACTAATGATGGAGAGAGGTATTGTTGTATAGGCAAGTTTGTAGGGAGTTCGAAAGCAAGAGAACCAAGATAGGTAAAAGTAAAGAGTGAAGTCGCGGTGACAAATTTGCCAGATGAGGGGTGCTCTGCTGGATAATGTATCGCTACTTGGCCAGCTCTGTAGAACAACGCCCAGGAGCAAGCAAGAAGCAAGAAGCACACCCGTCAAGGAAAGCCCTGCTTCTCACGTCACTTTAACTACTACTGAAGCGTGCAAGACCCGCTGGTGGGCTCTCTTCCGCGCGGTAACGGTCTGGTGAGACAATGACGGAACTTTTCTTCGCCGTTACTCGCTACCTCGTGGGGGTGAAAATACAAGACTGCGGAGAAGGGAAACGACTCATGTCAGCCCTGGGCAAGAGCAGAAAGTAGTAGTATTTGGTCTGGTGGTCGAGGGGCGGTGATGCATCTGGGATGATAAACCAAGTACCGGCCCCGGGCCTGGCAGTGGAAGTTGTCGCACCGCGTGCTTGTCTGTGCGGCAAGCGAGTCCGTACAAGATCTGACAAGCTGCAGCAGGCCGATGCTGTTGGTCCAGGAGACGGCAAGCTCGGTGGTTTGCTGCAGACGAGCAAGTGGCCCGCCCACCAGTGCTATGCCAGGTCTACCAAGCCGGGCTAGACTAGGGTATCCAAGCAATATCATCCCAGAGGCGTACAAGAGTGGCTCTTGTAGCTGTACTCTACCTGGGAAGACGCTGAAGCCGGAGCGCATTGTCTGCGAAGGAAGCGGAACGTTGGCCGTGGAGGCATGCAGATGCATGCACGAATAGGTCCTGTACATGTACGTCCAGGGGCCCAGATGCAGGGGGCCCATGGAGGGGAGGGGGCGTGTGAGTCGGCAAGGTGCTGGGCGGCTCTCCATCGTGTGGGCGAGTGAGTTGCCTGTAAGTGAGTGAGTCTGCGTGTGTCAGTTTGGCTGTCTAGCCTGCTTGTCTGCATGTCTGGCGCCCTTGTTTGCTAGGGAGAGGACGGGTGGGATTGTCCCAGAAGGGAATGGGCCTGAGAGGCCACAGACCGGAATGACTGAGGGGTGCTCTCAGAGGGACGACAGCCCAGGATTGGGAACGGGCCATGGATCATGGAGATTGGGCATGATAGGGCAAACATTGACCAACGGGTGACCAGGGCCAGCATGGCCAGAAGAGGCAGCGTCGGCGGGATCTGGGAACTCGACATGGGACCATATGTAGGTACAGGCAAACCCACACCCACTGATTAATATTGGTTCGTTGGTGGTCTCCTGAGCTTCTGCTGGCGCTGTGTCGCATCCATGCCGACGGCCTTGTAAGTTGGACGTTTCTTTTCTGCACGGCCTGTTGCATGATGCTGTCCATAATACAGGTATATGCCGTAAGTGGCAAGCAGGTAAGTAGTAAGCAGCATCAAGATGCCCTGCCTATCTGGTGTTGAGTGCGACGTCGGAAAAAAGGCGACTCAGCATTCCGTACCTTCCCTCCGTGACGTCGGCCCAGGAACGTGACAAGAGCTATCAACATGACCAGGATAGAGCAGAATGAAGCTTATTCACCGCGGGCAACACTTTACGCACTTCACGCACTTCATGCACTTCACGCACCCCAAGCAGAGAGAAGCAGGAAAACCACGCGAGCACAATACTTCCGATGGCCATGCACAATGCTAGTACCACTCGGTGCAAGCACACAAAAAGCCGCTGCTTCCAAGCCCCATGTGGTTGTCTAGGATGGTCCGTCACCGACTATAGTACGATGGCTTGTACAAGTACGAGGCGAGGCAAGACGAGACGAGACGAGAACTGACTGCTGCCAGGGCTTCATCACGATTCCGGCGCACAAGAGCCTGGCCCGGCATATTCATGGGTCGACGATTTCATCAACCGGACTAGGAAATAGTCTTCCGAGCAAGCATCCAGGCAGAATGATTATGGGACATCCACCCTCCGGACCGCTGCAACACAGGTACCCAGTACGAAGCTGCTGTGCTGTGCTGGCTGGACTGGACTGGACGCAGCAGCGTCAAAAGAACCCCGGCACCAAACAAGAAACCTTGATCCCAGTCTCATCACCACTACTAGCCATAGCGAAGCCCGCACAAACACACCGTCCTGTAGCTGGGCTTGTACCTGTACTCGGACGTGGACAAATACGAATCGAAATATTGCATATCAAACACCAAGCAAACACAGCCACTTGATCTCGGGCGTTACTACCAAGTCCCGCTCTCCGCTCCTCAGCTACTATGTACACGCAGTCTTTGTGCGCTCGAATCTCGCAAGGGATAGGATAGCTGACTAGACTGTCTCGTCGCTGCTCAAGCTTTAGTGGATGAGGCTTCAACGGCTCGTATACACAGAGAGGGGTCGGGGCATGTCTCTTGTGGAGCGGCCCGAACTAGCTAGCGCACTTGTCGCAGATGATACCGATCAACGACGAATCATTTGCTTAGTTCAAGGTACGGTTATGCCCTCATGTACGAAGTGCCGCAGCTGATCATGTCAATCAAGCTAAGAAACGGTGACCTACGACGTTCTCCAGATGGAGATGACAGCCCAATGCCAGAGAGACACTTGTTCAGCCACAACCCTCTCTATCACCGCGACATCTACCAGTCCAAGTATACGCAATCTTAGGTATTAGACAAATAGAAGTTTCAGATATACTGGCCTACGGAGATTTGAGAGTTACCCCCAGATGGGAGTTACGTACAGGTAGGTAGGGTGCTGAGTAGTACTTACTGGTACTTCTACAAGCTGCCCTCTTCTCCACGTTTTCAGCTACGCGCAAGTCGTGCGCGCCAAATGATGGGTGCTACTACAGACAGGGGTAGGTGATCCTGGCTGCTCATCGGAAATAGTACTATCACTGCTAGCAATAAGAGAAATTGCAGCCGCTTTATCAACGCCATCTTGACTACGCCGTACAGGCAATGACCAATCCGCCCTCTCTTCCACAGGCAAGCCTGCTCATGCCGACGCTGCTGACCGATGTTTTTTTTTTTTTTTAGTTCAACGAGAGGGTCCAGGCTCTCCCTCTACTCGAGACACGACCATCATGGCTTGGTCTATTTGAAAGATTAAGCAAAAAAAAAAAAAAAAAAAAAAAAAAAAAAAAAAAAAAAAATTGTGATCACCCACTCATTCGAAAGCCAAAAATCGGACTTCGGAACTGTGAGACCTGCGAATCTGCCGTTGGCTCGTCTTATAAGACAAGATTGATCGACAGTGCTGTACGGAATACCCTCTAGTGCTCTCAAGCTTTCTTCTGAAAGTCAACGCACGGGAGCGCGGGAAGACCGTCCACGTTGGCAAGCGCCACGCCATTAGCCTATTCCTTCTTGAGGTAAATACTTGTGCGAAGTATTCGACGTCTTCCACGCGAGTAGCTCACCTCTGGAGGATGGTGAGGCGGCGAGGCGGCGAGGCGTGGCGTGGTGGTAGTTGGTGGTAGTTCAAACGCTAAGGCACTAAGAGGGGCGTATAATTGTTGGGTCGCTTGACAGAGAACATGACATCGCGTCGAACTCACAGGTCATTTCAACCAACAAGACCTTGGGCTGCTAGTATACGAGCATCTCTTGAAGCGAGTGATTCCTACATCGACCGATTCGGACGAGAGAATGACTTCATCGCTTGGCCGATTCGGCGAAGTCTTGCACATATTGCTGTATCTACGCATAGTCTTCCGTACCGCTTCATCACACTATTGGTGCTGGAGGCGTCTTGTTCAGCAAAATACGTGGCTTGGCATTGTCATCATACGCTAGTATCAGTGGTCAACTTACGATGGGGATGCCGTTAGGAACAGCAGCTGTGCCACCGCTCCAACTACATGTTGTTAGACATGGCAGCATGATGCCAGAACTGCTCATTGCAGCACGAGCCTCCCAATCTTGGAAGGTTCGATATCGATTTCAGTCACCACGGGGTTCACCTCACCTTCCCTTTCTTTCTTTTTACCCGGACTATCCGGCGGCAATCATGATCAGGCACCTGTCAAGAGATGGGTCATGAGGATATGATACCGAAAAGTACCTATGTACAGAAGCAGCTCTGCACCCCTGTTAGTACCCACGTACCAGAACGATTACTTGCACATTGTGGTATATACGAGTATCAACACCAAGGATTTACATCATGCTGATAACAGCAAACTTATATATATAACCGGCATATCATTGGCCCGACCTCAAAAGCTTCCGATCAAAATCCAGGGAGTTCTTAAGCCGTAAGCTGCGAAAAACTCGGCATCTTGCCCTCATACTCGCTCAAATTGAACGGGTACAAGGGGGCGGTGGCGTCCGCGCCAAGTGAATAGCTTCCGCTTCCAGGCTCTCTTCCAGTTGGCCAATTTCAACCCCTGCCGCTGGCTGCCGCTGCGTGGAGGTCCGTGCCCAACTTTCACAAACCTGGCACTTACAGTACCGGAGTAAAGAGAGGACCTCGCAGGCATGTGTGACACCTCTCGGCGCGCTCCACGATGGCCACGTTTGGAGGCATTCAAGAGTCCAACACGATACTGCACGGCCGAACAAATGCACCCACTGCCGGCATCAAAGGGCATAAAATCCCATCCTCTCACGACGGTACTCTTAGATTCGTCTCAAATTGGGCCCGCCATGTAGTAGACTGAGGGCCAGGTTCAATTTAGCATCCTTTCGTCAATCTCATATTAACCTTTCTCTCCCGAAAAGGGCCGCCTTTGGTCTCTCTGCTAGCTCCTCGTACGCTGTATGAGTACGGAGTAGTAAGTGGCCCGAATTACGAAGCAGAAGTTAGGCGAATTACTATGGATGCAGCCAGCTCGACGAAGTAGCACATCATGGGGTGTTCTCACCAACCAAATGTTGAGACACGCGACGCGTTCTCATCCTGTTCTATTTTCAACAGCCAACTGAAACAGGGCATGATGAAAAGCATCACCTGGTCAACTTGGGCTTCGTGCAGGATACCAAGCCATTCTTTCTTTGGCAGAATTGATGATACAGCTACACGCGATTTGATCCAATTGAAATGAGGGCTCTAATTAGATAGAGGGAGGCGGCCAATCCCGACGAGATCTACCGATGCCCACTCCTCAAAGCGCGTCCAGGTGCCGGCAAGGTGGATCACTACTGGTTGGTGGTGATACACAAAAACGGCCAATTACGCTTCTCAGGGGAGTTGTTACCTCGAAGGAATATTGCCGCGTGACGCTCTCCCTAACAGGAAAACACCCCCAGCGAATCAGTCTTTAAGGTTTCTCAGTTTCCTCGTGGCGGAATTGTCCGGCAGTCCCGCTTGTACGCCCGTCGTCGTGCTCTCATTTCGGGCGAAGACGATACAATCGTTCTCGAACGGTGGCATTGTATACGGAAGAATTCTTTGCAGGGCCTCTGGCAGACAATGGAGGAACGCCAAGGCTGTTGAGCCCTCAGCTGTCTGATATCATCCTACCTGCCATATGTGAAGTAGGGGAGCAGCAAGTGGAAATCTACCACCTACTTCTTGCGTGTTCTCTATGCAACGCCTCATCTGTGACATGGCTTGATTTGGAAGATATGATAGCTTGAACGATGCGGCTCCGCGGCGGCTCTGTCACCGAAAGCATCTCCAGGTCCGCTTGCACATGGGTACGGAGCACTATTCCTTGTCCACCAGCGTCACGATGTTATCTATCGTATTATGCGCCTCCACCAGCCCCCCTCGCAAGGTTGGATTTGCGATTGCTGGCATGTACGACTGCCTCTACGAATACAGGTACTGCTCTGTACTGTACCTGTCAAGACGTCGCAAATCAACTTCGCAATGCCTCCATGTATTCAACAAGGGCAGCAATCTTGTTAGTGTGCTCTGCTCTGACGGCAGGGCAAACATTGGTCTGTGCCTTATGGCTCTTGTCTCCGTCTCCGCTGCGGGCGAACTACTCCGTAGTCAGTAAGGACATGCATGAGCCATGCCGCGCGCCGCGCGCTCTGCTAATAACACAGGCCGCCATCAAAATCCTCGTTCCCGCTCAGCCTCTATCCAAATGCGAGTATCACATGGAGTGCTAGCAGTATGTACGAGTACAGTATAGGTACCCGTACTGCCAATGAGGATGCGATTAGTACAGGTACTACATACGAGTGAGCACCTTGTAACAAGGCATGCAAACCCTCGTTTCTACAGGCAGCCCCTGTGGCTTCCCCTCCCATGTCCCGTCTCCTAGACTGGCCACCATTGTCAAGATGGCTTTATCTCTCCACTCCTTCGAAAGCAAGCGACACCACTCGACTTCTATCCATGACTGGGTACCGTACCTGTACGCATGATTGAGGCGGCTTGACCGACCGCGTGTTTTGTGTCTCTGCCTGTGGCGATGCTCCTGTTGCCCTTTAGCAGCGCTTAGATTTCGTACCAAGCTCAGGGGTTCATGAAGACCATGTCGCCGTTGGCCCGCTCACCAGTCTGTCGCAACGCAACATCTTGGGGGTTGACTTAGACGTCAAAAAGCCAGTGGCATTCCTCCGGCACTTGGCACCAAGGTGGATCAGAGAAAAATCAAGAGCTCACAAATGTTGAGCAAGGTCACCGCCAAAAGAAAAGAGAAGGGAAAAAAAGCCAAAATAATGCGCCTTCTGCATGTGTCTCCACCCGGCGCCCATCATTTTCTGGGCTCTTCCTCGTCTGGGCGGCAAGAGAAGCCCTCTGAAAGGCTGGGCTGGAGACAACCAAGGCCCAATACAACTCCCTGGGGCGCCATGCAGCCAGCATTGGCCTCCATATCCAGCGAATCGTTTTGCTGCGTCGCCCATCCAAAGCACCCTGCGAACTTCCAATTAGCGTCAAGGCCGGATGTTCTCTCGTTCTTTTCTCACACCCCCCTCTGGGTTTTCTCTTCTTGGTGTAGCTCCAGGTTGGGCAGGGACAGCTCTCGTCCGCAGCCCCAAAAGGGACTCTCTCCATCCCCACGTTTCTAGCTTTTCTTTTCTGCGAAGGGCGGCCGCAGATCGAGAGGCCCTCGGCTATGCAGGGTCAAAGTACATCGGCCCCGGGTATTGGGCCATGGCCCATCAACTGCGTTCATGCTGCTTCAACTCGTATGGCAACCGTTGAGCGGCGAGCATGGCGTACAACGGCCGACCCGAGGTCTCAGAATGAATTACTCGCGTACCAGTAATCGCTTCTACACGCTCATTTGCACTTGTACACGTGCTCATTATGCCATGTCTGCCGTCCCTGTCGATGGCACGCTGGACGGACTTGACTGCTCTGATCGTTGGGAGAGGGAAATTGGATATTTTTCATGAGTGTCAGAGCACGGCGTACTACAAAGTACTAACTACTTTTCTCATTGAGCCCAACTGAACGCCCTGTCAATTTCCCCGTAGCCGCCATCTCCCCCTTTATTTTCTTTGTTTCTATTTTTTTCTGTCTTGTTTTCTTTTTGCTGTGGTTGTGGTTGTTGCTGCTGCTGCTGATGTTGTTCCTGTTGCGTGCACCATTCTACTCCATTTCCTTACGGCCTACGGAATCATTGCCGCCGATCATCATGGGCTCATTCCCCTTCTGACGTGCCGAGTCGCGAAATTCCTGCGCCTTGGCCTTGAAACTGTCATGCTCGTGCATATATGCCACATCAATGCCGCCCATCCCTGCTTCGTCCCGGCCTGTCGTCCAGCCAAAGCTTGCATGAACTGAAGACCACGTAGGATGCCCCCTAGCCCGAAGCGCTCGGGCTTTTTGAATGAAATTCTGTTTGTCCATTTACAGAGCCGAAAGTCGGGACTCGGCTTCGCGGGCAGATACGGATGACAGCCTCCTTGGTTTGCACGGCACTCGAAGAGCCGGATGAGTACGTCGTTCCTCCTTCATCCGGCGGATTGCCCACTATGGCTTTGGGCTTTGAGATCGTTGATCATCGCTTGATAATGGTCACTGGTAAAGCAAAGTTAGTCTTGCGTATTCACTGCAGTCCGATTTCGCACAGCATAAGGGGTAGGGGAGGGAAAGAGTAGATAGTACATACCAACATCTTCATCTTCCAGCTCGTGTGCCAAACCAACCCTCTGCGGCTGATGCTTCACCGACTTGCCATAAACAATGGCTGACTTGAATTGTTCCACAATGCTGCGGTGAATAGCGTTACACTAATGTTGTGTTACATGCATTAGTTGGGAGTCCTCGTAATGTAGTAATAACGGTGAAGGGGGCGTCTTCTTGGTGACTCACGAAATCTTCCACAGTGCATCTCGTCGCCTTGAGTACAACGGGGGCTGAGTAGTCGGGCGCTCTGCCTTTGGGCTTTGTATACACTCGTTTCAGGCTCAGCTTCTCCCACATGGCCTCCATGAGCTCGTCAATGTTCCACCCATGCTCTGAGCTGATGGGGACTGAGTTGGGGATTCGGTAGAGCAGGTCCAGCTCCTCAATGCTGATGGAGTCGATCTTGTTGAGACAGTAGACGACCGGAATGTAACTATTCAGCAGCAGCGTTAGCAATCCATCGTCAGTAAACGCGTAGCAGCCTCGGCACAATCCTCGTTGCCGCTTCCACTCACCTTCGGCTTTTTGCCTCGATAACATCAATGAGATCGTCAATGGTGGCATCGCATCGAATGGTAATGTCGGCCGAGTTGATGCGGTACTCGCTCATAACCGCCTTGATCTCGTCGTGGTCGATGTGCGTCAGGGGCTGGGTGCTGGTGATGTTCAAGCCACCCTTGTCCTTCTTCCTGAAGGTGATGTTGGGCGGCTGCTTGTTGATTCGGATGCCGAAGCCCTCGAGTTCGGCCTCAATGACTCGCTTGTCCGTCAAGGGCTTGTTGACGTCGAGCACAATGAAAATCAGATGGCACGTCTTGGCGACGGCGATGACCTGGCGACCTCTTCCTCGACCGTCCTTGGCTCCCTCGATGATTCCGGGAAGATCAATAATCTGCAAGGGGGCACCTGCAGTAACGACCGGTCAGTTTATCATTTTCTTAGTTCCTCTCTCCCCACCCCTCGTTCCTAAATGACGGAAAAACAAAGTAGAAAAAGCAAGCAACCACGACAAAACGCACCATTGTACATGACCTGGCCGGGCACCGACGTCAGCGTCGTGAACTCGTACGCCGCAGCCTCCGAGTGCTGGCCCGTCAATCTGCTCATCAAAGTACTCTTGCCCACGGACGGGAAGCCAATGAAGCCAATACTGGCCACGCCCGTCCTGGCCACGTCGAAACCGGCACCGCCGCCACCGCCGCTGCTGCTGGGGGTGAGCAGCTCGCGTTTCAGCTTGGCCAGCTTGGCCTTGAGCTGACCCAAGTGATACGACGTCGCCTTGTTCTTTTGAGTCTTGGCCATCTAATGCAGAAAAAAAAAATCGTTAGGATCCCGGTCCCAGTAAAAGCAGACCGCTCGACGTCGGATTTCGTCGTCGGAAATAACGTCGTCTCGTCGTCTCGCTTGGGGGGTCTCGATGCGGAAGACATACCTCGGCCTCGATCTCCTTGATCTACATTGTCCAATGTCAGCCAAAAAGTCAGAGAAAAAGAAAAAAAAAACCAAATAAATCAAGATGCAAGCTTGAGAGAGAGACCGAGACAGAGAGGCCATACCTTGTCCACAGTCGTCGACATGATGCCGGTGGTTTATATCAGCGATTCCAATCAAGTTGCTCGATTTCCCTCTTTTCTCTTCCTTGGATGTGCGTGCTCGCAACTCGCTGCGGCGTTGGGTTGGCGATTGTGATGATGCCGGGCTGTTATCACAAACTTGTTTGTGTGTGGTGGCATGAATCTTTTGGAAGGAATTTGGTGGGGTAAATTTTTGGTTTGTGGTTCGCGGTGGCCAATGATGTCAGCCGATTCGGACCAATCCGCTTTAGGGAGGAGGAGCCACTTCTTTTTTCTTCACAGCTTGAGAGTTATCCTTGTATTTAGATACTTTAAAATAACTTTACTTCACATCACAGTGGTATTATTCCAGGTTGCTATGGTATACGCAAGACTCCATTAAATGCAGCAAGTGAACAATGTACAAGAGCGAAAACATAACTGTATTTAATACAAGGCTATTGTTGTCCATGTATCTTCATCACCCCGATCCCGGGGACCACCAAAGGGGAAAAAAAAGCCATCAAGAATTCTTGCCCAATGCCGCATTGCTGGAAACTCTTGCATCAAAACGCCTTCGTCTCACATACAAAGCTTCCCTTTTCCTCCCTGTCCGCCCAAAAAAGAAAAAAAGAAAGACGACTTTGAAGAACCATTGACCTGTTCCAGAAACAAGCAAACTGTCCAAATATACCGTGGCATACCATAGCACTCCGTCCAAGCTGAAATCGGAAAAAAAGGAAAAAAGGCTTTTTTTGTCCCTCTGCTCATGCTGTAAAAGTGTCAAGCAAACCAGAAATCATTCCCTCCTCCAGGAGCCAGCCACCAAAACGTTGTATTGCGTTGCGTTGCGTGAAGTGTGCGTAATGTGCGCGTGTGTACAAGGGAGCGCGCGGCCTCATCCCTGTCCATTCCACCATCCAAATCTATAGACATTTACATGAACAAGGCCAAAGCAAAAGAAAAAATAGAAAGGGGTGGGAAGAAGAAGCCAGGAAGAAGCCAAGAAGAAACCCGGAAACCAAATGCAGAGGGTGTCGGATAGCGCAAGATTGTACAGCATGAGTTGATTTCATGTATTTCTCTCTCTCTCTCTCTTCCAGACCAGTTCAGCTATTAACTGGCCGATCCATTAATACCATTAGTTATACCACTATCACCGGCTGCCTCATCCTTGACCCCATCTGAGGCAGCGTGCCCATTTGTGCCGTTGATGGTCGGCTTGGCCCGCGGAGCTGAAGTCGGGCTGATGGGCGAAGAGTGAATGCCATTCGGGAGCGGCGAAGGGCTCGCTGTATCCTTGATGAGATGCCCAAGGCCTTGAGTCATACAAAGAGCGGTATAGTCTGTATCCTCGGGATACGCCCGTGTCAAACCTCGCCGGGGAACTCGCATCTCCGGAAATGGGGTCCGGCTCGTTTGAGAAGGAGTCGGTAGTTCTTCTCCAACCAGAATTCCGTTGACATAGTATTTATATCGTGGGGCGAGGCCATGGTAGCGGCCGACATCCGGGTCTTGCTTCCACTTTTGAGACGGTTGCCACTGTTGCTCGTTTTCCATAAGCTCGCAGTACTCTACTCCTAATTTGACGCCTCGCAGGTGTGGAATGGCAGGCACAACATCCATGAAGTCAGATACCTGTAGTGAGGTCAGGGTTAGCTGAATTGCCGAGAGAAGCTGATAAAGAAAAGACAACCATCTTGTTGCCTGCGGTTCGACATACCTTCACAAAGAACATGTCCATTGCCTGGAACTTTTCCCACGCATCTTGCTTGAGCTGGTCTTTGTTGTCGTAGCTCAGGCTGTGCGGTGCCTCGTCGCCATAGCATCCAGGAAGCTGTTCGCCAAGTTCCCACAGCTTCTCGGCGAAGAGTGTGTAGCGAATCCACTCTGTCCTCCAAAGGCTGATTTTGGCAACTCGAGAAGTTGGTACGCGGGTCCAGGAAGCGTCTAGTGATGTGTCAGTACACGATTAAGAGGATATGGGAGCATTATTCGACTTACATTTAGAGAGACTGAGATCTTTTTCTCCCAGTAACAGGGCAACGTGCGTGTTCAGAACCCACTGCTCACGACCCTCGGCGGTATTGTTCGTCTCTGGACGGATCGTGTCAAATCGGGGAGCGCGCATGTACTTGAACTTTTCGGCAACGGCCGTGGTCTTGGGATTTGATGCCGTGCAGAGCCATCGCATCAACGGGGGTAGTCTCTCCAGTCGAGCACGCTCTTGCTCCTCTCGAAGGCGTTCTTCTTCCTCGCGGCGCTCTTGTTCCTCACGAAGGCGCCGCTGTTCTGCCTCTCTAGCGGCTCGTTTTCGCTCGATTTCCTCCCGCTGGGCACGCTCTTGGCGTTCGCGCTCCCTACGTTCTTCTTGCTCACGTAGTTGTCGAGCCTCTTCAGCAGCCTTGCGTTCTTGTTCTTTGTGAATCCGTTCTTCCTCCTCACGTAGCCTCTGTTCTTCCTCTTCTTCCTTCTTCTTCTTTTCCTCCTCTCTCCTCTTTTCCTCTTCCTTCCTCTTCCTCTCCTCTTCTCTCCTCTTCTTCTCCTCCTGTTCTTGCTTCTTCTTTTCTTCCTCTAAGCGGCGGTTTTCATCTTCACGCCGACGAACCGCAGCCTCCTCAGCCTCGCGCCGTTCACGCTCAGCCTTCTCACGAAGCTTGTTGCGCGCCTCATCCTCTTCTCGCTTCTTCCGATCTCGTTCTTCCTGCTCCTTTCGCTTCTTGCTCTCTTCCTCTCGTTGGCGAGCCTCTTCTGCCTCTCGTTTCTTCCTCTCCTCATGTTTGGCACGGCGTCGCTCCTCTTCTTTCATGGCGTCTTCTTTCTCGGCTGCCTCCTTCTTCTTGGCTTGTTCTTCCTCGTTTTCTCGACTTCTGCGATCGCGAGGTGCTGCCTGCTCCTTGACATGGTCTGCATCTAGCATTTCGACATCGTCATCTTCTTGCTTGACTCGTATCGACTTTTCACTAGACGTATTTCGGCCGGAGTCTTTTCGCTTGGGATCCCGCTCATCGTGATTGCTCTTTGGATCATCCTCGCGATGCTTTCGAGGCAAGAGAGCTGAAGATTTGGAAGAGTTGTCCCGAGATATACTAGCTTTGCGGGGTTTGGCTTCTTCAGAGACCGGTCGCTTTGGTAGGGATCGCTTCTCCTGGTTCTCACCCTCCAGTCGCCGACGCTTTATCGGCCCTTCGTCCTTGTCAATGTCGCTCGGTCGATCCGGAGTAATACTATTTCGATGTCGTTTTGAGACACCGTCTCCCGATACCGAGAGGCGATCTCTCGACTCATCGCGTTTCAAAGCCTTTGTTCTGTCGTGATACTTCTCGGATAATTTGGGCTTGTCTACGCTTTCTTCATGCCTTGGCTCGCTGGGGCTGGACGGCTCCTTGGCACCAGACGAACCGGTGGACGCCAAGCTGCCACGTTTTTGCCTTTCCCGCTCGTCTCGCAATTCGCCTTTGGATATCAGCTTTCTTCTCGGCTTCACGGCCTCTCCTTCAGACGAGACACCAGTGGCATCTGACTCGGTGCGTTTCGGTTTGGGTACTTTGTGGGTAGGCGCAGGGGATGCTTCGCGATCTGAAGTGTTTGAAGCCTTGTTGTCTTCTTTCCGTGGCCGCCCGGGCCCCCTCTTTTGAGAATTATCGTCGCCACCATGGCCGGTGAAGGAGTCCGACCTTCGTTTCTCCCTGGGGGCGTCCGTCTTGGGAGCTGAGGGTTTCTTCGGCTCTCGAGAGGGACTAGCAGCGCTTCGTTTAAGCGGTCTCGAGTCTTCTTTAGCATCTTCCCTTTTAGCCCGCTTCTCCTCCCTCTCTCTCTCCCTCTCTCTCCGAGCAGGCGATTTCGCCCTGGCAGAGTCCTTGTGCGTCCGCCTATAGTCGTCGTACGCGTTTTTCAACATGTGCTCTTCTTCTTTCCAGTTGGATCCCTGTCGACGACGGGCAATCTCATAATAGGTTTCCCCTTTGATTTTTCGCGTTGGATCGAAATTTTGCTGTTCTAATAGCAGCTCGACAACCTTGATGTTTTCCTGACCGATGGCTGCAAGCATCGGGGTTGCAAATTCGGCCTGTAAAGTTTTGACTGGAGGAGGATCCGCACTGGCACCACCCAGGCCCAGCAGGAGCTGGATGACCAGGTCATGACCTCCTCTCGCGGCAGCCACCATGGATTCGGGATCGTCGAAGCCTTCCTTAACTTGCAAGATGCGCGCTACGGTTTCCTCATCACCACGCCCAGCAGCCTGCCGTAGCGTTTTGTCGTCCAGAGGCATGTAGAGTAGGTCATTTCTCGTCTTGGTAGACCGAACGGTCCCTGATCTTCGACTTGTCGACATTGTTGCGGCTGGAGAGCGACGAGGGCTGTCGGGGGCATGAGAGTCTCTTGCGTCGTGGTAGTCATGAGAGTGACGGTCTTCAGAAGTCCGGCGTCTTTCGCCCTGGCGCTTCTTTGCTGCCAAAAGCAATGCGCGGATTTCGTCACCATTTTCGGTATCCTCCGTAACTCTATCAATGGGCTCCTCCCCATTCACATTAGCCTTTCGTGGATTGACGCCAGCGTCCAAAAGAAGCTTTACGACGCCAACGTGGCCATTATCGACCGCATCCAGCAAGGGCGTGTCCTTATCGTAGTTGACACAGTCCAGGTTGCAGCCAGCGTCGATAAGGAGCTTGACGATATCTTCGCAACCATTAATTGCGGCGATTTGCAGAGGCGTGTTCCCGGCGTAATCAGCCACATTCAGGTCTTCAGGTCGGTCGGTCAGTCTCCTCTTTGCACTGTCGTATTCGCCACGTGCGCAGGCTCTGGCAAGTAACGTCTGGCCATGTGCATCCAGGTGCTTTTTGTGAGGCGCCATCTTCACGGGCGAAGCATGGGACTCGGGCACCGTGGGGGTCGCAAGGCCTCGCAGCTTGGAGCTACGAGGATGGGGGCTCCCGCTGGCCGAGGATTCGTCGGAGTGGTAGTCAGCAGAATGCAGGGGAGGGGGTAAACGCTTCTTCTTGAGGCTGCTGGAAAGATGATGAGCAGGTAACTGTGTTGATACGCTTCTACGATGCTGTCGAGGATGTGGCGAGATGGAACGAGTCCGAACCCTCGGGTCATGATGAGGCTGCTTCGAGGTCAACTTGGGCTCCTTGAGCGTCCGCCCGGTGTCGAGCGTGACGCTCGTGGTTCGCTGGCGGCGAGCCTTTCGCTGGTCAGCTTCGTCGTCGGACTCGGCCTTGGGGGGGGCTTTTCGCTTATGAGGCAGCAGACGCTCCCCAGGCTTGAGCTTGTCACGTAGGGAGGAAGAGACGGGCTTGGCGTGGGTGCCCTCAGAGTCTGACGGTGATGCTGCAGCCACGGCGTCAGATCGCCGACGGCGGTGAGATGGGAGCGGGAGCTGTTGACGGTGCTGGCTGTGATTGTGGGGAGGCGATGTCGGGGCAGAACTCAGGCCGCTCGAGGCGCCGTCCTTGCTGCGAGGCTGGCGGTCCTTGTCGACAGGGCCCGGCAGCCGTTTCTTGACACCCTCGACGGGCCGGCTGCCAGCTGCATTCTTGTCGCCCTGGCTACTGGCGGCTGGCTGGCCGTTGCCTCTGGCCGAGTCTGCGTCACTCTCGCTCCTGTCCTCCTGCCTCACCTTTCGAACCTTGGAGGGCGAATGGCCATCCTTGCCAGGCAGGACAATCGTCTCGGCGTCTGAGTCGCGGTCGGCACCAGGAACGTCGTCGATTCGGGCGGCCGTGGACGACGACAGCGACGACGACTCCCTCGTCTTCAACTTGGGCTCCCTGGAGGGCGACGAGGCCCTCAGAGATGAACGCGGTTTCGGATCCGAGTCGGAGCCAGAGCCTCGTCGCGGGCGCTCGTGTTTGTTTTGCTGCTGAGGGGAAGCGCCAGCATGCTTGGGCGTGTCGGACTCGGCAGCATTCTGCGCGTCCATGACATTTATCTTCGAGAATTGCCAGCGGCTACCACCATCATGGAGATGAAACGAGTCTCGGCAGCGTGCGAGCCGGGCAAGAGGCCGATTGATCTGGTCACGTCGACCGCCACGTCACAGCTGCTGGCAATGGCCTCTTGCGGAGATGGATTGGACAGCCGGGGGATTTTAGGCACGACAGCAGCTGGCAAAGTGGCGAAGCCCTTTATGCCGGCACGGATGCGGCCGCCTGGGGATAAACAATGTGAAGGAGGGAGAGGAATTATGTCTGCTACGATGAGGCCGATGGGGGGGGCGGCGAAAACAGGCGGCGTGGGAATGAGTCGATGCTTTTTTTTCCCGGTCGGTTGTCAAGAGAACAGAAAGACTAGAGTTCAATCTTCAATCGAAGCGTGCTCACCGTAGTGCTGCCCAGGGCACGGAGTACGGAGCACTTAGCGGGCTTCAGAGCTGGGAAAATAGCACGAAACTGCCGGGGGCTGGGAGCTGGGGGGCGGTCGCGCCTGGTAGCGGATCATGTACACGCATCGACGTGGTGCTGCCAGCAACCGCAGCAGCGCCAGGTACTGCTACCGCCGCTGGTAATGCGTGCTCGTACGAGCCGGCAGAGGGCCAGGTCGACTACGGAGCGCCTGCGCGTGCCGAGCCAAGAAGCAGGCTAAGGCAGACAGCGCAGCTAGTACACGCACGAGCAACAGCGAACGCAACACGGAACTCATGATGCTTACAGTATCTTTGCATACAAGTACATACATAGTAGTAGTAGTGCTGCTGCTAGCATGGAAGGCAGACAACACACCACCAGTCTAAGAGCCTGAAAACGGGACTTGGTGCGAAACTCAGCCAGCAGCGCCAGGCTACGCTGCGGCACGCTGATTGGCTGCCGCCCCAAGCCGCTCCAGCCGGCGCAGCGCCTTCGCGGTGCAGTTGTGCGGCCGAAACAGCGGAGTCGCAGCCTAAACAAACCCTGTCGAGCCCTGTCCAGCAAGCCTAGCTACCATCATTGCCATCCCGCGTTGCCACCCTCTCAAGCCTCTAAAGCCCCCAAAAGGGCCTCAGGCATTGGTGCTGCAGCGGGCCCCGCCGCCCGCCAATCACGGCTGCAGGCGGCATCGGCAGTCCTGGGAGGCGCCTCGGGTTGTCTGGCTTGAAATACGGGCGGTCTCGCCTCGTCAAGATGGACAGCAAGACAGAGGAAGACAGAGGAAAACGAGAGAGACGGCATCCTTGCCCACCCAGAGTGTTTTCACGCATTCACGCATTCACGCATGCACGCATCCGACCGCGCTGTGCCGTGCTGCAATGGATGCGCCTTTTTTTGTTTCTTCTTTTTTGTCTCTCTCGCCTGTGCGACCTGCAGCGCGCATCCCATCAACCAAGCAGCGATGCACCAGATAAGTAGCACGGCACAGCCTGGCTGCGTCTGACTGACCGGCGGCTCAACGCGCCGCCAAACGCTGCACGCCGATAAACAACATTCGTGCAATTGATTGACTCAACTTTGCACAACCTACACCTACATAGGCCTAATTTGCCCGGCTAACCCTAAGCGGCACCCGTTCTGCTGCGAGGGAGCAAACAGGCGCTGCAGCCCCCCTAACTCGATACGGCTATTCGCTGGCTCATCACCCCATCGTCCCCTCTTACAACCATTCGATTCGATCTTCTCCCAATCCATCCCCTCGCGACTCTCATCCGAACGGGCTGTCTCGCTCATTGGGGGAGTTCTTGGCGCAGCTCAAGGCAGCTTCTCCTCCTCGACATCTGCTTGCCCGAGTCCTGCCTATCATGGCAGCCCGAGGCATCGACGACGCGTGGCTTCCCTCGTCTCTCGAAGCCGCCAGAATCCCCTCGCTCCCGTCGACTGCCTATTATGTGCCGAATTTTATCAGCGAGGAAGAGGAGCGCCTGATTCTTGACAAAGTGCGTGTTGTGTTGCCGCCATGACGGCCGTCGTGCAGCCTCGCTGATGACGCCGCGCTCAGATCGCCGCTGCTCCACGTCCGCGATGGAAGCAGCTCACGCATCGACGTCTGCAGACTTGGCCATCCGATCTCGTCCAGAACAAGCTCCTCGATGCACCGCTGCCTTCATGGCTCGAAACACCCGTAGTATCGCGCTTATTGTCCATCCCACTCGCCGATGACGGCGATGGTGAGAGTGTCAGACACATCTTCGCCGAGAGCCCCCACCAGCGACCGAATCATGTCCTCATCAACGAATATCCTCCTGGCGTCGGCATCATGCCGCATAAGTTAAGTATTATGACACAGTAGATGATCCTTGGCAGCTTCGAAATGCTCATCCACCCTAGGATGGCGCTGCGTACTGGCCCGTCGTGTGCACTGTCAGCCTCGGCGCAAGCCTCTGTCTGAACCTATACCGCAGCAAAGAGGACGGCGCCCTTGATCCCGAGCCTGCCTGGCGCATTATCCAAGAACCTCGTAGTCTTCTCATCACTACAGCCAATCTCTACACAGACTATCTGCATGGCATATCCGACATTAAGGAGGACCTTGACCTATCCGCCGATACGATAGTGAACTGGACCTTACTTCGAGACACCGAGGCGTTTGCCAGCGGTCGAAACCCGAGGCAGACCCGCACCAGCCTCACGTACCGCGACGTCCTCAAGGTTTCCAAAGTCGGAGCTAAACTAGGTCTTTTCAACAAGCGATAAAGAGCGTGTTCCATGCTCGAGGAGCCAAGTAATAGTCTAGAATACAAAGGGGATCATGGTCCATTTCCCCGCCAACTTGCCCGCCCCAAACTTGTCGGCATACCAAGCTTTTGTGCCATATGCCGTCGCGCCGAGATTTGTCAGGACGAAGACCAACGCGCACAGGACAGATCTGTTCACCATACATCCTGCTGGCGCCGCAACGACGGCAAGGCTCAAGTAGAGTATGCACTCGAATGTGTAGTGGGGGCAAATCAAGTACTTGAACCAGCCCTCGTTTGGAAGCGTATATTTCTTGAGTCCTGCCAGGTGACTGTGGCAGTGGTTTTGCTGAGCGCCGGCAAACCCAAAGACTGCCGCCCCGATTATGATTTGTGGCGTAAAGTGAATAGGCTGCGGGGACTCCCACGATTGAAGAATTGCTCCTGTAATGGCCCGTCAGTGTCACTTCCATGTCGACTATTTCGAGTATAGCCCAAGCCACTAGGAGGAAGACAAACGTGAGCCATGAATCCAGACAGAGACACCCGTCGCCGTGTAATAGGCCAACCCAAGAACCCAGTGGACAAACCACATGGGAGATGATCCAGGCTTGGTGACAAAAATACACTCAAACAGCCTCCTTACTCCCTGGTAGCTCATCAATAGCCACGCCACCAGTGTCCCAGTAAGGTCAACCTCGGGTGATTGACTCCGGTGCTGCATCTCGGCCATCGTCCGCATCAACGACCCCTTGGACATGAATTGCCAGCCCCAGAATATTGACCATAGCACGGATGCTATGTAGAAATGTATGAACCACGAATGAGGTAGCTGGCCGTAGCTTGTCAGGACGTCAAAAAATCCTTGGCTGGGCGCCTGAGCCTTGGTCTTCTCCGCGGAAGCCTGGCTGGGCTTCGCCCTCCTGGCACCGTAGTCCATCAGGGCGCTACGCATATCATCCGGGAGCACTTGGATCATGAAAACGCAACCTGCACTGACAATGAAGAAGACCTGGCACCACTCGGCCGGTGACAGGTCATCCACGCCAAGCGTGGCCAGCAATCCGGATACACTGTCCATATTTGGTCTTGCCAGTTGTGGCTATACGTGGGGGAATGAACAAAACGAAGGAGGTTATTAAAGAGAGTGAAGAGTAAGAAAGGCGGAAAGAGAGTGACCCAGAAAACCAGGCTGACCGGCACTGGAGATGAATGAATAATCAAGGACTCAGTCCTGCTGGCTTCAGTTGGAAAAGACAGCCCGTCCTAGACAAAGCCAGTAGTGCGAAATTTGGTGTATAAGCACTGCCGCTGTGGTTGGACCCGTCCCTAGCTGACAATTGCTCCGTCCGTCCCACTACTGCCGGTACCTGACGGAGCACTGCAGCAACTTCTTGGCGAGTCGTGCGGCTACATCAGCAAACCCGCCTCTCTCTCTGCTTATGAGACATTGACCAAGGCTTTTAACTCGGTGATAAAGGGCCAAGCCGCGTGCTAATAGAACTGGCGTTGCACTGTTGCGGGATTTGGCGGTCGCTTACTTCTGGATACGGGGGTTTGCTGCAAGTTATTGCGCTTGATATCCGCAAATGCATGGATCGGATTTACGGCCGCATGGGCGAAAGGGGAGCGTGATTCGCCGTTTGTGGGATCTTTTATAATGGGGTAAATGGAAACCTGGAAGCGATGTCATGCGAGGGAGCGAGAGAGAAGCGACGCGATAAGACGGTGAAGACAACAAGCGAACTATTCAGATGTAGGGTAGATGTAGGTTTGAAGTGTTATTCAGTACCTAGGTACCTGTAATAGGTCATCGAAGTTGAAATGAACAATATTGGCAAAGAGCTGGTATTCTTTGCTGGAGAACAACATTACATGTACTTAGGGAAACTATAGCTGTGAAAATCCCCTCGTAGGCTACAATCCAATGATTCGTCTAGAGTTGTTCTGCTTCGGGCGGTGACCCTTGGTGGTGTATGTATGACAGCACGACGAATGTCTCAGGCATAGATGTCTTCATTTAAATACAGCCAATGCCCCCAAAGTCCGCTAGATATAGTAGCATAATATGGGCTTATCATTTTCTATCAACGAATTGGATTATCTGATACAATCTTCTTGTGAAATTGGGGGCAAATACGACTGTCGTTCTCGGCATCCCAACAAAACACAAACCGCAAGAACGAATGCTCTTCTGGTCATGCTACTTTCCGCCCTTGATGACGACACACTTCTGTCCGCGGCACGTGAAAAAAGATGCCCAAGACCAATCATCCAACGTGGGACAAAAAGTCATTCAGTCATTCACTCTGCTGTTGCCATTCCGAGTAGATGTTGGACGAAACACCCGCTCTGTACTCCACCACTATCACGGCTGTATCACGAAGAATAATTTAATTTCCAAATATTTTTCAATTCAACCTCCGATCTTCCACAGAGAAGCTCAAGAGGGCAGGATATCTACAGCATCAGGCAATTGCCATTACCGACGGCGCTATCGTCTCTGTCCCAAAACCCAAATCCGAATCCCATTATTCCATTTCCAATACACACCATGCCTCGCCAGGCTTTCTATCCAAGGAAATACTCCTTTAACAGCCCCAGGTCTTGCACTGCTGCTTGGGGTTGACATTTTTGTTGACAGCCAAGCAGTCTGAATACTGGGCCTGGCACTTCTTGGCCGCATTGGAAGGAGTGTTGTCGCCGAAACCCCAGTTCTGGGTGAACTGGCTGATGCCAAGCAGGCGCTTGACCTCCTCGTTACGCTTCCATCGGCCGCTGGAGCCATCCTGGCAGCCCTTCTGGTATACGTTTGTGCACTGGTTGTACTGCTCCTTGCAGGCATCGGCGCAAGCGTTGCTGCATTTTGGAGGGGGGTATGAGGGGCAGTTGCGGCTGTTCTGGTCAATATACAGCTTGAAGGGGTTGTTTCGCCAGTCGCTATAGATGTCATTGCAGCTAACAATGGGCAGAGCGATTCCACCGACAGGCTTGCCTGGGCCGTATCCGTACTTGGAGTTGGTGGGCTGCGTGCAAATGTTGGTAGGAGGAGGAGGGCAGGTGGAAGGTGTTGTCGTGGTAGCCGGAGGCTTGGATGTCGTGGTGCAAGGAACGACAGTAGTAGTCGTCTTGGGGGGACTGCCGCCCTGACCGGGGTAGTGGCTCCAACAATCGCCCTTGGAGCACTTGCCGTACTTGCATGTCGAGCCGCAGTACTTTTGAATGTTGCCACACCATTCGCCAAAGTTGAAGCACTGGAGAACATCGGGGAACCCAGCGTGAATGAAGCAAGAAGCGGTGCTGGCAGCACAAGTAGCATAGGCCTTCAAGCAGTCCTTTTCATTACCCCAATCGGGCAGAGGTGGGAAGCACCACTTGCCACACTTGTACTCGCAAGTGGGAGGAGTGGTGACGGTAGCTGTGCACACAGAGCTGGTGGTTGTGGTGCTGGTGCTCGTGGTGGTAGTCGTGGTGGTGGTGGTGGTGGTGGGAGGAGGAGGAGGCGTGGAAGATGTGGAAGTTGTGGAGGTTGTGGAAGTCGTGGAGCTGGGAGGAGGAGGATGCCAACCGCAGGGCTCCAGGGACTCCAGATCTGTGGCGATGTACAGGTTCAAGAGGCCGCTTCCACCGCACGTTTCCGATGGGTTTCCGTTGCAAGCAAAGTTGCATTGCGAGTCATCTACCTTGGCAGTGTTATTTGCAAGAACATTGCCGCACCAGCATTCACCTCCAAACTCAGTACCGGCCAACGGGAAACCTTCTTTCTCACAGGCAGTCAAACAGCTCTCGGTGGTGAAAGTAGACGAATCAACATCAGCGGACCAGGAAAGGGTACGACCCAGTTGCGAGTTGTCAGTGTAGCAACCAGAAGCCTTGTAGTCACCGATGGTGACGTCCTTGGTGGGGAATGTTGGGTCTTGCCAGACAGAGAGGAGATTGTTTCCTCCGCATGTCTCGGACTTGTCGCCGTTGCAAGGGAAGGTACACTGAGAGTCATCAACCTGAGGACCATCCACAGTGTTGCCGCAGAAGCAGACGCCATAATACTCGAGGCCAGCATAGCGGAAGCCATTGCCTAAGAAAGTTCAAGGTTAGTTTATTATCAAGCTCCAAGGCGACAGCAAACATACCTTTGCAGTCAGCAACGCACTGCTCAACAGTCATGTTGTCAGAGGGCAAAGATGAGCGGAAGATGAGAGCTTGAGGGCTGCCAGGGTTGCCATCTTGGTAACAACCAGAGGCGATAAAGGGCTGGAACTCATCCAAGCAAGGCGGCAGCTCCACATTCCATGCCTGAGTGGACTTCACAAGCGAGAGCGTGGCAACCGCGGCCACGAGGGACCGGGAGAAGGCCATTGTGATAATATCGGGGTAGGTCTGAGACACGATAAGCTGGTGTGAGTCAATCACTCCTTATTTAGGATGTTGAGACAGCCGGTTGCTGGTGATGAACGAGATCCCGAGTGACATGAGGGCGAGGGGCTGAGGACTTATATACGCATTGTCAATGCCTACAGTTGCCCTTTACGGACTATACGATGGCTGAACATCTAAACTGGACCAGCCTCCACAATCTCTCTAGGATGCCATCCACCCACCACCCGCGGCATTGCGATTCAGGCCGCAGGGGTCTTGCTCTCCGAAGTCCACCAGATCGGGTTGAGAGGTTCCCCTGTTGCCTTCCCTCCCTTGATCCCGAAAAAGATGTGCCACGCCGCCCTTGTCAGTAGCGTTGCAAGCTGCCGTGGGCTGACATCAAGAAACGGAAAACTAGTACACCAACGCTTTGAACAAAGCACACTGCCAAGGCCAGTGCCGATGTCCCGTCTAGCTGCTTTGTTGTCCATATTGCTGTCCTGCAAGGGAGGAAATAGTGTTGGACAGAACAGAGCGGCCTGTCACTTTGACCAGGCCAGGACGGGAGTGTCGGGATGCCTGAACTGAGGCTGGCTGAATGCAACTCTGTTGAGTAAAAAGAATGTGGAAACGCCAGAGTGCTTATGGCTGAATATGCATGCACACGTTAGGCTGCAGTTCACTCCGTGCCTGGCACATATCAGATTGCCCGAACCAGTGCAGGGCAGAATGTGCGAAGGGTCCTCGTCCTCGGCTGGTTAATGCTACCCTTTTGATACTACCCAATGTCAGCATCGTGAGCATCTGAAAACCTTACGATATAGCTGCTCTCAGCCAAGTATGGATACGCTACCAAGACAACAGAGTGCCCGAGACTTGCCGAAAATGGTACAACTAAACGGTGCTTCTCATTTATTATTATTACCTGCCAGCCACATACCACCCTGATGTCCCGATCCATGCATATCCTGCCAAGTACTAGAGCAAGGTAACGCTGGAATAGGCACCCTCACAGCTGGCATAAACAAATGAAGTACTTCTAATGCATGACTTAAAGCGTTCGAAATGAAGGTGGGAGCGTGTAAGTCAGAGCGCAAGATGACTGGACGGGCACTTGGTTGAGCGTTTCCGACCCTACCTGCAGGGAGGGTTCTAGACCTCTCAGCCTCTCCTCTCCCAATCCTTCTCAGGACCCGACATTGCTTACCCTTTTAGCTCCGGGGGCCGGTTAACTTTGTGATTAACTCTAGGCTCAGGTGCCCGTCGCGTCTGGCTCTGCGTACGGAAGACACTTATGCATACGCTCGTCGTATACGAGTACTACAAAGGACCCATGAACGATACTGGTGCCACGACTTTTCAGCTACTATGCCGGGGTATCGGGGCTTTACGATGGGCGAAATGGGCGGGCTATGTGGGCTTTGCTTCCCAAGATCGTGACCCGCAGTGGATCTCTCTTTGTTTTCTCACTTCACTGGATCGCTGGTGGTGGGAGGACAAGGCAAAAGTGAAGAAGAAGTACGATTAATCAAGGCGTACGCGTACGAATACCGGCGGACTAGCAAAAGCCTCGAAGATGCTATCTCGCTCACCTCGTTTTGATCAATGATGGATTGCTAGCTCCCAGCTACGCAGTAGCAATGCCAAGCCACGTCGGTGTTCTCTGGCATCTCTACGGTGGAGGGTAGTATCAACAGGCCAATATTACTACGTAAGAAAAGAGAATGAGCGGACGTGGGTGCGAGAGAGAGGACAAAGCTTGCTGCCAGCTCATCATGCATCCCAGCGCAGTTCCTTGCGTACCACAGCTGCATTTATCCCACAACTAGGATACGAGCGGCTGAAATTGTCGTCCCTTCTTCTTGTGCCGTGGTGGGGATCGCGCAATGGCGGCATGTACGGAGTAGTGCGGAGGAGGAATCGTTCGATATGCATGTCCTGAGAGAATCAATGGCCTGCAGTCTGTCTGTCCATCTGTCTTTCTATTTCAACCAACCGACTATCCGCCACCCCCAGCGCTACTAAGAATAGAAGAGTAAACACAAGACTCGTACTACTACTACACTTAGAGCATCCCCGGAGGGTACGGACTTGTCTTACTCTCGATGCTAGCTTTGAAGGCGTTTCCATCGGCAGGCATTGGGCTGAAATCGTAGATACTATGAGCATCCGAGGGTATCCTGGTACATACGACAGCTAACCATGGAGTGTCAGATACAGCTTGACCGGCTTTAAGCAGATCTCGTTCTCCATCAGCCCACAAAGCTTGCCGCGTTCAGGCTCCTGTCATTCAGGACTTGCAGGGTGGAGTCAAACATTCAAAAGCTGGCCCGAGGTTATGTACGCATCAGCTTCTCGGCCCTCCGGCTGGTCGGCCTAGTAGCTATGATGGCTTCAGGCCGGGACTGTGCTTTTGCCAGGGATGCTCGACTCTAGGCGCTTGCCTGCTGCGAGGGTGGATACACAATGCTCCTGCCGTATCCCTTTGTTGTTATTTTGGGCATTCGTTTTAGATCATTCTCGGTGAAGCTTTCCGACATGAAGCTCCTCTCTCACTGCCGAAGCTGCTTAGTAGTGGAAACTAACAAACATGAGATCGCAGATCCTGATCCCCCAGTCTCACATATCACGGATATCAAACTGGACGTCGACTTTGAAGTCTACAGTCAGCGCTCAAACTGCTTCAGCCTGTCCCCCATATGATTCCTTCGCCCCATGCAGAGATGGAGAATATCGAGCAAGAAGCTGCTCAGCTGTAATGGCCATGCAAGCTGCTGCTAGTTTGCGCTCCCTACAGCAAACTTCAGCCCCCATCCATCTCATCCAGCCGCTCTGCCCAGGGGAGCCACACTGGCCGGATCTTACCCCTGACTTGTCCAGCTAGGCTCCCCGCTCTGCTGAGCTAGGATCTCCGGGCTTGGAGCAAATCGCTTTTCGCATCTTCCCACCTCACCAACCTTGTGATACCCATCAACACTGAAAAAACAAAAGTCACCAATGCACACGGCAAGCCAGCGCTCAGAAATTCACCGACTGTGCTTTGTGGCGTTCCCTATTCATCACACAACCCGTCCATGTCGGCCTAGAGAGGTCTCACAACTGTTACGAAAAGCCGGCATCCGTTTTCTGACCACTGCAATTTTGCGTTTTGCATCTGTGCCCAGTTGGAGGCCCTCTGCATGTTTTGCTGTCGCCCAATTCAACCCGGCAGTCCGATTCCCCGACATTTCCTTTTTCGTCTCACTCACCTGAACTATTGATTGTTGGGGCCCGCGTCTGAGCCCTCTTGTGCCGCCCTTGCAGCACAAGGCTCGAGCCAGTCCAACCCAAGGAAGAAAAAAGAAAAGAAGAGAAAAAACCTAAAGGCGGCATTGGGCAGTCCGTAAGCCATAGTAAACGGGCCTTCAGGCGTTATACTTTGACTAGATGTGGCAGTCTAGCCAGTACCTGCAGCTCTTGCGAGTCTGGTGACTACCTGGGTGAGAAAATGTTTTGTTCTGTCGTGGCTGGTTGTAATCCAAAAGATTGCACCTCGTGCTTTTCGTATTTCGGATTCCAAGGTTGTAGGCCATCTGATTTGATATTGACATGCAGAGAGCAGACAACCACGAGCTGGCAAACCCACCAAGCATGATATCCTTTAGTCGCAGTATTGTTCATGGGCATACGTGTTTTGGGCTGTATACATGCACGTCACAAACATCGATGTTTGGTTCTTCGTATCAAAACACATTTCGAGAAAACACATTGTTTATTTAGAAATTACATCTGTAATATGGCTTATGACACCAAAAGATTCGGGCAAGACAGCTCCTCAACTGGGGTCACATAACAAAAAACTAAAGGGGGAAGGGAGGGCAAGAGAGAGAGATGCTGTGTGCTTTTTGTTTTTCTTCCATTCTGGTGTGCTCGCACCTCAGAGGACGGCGAATTATGCTGAGCTCTAGAGTACATTCAATGCAAACCATCCATCCTCTTAATTTTCCCCCAAAACGCCAGTGCAAAATATGTAGCCAGGACTATCCATGCGCTCATTCCCTTCATGACTTGTTCCTCAGGTGAGGAGGAACCCACTTGCCAGCAGTTCGAGTAGGCAGAGACTCTGTAGGGGCGGCAGACTCAGTCTTGCCGTTTTCGCCCCGCCTTGAGCCACCACGCTCAAGAGGCTCGCGAGAGTCGCGGGGAGAGTCGCGGGGAGAGTCGCGGGGAGAGTCGCGGGGAGAGTCGCGGGGAGAGTCACGAGGAGAGTCGCGAGGAGAGTCGCGAGGTCCAGGGCCTCTGGCGGGCGGGGGGAGGTTGTCGCTCGCTCCGCCGGACTCCTTGGCCGCCTGTCGGTCTCTCCAGCTGGGCTTGTTGCCAGAGCCGGCCAACTGCAGTCTCGGGGGGCCGGATGGGCGATCGCCAGAGTCGGTGCGCTCCATCGGGGCTCCTGTCCGCACCGGTGCGGCGCCCTCTGCAGCTCTGCCAGCCTCCTTCTCACGCTCTCTGTCTCGCCAGCTGCCCGATCCAATGACTGGTGGTCGTCGGCCTTCGGCAGCGCCAGCAGCGGGAGCAGCAGGCTCTGGTCCCCTGACGCCTCCTCGTTCTTTCTCTGCTTTACGGCGAGCAAGGGCTTCTTCCTCACGTCTCTGTTGGAGTGCTGCCTTCTCCAACATCTCCTGGCGTTCCTTCTCGCGCTGCTCCTTGAGCTTGGCAAGCTCAGCCTTCCTAGCCTCGTCACGTAGACGCTGCTCCTCCTTCTCACGAGCGGCCTGCTCCTCTTTTTCTTGGAGCATACGCTCTCTCTCTTCCCGCTCTCTCTTCTCGCGCAGCTTACGGTCGCGGTACTCCTTCTTGCGGATAGCAATCTGCTTCTCCAGCTCGCGCTCGGCATCTCTGCGGCGCTTCTCAAACTCATCACGACGCTTCTCGTGAAGCGTTGCTCTGAATGACTCGTACACACCCACCAGGCGGCTAAGGCGGTGCTTGAGCTCGACACTCTCCTTGTGCTTCTC